CCCCCCCCCAAAGCGGATTATCTCCGTCATTCTGATTCAGCTATTAGTCGCACAAAAATAACCCGAATAGCACTATCTGATATTCTGATTAGCGGCTGTTGTGGTCCGTTCTTGTTGCACCGGATTCATTGATGATACGTGGGCGTTTTGCACAGGCGTCCCTCATCTTTACGAGTTTGCCGTCCATCGCCAGAAATATACACAGCCTCTTGTTGCCTGAGCGAGAGCATGTGACAGTATAGGGAAGGATATATAATCCATAAAGTGAGCTATACTGCCTTGACGGATCCCATACTGGCACCGCCTTCCTTCGAGACGAATACTCAAGCCGATCCATATTACGAATATATCTTCTCAGGATTTCAAACACACCAGCGCATGGTGCGACAAAAGGAACAATGATGATTCACCCCGTTTTCACCTTTGCGCTGCTGGCATGGGTAGCAAAAGCGCAAACCTCAACGTCTTCTATTTCCATATCGCAACCTACAGTTGATCCGTCATCGCTCAACTCCACAACCAAAAACGCATGGTGCGATTCGCAAAAACGAGCATGCGTTTTCCTGTGTGATGGTGTGGCAGACCTGAACACTTGTGAACCGGTATGTCTGCCACTCATGGCCCAAGCTGCGGGAGGAGCAATAAAAAATACGGTGCAGGGTATCTGACCTCTTTATCCAGGATGACTTATCCTTCCAATGCGAATGCTTTCCGATCACCAAAATTAATTTCGCCGCGTACCGTGGTACGATACCAACGTTCGAGTGCGAGTACGCCGAATCGCAATGCGCCCAGAACTCCCAGAAAGACTGCAGCTCCTACTCCTGCGCAACCGAAGATGCATGGACAACAACAACATCCAGCGCGACCGCGGAAACATCAAGCACCACTAGGAGCTCATCTCGGACAGCTTTCAACCCATATCCCACTCGGCCTTCATATACAGAGCCGAATTCCCTGTATACAGCCTCGGTTGAAGAGGGATCTGATAAATCCAGCGTATCCATGGGTGCCGTTGTCGGCGCAGTTGCGGCGAGCATATTGGGGACTGCGCTCTTGATGAGCGTGGGATTCTGGTTATTGCGCAATCGGAGACGAACGATTGATGTTCCCGTGAGCAAGGCGCAGGCGTATGGGTACCAAGAAGACACTTTTGAGCTGACGGTTTATCCAGCTCCACCGGGGGTGGGACCGAAGTAGTTGGGGAACCGGGGGAAGCAAAGTAAGAGGGCAAGTTTGGCACACAGAATGTTGTTCAGTATCTCACATGCACGTGGTTTTTGCTAGAATTTCAAGACTCAAATGATCTGTAAACGCATAAATTTAACGCACTATTACAAGCTATTACAAGCATATGTACTTTACCCTGCACATGCTTACAACATTTCATTGGCATGGAGGGATAGTGAAGTCTTTTATGGCGCCACTATCAGATCATCCTTAGCGAAGTGTGTAGAGGAGGTTGGAAATCGTCGCGACGTTCTGTATAAGAAGCGGGGGCCTGCGGCTATAGTTGCGAGGACGGCTGCGAACGTGTCTGCTAATGTGTTCATAGAATGAAGTTGGTGGCGGTGATGAGGAAGGTGAAGGTGGACCAAGATACGTCCAGGGAGCCTGTATGGAGTCGCTACTTACTCGTCAGAAGTAAAATCCCTCAGACACGCTCTAATGAGGGCGTGTTCGGTTCAGGAGGCGCAGCGCTGCACGTTCCTCCACTTTTGACTGGAGTTGCACTTCTGTCTGCGCTGCATCTTCATCCCCCGGCGAAGCGGAGGGCCGAAGGTCCGAAGCGAAGCTGGGGAATTTAGCCCAGCTCTAAGGAACGGAAAAACCTCGGCCGTCACATTAGGCTTAGGTAGCCTTAAATCTTGCCACGCTCCTATTGGCCAAGAAAAACTGTAGTTATGTGAGCTCGCGTCTTAGCGTGTTTTTCGCACGCGTCTTCTCGGCTACTATTTCTAAACCGTTACGCCTATTGCCTACTACCCACCACCTACTACCTACTACCCGCCACCCGCTATCTAAGGCGGCGGCGGCAGCGAAAAGCATGGCGGCAGCGAAAACCACGGTAGCGAAAACTACGGCGGTAGCGAAAATAGCGGTAGCGAAAACCGCGGTAGTAGCAGCAATATTAGTAGTAAGTTTTATAGCAATAAGGACACGGTACTAATTTGAATTACAGGCTATTCGCCTATAAGTAGACCCAGCTACGCGCTTCGCCGGGGGCAAACTTTGATGGATTCGACTATCCCAATCCATCGACAGACCATATTAAAGTTGGCGCGGCGCCCAGATCTTGACACCAAACAGTCGTCGCCATCATGGCTAACTCGTTTACCTCTACGGGCGCTGCCGCTTCGCGTGCAATTATGCCAGAGCCGTTCACCACACCCCTCGAGTTCAATCAGCCGGAGCCATTCTACGAAAAGACAGAAGCAAAGTACAAAGATATGCTTGACATTGCCCGTCAGGCATCCGAAAAAGCCCTCCAGACGTACCGGGAGCTCTCTCAAGGCAACACTCCTGGGTGTTCCCGCCGTCAGCGTGCTCTTGATACGGTCGAATCCGCAATTGCCGTCCTTCAAACCCAAAGAGATGAGGCCGATGTCCACGTACAATCACTTACGGCCACAGTGGCTGAAAGAGCCGCACAACGCAATCTAACAGACGAAGATGTGGGAATTCTTCAGACTGATATCCGCAACTGGACGAGGGAGCGGACCAAGCAGGAACTCCTATTGGATTCGGCGAATAAGCAGAGAAACTCAGCGATCGAGCAGCTATGCGAAATCCATTGGAACAAATGCCAGAGGATCCTGAAAATGCTGCTCTGCGTACCCATCACCCAGAAGCGCAGCTACAGGCCCAGCCAGGGCAGTTGGAGGAAGAACGTGCTGCATTACTACGATGCTGTGAGGAAGGTCTCATACCCTGATTTCATGGAGCGTCGGGAGCAGATCTGGGATCCTGTCATGCATTGCTGGGCTCCCGGCGAAGTCATGAAAGCGGCGAACATTCTACCGTACGGCATGTCGAATGAGGTACTGCGTATGATCTTCGGAGAAGAGGAGGAAGCAGAGATCCTATTCGATATGCGCAATTGCCTTTTCCTATGCGAACCCATGGAGCTTGCCTTCGACGAGGGCATATTTGTTCTTGTACCGGTTGGTGAGAGCAACCAGGAAAGCCCCACCGACTATAAGCTGGTGCTGTTGAAGGAGTCGCTCCGTACAGCGAGGGTTACACATCCGGGCGAAATGACTTGGAATGATCTCGATGGAACCGTTCTCGAGTTCAGAAACGACTGCCGCCCTCGCGAAAAATTCATGTACTTGAACTTCGTCTCCCGGATTATCGCTGCAAGGAAGTTGCGCTACAGTTACCCCTTCCGTATGCATCTAGAGAATATCAGCAGAGCGTGGGTCTCTCCCGGAAAGTGGATCCGGAGGAGCATGATCTACGAGGTGGCCAGGATCGTTGATGACCATCAAATACCGGAAATTTTTCAAGAGGGAACCTTCGATGGCGAAGATGGCCGTGATAACCCCAGAAATGATAGATTATCGAGGGCGGCGGGAAGTTGGGTTACAGAAATATTTTTTCGGGAGCTGTTTGAGAGAGATCTGGAAGAGGAGGAAGAGGATGAGGAAGGGGAATACTTTGATTAGGAAGAGGAAGACTCCGATGAAGAAGAGTAAACTCAGCATGGCGTGCTTTATTTGCAACGGTCAGCTACTCACTGAACCGCGCCGTAATGAGGCCTCTTGAGGGCACAGGAGCACTGGCATAATTTCTAGTTTGGTAGCTCAATGGCTAGTTTCGTATACTTCTTGTTTACGTGACATCGTAGACTTTCATTCGGGATTGGCAGCCGCGAATCACAATCTTAAATGACAAAACGAAGTGGTGCATTCGACGTTATCTTTAAGCATTATTGCACGTCTCTTCCTCTCCCTCCTTCTCTTTCTCTTGTAAGAACTCAAACAGCATTGTTTTCGTGGTTTTCGGGAGGGTCGCCCTGGTGAATAATGTACCAAGCGTCTGTGAATTGCAGTCAGTATGGATACCTCGCTTGGTGTTGGAAATTCTAGTGGAGAGATCGTACGGATGACACCTGGCAACCAGCCAAGACAGCATAAGGCGATATTGATAAGCAGGTCGGAACCGCAGCCACGCCGCATCCAGACGGCCAATGGGGCCAGAAAGAAAGCGAGAAGATATGCGCAAAAATTGCCCTATGCAATTGCCGTATATTAGCCCTTTGCTCTCAATTCTTGTTTCATCCATGTACACGCAAGGTTTTTGAAGTTTGGTAGATTGGAGCTCACCATTTTGACTAGTCAAGATCGACTGTTGGGCGAGGAAGTGTGTTGGAGGAAAGCTGAAGTTGTCGATCGTATGTGGCCGCAGCGGAAGCCTTATATCATTCTGCCAGCTGGGTTACGTGCCTTAGCGGTTCAGGAATAAATGTGAAGATGGCCTGCAATTTCCTTTGGATTTTCCAGTAATACGGGATCTCGGCAAAGTAGCGGTGGCGCAGCCAACCTGAAGCCCTAAGAAATGTTATCTGCGCAAGACACCTATACAATGCAAGAACGCAGCGGAGTTGGTGATGGCCGAGAGAAAATGAGAGTGAGAGTATCTTGATGGAAACTTCAAGCGTCGAAAACAGCACACTCCTTGGTGGACCGAGTGGGCTCTTGTTCTTGTGGTGCGGACTGGTGATGCAGAGCACGTACTTTTCAGCCACAACTCGGCCCGAGATGCGGGGTGGGTCGGGTGTGTCGGCAGGAAGATCTTAATTATGGTTACGATAAATTTCCTGATTAGGAAGTCGAAATGTACAGCGCCACAATCAGACCACGACGCGGTCAAAGCATAGGAGAAACCTGCGAGGCAGCCACAGAGAGTTGTCGTAGCCGAAGACTAGCGTGATCTTGCTTTTGGCCCATGTCATGGGCAAAAGAAGCTCTTGCCCGGACCAGAATGTATGATTGTTAGCATGGAGATGATGGCTTCAGCTGCCCACATGGTTGTTTCATAGACACTGGGCGCATGCCCCCGTCTTTTCTATGGTTCGAATATCTATCTCTCCTTCACCTGTACCACGAGTACGTCGCCCTGGACTATTCACGCCTACAGCTTGCAGACAGACGACAGCGTTACTACGCGCTAGCTGTACAGTACTCAACTCTCAAGCTGTCCAACCAGCATCTATACCACAGTCATGTTCACCTGCGTCACATATTCGCTCACGGCCTACAGCTGGGCAAGTAACTCTCCCTCAACGAGTGCAATAGAGAGGGTTCTGGTAAAGTGAGCAAAAGCCAGGTGAAAACCGACCCAACTGCGGTTCAGAGCCCTGAAACCGTACCTTAGAAATGGGCGGTTAAGCCCAGATTTCTGCAGGCAAAACTTGAAGTCCGGGGTCCAACCGCCAATTCCCACGGTACCTGGTATGAAAGAATTGTCCAGCTCGTCCACCGCAGGTATATATTATGGTCAAGAACTCGCGCCTTCGTTAGCACCAACCACCACCTTCCAACATCTACCGACACGACCGAAAACTACCGACAACTACCAACAAACATGAAGCTTAGCAGTTTTATCATAGCCGCTGGGTTCCTATCCACCCTCTCAGCCGCCGTTCCTGCGCCGCCTGGTCTGGCCTTCGCCGAGGCGGGCGTCGTTCCTTTGGTTGGCACCAGGAGGCTCGAGGCCAGGAATCCTCCTCCGACTGCTACTACGATCGAAACCGTCACAACTCCAACTGCTACTATGGTCGAGGCCATCACGCCTAGGAGTCCTCCTCCTCCTGCCACTATGATGGAAAGGTAAATCAAACAAAGCGACCCGGGTGATAGAGTGCTAATATGTCATTGTAGATCGGCGAGCATTCCGGGCAACTGGAACTTTAAACTTTTTAGGTTGCATACTATGACCCTTACTGGCACCAGACAGCCGACGCCGGCAGCACGTTGAAAGCAGGGAGCTATAATGTCAAACCTATTCAATTAGTTTTAAATAGATAATGGATTATCCTTCGGCTCGATCAATCTGTCTCTATCGCCGAAGCGGTTTACTAGTTTTGGTATAGTGCTTATCCTCACAACAACTAAACACAGTGCACAGAATGTAGCCAGGCAACAGCAATGATTGACTACAAGCCGCTGGACGACACACGCAACGAAATCCGGGTGCTCTCACTATGCCCGGAGCAGGCAGGGCTCGTGCGGTGCAGGCTGGAGCACGTCTCGCTGGACGAGGCGCTGGACGACTACTCGCAATTCGTCGTGTCGACGCCGCCGACGCTGTCGCGGCGCAACAGCTACGACCTCTGGCATGCCGAGGCCAACGACCGCTATCATCATCACCACCGCTCGCTAGGCGGCGGAGCCGACACGCCGCCGGACCGAGCCTCTGCGCACCCGCGCTACTACCGCTTTGCGTGGGGCGACTACGGCGCGCTGAGCTACACCTGGGGCGACCAGTCGCAGACGCGGCCCATCTTGCTGAACGACACCGTCTTCCACGTCGGCCGCAACCTCGAGGCCGCCCTGCGCCGGCTCGCGCGCCACCCCGACTACGCCGACGGCGGGCTGAAGCTATGGGTCGACGCCATCTGCATCAACCAGCGCGACCTGCGCGAACGAGGCCGCCAGGTGCGCCGCATGGGCGAGATCTTCAGCCGCGCTCTGATCGTGACCATCTGGCTGGGCGAGCTACAGTCCACCGACACCACTGACGGCATGGCGGAGTTGCAGACGCTGGTGTCGCGCTGCCGCGACGATTCCACGACGAAGGCCGCCGTCGAAGAGGCGCTGAAGAAGGAGGACCGCGAACTCGGCTCGGCGCTGCACGCGGCCGTCGAGCGGCTCGTGACGGTGACGTACTGGACCAGGACGTGGATCATCCAGGAGAAGTGCCTGGGGCCGTTCAACGCGTCGCTGCTGTTCGGGCCCTACGTCTTCAGCCTCATCCCGCTGCGCAACTTCCTCGCCTGCGCCAACAACATCGCCGGTGCCATCCGCAAGCGCGAGAGCGCCTGGCAGATCCTCAAGCTCATGGAGCTCGCCGTGCGCCACCAGGAGCGCCAGCAGCTGGCAGATGCGGAGCAGCAGAAGCGCGCCGACATGGACGACCTGGGCCTCCTCCTCATGCTGGGCCGCCTCGCGCACACGACGGACCCGCGCGACAAGCTGTACGGCCTGCTCGGCCTGCTCCCGCGCTACGTCTCGCGCCACATCGAGCCCGACTACACATTACCCGTCGAGCGCGTCTTCGCCGACTTCGCCGCCGCCCTCGTGCGCGGCTTCGACTCGCTCGACCTCGTCCTCGCCGGCAACTCGCCACCCGCCTCCCCTTTCGCCTCGCCCCTCGTCGACGCCGTCCCCAGCTGGGTGCCTGACCTCGCAGACCGCTGGGACCCGTACCTGTGGAGCACGAACTGCGACGCCACGCCCCACCATCCCCGTCCGCTGGGCTTGTCGATCGAGGATGAGGGCCGCACGCTTGTTGTGAAGGGTGTCGTTTGCGACGTTGTTGCTGGCACCGCGCCGCAGCTCGGCTGGGCTGCCGGCGTGCTCAGCGTGCTGCTGCCCGCGCAGCAGATTGAGGAAATGGTGGTCACCACGCCGCCGCCGCCTGACGCAGACCTCAAGACGGCCATCGTGCGCACACTCCACCGCGACGCTACGCTCGACTGCCTCGCCGCCGCCACTACCATGCTCGACATCCCGTGGCTGGACGGCCTGCGGCTGAACGCAGAAGAAGAAGAAGAAGTAGAAGGAGAAAACGAGCATGAAAAGCAACACCGCATCCAGCAACGACGCATCCTCGTCGCCCGCGGCTGGGGCCCCGTCCTGCGCCACGCTAACTTTGCTGACTTCCAGCAGTTTCGCGTAAGGCTGGACGCGCTCTATGCGCCGTGGCCGGGAAGGCGGTTCAGGGATTTCTTTCCGCGGGTTGAAGAGGGAGAGGGAGAGGGGGAGGAGGAGGGGTGCTTGGGCGAGAAACGCCAGGCTGAGTTCCTCACTGCGCTCGAGAAGCATGCCGGGATTGTGTATCCGATTCTCACTACCCGCCGTGGTCGCTTTGGCACGAGTATCCATCCGGCACGCGTGGGTGATGTTGTGGCTGTCGTGCCGGGGTGCTATGCCCCGGTGCTGCTGAGGCGGGATAAAGAGAGGGGCGGTGTGTGGAGGTCGGTGTCGCATTGTTATGTGGAGGGGTTGATGAGGGGGGAGGCGATGGAGTGGTTGGAGAGGGGGGAGGTGGGGCTGGAGGAGTTGCGGATTGTGTAGGATGGTGGTGGGGGGAGTGTCTTTTGAAGAGTGTAAGTGATGTGCTCTCATTATCTAACGCGGTTTTTAGGTGGTTTTATATCCAGATCTTTTAGCTCTCCTATTTGAACGGTTGAATTGTATTTTAGTGGACACTGGACTAGTTGAATTGTAAGTCATATCGGTACAAGCGTAAGAGTGTGGAAGAACTGCAGACTCCGTTACTATCTACAGCAACTGCGAACTTGAAGGAAAATCAATGACGTGTAGTTGCCGAAGTGTTCAGCATATTAAGAAGTGTCAGTGAAGAGATGAAGAACAACAAGAATGGGGAGTAGTGCGGCGATGCCAAATTCAGGAGGTAACTTTCGATTCTCTTTCCATTTATGTTTCCATACTCTTTTTCACCCTCAGCGCGGCGACGAAACTCTTTTAATATCTTCAACCCACACAGTTATCCCTCACCGGCATACTCAGATTCCCATCCCCAACCAACCCCTCCTCCACAAGAATCCCCTCCGCAATCTTCTCCGCCAGCATATACACCGTACTCTGCGGATGCCCCGGCGGCAAAAGCGGAAAACTACTCGCATCCACCACCCTCAACCCCTCCACCCCAAACACCCGCGCCTCCGCATCCACCACCGCCATCTCATCGCCCCGCGTCCCCATCTTACATGTGCAACTCGCATGATTCACCGTCGACGCCGCGCGCTTCAACCACTCCACAATCTCGTCATCCGTCCCGACCGCCTCCTCACCGGGGTAGTACTCCTCCCCCTCCGCCACGCCCCGCGCCGCCAGCCACCCCCACATCTCCCGCTGCCGCCGCACGCTCTGCACCGCGACCTCGCGATCACCCGCGTGGCTCAGCCACCCCGGGTCGATCAGCGGCGGCGCCTGCATCGACGCGCTGCCGATGCGGATGCTCCCGCGTGACAGCGGCGCCACGAGCGCCGTGTTGAGCGTCGCGTAGTTGGCGCCGTCGCGCGGGTCGGTGTGGATCGGGTCGTCGCCGGTGCCGTACAGCGCGCTCATCGGCAGCCATTCGATCTCGGGCCAGTCGGGTGGGAAGTCGGCGTCGAGCAGGGTGCGCGTGGTGTTGGATAGCGCGGCGCGGTAGGTGGCGGGCAGCTTTTCCCAGCCGACGACGCTGGTGCCGGGGAGGGAGAGGGGGCCGGAGGCGGTGGCCTGGTAGGTCGCGATGGCTTCGGCGGCGAGGGTGGCGTTGGAGAGGGCGGCGGACGCGGTGAGGAGGTGCACGCGGTGCGATGTCCCGAACAGGACGTGGTCTTGCAGGTTTTGGCCGACGCCGGGGAGGTGGGCGGTGCAGGGGATGGAGAGGGTGGAGAGCGCGGTGCAGTTTCCGATGCCCGAGACGAGGAGGAGTTGGGGCGATTGGATCGCCCCCGCTGAGAGGATGAGCGAGCGCCGCGCGGTGAGGGTGTAGGTTAGCGAGGGCGTGCCGAAGGTGCCGGCTGTGGTGACGCGGATGGCGGTGGCGCGGGGGGTGGTGCTGTTGGTGAAGAGGATTCGTTCGGCTAGGGTGTTGGTGTAGATGGTCGGCGCGAGGTTGCGCTGCAGAGCGGTCTGGAGGAAGCTGCTGGAGCTGGACGAGCGGATGCCGGTGGAAGGGTCGACGGTCGAGGTCATGAAGGCGGAGCCGAGCAAGGCTCCGTCGTTGAAGCCGGGGATCAGGCCCATCCCGAAGGCCTGGTAGAGCTGCAGCACCCATGTCCCGAAGGGATCGACGGCGTTGGAAAAGGAAACTTGGAGAGGACCGCCGGAGGGCGAGAAGGAGGAGGGAGATTGGGCGTTGGTGGCGTTTTGGTATAGACTGGCGTTGAAAGGGGTGTAGTGCGGGGATTTTTGGTAGTAAGGGAGGACATTGGGGAAGAGGTAGGAGCTGTCATTGACGAGTTCGGCCCATTTGGCGAAGGAGTCGACCGTTCCCCTTAGAGAAGATGGTAAGATGGCTTTCGATATATTAACGGATTTAGCACTGACCTTTGATACGCCATATAATTCCGTGCTGATGACCCGCCGAGCGTCTTCCCACGCGTGATATGAGCGGAACGGTTTGAAAATGCCTTTCGCTCGCAGCGTTAAACATCTGGTAAACTCCTTCGCTCACGCATCGAACACCCTTCCCGATGCGAGGATCAATCCATAGATAAAAGCACCCACTTACCTGAGGCACTGTTACGAAACCCCAGTCGATGCCGGGTTGCCAATCATGGACGTCTTTACCAGTGAACCAAGGATCGTAAGCCGGCACCTCGCTCAGGTTCCCGTTGGATATTTCATAGAAGGTTCCGGCCTCTATGACCGCAACGCTGAGATTTCGAGTCGAGGAGAGGCGCGTTGCAATGGTGAGTCCGGCCGTGCCACCACCGACGATAATGTACTGTTACGTGGTGCCATTAATTACTGTTGATTCATATTCCCCCTTTTCTCTTATTATTCTTTTCCTTTCGACAAAAGAGGGAATGAAAACGAAGGAGAAATAGAGTGCCTACATCATATGTGGCATTTACACCAGGAATTCCAAAGGAGCTGCTAAGAAGGGGATTGTCAGGGGCATGGGGAAAGAGACTAGCGACGGTACTGGGGACCAAAAAGATGAAGAACACAGTAAGAAAGATGTTGCGAGTGATAGAATTAATAAGCATCATGGCACACAAAATGTCTTCTGTTGCAGAGGCTTCTCGTCCGTGCTGGGAGAACTTCATACCCTCAATTGAAAGCCAACAAGCGAGTACAGTATATATACATATTTGTGATATGCACGCAATGATCTATAGCGCGGTACACATAATACTTTTTAAAGATGATTCGTGATTAGAAAGCGTTTTGATCAAGCATACAAGCAGGCAGACTAACTCAAGAAAGAGAAGAAATCCGTCGATACATCGGTGTTCGACCAAGTGACATCACAGCTGATCATTAGCTGCAGGGGAAATTCATTTGTACTACCGTATACTGCTGGTACGAGCAAGTTCCGCACTGTGCACGGTGTGATTAGAGTTGCTTTTCCTGTGTTGTGAGATTTTAGTACCATGTCCTGGGCCGAAAGAAAATGCCCCGCAGTTTATTCCCGCAAGCTTGATAGTGGGCCAAGCCTTATTCCCACGGCTTGGTTCTCGCGCTGTCGAGCGAATTCTTCGGTGCGGTCAGCTTATTACGGGAGGTGAGCTGACGCAATCGTGCATTGATGTCCGCTAAAAAGCAAAGCTTAGTCTTTTGCTTGTATTCTCGTGGGAAACGAGGCCGACATTTGTTCACATCATCTCCGTTTCAGCCCCCCGAACGCTCCGGCTGCAGGATCACAGCCCTATGCAGGAACAAAAGGATGACCAAACTTTTAGCTTATTGCTTAGCGAATAGAAGTAGAACAAGCCACGGCGCGAGAAGCCCCTCCACGACCACGCAATAATTGATTTTCTATCTCCCTTCACAACTCTCACGTCAGCCAAGCTGCCATGTCTCACAGGGGTGCATGCTAGCGGGTTGGGTAGCGGACAAAAGTAATGATGCATAAGCAACATGCGTCAACTTACCATTTAGGAAGGCCCTTTCGCATACCACGTGTCACGGTTCGGCCCTTCGTCACTCAACCACTCTCAATTAGAGTTATCGAGAAACCGCGTCTCGTCTCCTGCGCCCTGTAAAACTGGAAACTGAGTGAACCAGAAGAGAGTATTTCTCATTCCATCATCTCCCCGTTTCTTAACTTGAATAAGAGGCAGAAAAATCAACAGAGCCAAACGTCCACAGGATCCACAGAAAACGATGGTAACGGAAAGACTAGTTAGCACTGGCTACTGACACCCGCACACCGAATAAGCAAGAAGTAATGCTACTTAGATCAAATGTCATACCAACTACCATCTCTCAGGGAGGCTTCGTTGTCATTCCGTTTTGTTGGTTGCTTTTCCGAGGCGGAACAGCACCTATCGAAAGACTCTAACGGCATCTGCGCGCGTGAAACATGTTTTAGCCCGCTTGATCTTTTTTTTTTTGCTCTAAGCGCTGGCTGCTTGACAAACTATAGAGCCGAGAAAAGTGTGAATAAGGGTTTTATGTAACAACATCAGCTCTGGTGTCATCCTCGACAAGGACTGGTGGTGTTTGCGATGCTCACCAATCGAATCTGGCAGATGCGAAGTTGGCTCCTTACTACGGCAACCACAGACTAATCTTTCCGCGCTCGTGGCTTCTATTGGTACAAAGAAGCGGATCGCACGGTATTCAAAGAACGCGTCGCTCTACTGCCGAGAAATTGAACTATAGTAAAACGATAACGACAACCGCAAATTGATGCAATGCCGACAAGTGCATTCGGTGGATGGCTTGTCACACCGTCTCAGTGAGGGGCTGAGGCTGAGCCCTGCACGTGCTGCATGCATTTTGCAGGCGGGGCTGACCGCTTTGGGGAGGTCTCAGCCTTGCCATGCAAAGAAAAGGCTCAGCCGTGCGGGCGCATTTCTGCTGCCACATCTTTCTGCGACCAGTTCTCTCATCACCCAAGCGCAGCCGCTATGGACGCCGAGCTTGACGTGGACTTTGACCAACCAGAGTAAGTGAAATATTGCTCCACTGCAGAGCTATACGAGCTGACTGGGCATGCAAGCAGAGAGAAAGACAGGCAGGGTCCCAGAACCAACATGGGGCCTCCGCAGCTTCCACTGGTCGGGCTTGAGCGAGACCACGACCCATTCACACGCCATTTACGATCACCGGATTCTTTGGATATTATTGGAATCGGGATCTACCTGACGTGCAGATTCCAACCTCATACGCTTCAAGTATACGGTCCTACCAATATGCAAGGTCTGATCGCACGGGGTTTTACACTGCATCCCAGTATGGTGATGCAGTAACTGAAGATTCGCTTTCATGCGCATCAGGTGAAAGTCAGTTCTTCTCGAGCCCTGGCCAAGAAAATGAATATTATGGGACCCAAATACTTGAAGGTGACCGGTCAGAAAAGCACGAACAAACGAGCGCGCAAGCAGAGGAAAACCCCGGCCATCAAATGGGTGCCCAAGACATTTTCATGAGTCTGAAATCAATTCTTGGTTTCACTTGGCTCAGCAAAACATTAAAAATGGCCATGAGGCCGTCGATCCCGGCCCACAATATGAGAATCACCTGGCAATGCGTAAGTCTACTTAAGCACCCTTGTTTCGAATCACACGCTGATAGATTTAGGAATGTGGAGAGGACATGTACGCCGATATGTCCGATGCGGACCCTTCTGCCGTTGAGACTCTCTCCGATGCCTTGAATAACGGATCTCCACAAGGACACCCAGCGACGTACCCATTCTCAGGATTTCGTGTTCCATATCCTGCGCATATGAGAAATGGTTCACACGCACATCATCCTACAAACTCCTTAACAAACCACCCCAATCTATCAAATACTGATGACCACGGCATTTTGGCTGGGATGACCAGCTCAACACCCCTTCGGTCATTTTTGGAGCTTTGTATCAATACAGGAAATTCATGTCAAAGTCTCGGAGAAGTGGAAGTGAGCCTCCTAACGTCCGATACGATGCTCTTCGAAAAAGTGCGCCAGCGCTACAGACAAATTCGCGGTTCGCGTATCAGGAAACACTTCATGCTCAAGCCTGCCGCCATAGAGTTTGTTTCATTTGGGTTGGAAAAACGCCGCAAGGTACACATCTTCAACGAACCCTCGCTACCTTCGGCGGATGATGTGGCTGCTGCCACATGGCATTATGACCCTTGCCCTCCAAACCCTCCCCCACTTCCAATGCCAAGTTCGGCATTCATTCATTATCTCACGCAATGCACTGCCGAGCCGGATCCTTTTGGGAGAGCGGTCTGGCTCAGTCGGCTGCCGAAAAAGCTCAACGAATCTCTGTTCAAGACGACAGATGACTTGGCGATGGCGTGGGGAATTCATATCATTGAGGGCCCCGATCCAGTCAAGATCATGTGGACAGTTTTCGTTCTGCTCGTTATTTGTGTTGGTCCTCTTCTGGCATACGCAGTTGCCAAACAAGATATTCAAGGTGCGACAGGGATTATGAGCACCTATCTTGCAGTCATGACAACAGTGATGACAGTCATGATATTCTTCCAACAGAAAGAAGGCTAAGCCTCAGTTGTAGCCGGCGAATAGAGTGATCGCCATACTGGCAAACTATGGTACATTGATTCCGATCCGGTGTTTCTTGCTTGTATAAGTGCATGCCATCAGTCAATTGAAAAAGATACATGCTTGAGCTTAACTCCTGCGCCGTAGGAAAAATACCCCAGCTAAATCCAAGACCTCCATTTTCAATGCCACTGCGCCCGCAGCAGCGGCTTGTCACTTCGTTACTCTGCACCTCTCCTTTTATGCATTGCGTCCATTGCATTCGTAGAAGAATTTTGTAGATTCTTTAATGACGTTATAATCAGACCTAATTCCTCATTGCTTGTGCCGATAAGTCAAATATGTGCATTTCGAAGACTAAAATTCCAATCCCATTTCCACATCGCATAATTCAATGCCTCCTCAAATCACTCTCCTCTACCACAAATCACCGATGGCATCGATGAAGGCCTTCGCGACCAGCTCGTGGACCTTGACGCTGGGGTGGTAGGAGTCGGTCCAGACGCAGGTGCCGTCGCTGCTCTGGCAGGTGGTGTCGGTGAAGCCGTAGGCGGACGGGTCGCTCAGGACCTTCTCGAACGAGGGCGTCGTGTCGAAGACCTGGCCCTGGGCGCCGCTGTTGGCGGCCTTGAAGGTGGTCAAGCGCGTCTCGAGGGCGGCGTTGTAGTCGGAGATGTCGCTCTTGAGCTGCGCCACCTTCGTCTCGTCCTGCTGGGCGAAGGCGGGGGCGTTGTTGAAGGCTGAGGTTTTGCGTTAGCTCGTCCGTCTCTCTCTCTCTCTCGCTCGCTCCGACACAAAAATGGAAGGGAGGGGGAGTCCATACGCGGCACAGTAAACAACACAAACTTCTTCACCCCGGCATCAAACAGATGCGTCAACAACTCAAAATACCGATCCATCACCTTCTCAATCGGCGCCGCCGTCCCATCCCAGAACGACTCGCCAACATCGTTAATACCCGTCCAGAACACGACGAGCGAGTCGTCGCCGGGCGGCTTGCCGCTCAGGTACTGGTCGAACTGGTCGACCTGGTCGTCGACGCAGGCGCTGGCGTAGCTGTCGACGATGTCCTTGTCCGTCGTCGCGCCCGACACGGCAAAGTCCCACGTCAGCGTCAGCGTCGTGTTCAGCGTCGACGTCACCTGGCCCACCCAGTTGAGCCCGCCGCTCGTCGTCGTGCCGGGCAAGGCGGGGTTGCCGAGAGGGCTGCTGGCTGAGGGTTGGTCGCCGCCGGGCCAGAAGCCGACGGTGGAGTAGGAGTCGCCGCTGTTTTCGATGTTAGTTTTCGGTATGGTGGTGGAGGTTGGGAGGGGAGGGGGGAGTTTTACAAGACGAGAAGGTACTTGGTGTCATTGGTCTGCGCCTTGGCGGAGGAAAGGAAGAGAGTGGCCGCCAGCGGCAGAGCTTTGCTGAAAGAAGATCTCATGATGTCGTTTTTTTATACAAGAAAGTTCCGCAAATACTATTATTTACAACAACCAACCCTATACATAAAAATCGACCAAAACGGAGCCCGGTAGGCGTCGTGCTCTCTTATAAAGACATTACCCCACGGCAAAATTAAAGGGCCTCGAAACACGTGTATACTGTTTATAGTAGAGTGCAAGGATGGGCCTATGGCGAAACTATGAAACATCAGGAGTCTGTTTCGCATGATTGGCGGAAATGGCAATGTGTGGCACTAGCTCCCATCGTTCGAAACCTCGCGTGCGGAGCGCTCCGCCCAAACGGGACTAAATTGCCGAAAGCCCACCTATTAGTCGCGTAGCAGAAACACCCTTTTGTTCTAACCGACGTCGCGAAAGGGAATCGTGTGCGGATCTTCTATCCGTGGTGCCGTTCCGGAAGACTCGACGGCCGGACCGACGGTACTCCGCGTCGAGATGAACAGATCCACCGTTCTAAGTGGTTGCGTAGAATGGTCTGCTGCTTCCGTGGCCGCGTATACAACATGTTAGGAGAGAAGGTCGGGACATCCAAGGAGAATTGGTGCGCTTGAGGAAACTTGTAGCGTGATACCAAGCCGGCCGGCTTCGTAGGCGCGAGTAAGGCTCGTAAACATGAGTCGGGTCTCTGAAGATTTCACATACGTCATCACGCTTGCCGTCGAGATGCATTATAACAAGAAAAACCAAATTGATATTTCAAACAAAACCATTGCTCATTGCTCAAAGACCGTCACAAAAAAAGGAGGAGACTATCAACATACTAGCATTCCATTCCATTCTCTACACTCAGCGTTCAAAGCTTCGCACTCAGCCCCTCCTCCTGCACATCAAAGCGATCCAGCATCATAACCTTATCCCAAGCCGCAACAAAGTCCTTAACAAACTTCTCCTTGACCCCCGCACTAGCATACTCCTCCGCAATAGCCCTCAGCTCCGCATGCGACCCAAACACCAGATCAACACGGGACGCGGTCCACTTCTTCTGGCCCGTCTTGCGATCAACGCCCTCAAACGTCTCCTGCGAGGCATCCGTCGGCTTCCACTCGGTGCCCATGTCGAGCAAGTTGACGAAGAAGTCGTTGTTGAGCTTGCCCGGCGTCTTGGTGAGGACGCCCTTATCCGAGCCGTCGTAGTTGGCGTTCAGCGCGCGCAGGCCGCCGACCAGCACGGTCATCTCGGGCGGGGTGAGGGTGAGCAGGTTGGCGCGGTCGACGAGCCACTGCTCGGCGCGGACGCGCTGCGTCGAGCCGCCGAACTGCCTGAAGCCGTCGGCGGCCTTGGGCTCGAGGTACGCGATCGACTCGACCTCCGTCTGCTCCTGCGAGGCGTCGGTGCGGCCCGGCGTGAAGGGGACGGTGATGTTGACGCCCGCGTCCTTGGCCGCCTTCTCGACACCCGCGGCGCCGGCGAGGACGATCAGGTCGGCGAGCGAGATCTTCTTGCCGCCGGACGCGGAGCTGTTGAATTTCTGCTGCACGCCCTCGAGCTTCTGGAGGACCGAGGCGGTTTGGGTCGGGTTGTTGACGGCCCACTTGTTCATGGGGTTGAGGCGGATGCGGGCACCATTGGCGCCGCCGCGCTTGTCGCTGTTGCGGAAGGAGGAGGCGGAGGACCACGCGGTGAAGGCGAGGGTGGACGCGTCGAGGCCCGTGGCCAGCACGTCCTTCTTGAGCGAGGCGATGTCGCCGGCGGTCACCAGCGGGTGGTCGACGGGCGGCACGGGGTCCTGCCAGATCAGGTCCTCCTTGGGCACGTCGGGGCCGAGGTAGCGCGCCTTGGGACCCATGTCGCGGTGCAGCAGCTTGAACCAGGCGCGCGAGAAGGCCTCGTGCAGCTCGTCCGGGTTCTCGAGGAAGCGGCGCGAGATCTTCTCGTAGGTGGGGTCGAAGCGGAGCGACAGGTCCGTCGTCAGCATCGTGGGCTTGAGCTTCTTGTTCTTGTCGAAGGCGTGCGGGATGACCTCGTCGGCGTTCTTCGCCACCCACTGCCAGGCGCCGCCGGGGCTCTTGGTCAGCTCCCACTCGTTGTTGAACAGGCTGGTGAGGTAGCCGTTGCTCCACTTGGTCGGCGTCGTCGTCCATGTCACCTCCAGACCGCTGGTGATCTGGTCGGATGCCTTGCCGGACTTGTACTTGCTCTGCCAACCCAGGCCCTGCAGGTGGATGGGAGCACCCTCGGGACCCGCCTCCAGGTTGTCACCGTCGGAAGCGGCACCGTGTGTCTTGCCGAAAGCGTGGCCACCTGCAATCAGGGCGACGGTTTCGTAGTCATTCATGGCCATGCGGCCGAAGGTAGTCTTAATGTCGCGGGCTGCGGCGACGGGGTCGGGGTTGAAGTCTGGGCCCACGGGGTTGACGTAGATGAGACCGTGGTGAGTGGCGCCCAATGGCTCCTCGAGCTTGCGGTTGTGAATGTCCGTGTCGCCATTGTAGCGATCCTTGTTTCCGCTGGGGAACAGGTCCTTCTCGGAGCCCCAGTAGACCGACTCGTCGGCCTCCCACGTGTCTGGACGGCCAAAGCCAAAGCCAAACGTCTTGAAACCCATGTTGTCCATGGCGACGTTGCCGGCCAGCAGCAACAGGTCCGACCATGAGACCGAGTCGCCGTACTTTTGCTTGATGGGCCACAGCAGGCGGCGTGCCTTGTCGAGGTTGCCGTTGTCGGGCCAGCTGTTCAGCGGCGCGAATCTCTGCTGGCCCTCTCCGCCACCTCCCCGGCCGTCGAAGACGCGGTAGGTGCCGGCGGCGTGCCACGACATGCGGATGAACAGACCGCCATAGTGACCAAAGTCTGCGGGCCACCAGTCCTGGCTGTCGGTCATCAACTTGTGCAGATCGGCCTTGAGAGCATTGACGTCGAGCTTCTCGAATGCCTTGCGGTAGTCGAACTTGGGGCCCAGCGGGTTGTTGGCCGGCTGGTTTTGGCGGAGGATGTTCAGCTTCAGCTGCTCCGGCCAGAGGTTGGCAGGCCGAGTGCCTCCGCCAGCGGATGCGTGTGCAGGGCAACCTTCGACAAAGTTGCTGCCCATTGTTGCAATTGACGATGATATGTTTCGATGATGACGGGTGTGAAGAAGGGCGACGCGGAGGATTTTAACGGGGAGGCGGGCAATGGGCATCTCAACATTTAAGTGACGTGCGAGGTATGGAAAGAGAGCGGGGTGGCGGGACGAAGCGGGGGTGGAGAAGTGGGGCGGGAGGCTTAGTCGGCGGTCCCGAGGTGTCTGTTTATTTTACCAGCCCCTCATTGGCCCGCTGTGACGCATTCTAGAACTGCGCTGCTTAGTGACCAAACTCTGTGTCCCTGGCCACTCCCGCCACTTTCCCGAACGAGCTGTTCTGTGCCACTACGACTTCTTCTGGAGATCTTTTCCTGTGACTCCAATTATTAATATCGCTCGTTCTGAGTCGGCCAGAGCTTCGGAAGTGCGGAGGCAGTCCGGTCCCCGCGGCGATCGCCTCACGGAATCCCCACATCACGCCAATCGGCCCTCATCGAAAACGCGTCACGCCATAAATCACCGATCAGGCCCAAATGTACCTCGATGCACCAACGTTTGTGCTACCAGCAAATTCTCGCCTTCTTCACCTCTCGACATAGCACCAAGCTTTTTGACAAGAGATTGACTGCTTGGCTCGCTCGCACTGCTGTCTTCAGCTGGCGAACTGCACTGAAATGTTGGCAAAAATGTCGTCATGGCAAAGGCCCGTTCCCTTCCTTCCCTTGCAGCATTGCGTTCCGATAGGCCCGAGCTCCGACGCATACATGGTCCCGCCAAATTCCACATTTCAACATTCAACACCATACCAGACCTATGGTCTCTAAGTTGTGGACTCAAGGAAAGGGAGCAGTGAGGATAAGGAGCAAGAAGCTTTGTAGTCATCAGTAATAATTGCAAATTAACTGACTGGTGTTCTGGGCAGTGGCTGTTGATCAACTACCTTGGTTTCACAGGACTTTTCTATGTGAAGTAAGCCTGTCGCGACAACAAAGCCACTTATATGACCAAACAATAGAGTTGAGGTCGGTCAGCGCGACACTATCCAATTAGCAGCTGAAGCTGGTTGGAGAAGTTTGACCCACTCTTGCCAGCGTGTTGTGGAACCTCATTTCTTGGCGCCCGGACTCAGCCACGTCTTGCTGCCTAGTTTCCACTCCCTATATACCACCAACGCAATACAGCATACTCAACCAAGGAAGAACAGCATGTCTGCAGAAGCCTCTCTTTACTTCGAACTCCACGCTCTGGAAATCCGCCTTCTCAAGATTGCACCAGGAGGATGGCACGACGAAATCGAGTGCGAACTCATCCACACATCTCTGCCCAACAAGCCTGTTTTCGACGCGCTTTCCTACGCTTGGGGATCTCCGAAGCTTGTGCGATCGATTTCTCTGAATCGGGAGCGCCGCGAGGTAACTGCAAGTGCCCATCAGGCCCTTCGACGACTCCGCCAGACCTACGGGACTGCCACCGTGTGGATAGACGCGCTGTGCATCAATCAATCAGACGACAAAGAACGCACACACCAAGTCGGACTCATGCGCGACATCTTCACCAGTGCTCGCCAAGTCGTAGTTTACCTCGGCGAGGCCCAAAACTCGAAATCGAATGTGTCATCGAAGCCCACGTTCTTTCAGCCCAAAGCGGATCACAATATCCTGAGCTCTTTTGCAGCTCGCTATTCTCGACAAGATGTTCCCAAGATTCCTAAAATGGACGAAGCTCTCGAGGTCTTCTGTCTAATTCACAGTATCGCCCGGTTTGATACCACTTCGAGATGCGCGGCTGACTCCGAGTACCACCGTCGCCTATTTGAGGCATTACGGCAATTGATGCGCTGTCGGTGATGGGATCGAATGTGGACTTTGCAGGAAGCTGTGGTTCCGAAGGATGTCACCATAATCTATGGATCATGTGTTTCGACCTGGGACATGTTCACACGAGCAGCAAAGGCGTATTCTGTTCGAAAGGCTTCTGAAACTATATCACTCATTCCATTTGAGTACGAAAAAGTTCTCGACTTCTATTCCCAGACGATACTCGGAATTGAGACCATGCGAAATCGCTGGACCAGCGGTGAGCAGACGACTCTCCTCCCTCTGCTTCGCCAATTCAGTGGCAGAAAGGCCACAGATGCTCGAGACAAAGTCTATGCACTTCTCGGTCTGGTCCGCGGTGACTTGCCTGTACTTTCTGATTATTCCATTGACGTTGCAACTGTGTATGAGCGTACGGCTATCGGAATAATTAGTAGTACCGGGTCGTTGTCCATTCTGAATGGAGACATTGGAAGAAAGTCTCGTCAAGATCTACCCTCCTGGGTGCCAGATTGGTCAGCCGAATATCATGATCTTGATCGACAACGTGCCGAGACCGTCGACCTCTACAGAGCTACCTACAAAAGCTCGTTTTACGTCCAGTCAGTGGCTTCCAGTCAATCCGAAACCCCATATTCCCACATGAATGAGAGTAAAAATCTAACATGGAATCACTTTCAACGACTACCGGGTTTGAGCCGAGCGCCAACTTGCACAGAAGCCATCGAAAAATATTTGACGATCAAGCGGCGTCTACTGCAACACTTCGACGCCGGAATCCTTAGCCTACAGGGATATGTGCTTAGTAAAGTACGCTCTGTAGGTCCTGTAAACATGTCTGAGACAGACCTCATTCCCACGATCCAATCATGGGTAATTCATGCAAAGAGGCAGTCTCAAACCCCATTTGCGTGGTCTACCTTCATGAGGACACTGTGTGGGGACATCGCATACCCCATAGATCGCAGTTCTTCTGGCTGCCGTCGTATCAATGACCAAGATCTCTACCAGGTTGCCTTGTGGTTCATACATCAACCAGAATCACCGTTTGGGGAAGAAGAAGCTGCCAAGAACAGCGAAATATCCTCGATTCGACATTCAATGGAGGAACAGTTTCCTAAGAGCATGTGCTTCTGGAGAATACCGTTTACTCTCAATGTGAAGCAAAGCATTCTTATGGCGACAAGCCGACGAGCATTCTTCATGGCAGATAATGGAAGCTTTGGAATAGGCCCGGCACAAATTTCTTCTTCAGACAAAGTATACGCCTTGCTTGGTGCACAGACTCCTTTCATACTCAGACGCGGTGACGGCTACTTTCATAAACGGCGGATAAATAGATCTGGCATGCAGATTTGCCACGAGCTCATAGGCGATTGTTTCTTATTCGGTGCAATGGACGGAGCAGAAGCCATAACAGTATGGCAAGAACAATCAGCCGCAACACCAAAGTTTGGTGCCAGTATGGGATTGGAGATGGACCTCCTGCGGAGAATACTTCCAGAGAAACCGATTGTTACTATTTCCCTCGTCTAAGAACTACAACAATTCAATCTTAACAGACAAAGCGGGCGTATATCACTATCACTCCGAGACTTTGTGACCATTAAGCTACAATTTGAACTCTATTTGCGTTTTAATTTCGCTTTTATTTCCTCATGTCACCTTTTGCAAATATCTACATACATCTTTTAATTTTCAATCCGCTCACTACATAGGTGGATATCTAAGTCCATCATTTTTACTCCGCCCAAACAGCCAGCAGCATTGAAGTCTACGTCACCATGTGTTAACCTCAGGAATGCTCATACTCATCGCTGCGTCTCATTCCGGGGTTTCTAACATTAAATACCGATCTTAATACATTTACTTGTCTTCGAACACAAAATACAGTCACACCATTTCAGACCACATGGCTTGTTTGAAACCTCAGCATGTATTAATTAGAACATTTCGTCGCTCAGCTAGATGGCGCAGAGGTAATTCATCAATTCTCACTGTTTAACGCCATATTATTCGATGAATATCAGTCGATCTCCAATTGTTCTTTGAACGGATACATGTTCCAAACAACTGTCTTGTAGGCTATTATACAAAGGCCTACCTCGTACGTGCGCTGTTACTATCCCGCCATTCTGCTAGAAAGCAAATAAAACATAAGGAAAAAAAAAAGGCTTTCATGTATTGAGCAAGACGTTGGGGGCGTTTAATGAGTGAATTGAAACGCCACCCAGCAATTGCGTAGCTAATCACGCAAAGGATCTTGTTACTAAGTATTCAAATCATTCTGACGTCAATTGCGAACAAGGGATATCGAGTCCTAAAGAACTGTATGCAGGGTAGAGTCTCCTTTCATGCGCTGATAGGAGGCAGAGGTGGTAGTCCCGCCTGCGCGGCAGCATTCTTGTACGCGTTCTACGAGGATATCATCAATTAGCGTCGCCGCTTCGAGTTGAATTATTGGCCGAGGTAGTGATGCAAATTAGAAGGCAGCGGAGATGAGGGACATGAAACAATGGGAGGATGAGAAGACCAGAGGGCAGTGTGAACTCACGTAGCTGTCCAAACGTTGATTGTCAGCAATCATGTTTGAAGTCGTGGATCCTTGTTCCTCAAAATTGAAAACCCTGGCAGAGGTGGGGTTGTAGGTGTCCCAGTGAGGTACATTCGGAACTGCGTGGAAATCAGTCAGCGAAAAAGGAGTGGCTTTTCGAACGAGCTGCATTTCACTTACTTCCATGGCCATTCGGATCCAGACGGTAAGCGAAAGAAATCCACCTGTAGAATTCACCTTTGTCAGCCGGTTTTCTCGAAGTCTTTCCCTCCCGTTCTCTCAAAAGGACATTACTCACATGCTCTGTAGCAGCGCGGCTACTTTCCGATCTCCTGCCGTCGAATCCGAATACCCATTCACATTTCCAAAGAGATACGCCAATTCAGAAGCATGCACAACACCTGCACGAGTCTTGATCAAGTTCGGTATGAGAGGCGGTAAGGCGTAGTAGGGCTCGCTGAACACGCTCAGCGGGGGCCTTTGCGTCCAGCGGTAGCTCCAGGTGTTTACACCATCCCTGTTTGGTCCGGGGGAATCTGCGCCCGTGCTGTGCTGAGCGGCAGTGACACGGCGCGGGATGACGTGAACGGTATCACCAAGAACGGCTTCGCCGATGTAGTAGAGGGCTGTGTTGGTAATGTCGGCGTTGTAGCCGCGGCCATTCTCGGCAGGCGTGTGATTGGGATAGGTTGCAACAACTGGATTGGTGAGTAGAAGGTTGTTCGTGCGGAGGTCCTCTGATTCTCAGGTTAGATGGCTGAGCAGGGCTGTGTAAAGAAGAACTGGACTCGGAACACTGAAATTCCTTCCCGAGGCGTGGACTTACTTGCTACGACTGCGTTAAGATACGGTCCGACTGCAAGGTTGAGTGGGACAAGGCCGTATGTGCTGCCGTCGTTGAAAGTGTTTCCGATAACCTATTGCTCAAGTCAGCAACCACATAGCACTCTCCTCGTCACACAAGATCTTGCGGGACCAATGAAAGAAGAACACTTCGACTTACCATCGGGATCGGCACGATCGTCTCATTCCAGTAGTCGGGGCCATCTAACCACACCCCATCAACCCCAAACCCAACGTTCTGCTGCACAAAATTATCGATGCCCTGGTTCAGCAGACTCAACTGATTGAACCAGACGGCCGTCAATTCCTCCTTGCTCTTACTCCTCAAGCACGCCAACGCCGCATCCCCAGGCGTCACCAAAATACTGTCCAGACACCCGAACGCCACCAAGCTCTGCTTGAGGTACGCGTCGCCGCTCGCCGGAGGGTTACCCCTGAGCGCCAAACTCGCCGGCGCCCCGCTCTCCATAATCATGGCACGAAACAAGTCCTTGCCCGCCCCGCCGTGTGCCGCGTAGCGCGCCTGCATCCAGACGTTGAAGCTGCCGGAGCTCTGGCCAAAAATGGTTGTGCGCGCGGGATCGCCGCCGAAGGCGCGGATGTTGTCGTGCAGCCATTCAAGCGCTAGGCGCTGGTCCTTCAGCCCGGCGTTCATCAGCCCCTTGCCGGCGAACAGGCTGTTGAACAGGAAACCCAGCCCGCCCGTGCGGTAGTTGAGCGTCGCGACGATGACGCGGGAGTTGGTGGACGTGCCGCGCATGACGAGGCCGGGGGCGTTGTACGCTTTGGCTTGGCCGCCGACGTTGGCGCCGCCGTAGATGAAGATCATGACCGGGAGTTGGGCGCTGTGGTTGGTTCGTTCAGTGGGATGGCTTTGGAATTGAAGGCAGGAACTGAGGGGGAGAAGAAGGACGAAATGAGGGGGATACGTACGTGCTGTTGGTACCCGCGGGCCGGAAGACGTTGAGTTTCAGGCAGTCCTCGCTAATTGTATTGTTGATCACGAATCGGGGGTCTTGTACACATGCTGGGCCATAATCCGTTGCATCGATAACGCGAGAAGCGTTGCCAGAGGCGTAGGGGACCGGGTCTGCGAACCGGAGGTTGCCAATGGGGGGTTCCGCGAAGGGAATGCCCAGGAACTGCTCAACTCCAGAGATAGTAGTGTTGGGGCGGTAGATGCCCTGGGGAGTGGAGACGGTGGGGAGAGATTGGCAAAGTGTTGTTGGGGTGAGGAGAAGAATGAGGGATGTAAAGACGAGCGTAAGTGAAGACATCTTGGTGGGACTGAAGCGAAGTGTTTGTTCGTGATTGCATGCTCCGAAGACCTGGAGGGCGAGAGATATTTAACCATTGACAGAGACTCAGGACGAAGGATCATACTCAAGACCTGTAAGTCTGAGGGTGGTAGAGACGAGTGGGTGATGCATTGTGCTGCTCTAGTTGGAACTTCAGCTCTGGTGCACTACTGCAATGTTCGTGATAGTGGCGATGAGAAGACCTACACCCCGATACTTGGCAAGGAGGATTATGACCATATGGCGTCAATCAAGTGGTCATTGTGTAACAGATGTACATGCAGATGTGGGGTGAACCCCAAAACATGGCGCACAGCAAAGATTCTCGCAACCACTTTTCCAGAAGAGGAAAATGATCCTGTTTTTTTCCACAGGAGAACTGTTTCGGGGAAGTTCGGTAGAAGGGCAACAATGCACACCAAGTCTTTGTCACATAGCCGAAGGATGAGCGGAGGGAGCTGTGGCTATTGAGCTTAACTAAACCGCGGCCGTTTCCCGACTCGAGCGTGATCCACACCCCTGGGTATCACCGCATGCGGTAAGATAACCGCTAGTCGTGCGATCCTAAGCTTTTCAGCTTGGCGAAAATCCTTGATGCGGAAATTCACAAATGCGTCCTGGCCAACCAGGTTTTAGTCTCGGTACCGGGAGCCAGGATAGTCGGCTGAAAGACACGAGCAGATCCCAGAGATGCGGTTTAAGATTTAGTGCATCTTGTAGTTTTCTGCCGCTCTCGAACGTGTGACTGTGCGACGTTAACTGTCAGGAAAAAGCACCGTGGTCGTGTGTGACAGCGAATGTGGGACATGTGGACAAGCCACTGATGCACGAGACTTGACGCGGGCCACCCGTTCGCATACGTGATGAGCAGATGCAGGGATATCACTTACTCCATGTGGCCCAATCATTATGAAGCAATTGAGAAAAAGTGTGATTCTTGAGCGTGGATAGCATTATGGTCTCAGAGAGTCAGATGAATCCATGCAAGATCGAAGATCGTATGCCACTAATCACCGAGTGGCGCTTAAAAGAGAAGTCGCCACTGTTGCTATTGAGATTTGCGCTGATGCTTTTGTCGCGAGCACAATACGTCTTCTCCTGTCAGCATGGTCTGAAAATAACTCCGTAGGTCAATATCCTATTCGTACATGCTAATTGTGAGTTTGGTAGACTCCACGTGTGAAGACGTAATTTACCTCCTTAGTACCGGAATTCAGTACCGGAATTCGAAGAGCCAGTGATCCTTCGCTTCAGCAAGTGTGTATAAACGGCAAACTCCGACGACCTGCATCATGCATGTGAGGCCATAGAGGGCGCCTTACATGTCTCCTCCTGAAGCCGGGATGAAGCAAGGAGTGCAGCGGTCAGGAGATAACAATGCCGTGATCCGGAGAAATGTCTGGGCGGCCAGAGACCAGACTGGTGACACACGCCATGCGTCTATTTATGTAGTCATACGAGATGGGAGGCAAATGAGACGCATCTGGAGCCAAAGTGAGGATATTGGATACCTCTACATACATGAAAAGCAAATGTGGCAGAAGACTGGAGGCTCGTATATCCTTTTTCGACTGGTAACCAAGTAATTGAATTATCTAGAGGGCCATAGAAAGATTACTATTTCAGCATCCCTTTGACGTGAACGTGATTCAATCCGAACTTCTCGTCTACCCCCCACCGAAGTTTCCATCTTGCTATCTTGATAGATTCTGCTTGTCGCGCTGACCAGGCTAGCTTTTGCAGCCTCCGAATTCCGTACTTCTGTCTGACCCTATCCAGCCAGATTTGGACATCCAATTCGGCTTCCCCAACTAGCAGTTTATTAGCTTCGATCCTCCTTTTGCCCCTGGGGTTCATCTTTGGAATTTTGGTCAGCTGGTGATCTTTCCAACACACCCTCTCGTCAAGGGTACCCTTGCGTAGCTTTGTGTAGCAACTGGGTTCAAACTGGACATGTGCGCAGTCTCTGCAAAAGTAAATATCCCTGTCCAGATGTGACATGCCGTCCCAACTCCATCCACATCCGCCTGCACACGTGATGGAAAGCTCGCAAGTCCGCTCTTCAGAGTGGGCGCTTGCGATAAGTGACCATGCCGCTCGAGCGTTCTCGTTGTCGTCGAGGCAATTAAGGGCTTCCACAAGCATGAAGTGGCCCTTCCAATCATTGTCCTCCCTATCATCCTCCAAGAGACCGAAGGCCGTTTCCAGGTACTTCCTAACACACGCTCTTGCTGTCTGATAGTGACCCAAGACGTAATACAGCCTTCCAAGCATGAGCGCTAGGTGGCTGTCCTCGTATGGCCAATGCTGTTCTATCAACTCTTGACACCGTTGAACTTTCTCGACGCAGCGGTGGGCGAAATCTCTTGAAGGAGTTTCTTCCCGGATCATCGTAATGTATAAGGTCGCGAGTTGTTCGGCAATGTGAATAAATCGGCGATCGATGGATCCCGAGCCGTTGAATTGCTTCTTGAGTTCTCGAGAGATGGCTTCCCACTCGTTCATGGCATCTTTCTTCCTCTTTTGATACAACAGAGAAAGCGCATACCAGTGGCGAAGCTTCAGAAGCATCTGATCATTGCTTTCTTGCATGAAGGTATCGGTGTATCCTTTCAGAACCAACTCGGGGCTGTTTTTGAGTGCGAGATGAAAGCGTTGATGAATCCTTGGGCTGGATCCGTCGCGTGACGAGAATAAAGCTGTCAAAAGGCTGCGTCCATCCGCTTCTCTAATCGCCGTCAGAGCACCAAAAGCGCCTTTCAAGTGATCGGCTCTCAGGAGCCATTCGGCTGCCTTCTCAATGTACTCCCGGCTGTCAGGAAATTGACAGGACAGGTCCACGCATGCAACGAGAGCCTCCTTTACCTTGTTTGTTTCGTCACAGAGGCGCCAAAATCTGTCCAGCTCGGCCTTCCACCGGATAGGGTTTGTCTCCTTGAACTCAGAACTCTGAATGTAAGAGCGGATTTTCAGAAGCTCCCGAACCGACTTTTCTTTCCTTCCATTCTCATCGAGAATTTGAAACAGGCATAAGGTTGCTTCGAAATACGACGGATCACGATGCTGAGCGAGCTCGCACCGCTTCTCAGCTTCTTCATGATCATCATGGACGCGTAGGCCGAAGTACGTTTGAGCAATCCGAACATCGACGGTGGGGTAAAGACGCGTATGTGCGCCTCTGATACCAAGCAGCATTTTGGCCCATTCTTCGACATCCTTGATGTGTTTTGATTCGATGGTTCTCTGCTGGAGAGCTTTGCTGGCATGTTGGATAGCATTTTTATTTTCCTCATCCCAAAGATAAACTTCTTCGGTGTTTTCGTGGTCGGATAGGATTGCCTATTTTGGTAAAGAAGAGAAGTCAGCCATGAAAAGGGCTCATCGGTGCGGGTCATAACTTACGAATGATGAAACACACACAAGCCATTCGAAGGCTTCTGATGCATTCCAGTTGTACTTTTCAAGCCACTGAGATGCTGAAACTTTGATAGTGCAGGAAAGAAAAGACTGACGAGGCATGCCAATAGTATACCAAAGAATGGTATCGCGCACACACTTGTACTTTCCCAGAATCGAGAAACTCTGCGATAGCCGAGACTCTGTCTCCTCAACCACTCCGACGTTCTTCAATGAAGTACTTTTAGTATCTGGTCCTTCCAGATGATCGCTTTCCTTTGAATCAGAGTCTTCAGAGACTTGGCGAATGTCTGGTGTGCTTCTTCTGGATCCATCGGAGGCTGCATCTGCGCTTCGTCGTGACTCATGTCTGTCCTTTTCCCCGATGAATCCGTCAGAGACAGCAGTATCTTCGAGCCAACCGTAAACTTGCGAAACGTAGCCACACCAGTCGTTGAGCCGTAGGATTTGGGGGTTGGATCTGGACAGCCAGATTTCAACCGTTCTCTCATCCATGAAGAATCTGTACAGAAGTCTCCCGATTCTTATTTTCTTCTTTTGCGTCACCGGATCCGTGGCAGACTGTAATCCTCCGTAGTCCATGACTTTGCACATGTGGTATGGAAGCCACATGCCTGCATAGCCATGCAAACTCTTCAGATCTGCGCGCTCTTCATGGTGTTTTGAGCAGATAGTCTGCAAAAGTGACAGGACGATGGCAAAGTGGCTCTGCATGAGGTCGAGTCCAATCCTTGGGCGTCCCATAGTCTGCTCCTTCATAATATCGACGAGCGAGTCTACCAGATGGTAATCGAACGTAGGGTGCTCCGATTTTGGTCCGCGAGACTTGAACTTTCCCCAGAGTTGATTCGATCCACCGACCTTCTTACTGTACAAGGGAACTTCGTCTTTCGCATACCACTTGCCGTTCTTCTTGTAGAAGAAAAAGAACCAGAGATCCTCGGCTACCGCTGTGTCATCGTAGTGGACAGTGATTAACTGCGGGTGCTCCTCTCGGAGCTTTTGAACAGTTGACTTTCCGGATGCCTGTTTCTCTTGCAAAAAGAGGAAAGCATGCAACTGTTCAATGGTTGGCCAGTATCTCCAGCATACGAGGCAGGATAAGATCTGGTTGACTGTGTCTTTTTCTTCGTCGTCGATATCTCTATCGAGTCTCTCCAGCTCACGCTGCATGATCATGGATGTGAAACTTGAGGATGGATCCCCATCGCGGGTTACCAGGGCCTTTTCAAGCCTTTTCAAGTCAAACAGACTCATAGAGCTCGTACGCTTGATCTCTTGTAGGATACCGGAAAGGTCATGGTAGTTCCAAATCCCGCCCTTGCCGAACATAGAAGTAATGCTCTTCTGTATACTCCAGAGAACTCTGTGTCCTTCTGTTTCCTTGGGCCAATCATTCAATGCATTCTCCAAATGGTGGCCGATGAACTTCTCAACATCGAAACAGCGGGCGTCATGAGGTAGAATGATTTGTGGGACTGATTCCAAGTTGGTGGCGGGATCGTGGTCGGTAGAAGATAACAGTATCCTCACTTGGCAACGAGTTCCTGAACTGGAGTTTACGGATTGCGCTTCTCGGACCATCTCTTTCAGTTCACTCTTGTCCTCCTCGGACAATTGGTCAATTCCGTCGATGACAAGAAAGAAGACCTTGCATGGTCTTGAAACTGCATTCTGAAAACGCCTGCAAAATCTCATGAGAATCCCGTTCCAAAGTTGCCGAGCGGGCGAAATCCATGTGGCTCCAAATCGAACTCTTCAACGACGAACTTTTGGAAAAGACGATCTTTCTCAGAGACTTGCCAGATGACAGAAACCAAAGCATCACGTAGTGATGATTTAGACTTGTGGTACCTGGTAAATTCGTTTTCGTCCTCGGGGCGCTTCTTGCGGTCTCTCCTCGTTCTCGATGACCGGTGATTCTCGCTTTGCTGAAAGTAAACCCAAGAAACAGTTATTTCCTCAGAGCGCGAATGACCCCTTGGTGCATGTTTGTCTTGTAAAAAACAAATTGCGCGCGAGCATAAATAGGTCTCTCCGAATCCGGGCTCTCCGGTAAACTGAAGGGTTGAATGCGTAGGCCGTTGAACAGTATTAGCCCATGAAGCGAACTTTGTGGATTCGTTCAGAAGCCAATCTCCCATTCCCTGGATATGCTTGTCGGAAAGGTGTTTCTGGGTTTGCACACCAAGTTCGTGACTTTCATCCACCTTGAGGAGGCCGCGAAGTTTGAGAGATGTCTCTTTCCGGAGCCTCTCCTCGCTGGTATAGATATGGGACACCCGGATCGCGGCCACGTTGAGACTCAACTCCCGTTCTGTGAGTTTTTTGACATTATCCACGTAGTCTGCGATCCCTCCATCCCATCTGATTGCGCTTCTCAAAACATTCTTCAGGATTCCTGAAACCTTCTTGGAATCTTTGGAGACTTTAGCGTATATCGTGCACAGCTGAAGGAAGGTGGTCATGATCTGAGTGATCAAATAGGTAAGTGACTCATCCAAAGAAGCGCCATTCTTGTACGCTTTCATGTAGTCGGCAACCCGCCGCAGATCCGAGGTAACGTCATCCAATCTGCTTCGGACCATTCCTGCGGTGAATTTTGCCTTGTACCATTGCGCAGTCCCCGCCAAGTACTTCAAAGCAGTGAGGATTGTTTCCACATGTTCGGATATCTCAAGCGCCTGTCAGCTTGTGAAGTGCAGCTGGGATCTGAGTGAAAAGCTTACCAAAGGAACTGCGCCTGTGACAAATTCCGCAACCTGGGTCACGCTTTCGATTGACTTGTTGATGACGCCATCCTTCTCAACTTGGCTCAAATCCTGCACCTGGTTGCTGACATCCGAGTTGCCGACTATTTCTCGGTACTCTTTCAAAACCTTTTGCCAGGTGCCCTCGAGGTCATCTGGGGGCGTCGATCCCATGGTCGGAACGAGCTCCGAGAATGAATGAAAACAAAGATCCGATAGGCGAGATTGAAATGAACTGATTTGCTGCAGATGGTTTCGCCGTACTGCATCATATTTATGTTCCTCATGGTAACAATTCAATGCCGGCTATCCGCGGAACATGCAGCCAGAATCAATATTTCGGATATTGTGTAGCAGTGTGGTGACCGCGGTGGGTGAGAAAAGAAAATACAGATGGTAGGCGTACGTACTCTCTTGGTGGGGCCAACCGAACCTTGGGGGCGAAAACAGTACTCGATGTGTCTTTGCTCGTGTCGAGGCTCGTTGACAAGGGGGTTGTGGAGGAAAAACCACACATGTTTGCGCGACCCGCAATTGGGAATTTCCGTTGCGTGCTCGGCTTCCGATCCACTCAATCTCATACTCCACAAATCGGTGGGACTCCAGATCGGAAACCGTACGTACATAGAAGGTGATCAACTCCACGGCGATAAGCCCACCTCAAAACTCCGTAGAAGAGCTCCATCAATGTGAGTTGCTTTTTTCGAAAATAATAACTCAAGTTTTATGATCAATAAATCTCTTAGTGTGGAGGTCGCCGAGCGCGATCGTCGTAACATTCGGCAACTTGGTTTAAGTGTTGAGCTGAAAAGGATATATGGTAGAATGGCAGGAGGTAGCACACAGCTCATCGGAAAGCGCAGTGGGGAACTTGAACTTGGACATTTGGCTACTGTGTTAACATCAGAGGCTACCAAGAATATGTGTAAGAGGGAAGCAAAGTCGGCTCAAGATCCACGTCCTCACACTGTAGGCCCCTCAACTCTTGCAATGATTTAGAAAAAAGAGACAAATACGGTTGCGGACATAAGGACCCCCACTTGGAATCCCCTTGATTAAGGAGCACATGGAGTGCCCATGCTTCGTAATGCCAATCCATTTCCAAGAACATCGCAATGAAATCTTGAAGTGTCTGAATCGCCGGATTCTTGGATGGGACATCCACACTTTGCGTAATCGCGTTTTGGGACCATTCGAAAGATCCCCAGTAGTCTTCCAGTTTCCAATAAGTTATAGCGATGTTGATGTAATTTTCGAAGATTTCCTCGCTGTCCTTCGTGGAAGCCTCGTCTAGTTCTAGTACGCGTTTGAAGTTCTTGAGAGCTTCCTTGTAGCGGTGTTGGTGAAATAGTACCAAGGATATCCGACTAAGACTCCATGCTTCCATAGCCTCGTCCCGGTCGGGATGTTCCATGACGTGGCTGTGTAAAAGGTTGTAGTGACCCAAAGCTTCTTCGAGATGTCCATTTTCCTGGAACCAGACGCCTTTGAGCTCGATGAGGTCACCCTTAAACCAGCTGAACTGGCTGGTCAGGCTTTTTTCTTCCAAGAGTTGGTCCAGTGCTTGCAGGATCTTGGAAGAAGTGTGATCGATATTCATAGCTCTCCGGAGCAACTCCACAACAACATCAATCATATCTTCGGTCAAGTTGTCCCAGATGAAGGGAAAGTTAACAGTTGCCACAATACTGTCGACCGCTGAATCCACTTGGTCTATGTCGAGGTAAAGATTGCCAAGTCTGAGTGCGGCAGAGATGTGCCCGCTGGTTTGCTCGCATCCTGGATGCTGATCTAGGTAGTCTTGATATTCTTCTATCACAGCCATGATATCCTGGGTAGATTGCGCTTGGTCGAGGTTCGATATACGGATCTGTGCAACCCGGCAATTCCAATCTGTCGACCGTCCATGGAGTTGCTCGCCTAGCTGCATCGCCTGTTCTGTGCAGCCTCGATCCAACCCAAGAATAGCAAGCTTTGCCTTGAACTCCACAGACGTAGAAAATAATTCGGGATCGTACAGCTGGGAATACCAATTTCCGCAGCTAGGATCGTCAGGTCCAAGAAAAGCACTCATTCTCCACCATTTAGCAGTGCGCATAAGTATGTCGTCTACACCGAGGATTCTTTTTCGTTGCGAATAAGCATCTTGCCATAATTTCAAGGCTTCTCCGTCGTGTCCTTGAGCCCACATAATGTCCCCCAGGCCGAGTAATGCCCCCATTGTGACAGGGTGAGTCTTTCCGAGAACGCACTTGCATGCTTGGAATGTCCTTTCGGACCAGAGTCTCGCAAGATGGTGTTCGTTTTTCCGGTATAAAACCGTACCAATATCTCCAGCAATTGCCAGAGCACGTGGGTGGTAACGTGGAAATTCGTGCCACGTCTCACTCAGAACCCATCGATACAGGTGTTCTTCTCTGTCAAAGTCATAACGGTCCCTAAAGATGAACCCCAGCTGGTAGAGCAATTGCGATGGTGTCTGGGCCCACTCAGTGTCTCCTGTCCAATATTTCCACAAGGATAAAAGAAGATCATTGATGTGGCCATATGCCCACAGAAAATAGCATGTCGGCCATTTCAGAGAGAGCGGAGATGGCGTTTCCTGTGAGTTCAGCACCGTCGGAGAATCCTCGTCCCAGTACCTGCCGCTAGAGAACAGAGATAGATATACCTCAGCGCTCGGGTACGCCGCCCCCAAAGACTGACTGTTGGGTGATACAGATAAATATGTCTCGGCGCTCTTTTGAACCGATAGTAAATGCGGCCATAGACGCCATTTATCGATTTTGTCTGTGGAAGCATAGTAAGCCCGATAAATCAGTATTATTGCTTCTTTAGCCATTTCTTGTCTTTTTTTGGATTCTAGTCTCTCACGGGCCCAACGGTGGACAAGAGGATGCATTGAGAAGTGATCAGAGTCTTTGTCGCGACGAATAAACGAGTACGTGACCAGTTTTTGAATGGCCTCGGCCACCATGATGTCTAACGGAGTGTCATTATCTGTTTCAGTTGACCTGTTTGGGGAGAAACATACCATCATCAACCCTGAGTCCATGAACAAATAGCATCCCTTGAATTGATGTTCGGTCCAAAAGGCCACACAATAATAAAATGTGTGATGCAAGAGGCATTTCGTCCTGGATGGCCGAAAAAGAAATTTCCCAGGTGGTTAAAACAGTGTCGTTACGGTAGTCCCAAATGGCTGTAGGAGGTTTATGGGCCAACATCTTACGTGCATCTCTTTGGTACATTAAGAGGTACCTTTTGATAGGATTTCCCTCTTTATGAGTGCTAATGAAAGCACCGGCCTGCGATATGGCTAGGGGTAGATAGCCCAATGTGTTGACTATCTCTTCTGCAAACTCTTGCTCTAGGAATTTATTGTCAGAAAATCTCTTTAAATGTTTACTTGAAATGCAAATTACCCTTCTTGAAATCCTCATCATTCAGTTGAGATGATTGTTTGAAAAGCTCCAGTGCATCGTCCATGGCCATATCATCAATATGGAGGCCTTTTCCGAATGCAGTTGATTCTGAACGGCGGCTTGTAATGATAACTCTACCCCATTCAGTGTGAGGGATAAACATTTTAATGTTAAATGAGTCCAGGTCATCAACATTGTCGAATAAAACTAGCCAATCCGTATTCTGGGGATCTGAAAGCCACCCGTGGAATGCCCGGCGCACGTCCTCAGGCTTCGTGGTGCTATTAAGCGCACGGTAGTGATAGCTCTCCACGAGACCCATAGCGATGTAGTGTTGTTTGATCAAGTGCGCAGCTTGCACGATGCTCCGTTCGGTCGTTTCGAGGCTCGATCCATCTATCCAGAAGATTGAGCTATAGCGGGCGGAGTGTTCATAGGCGAACTCAATCGTAAGTTGAGTTTTTCCAACACCTCCAGTTCCATAGAGGATCACGATCTTTGTTGCGGATTGGTCTGAGTCGTGGTTCAACACCGAATCGAGATATGAGAGTTGCTTTTCTCGCCCAACAAACTTCTTGTTCCGCGTGTGGGGAATATTGTTCTGGATCAAAAACTCGGACAGCTGTTTATTGAAAGTTGTGGTTGTAATGGGTGAATGTCCACCTGATTCCGCCACTTTTCACAGCATTAGCAGTGCTAAAATATACTAAAATTCTTCTGTGGAGAGTGATAATAACTGACGTTGCAAATTTCTCCATTTATACCAATTATCGGTAATTTTTCTCCTCGTCATTGCAATCTCCACGATCTTCGAAGATACTTTGTTGAAATTCTCATCTTTCAGTGACGTGTATTTGGCCATGTTCCTATGGTTAGCCGTCATAGGAACTTCTTCAACGTTGATTAAGTTTTGTATAACTGCGGAGTACTTCGGAACCACCTATGCTGGATGTAAGCCTTTATTCTAACTTGAAAGGGTGTTAACTTATTACAAGGATTGAACCATATATAGGGATGCTTATCGGCAGTGTCTCGTAGAAACAGACTGTTTGAAAATCGTCAGCGATCATTGCGTATTGACTCTGTTGCTGTTGCAACCATTCCGAATGTTGAACCAGATGCCTGATTACGTTCGAAGAAGTATAGGTCACCAAAGAGCCGATGTGCGCCACAATCTTTCCTAAATTCGCACCCTGTCCTCCTTGGTGCGGTGTTCCGAGGAAAAGGAGTCCAAGCGTGGACATTTGTATGGATTTGTGATCTTCCAAGCGGCCAACCCGAGCAGAGTCGGAGTGGATCAGGGCCTGCCCGACTTCTATCAGCCAAAGCTTATGGAGCAGCTAGGTTAAGACTAACACTTTTTACGATCAACCCACCAAGGCTATGCGCGATAAAGATGAGTGGTCGATCGCTGGTCTTAAACTTCAGTCAGCATCACATGGCGCGCCGGACCAACCCACTTACATTCGACTTCCTACGTTCAGACACTAAATCAACAACGAGCGCCTTCGCATGGTCATAGATGAACATTTCAGCTAGGGGCGACATTGCACGGGTCCTTGAATCATATCCGTAAGAGAACACTCGTGCGTCAGGCAACACCAGAGGGAGAAGATCTCGCGGCCAGAAAACATCATTTTCCGCAGTCCACGTCTTCTTCCAATGACCGTCTAGCCCATGGACCATGACGATACTGAAGATTTTATTAGATTAAGACCAATGAAAGGTGATGCAAGTCATATTACTCAATTGAAGGTTCGCTTCCGGGAGCGATGAGCTTGAGTCCATAATCTGATGTGGACCCTAATAGGCTTGTTGGTGGTGCCTCAATCTTGTGCCAATTCTTTATTTATTTATTAGCGTTATAATTCGTATAATTTCCAGGGCATGCGGAACGTACGAGCAAGGTGAGAGGGTACGTGATAATATTTACCAAACGCATGGTGGGATCTTGGAGTTGATCGTGTTTGGAGACCCCCGAATATTGAAGCTGAAGTGTGTTAAAAGGTGTGGAAGGCACTTTAAAGTTGAGAGAGAGCGTATTGTAGCCTTGCTGTTTTTCGAAAATGGCGCAGATGCTCTCGCCCCCCATTCATTTGTTGATAATGCCGAGCAGCCAGAAAGATCAGCAAAGGCTGTAAGCGCTAAGACAAAACCGGCAGTGGGTGCAGGGGCAGATACAAGAAAAACACAGCCTTGTGGAACAAAGTCTTGAAGGACGAATGGCAGCATGAAATGGGCCGAGGTAAGCTCGATGTGGCAACGCAGGAGACAGCATTCATAAATCACATCACACCACCAGAATGCAACAATAAGCGAAAACATGATTTTATGTAACTCGACGCAGTACAAACTACATCTGGCACTGCAAATTTTGAGTTGGGCCATGATTTGAGGTGTACCAACCGGCTACTCGTCTGTACCTCCATTTCTCAGTAACTGTGCTGCCATGGCATAATGTACTACCACATCCATGCGGTAGTCAGGGGGCTGACCGGCATGCGCGGACACCATGTGTGGTAGGGGCTGTGCAGACTGGGCACCATTCAGCCAACGCAACCTGACTACATGTCAAGAACTCAGCCGCATAGGGTGGGAATGTATTTCGGATATGAAATATCGCCATTCTATATGATGATGAGCCATGCATGGATTGGGATGGCACTATTAATCTACAAAGTCTGCTACGTACAAAGCAAGTCCTACGCAAGGCTGCACTCGTGTCCGGCGCTTCTTGTGTTACTTAAGCAGCAACCAATTAATGGACTATTCCAATCACGTAAGGATGCGGCTGATAGCGAGAAATCCAAAGAGAAATGCGAACGTGAAGACATGATGGAGTGCGGACCGTTCCGGGTACGTGCGAATACGGATTCAAAAAATGGCGTTTCAGTTGCACTCCATTTACGTATACTAATTAATCAACTGCAAGTTCTTAATGCTGGAGAGATAGCATTTCAGAATGGCACGAACACGTGGGGAGTTAACTTAGGTATCTGGACGTGAATATAACGCTTAAAACATGCCAATGCTTCTAGAAATAGGCATGAATGGATATGTAGTCACTGAAATGATATCTTCACGTATCTATGTCCTGCCACGGGTGGCTCCCAGGCAGCACTCGACGCCGCACTGGCCTCAACCGTGCCGCATAAAAAAGCCGGTTGCCGCCGCTCTGCTGTCTTGACAACCTCTACACGTAAGTACTTGCCCAACCACTATGAATTTAGACAACCTGCTCACGGCCAAATTTCTCAGCTCGCGTAGAGCGAACTCCTACCCACTGCACCTCGCCGCCCGCGCCGGCGACACCGACCAACTCCAGGCGCTCATCGCATCCGGCCACCACAACCTCGAACGCCAACACTTCAGCCACGGAACCCCTCTGCACGCCGCCGTGTACTTTAATCAAGTCGATGCCGCCCGGCTGCTCATATCCACAGGTGCGAACATAGAAGCACGTGCACCGGACGCGTACGGCCATCCGCGCGACACGCCGCTGACACTCGCGGCCCGCTTAGGCCACGCGGCCGTCGCCAAGCTGCTGTGGGACGCGGGGGCGCGGCGGTGCATGCAGACTGACCAGGGTATAGTTACACCGCTGGAGCTTGCTGCGTTTGGTGGGTTCAGTAGCCTTGTTCGCGATCTGTTGGCTTGGGAGGAGGATGGCTGGTCTGCGAACACGCTGGAGGGTGCGCTGCTGGATGCCGCATCGCGATGGCAGGTCGAGGCTGTCAAAGTGCTGCTCGAATCGACGAAGTTCGACCAAGATATATTGAGTATAGCGCTCGTAGAAGCAGCGGGCCCCAAGCGTGAACAACATGAGGAGATTGGCGGACCACCGTATGCGGACACGGACTCCGCGGCTCAGCGGCAGCTTCTTGAAGTACTGCTGGCAGCCGGTGCGGATATCGAGTACCCTCACCTGGGGAAGAGAGCCTGTGCGGTTCATGCCGCGGCGTCAGACCCAGTAGCTATCGAGGGAATGCGGACTTTGATCGAGAAAGGAGCAAATGTGGACGCTCAAGACGCCCGGGGATCCACTCCGCTTCATATAGCCGTCTCTTTCAGAAAACGCCAAGGATTTAATACTACTTTGAGAAACAACGGCACAGTGATGCTACTGGTGCAGAGCGGAGCTTCACCAGCAATCCGCAACCTCCAAGGCGAAACACCAATGGACATAGCGGCACGCCTCGGCCCCCTCTCATTCGTCCAACTCTTACTCAACCACGGCGCCGACCCTTTGGCAGAAGACCGGAGTGGAGAAACAGCTCTACACAGAGCAGCCGAAGGCGACCACGAAGACATCGTCGAGCTGCTCCTCTCCCGCGGAGCCGACGTCAACAAAACAAGCTCCACCGGCTGGACCCCGCTCATGTACGCCATCAGCTCCAATTCCACCTTTTCCACCAGCCTCAGCCTGGTTTCCCTGCTGCTGGAACGCGGCGCCGACCCTCGTGCCGCTTCCGCCGAAGGCTGGACGGCCCTCCATCGAGCGGCCGACACCGGTCCCCTTTTCCGCAGCAGCCGTGGCAGCAATGCTGACTATGCGGCTGCTGCGGTTGAGCTGCTTCTCGCGCATGGAGCAGACGTCGGGGCTCGTGCTGTGGCACCTGTGTATGGTACTCGTCAGAGGCTGGCGGGGCAGCGGCTGAGAGCTGCGATGGTCGAGTTTGTCAAGTCGAAGCGTGAGGGGATGATAGTCAGTGGCCAGACGCCTCTGCACTGGGCTGCTGAAAATGGCGTCATCCCTGTGCTGGAGACTCTGTTGCGGCACGGCGCTGATCCGTTGGCGAAGGATGGGGCGGGAGCCACGCCCGCTGATCGCGCTTTGTCGTCACCGAAAACGGGGTATACAGCGGAGCAGAAAGAGGTGGTGGTGGAGCTACTTTCGGGGACACCACAGGTGTAGGTAGTCTTGTCGGTTGCCCCCCAGCTGGTGGGCATCTTATCTTTAGGCACCTGAAATTTCGTAATGGTAGGTTGGAATAATTGGTGGTCTTTTGTTAAACTCGATGCAGATTGATTCTATCTTTTAGAGTCCTTACTCCTACCTCCGAAAAGCAACCAAAAGAGAAATCGTAACTTAGCATTTTTCCGAGAAACAACACCTTAACGAATAGGAATCCTTCTCACTTGCTCCCAACCAACACCCTATTTCACCTCAGCATACACCTCCAACCCATCATGCAGCCTCCCAAAAACACCCCCATGCCACCCCCTCACCTGCTCCCACTCTCCCTCCGGCAACGTCGCCCGCATCATCCTCAACCACGCACCAACGATCATATCCGCATAACACGCCCTCTCCCCCCGCAAAAACGGGCCGCCCCCCGCCTCCCTCTCAAACAGCCTCGCCAACCCGCCCAGCGTCCTCTCAAACGACTCCATCATCCTCACCCGCGCCTCCCCCACCAGCGCGAAGTCCTCCCACGACTTCACCCCCGCCCTCTTCACGAACAGCGCCTTCACCGCCTCCGCATTCGCCGGGTCGAACGGGAACCCCTGCGTCGTCAGCTGCACGTGCGCCGTGAACGCCGCATCGACGTTGACGTTGAACTTCGCGTACGCCGCGTACTCGCCGCCCTCGTCCCGGCACGCCGACAGCGGGACCAGGAAGGCCAGGTCCTGCTCGACGACGTAATCGAGCGCCAGGCCAGCCGGAAGCAGGTCGCCCGCGCCGGCGCCCGGATACGTGCGCTGCAGGTACGCGGCGATGTCGAAGGAGTCGCCGACGGTCGAGTTGGTGGAAGGGTCGCAGATGATGGGCAGCGTGAAGAAGTCGGTGCCGTCGGCGAATTTGCGGCAGGGCGGGACGGCGAGCTGGTTGCGGACGGTGGCGATGTCCGGGAGGGCGACCCAGGTGGTTGTGTAGGGGAGCGCTTTGAAATTGAGGGCGAAGCGGGTTTTCCAGGGGTTGGGGGAGCAGCAGGTTTGCGAGACCGGGGGGCGGGTGGAGATGTCGTAGAAGACGATGGGATTGGACATGGTGATGGATGGTGGGGATGTGATGGAGGAGGGGTTTTCTCCCATAGGCTGGATGGATATTGTGTTTGTGAGGAGGAGGATTGCGTGATGGCTTGAGTGAGATGTACCCCCAGTGTGCCTTATTTATATTCTGTTCTCAGCTCGTGGCTGCGGAATTCTTCACATTCCACTTCGTTGCACCTTCACGTGGAGTAGATCTGGATGATTCATAATTACTTAGCGCGACGAGCTCTGATTGGCTCAGAACCTGTACTAGCTTAAACTGTTTACGCCGTTTGAGGTTACTGCTGTTCACACATGGAGCTAGGCCTTTTTCAGCAATCGTTCGGCGACGCGACCCCGCTCCTCCGAGACTCTGACCAGTGAGATGACGATGTGACGCCCGTACAAGATGCGCCTCATCTACAGGTCACGTGCGAATCGCTCCGCCAGACACGTCTACTACGCCACCAGCGGCCTAGTCTGAATCCCCCGATGATTCATCTGTCTATCGAGTGACAGTCACCTTCTTGTACTGTCTAAGCTCCATGTTGGTTCCTTCGCTTATGATCTATCTCCAAAACAAGACATAAAAGAAAATAGATCCAATTGGAAAGATGATTCATGGAGCCAAGGACTTCACGGAGACCCGCAGGGAAAGATATCGTGCAGGGGGCTCGACCGAACTTGGGACCCCAGCTACAATACCTACACTGCAGACAGACACGCACGCCGCGCGGCAACTCAGCCCGCAAGATTGCACGACACTCGCTGAGTCAGAAATGACGCAGGAGAAGCAAGCCTGCAGAGCGAAACACCGGTCAAGAATCAAGAGACGAGATCCAGGAAAGGGCCACAGCTTGCGGTCAAGGTAATGGTGGGCTCCAAGCTGCGACTCACCGGCCGATTAGTACTCAAAGTAGGTGACCATTGGAGTCCCGTGTGCGGTACGTTTTGTATTTTTCTATGTCTCGAAGCACTAACCCCTTTTTGCCCTGTGCAGGTACAACCTTGATAAGTGCAGTCCCGTCGTATTCAATGATTCGTGAGGCTAAGCCCATATCGTGGGAAGTTCATTGCGCCGGAAGATACCGGGGCCTAATCTTTTTTTCTAGAAGGGTTGCGCAGAGACGTGCCAAAGGATCGAGCTTGGCAGGGGTCTGTAGCGGAACGAGAGATTCTAGAATGCTTCCATTGCAAGGAATACGTGCAACCTTAACCTGACTTTAAGTGCTTCTCGAATTCGCGAAAGACCTATCCTAGCTGTTCTATCGGGCCTTTCATTTTTTGCCAAACCAAGTCTATAAGAATACATTCTGTATGGGATACAAGCCCACCAAAAAGAAGAAACCCCGGGCCTCCAAAAAAGCGAAGAATACAGTTATGGCGAACACATTCCTGCCCCCGGTGAAAATTGCATGAAAGATGGAACAAACCGCTCACGAGTTCCACCCATCGAAATTACCTTTGCTCGAATCGTGGTAAACAACTTCTCCCCAATCCAACGGTCCCCTGCGTAAAACACCCCCGCGCAACCATCAACATTACCACCGTTTCATTTCGTTCCTTCTTTTCTCGATTTACCGAGCGCCACCCAGCGGCTTCTTGACAATCTCCCAGAACTTCTCGGGGCCGAGCTTGTAGTACATGAGACCAGCAAGGGCGATGCCGTAGCCGAAGATCTGGGTGCCGGTGACGGGGTCCCAGAAGATGACGACCGAGGCAACGACGAGCAGGATGTCCTTGAGGACACCGCACAGGGTGAGGGTGACGGCCGAGGTGCGCTTGATGAAGAGCACGACGGCGAAGTTGAGCATGAAGGCGACGCTGGCGTTGGCGATGAGCGTGAAGAAGCCGACCTTGGCGAGCTCGGCGCCCGTCAGCTTCGGGTACTCGAAGATGAGCGTCGGCAGCGCGTTGGTGAGGACCGTGGCCGGCGCGTAGTAGTACAGCGACACGAGCGGGTCCATCTTGAACTCGGGCGCGGAGAGAACGCGCTGCACGAGCACGAGACGGGTGGCCTCGAAACCGACGCCGGACATCTGGATGAGGAAGCCGAACAGGTCGAACTTGATCTCGCCGACGGATGCGATGAAGACACCGATGACGATGAAGACGACCTGGTACAGCTTGCTGACGTTGGGCTGGGCCTGGCCGAGGGCCCAGGTCACGAGGAGCGTGACAACGGCGTTGGTGGCCTGAAGTTTTTTGTTAACACGTTGATCTTAACTGCGGTTTTTATTTTTCTGTGTTTTCAGGGAAAAGTGGGGGCTAGGGGCTTGGGAGCTGGAGAATTTGCGAGAAGCTTACCTTGAGCATCTGGATGAAAGAGACAGAGAGGTACAGGTAGGCGACGTTGCCGCAAATGAGAGACAGGGAGTTGAAGACGGCAATGGGCATGATGGCGCGCATGTAGACCTCGCGGGTCATGGGCACCTTGTGCCTGGAATCAAGCAGGTTGGTGTAGCGAGCCAGACATTGCGTCACAATGGTGGCGAAAGTCAAATGCCAGGTGGTGAGGAAGATGGCTTTGCATTTCGGTCAGTTTTGAGGCGATTGAGGGCTGTGATAGAACTCACGGAAAGAGAACTGCAGGGTGTGCAGAATCCACTTGTTGAATAGAATGACACCGCCGCTGGCAGCAATCCAGAAGCTGCGAATGCGGTTAGTTCGGCGGATTGAGAGACTGAAGGAGCTGCGGCTGCTTACACGGCGAAGATCCAGACGGGGATGGCGGCGAGCTTGTCCTCGGGCTCCTGCTGAGTGGCGGGAGCGGGAAGGAACTGGCTCGACTCTCTCTCGTCGTCGGAGACGTCGTCCGGGCCGCGGAGGTTAACGTCGTCCTTGGCGCTCGCCATTGTGCGGGAATAATGTGATGGAAGGGAGGACGGGGGGGATGAGGTTGTGTTGAGCTTCTTTGGGGCTGGCCTGGCGGGAAAAGAAAGGACAGGTGTTTGCGCACGTGAAATTTTGCGCTACCGCATATAGGGGGTACCAAAGTTCAGAAATTGAGATGGCGGGGATGAAACGGCGCTAGGGGGCTGTGCCGAATCCTAGGAATGTGCTGGCCGAATCAGAAAGCGCCGAAGTCTGGGAGAGATCATCGGTACGCGCGTTCTGGCGTCGCACCTGCGCTGCAAGCGAACAAGGCGAGCGGGATCATCGAGAATGCAAGCTTTTCACCCGCAACCCCCAGAAATTACGAGGAATTAACCCAGCGCGATTTTGCTAGCTTATCTCAAGCTTTATTCGCATCTGGCTTAGCCCGCGGAGATCGGCCGCATCTCACCAAACTCTGTTTCCATCAAAACAAGAGCGGACCCGCTGCGGCGCTACTTCTTCGTGTTCATCAAATTCATCTCCCTTCGATGGCCGCTGATTCGACGCACCTGCATCAACTTCATTCAATGCGCCTGAATTCACTAGCAGTGTCTTCATGCTTGGCATCTAGCGACAAAACTCCGACACCCACATCCCGGACGCCGCAAGTCTCTTCCGTCTGTGGCATGGTATCGATGGCGTGCGACCAGGTCCCCACTCCAGCTGCGGCGTTTTGTTCGCACACCATTCCGACCGCCCATTCTCCTCAACCCGCACCGCTTCTGGAGTGACTTAGGCCCGACGATGAACCATCTGACCATGAGGAACGTACCGAGGACGAGCATGAAAAAATTCTGGAAAAGCTGAATGCGGCCCACGGTACCGTCAGGCTTTTCTGCACTCGCGCTATCAGCCATCGAAAAAAAAAAGAAAAAAGGGAAAAAAGACGAAAACAACGCAGCGAGTCACAAGGCTTGATTCTTGCACGTTTGCTCTTCAAAATTCCTCGCTCGTGTGACCCGGTTCCTCACCCCGCCCACAAACGAAGACGGACTGTAATTTGCGCCAACCGCATCGCAAACTAATGCTGGACATGGCACTTCTACTGCCCGCCCCGAAGCGTTGTTTGCACACCCAGCCTCAGGCTATTTCTCGACATCAGTGCTTGCGCTCTCAGCGCGTCCAGTACTTATTCGGCTTGTTTGCGTCTTGGCCACGGTGTTGGCAAACCGAAGGGTCGAAAAGGATTATTGGCGCGGCTCTACGAATGTTTGTTTGCTAGCCTACGGCTGCCGGCTTGAGGGAGATTGAAGTCGTAATATTGATACTGCATGATGCAGCCTGATCTCCGCCATACAGGTTCATCGTACCACCCACACTGGAAACGCCGTCGTAAGCTTGGTTCCCTGGATGACGTTGTACCGGCCGTTGGTTACCTTTCTAAGAGATGCCCAGCTCGCCTACGATGCCACCGAGGAGGCCATGACTATTCTGATGGACCTCGGCGCAGAAGACCATCTTGCCGACAGGATTACTGGAGCTCTGTGGCAAGAAAACGAATATGCACTGATGGAGTGACTCGAGCTCAGGGCAGGTTTGGAAGTTGGTGCACTTTTGAAAAGGGGATTCAATTTAATGGTAGGCTTGCATAGCCTTTCAGTAAATGTAAGTCGTATGTACCCCCTACTTACTCGATGCCACGGCCCGGGCCTGCTCTCCAAAATTGGTCAACTCGGTAATCGCCACCACCTCGTTCGTGTGACCGTAACTCCAACCGGCCCTCATAAGGCGAGCCCGTAGTTGTAACTGTCGTACGACCTTTTTCTGGTACATTCAACAAGCTCTTGCGCCCTTTGTACCGAGGTCATCCGGATGGTCCATGGGTCCGGAGTAAGTGCGGGAAACAAACATCTCACCACCCGTGGCAACCAGAAACCGGAACCAGAACCAGAGACAAAAACGATTCGCTGGAGTAGATCTACTGTAATCAGATGGAAAAATCCACGAATGGTGCGTGTAGCATGCGCCAGAAAGATTTGTTCGAAATCCCACGCCGGATGGTCCGTAATCCAAGGAGAAAACCTTGAAATTACCAATCAGCGGTCTTCCGAATATGCTGATGAGCAGAGCCTTTTCATTTCGACTTATGAACCAAATCTCGCTCTTGAGAAACGAAGGTGATCCGTGTCCAAGGACGCAAAGGCTCCGAGGATCCACTTCCAGGGAGCTTGCATGAGCCGCATCCTCAGGGCTTTTCTGGGGTCTTTACGGCGACTATGCAAATTCAACGGTCACTTGATTTCCACCGAAAAATCTAGCAGTGTTCAAGCAACATTCTTGCCACTGAACATTGCTTTGGACTGACTACAGCTGCTGATGATATCAGACTCTGGAATCGAGACAACAAAGACTATACAAACTTCGGATGGCAAACAACACCTGGTAGTCTACTCTCTGAAAGACTACGAAGTCAAGACCTTGCCTAAGCTTTTTTTTTTTTTTTTTTTTGGAAGGGTGTTGCAAATGGACGACGCATTTGGGCAACATCCAAGAGCCTGCAAAGTACGCCGAGAAAGAAGGATGAAAACTCGAATATTCATAAACGTCTAGCGGTTTCTAGTGAACAATGAGAGTTATCTACACAGAGATATAGGTCCAGCCTTTCCTGTACGCCGCCCCCCCTTATTTACCCGCAGGCCCACTCCACTCCTCGATCCAAAACCGCAAGAACTTGCCCACAAGCTCCTCATCCACGGCCGTCCCTCCACGCAGACTCGGCGCAAACTTCCTCGCCTCGGTCATATCAAACACGGGATGCGGCTCCGTCCCCACGGCGCCATACCTCTTCCTGAAGAATTCCAACAGCTTCACGGGCGGATTCCTCTCCGCATCCTGCTCGCTCCGCTCTAACCGCCTCACCCACTCCCGCGCCGGCACGGCCTCAAACTCCAACCCGGCCTTCCTCAACGCCGGCAAGAATCCCGCATTCCACCTCACCAGCCGCTCGTTCTCGACGTGCCAAACCCTGAACCCCGCGGTATCAGCAAACGCCAACTCCACGACCGCCCTCGCCGCGACATCGACAGGCAGCCACGCGAGCTCTTCGTCGCCATCCTCGTTCTCGACAACCGGCAGCGCGCCGACCGTCAGCGCCGCCCGCACTGTTGTTGGTATCGCCTCGGCCGTGTTCCACACGCCGTGCGCCGTGTCGCCGCACAGCTGCCCGACGCGCAGCACGCGGGCGTCGACACCAGCGGAAGCAGAAGCAGCGGCGGCAGCGCACATGCGCTCCGCGACCCACTTGCTCTGGCCGTACCCCATGCCCTCGGCGACGGCGGACCAGGGGTGAAGCGCCTCGGGGATAGCGGTCCTCTTCGCACGACCATCGCCACCATCGGACTCGTCCGACCCCCCCGGCGACGACGGCGCCGGCGACGCTGCCTCCGATGACGTCGATGACGCCACCGCCGCCGCCGCCGGCCCGCCGGCCCGGAGGGCAGCAGCGATGCTGGATACGAACGCGACAACCGGCTTGCGCTCGAGCGGGGAAGCGGCGGCTAGCCGCAGCAGCGCGTGCGTCGGCGCGAGGCAGCTCGCGTCGAAGCTGCGCAGCGCGCGGTTGAAGTCGACGGCCCACGCGGCGTGGATGATGCGCGTCGTGCTGGCCGCGACCTCGGCGTAGACGGCCGGCGGTAGGCCGAGGGAGGGCGAGGAGGCGGATAGGGAGGAGAGGTCGCAGGGGATGGGGGAGATTTTGGAGAGGAGGGTGGGGGACGGGAGGATGGAGAGGAGGTGGGAGTGCGAGAGCGCGGCGTGGATGCGGGAGAGGGCGGAGGCGGTGTCCGGGGCGCGGACGAGGCAGTGGATGGTGCGGATGGAAGGGTTTGGGAGGAGGGTGGAGAGGATGTGGATGCCGAGGGCGCCGGTTGCGCCGGTTAAGAGCTGGGATGGGTTGTGGTTAGGGTGGTTTGTGGAAGAGAGTTTTGGGGGGAGATGGGACTTACGATGGACTCCTTTTCGGGGTTGGGGATGGTGCTGGGGGTGGGCTTCTCGTCGAAGGTCGAGTATTTCTCTAGGAGACGCATGGCCAGCTCCTCGGCCGACTGCGGGCCGCCGCCGTTCTCCTCCTGCCCGGCTCGGACGTCCAGCAAGTGAGCGGTCAGGAGCTCGACGCTCGGATGGTCGAAGACGACGTTGGTGGCAAGCGTGCGGCCGCCCAGGTTGACCCTCTTCAGTAGTCGAGACCGGACGTTGGTAGCTTGCAGCGAGTCCATTCCTAGAGCAAAGAAGTCGGAATCATCAGCCAGATCCGCGCCCCCTTCCTTCTCCGCAAGCCTCAACTCGCCGCGGACAGTTTGACGGACCAGATCGCGGATATCAGCGTCGTCATCGACCACGCCCTCCGCCGCTCCATCACCACCAGCACCACCACCATTCGCCAGCTCCTCCCTCTTCGCGTAAAACTCGTCTATTTCCTTCGCAAACTGCTTCAGAAACAACGACCGTATCACCGTCGCCTTATCCGTGCACGGAAACGGCGTGCCAGCCGGCTTGATGATGAGGGCGTCCGGCGCGATGCGCGCATACGCCGGCACGCGCTCGTTCCCTTGCCGCAGGTCCGGCAGCACGCTCTGCACGATCTCCGCCTCGCTCAACCCGGCGGCGCGGTCGGCGGCGACGACGACCATGCCCAGGGCGTCGCGCTGGGCGCCGAAGACGACGGCCGCGCGCACGTTGGCGTTGCGGCCGACGGCCTCCTCCAGCGGCACCGGGTCCGCCTTCTCGCCGTTGACCAGCACGATGATGTCGTCCAGCCGCGCCACGAACTTCCACATATTCGCGCCCGACGGGTGTCGGCGGAAGAGGTCTTTCGTCGCGTACGAGCCGTCGGGCTGGTCGGCGAAGACTTTGGCTTTGAGGCCCGGCAGGACGACGAGGTGGTATAACGTCTCTCCACCTTCGCCAGATGAGGACGAGGTCGAGACCGGCTCGAACTTCAGATACGGCTCCGCGTCCGGCAGCGGCCTGACCCAGTTCCACAGCTCGGGGGATGCAGGCGTCGAACACGGCTCCATCAGCGCGCCGCACTCGGTCAGGCCGTACAGGTGGAACAGCCGCACGCCCGCGCCGACGACCAGCGCGTCGCCCAGCGCGTCCGGCACCGCGCTGCCCGCCGCGATCACCTGCTCCAGCTGCGCTAGCCGCTGGATACCAACACCGTCATCCACCTCGGCCAGGAACTTCAGCACGTACGGCACCGTCACCAGCGCGCGGGAGTGCGTGGCTGCGAGGCCGGTCAGCACGGCGCCGGCGGTGATGGGGCGCGACGCGGAGAGCAGGGAGAGACGCGAGCCGTTGACGAGGCAGCGGAGAAGCGTGGCGAGGCCGAAGCTGTGGAAGAGCGGGAGCGTGGAGAGCGTGGGTACGCGCGGCATGCGGCCGGCGATTTTGGCGGCTTGCAGGAGCCAGGAGGCGGAGAGGAGGGGGACGGGCTTGGGGAGCCCCGTCGTGCCGCCGCTGTGGATGATGAAGCGGAGGGCGTGGTCGGGGTCGTCGATGGGGGGGAGGGGTTTGGCTGGTTGGTGGTTGTCTAGGGAGGAGAGGGGGAGCATGGGGATCACTGAGAGGGGGAGGCCGGAGGTGGCGCGGACGCGCTGCATGTCGGCTTGGGAGGGCCCAGAGGCGACGATTACTTTGCATTGGGTCGACTTGAGGAGGTGGGTGAAGCCTTGGTCCGCGAGGCGCGGGGAGATGAACATGGAGGTGAGGCCGAGCCGTTGCAGGGCGAGGAAGGTGATGTAGTACTCCAGACTCGAGACGCCGACCAGCGCGACTGTGCTGGACGGCCCGTTGGGGCGCGTCGCCTCGTCGAGCTGCGCGAATGCTCCTGCATATCTGGTGGCTGCCAGTCTGGTCAACCGCTCCAGATCGGCTCCGGTGTAGTCGACGAAGTCAGACTCGTTCGCCGGGTAGGAGATGAGCACTTGGTCGGCATGGGTCTCGGCGCGGCGCCGGATCACTTGATCCAGCGTGACGCATGGTTGCTCGGCGTCAGGAAGACTGCCCATGGTCTTGGTCTTCCGGCTTGGTATTTTGAAAAACGAATTGGAAAATAACGGCCGACGGCCAAGTGTAGCCACTGCGCAGTGCTCTGCTTTGATAGTGCAGTAGCTGCATCGGACCGAGACCGGTGCAGTGATCGGACTTATAACGGTCGCCTAAGGTGATCACCTCCGCAATCGCAAAGATTAGATCCGATTAATCACTCAACACCACGTTTCGCCTTGTACCTGCCTTGTGCAGCTATGCAGCTTTCGGCAATGATCAAGCGGCCCGTACGTCACAGCAGTGTGCCTGACGGCTCGCTCCGAGACAGCCTGCGGATTTACGCCGTCCCTGATTATGGTGCAAGAAAGTAGGAGCAACGATATACAGGGGCCCACTATTCTAGCGTGAAAGCTGCACCTGCCAGGGTATTGCCGAGACTTTTGCCGTCACAAGCATAGAACGGGCCCAGAGTAGTGGGAAACGGTCGATACGATGTCTAGCTGCCTACTAAAGAGATTCGAAGCGAGTCATTCGCTACCGATTTATCTAGCCATTTCACTCCGACTCGGGCTCGAAAGAGTCCTTTCTGAAACGGACTTCGTTGACCGGCGCCAGCGGCCTGCCCGTGGCAAAATAGCTTCGCATGTTGGCGAAGCATTCTTGTTCGGCCTTGGCAAAGGACCCCTGCGTCAAGCCTCCCATGTGCGGCTGGACCACTACCTTGTCGCTTTGCATGAAATACGGGTGGATGCCTGCAGGCTCGCCTCCGAAGACGTCCAGCCCGGCTCGAGCAATCTTGCCACTTTCAAGGGCAGCGATAAGCGCCTCGTCCTCGATGATTGGCCCGCGCGAAGTGTTGACGATATATGAATTTTCTTTCATCATCCCAAATTCGGCTTCGCTCATCAGGTGAGTGGTTCCGGGCGTCAGGGGGCAGTGAAGGGAGATGATGTCGGAAGTTTGTAGAAGCTCTTCCAAAGTGCCGCAATACGAGGCTCCGGCGGGAATTTTCTCTGCAGGTATGCGGCTCCGGTTGTAATATCGGATGCGCATGTTGAACGCAGCTGCCTTCCGCGCAAGACACCTCCCGATATTGCCCATGCCGACAATCCCCAGCGTGAGTCCTGCTGGGTCTCGGGTGAGCTCGAGGCCTTGTCGCCAACGGCCTTCTCGGAAATTCTTCTCTGCACGGCTGGTATCACGGAGGACAGCCAGAATGAGGAAAAGAGCCATGTCGGCTGTAGCTTCCCCGGTGGCGTGTCGAGTGTTGCAGAACCAGATGCCTTGCGATGTCATCCAGCTCACATCGAAGTCGTTAAAGCCCATCTGCGCAGAGACGACTATCTTCAGTTGTGGTAGTAGCGGCGAAAGGAGTTCGGCATCGAAAGGCTCAAAGGGCTGAGTGCCCAGGCGACAGACGACCGCATGGTATGGCCCGCGAGTTGCGATGGCATGTGGTAGTTTGGCGAGCAGCTCGGTCCGTGTCGAAGCATCGAGGATCTGGAATGGAGATCAGGAAGGTGATTCTTCAATTGTAGTATGGTCTTACATCGACATTGAAGTATTTCTGATTCTCCTCGATACCGCCTCCGGAAAATTTAGGCTTGCCGAGGAACAAGACGCGAGGCCTGTCGGCGTGAGAATCGTATGAGCGCATTTTTGAATAGGTCTCTCAGGTGAACTGTACAAGCTGAGCAACTACAGTTCGTCGGGTACTAATATCGGGGCTGGTCGGGAGGAGTTTCTGCCTCAGTACTATCTAGGCCGGCTGCGCCGACTGCAACCATGACAAGCATTTTTCCTTGTGCATCAAAGCTTGGACGATAGGTGTCAGAGAAATTGGGATGGCAGTCTGGCCTACTGCACCCGGGATCCGCACGCGGAGCTTCGTCCGTGCGTGGCGACCGGACCGACAATCCCTCGCGATCATCTTATCTTGATTGCTGATCCTGCCTTTATAGGACCCCTGCACATAGAGAAGGCTCCATCCGGTACCAGGATTGCAGCATCCTCAGCTGCCTGACTTAGCACGGCGCTCCACCATTAAAATTGCTCAGATCGCGGCCGCTTTCCGCGGAGGCAACTCCCACCATCGTAGCTACACCGCTAGCCCCGGACCCCAGTCATCCCATCGGTATGACCATGACATATTGTTTTTTCTCCGACTGCATGGATGTTGTTGCGTAGACCGCGGATGCCGTCACGCAAGGACCTGGACTTGGACATGAATCAGATCACCGAACATCGGAGCGAAGTGCCCGACTAGAGACATTCATTCACAATAAAGAGCTGTCGGCTTGGCTGCTCCATTGTTTTCCAGCAGCAGTCTTGGATACGCTCACTTCCTCACTCTTTACACAATGCAGTCGTTTGCCCTTTTTGGCAGCCTGCTGTTGGGCCTGCTGCCCTCAGCCAATGCTGCAACTGCCTGGCAGAACAGGAACCTGACCTATCAGATCCCAGACACTCCGGTAACGACGTTCGCTTCGACGAACTTCACTTCCAAGAGTGATGCTCTTTCTGCCCTCCAAACTGCTCTTGGCAATGCCACAATCGCTACTTCAGGAGACCTCAGCTATGGCTCGACCATTGCACGCGTGTGGACCAAGCAGCGCAGGACCTACCCTGATGCCATTGTCTACCCCGAAACCCCGGAGCATGTCAGCATCCTGATGCAGTTCTACTCCAACAACCACCCGCTCTGGACCGACGGCTTTGCCATCATGGGCGGCGGCCACGCCGACTTTGGCGGCGCCCAGTCCCCCAGCATCATCATCGACCTCCAGAAGCTCGGCAGCACTGAGATCGTCACCACCCCTCCCAGCAACTCCTCAGAATATGCTATTCTGAAGATCGGCGGCGGCTCTGAAGCCGGCGATGTCTACGACACCCTGGACGGCACTGGCTGGGCCTTTCTGGGCCCGCGCGCCGCCTCCATCGGCGTCGGCGGCTTCTTGCTCGGCGGCGGCATCGCCTTCCAGACGAACCGCTACGGCGTAGGGGCCGACAGCCTCGTCGGGATCGAAGTGGTGCTGATCAACGGCACCATCATCTACGCCAACCCCTACAACGAGCACAGCGACCTCTTCTGGGCGGCCACGGGCGGCGGCTGGCTCGGCTTCGGCGTCGTCACCAACTTCTACATCCAGGCCTACCCGGACCCGGGCACCGTCTACGTCGGCACCATCGCCTGGGGCGAGGACAAGGCCGACGAGGTCTTCAACAAGACGGCCGCCTGGTGGGAGAGCAACACCGACCCTGATGCGTTCCCTGCGCTGCTGTACTACCTGAAGGACCCCACCGAGATCAACGCCCTCGTGCCCATCAAGGACCGCCAGTTCTCGATGCAGCTGAACGCGCTGCGCTTCGGTGGCTCTGAGGCTGACTTCAACAACACTTTCGGCCACTTCTACGAGAATGCCGACGGCATCATCCTGCAGACCTACACGCTCAAGACTCTGCAGCAGTACCTGCTGACCAACTACCCCTACGGCTACAACCGCCTCTTCTACGGAAAGAGCCACACCAACTCCACCCCTGAGTTCTACCAGAACACCTTCGAGATCTACAAGGAGACCGTGAACGGCATGCTCGAGCGCGGCGAGGACCCTGGCCACACGCTCTGGGTTGACGAATGTAAGTTACCCTGACGTTGTTTAACGACAGTAGTCAAGAACGAAGTACTGATCATGTTTCACTGCAGACGTCTTCCCCGCCTGGAACGGCGCCGGCCCCGACACCGACTCGGCCACCTCGTGGCCGCACTCGACGAGCGCCCACATCACCCTGACGTCGGGCGAGTGGAGCAACGACACCACCACCGAGTGGCTGTACTCGCAGGACGAGAACAAGATGATGGCCTACCTGCGCGACTTCCAGAATGGCCTCGACGAGCCGGCTATCTACGATTACCCCAACTACATGTAAGTGTTTCCCCTTCGCTCTGACAGAGTGATCTTTGAATGCTGACGAGACTATACAGTGCTCCGTACAGCAAGACGGAAGAGCTCTGGGGTGCCGAGAACTTCAAGAAGCTGCTGCAGATCAAGGAGAAGTATGATCCCGAGTGTCTGTTCAACAGGGGACGCGTCATTGCGACGGAAGCGTGCATTGCGAAGGGGCTGTCGAACACCTCCATCTAGTAATTTTTGTTGTTTAAGTTAATTTTTTTGTTGATGGAGTAAAAGTCAAAAGAGGGAGATGATCCGAGAGACCCTGAAAATAGGGAGATTGTTTGAATTGATTGTAAGATAATGTACGGACAGTGTACATAAATCAAGCTTCTCGAGAGAGATGTATTATTTTCCACAAAAACCGTCCGAACTTGCAACGGAAAGAAGTCAAACGCAAGATTTTTGTAGATTGAGCATGATTCTCACAATGACTTCTCACTCCTTGGCCAGATAGCGTTGAGTGCTGAAAAAGAATGGCCTGTTGTTTTAGTAAGACCGGACGAATCTCGGTCGGGATCTTCGAGATCTCATACAAGCATAAAGACTGATGCGGGGTTTATCGGACCATGCTGGAACGAGTCAGCCAGTTGGAACTTTAAACGGTCCAAGATATTATATAAGCCATTGTAGATAACTGCAAATAGTACTCGGATGCGGGTTCGCAAACATCCGGGGCAGACCTGAACATGCAATTCAACACAGAAGTGCCGAAGAAATTGTATGCCCCCGCTCGTTGAACTTTGTTTGCGCATTATTTATTTCAGATATGACCTGCCATTCCTCTTCATCATCCCAGCTCTATGAACATGGCGCGCCCGACCACCTACCAAGCTTACCGGCGTACCGCTGGACCCCTTCCCATGACGATTGAGAAAGTCACAGAAGAAATTCCAACAACTCTGGGCGCTGATGAAGTCCTCATCCACATCCATGCCGTTTCGCTCAACTTCCGCGATGTCGCAATGCTGGACGGCCGCTACCCCCTGCCATTCATGGAGCGCGGCATCCCAGCATCCGACTGCGCAGCCGAAGTGGTCGAGATCGGGTCCGGCGTGACGGACTTCAAAGTCGGCGACCGGGTAATCAACACCATCGACCTCAACAACACGACCGACGAGGACGAAGAGACACCACTAGCGCTAGGCGGCGAAGTGGAAGGCGTGCTGAGCCAGTTCGCCGTCTTCAAGGAAAAACACCTCCTGCACATGCCGGCGCATCTGTCCTGGGAAGAAGTAAGCTCTCTCTCTCTCTCTCTTATTACGTGCATATAATACCGGGATGTGCACACCCCCGCATCGCCGCCGCCCCACGTGGGTCCGGTCCGGCCCTGGGATCTGACATCCGATTCTCGCAGGCATCCGTCCTCCCCTGCGCCGGCATCACGGCCTGGCTAGCCCTAAACCTGCCTGCCTCCATCGGCAAAGCCAAGACCGCATTGCTGCAAGGCAAGCCAAGCCCCCCTTCTCCTCCCCCTCCCCCAAACAACTAACACCCCCCACAGGCACCGGCGGCGTCTCCACCACCGCCCTCCTCCTCTGCCTCGCCGCCGGCATCCACCCCATCATAACCTCCTCCTCCGACACCAAACTCTCCGCCCTCCTCCACAAACTCGCACTCTCCTCCAGCACAACCGCCACCATCGACTCCATCAGCACCATCAACTACCGCACCCACCCCGCCTGGGAAGCCGAGGCCAAGCGCCTGACTGCGGGCCGCGGCGTCGACATCGTGGTCAACAACGCGGGGCCGACGTCGCTGGCGCAGGACGTCGAGGCGCTGGCGCCGCGGCGGGGGATGGTGTCGGTTGTTGGTTTTTTGGGGGGACTGGAGGGGGGAGGGGGGATGGATGCGGGGACGGTGTTGAGGATGATGGTTAAGGGGGCGAGTGTGAGGTATGTGTTTCTTTTCGTGGGTGGTTTGGGTGGGTGGGTTCGTGGGCTAACGGGCGTGTATGGCAGGGGCGTTGCGGGGGCGCCGAAGAGCGAGGTGAGGCGGTTGAATGAGTTTGTTGAGGAGAAGGGGGTGAGGTTTCATGCGGCAATTGATCGGGTGTTTGGGTTTGAGGAGGCGGGGGAGGCGTTTGGGTATTTGAGGGAGGGGAGGCATGTGGGGAAGGTTGTTGTTAGGATGTAGCTGTCTAACGAGCCCTCCGTTGTATCCAAAATTGAAACACGATTGGTTGAATAATTATACCCCTTGCGTGTATGGTTGCTTCCGTTTCTAAGACTGCACAAACACCTACATGCCTGAGTTGAGCATTCCAATTTTCGTCTTTAGAACTTCTCTGTCAATTGGCAGCATCGGTAGAAGTATTGTGCATCTCTTCGTGCGGGTATCCATGCTCAACGTGTTGACATCCTTCTTCAGAGCAGACATTACAGCTTTTGTCCAGATATTTTGCTCATTCATCTTGTGATCGCCCGGCGGCGTTCCTATCGATCTCGGTGGTGTTGATACCAGTACTCTTGTTGTTGCCTTATGTGTAAAGGATATTCAATCATCCTTGTCACTTAGTACCAAGCCGAGCGAGCTCGCTTGCTTTGTGATCGGACGAACCAACCAACAAGGTCTCTTCGCATCACTCCCATATGTTGTGCCAGGACGAGATGCTCTGTCCAGCAAGTGGCTGCGCACTCCCACAGGCAATTACGTGATACGGCATCTGAACGCGAAATTTGTAAAGGAGAGCTACACTGGGCAAGAACGAGGCTGTCGGCGGTGCAAACAGACACCGGTCAACCATGCAGGGTGGGGCTGAAGCTGAGGCTGAGTCATCCTGTCAAGGCAGAGATCAGAAAACAGACGCCTGGATTCTGCCTTGGCCAGAAGAAAGCCTATTCAGTAACGCATACGTGTCGTTCCATTCCATGTGCACTGTGCAAGGCGGCGCCTCAGGGGTCGACGAAGCAGCTTTCGGCCAGCCTTGCAGGAAGCTGCGCCTCGCGTCTTCAATCAGCTGTTCAATGCAGCGAAGCGAGACAGGCCTGCCGCAGTTGCACGAGGCTGTAAAACTATGACCAATCATCGACCACGTTAACACAGCCCGAGGCTGACATGCATTGCGTCCCCGGACAATGCTACCAACACACAAAGCTGTATGTGGCGATGAATATTTTCTTTGGAAGCTATGTGAGTGCCGAATAGTGCAGGTTAATTGCAGTTTATAACATTTTGCGACATAATACACACTCTAACTTTTGAAATTTCTTTCGGGAATGAGCAAAGAGATAGGGGAAAAAAAAAGCCTTCAAGCGCCGTGAGCAAGCCACAAGTCCTCCTATAGGCAGTAATCCTGTCAGCACGCCAAGTTGCAGGGGTAAGCAAAGCGGCGGAGCAAGTGGACAAAAGAGCTAGCTTCCCAGCCAGTTTTCAAGTGTAGCTCAGCATTTTCATTCCCAGCACATGGAATCAAGTACCCCAAAATCTTCGTGCTACTTGCATACGTTTCCTTCTTCCCCCAGCTTATCTTCAAGGCTGATACCATCATCCCGGCTCGGAAACGACATTCTTCTTCGAATGAGGCACTCCACTTTGCAATGACAGACCCCCTCTCCATCGCCGCGAGCGTCGCGGGACTGGCTCTACTTGCAAGAGATGTTGCGAAAGGGATCAAGGAAGTGAATAGTGCCCTCAAGGGATCCGGAACCGAGCTTACCAGTCTCTATAATGGAGTTATATCTCTTTACTCTGTTCTCCAAGGCGCCCAGCTCGTGATGGAGCAGATGGACGACTATTTTCTTAGAGACACGGCACCCGGAGATATCGTCTTCGCTTGCAATGACACGTTCGAAGCCATACACAAGCTGCTCAAGAAAGACAACCTGGATCTTAAGGCCGGCTTCGCTAGCACGAAAAAAATCGGACAGAATTCCCTCTCCGTGAATGCAAAAGGGCGATGGAATACCTTGAAGCAAGCCACTCGCTGGTATCTCAATAAAGAAGAGGTGGAAAAGCTATGCGCTGATCTTGAGAGCCACAAGACCAAACTCGCTCTCGCCATGTCCAGAGACTCGATGACGGCGCTAGTAGAGGTGCTGAAGTCCCAGAATTCAATGTCTCGCCACTTGCATGACATAAGGAAGATTCAGGCAGAAATCAGAGCCGGCCAAATTCAGGAAAGCAAACGCCAATTGAACGAGAAACAGGCAAGAATGATGGAAGACTTCAGTGATGTCGAGCCGCAAGAGGCGCTGGGAAAACACCTTCAACTCCGCCAGCAAGGAACAGGGACCTGGTTTTTGGAAGGTCCACACTTCCAAAACTTCCTGTCCAAGAAAAACTCGAGCCTTCTGCTGTATGGTATACCAGGTGCTGGGAAATCAGTCCTTAGCGCTACCATCAGCGAGTGCATCAATGACCTTCGTACGCGGACCGTCGCGGCGGCGTTCTTTTTCTGCGAGCACTATTATCCCGAGACCCAAGGCGCCCGCAACATTCTTGCGTCTCTTGCAAAACAGCTTGCAATCCAGAATGACGATGCTTTTTCCAAACTGGAGGCATTCCACAAGGAACACACGTCATTAGAAAAATTCAGTGTCGACGGTCGATCAATGCTGAATTTACTCCGGGATCTCTCGAAATCATTCGACACCACACTCATAGTGGTAGATGGTCTTGACGAGTGTCTCGAAGGTCGAACCGAGATGGTCCAGATCTTGTCCGAACTGAGCAATCCGGACGAAGGCTCAATCAAAACATTGTTCACCAGCCGAGACGAGAGTGACGTTCGCAACAATCTCACTGGATTTCAAAATGTTGAAATCAAGGCGGCCAAATCCGACATCAGGCTACACGTTGCCGCACAGCTGGAGTCACCGCGATTCAGGAGCATTAGCACAAGTAATACTGGTCTGAAAGAAGAGATTCTTCAATACCTAGTAGAGAATTCAGGTGGAATGTAAGTAAAATCTACCTCACTCGACTGTAGTTCATTCACGGCTAATATGTAATCTTTAAAGGTTTCAATGGGTCAAGTAGGTTGCTTACTTTCCAACATGCAAGCCGTACTAATGACATAAGGTGCCAACTTGACTACCTTCATTCCTTGCCCTCCAATGGAATGAGGCGGAAAGCCTTGAAACAACTTCCTCCTGACCTTCCTCGGACCTACGAGAGAATCCTTCTCCGAGCAAAGGACACCGCCCGAGGCGTCATGCTTTCTTACCTGGATCGAACACTGCGCTGGATCGCCTTTGCCGCCCGGCCACTGTCTGTCGCAGAAATGTCTCATGCTATCGCTGTTGAGCAGGGAGATGCTTCATTCGACGACCCTATGGACATGGAAAAGATTCTGTGCCATTATAACAGCCTAGTCAGAGAAGACGATGGGATCCTTACGTTCAGTCACTTCAGTGTCAAGGAATACCTCATCAGTATCGGTCCTGATGCTGGTCCGCTAGCGAGATTCCGACTTGATGAAAGCCACAGTCATGAATATCTGGCCGAGACTTGCTTGACTTACCTGCTCTTGGAACAATTTGATCAAGAGTTCACTCATTCCGAGGAGAGGATACGCGGTGCTCTCGAAGCGAATCCTTTCTACCGCTACGCATCGCATTACTGGACTTACCATACTCGAAATTCTGCTGAAGCATTAGCTCGGGTCTCTTCCCTGATTGAACACTTATTTGACCCTCAGAAGAGCAACAAATTTGTACTTTGGGCCTACTCCTGGATTTTGCACTATGCCAATGGAGTAGATCCTGGCAAACTCCATTCACAGATGGAAGATGTTAATCCGCTTCACCTTGCTTGCCTTTGCGGGCTGAGCGATGTCATTGATTCACTGATCCGCCATGGCCAGGACGTAAATCAACGAAGCTGCCGAGCTGGGACACCTCTTGATTGTATTGGGGGAGCATATATCATATCCGGACAAGAAAAAGGGCTTCCAAGGCCGGAAGATGTGAAAAAAGCAGCAGAAAGACTTCTTCAGGAAAATGTTGTGAAAGACTCTTTCAGAAACTCCGCTGTACGAGGTGCAATCCTCCACAATAATGCAGCTTTGCTTGATACCTTATTGGAGGCTGGATGCCCATCTACTACCAGTGACATCAGTCTCGCTATAGGTGTCGGCTCAGATTCCATTATCCATACCCTCCGGCAGGCCATGGAAAAGCGATGTCTTGACCCAGGATTTGAGCTTCCAGAATCTTACCATCTGCTTGTCTTCGGAAAGCCAGATCACTCGGGAGATAAAAGACACAGAATTCATCATTCAATTACATCGGACATCGTCCCTCCTCATCTAGAAATCGAATACCAGCGGTTGATGAAGTCAGCAGCAGCGAAAGGTCAACTGTCAAGAATCAAGAAGATATTATCTGGACTGCAGAGCATTACTGAAAAAGGGCCGAAAGACTTTCTCTCTGGTATTGTTCTCGATGCGTCAAGATATGGTCACACCGAAGTTGTCGAGTACCTCATAAAGGAAGGGGCAGATGTATCCTATCAGGACCCCTCATCTGGAGAAACAGCCTTGCATCATGCTGCAAATGGCAGGCACACTAGGTTGACGCAAAAGCTACTCGAGCTTTCTCCTGCTCCTCAAGAGGGTATCGAAACTGAAGATAGTTGGGAATGGACCCCGTGGATGGAGGCCATTAATGCAGGGTCTATGGAGATCCTAAGGATGTTTCTGGACGTAAATCCATCACTTGACCTCAAGAAGACCACACAAAATGGATCTACAGCAATTCATTTAGCAATCCAGTCTGGAAACAGACAAATGTTCTGGTTTCTGCAAAAGCGAGGCTTGGATATTGCCCGTACCGCAAACAACGGGGCAACTCCTCTGCACGTACTCTTGGCGACTGGCTGCGGAGAGCTTGAATTGCCGGGAGAGTTTGCACGCCTCGTTATCGACACATTTCTGGACAGAGAAGACTGTGTTAGTAGACAAGGTGTGGACGGCGGTAATATCCTGCACATTTTGTTCGATCGAGCAACTGAAGAGTCCACACGCATAATCTGGCAAGCCATCGCAAACGAACCCCGGTTCAAGGCAACCAGGACGAAAGCATTACGGACAGGCGATATGCATGGTGAAACTCCACTCCACAATCTCATGGGAGTCTATGGCACCAATAGTCATACTCATCCGACCACAACTCGGATAGCAGAAATCATACAGTCCCTCTGCAATTTGGAAGAGACGAAAGCAGCGCTTGCGACCAAGAATTCTGAAGGCCAGACGCCACTTATATTCCTGATCAAGACCCTCTCAGATCGTGCTTTCCCGGTAGCGTTTTCTCAGGCTCAGTTAGATATGCTGACGAAAACATGTCGCATGCTTATTGAAGCGGATGAGCAGGACTTTTGCCTGAATACAAAGGACTCTGGAGGAAGGACTGTACTGCATTGGATTGCGAAATGCCTCGCCGGCTTCCCATCCAGGCAAATTGCGGAGCTTATCTTGCAGTACCCTGTGGATTTTTCAGTGAGGGACTGTGAAGGCGCGACGCCACTTGAGATCGCTTTGTCTAATGAAGAGCAAAATCTTGATTTGGTCCGTTGCCTCATGGAGAATGCATCGGAAATGGACCTGGAAAGTCCAGGTAAAGATGGAAAGCCTATCCTGCATACCATCTGTGCGCTCAGAAAGGATAATATCGAAGACCTACTATCTCGTTACCTCTCCAAAATCGCTTTATCAACTTCCAGGGATCATGACGGCCGCATTCCACTGATGTATACCCCGGAAACCGTTTCGACACCGTCCCTCGCGCACCAGTTGATTGATATTGCGAAAGAAAATGTCAACATACGCGATAACGAAGGCTATGATGTGTTATCTCACGCTTGTCGAACTGGCTCTACGGTAATGGTAGAGGCGCTGATCCAGCATGACATGGATATCAACGAGAAAAGAGGTGTCGAGGGTCGGGAGGAACCACCTATTTTGGTAGCAGCATTTTCGAGGGAAATGGAAGTTGTACAGCTTCTTCTCGACTCTGGAGCCGATCCTTATGGCCAAGACTTCGTGGGTGCTCGGCTCCATCATCTGGCCGTATCGAAGGGAAGACAGCAATTGCGGGGCATAGTGGAAAGTCTCGAGGGTTTCGACTACAACGAAAAACTTTCAGGAAGATGGGGAATCGATGTGTCTAGGAAAGAGGATGAGCCAGACTTTTACGCGCTATTTGGTGCCGGCCCACTGCACATTGCAGCAGTGAATGAAGACCCACAAGCGTTGGAGTGGCTTCTTCATCCGTCCAGGAGGCCCCGAGATCTTGACCAGGAAACAGAAAGGGGAGAGACAGCGCTTTTTGCCGCTGCATGCCTTGGACTTCTGACCAATTGCAAGACGTTGGTTGTCGAAGGTGCAAATGTTTCAAAGCCCAGGGAAAACGGCGACACAGCTTTAGATGTTGCTTGCCAGTACGGACATACCAGCGTATGCGACTTCCTGTTGTCCGTGAACGAAAGTTTGGACTCCGCTGCGCCTGCCCCAGGGACATCTCTCCAGGCTGCAACTCGGGGTGGACATATAGATGTTGTCCGACTACTTCTCTCGAGGGACATCGAAATACCTGAAGGACTGGAAGCGGAGGCATTGGCAGCCGGAAGGCGCGATATCGCAGAGCTTATCCGATCGAAGCTGCAAAAGAAAAGACGTCAGCAGACGGAGATCAATACGTGGACTGAGCGAGAGATCAACACTCTGCAACTGCTGCGTGTATGCAAAGAAGAAAACGAAGAAGACTTACTCCGTCTCTTGGACGCGGGGATATATCCAAATCGACGTTTGAACGATGATCACGAGACAGCTCTCCACATCGCAAGTAAGAGAGGTTGGGTAACCGCCGTAAAAGTCCTCGTTCAAGAAGGTTCCGAAGTCGACTCACTCGATTATTTCAAAAGCACGCCTTTGTTATGCGCAGCAAACAATCGACAATGGGAAGTCGCAATGACCCTACATACTCTAGGCGCACGACTGGATTCCTGCGATGCTGTTGGGTGGTCCGTGTTGCACTACGCACATGATAACCCTGAGATGATGGCCTACTTTCTTGAAAAAGGTTCGGACGCCACTTCAAGTTCACACTTGTATGGTAGCCCTCTGGTGCTGACTACCGACACTGCTTGTACGGAATTGCTACTGCGGAATGGCTGTGATCCCTTCGCAACTACGGCTTTAAATGCCTCTGCAATCTCGGAGAAATCTGGCCAGCCATCTACCGAAGAATCTCTGCGGAGCATCCTTTCAGAAAGGCCGGCGAAACGCATGTTCGATGTCATCGACTTACGAGATTTACGTATGGACTCTACTCCGCTTCATCGTGCGGCTTTTTCCGGAAGATTAGGAAATATGCTCGCCCTTATTGAGCATGGGGCCGATGTCAACTTACCCGGAGGTCGTTTCGGAACACCTTACCAAGCAGCTTTCAAACAAGGGCATGCCAAAGCACTAACGCTCCTTGCCGAGAATGGTGCCAAGCCCTGCATGGTCATCCGAGACGGACAGGAACATGCCGCCTGGTTCTGGGAGCACGGCGGACAATTCTCTTTTCCCGCTCCGGGCGGGACCTGGGTTCCTACATCACTGCCACTGGAGTCCAAGAAGCCACCGAGGACGATTCGAGCCAATGACGCACGCAAAGGCCGGTATTGGGAGCATGGCTATCGCTTCTCTCTCCAGAACCAGAGGGGAGCTTGGACTATGGCCTGAGTGGCTGCAGAAGGTCTGGTGTGCATGATTTCCTTTCTTGCTGTTTTCTCTTTGAATAATCGTGGAGTTCATCTTATCTCCGGTATCATGGGGCCTTGTTGATCGAATTGCTGCTTATGACGATTTATTTTCATTTTTGATTAGTGTTTGTGTTCCTGCGGCTACATTTCCTTCAGGTTTGCGTAGCGGTACTAGTCTCAATAGACTGATGTTGGAGAGAACGGATTCTACGAGACAGCTGCCGGTATTGCGTGAGGAGAAGCTTTTTTTCCTTTGACGGCTTCCAAAGAGTTGTTATTGTGCGTCGAAATTCTATGTGATGTAATGCTTGTGAAGTCGAGGGCGAACCGCGGTGTTTGACAGGCGCTCGCTCGCACGGACGCATTGCAACGCGTGAAGCTCTCTCAAAGATCAGCGCCAACGCCAGAGCTGCAACACACTACCAACAATGCTCCCCGAGGAATTGCTTCTCACCACGCTGAGCGAGCAATTTCCATGCCGTGAGCTGCAGATCCGCCAGCTGGCGGCTCTCTATAATGTCTGTTCCCCGTTCGATTCCCCGCGCCGTAAACTAACAACTCCAACAGCCACCACTTCCCAGCCCTTCAACCCTTGTCATACACGGTCTCGATGCCACCGGCAAGACTTCGATAGTCCGCGGCGTCCTCGAGACCCGCAAGCTCCCCCATGCCATCGTCAACTCCCGCGAATGCATAACCGGTCGGCACCTACTCGAACGCACCCTCGCCGCCTGCCTCGACGCCATCGACGACGCCGACCCAGACACAACCCTCGACCGCGCGCCGTACGCGCGATGCGAGAACCTCAGCGCGCTCTTCGTGCAGCTGCAGCGGCTGCTCGACGGCACGGAGCGCTTCGTCCTCGTCTTCGACGGGGTGGACAAGCAGCGCGAGGCGCCGCCGACGCTGCTGCCCGCGCTCGCGCGGCTGGGCGAGCAGATCCCCAGCCTCAGCACCGTCCTGATCCTCTCGGTGCCGCCGCGCCCGCGCCTGCTGCACGCCGCCTGCACGCCGACCGTGCACTTTCCGTCGTACTCGCGCGACGAGGCCGTCCTCATCCTGTCGCGGCGCGGGCCGCCGTCGAACATCTTCCTCGTGCCGCCGAGCCCGTCGAAGGGCTATACGGACGACCTGGCGGAGGAGGATAAGGCGTATGTGTGGACGCGGTTCTTGGGTGTGGTCTGGGATTCGCTGGCGAAGAGCGCGGCGCGCGACGTCGTCGGCTTCAGGGCGCTGGCGGATAAGCTGTGGGATCCGTTCGTCACGCCTATCCGCGACGGCACGTTCGGAACGAGGGATTTCTCGCGGCTGTTGGTGCACCGGCGGGCCATCTTCCAGGGCGAGTCCGCCTTGGTGGACAGAGTAGTCGTGCCGCAGGAAGCGGACGAGAGCAAGTCGAATTCAAAGAGTAAGATGGACACAAGACAACAACCCCAATCGTTTTGATATATACTAACGCCTCCCTTCCCACAGTCACCCACGACCTCCCCTACTTCTCCAAATACCTCCTCTGCGCCGCCTACCTAGCCTCGTACAACCCGGCGCGGCAAGACAACATCTACTTCATGAAAGCCAGCGAGAAGAAGCGCCGCAAGCGTGCCGCCGGCGCTGCTTCCACCCCCGGCCGTGCCGCCAGTCGCAAGATCTCGCGCCACCTTCTCACGCCCTCGGCCTTCCCACTCGACCGCCTGCTCGCCATCTTCCGCGCCGTCCTGCCGCCGCACGACGTACCGCCTGCCTCGGCGGATGTGTACACGGCCATCGCGACGCTGAACTCGCTGCGCCTGCTGCTGCGGGGCGGCGCTGCTGGCGCGGATCCGTTGGATGGGAGTTGTAAGTGGAGGGTCAATTATGGGTGGGAGTATGTGAGGGATTTGGGGAGGAGTGTGGGGTTGGAGATGGGAGAGTATTTGGCGGGCGTGGCGGATGCGTAGGAGGAGGAGGTGGTGGTGGGATAGAGGTGAGCTCTTTGATTTTAATGAGAAAGCTAAAAATAAGATACCCAAAAGCAAAAGGAAATTCGAGATGGTTTCAGTTTACACAGTTTTTATCTCTATAGAATGCAGCCTAAGCACCAGACGTCGTGTATGGAGGCGTCCTTCCTAACAGATGAAGTTACCGGTCAGTAGCTGTGGTCACACTATTCGAACGAGGGAGGTCATGTGCACTTCTGGCACACGTGTAGCAAAGATTTTTCCCATTTTGCCTGAGGCAATACTCAGTTGCACTTCCGCCCATGCTGAGAGAAAACGGCGGCGCCGCTGGAAGAGCAAACCAGGGTCCGAGTAGTAGAGCGTGAGTGGGTCGAAGGAAGGCCGACCTAGGACCAAGGATTGCAATCGGCCCGCATCCAACAGTGGTAGACATACGCTGCGAATACACAGTCACAAGTCCAACTGTAAAGCCACGGTAGCAACTTGCAGAATCTGCCATTTGTCCTTTGTGAGGGTTGTGGCTGGAAAGCTGCGGACTGACCGACCATGACGTCGTGCTCAAGGGGATCCTGTCGCTTAGTGCGAATAGCTCCCATTTTGCATTCGTAGAAAATGATCAATGATGGCCCCAGCTGCGCCGCAGTGATATCACTGCTTGGCAGTCTCAGGCAGGAAAGTGACCAACAGGTCCAAATGTTGCTCGCGGCGGGGGCCAAGCTGTGCCGCGGTGGATCGCAACGGCGCTCTTAGCCGTGGTGTTGATCGCAACGTTGGGTAGTGAGAAAATAGAACACGCTCGGAACACAGCTGCAGCTGCTCGTATTAATAGCGCACAGCCGCAGCTGCGACGTAGGAACTCGTCGAAATAAAGTTGCGCAGGGATGAAGCGGGCCAGGATTCCTCTCGCGCGTTTCATCGCTTAGTCACGCTCCAACGTGTCCAGATTGAAGCTCCCGCGCAGCTCAAACACCTCTGCCGAACGACAAGAAATCGACTCCATACACCCATAATCCTTGTTCCAGCGAGCTGCTGGTGCTGCCCAAGATGAACATTTTCCGGTTGCTGGGTACGTGAACACACCTCCGCGCGGCCGCTGGCGCCGCCTGCCCTCCGAGCTCAACAAGAGACACCCGCCGTCGAGCAGGAGAGTAGCAAAGGAAACGCAAATGCTGACGCCCATGGCGCTGCGCAGGGGACTTGTCCCACCTGATATCCATCCTTATCCTGCTTCACAAGATGAAGACCACCAACGTGCGTACTCACCTCGCCCGCGCGCGCGTGTGCGCTCGTCCCATCCGCCCGAAGCTCAGCGACGGCGGCGCAGCGCGCGCGCGACTCGAGAGACTGGAGGAGACTCGAAAGCTGACGAGGCATTGGACGGCAGAGCGCAAACGGCATCTCGTTCAAGTCGCAATTCCTGTACCTCATGGTCTACGTGACCCGCTACATTGACCTGCTCTGGACCTTCTACGACCCCTCCGCCCTGTACAACACCGTCTTCAAGATCATCTTCATCGCCTCCTCCGCCTACACCGTCTACCTCATGCTCAACGACTACCGCCCCACCCACGACCCGAACCTCGACACATTCAAGGTCCAGTACCTGCTGGGTGCCAGCGCCGTCCTGGCCATCTTGTTCCCGTACAAGTACACGCCGACTGAGGTGCGCAATGCTTCTTCCCACGAGACGATAGAAAAGAAAAGCGGCGGGGTATTCGGAACGGGGGACAACATGCTGATACGACGAACAGATCCTCTGGGCCTTCTCCATCTGGCTCGAGTCGGTGGCCATCCTGCCGCAGCTCTTCATGCTGCAGCGCACCGGCGAGGCCGAAACCATCACGACGCACTACCTCTTCGCGCTCGGCGCCTACCGTGCTCTGTACATCCCCAACTGGCTCTACCGCTGGTTCGCCGAGGGCTACTACGACCCCATCGCCCAGATCGCCGGCATCATCCAGACCATCCTGTACTCCGACTTCTTCTGGATCTACTACACCAAGTGAGTGAACTGGCGCCCCCCGTTCAGGTGAGGGTATCCCCTTTGCTGACACGCGCACGCAGGGTCCTTCAGGGCAAGAAGTTCAACCTTCCCGTGTAAACTCCCCTTTTCTTCATTATTCGTGTCTTTGCCGGAGGGACAATCGAAAAGCAAAAATATGCAGGTTGGCATGCGGGCAGACCCTGGGAGAAGCAGGGAGAGGACGCCGGGGAAAGGAAAGTTGTACGATGGAGTTAACCGGTGGAGGAGAGAAAGCATTTCCGGGATGGAAGGGTCTTTACTTCGCCATGATTCCCCCTCTGATGAACGCGACATCTTGCCTCTCTTGTTCAAAGAGCGTTTTCGTTCTGCACTTAATCTCCCCGTTTTCACACGCAGTTCTTTTTTGGGAGAGCTCCGCTGGGAGTTTGATCCGACGTGTACGGGTGTGGTTGCCGTGGGCATAGTAAGTATGAACCGCGCGTTTTCGACATTTTGCCAGTTTGTACTTTTACCTCTTTTTTTTTCGAGCATGGCAATGGAAAAACTTACATAAGGTGGAGAACCCCCCGCATCTTAGTTGTTTGAGCGTGTGATGTCGTTTTCAAGCAGGAACCTGGTGGCGCTTGATGGCCATGCCTTTGTTGGTTGGTGGAGTTGGAGTGAAGGTAGAATGAGAGCAATCGGGAGCGACTTTGATCAGATACGTAGAGAAATCCACAGGTTTTGAACCAGAAATAGCTTGAAATACGTGATCTCTCTTGCCCCCAAGGTTGTTCCACTTTCGAACAGCCTTGGGGGCTTATTTGCGTAAAGATCGAGTCGACCGAGACAACTACACATTCAAAACAGCGGCATGTGATGCGACCTAGTGCGTAAGGCAACTGTCGCGAACAGCGAAAAGAGAAACGCAGAGAAGAAGAGGCCAAGAGGACATGATCAGAAAGAACTTAGGAAACGACCTCCGCCTCTTTGACCAACCGAGGAAAGAGAGAGAGCAGGAATGGAACAGAGAAGAAAAATAGGCCAATGTGTTCATCTGGTCTAGGGAGTCCGTCGCAGCACCATCCTACCCAACACCGTCCTGAGCTTTCCTTTGAAAACATTGTCTCACTATATCTCCGATGGCCGCCGTAAAACCGGAAGGATGGAATTCTGGCGTACCCTTTCCCGAGGCGACAGCCGGCCGTTGTGCCCTGAGTGATGTGGTATTCTTACCCCACATCCAGCGATTTCTGGCGGCTCACCATTTCTGTACCTGACGCCAAACCAATTTCGGTCAAGATAGAGGACAGGGTTTGGTGGCGCATGTCTGACAAACGTCTGACTCGGAAACTTTGTCTAGACGTCGAAAATCTGGTGTTGAGGTTTGTTCGGCGTTGCGTTGCGTTGCGCTGCGTTGCACGCCTTTCACTACGGCTGCCACGACGACGGCTTCTGTACACAAGAAGTTCTCGAGGTTGTCGCCGTCGTAAGTTGGTCGACGCTGGCGGCTGGTCGTCGTTGTCGCATCCTATTCTACGCCTTGAAGATGTGATAGGTGGTATACCCATACAGACTGCTGGGATTAGCCACCTTATCGCCTTTCCTCTCTGACGTCGACGCAAAAATAGTCGTGGCCGTTTCTGGCGTCCGTTTGCTGCTGCAAGATTCATCGGTTCTGGCTGCTGCTGTACTGGAGCTTGGGGCTTCCTGCCTCTCCATGCACATTCGGCTCGTCGCCGGCGGTTGTTGTCAGGACGCTCCAAGTCGACGAACGGTTAGTCCGGATGCTGAGATGAAATGTTAGGGCGCTCATGCGTTGCGATGCATGGGGTGTGGTTGTCTTACGTTCATGCTGCTGCATGCTCCCGGCCATTCTGTTCTCTCTGCGTTCGACGCATGGATCTCGCTGCTGTCTGGATATCAATCATGTCTTCCACCGCCATCAACGAAGGTTGCTGGAATGCACTCCGTCGGTGGGCAACGTGCCTACTCAGCCGAGCCAGAGCAGGAAGGAAGGAAGGCGCCGTTGCCGTCGATGCGTGAGCACCACGACCAGACCTCACCATCGTATTCAGGGTTAGCGGACTCCTCTAGTCTGCTATGATTTCCGAACTTGATGGCCTTGATTGCAGCGGTGCTGATGGCCTCGAAAGAGCGTTTTTGCGGAAAATTTTCCTATCGATAGGCCCCTGGAGTCGAGCAGTAATCACCTTGCTGCATCGCCGAATTCGTCGCTGTGCCATTGGCTGGCCCATTCCTGGTGCCTCTCCTCACGTACCGCTGTTTGGATGATCGCCGCCGGCGCAATCGCTTATCACAGGATTTTCTCTGACGCCATACGCTATGACTGGGAATTATGCAAAGTTGTGCTGCGCTAGGGGCTTGACTTTCAGGCTCTGTGGTTCAGGGTTTTTCATCAAATCATGTGCCTGCCCTGTAGAGGCTGCAGGAACAGCGGGGATGTGGCTGTGTGGCTGTTTTCTGGCTCTGTTATACGAGGCCGCCCTGGGAACCACTGGTAGGCCGAGATGAGCACTTTTGGAAGGGTCTTTCCAGCTTCCCCTTGACGAGAGAGCCTCTGTAAGGATTGGGCAATGTGGCAGTCGCGGACGGCGTTCTGAGGAGCATTGAGTTGTCGTTCAGCGCCTACTTGAGCTACGAAGATGGGCTCAACGAGCATAGTCTGCGCTTCGTCGACTTTGCTACAGATTCACCTGCATAAGGTATACTATGGGTGCAATTGTCTGATGTAGAAGGTGCAATTGCATGATGTATATCATGTGTAATATCCATTGCGGCCTCCATCTGGCTTTCCCTGGTCCATTTAGTGGGTTCCCACTTCCCATGAGGATTCACGATACGTGTATCGGGACAGTGGCAGAACCAAATGGGCATCCCTTGTCTGGTTCGCAGAATTTTCCTGCCTTTATATGCTGCGTGATTCCTGGACCTCCCTTTTCTCTTTCAAACTCTCTCCTCCGCTCTACGAGGCAAAAGCTTTGCAGGCTAAGACATCCACAAGGCCTGCCCACTTCGACATCTCTTGCCTCTTTTCACTTGGACTCTTATTCCAAGTCAACCACTACCTTTCAAAAACTCTCTTTCAAACATTTCCAAATGATGCCGCCAAACGAGACCCGTGAGGAAGCCGCTGCCCGCTTCCAGGCGGCGTTTTGGGAGCACCAAGACGAAAGAACACCCCACAACAAAAACGATCCAGCGGGCAAGAAAAACACGCACAAGCACTTGCCCACGCGTGCTCAGCTGGCCGAGTGGGTCGACGCGCTGAAGGACGGGACGGAGATGCAGTTCGCTTCGGGCCAAGAGCGGCACTGGGCGAAGACATACCTCAGGCTGGAGGGCGAGAACGTCTTCTGGAAGAGCTCGGGCAACGGCGGAGTGCCCGACATGAAGGTGCTCTGCCTGGAGGAGTGGGCTCTCCGCATCTTCGACGCCCACGTCGCCGACGAGGCCGTGCATCGCGGCCGCGATGCGACGTACGAGTGGCTGCGCGACCCCGCTGCGGGTTGCAAGAAGCCCCAGGACGCCCCTGCCGGCACGGTGCTCTACAAGGCACCGATGAAAGAGGTCGTCATGACCTTCATCAGCGGCTGCCCCGTCTGCAAGGCCAAGTGCAGCAGTGGCAGCAGCAGCAACAGCAAGAAGCGGAAGGGCGCGCCTTCCCCAACCGACGACGACGACAACAACAACAACAATCAGCGGGGCGCCTCCCCTCATCCGCAGAAGAAGAGGGCGACAGGACGCAGAGTCCCCGTTGCCCCCGTTGCCCCCGCCGTCCCCGCCGTCCCCGCCGCCGCCCCCGCTGCCCTGGATGCCCCCGCTGACCTTGCGGGCTTCGCTGACCTCCTCGCCGGCCCTGCTGGCCCCGCTGACTCCGCTGACTTGTTTCAGTGGAATAACCGGGGTCTCCCATTCCAGGTTGAAGAGAACTTGCCGGTTCAAGGCAACTTCTCTTATGACCTGGCTAACGCCGCCCCCGCTCCCGCCCTCGCTCCCGCTCCCGCTCCCGGTCTGGCTCCAATTGGAGGCTTTCGCCTGGGGGATGGCCTCATCGACCCGGCCCTGCTGCAGGTCGGCCCCTACGCCGAGCCGGAGGCCACAGAGTCCCTCCAGCTCGGCAACCCTACTCTCGACTCTGCTCCTGTCCCGTTCGTCCCGCTCTCGGACGAGGAATTGGGAATTGAGGTTGACCGTGCCATTTGGGCTGACTTCCTCAGCTTTCCCAATAGAGAGCCCGACATCTCCAATCTTCAAGATGTCAACATTCCCAATCAAGAGCTCAACTTTTCTAATGAAGAGTTGAACTCTTCCAATCTTCAAGATACCAACTCTTCTAATGAAGAGTTGAACTTTTCCGGTCTTCAAGATGCCAGCTCTTCCGATGAAGAGCTCGACTTTTCCAATCTTGAAGAAAGCGACATTATCGATTGGGATTGCTTTACGTCTTAAGTCTTTGGCTCTTTCTCTTTTCCCGTTCCTGCAGTCACCTTGATTTGGAGTTTCATTGGAAATGTGTCACGACTTTCAGCATTATACCCCCAGCAGCACACTGGAAGATTCAAAGATACCCCGTGCGATGAAGTTTTTGAAAGATACCCTTTGCGATGGAGTTTTGGAAAGACACCACTTGCGTACAGTTTTGGGAAGGATACCCTTTATGATGGAGTTTTGTTTTGGGAAGGATACACTTTGCGATGGATTATGGAGTTTTGGAATACCCCGGATTGGAAAGATTTTGAGATACCCGATGGATCATGGAGTTTTGGTTATTGGTTTGGATCTGCTACTGGACTTTGGATCGCTATTGGTGTTTGGTGTTGGATTTGGTTATATAGGTAATATAGGACCGCCCTGTGCTCTGACTCCGCGACCGGCTGGCAAATAAACAGTCTAAGCGGATCAGAGTAAGTAAGGTTGGGTCGCTCTTCTCTACACTGATGGTCAATGTGCAACGTGACTGTGATGACAATATGATCTAGTGATGCTGACTTTATGTATAGATGCCGCCCTCACTTCCCCACAGCCGTGCCTTCCTCTTCTACTCCCTCTCAGCCTTCTTCTCTTCATCCACCCCTCGCGCCCTCTCCACCGTCGCCTCCACATGCTCAGTCATCAGCTCTCCCACCCCCTGCAAAAACGCCACACACACCAACGCAATCACAGTGAACGGTATCACACTCGCCCACGCCAGCCGATACGCCCTAGCCCACACCCACCGCCCCTCGGCCACAACGCTCTCCAACGCCCGTCTCCCCACCTGCCCGGCCACGACCTCGCCCAACGCCTCCACGCTCGTCGCGCCCTCGCCCTCCGCCATCGCCGCCACGACCATCTCCACCAACCCCGCGCCCATCCCCGCCTCCTCTGCCGCCCGCGCCACGGCGCCATCGTAATGCGCGGTCATGTACCCCTTGACAATCGCATCCAGCACCGCCGAGCCCACAGCCCCACCAATCGCGCGCGCCGAAAAAGCCAGCCCCGTCGCCGTCGACAGGAACTGGTGCGGCGCGCTGAACTGCACCGCCGCGACGAGCAGCGTCAGCGGGCCGGCCTGGCCCACGGCGCACAGCACGTTGAGGCCGTACTGCGCGTCGCTCCAATGCGGCGCGACGCACGCGTACGCGATGGTCACGGCCAGGAACAGCGCGAAGCACAGGACCAGCGGCGAGCGGATGTCGCGGTACCGCGTGCTGTACCACGTGATGGGGATGCTGGCGAAGAAGACGGGGAGCAGGTAGCTGAGTTGTCGGACTGCGATGGTCCAGGGCGTCGTGGACCAGGCGAGGTGGAGGATCAGTTGCGGTGTTATGGCCGTCACGGCCGAGTAGAAGAGGTAGCCTTCGACGGTGAAGGCGGTGACGGAGAGGGGGAAGTTGCGGCCTGAGCGGAAGAAGACGTGGGCGAGGAGGCCGTCGGTGCGGGCGCGCCATTCTGGTTGGGGGGTTTGGTTAGTTTATGGTGGAAGGGGGATAGGGAGGGGAGAGTGGAGGGACATGGCAGAGACGCACCGTAGATGCAGAATATGATGAGGAGTACGCAGCCTATGACCAGGGGAGCTATGACGTGCGCGTCAGACCAGGGGTATGTGCCCGCTGCCCAGTCGAGGGCGAGGAGGATCGTGGTGGAGCTTCCGATGAAGAGGACTGAGCCGATGGGGTCGCACGCCCAGATATATTCTGACAGCTTCATGCGCGGGAAGTCGCTGTGACGGGGTGGCCAGTAGAAGAGGAGGAAGCCGAGGGCGGATGTCAAGTGGAATGCGCCTTGCGTCCAGAAGATGTAGCGCCAGCCGCTGGAGCTCATATTACTGTACGCTCCTGCGCTGAGTTGGCCGATACTGGTGAATGTTAGCAGACAGTTAGATCAGTATAGCGAAGTTATGTGATTCACTGAGAAACCCTTTGAGTTCTGCCGCAGATGGGAATGAGGGAAGAGCAAGAGGAGAACAACTTACATTCCCGCAGATGCACCTCCCAAGAAAGCAATTCCGTTTGCCACAGCACGATATTTTAGGGGAAGAATCTCAGATGGAATAGACTGGACGATGGCTATAGTCGATAGGGTGACTCCAACCAGAATACTGCCACCAATCAACATGTTCATCGATGTGGCTTTCGCGCAGATGATGCAACCGACGAAGGCTATCAGTGGTGGAATCGAAGCGAGGTATTTACGATCAAGGATATCCGACAGACGGCCAATTATTGGAGACAGCACGGCTTGCATGAGTAGAGGGCCCTAACCATGTCAGGAAATATTCTCACAAGCCATGGCTCATACGCATACCTGAATTATCCAACCAGACAAGGACGAGTCTTCGAAGTCCATGGCGATGAAAGCAACCACAGATGCGGCTGATACCGTTGTATACACTTGAGCCATGATGCTAACGACTGTCAGTAGATGTTCACCGCCTCTTTCAGATTACCCTTACGTGAATGATGAGAGGAATACCACCAGCCAGGTCCTCCATCCCAGATCCAGAGGAGATGCCTCTTCAGCAGCTTCCTCTTGGATAGTCTTTACGTGCAGCTCATGACGATGTTGTGAATTGGCTTCGTGCTGGTTCAAGGACTCGATGCGAACAGCCTCTGTCTTCTCCGCCGTCTCCATGGGGGGCAGATCCTCGCGTCGTCCACGCGAATGGAACAGATGCAGAATCGGAGCGATAGTTCCGCATTCAAGTGCTAGAGCACAGGTCAGTTTTATACATTGCGTGCCGAGAAGCTAGAGGCTGGGAGCTAGAACGATTTATAAGGGGCGGCCAGGCGCCAGAGGCACGGAGCTACCCCACAGTTACAGCTGTGACAAGGGTCGTCGGGTGCGCTGTGACTTCCCCAGGTCTTTTACCCCGCGAAAGAGCTAGACCAGCAGGGGAGATGACTGACTCGACGCATATCATTTGCCATGAATGGGAAGGTGCGGCTATCGCAAGGGAGCCGTCCTGCATCCCCATGCTTTCGGCACTTGAGAAGTGAAGTATGCCGGTCGGATGCATGAAGGCATTCTCCGCCACGCCAAGGAGATGCAAAGATGGACGAATGATTACTTCTGCTGAGCAATCATCAAAAGTGCTGATAACGGGCAATTGCCGAGGAAGTGATCAAATGAGGAGGTAGAAACAGCGCGCTGAATGATGTCGCCGTCGTGTGCAGAAACTACTTCACGTCTGGAAGCCTGATATAAGCTTATTAGTCGTTATAAAGGTCCAATCTCTACAATCTGTAATAGTCGAGTATGACGTATCAAACAGACTGAATGCGCGAAGATGATGAAGATGGAGAGTCGTGGCCGTCCTGTGGTCGCGCGAGTCGAGCCGCGTCTCCACCGAGGCAGATCCCGGCCAAAATTTGGTGACGGACCGGCCGAATTTTTGCTGTAGGGCTGAACCCACGTCCTTCCCCCACCAATCTTGTCCGCGCTTCTTTCCTCTCTCCAACAATATGTCATGAGCACAAAGCAAAGCGCCGGCGGTCACCCTCACGACCATGTCGTGGAGGGCCTCGGCATCACTCCTCTCAAAGGCCATCTAGTGCCGCTGAAGACCAAAGGCGAAATCCGCGCGAGCAACGAGCTGAGTACGTCATTCCGTACACCGCACACTCTTCACGAACTTCCACCGCTAACTAGAGTCCCGCGTGGGAAACACAGTCGACGTATACGTCGTAGAGCTCCCAGCCCGCTCCGCCAATGCCGTCCTCAGCATCCTCCGCAGCGCCCTTCCCGCCGACACCACGACGCCCGCAGTCGACATCCAACACCTCCGCCGCGTCATCAAACCGTCCTTCCTCCCTCCGCCCGCCCTGGGCCTCCTCACCCCCAACCGCGTAAACGCCCCTGCCTCCTTCGGCGAGACGCGCTTCCTCCTCGTCTGCCCCACGACGCAAATCGCCCCGTCTGACCTCTCCACCCTGCTATCCGCACACCCACCCTTCAAACCCACCGAGCCTGCCGCAGACAACGACGACGACAGCACCGCACCCGCCGAAAGCGTCACCACCCCGTCCTCTTTCCCCCTCGCCATCCACACCCTCCCCGTCCCGGCCCTCGCGCCCACCTCCGCGCCCCAGGCCGACGGCTGGACCGCGACGTACTGGCCCGTCGCCTACAAGCACACCAACCCCTACGGCCCGCACCCGTCGCTCGTCTCGCGCGCCGCGGCCGAGGTCAGCCCCCGCGCAGGGACGTGGCTGGCGCTGGCGGAATGCGGCGCGTGGCAGGCTGTGGATGCGGGGATGACGGCTGCGGGAGCGGCGGTCGGCGCGGTAGTCGTGGAGAGGCGGTTGGATGGGAATGGGCGCGCGGTGCAGGAGGGGAGGTGTGTTGTTGTGGCGGGGGATGCGAGGAGGTGTGGGATGGTGGGAGGTGATGATGATGATGCTGGTGCTGGGGAGAGCGAGGGGTGTGGTGGGGTGGGTGCTGGGAATGTCATGGCGCATGCGGTGATGCGGGCGATTGGGATGGTGGCGCTGAAGCGGTTGAGGCTGGAGGAGGCGGCTGGGAAGAGCAGTACGCAAGCTGGGGATTCTGAAGGGCAGGGCGAGGAGAAGGAGCAGAAGCCTTCGCGTGCCTGCTGTGATCCTGTCGAGCCGGTCTTTGCGGTGCAGCCGCGTACGGAGGTCGAGAAGGCGCTGTTTGAGCGCGACGATAATCTCTCGCCGAACGGATATCTCTGCGTGGATCTGGAGATTTACCTCACGCATGAGCCCTGCGTTATGTGCTCGATGGCTATCCTGCACTCCCGATTCAACAGGGTCGTTTTCAACCGCCGCATGCCTCGCTCTGGTGGTATGACGGCGGATGAACACGGAGTGGGTCACGGGCTGTTCTGGCGGCCGGCGGAGTTGAATTGGAAGTTTCTCTGCTGGGAGTTTGTGGAGGACAATGAGGGTGCGAAAGATGAGGATGAAGAGAGCAAGCTCATTGTAGATGATGGCATAAACGCTTGAAGAGATTCTACACCTACACCTGTTGGAGAGAGCGTTGAATATGACCCCATCTTGTACATAGAAGCGCGCGAAGCAAAAGAAAATGCCTAGAATAGATGAAAATCTTTCACATCATCACTACAGTCGTATAGTTTCTAAGCTGGATGGCCATTCTTTTCTTCATTACTTGCCATAGTGCTGCAACGGAACTACTCAACCATTCATTATATGCGCTATGTAGGAGATCCTCGCAACAATGCCTATTACCGGGTATATCATCCAGTTGTCTCTCCATAAATACCATACCTTTCCATGCTATGACAACTCTCTATACCAAGCACACCTCACCCACTCCTTACGCGATGCATACGAAAGCCACTCCAGGCATTAAGAGCTGCAGCTACACTGCATCGCCCTGTTGTACTTGGGCGGATCGGCGCAGAACCGCTCCTCGTCCTTCTCGTCTAGTCCCCATTTCTCTTCGAAGGGGTTCAATGACATGTTCATGACGGTCTTCAACACATCACGCTCTTGCTTGCGCTCTACGCGCTCGATGAGCTCGTCAAGGACCCAGCCCTTGGGAACAAACTAGAGTGACGTTAGATATTGTTGTTTGCGCTCGGGTTCATAAGTGGTCAACTTACCTTCGGGTTCACGCTCTTCATAGCCGCGTTGCGCTCCTCGTCTTTGCCCTCGCCCCAGTCCTCAAGAACACGCTTCTGCCAGCTCTCCAGCCACTTGCCGATACGCTGGCGAGCCGTGTCTTCGCCACCAGCAACACCGTCATCATGGAAGAAGCGGGAGGCGAGCTGCTCGCGCTGCTCGCCCGTCTCGAGGTCTGCGGTCTTAACGTCGCTCAGGCGGCGGAAGGACTGGTTGAAATCAAGCTCATGGGCTTCCATGAGGTCAAGCCATTCGGAAAAGAGCTCATCGAAGTCACTCTTCTTCTGAGTGCGCAGGCCGAGGCGGGCGGTCATCAGGCGCTTATACTCGTCGATGAAGACGGCCTTGTACTCCTCACCGGCCTGGTCGATGGCGTGTTCGGCACGCTCGACCAGCTCCTTGGCCCAGTTCTCGCGCACGCCCTGGTTAACGAACTCGTCCTCATCGCAGCGGGCGCCGGCGCCGAGAAGCTCGCCCAGGGCCTCGCCCAGGCGCACGAGGTTCCACCAGATGATGGTGGGCTGGTTGCGGTAGCTGTAGCGCAGCATGTGGTCGTCGTGGTTGGGCGTGTAGCTGGGGTCGAAGTTGTCCATGAAGGCGAAGGGCCCGTAGTCCATGCTCAGGCCGAGGATGGACGTGTTGTCCGTGTTGAGCACGCCGTTCATGAAGCCGTACGCCTGCCACGCCGCCACCGTCACCGCGTTGCGCCGCGCGATCTCGCGGTACAGCCGCACGAAGCGGTTCTCGGCCTCCTTGCCTTCGCCGCCTTCGACGGTGTCTTTGGCCACGCCGCGCGTGACGGTGACGCGGTCGTCCTCGGGCTTCGCGAGCTTCGCGGGCAGGTTCTCCCAGCCGCCGTAGACGTGCTCGGCGACGTATTCGGAGAGCTGGCGCAGCAGCTTTCGCTCGCCCCGCGCGCGGAGCAGGTCAAAGGTGCCCAGCCGGATCCAGCTCTGGGCGAAACGGGCGACGATGGCGCCAGGTTCCATTCGCTCGCGCATGACCTTCGCCCGAGGGCAGAGTACGAGAGACAGAGCGCGAGTGGTGGGGATCTTCAGAGCGTTGAGGTACTCGGAGACAACGAACTCGCGGATGCTCGAACGCAGCACCGCCTTGCCGTCGGCGAAGCGCGAGTAGGGCGTCTTACCCGCGCCCTTGAGCTGGAGCTCGTACCGCACGCCGGTCGTGGGATTCGTCGTCTCGAACAGCGAGATGGCGCGGCCATCGCCCAGCTGGCCCGCCCACTGCCCGAACTGGAACCCGCCGTAGCATTGTGCCCACGGGTACACGCCTTCACCGGTGTCCTCGTCCCAGGAGATTATCTCGTTGCCTGCCAGAGCGTGGACGAACTCTTCCTCCTTCTCCGCGCCCTCGGCGAGCGCCAGGTCCCGCATCGCCGCGTCGCTGACGGCAAGCAGCTCTGGCGCCAGTGTCGGCTCTGGTCGCACGTACGTGTACAGCGCGCCTTTCACCATGCGCGGACCGAGGGTCTCGCGCGGCGCATTGTGCGAGTCTTTGGGCGTCTCGAAGGCCGGGTCGGAGGGTAGGTTGGACGTGAAGACGTTGGACTTGGGGAGGTCGCGGAGGCTCTTGAAGGTTTGGGAATTGCCTGTCGCGCCGTTGGCGCCGTTGCTTAGATGGTTCGCCATCTGCGCTAATCGCGGGCGTACTGCTTGAGGACGGGCGCGGAGGGCGCGGGAGAGCATATACGGCGGGGGATGGCCTGGTGGCGAAGATCTGGTGGGCTTGTGGGAGGTCGAGCTGGGTGGGAGAGCTTCAAGGCGGATGCGTGAGGGATGTGCAATTTGGTGGACATGCAAAGGAGCGAGAGCACAAATTCGCCATTTGATGTTTGGCGTATTGCTGCGTCATCAGCACGTTCGAGGCGGCGAGCCGAAAGGTCGAAGCTATTGCCGCGGCCACTAACCCCGGCCAGGAGATTTCTCAGCGCGGGGAAGTGTGTCGGCCCGCAGCTGTTGTGATCATGCCTAATTGCTGGGCATGGCCTAATTTAATGGACTTATGCTGGATTTCGACTGAATGAGGCATCTGGAGCTCTGCATATCCGCCAAATTAACGTATCGAGCAAGTGATCTTCTTCAGAGATGCCACAGTGGGTGAGCCATCGTAACTAATTTCTATCGTTACGTTGGTAGCTTCAGCTACCATCCAGACGTAGATTTGATAATTCGATATTTGCGTCCGATTATAGCTTCAGCTATCTACGCCAGTCGAGTACCCTTGCTCGCGAAGATCATTGCAGAGGGTCATTTCTTTTGGCTCCTACGTGGGTGCGGCAATGTTTTCCCGACCGTTATCTGATGTCGTCAGGATAAAGGCGGTGAGCGAAATGCGGCAGAACAGCGATTGGCTCTGATCCGCGCCATCACCGAGACCGGACCTTCCCTCTACAACTTCGTCACTTCTCATTGTGGGGTACGCGGGAAATGGTTGTACTCGTGCGCTGACCCGCTCTTTACCCCAGCGCTCATTTCCTCCGCGCCCCAGAGGATTTCCATCCTCACCTGAAGTCCAGTGGTCAACATGGATCCTCCAGATCTTCCGGGATTCTACTACGGTTAGACTTAGCCACCAACCTCGCCTTTTCTCTCAGTATTGATCATTACAGGGTTTCAGATCGCGAGCGAAAGAGATACTTCAAGATCCAGCCTGGCTACAAGCTTCCGGTTGGTGCCAAATATTCTACAGACGCTGTGAAGCGCGAACAAGCCGAAACAAATGTACGTAAAGTTACTGCATACATTCCAGGCCAGCATTCTAACGTACCCAGAAACGTAAGCGTGAAGAAGAGCATGAGGCTCGTGTGCGAACACAAACCGTCAAACGCTCCTTCATCTTGCCACATGCAGGTGCATGGAACTTGAAGCTTGAGAGTTACGGCCTGAAAGCCGATCCAAGCGCACATGCAAAAGCTTTGGCAAGCGGCTTTGAAACAAGCACGTTTGTGAACCCGAGGGTTCAGTGGGCTGCTGAAACCTCTCGTGAAATCGCAGTCCGGTGTTTCGACTATGACGCAGAAACGAGGACACTCATCACCGGGGTCGAAGATAAGCATCATATGCTACTCAGTACTTTCGTCGACCCGAACCTAAGCTCCAGGCGGATTGTGCCAAAATGGCACCAACGAGACTTCCAGGTCTTAAGCTCCACCATCAGTTCGGTACACATCACGCCACGCCGCCGAGTTGTTGTCACTACACGAGGCTCGAGCTCTCCTGCAGACATCCAGATATCGTCTCTGCGGAATCAGGAGTCTGTCTTGGATCGCGTATATATGGACTCTACCGTCAACTTGAGGCCAAACTCTCACACAACAATCTTCACGAGTGCGCCCAATCCCTTTCAATCCGGTCAGGAAATCATAGCGGTGGGCACTCTGGGCTCTGTCATTCGTTTAGAAGAAGGACCCTCCAGCTGGGGTGGCAAAACAGCGTTTGAGAAAGGGCCTGAGAACCGACCCGACGCTGCTCTGTCTTTGGAGTGGCTATCACCTTACTCTCTTTCAGCCGGCTTTCGATCAGGAGATATTGTGCTCTACGATACAAGAAGCAGAGGCTACCGGACAAGGCTGAAGCATCTATCTTCAGCGATTGGCATCAAGCGCGGAGAGCATGAGACGCAGCTTGCTGTTGCTGGTCTGAAGAGCACACTGTGCTTGTATGACGTGCGCATGATCAAGGACCACAAAACTACCAGGTACATCACTTCACTTTGAACCGCCGTAATGAAAACATGAACTGACGCATCAAAGGCCTGTTTTCCGGTTCAAAGACTACGAGAACGCCTACACGGAGGCATCTGGTTTTGACGTTCATCAAATGTCTGGGCTCGTTGCCGCAGCGCAGGAGAACGGGTACGTGCAGCTCTATTCGCTGAAAAACGGTTCCAAGATCAGGCGGCTGCGAGCTCCCGGGCTGTATGAAGCGGGATACGACCCAAAGGCACGGAACAGGGTCTCTTGTCTAAGGTTTGTCGAGGAGGTAATTGGTGCTGATAGGGGAAGAACGAAGCTACTGGGAAGCATCAATTCGCAGGTAGTACAGTTTGCATAGCGCAAGCACGGATTGGGCGGCTAGACTAGCATAGCAACGGGCCAAGCGGTAAGCGCGCGGCGGGCTCCGACGGTTTAATTGGAAGATCTCATTTGCTTGTGCGTCTAAAATGGGAGCGGGAGGCGAGATTGGACACTCAGAGGTATGATGCGGTATTGCATGCGAGCAACGCCGATAGCTGCCTGTTTGGGTTGGGCGAGCGAGCTGCGGAGCGGGCAGAGCAACGAAAGCGATGGAATAGCAGAGCAAGGCTCACCGTAGCGCTCACGCAAGCCGGATCGGAAGGCAAGCGGCAGGGCGCATGGCGGAGTGAGGAGCAATTGCTTACCGCGCACTGGGCAAGCTGGTGCAAGATGCAAGCTGGGCCGCCAGGTTGGGCGCACACGCGTGGCTGCGTTGCGTCGGGTAAGGGCAAATCTCGTCTGCCACTGGAAGCCGCCGGTTCAACCTCGGCCAGTCATCATGGATAGCTTGGCGCGTTTTCTATCATCATAGCTCGCAGCTCGCTCGTCCGCCACCAACTCTGACCGCACACCACACTTCACCTCGTCAATTCTCCTCGCTACCGCACAGCCGCGGGTCTCGAGCCATGGCGGACCTGCAGGAGCTCTTCGCTCGGCTGAAAAGCCCCTCGAACCCTGCCAGCTCGCCCGGCGCCTCGCAGTCCAGCGCCAACGCAAACACTTACCACCAGCCGACCGTCTCGTCGCCCATCTTCTCACCCCAGCCCGGCGGCCCGCAACCTCACCACCCGTCGGCCATCGTGAGCCCGAACACATCGGCCATGGGCACTCCTGCTCCGGACCCCTCTAGCACCGATCGCACCGCCAGCCTGCTGAACTTGCTGAAATTCAACCAGCCCAGCGCCCCGTCGCCTCAAATTCACGACACGGGGGCCGAGCGTCGCCCATCGAACAACACATTCCAGCACCCGGAGCACCCGCCCCAGCAGCCCACCCACAGTCGTGGCATTTCTGCCTCCGACCTGGTTGCGTCGTTCATGCGGAAGCCTCAGTCGCCTGCGGCCATTGCCCAGCCTGCGCCCACCAGGCCCGAGTTCCGTTCGGACGCTGCCTCGTCCGAGAACCCTCAGGACTTGCTGCTCAGGCTTCTCAACCACCCGAAGCCTCCTCAGAACGACTCGCCCGCCGTGCCTCCGCAGAACATTGAAAGAGATGTCTCGGAGAGCAGGGTCGACGATCTCGCTCGCGATTTTGCCGATGCGACGCTTGAGGCTCCCAGCTATCCAGCCGAAATGCAAGCTGTGCCTCCCATGCACGCATTCGGCAGTGGCTCTCAACCACCAGCATCTCAGTCCACCAACTCCAAGACGCTGTTCACCTACGTCAACCCCTTCGAGCAGCTCTCGGCCTCGTCGCCGCGCAACCGTACGCCTAAGCCCGAGTCGCGCACTCACACGCCCAAGGTTGAGATTTTGAAGCACGGTCGCGAGAGCTCCCCCAACCCCGGCCCTGCTTCGAAGACGCGCAAGCTTTCTGGTGCTGACTCCGCCGGCTCCGCTCGCGAGCCTGAAACCGTGGCTGATGCCGTTGCTGAGGTCGCTCTGGCCGTCGATAAGCAGGTGGAGGAAGCTCTTGCCGGCGTGGACAAGGAGACTAAGGACACCAATGGCAAGCAAGCGCTCGAGGAGACTATTGATCAGAAGGAGCTGGCAAAGGCCGTCCACGAAGTTGCCGTGGACGCCAAGGAGCACCTCGCTGACAAGGAAACGCGTCGCGAGTTTGAAGAGAGCATGCCTAAGGAGATAGCTAAGGCCATTGAAGATGTCGTCGAGGACGTTGCTCAAGAGAAGGTTGCTGATAGCTGGGAGAGTGCTGAAGACAGCCCTGGAAAGGACGACAACGCTGTCGTTGTCTTCAACTTCCCCATGCGGCCTTTCGTCTCCATCGAGCTCAAGAAGCTCAAGGAGCCTCCGCTGCCTATTCGCCAGGACAACATCATGGATATCGCTCGCCTGAAGAAGGATTTCGACCAGATTGACCGCAACTTGGTCACCGTGTCGAAGACCTTCATTGCTTATGCGCTGTCCAAACATGGTGGCTTCCGCCTTATTCGCCAGGACACCGGCAAGTATAAGCAGGTTTTTAACACCACCAAAGAGCGCATCTTCAATCTGCAGCTCTGCACTGGCCCACCTCTTTCATCTTCACATGATGCTGAGACTATCCTCGCTACCGGCGTTGACGGCTCCGTCTTCTGGACTACTGTCGCCGGCCACAGTGACACTTATGCCGAGGAAAACTTGGAAGAGCAGGGCTTCATCTTCCCCCCTGTCCCCGCTCAAGATGACAACACATCAGGCGGCCAGCTCAAGACTCGTGCCAAGAAGAGCTCTCGCCATCCGGAGTTCTTCGGTATCGGCCGTGGCAAGTCGATCTATCTCGTCTGGCCTCACGCCGCCCGCCAGGCCGAGTACACTGACTCGAAGACACGTGTCTGCGACAGCGAGAGGTACCTTCACCACCGCTGCCTGAGGATCGTCACTGGAAAGGCCGGCAAGGACTTTGCTTTCAGCGAAGACGATACCGTTATCGCGTCCCTGGATAAGGCTGGAAGGCTGCGCTTCTGGGACATTCGCGAGTTGATCGCCGAGGGAACTGCTCCCAATGTCGGACGCATTCCCGCAAAGGAAGTCCGCAACCCGATTATGCAGCTCAACACTGTTGCTGCCGGCGACAAGTCTTGGCCCACCTCCGTTCTTTTCTTAGATAAGGAGCGCCCTTGCGTGAAGGGTATTGCCTTGAGGTACCTTATCGTCGGTCTGAAGCAGAACCACACTCTCCAATTGTGGGATCTTGGACTTCAGAAGCCCGTCCAGGAGATTAACTTCCCGCATGAGAACGAATCCGACGCCATCTGCAGCGTCGCTTACCACCCCAGGACTGGCATTTTGGCTGTTGGACACCCAACAAGGAACTCCATCTACTTCATCCACCTGTCCGCTCCGAGGTACAACCTGCCCGCCATGTCGCAGGCTAAGTTTATCGGCCGCCTTGCGGATAAGGATTCCGAACTCCCCAGGCCTGAGTCCACTGCCATCATGAGTGGTATTCGTGAGTACTCTTTCGCGTCGAAGGGTCAGCTGCGCAGCTTGGAAATGTTGCAGGAGCCTGCCGCTTCGCCCGAGAGCTACGCTCCCGATGAGGCACCTCTCTTCGAGCTCTATGTCATGCACTCCAAGGGTGTGACTTGTCTCGGTATCCGCAAGGAGGATCTTGGCTGGAGCAAGGAGAGCAAGGTGCTTCACCCCATTGACGCGGAATCCACTGGCAGCATTAACATCAATCCCATCCGCCTCTTGGCATTGACTGAAGGAACCAGCACCACTGAGTCTTCGGCCAACGGTGAGGCACAGCAGAGCACGCAGAGCAGCCGCTCTCGTCCTACTCCTAGGGAATTGGTTAAGAAGGAGCCAGCTAGCAGCAGGTCTCGTGCCACTTCTCAAGCACCCGAGACTGCATCCATGATTGCTTCGACACTCGAGAGAGTTGAGAATCAGCAGGACGCCGCTAGGGCGGCTATCATCAACGGTAGCGAGAAGACGGAGAAGAAAAAGAAGAAGAAGGGTGGTGCTGCAGCTACCGACACAGCTTCCCAGGTTTCGAGCGCAACCAAAGCTACGTCTACCATTCCGGCTGCGGTTTCGTACGCCAATGTTGCTCAGCGCGCGAAGACACCTCCGCCTGAGCCTGTGAAGGCTGTCGAGGACAAGAAGGTTCCTGAGTCTGAAGTGCCTGCGTGGGCTACCCGCCTTCTGGGCCAGGTGCAGGCTTCAGGTGCTGCTCCATCTGCCGGTGCCAACATTGACTCTGAGTCTTTCAAGGCTCTCGAGACGAACGTGTCTGCTGAGTTCAACAAGACTTTCACCAAGGAGTTGGAGTCCCTCTACCGTCGTCTTGACGATGACAAGCGCGTTCAGGAAGCTGCCGGTGCTGCCAAGATGGATGCGGTTCTGCGCTTGGTGTCTAGCACCCTCACCGAGAACGTCGAGAAGAGCATGTCGCGCATCGTCACTCAGAACCTTCAGAAGATCATTCTTCCCTCCTTGAGTGATCTTGTGGGCGCCACTATCGAGCGCCGTCTTACTGAGATTCTTGCTACCTCGGTCCAGTCATCCATTCCTCGCGAGGTCAAGCAGACGCTTCCTCATGCTGTCAACTTGGCTTTCAAGGATCCCGAGACTATGCGCCACATCTCTGAAATGGTCTCCAACAAGACCACTGCTCACATTGATCAGCAACTGACGCATGTCCTTCGCAACACGATTGGCTCGTCCGTTCAGAACATCACGGTCAATGCCGTACAGCAGATGGCTGCGGATATGGAGCGTCGCATGGCTGAACAGGTCCGCCAAGCCGAGGTGCAGCGCCAGCGTGATGCCGCAAAGATCGATCAGCTCACCAACCTGGTGACCGGTCTCAGCGAGACCATTGCCTCGATGTCAGCTGCTCAGGCCAGCTTCCAGGAAGAGATTCTGAAACTCCAGAGGCAGACCGTCCGCAGCGAGGGCTCTGCTAGGGCCCCGTCGACTGCCCAGTCTGCTTCTTCCAGCGTCAAGAAGAGCGAGGCGGAGCTAGAGCAGGAACAGATTACGCGCTTGATGTCTGATGGCCAGTATGAGGAGGGCACGATCATGGTGAGTAATGCTTCTGAGATTCCATCCTTGACTCATACTAACTGAGCGTGCAGTGGCTTCAATCTCCCCGTCAGACTCAGCTTTTCGATAACCTGTTTGTGAGGTGCAACCCGGCCTACATCGGGAGCCTGACTCCCCTTGTGGCCCTTAGCGTTTCGGCCGCTGTGAGCTCTTCGCTGGAGACCAACACGGCCGAGCGCCTGATGTGGCTCGACGCTGTCTTCGCCTCCATCGACCCTACCGATCCGGATATCAGGGAAGTTGCGCCGAAGATCATGGATGTCCTTTCCTCTCGTCTCCAGGCTGCGTACATGCAGATTGCTGAGAAGAACCCCGGCGATCCTGTGCTGAGGAGAATTTCCATGCTCTCTCGTCGCGCCCAGGAGTTGAAGGCCGCCTCTACTTGAGCCTCTCGTCTACGTCTTGGTCGTTTTCAGAAACGACAGAGCGACGCTTGCTCCAATTGAGGTCGAGTTTGCGTCCACCCAGTGTAAATCACTCACAAGGTGGGCATGGCCTGCCGTCGGATGGCTGCCGCACCTGAAGATGCTGAAATACGCTCTTCAGCCGCCGCCGGCCATTCGCCCGTGACTCCCTTCCAGGCGAGTACGGGATCAACACTACTAAATTGTTTTGATTTCCTGCTTTTCTTTTCATGATTTCCCTAATTAATTCTCTTCATGGCTTTCGCATATTTGAGCGCGTTCAGTACCAGATGGCATCATGGCCCCCACGAATTTCCTTCCGGTTTCTTCGGTCATGACCCGCCAAAATCAGTTTCGGTATGGACATCAAAAAGCAAAACATGGGAGCGTTTTCGAGGCGTGGTCGGATAGTCATGGTCTTCCTCGTCAGTACATGGATACACCTGAAGCGATGCTTACAATTCCGATACTTTGCTTTTACACTTGATTTTTGTTTCCGTGTCCTTAGCGATCACTGCTCTCGTGGTGGTCATCGTTCGCTGGTGGAAGGAGGAAGCGTGAGGTCGTAATCGTGGGTCTGAGCTTGATGGCGGATGTTGACTGGTCTCTTTTTTTCTCGTCTGCTCCGGCGCCGCTGAGAATGCGGCTGCCGAGCAGTACAGAGAAGTACAGTCCTTTCAGCGGTTCATATGGCGGTTGATTCCAGCGCGAGTAGCATATGGAGGAATGGTTTTTCGTCAGCGATACACACTCTTTCCTTCACGGATGTGCATGTATGTATGGTGGTGGATCGGCCTTCTTCTGAATGCGAAACAATGGGTTTGGAGCTGGCGAGCATTCGGGGCCTGGATTACACACTCTACGCCTTTCGCTTTTGGCGCTGAGTCTCTAGGTCCCCGTGCTGGCCGCCCCTTTCAACGTTTCTTGTTTTTCTTTTTTTCCTTCGTTTTTTCCCTGTCAGCTGGTCGGCTCGGAGGTCGTCATCTGCAAAAAAAGGTTTTTCTACTTTTAGATGGACGGTGGTGGGTGGGCCATGTGATCAGCTGCGGTAGATAGGACTGCCAATGGGACTACTGGTTACTTATAAAAGCGCTTCTCTTCGTGTTGATACGACGTGACATGCATCCAGTCGATATCGTCTATCCCATCCGGAGAGGTCGATATGTACTGCCAAGCAGATTGTATTTGAGTTCACTCGCCTGTGCGTCGGGTTGGGAGAACGGGAGACTGGGAAGGAAGGGTGTACGTATACGCGTCACCGGGAGGCTTTTCAGCAGCGGATATCAAAGCCTTGATTCTGCATGACGCTCTGATAATGCTGGACACCGTTGTGCACTGCTGCTGCTGATGATCATGATAATGGTGATGCAGCAGGAGGTGATGATGCGGAAGTCTTATTGAAGCAAGCGAAGGGAATCGCGTACATGAGCAAAGACGCAAACGCCGAAAGTAAGAGCTCCAATTAGGCGTATGCCGAAAGTTTAGTAAATGTACCGATCCGATGTGACTGCTGTGCGTGCACTTCTCGTCTAGTGATGAAGAAAGGTGTGAGGGACATGGGTGCTCTCACTTTATAAGGTAGTCAGAAGGACAGCCGATGTTTCAGTTACGGGATAGTGGCGGGGATGTGTGTGTCCTACTGAGCGGGCTGTCTGCCGGCCGGTGCGCTCGTAGGAGTGGTTCTGCAAGCGGGGGCGTCAGGTTCAAAGCGTTGATGCTTTTGTCTGTGCTGTGCTATGTTGGTGTGCACTGCTGCCGGTGGTGCTGGCGGATGGTTGGCGGTGTTGATGGGGGATATAAATGTATCTTTGGGGCGTATATGGAGAAATTTCAGACAAGAATACCACGATATGCTCTCACACGACAAGACTGTACAGAAAACTGGCGTTTCGCCTGGTACGCACACAAGAAACACACTATCCCGTCCCATTTAAGTTGGGGAAGACCTGGACTGTGTGCCAATGGCCATTATGAAGAATGCATGATTAGATAGGTACACTTTCTACTGATGATGATCCTCTTCAGCATCTACTTATGCTTGAGAGCAGCATCTTCGTATAATAAATGTTCTCCTACAAAAGATGATGATTTACAGCCGTCCGCGGAGTGCACAAAGTTGGTTCTTAAAACGAAATTTTTTACCCAACGCCCGTTCTTAATCAACCCCAGGAAACACTACTTGTGCTAATTTCCGAACTATTTTTATGAAATCTCTTTGTAGTTGAGGGATAAGAGTTTAGAAAAAAAATTTACAGCAACAAGTCCAACAAGTACACGCCTCTACTGTGGATTTCTTAGACAGCTCTTCAGCATCTTCAGCGCTCTTTGTTTACACCGATGCTTAAGCTTTCACGAAGCCTCCCTATGTGCACAGAGTTCAAAATTACATCTTGACTACTTATCTGACTTTGCCAAAGATATTGAGGCCTCCATCAACAAAGTTCTGCCAAATGGTGTAGCAAAGTACAGTCATGTTGCCGTCATTGGCTCCACGTTGTCCAACGACAGCATGAAATACAAATGAGCCGATGAAGAGGGGTTCCAGGTCTTCCAACATGCTCCACACCACGGAAGGCGAAAGAAAATAATCCTCCGCAGTCTTACATAAGTAGATAAAGCTATCTCCCGGACGTAAATAGCTTTAGTTTCCCAACACATGCTGCTATAATATAAGACAAGACGCATCTTGGAAAGATAGTCAAAAAGACTAAGAGCAGCCAAGCTCCGGAGAGGGATGCTTTCGGAGAGAGAAGAGCGAGTGATCTCAGGAGCAGGGCACCGGCGCCTGTCTCATCAGCGCAAATGTCCGAGTAACCCTCCAACGTATTCTCGGTCCAGCAAAGGCAACACCAACGCCAATTAGCAGCGGTCTTTTTTGGCTTCTTTCTTCGTGTGGCTTATTTCACAATTTACGTCACCTGTGACAACATCTGTGCCACACAAAGAGAACGAGAAGGGAGAGACCACAGCAGCACCTTCTGTCAGCTATAACGTTGATGAGGAATGCACTGTTTCCCCGAGCTTGCCTTGGAGGTATAATTTATATATGCGTAGTGTACATGCGAATAAGGTCGTTAGCAATATCTATAAAACTAAACGCGGAAAATGTGCAAATATCAGTTCAACAGCTTTACCAAATTTCTTGGGAAATAAGCTTAAATCGCACTTCGAACACAGTCTTCGTATCTGTAGTGATTAGAGATTAGTTGTACACACCGTTAATGCAATCGTTTTCCTTCGTTGTCCTAAAATGCTCAGGCATTGAACGACCATCCTTTGATACTTTTGAATATTTACGTAATCACATAAAAGGCCTCAATCTCATGCATACGTGCTCGAATCAACATCGATATACCCCGAAATCGAGAATAGCTGATATCGAAACTTGAAACCACTCTTCATCTCAGTATGTAAAGCCTTCGTCCAGGAAGGCAGGGGATCCTCTGAAAATCTGGAGCGCCCCCTCCCACTCATCCCTGTTCTTCTTGTTTTTATCGTTGTAAATAACCCTCAACATCTCCAATCCGGTGGCGTAGGGCGACGATGCACTCCCCGTGGCCACCTTGCGTCTGCAGGCCGGACAGGTGTCCTTCCTCGCCAACCAATCCGTCAAGCACTCCTTCCCAAAGATGTGTCCGCAAGGCAGCTTCCTGGGCTCTTGGCACACCCTCGCTGCTGCTGCTGCTACTGCTGCTGCTTCATCCTCCTCCTCCCCCGTGGCCTCCTCGTTCTCCCCGAACATGGTCGCTTTCCCCGGCGCCACGCGCTCGACGTCCTCGGACGTCGCCCAGTGCCACCGCTCGTAGCATATATCGCACCCAACGCTGCCCTTCTCCTGCAGCTCCGTCTTGTCGACGACCGCGATGATGCCATTGCCGTTGCCGCTGCCGACGTGGCCGAAACGCCCGCGGCGTCTGACTTTTCCACCAGCCTCCGCCGCCGCGCGACTTGGACGACGCGTATAATCTGTGTCAGCAGCAGCAGCAGCAGGCGGCTGTTGTCCACCTCGACTGCTGTCCTCCTGCTGACGCCGCTCTTGACCTCCTTCCACACGCGCATTTTCTGCATCATCATCCACCTGCCTGTAGAACTCCCGTAAGTCCTCCTCGCGCTCGCGCGTCACTCGTCGCGACGCTTCCGCGGCGCCGCTGGTAAACGGCAGGTCCAGCGCCGTCGCGTGCGCCTGGTAACTACGGTAGTGGTGTCTGGGGCGAGTCTCGCCATGCTGCCGGGCGTTGCTGGCAACAGCAGCAGCAGCAACAGCAGCCTCTACTTGCTGCTCCGCGGTGATGGTGATGCGCTGGAACCCTTCTGCCGTTTGCTCAACGCTCTGGCTTGAGGCGAGGTCGCCGTTCTGGTTGGTCCTGCTGCCGCCGAGACGCTCTTGTCCTCGTGAGGCGTCAGAGGCGGCGGCGGCGAGCGTGCCCAACGCGGCGACGGCGGCTGCGGCGCCGCCGCTGGCAGTATGCTGGGCCACCCAATTGGCAAAGTAGTCGTCGTCGCTGGGGAGGGCGGCGACGTTGGGAGACTCCGGGACGCGGACCAGCAGGGGAGGAGTAGTTTCAGGCGGCGAGCTGACTGGTTGAGAGTCCTGTACGTTGACCAGCTGGGGTGGTGGTGTAGACGGCAGCCTGACTGGTTGGGAATCCTGTACGTTGATCAGCTGGGGAGGTGGCGTTTCCGATGAGGAGTTGTCGCTCTGAGATCGCCGGAATCCGAAGAGACGGAACATGCTGAATCGAGATGATTTGGAGGTTCTGTGGGTCCGATGGCCACGGTGGGTGTACGCTGGCATGGCGGCCTTTTTTTCTTCTTTGAATAGCAAACACTGATGGTTAATACTTATGGTGCGCAAGTGAGAGTTCTACGGCATTTATAATCGTGAGAAATTTTTTCGGCTCCAAGTGCTCTCCGTTGGGATATACAGGTTCGGACCATGGTACTTACTAAAAGACCCTTGGTTCAGTTGCCTTTTTTAGTCAGGTACTTCTACCCCAGCCCCTGCAATGGCCACGGTGGGTTAATAGCGAATGCTTTAGCACTATACAGAAAGTTGTGGTAGAAAAGGGTTACAGGAGACAATGGCTGAATATTTGAGCGCGCTGTACCGCACTAAAGACGCTTGGAGTTGCATCACGGTTATTTTCCAAAGAAAAATGGTTTACATTTAGCGATAAGAGGTTTGAGTAAGCTATATACATTATCAGATTGCATGGAAATACTTAGCGTGAGTGGCTTGTAGGTGGTTTTGAGTTCGCCCAACTCCAGCCAATCTTAGCGTTGAGGAACGCGGGCTCTATTTTTTCAAGGCGACTACCAATGGCCTAGATATTTAAATCAAAGCTTTGAGCATCAATTACGAGAACATAGAGGGAACATTAAAGAACGTAAAAGGGTTTACACAAAGCCTTACTCCAAAAAGCGCTCAGTATTTAAAAGGTTGAAGAGGTCAAAAGCGAAGTCCATCAAACCCTAGTACAGACCAAGCTTTACACTTCAACATCAGACGGACTATACCACCCACAATTTCCCCACTCCCAATCTAACCTAACAGATGCCACAACGAAGACTGCTCACTCCAAAGCACTAGGATCGACCTCCAGCTCCGCCCTCACAAAGTCATAGTCAAACGGCCTCTTCGTAACCTTGGTGCAGCGACCTGGCGTATGCACCCCCGCAAACCTCGCCTCAACCCACCTCAACCAATCCGGTGCCGCCGCAACAACAACGCCCGAATGATCCTGCTTCGGATACAACCGCAAATGCACCTCGCTGCCCCCCTCACACGCATCCCGCCACGACCTGACCGTCTGCTCCGCCAAAATCGCCGTATCATTCACCCCCTGCACCACCAATATCGGCCCACGCGCCCTCTTCTTCCCCCCCTTCTCCCCCGCTCCCCCCATCGCCGGCGCCATCTCCCTCTGCCACCTCTCCACCACCTCCCTATCCCCCGCCGCCATCCCCGCCGACGGCGCCACCAGCTCCTCCGCATCCAGATCCAGCGTCAACCCCAGCACGCCGCTCACGCACAACCCGGCCTCCTCCACCAAGCCCAGCCGCCGCACCATCGCCGGCGCCAGGACGGACGAAACATTAAACTGCGGGTAGACACTCCGCACCGCCGGCCCCAGCAACGGCGCCAGCCCCGCCACCGCCCAAGCGTGCATGTCTTCACGCGGGAAGACGAGCTGCTCCGCCAGCAGCGCCATGTCCCAGACTTTCGTCGCGGGGGCCAGCGCGACGGCGCCGCGGTAGCCGCGGAGGTCGCGCAGGCGGGCGCGGGCGCGGTGGTCGCGCGGGTGGTCGTGGGTGCGGGTGGTAAGGGCCAGCGCGTCGATGTCCTCGGCGAGCTTCCAGACGGCGCCGCCGCCTTGCGAGTGGCCGACGGCGAGCCAGCGGCGCGTTAGATACCGGCCAAAGGCGGTGCGTGCTGCGCGGACGGAGTGGAAGATGTCGGCGGCGTGAGCCGGGAAGGCGCAGTATTTGTGGGGTGGGGTGGAGGGGCCGAGGCCGGCCTGTTCGATGGGCGAGTTAGTCGTGTGGGGAGGGGAGGGGAGGGGACGAGGAGGAGGTGAGGGAGGGACAAACGTAGTCGGTAGCGACGACGGCGTAGCCGCGCTCGCTGAGGAGGGTCCAGCTGTTGTAGTCGTATAGGTCTGGGCCATTGGAGACAGCGCAGCCATGGTATGTGCCGATGGTGCCGTGGGCGTAGGCGACGAGGGGGAAGGCGCCGGTGTCGGGCAGGGAATACGGCAGGGCGATGAAGCCGGTGGCCGGGACGTAGGTGCCGTTGAGGTCTTCGGAGACGTATTGGATGCGGTAGACGGACACACCCGAGATGTCTTTCAAGGTGGTCGGGTCGACGGGCTTGAGTTTGAGGAGGTCGCCCGGTTTGGACGTCGTGAAGTTGTCGGCGACCTCGTAGAAGTCGAAGTCAAAGTCTGATCCTACGTCGGCGAGGTCGAGGGCGTTGGTTGTTTGGAGGATTTGGTAGCACATTGCTCCGCAGCCGTAGGACTGGGCCGTCTCTGGGGAAACATTGAAATTGGATCCCTGTTCAGCGAGGGCTGGTATAGTGGCAATAATGAGTGACAGGATCAGGGACTGCATTTTTTCGACGAACTGAGCTGGAGCAAGCTCTGTACATATTTGAGTGAAGCTCGCACTTATATATTCTGATTAGAGCCCGCTCCTGTCCTTGATTCCAATCGTACGTTCACGTCCTTACCCCAGACCTTTTGAAGTGCGTCGGCCTTCTGCATGTAGACTGGTGCGATTGAAGCTTTGGGTCAAGTCGAGCTACAAATGAGCCTCACTTCCACGCTTGGGAAAGCTTCGTGGTCATGACGGAAGCTTTACACATCTGGTATCCGCTAGTCATTTGGCTTTCCTAAAATGGTCTAGCTGCTCTTTTTCCCCAACGACATTTCCCCTCAGTCGCCTGCGCAGAGTGCAGCTTTTGACATATCATGAACATATGCTAGAACGGGATTTTTATTAGTGTTTCATTCTTTTAGCTCGAGTATTATGAAAAAAAAAAAAAAGAAGGGACACATGAATGGCACATGGAAGATTTCTCGGGGTAAATTAAGAAGAAACCCAAAGGGATATAATCATCGTGCGTCAGACTCAAGAAATAGCTGAAAACACCTGGTGCATTGACTGTCCAAGAGCAGCCATTCTCAGTCAATCGCAAAAATTGCCTCAGACTGGCTTGTACGTGCCGGTGTCGAAAGCGGAGCGTTGACATTCCCCTTTAGACTAGCCTTTGCTTCTTATGATTAGTCGCGCCAGAAAGTAGTGTTGTGCACGGACATATGCGTCTATGTCACAGCAGAGGGGTTGTTTGCGGATCAAAAGCAGTGGAGCAAATGAGAATTTTGAAGCAAATTCCGGAGCCACTAAAAGAAGCTGTAACTCTAGCAAGTTTCTAAAGTCTCTCTAAAGACGCGACGTAAGCGCTGATTGCATTTCCCTATATCTCTATTTCTTACAAGGGGTTTGTGCTTCAATGATGTTCAAAGTTTATGGCAATCTGCAGCATTTACTCGAGAATCGCACCATCATATTTCAGTGCTGCTGCTCGTCAACTGTAAAATCTAATCCTGCACCAAAAGACCTACAGACATTCCTCGTCCCATAGAACACATCGGAATAGGAAGAGCAGAGCACACAAGAAGGAGTGAACCTCTTGAAGCAAAGAAGTAGGTCGTCAACTAGTGTCTCGAAAATGTCTGCGAACCATGACGCAAAACCGCTTGCCGTGTTTTACAATTTGGCATCGACATTTTATAATCATTACGCCTATGACGCAGTTGAATCTCCGCTAGTCAGAAGGATAGCTGAGGTATTCACTCTCTGCAGCACATGCTCGTCCAATTTGCAGGTGATGATACTCACATGCACAAGCATTTGTAACGTGTTCCGTTACATCGGCTATAAAAGAGGGCACGCTGCTCTTCTGTTGTTGCCAAGCAACCTTCGTCAAATTGTAAATGCAGAATGATACAGGGGGAGTTGTACTACAATGTGAACCCAAGGCAACTGTTTGCCTCTGGCCTCTGCCTCCGTTTCCACTCCCGTCTCCCTCGTCTCTTCTGCTTGGCCCCGGTCGTAGTCGCTTTCAAAAGAAACCGCATCATCATTTGCCAAAGGTGAACTCCGGCATCAACAAACGATGATGAATCACACCGTCGCCATCATTCACCATCGATGAACATCACCTTCATCATCATGGTCGACATTTACCACCCGGACATTCTCTCAAACCCCATCCATGAGGCGAAGAAAACACGAAAAGAACAGCCCCAGAGTGTATCTTATCGTTCTCCTTCACTCCATGCCTCCCAAGAACCCCACTGCCCTCCAAACCCTCCCTTGCACGCAAGCAATATATACCCCCCTCCCCCTCCCCCACCCCCAAAACCCGCACCCACCACGCGACCACCCCGCCAGCCAGCCAACCCACCCACTCAACACCCAACCAACCGTCCACGCGTTGCCGCTCGCCTTGCCGATCACCGGCGTCACCTGCGCAGTTTCCTCATCAGGCGCCCAGCCCTACTGTGTACCATGCACGAACGTTTACGCGTCCACCCCCACGTTTGTTCAATCGACCTACTATCTACGCGCGCATCAAATATATTACCCCCCTCCCCTCCCCCTCCCCGCCTCACTCTGACTCCGACTATCCCATCCCGGAGGGCGCGTGTGACGCGTGGCGTGCTCGGAGTAGGCAGGCAGGCAGGCAGGCAGTTGGTGGAGCTTGTCTATGGTGTGCCCTTTTTTCATTAATGTAGACGGAGAAATTTTTTACTGCTTTGAAGTCAACATCGATGTCGGGCGCCTGAAACAGCGAATGCGGCTCACGCTGCTGCTTGGGGCTCAGAAGCCCGAATGATTCGAGTCATTGCCCCCAAAGCCAAGCGTTCACCTGCACCAAACACTTCACGATTTCTTCACACACGAAGCAGAAACAGTTCAAGACAATCATCCAACGCGTTCGTTTGTGTCAGACATACTACATTTGTTCAAAGTTTTTCTCTTCTCCTCTGTCTACTAGTGAATCTCCAAGACAACCAAGAACAAAAGGCGCTTTATTTATACAACAGAAGGTTTTAAAAAGTGCAGAAACAGCAGGAACTATCGTTCAGCCAAGTTTCCCATCAGAAATACTAAAATCTCCTTATCCTCAAATCATCATCGACCAAGCGAGACGCTTAGAAGTCACGAGCGTGGCGGCGAGCCTTGGAGCTGGTCGAGCCGGCAGTGAAGTAGTTCTCCATGACGTACGAGAACCACTGGAGGATGTCCTTGACGGTGAAGTTGTCAGGGATGGCGGTCTCGGGGGTGGCGACGCCGCTGGCGGTGGGGATGGCGGTAGCCGCGACGCTCAGGACGGAGCTGGGGATGGCGGCGGTGAGCTCGGCGGCGGCGGTGGTGGAGGAGGCATCGGCAGCGGCGACGGCCGTCGACAGGGTGGTCGGGGTAGCGGCGGCGGCGGCGGCCGAGGTGCTGGTGGCAGCGGTGGTGGCGGCCGGGGTCGAGGCAGCGGCGGAAGAGCCACCAGCGGCGGCGGTGGCGGAGCCAGAGGAGGCGCCCGAGTAGAGCGTAGGGCCGGGGATGACGTAGGTGGAGAGGGTCTGGTAGATGTTGATCAGGACACCCGGGTCGTCCTCCTTGTAGAGAGCAGTACCGAGGGTACCGCCAGTGGTGAGGTCGTCGGTGCCGTCACCGGTGACCTCGAGGTTCATGCACTGGGGGTAGTTCTGGGCACCGTCGGCGGAGCCGGCGCCGTGGAGGGCGATGATCTCGTGGCGCAGGACGTAGTTGCCGGCCTTGATGCTCGTGGGGATGGTGGTGACCCAGGAGTTGTTGTTGGCGATCAGGTCCTCAGCGGCCCAGGTCTGGCTGTCGACGTTGAGACCACCGGCGTCGATCTTGACGAACTCGAGCGTCTCCTTGTCGACGGTGGTGCAGTCACCACCGCAGTTGGCGAGGTAGGAGATGACTGGGCCCTTGTGCGACTCGGGCCAGTCGGTCCACTCGATGGTGATGTCCTGACCGGCAGCGACGGTGGCGCTGGTCTGGGCGTTGGTTGCACCCTTGTGGCAGATGATGTTGGGGTCCGCGTAGGCCGAGGGGGCGACGAAGCCGTTGTCAAGATCCTCGGGGATGGCCCAGCCGATGACGACGGGAGCAGGGGTCGTGTACTGCATCGACGGGTTGTAGTTCTGCGTGTACTTGCCATCGATGACAATGCCAGAGACGGTACCGTGGGCAGCGGCGGTGGCGGCGAGGGCGCCGATAATGCCAGCGTTCTTGAACATAGCAGACATGTTGATGGTAAAGGAGGTGCTGAAAGGATTGGTTGGTTGTTGGCTGAACGAAGAGATGGTCTGCTGTCAAAGCGATAAAATAGATCCCAGCTTCACGCAGTGAAGAATGATCTTTTGGAAAGAATGTGTGAGGTCGGAGACCGGTGAAAGAACGGACGTAGACAGAGAAGGAGTGTGTCTTGGTGAAGAAGAAAGCGATGGTATTGCGGGCAGAGCCTCAGCTATATACAAGGCACCATGGAGTTTCGGCCGTGGCTACGGAGCATAGGTGCGGAGATGAGCACGGCGGCAGCTGTGCTCTGGCGTTTCATGGCAGGGCAGAAGCGAACGGGTGGTGAGAGCACACTGCCGTGGAGGGCGATCGGGAGTGGTCGCGGCCACGGAGAATAGCCGATTGCGGCAGAGTGCGGTGGGTGATAGACGCAGGCATGGCGGGCAGGGGGGGTTGATGCATTGGCGAGATTTGAGGAGGTGTTTGGATGGAGGCTCGTCCGCAGTCCCGCCGTTTTGGCAGCTACGCCCTGGTCGCTTCGCTTTCCCAACTCGGCATGCGGGGCCTGGCCGTTGCGCTCGCCGGCTTCTGCTTCTCTTCCACCAACACCGCCCTTCGTGATGCACGGCTCCCTGCGAATGCGAGCACAATGGGGCAGAGCGCCAAGCTTTGCGTCCAACCCTCCGGCCCCTTACCGCGCTCCAAACACTCGCCGCACAGGCATATTCCAGGCCCCTTCGCGTGGCAAACATCGTCGCATAACCGACGGCTGAGGCCAAGCATGAAACGCCGCCAGAACGCGGTCCCCACCAACCAAGCCCTGCTTCAGCCCGCCCAATCTATCTGACGCCTGCCCGCGGCAACCAGCCAGCCAGAGTTCGCCATTTTGTTCCATGCTCGCTCTCGGCCCCAGCCGATTGCGCAGCCCGCCTCCCGAATCTTCGGATTTTGTTGCCTCTAACTTGGCCCCCGCCAGGCCAAGCTTCGATGTGCTGCTTGCCTGATGATTACCCGGGTGTCCACGTCGGCAGCCTCCGGTCGTCTGCATGCATGATGGTAGCCGCGCGCGACAGGAACCGAGCACTGCTGCATCCAGCCCACGCCCGGCCCGAGGCCTGCACCCTTCCTCGCATTTGATGCCGAGAACGAGAGGAGACTGCCGGCGGTCAGTTTTCGCACCAATGGTCGGGGCCAGCCGCTGCCACCATCTACCCGTCTCCTTGTGCCATATCGCTCGCCCATCGTCGCGCCCTATCAAGTCTAGCCCATTCGTCATGTTGCCTATAGCGAGTTTCCAATATAAAACACCCTTTTACTGGGGCACCGTTTTTTCCGAGTCAAGTCCCCTAATCCCGCACCGGCTTGGTGTGCCCTTCACTTTAGTTATCCTCCCTTTCTCATTGGGGTGGGGGAACGCCACCAACGCAATCCCGTTCCCACATGTCCACGCCTCTTTTATGCTTCTTTATTGGACCTGTATACGGATGGGTCCGGCCAATCTCGCTGCTCCTTTTTTTGGTCCTTCGCGAGCGTCTGGCGAAGCGAGATCCCAACCCGCTTTCGGACTTCTCGGCGCTAAGAACACCTTCCTTCGGCCTTAGCCTCCCTGTTTTGTGTGACACATCACTACCGAAATGCGCTGTTCATGCCTTGGAGCCTCAGCTCTGGCCGGAACCAGTGGCGGTGTGTGAGAAGCGTTGGAGCAGCAGCCGACGCGCCGAATGGATAGCTCCGTTGGCTGGAGACATGCTCCTGACTACGATACCGAGGCCAACCCCGTGACTAGACCTCTCGCAAGACTCAGTGTACAATCACTCAATCATGTCTCTCCTCGAAGTCCCTTTCCTTCATGATGTTGCGGCCGTCGCCAGCGACGCTCTATTCGTTTCACCGTAGAAACCAATCAAACCACGCCCATTAGCCCCTTGAGTACACTCAACTCTCACCCCACAACCCCAGAACTGCCGCGATTCTTCCCAAAACCCCCTTCGTTCAGTTACCATCGAGAACCTCCAAAGGTCAACGTCAACATAAAGTCCTTCAGCCAAGCAACGCAAATCCCAACCTCGCCAATCGCTCTTGGTGTTCCTTGCTTCTCCACAGACCGCAAATCCATGTGCACGCCTTAAAACCGTTTCCTGCATCCCCCCACAAACAGTGCGAGAGGATCCCGCTCCGCCCCAAAACATCCCTACCGTCATTCAGGGTAAGCTAGGTAGCAGTAAGGCTGATACAAAGCCAAGAGCGAACAAGCAGCAGAGCATGAAGAACACCCCAATCTAGCTGCAACCACGAAACTTCTTAGCGATCGGCGCGGAGCGTTGATGCAACGAGACACGAAACGAGGACCATCCCAGATTTCGCGAAAAACAAAAAAAGAAGCAGAAGCAGCAGCGGCGAAACAAAGTTGATCCCTGGCGACCGGACGGCGGCAAAGCAACCATGCTGATCCCTTCTGTCTGCCAAGAAAGATCCTTACCCGCTCGCATGAATACAGTTGGCTATTGCGAGCGCTGATCACCCGCGCGAGGTGGAGAAAGAGAGGCGAACAGAGGCGTGGAATCGAGACGCTGAAGAAGGCCGATGGGCGGCGACAACCTGGCACATCGCGCGACGCGCCTGGATTGGGCGCGTAGAAAAATAACCCTTTCCCCTCAGCCAGCCCCTTCGTCGCTCGATCCATGGTCGCATACACCATTCTCGCTCATCCTTGCCCTCCTGAACCTGCTCGTCGTAGAACTGCCAACGCGGCAACTTTCCATTCGTCCTTTCGACTTGACCACGTATCCGAGTCTCCGCCAAAAAACCGGAAAGAGGTCCGCTAGGGAGCAAGGAGGAAACAAGAATGTATATCGAGCATGAATAAGGCATATTTGCCAGCAATGCGAAGGGCTTATGGAATTGTGAACAGGTATACGGGAGGCAATACATCGCATAGGGAATGTAGGCAGCGCTTGTAGGTAGCACGGCAGTAGCAGTCGTAGCGCATGGCACAAACGCGAAGGAATACAGACGCGAGTGCAATTCAAAGAAGAGGGTAGTATGAATAAAGGGGGGTTGCACATATCCACACACACAAGGTCCTGAGAAAAATATTTTCGGTCATACACTTGATTCTTAGCACATATACAAACAAGATGATAAAAACAAAAGACGATACACGTATATCAACCCAGAAACGGAGATTGAACCTTGACACAGAAAAGAAGAGTAAGGGGCGGAAAGAAAACAGAACAGCCGAGATGTCTCTAATGCCTCTCATTCTCCCATTCTCAATCCACTCGCATGACATGCCATATGTCAAAAACCATTCTTCGTTCATCTGCCACCTGTTCATCGCATACACGCACACAGCACACAGGACACACACACACACATGCACGCACGCACGCTACGCACCGTCTCGCAAACCATGCCACCGATTCAAAGGACCAGCCATTGTCATCAAAACACAAACCCCCGAAAAGGGAAACAAAAATGAAAGAGAACCAATCACCCGAGAGAGAGAGAGAAAAATGGTCGTCTCTGTTCCCTACCTAAAACGAAATCCCCTTCGACGTTTTTGCCAAGAGTGAAAGTCTTCCTTCGCTGCCCCCCTCCCCAGCATCTATTTTCCAAAGAGAGGAGAAGATGGGTGAGCGTGTGAGCAGATAAAAGAAGTAAAACAACAAAAACAACTCTTAGGCCAAACTCTTGGAAGGAAAACGAAGATGGCAAATCCTATCAAAAAGATTTTTTGGAAGGATCTGCTCATCTCAGAAATCAAAGCAAAAAAGGCCCAGATGAGAGGAAGAAAAAAAAAACCAGGGGGGAATCACTGATACCGCCGTGCCAGCTCGCCTAAAAATATCACAAAAAGCAAGGAATTAAAGAAACAAGGCTCTCCCCCGTATCGTCTGCTGAGAAGATGGAACGGGGAGTGATGATGATGATAATGATGATGTTGATACTGTAATCAAAACTAGGAGGGGGGAGAGGTGATGAATGGGGAGAAAGCCGAATAGTGTTTATGCAGTGTTGGGAAGCAGAAGGCTGTTTTTTAATGCAAAAGGGTTGTTCGTCAAAACTGTGTGCAATTGAAAGAAGCAGAAGTCGACTTAGTGTCGAGTAAGAAAAACGCCCTAGGCTATGCAGGGCTGGATCTTGTAACCCAGAGGAAAGCAGAAGTCAGAATCTTCTTCTCCAAATCAAGCCCTTCGTACATGACCGAGTCCTTGGCCATGGAGGGCAAAAAGCCTTAGAAATGCAGGGTGCTGAGAAGAAAATGGTAATTTTTTGGTTCCTTTTTTTGTGTCCCGTCAACCGAGAAAGTAGCCAGAACGGTCTTCCGTATGTCCAACTGTTGTACAAAGAGATCCATGTAGTCCAACACGAGTAAGACTACTGGACCTCTCAAAGAGGGCCGTTTTTTTCTTTTTTGAGAGCTTTGGTACGAGTCGTAGCAGCAGCCTGGTCCATGGTCTACCGTTTTTGTCAAAGAATTTTGGCCCTTTTGACGGTTCGTGATGTCTGATGATAGAAGTTGGTGGGTAAAATAAATGAATGACAAAAGGCAAAGAAGTAAGACTCTTGTATCAAAGGACCTGCTCCAGACCATCTCGCTTTTTCGTCGAAGAGCTTCCGCCCCGTAAAGAGGCAGAAAGGAATGCACTCGTCGAAGCTCGCAGGTCTCTCTGGTAATCGTAATCGGTCCGTCGTGAAAATCATGAGGTCATGAGAGGAGAAAAAAACCAAGATGCAGGAATAAAACACCATCCTCAGGCTAGAGGAGCCTAGAAGAAACCGCCGTTCTGCTGGTTCGGTCCGCGGAAGGGGGAGCCGTTGTAAGGGTTCATGCTTTGCTGTACATTGTTCTGAAGGTTGGTCGGAACCTGAGGGTTGGACAGGCGGTGCGGCTGAGGAGAGGCAAGGTTGGTGCCATAGCCGTTGGTCATGTTACTAAAAGGACTCTGCTGAGGAGTGGCACCAAGTGAACCAGGGAACGCGATCTGTCCCGGACCAGCACCCGCAGTCGGCGTGATCTGACCGCTCGAGTTAGTGCTCATGCGACCGTCAAAGTCCTGGATCTTGCTCATGATGCGACGGCCGTAAGGAGTGGCGCGAATGGCGTTGAGCATAGGGCGGATGGCCTCCACGAGGCGGATCTTGGTTGGCGCATCGGCGTAGTCAAGAGCAGTCTGGACGACGTAGTTGGCGTACGAGTCACGGATCAGCTTCTCAAGTTCACCAGGAGTGAGAAGCTCCTCAATCAAGTGGCGCTTGGTCTCAGCGTTAGAAACGCGGATGCACTTCTCAATGACGTTGGAGCTGAACTTCTGCTTCGACAGCATGGGAACGCTTCCACGGAAGCTCCGGCACAAAGGAACCGTGAACTGCTCCTCCTGGAGATCGAGGATGTACTGGACGACGTAGTTGCCGAAGGGATCCTGGACTAGAGAGTAGGCGTTTCCAGTAATAGCGCCAACCAGTTCGATCCTCTGGTCGCCGGAGGCATGGTCAATGCAACGCTGAAGGACGCAGCAGCCATGACGGTGAGTGCCGACGACAACACAAGACTGGCCAACAGCCTCGAAGATGAACTGCGAGTCCTTGGAACCAAGGTGGTTCAGGCACTTCTGAATGACATGGTTGCCATTAAGATCCTGAATAAGCGTGACAACGTTGTGACGCAGAGCCTCGATGATGATGTTGATCTGCTCAGCAGTGGAGACGTACTCGATCATCTTCTGCAGAGCCCTCGTGCCGTGCTGGTTCAAAGCAATCTTAACCATCTGGGGAGCCGCGTTGCGGACAAGCGCGGTGCGCTGCTCGTCATTGCAGAACTCGTACATCTTCTGGCACAGGTAGTTGGCGAAGGGGTCCTGCATCAGGTCGACAACATGGTCCTTGGTAGCCTCGAAGATCTTCTTTACAATGTCCAAGTTGCGGCCCTCAATTTGCTTCTGAAGGTAGCGGCAGCCGTGCTGATCCTTGCACAACTCGACAATGTCATGAGGCATAAGAGAATCGAAGTTGTAGTTCGTCGTGCTACGCATGTGGTCCTCCTGGTTCTGCATGCGACGCTGCTGGATGACACGGGCCTGGCTGTCCGGGAAACGAGGCTGAGCAGGAGCCTGCTGGACGAAAGGCTGCTGGAAAGGCTGTCCATACGGGTTGAAGGGAGGGTACATCGGGACCTGGTTGTAGGGAGCCTGGCCATTGATACCCATGTTCTGCATGCCCGCGTTGAGAACCGCCATGCCATAACCACCGTAGTAAGGAGCGTTCGGGTTGTTGTACACCGGAGGGCTAGTGATTCCATTGCCATTGGAGGACGAGATGGTAGTGGCGGTGGGCGAGGAAACTCCAGCAGTCGTTGTCGAGCCGTTCGTACTAACGCCGTTGGTTCCATTGGTGAGAGCAGGACCGAAGGGAGCTGCGTTAGCTTGAAGAGCAGAACCCATAGAACGGAAAGCGGCAGCTCCCTTAGGCTCCTCAATCCTGTTTTCACCGCCAGACAGCTCGCGGCTGTGACGGTTGACTACATTCATAGGAATGCGACCCATGCTAGCGTTGTGGTTGTGGAGGTGCTGCTCAGCGTGCGAATTGACACCATTGCCGCCAGGAGTGCCGTTAAGACCATTGGTGCTCTTCATAGTAGGAATATCGTTGGTCGAATACGACGACTGAAGCTTGGGCATTCCATTGGTGGAGCCGTTGGGCGGAGTCGCAAGCAGTCCAGGGCGCTTGGAATCGCCGTACGGGCTGAATCTCACCTCCATTGAGTGGCGGTTGCTGATGGTCGAGCGCCTGGGAGTCTCCGTGCCATTGGCACCAGAACCATCGAGACCGAAGTCGTTAGACTTGTGCAGGTTGTTGACCGGAAGGCTGTGCTGGGCATGGCGGTGACGCGACGCCGTCGGCCAGCCGTTTGACTGAGGATCGGGGGAATGCGAGGAGACGGAAGCGAGGTCCAACGCGGCAGAAGAGGCGGACAGCTGCATGTTGTTCGCACCTTCCTGACGGACCAAGATCGGGAACTTGTCGTCATTCGAGTTCATCTGCTGCAAATAACTCTTGACATCAGGCGAGGCTGCAGGGTTGTCGTCGTCGCCGAACAGGAAGTGGGTGGTGTCAATGTGACCGAGAACCGAGGTCAGGTCTGGAAGGTCTGTAGAGGCGCGGTGGCGGAAGTCAAGACCGGTGACAGGAACCGAGTTCCTATTGAGACTTCAAAACTGTCAGCTAAGGTTCGCTCGTACGGACGCGCCAGACGTGCCGGAATGCGGTCTGACGTATGGGACGTGGTGACATGCAAGGGCTCGCTAGAGTCCGGCGCATTGGGACCTCATGCACGGCCAACGGAGTCGAGACAAGAGACGCAGATGCCAACGAATCGAAATTGCCAAGTGATCCCAAGCAGTGACACAAGATGCAAGTGAGAAAGGGAGAAAAAAAACTTACGCAGCACCGGAGCGGGGGTTCATGGTGGAGATGTCGTACTCGTAGTTGTCCTCTTCCTCATCAGATCCACGGCGGGAGCCAGGCATGGACTTCGAGGGGATGTGTGAGATGCCCTGGGTGAAGGACTGGCCGGGAGAGGTGATCTGAGAGCCCGACCTACTAGGACGAGTCGAGCCAGACTGGTAGCTCTGCTGGGGTGAGGTCATGCTTTGCATTGAGTAGCGCTGAGGACGAGAGAAAGCAGAGGGAAAGCCTTGGTCACGGTACTCGGGAGGCGTAGTGGGTTCGCTCTGGTGACCAGCGTAGTTGTTGGTGTTGCTGTTGTTCCGGCCCACGTCCTGAGAAAGGCGGTTGTAGTCGTTCTGAACGCCCTTGATCTGGAGATCGTACAGCTCCATCTCGGCCTCAAAACGGCGGCGCTGCTCTTTCAGATATTCGTACTCGGCCTTCTTCTTTTCCAGCTGGGAGATCTGGAAGTTAGCACTCTGGTCTGAGGTAGTGTCCGCAGTGACAGTGGACTCTGAATCAGAAGGTGAGACCTGGACCGGCGCCAGGTTGTCGTTCTTGCTAAGAGTGGACATTTTGGGATGGTGAAGAGTAGCGGTGGACATGCGGTAGAATATCTGGAGTGTAGATCTTCTGGCAACCCGGCGTGCAGTGCAGATGCACTACAAGATCTTGGCAGGCGAGTTGAGGCGAGGAAGATTTGAAATGCAACAAGATCTTCCTGCAAAAACGCAATGCTAGAACGTGCCGGACTGCAGATATGTAGTGGGTGGTAGTTGGGTGTGCGGATGTGGAGGGGGTGTGGGGGGAGAGGCAGAGGAAGTGCAGGATGGGGGGCATTTAAACGCAGGCAGGCGGACGAGTGGACGGTGACCTCGTGCATGCCCCGCCGGCAGATGGACAATAGTAGCAGGAACCAGGAAACAAGGCATTCTCACTTACCAGCTGCACTTTATGGTACGTCTGTCAATCAGTTAGCACTATTGTTCTTCTATTGTTCGCTCAGCCCACTCGAGGTTCCGCCCCTCGGCCGCAACGGCGGCGCATCCCCGCCCGCTCGCGCAGTGAGTGCAGCGACGACAGCGAGGCTGCCCCCATTTATCCAATCACCCGCCCGTCTCACAAATCGGGGGCTCCAAAGACAGAAAAATATCACACGTCGCACACGGCGCGCTTCGCGAGGGACCGGAAATCGCTTACCGCAGATGTCAACTCTGTATTCTCGGCAGCCTGCCTCCGCTGCTGGCCAATTGGCGACAATGGGGAGAGTGTGGGCATGGTGGGCACCGTGTTGGTCGTGAAGCGTCTCGTCAGGCTGCCGCGGGCGTCGTTCGCCGTGGACGTGTGGGCCTGCATCTGGCTGGCGATGCTGCGAATGGGCGAGGTAAAGCTGGGGAAGGTCGACTCCTCGCGCGGGGACTGGGGGCTGCGAAAGCGACGGTCCTCGGGGCGGTCCCCCAGGCCGTTGGCGAAGGCCATGGTGTTTTACCTGCGTCGCTCTCAGACATCAGCATCCGCATGCTCTCGCACCTCGCGAGGGCGCTCCTCGCTGGCGGTGTACCTGCGCCGCGCCGTGGCCTCGGCAGCGACAGCGGGCCCTGGGCGGCCACGCAGCTGGCCGGCGGCGGGAGGGGTAACGTACAGGCAAAATGATACACGGGGCCGCGGCCCTTGGGGGGTTCTCTGCGGATTTCGACTGCGCTGGGGGGCGCACGAGGGACTGCGCTGGAAGAGCCGCCTGGTGGTTGTACAGTACAGTGCCTAGTCGGTGGCCTGGTTAGGGCAGCAGCTGGCCGGGGCGCGGGGAGCAGCGCAGTCGGCCCAACGCGCAGCTGGTCGGTATAGTACAGGCGGGCGATGGCGGCACGATCTTACAAGTACAAAGAAGCGAACGATTGTTGGAGGAGCTGGGAGGCCGGACACGAGTCGAGGTGGTCGTCGGGAAAGCCAACAGCTTGCGCCGCCAGCGGCAGCCGGACCCTGGTCAGCAGCCCTCGACCGTCTCCCCAGTCATCGGGAGCAGCGCTAAAGCACATCGCAGCCCCCAATCGCCGTTCACCATTTGCTACAACACGCCATCTTTCCCGCGCCAGCACTCCCAGCACGCACATCCCAGCCGCCTCGACACCGCACGATATGCTTATGCTGTCCGGATGCAGGCCGACTCCGTGGGCCCGCGCTCCATGTCGCTGGCCGCGCGCCCCAAGTCCGTCGTCATGCCACAAGAACGCCTCCCCACTCGCCCCAACGACGCGCGCTCACGTCACTGGCGGATGGCCTCTGCTCGATCGACGCCGGCGTCCTCTCGCTGACCTCGCTCCGATCACAGCCGTCGCCCACAGCAAAGGAAAGCGGTCAGGGCCGCTGACTCGCCACGCTTTTCTGTCGTCGAGCCCGCTGCGGGGCTGCCGACCTCAGCGAATCCAGCGCAGTCGAGACGCTGCCTTGGCACCACCGAGACAGGAGGGATCTTTGTGCGACCGCGGGCGATCCGTTCGCGAGGTACTGGCGACCAGCCCAACCCGCCCGACAGACCTTCCTGCTGCGGCACGGCGCCGCTGCCCGTGCCCGCGCGTCTGAGGCACTTCGCGGAGAATGCAGACAACGTGATAGCCCACGCTTTCACCGCTTCTTAAACAAGTGCCTGGCTAGACTCGAAGCAGCTAGGTAAGCGGCACTCAACCGCCCCCTCTCGCTATCGATAAGTAAACGGCCGGAGCTGCGAGGCTGGCTTGGGCTGCCGCGCTGCGCCGCCGGGCATGGAGTCCCCCGCCAACGCCTTCGAGAACGTGACCATGACGCTCAACCTACCCAAAGAGCACATGCCAGTCTGCTAGCGGGCGAGTTGACGGTCCGAAGCGTGCAAGAGCTAATCGCCCCATCATGCGGCGACAGCCTCAAGCGCGCTCGTGACAAAAGCCCATGCCAGCCCTACCAACCTCGAGATTTTGCTCTGGCCGCGCGGTGGTGCGTCCGCCGGGACGATCTCGAGATTTGCCGAGCACGGGACGAAGTGTGGGTTTCGCTTCTGCGGCTGTGGATCTGCAAACTGCTTTCGCGCCGTGACTCACCTCGACGAGTCGGAAAGACGGCGGGGGGCGGGCGCTTTTCGACGAGGCTGGAATGCGCTGCTCCAATTTTTTATGGTTGTGCGTGGTGTGTAGGACAGGACCTCTCCGAGGCACGGCGGGTGCACCAGCGCTGTTGTGCCCAACGGTTCAGCAAATTACACCGCTGCCTTAGGCTGCTGTGGCGGAAGGGTCCTTAGACGCACCTGTCAATTTCTCGCACGTTGCAAACACAGGGCGCTTCTAGATCGCTATGTATGGTGACAGGACGCTTGTCGTTGGTTGCTGCAACAGAACCCTTGATGGCCGGGGTCGGAGCAACACTGCCATGTCATCCCCGCCAGCCAAAACGCTGCAGCTGACGGTTTAGCGTGAATACTCTTTTAACAAGCAGAATGATCCGTACGCAGGAGGCTCCCATCTGGGCGCGAAGCTGACTTGCGGACTTTCAAAGCTAATTACCAAGCAGCTGCCTCAGCTCTTTTTTTTCCCCTGGCCTGTTTGATTGTCTGCTTCGGCGCTGAATGTCGGCTGCGGAGACACTACGAGGTGCATTGCCTTTTAGAGGAAATGCGAAACGCGGATTCCAGGCGGCGCCAAGCGTTATGTCGTCAGTTGCGACATGCAAATGATTCCTCTGAGTGAAACGCTTCATTTGCCGGCAGCCATGCGATCTCTCATTTGTGTGCAGGTGTAAACGAGAGTAAGCCGGGTCAGGGACGCATCCACGTGGAGCCGGTCCGCTCACGGCTTGACGTGGCAGCAACAGTGCCACGAATGGCTCGATATTTGCATCGGAGATCTCTCTACTTTTTCTGTAAGGTACGGTCTGCGGCCCTCTTACATGTGGGAAGAGTTTATTGAAAGTAAACCCTGACAAATTGTAGTTGCAAACTTCTATATCAATGCCGACTGACTCGCCGGTTCTGAGGTTTACCACGTAGAACGCGGATTGTAATAGATGAGTTCCCATGAAGAGGCTGTAGCTACTAACCAAAACGACCGTAGAACGCGCTGCGAGATTGCACTACACGGCTGAGAAGCGCACAATATTTTGATTGGCCTGCGCATTGCCGTAGCTCGAGTGAGCGAGATCTCTGGTGTTGCTCATGTGCTCCGCTGAAGGAACAGTTGATTGGCGTGACGCAGGCACACACAGAGGATGTACCGTCAGGACGCTTGATGCATGTCCGCTTCGTAGTAGTTAGCCAGATCGCAGGTCGCGCAAGCAAAAGAGCGTCAAAAATACATGCTGCCGTCGGTTTTGGTGGTTGTGATGAGCGCAGCGCACCGAGGTAGTGGTCGCTGTTATCCTTATCGGGGCGGCAACGCCTGGCGACCGCCGCCAAAATGCAAGTCTTGGCGCGGAGCTCGAACTTCGCGACCGCCCTCGACGTCGCAGCAGCACAACTTCATCCACGTCTTCGGCATCACAACCCTCCACCCACCCCGCCTTTCTTTCTCACAAGCCTGCACGACTGCGCTCGCCAGCCGAGACTAGTCAAAATGTCGGGCAACGCGAAGAAAGCGGCGAGCAAGAACGCCTGGCGCCGCGCGAAGGCGAAGAAGGAGAAGGCCGAGGTGAGCTGTTCCACAACTATCCCCCATCTCCGCGGCTTGTCCGACTAACTTCAGTAGACTGCATCTTCTAGAGAAGTTTCTGAACAACCTGCCATTGCCGAAAACGGTGTTGCGCCGCCCGCAGAGCCCGAACCCGAAGCTAGACCTGATAACGACGCCGAACCTGTCACCGACGGCAACACTGCTTCGTCTCAGGCTCTCGTCTCCATTCAAGACGATATCAGCTTCGACGACCCGCTCTATGAGCAGTTCAAGGATGTTCTTGAGAGATTCCAGGAGTTCGAGAATGCGGAGAAGAGTGACAGTCAACAGGTTCAAAAGCCCGAGGTCATGTGGGATGAAGATGAAGTCCCGGAGGAGGAAGACGATGATCAGCCCAAGCAGCTGTCAAAGAAAAAGAAGAAGGAGATGAACAAGTTGTCCGTAGCAGAACTGAAGGCCCTGGTCAGGAAACCTGAACTGGTCGACTGGACCGATACCTCTTCACCCGACCCTCGCTTACTCGTCGCCATCAAATCTCACCGCAACGTCGTCCCTGTCCCGAGCCACTGGTCGCTCAAGCGCGAGTACCTTTCCTCGAAACGGGGTATCGAAAAACCACCCTTCGCCCTTCCCAAGTTCATTCAAGAGACTGGTATTGCTGAGATGCGCGATGCTGTCCTTGAGAAGCAAGACCAACAGACATTGAAGCAGAAGCAGAGGGAGCGCGTGCAGGGCAAGCTGAACAAGCTCGACATTGACTATCAGAAGCTCTATGAGGCCTTCTTCAGATTCCAGACGAAGCCCGAGCTGACTAGATATGGCGAAGTGTACTACGAGGGCAAGGAGTACGAGACCAACTTGAAACACTTGCGTCCCGGTGAGCTTAGTGAGGAGCTGAAAGAGGCTTTGAACATTCCGCCTGGTGCTCCTCCGCCCTGGCTGATAAACATGCAGCGTTTCGGTCCTCCTCCTTCGTACCCTGCACTGAAGATCCCCGGTCTCAATGCGCCGCCGCCCCCTGGGGCTCAGTGGGGTTTCCATCCTGGTGGATATGGCAAGCCTCCGGTTGATGAGTACAACAGACCCCTCTACGGAGGTGATGTCTTTGGTGTTCTTCAGCCGAACCAACCTGAGCCTGTCGGTGAGCCCGTTGAAAAGACGCTCTGGGGCGAACTGCAGGAACCCGAAGAGGAATCGGAGGAAGAGGAAGAGAGCGAAGAAGAGGAGGAGGATGAGGACGAAGAGTCGGATGCTGGCGGAATGGATGCCAGCGGCCTTGTCACCCCTGGTGGCATGGCCTCGACTGTCCCATCTGAGTATGGCGGCGCGGAAAGTGTTGGTGGTGACTTCACTCTACGCAAACAACGCCGTGGCACCGAAACAGAGGAACCGACACAACCCCGCTCGGCTTACACTGTGCTGCCGGAACAGAACATCAAGACTTCGGGCTTCTTTGGCGGCGAGAAGGCATACGATCTCAAGACCGCTCAGCAGAACATTCCGGTCCTTGGACAGGAGGATAACAGTAGGAAGAAGAGGAAGGCAGGCGATGTTGACGTCAGTGTCGACGTCGATGCCTTGGAGAGGGATGACAGGCTCAGCAAGGAGGAAGTCAAGAGGCGATACGAATCACAGCGTCAGGCCGAGCAGCAGGGCAGCTGGGGCTCTGCTTACCAGGATGATCTCAGCTCGATGATTGCCGAAGAGAGCGCCAAGAGGCTGAAGAAGGATCAAGAGCGCCGCGGTAGGCGCTAGTTTCCAGACGAACGACACAATGGAAAGATCACAGGACAACTCAAAAAAGCAGGAACAAGTGAATTTCAAAAAATTAGAGAATGAGGGGATCCACACGATGACATTAATGGGAGGAGGTCAAGATACCAGTTGTTGTTGTTGATTCAGGACATGCATAAGGGAAAGCTTCCATAGCCGGCGGGCGTTGCTGGATGGGCTGGGTTTCCGGGATCAGGGAGGAGTACCATAAAGATCAATGCTTGCAAAATTTCTGCCTAGGATTCCGAAGTCGACTGCCGCAATGCCTCGCCGGGCATACAGATGTGATGATGCCGAGAATCGCGCTCTCGAGCGGGATGAAGGGTTTGGAGTGAGGAACGTACGGCCAAGAGCCATTTGTGGGGGTTTCGATACTGATGAATCCAGGCAAATGCAATGTTGGAGCCGGCGGCTACGGTACCGAACCATGGACCAACCAGGTAACACGATGCGGCTCAGGAACCCGGCGTAAGGTGGACCTGCTGGAACAACAAGGCCTCAGGCGGCCTCACATGAGTATGGCCGCGCCCACGTGTGAACATCAAATCTTTGGTGTCGCATCTGGCTTGCTGCGAAGGGAATCTGGAACTGAGGCTGTGGCAGAGGTCGCAGAGGTTCTGGCGGCGGAGTGCATCGCGATGACGCCTGGTCACGTGACGATTTGCTGCACCAGCTCCTTTCTCGTTCGTTTCCTCTAGACAATCGCTGGCGCATCGAACCGACCAACCACTTTGGACGCGACTCCGCCGCCTCGACGCTCGACATACCGGCCGAGACACGTCATCGCAATGGATCGCGACCGTGACAGGGACCGAAGGTGGGTGATGCTAATTCCGAGCTTCCTAGCTTTGCAAATCCGCAACATCGACATTTGCGGCGCACCTTGCTCGCGCGCCAGCTTGGGCCAACACCAACACCGTCCACGCCCGCACCCGCAGTCGTTGCAAGATTTTAGCTGACATGCAGTCTTACAGGCCCGGTGGTGAGCGCTACGCACCGCCATCGGCGTCGACGTACCGTCCTGCAAGATCTCCGCCGCCACGCGACAGTTACCGTTCCACGCGCTCTCCGCCACGCCGCCCTCCTCCGGCCGACTCGTATGTGCCCTCGTCCAGCAGAGCTCCGCGCCCTCGAAGCCGGTCGCCCGTCTACCGCCGCAGGTCACGCAGCCCTCGTGGAGCATACATTCGCCCAGAGAGTGATACGTGGAGGGCTCGTCCCAGGTCGCCGCCTCGCCGAGACTACTCTCCGCCCAGGCGTGATTATTCGCCTAGGCGCGACTACTCGCCGCGGCGCAGAGACTATTCTCCTCGGCGTGACTATTCGCCGCCAAGGCGGGAGTACTCGCCTCGCCGAGAGGATTACCGGAGGGACACTCGTGCGCGGTCACCAGTGCGTGATTATGCAGACACCGGATATGACAGGCCTTCACCACGTCCAGTGAGGGAGAGGTCGCCGCCGCCTCTGAAGAGGAGCAGAGATGTATCGCCGGTAGGCAGTCGTGGCCGCTCACCTCTGCCCGCGCCCAAGAGAGAGAGGCTTGCCTCGCCGCCGCCGAGGGCTGGTCGTTATGAAGAGCCTAGGCCGAGGGCCTATAGGTGAGACTGAGATCTTCTGCAAAGAAAAAAAAAACCCTTGCTAAACTGAGCCAGTCCTCCTCGTCGCACCTACTCGCCGCCGCGCGAGCGGAGCTACCGCCCACGTTCCCGTTCACCTCCCCGTCGCGAAGAGAGGGTCGATCCGTACAGTGTTGATTCGTGGAGGCGTCGCTCACCCTCTCCTCCGAGACCTGCTGCATACGACGCTGGCGTAAAGTCTGGCCGCGAGTCTGTGGCCTCCTCGCGTCGCTCTTCTCCACCAGTTCATCCTAGCAGGCTTGGCTTATTGCCTGAAGAGCGTCCTCCTGCTGAGCGCTTCTCTCCTCGACCACGCTCGCCGTTCCGCCCACGCTCAATTGAGCGCGAACGTTCTCCGCCGCCACCTCGTCGCGACCCCCCTGTGCCTATTCGTGAGCGCGAGCCCTTTCCCAATGGCAGTCCCGCTACTCCTGCTCCAGCCCCTCCCACCGGACCGCGTAATGGAGACGCGCCCTTTGCACGCGCCCCTCCCACAGGGCCCGCCTCGACTACTCCCCGTAATTTCGCATACCCTGCGATGTCACCTCCCTCAGGCCCTGCCTCTAACGTTCCCATGTCTGCTCATGCTCGTCCTGGCAACCCTATCCTCTCTGCCCCGTCTCGTCCGCGCGGTGGTGGTAGAGGTGGCTTCGGCGGCGGCCCTCCGCGGGACTTCCAGCCCTATGACAACACCGGCGGCGCCCCGCCCTTGGGACCTCGTCGTGGTTCGGCTAATTGGGGCCCTCGCGGTGGTGGTGTGTACGGCGGTCCTCCTTCCGGGCCTCGCGGTGGGGCCCCGCCCTTCCGCGGTTCAGCTAATAGTACGTCTACCACTTACCCACGCACACAACGCTTCAACAATCCCACGCCGCCTACTGGCCCCGCTGCTGCTGCCGTGGCTCCGACTATTGGCGGCCCCGCCATCCCTACCGGCCCTGCTGGCACGGCGAGCCTGAATACGAGCAATAGCGCCGTCGCGGCACACCTGTCGGACTTGCCGACTATCGTGCCTGGAGGCATCCGCCAGAAAGACCTTTTCGACAACAGCCGTCTGCTGAAGCTGGAAGACGAGGCGCGCAAGCTGCGCGAACAGATCGCGGAGAAAGAGGCTCTGGGACGCAGGGGCAAGAGGGAATGGGAGCGACTGGAGAGGGAGGCAGAGACATTCAGCCTGAGGGGTGATCTGGCCGATGAGCACCTCAGAAGCCTGAATGGAGAGGGAGAGCTAGGTGGTGCTGCGTTCTAGATCCCTTCCCAATTCTGAGGTTCCCAAAGGTGTCAGGTAAGCGAGAACGAATGAGAGAGCTTCATTCATCCGCTCTCTGCTTGAGGAGGTCCTAATGATTTGGGGAATGGTTGGGCTTCTTTTTCTTTTTTCGGACTTCACATGACTTCTTCTTTTTCGGCCTTTTGCTGCTTGCTTGCCGTTCCTGCTCTACATCCCCCTTTCCTCAACATCGGACATCATGCAGGCACGGTGCCTAAGGCGTTGAACTTTCTGAATGCCTTCCCTTTTTTCATGGATGCTTCTTTTTCTTTCCTTTTCTTTCGTCCTTTAGTCATCATGAGCACAGCGATCGGCGAAGGCGCGGGATTAAATTGGCGGTTCAAATATTCAAATCACATTTCCTGGCAAGGATGGGAGGGGATCAAAAAGAAAAACCTTTTTTTTATCATTCTGGATTAATAACGAACACACACAAAAAAATTGAGATAAAAGAGTCTCCCGATATTTAGCATTGCGAATGGCGAAACTTTGTTGGATTCCCCCCTTTTTTCTTCCTTTTCTCCTCTGTAGACTATATGGGCTGGAAGGTTGACGGAAAGTCAAACACGGCGCAGGGGATATGTGAAGGCTTGGAAGGTCGGTAATGAGTGAATGAGTAATTTGATGCGTTTGGTCAGATGTTGTGTTGTGCTTTTGGTGAGACTACTTCTGTAGCGGAGAGCTGATGAGGGGGTCATGTGCCTGGGTCATATGCAGACTGACAGCATTGTTACTCACTTAGTGGGATGTTTTATTGTTGAAGCTCAGAGTCAAAGTGCCGAATACTCTTTAGGCGTGAGTGAGCACCTTTGCTTTGCGGGTGTCGATGCGGCGATACTGCTCAGGAGGAGTGACATGTGGAGTTGGGGGACATTGGCACTTAGAAGATGCAGACGGTATATTACGCACATGATGACATTTAGCATCACGATACCAGGCCCGTCAGTAAGCGAAAACTCGAGAATAGAGCTGATATTCCCAGTCAGCAGAACAACACGTGCGCCCCGCGTTGATCTGCTGTGATACACCTTGCTAGTCACAAGATGCAGGGGTATTCACACCTATATATCGCAGAAGGAAAAGGAATATCGGCTTCCTGAGCTTCGTGAAGCCTACTAATCTCAAATTTGGGATTCACTCGCGCGCATTGGTCACTCCTTTTTCCGCTCTAGATAAAGGTAAAGAATTAGTTCTGCGTATTACATGCCAATGATAACTTTAATATCTTACCTGACGCTTCACGCCATGAAGCTCAGGTGTTGAGCTCCATCATTATAGCAAATTGATGCTCGTTCTCTTAACATGAGTTTGAATAGAGAACGCAAACTGAGCGAATAAGCTCGCAGAGCTCCGGACAGCAAAAAGTAGAGTGCCAAGGTGTCTTGTTTTAAGAGTGTATTGCCTGCCTCCGCAAGAACTAGATGCTTTTGTAGCTACAGTGCACCGAAACTCAAGGCTCTTTTAAAGTCTTTCAACCGGACGCAGCCTGCTCTATGGTTCAGCCGAGCGGCGTCAGATGAGTCTGCGCGCAGTCATGTGTGCACAGCATAGGCCTAACCACCTGGCGTTGCAGCACATGAGATCAAGTGCGGAGTTTCTGGATAAAAGCATCAATGCTATTTAAATTACCATGGCATTACTCATCGCAGGTTCATCTATTTCGGCTGATCACAGTCTACAGTGAAGGCTACTGAATACCGAAATACTCCGGTTCTCACTTGTTTCTGTGCCTTTCTATTCAACAAAAGTAAAATTCTGGGCCTTTTCATTCTTTGCTCACCATTGTTGGTGTACATTTGTGCTTTTCATTATGTAATATCATCAACTCGACCTAATAATATGCATCATCATAGTTGGTGCATTGGTGATAATCATCACCATAGTATCTAGATTTCCATCTCAGTTGCACCTTCCTCGTAAGAAAAAAGAGAACCAAGATGAACCGAAAAGAAACAGAGGGGGGACACAAAGTAAGTGCAACCTTGTATTGGGAGAGTACAGGCATGGTGTTGTTGTTTGGAGGTGATGAGGGTGTTGATCCTCGGTGGATGGAGTAGGATTTTATACCACATTACCTGAAGTTGGGGCATGTGACAGATTAGTATGAACAACATTTCAAATATGCAGGACCGCTTTAGATGCGGCATTTGTGCCTGGGTGCAAGTGGCTCCACAACATCCACTTCCGCCACTGGTATTTGAAGTCCCCGTCCCCGGGATGGATGTATCAATGCCGTCTAAAACATCGGCATAGAGGGCTATCCAGTCCAGCCCGCCACGAGCCTGGCCGAATGTAAGAATCACCAAAGGTTGCGTTTGGCTGCTCAAATGGCATGAGAGCTCGTATCTCTAAGAGAGTTCTAGAATTTGAGAGTACCTGTCCGTGTAACAGATCCCTGAGTCTCATTGCCATCGTTTAAGCCTTTCGGTTATGCATTGTAGTAGGAACATGCAGCTAGGCTAGCTAAAAGAGATCGGCGGGCGTCATGTTTCATGTACCTGACCAACTTCCTTCTGGGTGAATATTTTTCCCGTAATTCCTGGGGGCGAGTCCGACATCGCAGGGACAGGCTCTGCCCTACGGAAACCGCCAAGGAAGTTGCCGAAGTTTCTTTTTTAACCTTGCCACAACCACCTCTTCGACAGTAAAGCTGCAGGATTGACTTCTTGAAGATGGGCTGCTTCTATCTCAGTATCACAACTGAAAAGACGCACTCTTCGATTCTCTTCTTTCTCTTCTCTTCAACAGACCTTCCGCTTGTACCGGAATCCGGAACGGACAAATGTCCGTAGTCGCCGGCCAAATCGATGGATCTGCCAGGTTGATTGCCCTTCTTGTCCCACTAGCTTGTCACGCCTGACTCGCCAAGTCTTCTGGAGGGCCTTGGTCGTGGAGTAGCCAAGACCGGTCGTTGACCTGATTGATTAGATCTTCCGATAATCTGCGCAGAGGACCTCCCATCATCTCTTCCACCTCGTAAAAAGCAGGTCCGTACGTCTGGGCGCGGTCATACCCTGGCTGGTGCGCGGCGAAGAAGAAGAAAAAATGGCCCGGTGGCAGCACCTATCGGCCGGTGGGATGTCAAGGACACAGACGGGTTTATATCGAGGTCCATGCCCTCCGGCAAAGAGGCCTGAATGCTTGGTTAGGTAGGCTGTTTTCCTAGCTACATCGTCTCGACTCTCTTTTATTCCTCTTCTTGAAGGTCTATCTTTCAACTCTCGTCAAGAAGACTGCCAGGATGCGTTCGACGGCAGCAATCAGCCTCTTCGCGGCCGGCGCCCTCGCGGCCAACACCACCTACGACTACATCGTCGTCGGCGGCGGCCCGGCAGGCATCATCGCGGCCGAGCGCTTCGCCGAGACAGGCGCATCAGTGCTGCTGCTCGAGCGCGGCGGACCCTCAGCCTACTCGTCTGGCAACAACAACACGCTGCCATGGAACAACACGGTCACGTCGGTCGACATTCCGGCCTACGGCTACCTCGCGCGCTCGACGCTGCCCGCCGGCACCTTCTGCACCGACACGGCGTCCAACGCCGGCTGCATCCTGGGCGGCGGCGGCACCGTCAACGCCGAGATGTTCGTCCCGCCGCACGCGGATGACTTCGCGACCTGGCCCCGGGGCTGGCGTTGGGAGGACGGCGTCGCTGAGGCGGCGGCTGCGGTGCATGAGCGTAACCCGGGCAGCGTCTCGCCGTCGCAGGACGGCCGCCACTACTTGACCGGCGTGTTCGACCTGTTCGGTGGCTTCCTGGGCGAGAATGGTTGGAAGCAGGTCGACGCCGTTGCGCAGCCCGATGAGAAGCACAATGTACGTCGACATATCCCCCCTCTCAGAGAAGTCAGTGTTTGTTGTATAGGTTTAGAACTCACCATGTTTTTCTTTATAGGTCTACGGCTACCCGCCGTTCAATGTCCAGAACGCCGTCCGCGCCGGCCCGGTCAGGACGTACCTGCCGCTCGCGGAGGCCCTTCCCAACTTCACCCTCAAGCTGCACACCAAGGTCATCCGCGTCGTGCGCACCGGCAGCACCGCCACGGGCGTCGAGGTCGAAGATGCCAGCGGCGCGCGCTCGATCATCAACCTCAGCTCCTCCTCAACCGGCAAGGTCGTGCTGGCGGCCGGCGTGATGACGACGCCGCGCCTGCTCTTCAACAGCGGCATCGGGCCCGCCTCGCAGATCGAGCTCGTCGCCAACGGCAGCACGACGGCCGACAGTGTCGCCCTGCCTCCCCGCGCCGACTGGATCGAGCTGCCCGTCGGCGAGGGCGTCAAGGACCACCCCATCTTCTACATCAACCTCAACCTGACCGCCGCCGCCGCGGGCAACGACTCGTCGGTAGTCGCCCTCTACGACCCGCAGAACCCGCCGGCGACCGACATCGCCCTCTACAACAGCGCCGGCGCGGGTCCGCTCGCCCAGGGCGTCCAGCGCCTCATCTTCTGGACCTCGCGCACCAACTCTTCCACCGCCCGCGAACGCTTCTTCCAGGGCACCGTCACGCTCGACGCGCCGTCCGTAATCAGCGTCAAGACGTACCTCACGCGCGGCCTGACCTCGTCCGGCGTCCTCGGCGTCAACGCCACCGACCCAACCAAGACCGTCTTCACCGTCAAGCCCTGGCTGTCCGACCTCGCGGACAAGGACGCGGTTGTGAGCCTGCTGGACGAATTGCTGGCGCTGTTCCGCACCAAGGGCGACGGCTTCTGGACGCCTGTGGATTGGATGAGCGGGCAGGAGATTGTCGAGGCGAGCGAGTTGCTGCAGAGCTACACGGCTGGCGCGCACTTTGTTGGTACCACCCAGCTTGGGACGGTTGTCGAGAGTGGCGAGCGCGGCCCGCTGGTGAAGGGGACGAGCAATGTTTACGTCGTCGATGCTGGTATCCATACCGATGTGCCGACGGGCAACACGAATGCCATGGTTATGGTTGTGGCAGAGCATGCGGCGAAGAAGATTGTGGATGCGGCGGCGAGGAAGTGAGGGTTCCGCTTGCTGCGGCTGCGCGGGCCTTTCGGTGTAAGATGCACGGTAGGGTTTGATCCGGTGGATCGTCAGGTGAGATATGGTGGTTGTCACTGAATGTATTATTTTGTCTTCGAATGTACTATACATGAATGTCATGCATGGATGTCAGCAAGAGACGTCTAGAACTTCTTTACGAGAAACAACACGAAGGGAGAGAGAGAGAGAGAGAGCAGCAGCAGGGTCTGACGAAAAGAGCAGCTGGCTTCCTTGCAAACGACGCATAATAATAAGTATCGCTTATTTCCGCGCCCCGGGGGGCTGTTCCCACACCAGGACTTGTCATTCGTCCGCATCCCCGGTTGCGAGCTTCGTCCGAGATCCATCGCGTTTTCCTATCTCATTATTACTTGCATGCGGCGCACAGCGAGCGGGTGGTGAGATATTATTATTATCCTGCAGGCCAAGACCGAAGGAGCCACTCACGCTTCTCCATTCGCCCGCCGCTGGGACGGATGGCAGATGGCCCCGATTTTCTTCTATTCGGTTGTCCAGCCTTTTGCGTCTCGCTTCATATGCGTGTGGTGCAGGAATCAGCACACTTCTTCGTCTCCGGGATGGCGGGGAGGGGGAGGGTGGGTTCTTTTTGTTTTCTAATTTCCTGGTGATGCACCGGGGGCTGATCGGTGGGTCCAACTCGCCTTTCCCCGTTTCTGGGGTTGCGGATTGGTTTTTTGTGGATCTTTTCATGTGGGTGACGGTTTTCGGGGGCCGGGCCTTGGAGATGATCGGCGAGTTTTTGGCGTGATTCTGGGACATCGAAGGTCAGGCTTTTCGGCGACTTGTGACGTATGCGGCTGACTGATCATAAGAGCACCATGGTGGCGCAAGTAGCAAGACCGATGCAGCAATTGAGGGGGAACATAAGTCATTCGATCCGCCGCATCGAGGTAGAGAGTCGATGGAGACGTTCCCAAGCTTGCGAAGTGGTTGAGGCTGCAGTGTGGAGATCGTGACGACAAAGTGTTTCCCCTCCAACGACGAAGGAACCGTACTGCGACAGCGACTATCGAATACCCAGTCAATATACTCCCACTCTCGTGAATACCACGGTACTCCGCAAAATTTCGAATCCAGATGTGCGCCGCCTCCTTTGCGCCGCGACCTCGCGCCTCTCACTCCTTCACGTTTCTGTTGACAGGTAAGCAGGTAAGGCAACCACCATCAGGCATCCAGCCTGACCTGCCCATACGTTCAGGTATGCTACACGCCGGCGGTCCTGCTAACGCACGCTACGCATCACCTTGCATACGGGATCACGATAGCTTAAAGAAAATTCTCCTATCGCGGCCCCCCAAACTCTCGCTGGCCACTCACCTTGTTTGCTCGTCGGAGGCGCTCCGGTGGCTCCACATGGCCAGCGAATACCAGGTCTAATGTACCTTATGGTTGCATTGGTCTCATGTGCGAAAAGCTTATTCCGATGACGGCTCACGAACCTACTTTCTCGTGTACGGACTGCATCGTCTCAATCGTGAGAAAGCCGGTGCCTTCATACTACTGTGACCTTGATGAATGCGTTAGTAGCGGTAGAAACAGCAGAAGCAGCAGCAGCAGCAACAGCAACAGCAATCGGGCATGGCGCAGGGCCCACTTGCTGAATCGAAGCGTCTGATTTGAAATCCAAAACACCGCAGAATGGCCGGAAGGGAGGCTCGGGCATGTGGACACTAAAGTCCAGACATTCGCCGGCAACGAGATCTTGTGCGCCCGCGTTAAGCGAGGATTTCGTTGCCAGCCAATGTCCGAACATCCGTGTCCTGGGCTTCGGCGAAATATGAACAAAGATAGTAGACAATTGACTCCCTTGTCTTCTCCCTTGATAAACGCTTCACAAGGGTAAAAAAAAAAGAGGTCACACTGCGTATTTTCTTCAACCCTTCTCTCCATTTTAATATAGGTCTTTCCTTTCTTGCCGGTGCTTTTGCCATGCTTCGTTGTCCAGGGGCACATGAATGGTGAATGAATATCCTGGCTTCCGGGCTATGTTGGTCTCCTTGCTCGTTAACAATAGGATGCTATTGGTTCACTTCATCAGTATTCCGCAATAATGGGCGCATTTTGCAACGTTCCTTTGCGAAAAGGTGATGATGTGCGTCGTAAAATGGCGCTAATGACGGCGGCGAGCGGGGTAGCACCTCAAGACTCTGGTTCCCGCAATGCAACATTACACTAGAAGAGTGAAGGACAGCAGGGTGCCAAAAAAATAAATAATGAATACCGTGGAACTGGGCATAAGGCGGCGGGAGAAGGGGTAAAAAAGACTATTCTGGCAATCATTTTTCTAGTCTCTCTCCATAACACAAAATGTGACGTCGTGCATCGTGAGAATCTGGGAAGTTGGAGTCGTTAGTGTATACGGAAACGTCTATTGTAGCTGACCGAAGCCTTGGTATATGCGGAGGTCAGACGAATCCGGAATGAAAGGAGGCCGGGTCCCGGAGTCTGGTTTTTTGCCTTTTAGTGGGCTGGCCTCCTGTTACTCTTTTGACTTGACCACAAAAGCAGGAAGGCATGGGTTAGGGGTTGTTCCTGAATATGAGAAAGGGCAGTACCAGAATTGTGCACCGGTACACCAGGGTCGTGCCCACAGTACTTTACCACAAACACGGATCGTAGCGTGTTAGAAGTGAGCTGAATAGCCAAGAAGACGCAAGGAAAGTCACTCCTTTACCGAAAGAGATGGCAATGGCACAATACACTCCCTTTACTACGTGGTGGATTTCAGTAAGAGATCGGATCAGACTTGGAGATCGACTACTTGTGGTGTTGAAGTCGGCAGTGGATTATTGGTCCGCTACCAAAAGCCCAGTAGTAGCTGGCGTCGGCGGGAACCACCCAAAAGATGCCGAGCGATATCGGGCATTTCTGCGTCCTGCAAAGGGACTCCGGTAGTAATAATAGTACGCTCAAGTCGTTCGGTATATTCTAGGGCCGGAACCGAGGAAGTGGTAATCAAGAAGCTAATATCCAACGCGGTCCCGCAGCAACGCCGGATTATGGTCTGACATTGGATTCTTCTTGGAACCGACCGGCGGAATTTCCTAATGTGACGCACCAAAGGACGGATGGAAGGGAGGACTACTGAAGGGAATCACAATACCTTGGTGGGTCCTCACGTACATCACATTCCTCCACCATGGTCCTGCGCAATGTGTAAAAAGACCCTGTGGGACGTTCGGCATGTCTGAGAGAGGGCGCTTAGATAACCGGCAGTACGGACGATGGTCTAGCCAGCGTCGGAAAGGGCCGGCGCTTGAATCGCCAGAGTTCGTGCGAACGCGGGGAAGCTCGGCGGGGAAGCCAGGATCTCTCCGAGAGAAGCGCCATCGCAGAACAATCACTTTATACCCACCTCGGAGCTGGGCGAAAGGCGGCCGCTGCATGCAGAAGTCAATTGCGACGCATCGGAAGTAACGTGTAGGTTTTCGCCGGGTCCCCGGCCGGAGAAAATCAAAGGGCGACCAAACAAGCCGCCAAAGGGAAGCTGGCGATGATCTGCGCTCGGACGCACAGTGAAGATCGGGAGCATCGACCCGCTCCCGCCGACCACAGCCGTTCAGCTGGACGCCGCGGCGTGCATGCGCCTTATCAAAATCCTGGAATGCTGCCCTGATGCTACGGGAAAAGCAGGGCGGGCGAAGGCAGGAGAGAGAGGTGAAGATTCTTTGTACGCAAGAGAAATATGGAACCCGAGCCCGCGCCCGACTGCGCACCTATCAGACGGGAACGATAGGCCGCTAGCTTTCCACTGCAGATGTTAGATTGGACCTGCAAGCCAGCTGAAGCGGGCCCGGAAACGGCGGCGGGCGGGAGTGTTAGGGGATTGCTTGGTAGCGAGAAAGGCTCTTGAAAATAGTGCGAGTTGGACAGTAGCCGGACATGCGTCCGTCGCACATCGAGCATCGAGCGTCTGCCGCTCTCGAGGCGATCCACCGTGGTGGGCTGGCCGCACGGAGCTCTTTGTTGAGGAGGATTGGCAGGTACAAGCACTAGCTTTCGAAAGCTTCAGAGCCGCACGCTCTGGCACGCGTTGGCTTAAGTCTTCGTCGAATCTATTGCACCATTTCGCGCAATTCCAGGTACCGCCCAAGGGTCCGCAGGATGCGTTATCGGCCGTTGGGGAATGCGGGTAATGCGGCGCGTGCATGCCAATCACAATCGTAAGCGCGGCCACGGATGCACGAATATGGCCACCATCTCGACGAAACATTCTGCAGCGCAGTGGCCATTGCGGGATCCAGATTTCTTGCGGCAATAACACGCCTGATATTACATCCATTGGCGGCGAGGCCCTGTCCGTGTCCATGGATCCAATGTCTGTAAGCCGCATACCGGTCCGGCGCCTTAGCATCATCCGAGTACGAACGGTACCGGTACAAGAGCTGTATCTGCCATTGCGATGGTCAATTGCATAGAGGGCTGCGTGCCGGAGATGGACCTGCCCGGGTAGGCCGCGGGAGGCTGCCCTCCGCGCAGTCAGCAGCTGTGCAGACAACCTCTGCAGAATTGAAAGCTCGAGAGGCACCTCCTTGAAACCCCGCCTCTGGTTGCCAAGTCGAGACACCGGCTCTGTCAGCGGAGGACCCGCAGCTTGGTGTGGAGTTGTGGGGGTGCTGTTCAAGAGGCCCAGCTTGGCAGCTCGCACGACGGTCGCGACGAGGCATTATACGTCAGCCTGCGGCGTCGACGGAACCGGGCGCTTGCCACAGTAGGGGCTAGCTGTCCAGGGCCGGCGGAGCAGAGGTTTTCGGATGGCGCGTCTCTCTTGCGCTCTGCTGGAGGAGGAGGTTTGAAAGCGGAAAGGCCTGTTCCTTATCTTGCGTTGGACCCGCCCAGAAACCAGCCTCATCATGCACCTAGGCTGGCGCACCCAGGTTGCGCGACCTTGCTCTCAAGGCCGCCGTGCAGTGACGGGCGGCCAACGGCAGGTGGCAGCACCAGCGCGGCCGCAGCAGGCAGGCACGAGCATGGCGAGCGGCAGCGCGGGCGGCGGTAGGCGGATGGCGGGCAGGGCGGGCTGCAGCAGCGGTGGTTGCTGGTAGACGATGTAGCTGTACTTCAACGGCCTGCAGGCGGATCCGGGATGGTCGTTGCGCGGCGCGCCAGCGCAGATTCCACGGCCAAGGGTTTGCGGGCGGGCGAGTCCGTTTCGAAGGGGCCCAATCAGCGGGGTCGCGAAGGCGAAGGAGGCATGCACAGCGTCGGCGCCAGGGCGTCAGATGGAGGCGCTGCAGGCTGATGCGGCGCCTTACTGCGTTGCTGCTAGCGGGGAGAAAGGGCCTCCTCTCCGCACAGCGGCGATCACTAGAGGGCGATGTCGAGCAGGCAAGCCGACCACCGCGCGCTTCGTGACGACAACGGCACCCGCCTTCACACCACCGGCAGCCCAGTCCCGAGCTGCAATCCTGCATGCTATAACACCGTTGGCCGCCTGTCGGCATCCTGACCTTCGTCCTCGCTCCCGGCCGTCCCTTCGGCGAAATCGCAATATTGCCTCCCATCCCGAAAAGGGTTTCGTCGACCTGACCACGCACGCGGGCACTGGCAGCCTATCGCCTGCTGCGCCAGCAACGACGCACCCACCCACATCCACATCCCACCTCATCCATCCACCTCGACTTCGAACGTACGCCTGCACCCACCGCTCCTCTCCGCTCCGCCTCTGCCATGCCCGTCTAGTGACGCCGACAGCACCACAGCAGCCTCGCGACCCCTCGCGGCCCCGACCGAACAATTACTTCCGCACGTTCTCGAGGGCCCAAACCAAATCGCGCGCCTCGACCCTGCGCTCCGACGCCGCCGCCGTGCGACGCGGCCTGAACCCTTCCGTTGGCAATGGACGACGACGACTCCTACGTCCCGCACATCATCGACTCCGACATGGGAGTAGAGTCCTGGCCCACCGAGCAACACATGTACGACCAGGGCATCAATCCTGAGCCGAACTACGACTACACCGAATTCCTCAACGCAGAGGCCTTCGTCTCCTCGCCCACCCCGGGCGGCCAGCCCGCCTTGGCGGGCTTCGCATCGCCCGCCAAACCCTTCCCCTCCCGCAGCGAGCAGACATCTGCGCCGCTGCAGTCACAATCTACCTTACAGCCGCGTTCGCACATGTCTTCGTCGCCCGACAGCTCGAGTCAAGATTCCGCTTCCGAGACGTCCGGCCGGCGCAAGCGCAAGATGACCTCGTCTGACTCCTCGCCCTCCGCGCTCTTCGACCCCATGGACAACCACATGGACAGCTACATGGATGACTGGCCGAAGGACCACATAGCCGCCTTGGAAGCTTCCTCCGACGGCAACGACTCCATGTTCGTCAAGCGAGAGCCCCATGATTTTCTCGACCTCGAGCACGACGTAGATTCGCTTGGCAAGACCATGGCGTCGCACTTCGATGTTGGTAGTACCGACAACAGCCCGGCCGTCTTCACTTTTAACAACTCGCCCGGCCAGACAATCGCGCCCTCAAATTTGGAACAGCACTCGTTTGAAAGCCGGACCATCGCTCAGGTAAGTTTTCTACCAGAAAAAGTCCGGAAATTGCGTCTGACTTGAGCAGCGAAATGCCACTGCCAAAGACTCTGGCTTCTTCATTGGGTCTCGCGACCCTTCGCCCATGTCTGGCATGAGTGGAAGTCAGGGCGCCTCGCCGTCCGTTATGTTTGAAGGCCAATCGCCGGCAGCCTTTAACGCAGACGTGTTTCAAACCATGCCTGTTTGGAATAGCCAAGGCAACAATTCAACCTTCCAGACCCCCTCTTGGCAGAACGAGCTCTCGCCGACTCAGCCAAACCTATCATTTCCTACCGGCGACGCCCTCGTGTTCTCGAATGTCATGCCCGGCGGGCGACCCCGGACCATCCTATACATCCACCAGGACGGGAACAAGTCGCGAGTCGAAACGCAGATCAATATCAGGATGACTTTGGATCCTCTACCGCCCGGAGTTACGAAGCTCCATCTTCCCACACACACCATTTCAAAGCCTAAACTGTTAGCAAAGGACATCGTCAAGGCCGCCGACACATTAGAGCTTCATACGTCACTTGTATGCGCAAGTGCCATGGAAAAGCCTGAGTTGCGGGATCGCGCCTTAAAAAGAGCAGCGGGTTCCGAATCAAACGCACGGAAAAGCAAGCCACGGCGGCCTTCTCAGGGCGACATGGCGGATGACGATCCTGATGACCCAAACAAGCCTGCCAATGGCGGAGAGGTGCGCATATGTCAGAACTGTGTCCAGCGTGAGCGAAAGCGTGCTGCTCGCAAGAGAGTGAAGAAGCAGGAAGACGAGGAGGCATGGGCAGAATACGAGTATGAACGAGTAATCGTGTTCAACGACAAGGAATACAAGGACTGGGGGCCTCCCCAGCCCCCCAAGCAAGCCAACGAACAGGTTGCCAGCGAACCGGTGTTCCCGCCCACCGCAATGCAAGTAGAGGTGCCCATGCGCATTGCTTGCTATTGTCGCCACCAGGGCGAGAAAAACGGTTTCCGGTAAGTCTCTGCCTGGCCAGACATTGTGCACCTTCCAAACTGACGGTGGTTTCCAGGGTGATCTTCACCATGAAGGACTATCAGGGCAAGATAATCGCGCAATCGATGACGAACCCAATTCTTATCACAGACGATCACAAGACGCAAGGAGGAATTCCTTCCACCACTGGAATGCCTACGGAGCCGACTCAGCCGTTCAACCCGCCCCTGCTTCCTCCAGCAGAGCAGCCCGATTTGCAATCCATTTCGCATCGCAGGCCGTACCACTCCACCAATGACCTGCAGGCCTTCCAGAGCAACTGGACAGGTTCCAGGAACATCTCCAGGCCGTCCAACATGCCGTCGCAGGCCACATCGGCGGCCATGACTCCCAAAAATCTTTCGCGTCAGACGTCGCCGGTGGCTACGCAGACGGGCCCCAACAAGAAGCGAAAATCGAGTTCTGCCCACCATCACAAAATTACCAGAGAACTCACCATGACCACGATAAATCGTGTCAACAATCCGCCAAGCCCTGGGACAACCGCAGAAGCCATGGTAATGGCAACCACCATGCCTCCTACGTCCGTGCCTCAGAGCAATGTGTACACGACTGCAAACGACTCTCAATTCAGAATGCAGCCCCTCAATATTCCTCCTTACCCTTCTGGCCCATCCACTCCTGGCAGCAACGGCGGTCTTGTTACCCCTAGTCAGCGCGCTGGAAGCATGGACGCTGTGGGTGGCAGTAGCTACAGTTTCTACTCTGTGCCAAACTCGGCACACCACAGCCGTGCTCCAAGCCCATCCCTTGGGAGGCAGTCGATGGGTGCTTACAACCCAGCATCAATCCCGCCGAGCGTTGTTGGAAATCCCATGAGCCTGATGCAGTCGCAGATGGACTCGCCCACTCAGGTTCCGGCTCCTGCGATCTACAAGGTCACTCCTAGCGAGTATTCCAAGTCTGGAGGGATCGAAATCTCGATCCTCGGGTCGAATTTCTCCAGAGATATGGAAATCTATTTCGGCGACGTGATCGCTACTACCACTACCTACTGGAACAGCCAGCTTCTGGTCAGCCTGTTGCCTCCATCTCCGAATGCCGGTATCGTCCCTGTGACTATCCGGATGAACAACGGATACACTCCACCACCTGGACCTGGCCCGGGTGTCCACTTCAAGTACGTGGATGACGAAGACCAACGCATCTGTGAGATGGCCTTGCGAATTCTCTGCCAGAAGCAAAACGGCACTACGAAGGCGGACGACTACCATAGCTTCGCGCGTCACGTGGTAAACATGGCTACCAGCGGTTGGACTCAGAACGGCAGCAACATGCAGCAAAGGGGTTCTGGATTCGATGCGGACGCTCCGCCAATGGACACAGAGGAAATGTTGCTCCGGTGCTTGGACTTGGTCGACATGGACGACAGTCCCCACCCACCACGCTTTAATATGAAGAACAAGACTGGAGCCACATTCCTGTCGCTGGCCTGCAGTCTGGGATATGGTCGCGTCGTCGCGGGCCTCCTCGCGAGAGGTGCCAACCCTGATACTCGCGACCGTGGAGGTTACACTCCTCTGATGATGGCGGCCATGCACGGCCACTCGCAGATTGTGCGTCGTCTGATCCTCAAGGGCGCTGACCCGATGATGCGTAGCCTCCAAGGATATCTGGCATCTGACTTGGCTACTTCTGAGGAGGTCCTCAACGCACTCCAGCGAGTCAGGTCGCACAGGCGGACACGCAGCGCTGGTTCCGTGACGTTCTCGATGCGCAGCAGGGCAAGCAGTATCGCTTCTACCCACTCTATGTGGGAGTCATCTTCGCCCAGCTACGTCAGTGAAGTTGAAGCCGACTACGAAGACGAAGGGGAAGAGTCCGAGGAACCAGAGGAGAGCCCGTCAGCTCCTGCCTGGGTAGCTTCGCGTCGCGGTAGCACGAAGGATATTCGGCCTCTGCCTCCGACTAACCGGCAGAACCAGCCAGCAATGCCTGTTGTAGCTGCTATGAATGCCTGGAGAGAGAACCTGTCTGCTCAAATTAACTACTTTCAGCAGAACATGCACTGGAACCTTCCGAACCTGCAGCTTCCTGCTCTTCCGCCTCTACCGAACCTTCCCGGTTACCAGGGCCACCCCATGATGCGCCGCATCAGCTCGCTTGTACCGCACCGCAGTCCTCCGCGCACGCCGTCATCCTCTGGTGACGAGACCGCAACACCGTCAGGATCGAGCAGCAATGATTACAAATGGAAGGATTTGTTCACTACACCAGCGGCTCCTCCGGCGTATGAGGAAATCTATCCGGAGAACGTGGACAAGGATACGGATGTCAAGAAGATGTCGGTGGCTCAAGCTGCCGCTGACCATCTTCTCGACCAGGCTTGCGCTGAGCAGTTCGATACCGAGGCTGAGAGCTCGAGCCAAGCGACCAAGAGCAGCCTCAATGTCGAGCTTGGCAAGAAGAGTCTTACCAAGGAAGAGCAGGAGCAGGTTAGGAGAGCCCATGCGCAGAAGCTCAAGCGCATCAGGAGCGACCGCAACCTGTTCTTTGTCTGGATTCCCCTGCTGCTCATCATTTTGTGCGCAATGCTGCGGAGCAGGCTTCCGCAGCTATGGGCCGCTGCCTCTGCCTTCTTTGGCGCAGTGCAGGAGCGCACGACTCCCGGCCGCATTGTCGAGGTTGCTTAAACTAAGCTGTCTCATTATTTTCTCTTTACCGAGAGCTTCATGTCTACATGGCGCAAGTGGAGTACACCTGCTTAGGGATTGTGCGTTTTGTCTTGGCTCTTGCTTGCGCGCAAACAGCGTAATAATCCCTTGCACAAACTCTTTGACTCTGTCGACAACTGCTTTTGCTTCCTTTAGCAGTCAGCGATCAGGTTTCTTTCTTATATAGCGCGGTGTCAGTGGATGGTTTCCAAACCCCTACATTTAATTGTCTCCTCCATCTTTCCGCTTTTTCCTTTCCTGGCACATTCAAGAAAAGCGCAGAGGGGGTTTTGCAGCATGAAAAGAGAAAGACTACAGATTGTCTGTATAACAATCGCTACATATCCTCCACACGACAAACAGCAACCCTCTCACGACATTTTTAACCCAAAACAAAGACAACTTTCTTTTTATTTTCACGACAGCGAGTTTTTTTGGACTTGGTGGAATGGAACGGCGGGCATTGGACGGGGTGAATGGATGGACGGGCAAAGAAGGATCGATTCCCAGTCTCCTTTTTGAAATTTGTTTTTTCTTCGCCTGCCTCGTGGGATCAGAGGCGGCGTTGTCATCACTACTGGTTTGATGATTAGTTTGGTGCTCATTTTTTTTCTGTACATAGATTCCCAGTTTTGCGTGAACGATTCTTTCTTTTCTTTACTTGAGTCCTCAACGGGTTGGAGTTGGGGACTCTCTCGTGTACTAGATGAGTTTGCTCAACTTGAGTTTCCATCACACATCGTGTCCCTTTGGTGATGGGTGTCACCGTGCAAGTTTTGTTCCGACAAGTGTCGGAGGCGCAGAAAACGGATTGGCTAAGGTGTTTCAGGGGTTCACGCGGGCAAATGATGGATACGAATTCTATTGTTTCTAGATCATACCTATGCTTCTGTCTATGATGATGATGTCGTCATCTTTTCCTCTTCCGTCCACAGTTTCAGTTCATCTCATCGTGCCACCCCCTCCCCTACACTCGCCCACTAGCTTGGTTCTCTCGGGCTTTTATACTCGAATGACCCCTAGCTTGATCCAGTGATTCGCCTTCATTCTTATCCTTACCTTTCAGTAGCGGCGAAAGTTTTTTTCTTTTCTCTTCTCTTGTACTACCTACATACGACCGGGCCACCTTCTGACCCGATAGTCTCTTTCTCATCTCTGTACCCACGCTAAGGTATGCAGGGCGACCTTTAGCTTCCGATACCAATCCACCGGCACGGACACCATTCCCCTTCCCGTCCCCACGTGTGTTTCCGTGGTAGTTGTCTCTCATTCCAAATCCTCGCATCGGGAAAAGTGAGAAGCGTGGGAGGGTAGGATTGTGATATGCAAGGTACGCGTTCTCTTTTGTGCAACGTTTGGCGGGGGGTATAATCACAAACACGTGCGTCGATCACTGGAAATTTTCGATGGAAGAAGGGGAAATGCCTATGGTGGTGCTATGGTCATGCCAAGACAATGCAGGGAACGAATCGGAACTTGGAAGAATGGCGGGGGAAAAGAAACGGTAAGGTAAGGGGTGAGGAGGGGAGGGATAGGAACGTTTGATTTCGGTGAAGTTCATTGGTGGTGTTTGGGTTCATGACGATGGGGCTATCAATTGTGATCGGTGGTTGCTCCGCACGATGATGTCCGCTTTTGCCTCCATTTTCTCTTTGCTGAGCGGGGTATTCCTTCTCTATTTTTGGTTTGTTTTTCCTGGTTTGTACCTTTGTTTAGTTTGAGAAGAAGACACTTGTCCTGAACACCAAGCCGCGTGGAGGTACGACGAGCGGACAAGTGTCCTTCTGCCGCCCATGATTATGAGCGTCGGTGATGACGACTATCATTAGGCACCAGCGTTTCCTCCGTCGCGACATGGTTACTTGATTTGGCAATTTCGAGGTCACGTGGTTGCGACGTGGGACGCCTCGATTGCGTCGCTGCGGTGCTCCGATGGACGTCTTCTCTTTTGTTGGGGAGGTCGTGGCACGAGCGCGGGGTTTGTGTATGTGTGTGGCGATGATACGTACACACTCGCACCGGGGTTGGGTGCCGAGACATTGTTGGTGCTTTGACCGGTGGTGGCAGTTGCCGTTGACCGACTGTCTTCAAGCCCCGCTCAAGTTTTTTTTTTCTTTGCCTCAGGTGGCGATGGGGCAATCAGCAAGCAAAGGCAAACAAGAAAGGGCACCTATTCTTGTCTACGTTTGCTACGGTTAACTGGTGTCCGGTTGGTTGTTTGCTGTCGTCTCATCACCAATCAGATATCTCTTCCTCGTTGCTCTGAAGAAAAAAACTATGGTGACGTCAGAGGAGAACATTCCCTCCGCAACCAAAAGAGGTTAATTCACTTCCGATGGACCCTTCACCGCTGGAAACAATTGCGTGATGGGTACTTATCGATTAGTAAATTCAATAGTATGGCCGAATCCTGAAGGAGTTGCGAAAAAATCTCTGAAGCGCGCTGCTTGTTACTTGGGGTATCACGCGGGAGCACAGCGACAGATCAACTCGTCCGGCTTGTAGCTAATCCTATCCTGGTGGCGCTAGACCCAATCCAGGTAGAGCAGCATGAGCAGTCTCATGGCAGTAGTCCGTGCGGCCGTGACATGCTCACGTCCAACAAAGATGCAGGGGACTCGAACAAACCTTGAGTGCTGTGTTTTCTGTGATCTGCAAGAGATGGCAGTACTCGCTTCTTTGCTAGCAACTATTAAGCAAACAACCAACATAGTTGTAGATTGCTTTGGCGGACTTCATAGATGTATAGTGGTTATTTTCAGCATTCTGTCGGCATACCGATGAAGTTGCTGTTCTGTATTCTTGACCGAAAGGTGAAGGTATTGCAATTTACTGTAGGAATCTCTAGATTCCTGAGCAATAGTAAAGGATAAGTGGCCGCGGACTACCCTCGCTGTACACACAGACAGCCCTACGGAGTTGCATTGGTGCATACATGAAGATGGGATCACTAGTTCAGAAAAATCTCGCGCTGTACCTCCTGTCAACAGTTGTGTTCAACTCCAACAGCATCCCGCTGCATGTGGCCTCTAATCAAGTGGCTGTCTGCTTTGGAAGCTCGCTTGATCGCCAACAACGGCTTCGTCCGTACATCCAATTATGTATGAATTGGCTACCGTGATACCTTCCAACCTCTCTCCGAGTTTCATACCCACTGCAGTGCTACTTACATGTTTGTCAATTTAGGTATCTTCAGCGGTCTCAGCTCTATACAAATGTCTCAATGATCGCTCATCATGGCTCAAATCATCCGCCGTTGTAATCTACTTTGCCATCCATAGACTTTCCGATCATATTAGTTCCTAACCCGCAGCGAGACTTACTTCTCCAATATGCCCACGATTGGCCACAAAGAGCATGCCTCGTCGAGGGTATGAGTGCTCATGAACTCCCAAAACATGTGTCAGGGGCTGATAAAATCTTGTTCGTCAGACTCAATCACCTGGCTCACATTCTTCCTGGTTTACGAAGTTACTAAGCCGCTTTTCCGGCAATCATGAAGGGGAAAGAAAGTACGTCTTACTTGGCCATGGATTCGGCCTTAGATACTTGATTGATACCAGCTCCAGGAAACCCCATACATCTCATAATGAGAAAAAACCGGTAAGTTCTTTTGCACCTTTCGCTCTCCGAACTTTCAAGATAGTCCCGATACTTCGGTATTTCAATTGACAAAAATCAGAAGGACCGGATGACGCCGCGGGACTGTGGGTCCAGCAAGTGCTCGAATAGTACTCCCACAAACCCAATCCACACAAACCGAAAGATCCGTGCCACGCACGAAACAGCGTACAACGAAGCATACAAGTGCCTCACGCCAGAGGAACGGCGTGGTATCAATTCCAAACATTTCCGAGACGCCGGTCAGTTGCTTCATAACCTTAGCAATGCGAACGACAAGTCACTCCGCGATTCTCGTACGCGGAAGGGCATGAAGAAGCTCCAGCCGAAGCTCGAAGCCATACAACAGGTGGCCAGCTTCACGGGGGTCGTCGGGGCAGCCGAGCCCACTGGATCCCTCGCTATCGTCTCTCAGATCGTCAGCGCGAGCTGCTCCGTAAGTGGTCCGAAAGCAACTCAGACATCTGGATACTGCAGTTGATACACGTCCCTGTCCGGTGCTGTGCAAACATTGCTGATACCACCAATGTAGGTCGGGATCCAACTAGCCGGCGCTGCCGACACCCTCGATACCGAGATCCACCGTCTTTTCGATCTCGCGCCGCGATTGCTCCAATGTGATGCAATTGCGCTGAGTACGAAGGAGCCTGAACTCCTTCGGAAAGTACGAATGAGAAGTATCACTACTGAATGTCATTCCGCTAACATCGGCAGGATCTTGTGAAAGTGTACACTGGGATGTTCAGATTCTACTTGGTAGCGATGAAGATATTCCAGTACCATCGAAACTTCGGCGCCGCGATTATGAAGCACCGGGATGAGATTACTGAAGCTGTGAATGAGTTTTCCAGCTTCTGGGATCACTTCCTTGAGGGAGTTCAGATAGACACGTTGGAGACGGCCGCGGAAACCCTCGACGTGTCTCGCAAAAACCAGAGTATGACCTAAGTGCCCTTTTATCGGGATTCCCAGCTGACAAATGACTCAGTTGCAAAGATTCTGGAGAGAGAATGCTCTCACGAGCTTGCATACAGACCCTCGACGCCAGCTGCTGGCACCTGTCAATGGCTGTTTTCCACCCATGGCCCATTCAAGTTTTGGAATCAGTCCCCCACACCAGCCACTCATTTCCTTACCATGTTTGGCGCCATGGGATCTGGCAAAACAGTGGCCACCGCGTACCTTGCGGATCATCTCGCATCCGATTCAAAAGATCGCACAGTCCTCCGCTACTACATTCACAATGATAGCGAGAGGAGTGAGCCTACAAATATCTACTGCAGTCTGATCCGGCAGTTCCTTTCCTGGCACCCCAAACTCGAGGTGTATCTTTGGCAGCTACTCCAGGAGTGCACTGCCACGGATCCCCAACGACAGTCGCGGAGACCGGAAGTGCTGAGGCAGTGCTTCATTGGACTGCTTGATGCTGGGCCCAAGCAAGTTTGCATCTTCCTCGATGCACTCGACGCTTTGGATTTTGAGGCCCGGGAAGAGCTAAATCACTTCTTCCAAGATCTCCGCAAACTGATGTGTCAGTGCAAGGTCTTCCTTACGTCGCAGCCGAACAGCTGCGTGAAGAAGCTGGTGCCGGGAGAGACGTTTGACATCGAGAAGTTGCGCAAGGATATCCGTGAAGAGAACTACCGTATCGCCAAGCACCTGATGGACGCGAAGTTCTTCGAGGATGGACGGAGACATCAGTACAGCAAGGCAGAGCAGCAGCGCTTGATTAAGGAAATCTCAGTGTTGGCTGACGGATCTCCGATGATGGTCTACCTGAACGTGGCACACGCCGATGCACTCACTCGAGGAGCGCTGTATCGGAGCGCCGACAAGGTACTGCAAGTCATCGAAAATGCACCATCCGGGCACTCCAAGATACCGCAGAAGTGGACAGAAATACGGAAGCAGGTGCTTGAACACCTTGATGTTGACCGGGAGATGGTAAACCCCCTTCTCCGATTCCTTGCCATCACTTCCCGGCCAGTTACGATACGGGAGGCCTGCGCATTCGTCGTCTACGACACTCAGGATGGCGACAAGCTGCCTCAAGAACTCAATATCCAGGAGCAGAAGAATATCATTCAAACGATCCGCCCCTTTGTCATAACAGACGACGAGTCCGACCCCGAGTCAGTGCTGCGGCTTTACCACAACTCGCTCCAAAAGCTCATCCTGTTGAAGGAGCCAAGCACGTGGGACTCGGCGGACGACATCAAAGATGACAAGAATCTCATCCAACGCAAGACAAAGATGAACGGAGCCATGGCGTCCAAATGCATCCGCTACCTGCAATTCCCCGACTGCTCGAAGAAGGACTTCATCCAATCCGGCCAGCCTCAGGCCGCCTTCTTCAACTACGCCGCCTGCGCCTGGCCGCACCACATGGCCAACTCCGCGGGCGGCCCAACCGCCGAGCAAGTCGACGGCATCGTGGCAATCTGCAAGCCAGGGTCGGGCATCCTGCTGAACTGGACGGACCAGAACTACCTCCACACAAAGACCTTCCTCCCCGACGACCCCGCCGCGGTCCTCGACGCCCTCGTCATCGCCGTGCACTTCAGACTGGACGCGCTGACAGCCATGATACTCGACCGCCCTGACGCCTTCCAACCGCCGCACTTCCACCCCCAATCCGCCTCGCACGCCCTCACCTGCTTGCTCCAGACCTCGCGCTTCAGCCTGGCCAACCACCTCATCTCTAAATCCGGCTCCCGCCTCCGCACCCTCGCTGTCTGGACCCACGTCATGCGGCTCTACAGCCCCTACCCCGACTTCTGGCTCCCCAAGCCCCTGACTGACGACGACCTCAGGGGGTTAACCAAGCCCGAAGCCTCCTCCAAGCAAGCCGCGCACGAGCAAACCCGCAACGCCGCCCTCGCGGCCCTCAAGCAGCGCGAGCACGCCTGGCAAGCCTTCCTCGACCCCTTCGTCACGCACCTCCTCCCCGTCCTCGGCGCCGACGCCCTCTGCGAAGCCGTCGCTAACGGATGCCTGTCCGTCGTGAAGAAGCTGTTCGCCTGCGCCAGCCGCGACACCACTCTCCGCCGAAAACTGCTCGAGCCGCGCGGCCACGCCAGCCGCGATGGTGGTGGCAGCGAGCAGCAGCACCAAGTCGTCGGCGTGGCGGCGCAGCAGGGCGACGTGGATATGCTGCGTTTTTTGCTCAGGCAACCAGGTATGGAGAAGCTCGTGCGGCACTTGGGCCCGGGCGGTGAAACGGTTTTCCATGCGGCGGCGCAGATGGTGTGTTCGGAGTTCAGGCCGGAGGTGTTTGCGGAGTTGAGGAGGGCGTGGCCCGAGGGCGTGGATGTGTTGGATGGGAGGGCGCGGCATTTTCGGGATTTGCTGAGGGCGGGGGAGAGTGAGTTGGTGCCGTGAGGGGTGTGGTGTATGATGTACTGCCTGATGTATTGGGGTTAGGGGCGGTGATGGAGGAGTGACGCGGTTTGTGAACATCTCTCTGTAATGGGTATCTTCGATTCAACATCTGGGGCGGTATCGGCTGGGCGGATCTGTGCTTTTCCATGCATTAAGGTTATCGGCGTTGGTATAGACAGGCGTTAGTAGCAATTTAGTTCTTTCCCCCATCTCAAGCTACCCATCCAGCAAGAACGGATCAGCAAAGCGAAACGTGCACCCCATGACCTCCTCTCCACCTTCCATCTCAATCCCGCACCTCACCACCTCATACTTCTCCGTCTCATACGCCCGCAGAGCATCCTCCTGCTCCTTACTCACAACCTCGTACGTCCACCCATCAATCCTCTCTGTCCCATCAACAAGCGCCTTGTACTTCCCGCCCCACGTCCTGACCGCGCCACCACGCACCGCTGCCCTTTGCAGCACCGGCCTCTCCTCCAACCTTAGCAAACCCATCAGCCTGTCCGGCTCCGCCAGCGTCCCGTAGAAGAGATACCACACGGGGAACTCATCCTGAAACGGGTGAAATGCGGCAGTGCTGCCGTTCGGCCGGTGCTGTGGCAGCGTCGTGTCGATGCCGAGCGTCGGACACGGCGAATTGGGTGACAAGTTCTTCTCTGCTTCAGAGAGGCGGATGGAGGCGGGGCGCTGGTGGGCGGGGATGCCGGCGGTGGTAAGCCAGGCGGAGAGCTGAGTGGTGGCAGAGTGGGGAAGGCGGACGAAGGCCGCGGCCGTGCCATCGTCGGCTGAGCCTTCGATGATGACGGGAGGAGTGGGGAGGCGGGCTATGCTTTGGATTTGGGAAGGTGTGGAAAGCGGGCCGCCAAGACGCATGAGGTAGGTGCAGTGGGTCTTGCGGACCCTGGACGTGGCGGTGCGTTCGCCGAAGGGCTCGGAGGGGTGCGCTTTAGGATGCTGTGCTGGCACTTGCCTGCCGCTGATGGAGTCGAGAGGGATGTCCGAGGCGTCTTCGGGTCCGTCGTAGGCGGCGATGTTAGTGGCCATGCGCTCAAGTTCGTCGGTGAGGAGGTCCATGTCGAAGTTTGGCCGCCGGTAGGTAGAGGAAAACGTATCCGCAAAACTATTTTTTGAGTGGTAATTCTCACGAAGTTTTCGTTTTCACCTCAACAGGGCTCAGGCGAGCAGTTTTAATATATTCAGCCATTGCTATTGCACTTTGGACCAGCCGGTACAAACCCATGGTTAACTATAAGTCGCTGGAACAGACAGACTACGTCACGTATTTCCGCTCAAAAAGACGTAATGGCTAGAAATAAGATGGTCATTTATGTTGCTTCAATGACTGGGTACGTCCTTACCGCGGAAGCAGAATTGATAATAGGTGTTTTTCGCCAGACATCGACACAAATTCCAGACTCAAAGTCGACATCTACGCAGCGCAGAATAGAATGGATTTTATGTTACAATATGATCAAAGCGCTAACGCTTTTCCTTTCGAATGAAGGGCTGTGCAAATAGCAGACTTCGGTGTCGCGCCTCATTCCCAGCACAGTCTAGAAATAATGCAACGTAGCACCTCTAATCTAAAACTACTATTTGGGAGATATCCTAAAGAGTACTTCTAGATAATTACTATAATGGCATCCTGAACCTACCAGCAACGGACATTACCATGCAGAATATTGCAACAGACAAGACCTCTAGCATACGATAAGGTGGAGAGCCTTAGTCAGTGCTGTGATGATCAGCCTTGGCTCTCCAGCGAATCAAGGCCAGCCACATCGATCTTAGCCGAACCACAAGCAGGCACCAGTCTCGTCGGCTATTGCATGCATAGCCCCGAATGGTCTCAGCGCACCGTAGACAGTGGCATTAATAGAAGTCTGCCTCGCTGTCACAGGCGAGGCCGCTCTTTCTCTCAGCCCACCCGGAAATGTCACAATCGATCCAACTGTCATCACGAGTCAGTCCTATAGGGACAGCACAACTGCACGCAGCTATTGAAGCGTTTAAACGTGTGTTGGATGCCGATCAGCGCCAGAATTTCGAATCGTCAAACGACCAACCCGACGCAGCGGCTGTGCTTAAGTTCACAGCGCACCTAGATGAAATCAACTCCAAAAGACAGAGTCGCTGTATTGCAACTCGTCTGCAGACAGTACTTCAATCTGTCCAGCAATTCTCAACTATTGTGGAAACGTTTGTTTCCTCGAACCCCAAAATAGCAGCACTGGTCTGGGGCACTCTCAAGTTTGCCTTGCTGGTAATCCTACACCAAGAAATATTTTGCGCATTACTGAGCACCACCCTAGATTGCATCGAATTTTGGCTCTTATTTCGAGAAACTGTCAGCACTCTTCATGAAGTTTGGCAGGTATTGTCCACGTTATGCCGAGTACCAAGCTCTCTATTTGGATTCGACTAGATTGCAATCTGGCCTGTGTAGCTTCTATGCAGTCCTTGTATCTTGCTGCACCCGGGCTGTAGAAATAATGAAAATGTCTGGTAAGTTTTTCAAGAGACACCAATTTTATGTACGTGCTGAGCCGTATGGAGGATGGGTCCATGTTGCCAGAACCGTCACGCTATCGTCCTTCGAATCGGATTTCGGCCCTTTCGACCAGCAGCTGCAACACTGGAGCACAGAAGTCAAAAATGAAATAAGTGCGGCACTACACAAAGCTAGTGCTATAGAAAGACGTGCTCAGTCAGAAGAACGAGCGAGAGCAAAAGCTCATAGGATTTGGCACAGGCAGAGAGCTAAAGAAAAGGAGCTTGAGATGGAGAGATTAAGATCAAGTGAGTTATGAACCAAATTACGAAACCCAAGCTAAAAAGATAGCAGTGCAGCAAAAGCGATCCCTTTTGAACAAGCTCTCAGATCACGACTACAATCGGCCCTGGACGCGCGCTCGTAGACAGTGTGTAGCCTCAACAGCCCAGTGGCTGACCCACACGAAACAATTCAGTGACTGGGTGGCCGATTCTACCTCATCGCTGTTATGCTTGACTGGAAAATGTGAGTCTTGGGCCTCAATAATCCACAGCGTTTGCTTACATTCTCAATGCAGTGGGCTCTGGCAAGACTATCCTTACGTCAGTGATACAAATTTCCCCATGATACCGTAAGCTTACTGTGAAATAGAGCAAGTGCGATTTCAGAGCTATCTTGCCATCCTGCAAGTGCAGGGAACTTGGCCTACTTCTTCTGCCGCTTTGACAACGAAGCGTCCTTACATGCAACTACGATCCTCAGCTCTCTGCTGAGACAGATTCTCAATCCTGAGTCTTTATCTCCCGATCAAGAATCTTCTCTGGAGAAAATCCTCGACCCAGGCCCTCCAGAGCTGACGGACCTCGAATCCTTGCTAGGGGACGCAATTTCCACAACCTACTTCATTGTAATCGATGCCTTCGATGAGTGCGGCGAGGAAGAGAGACGCTCGCTTTTAAAAGCTTTCCAGAGGATCATGAACTTACCGGATCGGACAATAAAACTATTTTTGTCAAGCCGTGATGGTGATGGCTGGCGTACGAGGAAGATGTTCGAGAAGACTTACTTTGTCAGTACCAAGCTTCCAGAGTCAAATTTAGATCTCAGAACCATGGTCAAGAAGAAGTTGGAAGAGATGGTAGAAGAAGAGCGCTTGGTAGTCGGTCATCAAGACATGCTCCAGGAGATTGAAGACCACCTACTCAGTAAAGCTCATGGGATGTAAGAGTGCTCCTACTACCAAGCATGTATCAATGGCACTGACTGATAAAATTAGGTTTCTCTGGGTCGATTTTGCTTTGCAGGATTTATGTTCTCAACGTTGTGACCGCGATATCCGAACAGCCCTTCAACGACTTCCAATAGGTCTCCCTGAAATGTATGACCGATTACTTGCCCGAATTGTCAACAGCGGGGAGAGGATGCTGGTGTCAAAGATTTTCCACTGGATCGCATGCGCTAAGCGGCCATTATCGCTCGAAGAGCTCGGAGAAGCCATCACAATTGAACCTCTCCAAAAGTCATCCGAACCGGACCGCTATATAAATGACATCACGCGAATCCCGTCATGGTCTCGTGGTCTAGTTGTTTGTGACGAAGAGGATGATGTACTCCAATTCGCACATTCTACAATCAAGGACTTTCTCCTAGGAGAATGTCGAACCGAAGCAAATTCTGAATTCCATTTTGAGATGGACGCTGCAGACCACGAAATTGGAGAAATTTGCATCACCTATCTCAATTTCAGCGACTTCGAAAGACAACTTGTCGAACGGCCAAAACCGCAAGCCCGTGTTCGAGGGCAGGACTTGCTTGAGGCGAACATAAACGCCACTTCAGGACAGAGCGGCATTTCAAGCGCTGTATCTAAGGCATCACAGCTTGCCACCGAGTTTATTCGATGGACACAAAAGACAGACGCCCAATTCAAGTTTCCGCAACAAGAGAGAGACACACCTACGCTGCATGTTATCATTGGTTTGCACCCTTTTTTTCAGTACGCATCAATATTTTGGATCTTCCATTGCAAGAACTTCACTCAGTCGACTTCGACATGGAGTTTGTGGAACCGTCTATTGCTTAACGAGAGCAGCCTGATCAAGCACCAATGGTCACCAGAAGAATTCTCCGAGCGGAAAGAACGTATTCAGCATTTCGTGGAAGAGCAGCAGCACTGTGGGCTTCTGGAATGGGTACAAACTAGTGAGCGAAAGTTTGAGCCTGAACAACTTGATGAAATATTCGAGCGTAGTCTCACGGAATGCGGTCCAAACTCGCTAGCAAAGAAGATGTTCGAATGGCGTGAGACGGCACCGACAGCATGCTCTTGCATAGCCAAAGCAATAGAAGAAGGAAATATCAAGATGGTGTTAGATCTGTTTGGCGCGGTCAATTTACAAAAGGTTGATGTCAACGCACCAGCCGCAGGGCATTATGGACGAACAGCACTACAAGCGGCAGCAGAGCAGGGTCATGATCTATTGATAGAAACACTACTCAATGTAGGCGCCAACGTCAACGCACCAGCCGCAGAGTATCATGGACGAACAGCACTACAAGCGGCAGCAGAGCAGGGTCACGATCTATTGGTGGAAAAGCTGCTCAATATAGGCGCCGACGTCAACGCACCAGCCGCTGAAAAAGGCGGACAAACAGCACTACAAGCGGCAGCTTTCCGGGGCCATGTTCAGATAGTGAAGATGCTGCTCGATGAGGGAGCAGATATTAATGATATAGCAACAGTAGGTGGGGCATCGATACTCGAAAAAGCTGCAAAGCAGGATAATTTTCAACCGCTGGTAGAGAGACTGCTCAACACAGCCACCGATGTCAACGCATCAAACACCCTAAAGCAAACAGCACTCTGCATAGCAGCAGAGCGAGGTTCTGTTCCTATGGTGGAAAAACTACTCAGTGCAGGCGCCGAAGTTCGCATACCTGGATTGTCCGGAACAACGGCACTCTATTCGGCAGCAAAACAGGGTCATCTTCCTGTGGTTGAGGCACTGCTCAATGCAGGCGCCAACGTCAATGCACTGGTCAATCCAGATGTCGACGTCAGTTCAGCCAAAACAGTGTGGCCTAAGGGAATTACTGCACTCCACGTAGCAGTGGAGCATGGTCATGCTTCAACAGTGGAGAAATTGCTCAATGCAGGCGCTGCAGTTAAGACAACAGAAGTCGGATTATTCGAGGAAACTGTGCTTCAAACAGCATTGAAAGGCAATCATCACGGCATAGTAGAGATGTTACGGGAAAAGGGAGCAGTCTGACAAATGCAGCCAGTCACCTACATTTACGCAGCAGCAAGTCACCTGCATTTACGCAGCAGCAGTATCAAGGATTCTATGTAGTATCTCTACTTCTCAACATTCTATGCTTACAGACATGTGTGTTGAACCACGTCTCTCGATGCCATCATCTACCATGGCACATATGTTCTCTATGCAACGCTTCGCAAACCCCACAAGAATCAACCTACCTCAGCCGTACAAAGGCTCCGTCTATTCACCTACCTACCTCCACTCAAGCAAAACCACCAGCACTCACCTCACCTCACCCACGCCACAAAACAACCCCCTACTCTACTCATCCCTCGGACTCTCCACATTAGTCCCATAGTTCCTGGCCGACCCATCCGCAAACCTGATCGTCCGCGGCCCGAGCACAAGCTCCTGCCCCTCCGTGTGCCGGGGCGACAGCACAGCCGCAGGGTTACTACCCGAGAAGCTCGAGTCGTCATCAGCCAAAGAAGACGAAGCCGCATTACCCGGCCGATCCATCGACTGCATCCGCTGCGTCGGGCGCGCGACCTGGACCGGCCGCGTGACTTCCCGCTCAGTGGCGGCGGTGGTGGTGGTGGCATCGCTCTCGTCGCCGGGCGGCAGCGGCGGCGTCGTCTGCTTCGGCGGCGGCTGCTGCTGCTGTTGCTGCTGTTGACAACCGCTCTTGCTGCGGATGACGGAGCCGCCGATGCGGTAGAGCGGGCGCGGGAGGAGGTTGGCGCCGGTGCTGCCGGTGGCGGCGGAGCGCGGGGTGGTGGTGCCGGAAGCGGTGTTGCTGTGGCGGTTGCGCAGGATGCCTGGGAGGGACTGCTCGGTGAAGGAGCGGATGTGGAAGGGGGCGGGCTCGTCGGAGTTGCGGTCCGTGGAGACGGCGTTGGAGAGGGTGCGTGGGATCTGGATGCCGAGTTTGCCTAGCGGGATGCTGAGGCCGTGGACGACCTGGTTTTTCTTGGTCAGCTTGGGTGGAAAGGGGTGCGAGGAAGGGTTGGTTGGGGGGAGGGGGATGCTTACGATGCTGCAGATGACCAGGAACCAGATGACCACGTACATGACTTCCTGGAGGTGAGCCGCGTCTTCGCGCTGGGCGCCGTCGACGACGATTCCTTCCAGGAATTCGATGCTGATGTAGAGATAGAAAATGGCGCTGACGCCGATCGGTCCAAAGAAACCTACGAAGAGCGCTTGGCGCAGCTGTTCTATCTGATGAATGTGCTTGTGCATGCCTACAACAACCGGGAGCCGGCGTAGAAGTAGGACCAGAATGCCCAAGGGGATGAGACGGTAGATTGGAATCACGCTGTTGTGGGCGAAGACGTTCCAAGGGCACACAGCGCCAAACCAGATGAAAACAGACACGTTAAGGAGCATGTCGATCGTTGGCTGTAGAGAGTCGTCCATGGTTTCCAGACGGAACCAATCACTATCGTGGCAGATCAGACAAGTTCTGTAGAGGGGTTGAGCACTTACTCCCAGGTAAAAACGTTGCCGGCGATGAAGCATGCAAGGACATCGTCACTTCCAAGCATACCATCGGTTCCCACAATGAAGAGCTGCATGCTCTATCAGCCCCAACGCCTCTTCACGATGGCAATGCGAGGAGCACTTACAGCAAGGGTGATTGCAAACACCAAGAAACTCTCCCGGTCGACATATCTCCTCTCCTCAGCCCAGTGAAGGAGCTCTTTGGCAATCCAGCCAACGGTAGCACCATAGGCAATGCTCATGAAAATGGTGTAGCCCCAAGTCTCACCAAACCACAAGCCCATCGCCTTGCCGACTCCACCAGGCTCGCCCGCACCATGGTGGCCAAGGTACTTGATCAGGTAGAGAGGCAAGAAGAGGAAAGGATAGCCAAGGCCATCATTCGCGCCAGACTCAGCGATGACAAGCTTAGCAAGTTCTTTGGGAATGTTCTTATCAGCAAACTTGCCCTTCACAATCGAGTTCGACAGGACCGGGTCGGTGGGCGTGACGCAGGCTCCAACAGCTAGTGCCTGCAGGAAGCTGAGGTTCGGCACCATGGCCCACACAAGCAGGCTCGTAAGCACCCACATGCCCGTCATGCCGGGGCCTAGAAGCAGCGAGAGCGATTTCCATTCGATTTGCAGATACCTGCTCGGGAGCTGCACGCCTGCAATGACCAGCTGTACTCCCAGCACCAGGCGTGTGAAGTAGAGATTGATCGTGTTCAGCGTGTCTTCAGAGCCGAGAGCGTAGTCGTGAGGCCGGATCCAATTGGCGGCGTTAGGACCGAAGATGACTCCAGCGACCGTGGAAATGACTGGGATGACGTAATGTGAGCGCGCATGATCGAAGACTCGGCTTGCCGCCGGACTCACGGGCTTCGGAGAGGTAAAATTTCTCCTTGCACAGGAAGGACACGAGTCCAAACATGGTGACGAAGCCGCCAAGCGTCGCGCAGACGATGTTGAAATTGGAGACGTCGAGGCTCGGCATAATGGCGGTCTTGTGAAAAAAAAGATCAAGAATGAGGTTGAAAATAATGCGGAGGCGAATGTTGCGCCTCCGTGAAACAGGTGTTAGGGAGCTCTAAGCACGTTCTGGCAGACGGGTGACGGCTGGACGGGATGAACAGCGGTGAAAACGTTCTCCACAAGTGTTATTGAATCATTTGCGACGGATGTTTGAACTGTTGCCTGTGCCGTGGTAGACGCCACTTTTACTCGATCTCAGCCCGGGGCCGCTCAACGGTTGCCGACGTGTTCCAGCAGGAGGGAGGTGATCTCGGCGGATGCGTGGTGGAAGAGTGGGAGAGGGACGAGGGAGAGCAGGATGTCTTGGAGCTGCAGAAATAGTGGGCACGAGGACGATCGCTAGCGCTAAGCATCACCGGTGGCACGAGTCATGCGCCACATCTGCTCCTACTCTTACCAACAAACAAATCACTTTGGCTTCCCCGAGGTTTCATACTAGAGATATAGCGTTCCGCTTACATTGGGAATTGAATCCGGTACCCGGATGTACTTGATACTTGGAAATTTCCCACGTACGTCCGGATACTCGCTTCAACTACCCTGTACGGAGAGCTCGGCATCAATCTGTGGGGCATCGAGGGCTTGACTGTCTTGGCTGATCTTGATTTCAACTTGACCACTTCTTATGCGAACTACACTGGTCCATTGCAATATTCCAATGTGAAGCCGAAAATTGGTTGCGATCCCCTGTCCGTCCGCTACACAACGAGGCCACCAAACTCATGCACCGTGACCCGGCCTTCCCGGGATTTTCCTAGCTCGTAACTCAGTACCGAGTTATCCACGTACATCATGAGCAGTCTCCACCTCCTCGAGTAGTCCGCCTGGCGGCCAAGCATGCCTTGGACTGGTCCTGCAGCGATCCCAGCCAATGGTGCGAGCGGCCGATCTCCCCTCTCTTCCTGGTCTCGGAAAGGCAGAATACAGTCCATCCTGCATCCATACAGTGGTCTCCGGCTCTTTGGATCCGTCTCGTCTGTCTGTGTCAAAGACATGATGGCAACCCGTCCCTTAGCCGAGCCAACCACCACGATCCCAAGCTCGACGATCTGGGCGAACAAGTTGATGCGATCATGCATGCATACCCGGTCCATGAAGGGGTTCCGTTTGATATGCTGGAAGAACGGGTCGAAGAAGCCGATGGGGGGACGTTCTGGTGACTTTGTGCTCCGTGGTTGGATCAAGAATATGTCCTTCACCGAGAGCCGCATTATTGGTGAAGCCGGAATTTTGATCTGAGTAGTGGTCTGACCTTGAGGATTGCGCGGTACTCTCCTGTGCAGGAAATCATAAGCTCCAGCTTCCGATCAGATGCTCTACTCTGCTCTCTAAGCTAAGCGAACTTGATCTGGGGTCGACATACTTGAGTTGAATGCCATCAAAGTCGCCTTCCATGGGAGGCTCCGTTAAGTCAACGTCATCATCGGATGATTCATCTGATTCATCCTCAAGTCGTCCGATAGCGGAACCATATATGGTGCTAGAATTTCGAACACGCTGTCGGCTGTTGCTGTTGTCATAGCAATTCAATGTTGGGGATATCCTTTCGACCTTCAGAGGAACACCTTCTGAGCCTAAAGCTTCGCTGACACTCTCGGTTCGCTTGAAAGCTCTTCGGTCAAGCCACATAACACCCCAAGCTGAAGTCTCTTGTCAGCAATTGGTGTTTCAAGCACATGATTCAGAATATACAATGCAATCCTCAAAATCTGCAAAACGGACATTAAGGACAGGTCAAGATGAGTCTGGTAAACACAGGGAGCGGAACGGATAGAAACAGGCAGCACTTACTCGCGTGCAGGTAGTATCGCATGCCCTGCTCGAGGAATTCACAGCCACACTGTTTCTGTCCGGAAACCTCAGCCATGGCACAGAATCTATGCGCATGCATGTCTACGGCAGGGTACTCCCTCCTGAAGCATCGAGCGAGGTCCATTATCCTGCTGAAGCCGTCAATGTCGCTGGTGAGGACCCACCGGCCCTCGGGGTCATCGCCTGTGTTGCAGACTGCTACACATGGGATATTTTGCCCCGTTTCTGGAGTGACTATCCTGTACTGTTGAGACCTGTCCGGCAGCCATGAGCGGGTTTTGGGCAATAAGTCTTTGGTCAGGGCAAGTGCAAAGACAGTGACGGTGTGGGAGTTGCAGCTGACTGCGATCATACGCGCTTCTCGGTGAACCGCTAGGCCCCACGCACTGCTGCCAACATCCTCGGAGAAGAACGGGCGCACATCATCGCCCTTGATGGTCTCCACACAGTTGGGCTCTTGGCGCCGGTCAATGGCACGCTGGATCTGGTTGACGTGGTAGCCAATGACGCGACCATCGTGTAGTGCAAGAAGCAAAATCTCGTCATTTCCCAGAAAGTCTACTAGGAGGTGGTTAATGGTTCGGCCGGAGCCAAGGGGCGCTAGATCAGTGAAATCAGGCACGGTATCGGTGTGCACAGTGGGAGAAAGGATGAGACTTGGCTGAGCCGACAGCTTCTGGTCCGGGAAGTTCGGTTCGTACACGAGAACCTCATAGCGGGAAGCTACAAAGTAAAGATTGTGGATGTGAGAAAGAGCAGTCTTTTGACGACGTCAATTGCGGATACACGTGATCGGGAAAGGCTCGACTGACCAGATTGCAGCGCCAGGACTCGATTCGAGGGGGAGGATTGGTAGCTCTGTTCCTCCTTGGGAAGCGTTCAATTCCACTCTGAACACCCAGAGGCGTTGCTGGGAATTCCTTGAGGGCGTGTGGATGGGCGGGACGGTCCATGCTGACGTAGCTGCGCTGAGTCGAGCAAGGCAGCGTGCAGGGAGCCGAGAACTACTGGGCTGACTACCTAGACTGGAGGCGCGAGACGGGTAGTGGAGACTCCAGGCACGGTCATATCTCGAGATGAGCGGGGTGCGACGGTGATACAGGAACGGAAGTTGCGGCGAGATGCAGCGGCGAAGGTCGTTATCGATAGCAGCTAGAAACTTGACTCGCGAAAGCTCGCGATCCCTGCACCCAAGCGGGGCTCCGGCCGCGCACCTGCATGACCGGCCTTTGACGTTGCTTGCCCGCCGACTTTCTTGCGCCTCGCCTCGGGCATCCACGCATCGAGCGCATTTCTCTCCACGAGACGTCGCCACCTCTGCATGCGCCGTTGGCACTCGCAGCTGCTACGACCTTTCACAACACCCCCGCGGTTCCGAACACTCCCGCTCGCGTCACCGACCTCGTCACGCGGCATTCGTCCTCCCAGACCCGCTGCAACCTCTCTCCTTCCCCTGCAGCAGACCTGTCGAGCTTCCAGTCGCGCGATGGATGTAAGGGATTTGGCCGAGGGCGGCCCGGTCGCGAGCCAGCTCAAGCTGGTTAACAGGCTGAGCGAGAGCAGAAGTCCCTACGTACGTCCCACCGTAGCCCCGGCTTCCGCAGAGCCATGGCCGTTAACGTCGAACTAGGTGCGCGGCCACATGCACAATCCTGTCGCATGGCAAACGTGGGGCCCGGAAGCCCTTGACTTGGCTAGGAAGACAAACAGGCTATTGTTTGTGAGCATTGGGTATGCTGCCTGCCACTGTATGTCCCAAGCTGCAAACGCGGGGCCCTACAGCGTCTAACGGATGTATAGGGTGCCATGTCATGGAGCGCGAGTCGTTCGAGAACCCGGAAATTGCAAACATTCTGAACAACAACTTCATCCCCGTCAAGGTTGACCGCGAAGAGCGCCCCGATGTCGACCGCATATACATGAACTACGTGCAAGCCACCACTGGCTCTGGTGGCTGGCCGCTCAATGTGTTCATCACTCCGGACCTCGAGCCCATCTTCGGTGGCACTTACTGGCCCGGCCCCGGCTCTACCACTGTTCTGGGTGACCATCCTTCGTTCCTGGAAATATTGGAGAGGATCAAAGATGTATGGCAAACCCAACGCCAAAGGTGCCTGGAGTCTGCGAAGGAGGTCACGGCTCAGCTTCGTGAATTTGCCCAGGAAGGTACTCTCAGCAAGCGCGGCGAGGGTGTTATTGGAGACGGCTTGGATCTGGAATTGCTGGAGGAGGCATACACCCACTTTGCCAACAAGTACGACAAGCAGAATGCTGGTTTCGGCAAGGCGCCGAAATTCCCGACTCCAGCCAACCTGTCGTTCTTGCTGCGCCTTGAGCAATACCCCGAGGCCGTAGAGCATGTTGTTGGTGACAAGGAATGTGTGCAAGCGAAAGAGATGGCCGTTGAGACCCTCCGGAGGATGACCCGTGGAGGTATCCATGATCAGGTAGGCAATGGCTTTGCCCGGTATTCGGTAACACAGGATTGGAGCCTGCCTCACTTCGAGAAGATGTAAGCCTCCCGCACCTCATTTTCTCAGCCTTACCTAATTGCCGCAGGCTATACGACCAGGCGCAACTTCTCACCGCCTATCTCGATGCCCATCTAGTGACCAAGGACACTGAGCTTCTTGATGCCGCTCATGACATCGCAACATACCTCACCAGTCCTCCTCTGCAATCTGCAGATGGCGGATTCTTCTCTTCCGAGGATGCAGACTCGCTTTACCGCCCCAACGATAAAGAGAAGCGTGAAGGTGCTTTCTACGTGTGGACCAGGAAAGAGTTCAAGACGATCTTGGGAGAGAAGGATGCGGAGGTGTGCGGTCGATACTTCAACGTCCGCGAAAACGGCAACGTCAGCCCTGAGCATGATGCGCACGATGAACTCATCAACCAGAACGTTCTAGCCATCAACTCTACACCAGAGGCCCTTGCCAAGGAGTTCGGACTGTCGAAAGACGAAGTGAACAGGATACTCGAAAGTGGAAGGAAGAGACTTCTAGAGCACAGGAACAAGGAGCGGCCCCGCCCAAGCCTGGATGACAAGATTGTCGTCTCTTGGAACGGTCTTGCTATCGGCGCTCTTGCACGATTCAGCGCGTTCCTTGAAGCGACCGGCTCTGACAAGGCTAGCACCTACCGCCAGGCCGCAGAGAAGGCAGTACGCTTCATCAAATCATCGCTGTACAACTCTGCGGATGCCTCGCTCAAGCGCGTATACCGCCAAGGTCCTGGAGAGGCGCCTGCCTTTGCAGATGACTACGCATTCCTGATTTCGGGTCTAATTGACCTCTATGAGGCTACTTTCGACGACTCCTACCTCGAATTTGCCGACCAATTACAGCGGACGCAAATAAAGCGCTTCTGGGACACGGCTTCTGGCGGATTCTTTTCCACCGCAGAAGGCCAAAGCGACCTCATTCTACGGCTGAAGGATGGAATGGACAATGCCGAGCCCAGCACGAACGGCGTCTCCGCTGGCAACCTGTACCGTCTCGGCGCTCTGCTTGAGGATGCAGACTACACGAAGCGCGCAAAGGAGACGTGCGAAGCCTTCGAGGCCGAAATCATGCAACATCCATTCCTATTCCCGAGCATGCTTAGCAGCATCGTGGCATTGAGGCTGGGCATGAAGAGCATCGTCGCAACTGGCAAGGGCGACAATGTCGAGAAGGCCGTCAGCAAGGCAAGAAGTCGAATCTCTACCAACACGACAGTCGCGCGACTGGGCGAGGGCGCCAAGAGCGAATGGTTACACAAGAGAAATGAGCTGTTCAAGAACCTTGACGTGAAGGCGCCGCGTGTACAAATTTGCGAGGGCGGTGTCTGCAAGGATGAGCTGGATATGGCAGACATGGAGAAGGCGCTGCGCGAGGTGCGGTGATGCGCCTGTAGATATGGTCGCTGTGGTGATTTCGGTTCAGCCGTCGCTAATCATGTTGATGACAGAGAGCGTTGTAGATTTGCCCCCTTTTGGGCCAAGTCAATGCATATTTATAGAAGCCAGGCATCAAATTGCGATTCTTGTATCTTGTTCCCATCAATTAAGTGCGATACTCTCTAAGAGTTCCTGGCAGTCTTCTTCACTTTGCCGGATTTAGAAGCGATATTCAGAATTTAGCAGGCAGCAGCGTAGGCAGCCGCAAAAGTCTACAAAATTCTCACTCCTGGGGTATGGCTTGCTCTAAATTGGTCCAGGGTAGGAAATAGTCAAGCCTCTGGCGTCACACTTTACTAGGCAACGTTGCTGCCTACGCCTCTCTTGACTCACGTACATCACACAACCCTGCCTCCCTCTCTCTACTCAGACCTATATAAACCTCTCTCCCTTCGCATTCCTCAAGATTTTCTTCCCCAGCTCTCTTTGCCGGAAGGCTTAGATCAAGTGTAGTATCTGTTCTTGTTCAGTTTGATCGCTGAATACTGGTTAAAACCATTTTTCTCTCAAACTCTATTTTTGGAAACCGGGCGGGAGGGCACAGGATTAATCGGCTGTGAGGGCGCCTCATGTTTGTCGGATCTTGGTGTCCCGTCCATAGTGTTGCCGGTATCTGCACTGCCTCCGGCTGACGCGACTTTTCTCGATACTTTTTTATCCTTTCGGCCGAAGTCGGGGGTCGAGGGATTATTGTTTCTCTTTCGTCGGTGGACCCGCCTTGCGTGGGACGTCGAGGAAGGCGTTCGATCGTTTTCTGTCTGCTTCCTTCTGTTGGAAGAAGTGGAGTACTGAGGATAAGGTAGATTGGCTTGCGGGGTCGTGGCGGGGGCGCAAATGGGATGCGATGGAGGGGCACGCTTGGCAGGATTCCGCAGGGCGGCCACGCTGACGAGAGCATCGCCACCCCACGGGCTGGTGTCTACTAATGCGAGCGTGGTGCAAGAATGCATGTGATACGGTAACAGAGTGCCATGTCGATGGGTCGATAACTGGCTGTGGCACGTCCGTGAGTGAAGATGTTCTGCATGCATGTCTGTGTAAGCGGGGGTGGCTGATGCGGTTGTCCTTTGGGCACCTATTGAGCAGCAGGGAGCAGGTATCCGTCACGGCTGCTGGGGGATAAGGCAGCAAGGTGCTCTGGGCGACGAGGCTTCGACCTGCAATCGCAGGCCAATAATAGCGCGCTGAGCCCTGCTCGATGCCACGACATCTCGTGCAACGGCGATCTTGTACACAGGCGTCCCGCGGATACCAAAGATATCGAAGATCATGGGGGCGGTATGCATGGTAGGTGCACGACTTTAGAGCATGCGCTTGAGTGCTGATGCGCAAATATTAAGTTGAGCGTTGTGAGGTCATGGAGAATAATAGACAGCCGTAAGCTCAAGCCAAGAAAATAACGACGAGGGGCATGCAGAAATGAGGCTGCAAACCATCGACGGCTGCGTTTATGTGTAAGCCGCAATTGCTGCACAAGTGATTCAGCCACACCATTACGAAATATGCAGGTTCTGAAACTTGGAGAATGATATGCTCCTCGTAAAAATTCACGATGAGACTGGGGTCTTGTCAGAGCGCGGGTGGCTATTCGCTAGTCTGCAGGCGTGCCATGGGCAGAGACAGCGGGCGGAGGAGCATAAGGCTTATAGATGACCCGTAGTCTGCCGTTTGGTGGCCTTGCGGAAGGCGGCGGGTTTGAGCTGGCTTTCTGCTATCCGTGGCTCGTTCGCGGAAGCTTCCACCAGAAGCAAACGTTTATCGAGGGAGATGATGGCACAGGCTTCGCGCGCACCCGGCGCTAGGAGAAACCACCGCGCTGTGGAGCCGTGCCCGCCATCTCCGACAAGCTGCAAGGCACGGTCGAAATAAGAGTGGCACGCTTGAGAACAGACGGAGATCCCCCGCATCGTACTCGGACGGCTGACGGCGGCGCTGATGTCGCTGGCTGGAGTGGCTGCGTGCGCCAGAAGCCGCCGGCCGCGGGGTGAAGAAACACCATGATGCACGATACTTTGCAATCCACGCTCTTGACGTGCGGGCCGCGGCTGTTGCTCCCTGCATCACCTTGTTTCGAAGCCTATCTAGCCGCCTGACCCGCCGCGGCGGCTGCAAGGGTGCCCCAATGAGAGCGACTGCGAACGCTGGCGGGAATGGCTTGAGGCGCGAACGGTGGGTGAGGAGGCTTGCCAGTGAGCGCACGCAAGCGCCGCACGCAGCGGTAGTGTGGCCGGGGCCGCATAATAACCCCGTGCGGCGGCTACAGGGCTGTGCTTCGCACGGCAGCGTGATCAGCCAGCTTCCCTTTCCGCTTCGAGGCCAGCACCGGCGCTGCCAGTTTCAGCTTCCCATCTAATAACCTGCAGCGCGCCCGCCCGACTCCAGCATTGCCGTCATTTCACGATACGACGCCCTTGACGCTGCCAGCCAGCGCAGCAAACACCACGCTCGTCTCACGCACCCCTCTGGTCGCGCCGTTCCCGGCCTTCGCACCGCCGCATTCTTCGGTCGCGTTCGCGGCGCTTCACCGCTGCGTCGCGTTGACTCGTGCTTCGACGGTCCCTCGCGTTGGACGCCCGCTGCGCGCTAGAGCCCAGCCACCCCTGCACGCGCAGAGGCCTTGGTCCAGCAGCAGGATCCCGTGCTGGCCGCCAGGCTGTTTACCACCAGACGCTGCTGTTGCACCCAAGACGCTCCGCTTCCTCATCTCCGGCCTTTTTTGAGGAACGCCTCACCCTCGCCATCTCGTCGCTCGCTCTGGCCGAGTCGCAAGCAATTCCACCGTCGCTTGTCGACTGCACTCCTCGACCCGCCATCCGGCGCCCACCACGCGACTAGTGCCGGCCGACCAGTCAGATCCTCTCATTGGCAAGAATGTCCCAGTACGGGAGCTTTAAGGATTTCTGCCGCGATGCTGGCAACAGGGCGGCTACAATTCCAGGTGAGTCGGCCTCGTCCGCGCCGCATGCTGAACGATAGTCGCATTGGCTGACCTGACCTGCTTGTGCGTAGTCTGCAATGTAAGATCGATCCACATCTGGCCCCCGACGCGACCGCTGTCGCTGCTGCATCGCAACCGCGTCGCGCTCTCCCGCTAACCGCCCGCAATACAGCTCTTCTCCCTGTCGCCCGCGAAAAGCGGCTCCAATGCCGCCGGCTTTGGAGGTGGCTGCGATTTGACGGGCATTTCGCTAAGCAACGGCCGGCATCTCGCAAACTTGGGTCAGTGTTGCATCATGCGCATCTCGGCAACACGAAATCTAACCACCACTCCACAGGCTCCATCCTGCTCTGCGGCATCGCGATCGCGGTGAGCGCGCTGTTACTATGGCGCTCGGAACGAAAGAAGGCTGCCGTCGGGCGCAGGTGCGTATACTAAGGCAGATTGCGATGGATCGGCCGCGTGCTAACGCCCCGTAGGGAGATGCAACTCTTCCTTCTTGGATACATCATCATCTCAATCTGTGAAATCTTCACCGTCGGAGGCTTCCCGCTTGACGGCGCCGTCCGCAGAGTAAGGCAGCAAACCTGCTTATCTCTGCTCAACACTCGGCTAATCGCTACGCATAGGGTTTCAGCGCGGTCCACATTGCGGCCGTAGTCGCTACAGCTTGGATACTGCTCCTCAACGCTGCCGTCGGGTTCCAGCTGCTCGACGATGGAACTCCCCTTTCGATAGGCCTGATCCTGACGTCGTCGGCGATTCTCTTCGTCGGCACTGGATACATTGCTCTCGACACAACCTTCGAATGGACTGGCTACTGGAATGATACGTTGACTACCGCAAAGTCGTATTCCTTGTACACTCTCTATCAGCTGGTCCCGTTGGTGTTCATCGTCATCTTTTTCGTCATGGAAACCTATTTGGTCCTCCGCGTCCTCGGCGAGAAGAAGCCCATGAGTAAGTTCGAATAGATTGCGAATCATTTTGTGTTGTGGGTATCTGACCATGATTTAGTCTATCTGGCGGGCGCCGCACTTCTGTTCGCGCTTGGACAAATCTTCCAATACGTGATCAGCGTGCACCTCTGCAATGCTTCGAACGGCAAGATCAACGGCGGTCTTTTTGAAACATTCTTCACGCTCTGCGCCATAGCAATGGTCTGGGTGTTCTGGTCCAGCATCACAGAAGATGACTGGCCGATGCCCAATACCGGAGGCGCCTATACATAATTTCCTTTATTGTTCAGTGCGTTTTTGCGCGAGTTGCAGTCATGGAAGCGAAGAGGCAAGGACGTAAGATTCTGCAGAGCAAAGCAAAGCATGGCGTGTATGTGTTTACGAGGATGGCGATATGAGTATTCGCCGATGGACGACTTTATTCCCCCAATGATCGTTTTCTGGTTCTGATAGATAATTTCTCCCGACGTAATGAATGGTAGGCTGGCAGACAGCATGAACAAAGAAAGCTCCGTGCCGTCCCTGCAGCGTGCTTAGGGGAGCGCCAGGCCGCCAGGCACGCAAATGGCGCGGATCACGTGCAGCGCGTCGCGGCGGGCTGTAGCCGAGTCAGGGCGGACCTCTGACCTCATGCGACCGCCTGCGCAGACCCAGCTCTGTCGCACCGCTCGTTTGCGCCGTATGGAGGTGTGTTGCCGCTCATAGACTGCGAGGGTGTTTTATTCTTCATTTTTCATTCACCGTTCTCCATTCGGCCGCCTGCTTCACCGATCCTACTGGCCTTGCCAGAAACCTGGGTCCGCGCAACTCAAGCTTTCACCTTCATACGTACCGCGTTTTTTCCCTGCGCCTAGGCCCCAGCTTCGAATGTTTGCCGCGACGACCCCACCGACGACGTCCTTTTCCTCCTTCTCCTTCTACCACCCGTCACCGTCGCCGCCACCGTCTTTGCCCTCGTTCCCTCCTTCCGCGTCGTCGGCCTCGACCTCGACCTCATCACCACCATCGAACCCACAACCCACGCGAACGGCCCTCGTGAAGCATAACAAGCGCACCGGCTACTACCATCACCACTGCTGCCACCACAACCATGGCCGATTCGGGCGACGAGTACGTCTATGGCTCCGATGACGAGGGGCGGGGAAGTCGAGCGGGCGGCAAGAAGAAGGACCGCGCGAACGGCGGCAGGCGGTGGGAGCAAGGCGTGCACGCTGACGCGCATGCGCTGAAGGAAGCCGCGGACGGGAAGCTGCTGCCCGACGAGGAGGACAATCCGGAGGCCAAAAAGAGGAAGAGGTAAGGTGTAACTCGGTCCTTTTGCTGTGTCTGTTTTTCTCTCTTCTTCGTGTTTGGAGTTGGATTGGGCAAACGATACCGTCGGCGCTGGTTTGGCCGAACTTCTGGATACCCCCGGTCTACTCGCACGCGGAAATACCATGGATACTCGGATACATGAATGCTTGCAGACCTGGATGTGGTGGGGAGAATTGTACGTTGTTTCCGTCGGGAAGAGATGGAAGGACTTGCTGCCCTCTCCATCCATGCGCGCATGGGCTCTCGGGACCAAACTCTCTCTGGAGAGCCGATGAATGAAGGCCGTCCTCTACACAGTGAACTGTGTGCGAAGCTAGTTAGCAAGGAGTTCGGAGCCTGGTTTGGATGCCAATGGACCTCTCGTTCCGGCCTAGGGAACGGAGAAATTGCTTGTCTGAAAGGCACATAATGAGGAACGGTGTTTGGGAGAGATTTTGGGCATTGGACTCGAATTCTGTTGGTTGTCGACGTCAACAGGAATTCGATCCGGACCAACGACGGGTCACAACGGACGCACAATCCAGGATACCCAGTCTCGGACGGCGACACAATGATATTTGGACTGCTATTGCTATTTTATGAGCCTTTACGGACATGGTACTGACGTATCTCTAGACTCCGACAGGATACAAAACCGTTCCAGCGTGGGATTATCCGCCATGTCGTACTCGTTCTCGATCAGTCGGAGGCAATGCTTGAGAAGGACTTCAAGCCGACTCGGTACGCTGCAGTTCTGAAATACGCTCAGGAATACGTACGAGAGTTCTTCGAACAAAATCCGATCAGTCAATTATCCGTCATGAGCATGTACGACGGCCTCTGCAACCGCGTCAGTGAGCTCAGTGGGAACCCAAATGACCACATCGGACCGCTACAAAAAATGCGAGATACTAGGAATCCAAATTATCAAGATCCCAGAGGCAGCCCCTCGTTACAAAACGCACTAGAGCAAGCTCGAGCAGCGTTATATCACACCCCCAGCCACGGGACACGTGAAGTCATCATTGTTCTAGGCGCGCTTCTCTCTCTTGACCCCGGGGACATCTTCAAGACCATTGCAAGCTGCGTCAAGAACAACGTCCGAGTCAACATAATCGGCATGGGCGGGCGCTTGAAAATCTGCCAAGAGATATGTTCGCGGACCAACGGCGGCGACGAAAACGTCTACGGCGTGGCCGTGGACCAGATGCACTTCCGCGACCTCCTCCTCGCGACCACCACGCCGCCCGTGATCCGGCAGACGACGGCCGAAGTGGCCAACCCGGCCTCGCTGCTGAAGATGGGCTTCCCGTCGCGCGTCGTCGAGGCGGCGCCCACCATCTGTGCCTGCCACGGCATCCTAACGCGCGGCGGCTACCTCTGCTCGCAGTGCCAGGCAAAGGTCTGCAGCTTGCCGACGGGCTGCCCGTCGTGCGGCCTCACCCTCATCCTCTCGACCCACCTCGCCCGCAGCTACCACCACCTTTTCCCCCTCCAGAACTGGTCAGAGGTCACCTGGGAGCGTGCGCGTCAGGTCGGCAGCACTGAGTGCAAATCTTGTCTCACGCCTTTTCCACCCGTCCCGTCGGTGTCGAAGGCTGCTGCGGCGGCGGCGAAGAAAAGCGGCGCGAACGGCGAGCGAAATGGCGACTCGAACGGCGTGCAGCAGGAGAAGCGACCGAAGCAGACGGAGGGCGCTGGCGCGAGCGAGAGCTCGCGGTACGAGTGCGAGAGTTGCGGAAACCACTTCTGTGTCGACTGCGACGTGTATTGTCACGAGATCGTGCACAATTGCCCGGGCTGCTTGAGCGTGGTGCTGCCACCGGATCAGGCTAGTGGTGGTAAGGCTGTGGATGGCGTGGCGTCGAATGGTGCATGACCGGAGATGAGGGGGGGTTTTGCTTGACCTTGGCGCGTTGTTTTTCCTGGGGGCATTTGCTTCGAAGCGGGTATGGCGCGTCGAAACCTGATTTTATGACAGGGGCGTTTGGATAGGAATGGCAGGCTGGGGATGCGCATGCTTGGCTTGGTTATTATGGCTGGATGAATGAATGGGCGGCGGCGGCGGCGGCGTGGGGATGGAGCGGGGTTGGCGTATAGCTTGTTAAGACTTTTATGCATCACCGAAAAAGGGGAGGAGGTGAAGTTGAGTGGTGGTCAGTATTATTGGTGGGTATGGGAGATGCAGGAGGAGGTGGTGGAAAAAGACGCCAGCGCGTATGGAGCGCAGAAGCAGGGTCTTACTTCATTTTTTAAGGTCGCGAAAGACTGATGATTCAAATGTACGTTTAGAATGAAGAAACTTGACTGACGATAGAGACTTGTTTCATGGTCAGATCATTCGTGCGGCAGGGGGAATTCTGGCCGCTGTGTTGTGCATACATGAAGCTTGAAGAAGTTGGTGAAGCTGCTTGGAGGAAGCTCGGTCCATTTGATATTCTCTTGAGTCTTAAGAAGTGCGTGGCTAAGGCTATCTATGAAGTGTCGCTCGATCATTTTGTTGTCGTGTATATGCAGTAGCGTTTAGCTATCCACTATGCTGGCCGCGATTTGCTGCAGTCCTACATTTATGAAGTGCCCGAGGAAGAAGAGCAGTTTCTTTGACGAAGCTACGCAAAAGAAACTGCTGACTATGAACAAAAAGACAGCGCAGTTCACACGACTACTTGATTTCCACCGCAAGTCACCGACCTCCTGCCAATTTGAAATCCAAGCATCACGGCCATAAAACCGTCAGCAAGAAACCGCCCTCTTTCACCGATAAACCGAATCTGAACCTCAAATTCAACGTACCATAATCTACCAGAAGCTTGAACATTTCGTTTCGGGCGCACATACATCATTCTTGGATTCTCTTAAAACAACACTATCGCTACGGTGCCGCTGCTCTCGCAACTTCACATTTCTACCCTTTCTGGAACGGCCAAACCCTCTTCAACCACTTGCCTTATAACAACCAGGTAACTACAGCAAACACAACCCAGTTACCCATATGAAGGACGAAGACAGAGCCGCTATCATAGTCACCCTCGTCGTGGTGGTCCCCGCATGCCTTTTCTTCTGCTGTCTATGCTTCGGCCTCCGCCATCTGGCTCGCAGCATGCACGAAGAAGACCAAAGCCCTGACCAGGACGATCCGCAAGACCGGCATAGTAGACCGAGGGATGAGGAGGAGCTGATTGGCTTGGAGGATCTTTCGGGTGCTGCTGGGAGAGGGGATCGGAACCGAGATCATGGGCAACAGCAGCAGCAGCAGCAGGGCGAGTATTGGGAAGAGGAACGAAAAGCCGGTGGTCACCAGAAGCCGATTCTTCTATCACCGGAGGAGTCAGCAGTGCCGCCGCTGCCAGCGCCTAGGCCGGTGCGGCCGTGGGAGCGTCGACTGCGGGTGATGGGTGGCGTGGCGTATGATCCTTCTTCTCCTCTGCCCCGGCTGCCTTCGCTTTCTCCTGCGCCTTCTTTGGCGACGATGATGTCTTTGTCGTCGTCTTTGTATTCGTCATCGTCGTCCTCGTCCTCACCCACCATCTTCTCCTCCTACCTACCCCAATCTCTCTCGGCGTGGACGTCTAAAGTTCCCGGTCTGATCCCTATACTCACTACTGCGGCGTCCGGCGGTCGTAGACGCGGTGTGCAGGAAAGGAAGACACCAAAGGTGGTGCGTTTTGCGGATGAAGTGCCGCCCGACATTATCGTCATACCCGCTACGCCAGAATTGAAGCCACCGCCTTGCCCGTCATGCAACGAGGATGATGGTGCTGGCGCTGGAGGAGGATCTGTTGCTTCTTCTTCGACGGATGATGAGGACCAAGCAGTTAGTGCTGGTGATAGTTTACCTTTGTCTGAGACAAGGTGCAGATTGCCGAATACTGAGTGGCAATGCGGTCAGATTGGCACTGCTGTCAGCGTGGCATAGTCAGACAGAATGTGAAGGATGGAGCAGCGGGAGTGGTGGCTTTCTCCTTTTCTACAGACTTTGTGGGGATTGCGGTAGTGTCTGTGGTACGATCAGTACGACATGTGAAACGGCTCTGTTGTTAAGAATCGAGTATTTTGGAGACTTGTCTAGAGTTTCGCGTTTGTTGGTAAGTTCTACTGTTCTCCTATTTGACATTCTATGGTTATTGCTCAAAATATTGTTACTCGTTACTTTCTGTACAATGCTCCCTGCTGCTTTTTTCCTCCTCCTTAATGGTTATTTGGTATTAACCTTCCTCCAAATATCTTGCTGAGAGATAAGAGAGCTAGTAATGCTCGTAATAGCTACCACAGCTGGAGAGACAGGCGTATAATCGACCACAGCCCCAGGAGTCAGGAGGTCACAAGATGCGCCTACAAGTTGACGCAGCAGTGTGTGCTGCGTCTTCCTAGCCTTTTCGAGGGCACGTTCCTTCTCTTGCACCGGAGTCTTCTTTGGCTGAGGCTCAGGCTTCTCCTTTGATTGCTCTTTAGTTTTAGCATCTCCTTTTGTGGCGGCAGAGGCGTCATTCTTTGCTGTGACTTTCGCTGCACCAAGCTCTGCCTGAAGGCGAATGATCTTGTTTCGAGTGGTGTAGAGGTCATAACAGGTGAGAATGATAGAGCATGCGATGGAATAGAACCAGAAACGCATTGACTCGACAAAGAATAAGGGAGCCCATGAAGACTTCTTCACGCCCAAAGCATCAACCTGAGCAAGTCAGTCAAAGCTGTAGTCTGGAATATCAATGGAAACTTACTATGGTGACGGACTCGGTGAGCAGAAACATTCCCAAGTATGACCACTTGGCGATGTTTAGCAAGGAAAGCACACCCTCACGCTCGCTATTAACCAGGGCCTCATTGTTGCGCAGTGCATCAGATGCAATGAGGGCACAGTCGATCCACTTGAAGATGCGAAAGTAGCGGCGGCCCAGAGCAAAGTTCTTGCGGAGGGCACCGCTGATATCGACTACTTGAGCAGCTTCCTCGGTTTGGACCGAGGCAAAAATGCTGATGCTCAATTGGGCGAAGCCCTGCAGCAGCCGCAGGGTTTTCTCCAATGCGGCGGCATCGTTCATAAAACGCGTGAATTCGAGGAGAGACATGGTGAATTTTGCCGAACAAATGGAGAAGGTGGTGAGGATCAGGCGAGCGGTATGGGGTTAGCTGTCTCCAACCATGTGAAGCGGCGAGGGGCTGGGAAGAATGTGATGCTTGAGAACGGGCGGAAGAGGCATTCTGAGGGGCAGGACGAGGACAGGTGTGCGGGTGCTTATCACGGGAAGACGGCCGGACATGGATGGGCGGTGGGCCGGCAACGGTTGGGTGCTGCCGACGGGATTTCAGCGCCGGCCGGTCCGGCGTGGCATCTCTGCCCGAAGCTGGAGCACGTCATGGTCACGTGCGCGGCTGCCTTAGAGCAGAAAAGCGTGCTGCACGTCAGGCCTCAGGCGCGTTATCGATAGTGCAGGCGGAGAAGGTACGTTGTTGCGCAATTGCAGCTCAGCGTGCCGCGTTGCGCCGGCGATGCTGCGGACGCATGGGTAGAGGCGGGGCCCTAATAAATCGTGGCCTCGAGCAAAGGCAAAACTTCGTTTCTGAGCAGCCGCATCCCAATTCCTGGAGCTCAGCCGCGCCCAAGCCGTTCGTCATGTCTGCCTTGCGGAGCTCGTGTTGGACGAGGCAGCATATCAAGCTGCCTAATTGGCATCGCTCAGGGCAAATGGCGGGGTTCCACTCGCCAGCCTCGAGCTTGGCGGGGCAACGACGGCTTAAGACAACTCTGCAAACAAAGCCGCAACCCTCCCTTCGCAACCCCCGTCCTCTGCTCAATCCTCGTCAGCTTGCACGAGTATTGCCACCGCTATCGCCATTGTCACGTCCCTGCAGCACAGACTCGTGGAATCGAGCAGCCATGGCTTCCGACAGGGACGTCCTGCCTGACACGTGAGACGCACCCCGCCCACCATCACCACAACCCCTTCTTAACCATCGCCCAGTGTCAAGCCCTCCAACTATGCCATCTCCCTGTACGACTTGGAGTTTGGCGGCGCGTTCGGCTACCAGGGCACCGTCGTCATCTCCTCCGAGATTCGCAAGCCCACCAAGGAAATCGTGCTCAATGCCTACCAGCTGAAGATTCACGAGGCTTCCGTCGTGACCGAGCACACCAAGACCCAGCAGTCCATCAAGACCACCAACGTCTCGTACGATGAGAAGAACCAGCGTGCTACCCTCGCCTTTGACCAGGAGCTGCCTGCCTCCTCCAAGGCAGAGGTTACCATCAAGTTCCAAGGCACCATCAACAACGCACGTGCCACTGCCCACACAGCCTCGTACCAATTGCTGACAGAATCAGTTGATGGCTGGTTTCTACCGCTCCAAATACAAGCCTGCCGTTCCCGCTGTCCCCTCGGTCGCCAAGGATGACGAGTACCACTACATGTTCAGCACTCAGTTTGAGTCTTGCGACGCTCGCAGGGCGTTCCCTTGCTTTGACGAGCCGAACCTGAAGGCCACCTTCGACTTCGAAATCGAGATCCCCGAGGACCAGACTGCCATCAGCAACATGCCCGAGAAGGAGATCAAGAAGTCCTCCAAGCCCGGTTTCAAGGTTGTCTCCTTCGAGAAGACTCCGGTCATGAGCACCTACCTCCTGGCCTGGGCTGCTGGTGATTTCGAATACGTCGAGGACTTCACTCGCAGAAAGTACAACGGCAAGAGCCTGCCTGTTCGCGTCTACACCACCCGCGGCCTCAAGGAGCAGGGCCGCTTCGCTCTTGAGCATGCCCACAAGACTGTTGACTACTTCTCCGAGGTTTGCATTTCTTGCATGTACGCCATCTCCGCGCTTGCTGACAGCTGGGCAGATCTTCCGTATTGAGTACCCCCTGCCCAAGGTTGACATGATTGCTGTGCATGAATTTGTAAAGGCCCTTTTCCTTCACTATTCCTCCGTCCTCCCAAGTTGCGGCGACAATGCTTGGCTAATGATTTTTTAGCCAATCATAAGTCACCCCTTCCACAGCCTTCGTTTCTCATTGGGATTTTGTCAGCTAACGTATTTTCTCAGTCGCACGGTGCCATGGAGAACTGGGGTCTCATTACCTACAGGTGAGCCTTACACAGCCCGTCAGGTATAATAGTTCCACTAACTCTCCAAAGAACCACCGCAGTCTTGTTCGATCCCGAAAAGTCCGACCAGAAGTACAAGAACAGGGTCGCTTATGTCGTTGCTCACGAGCTTGCCCATCAGTGGTTTGGCAACTTGGTCACTATGGACTGGTGGAGCGAGGTATGCCTGAGCCGAGCCATTAAAATTGGATTTTGAGCTAACTCAAGTGCAGCTCTGGCTCAACGAGGGCTTCGCCACCTGGGTTGGCTGGTTGGCTGTGGACCATCTCCACCCCGGTAAGTCACTGAGTGTGCTTGGATTGTGAATATACTAACACATCACAGAGTGGAACGTTTGGGGACAGTTCTGCGTACGTCAACGTCGAGGTATCAATCCATTTCAATCACGTGCTGACAAGTTCATGCCTGACTTAGAGCGAATCTCTCCAATCAGCATTTGCCCTCGACTCCCTTCGCAACTCTCACCCCATTGAAGTGCCCGTCAGGAATGCCCTCGAGGTCGATCAAATTTTTGACCACATCAGCTACCTGAAGGGAAGCTCCGTCATTCGCATGCTGAGTGCCCACCTTGGTACTGAGACCTTCCTTCTTGGTGTTTCGCAATACCTGAATGCCTTCAAGTATGGCAATGCTACCACGAATGACCTGTGGACGGCTCTGAGCAAGGCCTCCGGTCAGGACGTCAACACGTTCATGGACCCGTGGATCCGTAAGATTGGTTTCCCTGTTGTCACGGTTGCCGAGGAGCCTGGCCAGATCAGCGTGCAGCAGCGTCGCTTCCTCCTCACGGGCGATGTGAAGACCGAGGAAGACCAGACCACCTGGTGGATTCCCCTTGGATTGAAGACGGCCTCCAAGACTGCAAGCAGTGCTGCGGGTGCTCTTACCACCAAGGAGGACACGATCCGTGGCGTCGACGAGAGCTTCTACAAGCTCAACGCAGACCAGACCGGTTTCTACAGGACCAACTACCCGCCTGAGCGCCTCCTCAAGCTCGGTGAAGCCAAGGACAAGCTCAGCATCGAGGATAAGATTGGTCTCGTTGGAGATGCCGCCGGATTGGCGCAGTCTGGCGATGCTACCACCGCCGGTTTCCTCGCTCTCCTCGAGGGCTTCCAAAGCGAGTCCGAGTACATGTACGTAGACGTCGCCCCCTCCTGTGCTGACATTCGCTTACATCCACCAGTGTCTGGCAGCAGATTCTCCTCACGTTGGGCAATGTTCGCTCGATCTTCTCTGAGAATGAGGAGATCTCAAAGGGTCTTCGCCTGCTCACGCGCAAGCTAGTGACGCCGGCCACCGATAAGATCGGGTGGGAATTCGCTGAGAATGAGGACTTTCTCAAGGGCCAGCTTCGTTCTCTCCTGATCTCAGCCGCCGGTCTCGCCGGGCACGAGGGGTAAGAATTCCCCACTTCCATCGGGCTTTCGTACGATTAACGAAATTCGCAGTGTGATCAAGGAGGCGCAACGCCGGTTCGCCGCGTACCAGAGCGGCGACAAGAAGGCGATTCACCCGTCGCTACGCGGACCGATCTTTAGGATTGTGGTCACGGAGGGCGGCGAGAAGGGCTACGAGGCAATCAAGCAGGAATTCGTCAACAACACATCGATCGACGGTAGGGAAATTTGCCTGCAGGCGCTCGGACGCGTGCAGACGCCGGAGCTCGCGAAGGTCTATCTCGATTTCCTCTTCTCGCCGGCGGTGCCCGTCCAAGACATGCATAGTGGGGCTGCGGCATTGGCCGCCAACTCGAAGACGCGACATGCGCTGTGGGCCTACATCAAGGAGCACTGGAGCACAAAGGTGTACCCGGAGCTCAGCGGCAACATGGTGGTGCTGGACCGGTTCATCAAGCTTTCGCTCGCTAAATTTGCGAGCTACGAAGTCGCGAAGGACGTCAAGGCTTTCTTCGCCGACAAGGACTGCAAGGGCTTCGACCGGGCGCTCGCGCAGTCGGATGATATCATGACGGGTGGCGCCAAGTACCGTGAGAGAGACAGCGCGGTCGTCAAGGAGTGGCTCTCGGCGCACGGCTACCTCTAAACGACTCCGACTCAGTAGGCCGAGGTTGGCGTGGAGAGACTAAAGTGGATCGCAAGTGCTTGTTGTAGGCAAAAAATGGTAGTGGATAAGATGATGCATGCTCAGCTGAAACCATGGTCCGATGATGTGGTGAAGAGAGTCGTCGGAAAAGGCAACGCGGGCACTACGTGTGGCCAACATCGGCAGTTGGTTTTTCGATGGGACCAGTAAGGCAACCTGGAGCAGGGCCAGGTTCTCGGATCGACACTGCTGACTGCAGGGCGGGGATTGGGCGAGGCAGGCGTGTTCCCTGCAGCAGTCGTACGACCTGCGTTGACGCGACCGAGAAAAATCGAAGTGCGGGCGGGTTTGGCCCGAAAGCGGAGGCGGGAAGCTGGTCGAGACGGAGCGGCTGGGTTGCGAACAGGAGGGCGGGCATTGGTGTGGTTCGGCGGCGGCGGAGCGGGCGCCCCCGCAAAACACGTGAGGGGTGCAGGGGCTGCGAAAAGCGGCGGAAGGGCTGCGCACGGGCCCGGTGACCTGATCGCCGTCGTCTGATCTTTTGGAAAGCACCGCCAGAGCTCGACCGCACGAACAAACCACCCAGTCGCATCATCCCCGGGTGTGTGCCACGGACAAATAAATTGGTGACAGCCCACCCACAGCTTACCCTTTTCTCCTTATCCTCTTACCCCATCCCCAATTCGCTCCAGCGCCCCACCCCCAGCCCTATATTCATGTCCTTGCCTTAAGCATCCTGCTTTCTGCATATTCCCATCTCCGCCTCAGCCCGCAACGCTTCCCCGCTGTACCTATAGCTCTTCGCGCATAGAGTTCAACCCCGTCTCCCCCAATCCGCCGCAGCTGCTGTCACCAAACATGTCCGTGGTACGTATAACTTGTTCTTCTTCCTCCTCTTCCGCCTCCTCCGCGTCCACCGCCTTCTTCCGCGCATACCGCCCGCCGCAATTCTTCCAGCGCTCCTACATCCCGAGCGTGCGCCCCAACTTCTTCGCCCAGCCCGCACGCCTCCGCCACGCCCGTGCCGCAAACTTGGCGGCCGCCGCCCCCAGACGCCATGTGTCAACCAACGGCGGAGGATTCGACCCGCAGCAGCAGCGTGGCGCCGCTGGCGGCGGCGGCGGACCTCCCCGGGGGCCGGGCGTGTGGGCGCCTAAGACGCGGATAGCGATTGGCGTGGTGTTTGTCGGGGCGTTGATATACTCGATGGTGAGGGATTGAGAGCGCGCGCGTTGTTGTTGTCGTTGATGACACACTTTTGTCGGTTGTCCGGCGCAAAGGGCCAATTGGCGCCGCCCTGGATCGCCGCACTTCCCTTTGCTTTCCAATTGCTATTCGTCGTCGTTCTGAAGCTTGGGTTCATAAAGGGGTCGGTTGCTGACGTCGAGTGCATATGCAGGCTACCGAAGACGTCCAGAACCTCGACGGCATGTCGTTGGCCGAGCAGGACAAGCTCACGAAGCGCGAGTCAGGCGTGACGGCGACGTCGCCGATGCGACTCCGGATGGAGAAGTTCATTCACGAACAGCAGAAGGAAATCGTGGCGGCGCTGGAGGAGGTCGACGGCAAATTCTTCCAGGTGGACACGTGGGAGCGGCCGCACGGCGGCGGCGGCATCACCTGCGTCATGCAGGAGGGCAACGCGTTCGAGAAGGCGGGCGTCAACACGTCGGTCGTGTACGGCACGCTGCCGCGGGCGGCCATCGCCAAGATGCGCGTCAACCACAAGGCGCTGGACCCGGACGTCGAGAGCCTCGAGTTCTTCGCCGCGGGCCTGTCGCTGGTGCTGCACCCGTGGAACCCCATGGCGCCGACGGTGCACCTCAACTACCGCTACTTCGAGACGTGCGACCCGCGCGACAACAACACGCACGCCTGGTGGTTCGGCGGCGGCTGCGACCTGACGCCGTCGTACCTGTTCGACGAGGACGCCATCCACTTCCACAAGACGATCAAGGACGTGTGCGACCGCCACGACCGCGACTACTACCCGCGCTTCAAGAAGTGGTGCGACGACTACTTCAACAACAAGCACCGCTCCGAGTCGCGCGGCGTCGGCGGCATCTTCTTCGACGATCTGGACGAGACGGAAAAGGACCAGGAACAGCTTTTCGCGTTCGTGCAGGACTGCCTGCGCGCCTTCATCCCGCAGTACCGCCCCATCATCGAGCGCCGCAAGGACATGCCGTTCACAGAGGAGGAAAAGAACTGGCAGCAGATTCGCCGCGGCAGGTACGTCGAGTTCAACCTCGTGCACGACCGCGGCACGAGCTTTGGCCTTAACACTCCTGGTTCGCGGGTTGAGAGTATCCTCATGAGCTTGCCGCTCACGGCGAGGTGGCAGTATATGCATGAGCCGGAGAAGGGGAGCAGGGAGGAGCGGTTGTTGAATGTGTTGAAGAAGCCGCAGGAGTGGGTGTAAGAGATGCGTGTTGAAATTTTCTGGTTTTCTGGGGATGTGTAAGAGATGATGTTGCCGATTGCTGCTCGTTTTTTGCTTTCCTTTTGTTCTACAAACTTGTAAATAATCATACCTCCTTTCTTCTTTTTAGCTGCGGCGCACGGTGCGGGGAGGGATGGAAGGGGGTTGTGTGGGATGGACTTTTTGCTGGGATTTATGCACATATATGCATGGACTGGCAGAGGAAGTCAGGTAGATGGGAGCGAGGAGGAGTCGATATATCCTGCTTGTCGAGTGGACAAACACAAGAGCAAAAAGGAAAAAAATTTCAAAACTTTTTCTTAACTGAAGATGGGGAATCGCGAGCTTTAAAAAGTGTGAAGTGTGAACGTTGTGGTGCGAATTTAAGTGGTCCTGCATACGGTCCGGTCACTGGGGTTCCAGATATTCAGCTCTCTCAGCTCCTTCGCGAGCGAGGTATGTACATACTTCGGGTATGGCTGTTGGAGAGATGTCATGGGGCTCTCTGCCAGGATGTTCGTGTGCAATGCCAATGGATGGAGTGTGTGTCCTGACATGGAAAGTTTGACCGGTCGATTGGGGGGGCCTGGTAACTAGGTTTAAGTTCGCTGTTTTCGGTGCAGGGAAGAACGCTGTAGCCTGCAGACGTCGTTGGTTGGTTGATCGATCACTGAAGTCAAACACTCGTATTCTTCCTCCTCTTGACGTGCATGATGAGGAAAATAGTGGCTTTCATTCACAATTTGATTACTAGAGAGAAATCGTTCCACCAAGACCCCCGAGTGCATAGTCCGTGAGTTAACGACCAAAGGATTGTAGAAGGATTGAGTGCAACAGCAACAGCAAAAGAAAAACTCGCAATATCCTGCAAGAGAACAACGCTACTATTGTCAACCCAGCTCTCGATCATCCATTACCCTTCCCATAAAGCAGAAAATCAGAAACCGCACCACTTCCCCACCACATCCCTGAATCTCAACCTTTCCACCCTCGACAACATCCGCAAACCGATCGTGAGACAAAAGAGGTCTTGCTTCGTACTAGAGCTCGCAACTTCCGGTACCCAAACGAGGTTTGTACATGCAAACCTCCAGAGTCAACGAACCCAGCGCAAACCTCCGCCTTTTTCATTCCTCGTTTAGAAGACCACAACAGGCAAGCCAGCCAGCACAGCGAGGCCGAAGTACTTGACCGCCGCCCCAGCCGTCTGGAGCGGCGCCGCAGCGCCGGTGAACTGCACTGGCTCATCATCACCACCAGTGCCGGTAGGGGCGGCGGTTGTGACGCTCGTTTCGGTAGTGGGCAGCGTCGTATAGTTTCCAACGCTGCTGGTGGGGGTGCTGTAGGAACTGTAGGAGCTGTAGGTGCCCGGAGTGCTGATTCTCGGAGTGCTGTAGGTGCTCAAAGTGCTGCTGCTGCTGCTGCTGCTCGAAGTGCTGGTGGGAGCTGCTGGCGGTGCGGGCGGGCGGGATGTCGTGGTGGTGGGAGCGGCGGGGGGAGGGAGAGGAGAAGAAGGAGGTGGAGGTGGAGGCGGTGGGGGAGAAGCGACGGCACCGGTGCTGGTCCAGGTGGAGGCGGTGGGGAAGTTGCAGGTGCGGACGATGTCGATGACGTCTGTGATGGGTACTGCGTCAGCGCTCAATATTCGAGGCCCTCGTGACATGTTATAGTAGCATTTAGTTTTCGACCACCCCGTGGTTTACTTCAGCAGTACTCAGCTTTTGAACACCCCATGGTTCATACTTCCTCATGATTCAATTTTCGAATCAGAGGCCGGCAAGCCAGGTCATCGGAGTTGCCAAAGTAACAAAAAAAAAAAAAAAAAAGAAACCCACCATTCTCAGGCGTAGTATCGTCGTTATCGTCCAAGTCTGTGCCTCCATTCGCAGCAACGCAAGCCGCGCAATTGGGCACGTCGTTGCGAGCATTAGGGGCCTGACAGATGCAATTGCGGTAGGCGGCACCGTTGTCGTTGTCGTCTTCGGTGCGGCGGTCGCAGTCGGTCGTCAGGGTCACGACGGGCTGGCAAACGGCCCGGCAGGGGGCAGGAACATCGTTGTAGTCGATGTCCTGGGTGGCGCCGATGGCAGCAAGGGCGAAGAGGGTAGCGATGGTCTTGAATTGCATGGTGGCTGGAGGGGCGAGGTGCTCGATTGTGGAGGATTGAACGAGTGATTGAGAAACTGTCTTCAGAGGATGTAGAAGTCCTTGATGGTGGTGGATTCTATCAGGCCATCGAAGAAAGTGCTCATCGCTTTATACCCCATCGTCCCTGCTACCAGTGCAGCGACTGACGAATGCTCATGGAGGCGGAGCTCTTGGGCCATGGAATCTGCACCTGGTGGATTGCCTCAGCCCAGACGCCTTCTCCTGCAGATGAAACTTCTTGATGCGCATTGCCATGTTTCCATGTCAGCGTTTGGTAGGCTGCCTTTCTCGCTGGGGTTGAGTCGATGCACCTAGGCCAAGGCGTGCCGAGCTGCGCCAAGCGTGGTCCAGGAAGGCTGTAAAGGCAATCTTGCTCGCTGGATTGGCTCTGATTGGCTCAAAGCAAGCATTCCCCCTGATAGACTGACAGCTGTGAATGCCATACGCTTAAACTAAGGTGAGTTCGATTGTGGCTGGTCCATCCGGGTACGTCACCTCCAAGCCTGGCGCAGTATCCCGTGATCACAATAGACGCGGGGAAGTGCGTCTTATGTTTCTAGGGTCCGTCTTGGTGAAAGTGGCTTCCCAGGCAGAAAGGAAAAAATAGCAACTGCAGATGGCTTGGTATTCTTGTTCAAGAAAAGAGAACGCCGGCCTAACACAAGAAGAGGGTGACAGAAAACTATGCATGTATGCCTCATTTGATCTTTGTGCTCAAATCCATCCGTCCAATGTACACAAGCCAGTCATGCACCCACAAGCCTTCTTTGTCGTTGTGTGAAACCCTGGTACCAACTGGAATTCTGAATTGCCAGCTTGATTGATACCTGATTGATCCACGATTAGGCCAATGCCTCCTGGTAATCGTCTCGCTCTTGAAGAATTCGTGCACACAGCACTGGATCAGCGGCAGGCAGTGATCCATGAGGTAGGAACGAGTAATGCATGGGTTCAAGCCAGGTCTTGATGCGGAAATATGGTAAATGCCCGGTTTCATGCCGATACAGGGACTCGTGAAGCAGTTGCAGCGTGGCACTGCGCTTGGCGTAGGTCTAGCGTTTTCGCCAAGCGACCAACACTTCATGATGCATATTCCAACTCTCCAATTCGAAAGCAAGAGACGAATTCAAGTCAACGGAGCGACTCCTGCCTTATTTTTGGTACTTACGCAAGCTTGTACACAGCCGCGCACCTGGGGATGAGTCCAGTATATGCTGCAAGTTGGCTTCTCCCCACATGCGGGCCGGTCATGGTTAACTGCATGAAGCAGCTAGCGGGACGATGTCCAGCATGAAACTCCCATGCTATGGACGGCTGCTATCATCAGTCGAAGCCGAACGGAACAATTCCAAAATCCTGCTGAGAGAGATCGCTGGGCCACGGCCAGTCTTCAAGCAGTTCAGGAGGAAGTTGGAATTGCGACATTGTGTCCATGCTGTTGGGAGGCATAAAGGTGGTACGGTGAGTGGGCACAGTGACTGTGAGGTCGGCAATGGTATTTTGAAATGGCGTCTGTGGCATTGCATTGCGTTGCATGCGCATGTATTCGTCGATTCGGTCCACTTGCGACCGCAGGCCTCGGCTGGTGCCTTGGGTACGATAGAGACCCGATTCCAGACTTTCGAGGAGATCGGCCATAGATAGCCTATTTCGAGTCAGCAAGGGAGCGTGGCTGAGCATCGTATATGTGGCGATGACTCGAGTCATGTGGCGGTACTTACAGCATACTTCGAACGTGTTGGTAGGACGCCTCAGACAGAGGGCTCTCCATGACCGAGCCCAAGATTGTCCCTATGCCCGCAAGGTGGTAGATCTGCAAATGAGCTCATGAAATCCAAGACACGGCCAGAGGACTCACCAAGGGCGTGCTAATCGCTTTCATGTATGGCACAGGCACACGGTGAAAGGTTGATAAAAGCTCAGCAGCGACGTTGCATTTCTGTTCGACATCTGCATTCTCCTCGACAGAGAACAGGACCATGCGCAATAGCTGCATGGTAGCCTGGATATTTGCGGCCTGGAAGCCGAAGATGTCCTTGCTAGAGTCACCAGTCACAGGAGGTATTTCCTTGAAGTGAGGATGTAACTGTGAATACATGTCGAGGACTGATTGCAGGACGCCCGGGCCAGAGAAGGCATCAGGAGTAAAGAACATGCGTACGGGGCGTAATGCTACGCCGGCATTACGGTGCGATCGTAAGCGGCTAACGGTGTGCTCGAGTACGCGGTACAGATCTGTGGTGAAATTCCAACCGTGCAGCCAGCAGGAAGGGTCAGTGAGGCCAGGCGGTGCCAGATCAAGGTGGTCGCCATCAGCCTCGGCGGGATAGCGCACATGGTAGTGTGACTCGCAAGAATACAGAGGGCCACTCCACACAATGGAAGAGTAAACATCAAGGGTGTAGGTAGACCAGAACAAGCGGCGTCTCTCCTCGCGCTCAATGGACGTGATGTCCTTGGGCCAATGAGCCTCGTCAGAGAAACGCTGAATGGCACACAGGGTAAAGTAGTGTCCCTTGTACTCGTGCAGGGTGTCTATCTTGCCGAACTGAATGCTCGCAATTGCAACCAGGGCGCAGGCCCTGAGGTAATGCAGGCCCATTGCGTTGGGGAGATCTTTCTGGATGGCGTCTTTGGCAGCGGTATAGAAGCTCTCAGCAGGAATGTCTTCAGGCTGGGCGCGTCGGGTAATCCAGGGAGCGAGAGCGCCATCGCGGGCTCTGCTTGCAACTATGGAGCAAGCAGCCATGATGCAGGCGAAGTAGCCACGGTCATTGAGATATTCGCGCTGCTGCAGATTGCGGAGCAGCGTCTCGCGGTGGAAGAAAGGAAAGATGGGATAGACAATCTGGTGGTAGATGTCCATCAGGGAGCGGATCGAGGGCCCTGTTCATGGCTTGTCAGCAGCACGGACAAAGTTCAATACGGGCTGCTTACCGCAGGCCATGGCGAAGGACTTCCATGCTTCGCCAAGAGGATCGCGTGGTGCATACGAGACGAGGTGGCGGTCGGGAGTCTTGCGCGGGGTGGGATCAACACTTGGCGGGGCCGCGTAGGACGGAATGGCATGATGGGGCTGGGCCGGGCTGGGGTGGGAGTCGGAAGGGGTGCTCTGTGCAACAGTGGAGGCGGGCTGTTTTACAGCGGCACTGGAGCCGCGGGCGCGGCGCCAGGGTCGGGTGTACGCGCAGTTTATATCGAAGTCGACGCAGTTCTGACAGCGCTGGGCGTCGCTCTCGCTGGGCTTGCACCGTATGCTCCGCTTGTGGCAGAAATCACCTTGGAGGGTCAGGCGCGGGGCGGAGGCATTTAAGGGGGCCAGGGGGGCTTACAGGCGCGGGAGGCGCGCTGGAGCTTCTTGGGGCGGCCATCGGGCATTTAGAACTGATTGCTGGAAGCGCGCCTGAACGGCAATGCGTGCTGGCGTCTGGGGAAAATTGTTGTTGACGCGGTGATGTGAGTGGTCTGGGTGGAGCCACCCCAGACTGGCGCGTGCGCCCGCCCCGCCGCGTCTTAGGTTGCCGTTCCTGCCGTTCAGCGAACTTCCGGCGCCACCTCCGAACACACTCACTCGCAACCACGCGCCATCATGCTGTACCCAAGGGCCTAGCAATGCCATTGAGAACAGCACCTACCCTGCTGCTCGCCGACAACACTGCAGCACCGCAACCGCACCATGGCACGAGGGCGCAGACGGTACGAGACCCTCTCCTCCATTCCCTTGGCAGCCTTGCGCCTATGCATTTTATCTCTTCCACGGACCACAGCATCGTCGGACCGAGACCCCTGCTTGTTTGCGCCGCGCTGTCACCCGTTGCTCGTCGTTCCTACAATGCCATGCTTTCATCCCTCAGACGCTGTGGCTTCTCGTCCAATTTTGCCAAACTCACTGACGTTTCTCTCCCTGCAAGGATATCCCCATGCTCTTTGTACGCCTGCTCCATCGCCCAGCTGAATGGGCTTGTGGTCGAGAATAACACATCGATCGATTCGAGCGACCTGCCCGCTGTTTCGGGGTAGACTTGATCCAGCGTCAGCGTTCTGTCCGTCTCGACTTTGGACACAACCTACACAGGTATACGATTGGGATCCACACCAAGTTGAGCCCTGCAAGGAGGAAATACGCTCTGTTCTTCAGGGTCTCGAACATGATCGGATTGACCAACACGGTCCATCCAACGCCGATCGCCCACCCGGTAATACCGAACCCATTGCCCTGCGCACGCATGTCAGAAGACCAAATTTCCGTCGGCACAAGGAACGACACTGTCCCCCATGTCGCTGCATAACAGATATTGAAGAGGAATAACATCGTCACGGCTGCTGGCGCAAGTTGTGTCGCCTTCTCTGGCTGCCATCGTGCTGCCTCGTAGAGGGCTCCGGCGATGAGATTCACAGCAAACAGACTTGCCGCCCCGCCCATCAGGCACACACGACGCCCGAGGCGATCAACAATCTGGGCACTGATGATCGTGCCTACTATACCAACTGTATTTAAGCCACCTGCCAGCCCGTTCCGCGTGAGTCGAGAATAGCCGGCTGCCGAGAGGAGCACTGGCGAATATGCAGTCACGGCCTTTTCCGAGCGGTTAGCGGAAGGACGTGGACAATGGAACATGCGCTCACTGTTATACCAGTCCACGACGCCATAATCTGAAGCCACATGCAGAGCCAAGCGCGCCGGCCTAAATGATGCCCCTTTTTCCCGCCTTTCCCAATCAGGATTTTGCCAAATTGAAGAGGCGAGCTCTTCATACTCTCCTTTGCAACAGCTGCAATTTCTAGGTATTCCATTTCTACCTCGGCATCATAGCTGCCGCGGATATGTTCTAGCACTTCCCTTGCTTCGTCATGCTTTCCAGCAACTGCGAGGTGGCGAGGACTATCTGGCAGCATTTTGACACCGACGAGCAAAAGAAGCGCCGGAAAGCATTGGAAGGCGAGTAGAAGACGCCACCGAACATCCGAATACCCGCCGTCAATGAAAGCGAGGCCAAAGCTAAGCCAATACGCAACCGAGATGCCAAGATCTGTAAGCATGGTAAGTAAAAGTCACTGCTGTTCCAAGTGTGCACCAGTACAGTTGGCAATGAATACATATCCTAGGAAGCCTCCACGGTGTGAGGCTGTGGACGTCTCGGAGACAAGAACTGGCGTGATTCCAGTCAAGGCACCGGTTCCAAGGCCTGTTACAACACGCGCCACGATGATGAAATCGCTCGATTGACTGGCAGCCTGCAAGGCACCTCCAATGAGAGCAAAAATGGATCCGATGAAGAGCCTAGTGTCAAATCAGCACTCAGAACAATCCCTGGGATTAGAAGCACGTGCCCGTTGATTCGCCCAACCCTGTCGGCTGCCCAGCCGCCACCAAAACAACCAACAATACAACCAAGGTAGTAAACGGACACGATGCCTCCTTGATGAACCTGATCTGTCACAGTCCCATTTGGTAGACCAATGTCCACTTCTTGTACGTATCTAGGCGAGGCGTTGACCCCACCCATGACCCCCTGGTCATATCCCTCGAAGAATATGCTGATTAGAGAGAATATCTGGATGGAGATATTCAACTTTTTCGGGGACAAGCACTTCCAAAGCGTCGTGTACCCCATGGCGACCAATACCCGCTGCAGCGGCAGAGGTATTGACGGAAAGCCAGGGATGAAGCCTTAGGCGAGCGTCTTCGCAACTGCCGAATCCTGCAGTGGATTCGTCCAATTATGCGGTTGGGTGGGATGACACAATAGAAGCCCCTTCTCGTTTTCTCGAGGGAACTCACGGACAACAGGCGCTCTCTCTCAGCCACAGAAGCCTCATCTCACAGACTCACTGCTCCTCCACGGCTGTTTCTCTCCGCAATCTGCAGGGACCGGGCGGCCAGACCCGACAACGTGGGTGGTGGGTACGGTACGGCGAGGCTGATGTACGGTCGATCAGATGTCGTCCGGTCGGGCTCGGGAAGGATTTCTCGGTGCCACTCAGACGCTTAACCGGTTTGCCGCCTTCCACAGCACCTGCAGCCCATTCGTCCGTTTAACAATGATGATCTGTTAAGCGCTTAAGCTGCATAATTCCCATGTTCTCTCACGCTACCTGCATGGTGCGCCGCTCGACGGGTGTTTGGGTCGAAAGGGGCTGATCAACATGCCATCTAACCGTTTAACAGATATCGACCTATTTACCTCCGGTTTTGATTTATGCGCGATGACGCCTGCAAAAGCATATAAATCCTCGTCAGACCACACAAACTCTATACTTAATCCTAGTCAACTTTGCCCTTCGAATCGAAAGTAAAAAAAATTCTGCGACTGTAGCTATGCGAATGGAGCTATCTTCGACTCTTCCAATTGCAACATTGCCAATGAACTTTGCAGCTAGTTCCTACTAGAGCTGACAATCAACAAAGCACAAAGAATGGCCCTACGACTTTCGTGACAATGCATTGTTTACAGGTCTCGTATGTCTCGGCATTTCTGGAACAATGTCTTCGACAAACAACAATTCAGATGAATCACGAGATATAAGAACACGCTGCGTAGAGACAGAGACATCGACACAGCGACACTAGCGAAAATATCTCTGGCAGCAGAACTGGCTTCTTGACTGACCTGTGATAACCTTCGCAACCTGTCACACCACACACGCCAAGAGAACCGAGCACATCCAAAATGGCTATCGACGGCAATGTCACCGCCATTGCTCTCATCCTCTCAATCCTTTTCAGTACTTACTGCAGCACGCTCATCTATGGCATAGTTGAAGAGCGCCGCCTCCGCCACGCAAATCACCGCGACGTCGAGGTAGCCAACAACAACAACAACCCCATCCCCCGTCCCATTGCCGCCCGCCTGGGCCCGACTATCGAGCTGAACAACAACCTGCCGACGTCGTCGCCTATCCTCCGCTCCGCGAACGGCATCTTGCACCACCCTTCTCCCGTCTACCCCGCCCGCCTCCAGCGCGCCCGCGTCCGCTTCGAAGCTTGCACGGACTCGTGCTGCCAGGACCCGTTTGAGCTGGAGTCGGCGATGCCCGCGCCTCCTCCGCCGGCGGTTTCGCCTTCTTCCATCTACGGTGATGATGATTCAGTCTCCGTTGCGCCTGATGATGCGTTTTCTGTCGGCAGCGATGACGAGGAGGAGGACGGTCTCCATGGCATGGAGGCTGTGGAGCTGGATGATCCGCTCAGTGAGATTATGGAGAAGGAGGTGTTTCCTGGTGGATGCATCTGAATGGTCCGATGGGATCCGAATGGTAAGTAAGTAGGTAAGTGCCGAGTTCTCATCTCAATTCATTTTCCTTTAGAAAATTTTCTTCGATTGCATGCATGATCCTGTTATCAATGTGACTTGAGCACACTACGCTCTTATTGTAATACTTGTTCGATTATAGGCTTCTGCTGATAGCTGAAGTATTTTGGTGGGAAATTAATTATGTAGTACCGGAACAAAGGGGACATTCGACACTGATTCAGGACTGTAGAAACCCGAAACAGAGCGGCCTTGCCCAGCCAACCAGCAATGTGATAATACGACGTCTTGGTAGTCTCGCCAGACACCCCAGGATCGCCTAATTCGTGTGAGGCGTCAAAGACCAAACGGAAGATATTGCTACTAGCAAAAGGGTATCCAAGTATACAGAGATAAGGAAGGGAAAAAATGAAGGAGGCGGGCAGCCAGATACGCTTCGCTTTTGTGCAGCGGCGGCACTTGCGGGGTTTGATCAGGAACGTCGAGTGTCTGAGGGATGTGCTGGTCCTGGTTGGCCGGAGCGAGAAATTGCTGCAGCTTGTGCGGGAAAAGGGAGAGGAGGCGCTACGCGAGAATGATGACGGTGGTCTCATGACAAAGCTGGGGTGGTTCGAAAGTAGGGATGGGGACATGAGGTGGGGTATAGAGTTGGTGGAGACGCGAACGCCATAGAATGAGCGCTTCTTCATTTCCGAGTCGATTCGCCAGAGAGGGACCTGGAAAGCGTTGAAAGCGGGAGATCAGCTGGTTGGTTTATCCATCTTGGAAAAGCTTGCACATCAGGCTATGATAATGATTTTCTAACTCTACCATCCCCTCAACGCCTCTCAAATGCCGCTAAACCACCCTAAGCTATGCTGTGAACTTTTTGGACGAAAAAATGCAACTCTCTGCGCTTCCCTTTGACTCTCATATCACCAACATCTCCCCGTCCTTCATAGGCCAGCGCCCCTTCTTCCCGCTCTTCCGCTTCTCCCTCAAATCCTCCTCACCATCCCACAACGCAAGTCTCAGCCTCGCATGAAACTCCTCAATCGCAAGCAAGACCCCCCTCCTTTCCTCATCAAGTGATCCCACTGCCGTGTGAATAGCCCTCCTTCCATTTTTCCTGACCAAGAAGTACTGCTCCCCCTGCTGAACCCAGTGATTGGCGCTCAACGCTTCCGCCAAGTTCCTCGCGCACAGCTGCCGCGCCTCGGCGAACCTCTGCGTCTGCTCCTCAGCGAGCGGATCCGGGTCGTTGGCCGGATATGGCGAGAACGCGTTGACGTCTTCCGGGTTGACGATGCTGGAAGCGACGAAGAGGCTGAACGCCTTGAAGGCGTCGATGCGCTGCACGGCTCCGACGGCACGCCCGGTCCGGCGGTAGATGTGGGAAGCGGGCAAGACGGTTGCGGTCGCGGCGTTGAAGATCAGCGCTAGGATGTGCAGGACGTGAGGTTGTTCGAGGAGGCCGGAATGGGTGATCAGAAGCTCTGTGGTGCTGTACAAAGCATCCAGCATTGTTGAGAGGAGCACGTCAACGATGCCGACACTGCCGGCGTCGGAGATGCTGTACTGGCAGTTCTGGTAGTTGAGCTCCTCGAGTATTGGACGAGACGCTTGGAGGAGAGGTTCGGCGAGAATCCACCCGGCGACCGTCTTGAATGCTTGCTCAATGTACGCAGGGAATATAGCGCACAACAGGACTTGCCGCAGAGTTGGCTTCCGAGCGTCGCCTTGCTCAGGCGTCCCGACAGTTGCCGTGCGGAGCTGACTGGCCAGATACGCTTGCTCATTGTCGACAGCGGCACGCTCTGAAACGTTCTGCACAAAGGATACCAGCTGCTTGAGAGTCCGTTGCTCCAATAACTTTGGCACATAGCTCTTCAGTCTGCCTACTACATAAGTCGGGTCTGTTGCAGGCAAAGGAAAGGCGCTTGAATCGGTGAAGAACGGATCGACGGGACAGATATCGTGCGTGTGCTGCTGAAGGAATTCGACAACGTTGTGGATAAAGTCCACGTACGCGCCCTTTTTATCAGAGTTTTGTCCCAAGTCAAGGTAGTTCTTCTTCATCGCAGCCATGAATTGTCTGATGAGCTCCGTGTATTCTCTGCGGAGTCCTGGAAGGTCTCGGCGGCCTGCTTGCATAGCTGCTTCGTAGTCGTCCCGCATGTTTGACAGTAAGCTTGATATCAAGCTCAAGCGCCGTTGGCGGAACTCGGGCAGCTTGATGTCGACACGGCCGCTTCTCGGGTCCAGTAGGAAGGGTAGGTTTTTGAACAGCTGGTGATCGGGATCTCTGTTGATGAGACTCGTCGTAAGCCGGTGTTGGAATTTTAGCGTAGACTCGCGCTCGACCAGTGAAATAAACCAGGACCAGAATATGTCATCCTTGTTCTCGTCGTAGCTGCGAGCATCCTGATCCAACACCATCGCCATGAAAAGGGCCGTGTATCTGCGTGTCTGCTCCGTGTCCTGCAGTTGGCGCCACGAGTTTGCATGGTAGGAATCCAGAAAACTACCCCATCCTCTCTGGCCTTTGCGAACGGAATGATGCGCAATCATGGTCCATGTCTCCACCACCTTCGTGAGAAGAAGGTCGTTGGGTGCAGTGTCGGCACCAAAGCAGCTCGAAACCAAATGCCATACGGCGTCATGGAGAAAGTCGACAGAGGACTGGGGCGTAGTTGCGCTGTTGAGGGCCGTTGGTTCTATATCCTCGAGACTGAAGCCGCCTCCGTAGTCCTGACTATCTTCGCTGACTTGTTGGCTTTCTACTTGACTTTCTTTGGTCTGGACAAATTTGAGGTAGGCTTGGAAAACTTCTAGCACTTCCGCGATGATCTTTCCGACCTGCGCGTTCTTGGCATCAAACAGTTTGAAGACATCAGCTATTGCGGACTTGTCCAGCAGCGAGGTGGCGGTTTCCGTGTCATGAGCTGCTACAATTGCTGCTTTCATACCGTACACGGCATCTCCAAGCGTGGCGATTATCTGTGCTTGGTTGTTCTTGACGGTCAACTGGAGCTGTTCGGCTGAAATGTTGTCGTTTCCTGCGGATCTAGCAGCTTCATATTGACTTTCGGCCTCGGATCTCGCCTGCCTGTACTGGACTAAGTTCTGGGAGATGATTTCTTTGAACCAATCTGCAAACGGCTCCAGAGGCTCTTTGCCTTCGGTAGTGGATATCTGATACCTGACGAGATTCGACCAAGCTCGGACACTGAGGCGACAAACCTCCCTGTGGGATCTGGTTTGGTCCACAAGGTTGCGTAAGGACGTTAAGCGCGGCCTGAAGCCTGGTGGCGAGGCCCAGTACAAGGTGCACAGCAGGTCATGCTGATTGCGTAACCCATCCAAATCTTCATGCCTCAACTCTTCTTCCTTGTGGTAGGTTCGCCGGTGATTTGGCACCAGTCGCCAGGCAATGTTCTGGATCTGCCTTTCTTTGCAAATCAGCCGCAGGCAGTTGAAACCGACAGCAAGAATTTTCAAGAAAATGTGGAATGTTCGGTCATCCGGTTGGATATCCAACCGAGGATGTTGGTGCAAATCCTCCAAGAAGCGTGGCGAACCCTTGCTTTCCTCGTTCTGTAGGTTATTAAATCCTCGACGCGAGAAGAAGTCGAAGACTGAGGTGAGCAGAGAGTCACACTTCTTCCAACCCCAGGTGTGCATGAGATTGTAGCACCTGATCAAGCAAGACCTGACATAAACGTTGACGGATGCCTCGTTAGTCTGTGCCGTCTCTGCGTAGAGCACAAAGAGTCTACTGAGAATCGGCACAACCACTGACCAATCGCCCTGGGCGGAGTGCATGTGGTGTCCTGGCTTGATAAGACCGTCTGAGTAAATTTCCATGTATGGAAGTAGGACAAAGACGTCGTACCACAAGCGCTCGAACGATTGAACATGGCAAAACTTTGCTACTGAAGAACTCCATTCATGCTTGACAAGGTCCCAAAATGACCATTGTGGCGTTCCGCGAGCGAGGAGCATATGATTGACCATGACGACGGTTTCAACGGCTACCCTGTCCTCGCGTATGCCTTGTTCTCGAGCGGTGTGACGGCGGTTCTCATCGGTGTAGCTGCGCAGCTCCGCCATTCCTTTTCGTAGGACAGATTGCAGGGTTGGTTTTACGAGTGCTTTGAACAGTAACTCTGTGCTTTCCTGACCGGAAGGCGCGTCTTGTTGTTCAGCAATCCGTGTTACTTGGAACGCTAACAATGCCAGCAGCAGTGATAACCGTAGTTGCATTCTCTGAACACCATTTTCCCGAAAAGGACTGCCAGATAGATTTGCGAGGTCCGCAAGGATGCTTCCAGATGCTGAATCAAGCAGATTCTGCATTCTTGTCGCAAAAGAACGGCGGTCGACAGGATCCAAGAAATGCAGGTTTGTCGAAAAGTATCGAGAAATGTTTCTCAAGAGGCAAAGATAATCCATCAGAGCCAGCGATAGGGAGACGTCGGATGACTCATCCTGCGTTCGGTTCTGGACATTCTCCAGACGAGACACAGAGGACGAGAGGAGGTTTGCCATCTCAGACGCCACCTCTTCCGTCCAAGCACCCCATCGGAAAACTGTGCCATCGTGGCTGAAGGTGGAAACGCCAGCAGGCGAATCCATGTCGCGGCGGCCGACATCCAACGCCTTTTGAAACTCACCACTGCCTATCATTGTACTCTGATGGAAGAATGTCCCCGACCATAGTCGAGAAACATCAAAATCGGTAGGATATCGAGTGCCGTATGGCCCGAGACCTTCTAGTCGAGGAGCCACAGTGGGAATAGCTTGAGACGGAGCTGAAGAGAGCCGCTCCTGGATTTGAGGTATGGGGTCGCTTGGCTGTCTATACTCGCGTGTTTCAACATCAACACGCTGAACCTTCGTCTTGAGTCTTCTCTTTGGCTTGGGCGGAGGTTGGGAAGCTTCTCTCTCGACGCTGGGAACAACGTCGGTCGGTGCGGGATCAAGGCTCGGTAAAGGTGCGACTTCATCATCATCTTGGAGAAATCTTTCTAGTCGGGGATTGCGAACCCGACCTGTCCAAGCGTCCCGAAACTGAACTCGATTAATGCTGTCGTACATGCGGTCCAACTTTGAAAGTTTTCTGCGAAAAGCAGCCGCACGATCTCGTGACTCATGCTCGTTTTCGGATCTCTCCAGTTGAGCAGTCTTGTACTTTGACTGCCCTGACTTTGGTTTTAATGATGTAGGTCTGTGTGCAATGCTGATTTTTGGCTTTGGTCGGCGAGATTTGGAAGGCGTCGGTGAAGTATCTCTGGACAATACCATCGGGTCGAGCCTCATCTGACGCATCCTAGACTGACCAGCGTCGTTTCCATCGCCTTCTGTGCCGGACGCTTCATCCACCCTTCTTGAATCATTGTTTCTCTGAAGCTTCTCAGGTTCCGGCAGATGTTGCTGATGAGACTGACCCTGTAGATTGGCAACCCGATCGTATAGAGGTGGCCGTACCGTCCGAGGGTTTGCACCGTCCCTCGTTGAACGCTTCACTCTACCCGCACGCCACTCACGAAGTGCAAGGTTTGCGTCTTCAGTATCAGCTTCAGTCTGCAACCTGATGAGCTTGTTGGTTGGACTGTGTCTGCCTTTGTTCGGATGCCGCCGCGCTTGACGAGCAGCAATCTTGAGGAATTGGGGAACCTTTGCAGACTCCTCATTATTGAAGATCGGGGCATCAAGAATGCTCAGTTCCGGCGCTCGACTTCTAGGCACACGTTTCGACCGCTGTCCATTGTTCGCTTTCTGCCTGGATTTCCCGCCGCGCGCAACCTTGGAATGGGTGGGGCGCTCTGATCGGTCAAGTTGATGGGATTCTGCCCGGATAGCCATAGAATCCGTTAGCTTCAGCTGCCGCTTCTTCCCAGTCTTCTTCCTCGCAGTGTGTCGTGAAGTCGAGGGTAGCATCGGGTCAATCCAGTCATGTTCTTGGACCTCAAAGACACCCGCCTCTTCAAAGCTATCGGCAAATCCGAGGTCTCTTTCAAGATTACGTCGTGCCTGGGGAACGGTGGTTGAAGCCGAATCAGCACCGGATTCACTGTGATCATCCTCGATAGTGATCGGTCCAGCATTACTTTGCGGATTGGAAGGAGCTGGACTGGCGCGGCGAGACGCCAAGCCTGATGTCGTAGTTCTTCGGCGAGTAGAAGCGTCGGAATCCCGTCTGTCGCGACGCGATGGACCTGAGGACGGCTTTCGGACGGCTTGAGCCTGCTGGTCAAGCCTCAACCATGATGCAGGAAGAACGCCCTTTATCCGTTTTCTTGCTTGTCTTAGGCCTTGATCTTGATCCTCGTGTACCTCATCTTCCTCATCGGAGGAGTCAGAGGAGACAACCGTGACAGAAGCCGTACGCTGGAGCCCGCGATGCCGCGAAGTACTGATAGGGGGTTCGTCATCAGAGTCGGAATCTACTCGTCTTGTCTGAAGCGGCTTTCTCGTAGATGACGTAGCTGGCGTTGGAGGTTGTGGCAGCCGAATTGGTGATAAGTGTCGCAGTCGTGGAGGGCGATGAGGGTGTCGCAACTGCTCATTGTGATATGGAAGGGTTTCAGAGGTGGGCGGGGAGGGTGGCACGTCCAACACTGCGTTGGCTTGCTGTATCAGGTTCGTGCTGGTCTGGGGCGGTTGACGTAGTGAGCTACTCCTGTTGAGTGATCCCTTCTTGGAAAACGTATGCAATGTCTTCCGCCGCTTGAAGCCCTGCTGGACACTGCCGTCGGGTTTCTTGCGCAACAGAACACTCAAATCGGGGAATTCGAAATCTTCATCATCGACGTTCATGCCCATATCGTTTGGATCAGCCCCAAGGCTTGGTTGAACTGGAACCGATGTTGCCCGTTCGAGGTTAGGCGGTGAAGACGGCAGCTGAACAGGTGAACTGTGTCGTACACTACTCGATTGAGTGTGATCAACCACAAAATCCCTGTCTTGAGAATCTAGCTCTTGGCTTTCTCCGTGGCCCATTCCGTGCTTCTGCCCGTGATGCCGATGATGCTCTGGAGCAACGTTCACAGGCTTCAAACCTCTGGACTTGAGGTTCTGTTTGTACTTTTCAGCTTCCAAGAGATATGGATGAACCTGTATGGGGTTTCGCTTTCTCAATGCTCGTCTCATCTGAATCTCCTCAGCAGTTGTTTCATCCAGATTGATTGTTGCCCGTGGAGGTATCATCACTCGAACCGACTGCTGAAGTCCATTACTGGTCTGGCCTGGCACCTCTCGCCGCGACGCAGCAAGTGGTGGCGATGATGTCAAATAGTCAGGAGGCTCGATGTCAGACCTGGCGTCACTGAGAGGGCTCGAGAAAGCAGAGATATTGTCTTGCTGCAATTCGTCCACGTCATCATCCTGGCGCACCGGCGTCACAGGCCTCTGAGGCAGGATTTGGGGGACGACTCCCGGGGTAGAGGTCAATTGGTCATCCGAAAAGAGTTGCGTAGCGAGAAACCTGCCCGAGAGCGCATTCGTGGAGCTCTCGGTGGCAACATCGGAGCTGGGGTGACCGGTGATCCGGGCCTCGACCGAAGAAACAGGCAGACGTGTGTTGACAGTGTGAGAGCTGGGATATGCGTGGGGCCCACACTGCGGGGAGAGACCGTTCGCTTTGGTGTCCAGGCGCAAACGGGGTTCTTCGAGTAATCCATTTTGCGAGCTGTCCAACGCAAGTTCATCCTGGCTTCCCAGTGGGATTTCGCCCGCGCCGTTTGGTGCTTCGAATTGGCCGACCTGGGGATATGTCGTCACCTCGGTCCCCCCAACAGGCACTGTCTCTGCCTCCGGCGGCTTCGGTGTGGAGGAATCATCGAGATCAAGGTCTTCGTCCTCATCTGAGTCCAGGACATAGCCTTTGATCCGCCACTGCGACATGAGTGTCGATGGGCATAGCGGTTGGCTCACGGGAAGCTGCACGGCAAAAGTAAGGAATGTGTTGTTGTACAGCAGGCGGAGGCAACCACAACCTAAAGCCGCGCCGGGGTTGACGCGCGACGCGAGAACGCGTCGTCGCACTTCCGTTATCGATAAGCCGCTGACTAATGCACCTGCCCGTTTTTCGAAAGCGTCACTACAGCGACAACGTCACTTCATCTCAATTATTGCAGCAACATGTCGAATCTCAACAGAATAATACCCTTGATCCTCGTGACGGGCGTAGGAATCTGGAATGGTATGGCTTTAGCCAATTCACCCAGGTATCAGAGCAGGTGCTGATAGGACGGCGCAGGCATGTACGTTTTTAAGCCTGCCTTCGAGGAGCAGAAGGAACAAAAAGACAAAACATTCGAGAAGCAGCAGTACGTATACTATAGCTTGTGTCAAATGCGCACGGTTTCTGACGCAAATCAGCGGAGGTCTAGAAAGCGGTGAACCCAAAGAATCAGCAACACAAGATTTGGGCGCAAAGACCCCCGGTGCCGATGTAGGCGTGCAAAAAGCAGCGGAGACACTTTCCCAGCAGACCGCCGCCGCAAAAGATGCCTCAGGCTCAAACTCATGGTTGAAAGGTTGGGGCTTAGCCTGGCCAGGCAGCAAAGCAAACAGTGAGGCGGAGCAATCCAAGTACGACGCACCAAAACCTCTAGGACCGCAACCATCAACGCGCAAAACTCAAGAAAAATCGGAAAATTAGCAAAAGGAGGACTATTAGGTGTCTGAATATTTTCCCTGCTGTCTAAATATATGAAGAGTCGACTTCGAAGCACTCTCTCGCTAATGGCTATCTCTGTCACGTGCTCAGGGGAGACCTTCACCGTCTATTGTAGCCAACCTCAGAAGGGCTCCGAGACCTCCATCGTGAACACAGACACCAAGAGTCACTTTCGATCGCTTTCCTGGAAGTTTTATGTGTTGGCCGCTGGGCCGTTTGGGAGCTCGGTGTGTCAGCTGATTACGCTGCTCTGGAGGTGCACTGCACTATTTCACCTCCCCACAAGTCATCCTCCGATTCACTCAGTCACACACCGCACGAAACTACCCACACCATCAATTGAACATCCCGAATCTTCGATGCAAACACTGAAACAGGTTGTTTGAAATCATTTCTCTAATATCAGCGCTCCTACGCGACCCGAACTCTTCTGTCGCCGTTCATCTTCGGCCTATGACTGCAACCGCTTCGACGAGAGCTTGGACAGCAGCATTTTGAAGAGAGCACGCTCCTCGAGTGATGCATCAGGCTTGACAGAGCCTGAGAACACATTGTACGTATCCAGCCGTCATCGCTGCTCTGCTTGTCCATCAAGCCACCCAATGCTGCCTGAGGGACGTCTCGAGTCCTCTGGCTTCTTCACCCTATCGAACGATTGTTCCAACACGTCCACAGTGCTTTTACCGGGTTTTCGTTGCCTCGGGGGTCCAAAGTAGCCGAGACGAGAAGAGCCGATCAGTGCCAGACGCGGGTGGGTAGGTGAGAGGTAGGAGGTGCACCAGCGGGAGGCCGCCAAGACCAGACCTCGCTTCCCACCTTATAAACCCAGCCCTCCCCCTCGACCCTCCTCTTCCTCTTCCTCCCACCACCTGCCACACCTAATCAACTCTTCCCGCTATCCACCTCTTGTCCGATAGCGTTCATCCTGGATTGCCAAGACCTTCCAGGTTCCTACACTATTGCGGTTGATGCTCTTCCTTATGGGACCTTGAACCACTGTCGCCGGGTCACATGCCTACCATGCCGTCGTCGCTACCGCACCGGGCGCATAAGCCCTCTATGCGCGATATCTCTCACACCCAACACACCCTTCACAGCGCACACGACTTCGGCATTGAGGCCGCCCCGTCAGCTGATTTCCTCCTCTTCCCAGACAAGACTGCGACCATGTTGTCGTCCTGGGCTCCACCATACCCCACCATGCCATCCAATGGAAGAGAACTTGTGCACCAACCCCGGAACCTCCCACGAGGAGTTGAAGGCGTAGCCATGCCGCCGGGCAGAACGACAAGCCCCAAAGGATACGCACCATCGCCTGACTCACGACAGGCCGGGACCAAACTCACTGCAGCGTCACATCGTCGCGGGCGGAGCACCGGGTCGTTGCTCGGTCATGCTAAGCATGTCTCGAAACCAAAAGGAATCAATGCCGTCCGAGGCAACGAACCTGGCCACGTGATGTCATCTCGACCGTCATCTCGACAAGGTTGGCACTTGCCGACTCTCGACCCTCCTCTTGCAGCTCCCCACGACGTCGAGTCTGGCTATGCTCCCGTCCGATCATTGTCTGGATCTCAAAGCCCATCGTCCCAGATCGGTCATGCCGAACCTGGGTACTGGGTCTTCTCGTCGACACAAGCAGCGACGAACCAGTCACACGACGATAGTGACAATGACCCTTCTCGTTCGCCTCCTCCTGCCCCGAGGATCGAGCGTCTTCCAACTCCTGACCTCCCACCAGCTGAGGCTCTTTCATTCTGCAACTGCTGTGCAACGGCAGACGCAGGCCACCATGAAGCTTGTGCGCTTGTCCGGAATAGGAAGTTGCAAAGAAACTTCGACCTTCTTGGTGTCGGTTCCATGTTTGATTAATTTTACTTTTCCTGTGTATAACGGTACGGCGTTGGCGTTGGTGCGATACGTTTCCTTGAATGAGGCGGACACAAGACTGACTGGTCTAATGGAAGTCGCGAATGACAGTAATGAGAATACGAAAACAGGGTGGAGATACGTTGGTTGTGGGGGTTACACAAAATACTTTCCTTGCTAGTCGACCCAGATCTCGGTATTAACGTACGAGAAGTCGAGGTCCAAACAAAGAAATCTTCCATGTGCACACAACCAGACTTTGGTGAATGTCAGGCCGTAGGAATGGCCTCTTGCTTTTGACATCACCCCTCGTGTCTGCCTGCTTTGTTTGTTGCAATACGACTTCGTGATGAAACAGTGCCACTCATACAGTCTGGAAAACTTCATATCCATCATGATCGTCCTCTGCGGTAGCGAATGGAGTGGGCACGTTCTGCTGTGCAAATCATGGGATGCTTCAAATTTTCTTAGCCCATCTCTTTACGTCTTTCCACTGTCCACCACGAAGTATTTGCCGGCTTTGCGCTCGGCATGAGCAAGCACATCCCAGTCTTCGGCGCCTTTGGTGTCCACAGGACCTTCTTTCCTCTGAATCCTCTTATAATGCTTCCCGCGCACCTCTTCCTGCTCTAGAGCCTTTTTGAGAGAGCTAACAGATATTTTATTCTCATCCTCAGCGGCGCGTGTCTCGTCTCGAATGGCCCGTAGCGGGGGTACGCTTTTTGTGTCGACTTCTTGGATGGCACGGACGAAGTGGAGCTGCGACCGTAGGGTCTGCAGCATTTTTGTCTCCTCTGCTTCGTCCTTCGGCTCAGGTAATGCGGAGAGATTGAGGAGGTGTCGCAATTGCTTAGATGTAATGGTTGGCGCATCGGCGGTTTGAGCGTCGGCAGGAAGCAGCGTCTTGACGGACCATGTGGGTTCGGACAGCAGGGCTTCGATGTCTACGGCGGTCTTTGCGGAGGAGTGCCGCAACGTGACCAGTGGTATTACGGGTCGTATAAGCGCAGAAGCTCTTGCGCATCTCGCGGTTTGAGCGAGCGGGCGTATTCTCGACATTGGTGCTGCGGCAGCCGAGTTAGTATTTCTTGAGGCTCGGTGTTGTGCTTTTTTGGGCAAAACATGAATAAGAAGAATGGGCGGTATTATTCGTACCAAATTCGCGAGCTCCACACGCCGTTTGGAGTCGGTTTCAGCAATGTGGTATGTTTAGCCGGATGATGTCGTCGGAGAGATGAAGTCGGCGGTCTTATCGATAAGCAATGGGTGTCGGGCGTGGAACAAGTGGGCTGTGACTGCCGCTGCCTCGTAATGGTTCCAAGAACAACACCGCCCCTCAGAACCACACAACGACTCTACTGCCACCACCCGCCGAATTCTCAGAACATTCCCCCTCTGACAACACACGCATACCACCCTTGACGCTCTCCAGCCACCATGGCCACGCAGGACCCTCGCGCGCTGCTCCAGAAGGTAGAGAAGTCACCTCAAAGACCGGCTCGGCGCATACTCACAGCTTTCCACAGGCCGAGAAGGCAGTTGCCTCGGCCGGCTCAGGCTTCAGCTTGTTTGGCGGTCGTCAAGAGAAGTACGAGAATGCGGCGGAGCTGTACATCCAGGCCGCGAACGCCTTCAGAATGCAGAAGCAGGGTGAGCTGAACCCCGCAGCCTGCCCGAGGCGCGAATGCACGGCACTAAGCAACTGTTTCGCACAGGCAAGGAGGCCGGTCTGGCGTTTGAGCGCGCCGCTGCGATCCAGCAGAACAACCTGAACGAGCCCGATGACGCGGCGAACACCATGACCGAGGCCTTCAAGACGTACAGGAAGACGGACCCTGAGGATGCCGCTCGTTGCCTTGACGTCGCCATCAATCACTATACTATGAAGGGTAACTTCAGGCGGGCGGCTACGTGGAAGCAGAACATTGCGGAGCTGTTCGAGGTTGAACTTGGCGACCAGAAGCGCGCTATGGAGGCATATGAGACCGCTGCCGGCTGGTATGAGCAGGACAATGCCGAAGCGTGAGTTATTTCCACCGGGCTTTCGGACCGATCATTGGTTGACAATGCTTGCAGGTTGGCGAACAAGCTGTTCCTCAAGGTCGGCGATCTCGCGGCTCTTGAGGGAGACTACTACAAGGCGATTGAGAACTTCGAGCGCGTCGCGAAGTCCAGCATCAACAACAACCTCATGAAGTGGTCGGTCAAGGAATACTTGCTGAAGGGAGGCATCTGCCATCTGGCAACCAACGTAAGATATTAGACTGTGGACCTGGCGCGATGAGTACTATACTGACATCACGTAGGATATGGTTGGTGCCAGGCGGGCACTGGAGAGCTACCAAGACCTTGATCACACCTTCGCGTCACAGCGGGAGTGCATGCTACTCAATGACCTCGCTGAAGCGGTTGAGGCCGGTGACCAAGAGCTTTTCTCCGAGAAGCTCTTCCAGTTCGATCAGCTGTCGAAGCTTGACAAGTGGAAGACGACCATGCTCCTTCGCATAAAGAACAACATCGAGAAGCAGGAAGAAGACTTCTCGTAAACGGGCAATCAGATAGCCGCGCCGAGGTAATCTCATTGGAAGCACGTTCTTGAATACCAACAAAGACGGGCGAATTGTCTATTCAGTTAGGGCAGAGTTGTGGACAGGCGTTTTGCACCTATTGTTCCAGTGCGGGAATACGAATACATGACTTTGCATACAGCACCTTCAGTATTGCGTACTCAATTTCACCAGCTAACACCGTTGCACCAAGCATCACACGTCTAGAATTACATGCATACGGAACGCCACAAAAACGAATTTAAGTGATTTAGTCGCGAGGCTACTGTTTGCTCTATCCCCATACACGGTTAGCAAGGGTGGAATCGAGACGATCTTCGTCTAAACCATTTCGGGAGGAGTGAGGATTGCTCAGATCATGCTCAGGAATACTATTTCACTTATTTGGATTGGGTCAAGTATGGTTGAAATTCACTATGTTTATTCTCGGGATGGAAACAAACCCCACTGATAAACACAGAAAGCGAGGTGTATAGTGGCCCAAATCCGACTTTGCGGTGCTTTCCCTACCGTTTCGACTGGCTCATAGTGCTGGTAATCCTCCGTTAGCGTAGAGCTGAAACATTTCTGAGGGCCTCGTCATCATCGTGACAGCAGTGGATTCCGCAGGACCCTGCATGAAGCAGCCAAGCCATATACGTCATAGTAACTCATGGAGCGTGCAGCAACGCGTCCTTGCTTCACATCATTCAACAAGGGCACCATTTCCAATTCTAGCCTTTTGAAAGCTTCGTTCGAAACCCTTCCAAACTATTCAAATCACCGCGGTGCAGAAAATAGTTCCAACTTCAACACCAACCATGTCCAAGATGCTCTCAGGGCACATGCCCTGGTCGCACCACGATGAAGAGCAGAAGAAACCAGACGACCAATCGCTCATCACGGTGCTCGAAACAGTAGAGCTACGCAGCGAGCTTACTCTCCTACTCGCCAACTGCCTCGAGTCCATGCGCGCCACCATCACCGACGCCTTCGACGCCCGCTACACGGGCAGCGACGCCGCATCGGACGCCGCCGCCGCACTGCCGGACCTGAAGGGCGACGATGCACTCCGAAACCCGAACCTGGACGCCGGCACCGTCGACGTCGAGGCGCTGGACAAGCAGCGCAAGGAGCGCGAGCGCCGCGAGAAGGAGCTGTCGGCGCCGGCCATGCGCGAGCTCAAGACGGCGGCGCTCGGCTTCTTCGATGACTGGCGCGACGCGGTGCTGGCGCGCGTCGGCGAGGTCGTCAACTCCAAGGAGGCGGCCAAGAGCCAGAAGAAGGACGCCGCGGCCAAGTCGGAGGCCAAGCCGAGCACGAGGCAGCGGACGCTGTCGTCGTCGTCGTCGAGCTCCGCGCCGCCGCCGGATGAGGCGGTGGGCAGGGCGTTGAAGGAGCTGTACCCGCCCATCGAGACGCCGTTGGTCGAGCTGGAGAAGGAGAAGAGGGCGTTGGTGCTGCATTCGATGCTGCTCTTGCTGTTGAGCTTGGAGCATTATTCGGCGCACTCGAGGATTCTGCTGCTGTATTTGACGAGCAGCTTGCGGCTGGATATTGAAATCTTGACCGACGATGAGAAGAAGGTGGCTAGGGGCTTGTTGGAGGCGGCGCACAAGATGTCTGCGGAAGAAGAGACAAAAAAGAAGGCAGAGGAGAACGCTACAAGCCGGAAGTGGAAAGTTGGCCTGGCTTCCGTCGCTGGTGCCGCTGTCGTGGGTATCACTGGTGGTTTGGCGGCCCCTCTGTTGGCGGCTGGATTAGGTATGTTAATGCTGATAGAAAGCCACCCCATGATCTCAGACACACACGGCTAATAAACACCCAGGTTCCGTAATGGGTGGACTTGGTCTTGGTGCCACCGCCGCAGCTGGCTACTTGGGAGCGGTTGCTTCCAGCAGTGTCATCGTCGGCGGCCTTTTCGGGGCCTATGGAGGCCGTATGACCGGCAAGATGATGGACCAGTACGCCAAAGAGATCTCAGACTTCGGATTCGTTCCCATACAAGAATTCCACCGCCCACGCAAACTCGACAAGGAGCACCGGCGCCTACGCGTCGCGATCGGCATCTCGGGCTGGCTGACCAACAAGGACGAAGTCGTCGAGCCGTGGCGCGTCATCGCCCCGTCAATCGAGGGCTTCGCGCTGCGCTACGAGCTCGAGGCGATGCTGAACCTGGGTAACGCACTCATCGGCATGGTTAAGAGCGCAGCATGGAGCTACGCCAAGAGCGAGATCATCAAGCGCACCGTCTTCGCCAGCCTGACGGCCGCCCTCTGGCCCATCGGCCTGCTAAAGATCAGCCGCGTCATCGACAACCCGTTCAGCGTCGCCAAAGCCCGCAGCGACTTGGCCGGCCAGGTGCTCGCCGATGCCCTCATCAATCGCGCTCAGGGCGAGCGTCCTGTCACCCTTATCGGCTACTCGCTCGGCGCCCGTGTTATCTACTCCTGCTTACAGTCCCTCGCTGAGCGTAAGGCTTTCGGCCTCGTTGAAAGCGTCGTCTTGCTTGGCGCGCCGACGCCGTCCACGGCCGCTGACTGGCGCCGCATGCGCAGCGTTGTTTCCGGCCGCGTCGTCAACGTCTACTCAACTAATGACTACATCCTCGGTTTCCTGTATCGTACGTCCAGCATTCAGTACGGTGTTGCGGGCTTGCAGAAGGTCGAAGGAGTGAGGGGAGTCGAGAACGTGGACGTCAGTGATATCGTCTCTGGCCACACGCGGTACCGGTACTTGGCAGGCCGAATTCTTAAGAAGATCGGCTTTGAGGATGTTGATATCGAGGAAGTCGAGAAGGAGGAGCAGGAGATGCAGAAGGTCGAGGAAGAGGAGAAGAAGGAGGCTGAGTCACAGGAGAAGACGACTACTGGAGACAGTGGTGAAAGCAAGGATGCGGATAAGGAGGCTGAAGATCTGGAGAAGGAGGTTGAAAAGAAGAGTAAGTTGGGTCTCATGGAATGGACGACTGAGAAGCTCCGGCTGGGCGGCGGGAGCGGTGCAGGCAAGGGAAATGAGAAGGTTGAAACACAGACGGCGATTTGAGAGAAAACGGAAACAGGTACATGATGCACCATCATAATTAACGTAGACACGAGATATAATGAGCACAATTCATGCCTTGAGCCGGAGCTTCGGTTACTGGCCATCAATTCTAGATGAACAATGACCAAGGAGATAGGGAAAAGTGAGCCGATGTATGATGGTTGGCCAAAATATGTCATTGATGAATCGCTTCCCAGCTTGCCTCCTTCTGTGTCTTCCTGAACGCCATCTTCGAGTAAATCATACAACCCCATGTTAAACCTGCACCGGATTACCTGAACTTGCTGACAATAACCGCAATGATGAGAAGAACAAGAACAGTGATGATTGCAATCGTAATCACCCGATTCGTAGCCATCCTGGAAACAAGATCGTGTCAGCAAAAGGGTCGTCGAAGCCAAAAGTCAGGTCTAGGGCGACAGTACCTACGGGCCATCCCCCTCAGCGTCTTAATACTCCTGTCCGTGTAGCCCTCACTCTCAAGCAAGTTTTGCCTGGTCCTCTCAATAGTCTCCCTCTGTGCCGCGAGGTCTGCCAACGTGTTCCGGCCGATATCCTCAGTCTCCAGAGCAATGCGGTGACTGTCCCTCAGACGGCCGCTGCTGCGCTCCAAACGGTCGGTACCAGAAAGCAACTGTTGACGCTGCTCGAGCTGGTCATCAGCCGTAGGGTTGTCCGAGTAGCGGTTGCCGAACAGGGCACGGCGGTCAGAAGCCAGCGACGTCAGCTTGCGGCCCAGCTCATCGACATCCGACTGCAGGTTGCGGAAGCGCTGGTTGATCTTGTTCTTGGCGGGCGCGGGGATGTTGGGCTTCTCGATGCGCATTTGGTCGATCTGGGTGTAGGAAGGTGTTCATTAGCTTTGGCCCTTTCTTCCTGCTCCCATCTTCGAGTCTTACCAGCTCCTTCGCCTCCTCCAGCGCGCGCTCGGCCTGCCGTATCGCGGCTTTCCTGGGCTCGCCGGACAGCTCGGGAATTTGGTCGAGCTTCTGCTGGAGGTCCGCCTGGACCAGCTTGAGCTCGGCTTCATAGCTGGAGAAACGCTCCGAGCCGGCCTCTGAGTCCAAAATGTCCGTCATGGTTGCTGTTTTCGATGCTGCGTCAAACTAGGCTAGCGGGAAACCGTCGCAGTCCGCTGCTATTGGGACAAAGAGTGTTCTCTTCTCGGAGTGGCTGGTGCCTGGTGTGGAGGTGCGCCGGTTACGCAGTCGGTGGAAATGCGGTCGTGAGTCGTTAAAAAGTCGAGCGCTCGAGAGTCCAGCACGAGCGCAGCCAATAAACAGATGGCGGGGGTATCACGAGGTTGCCAGTGGGGTCGTCACGAAGCGTGGTTGGCGAAGGTCGAGCGGTGGCCGAGCGGAGGAGGGTGGAATGTCGCCGCGGCCGGAGTTGCTGGCCGTTCCTGGCTTGGGTCTTGGCGCTTTCCCAGCCATCGATCCCTGCCCGTGCATTGAAGGAACCCCCTGCTACATTCCGCTTTGCGATCGTTTTAGTAGTGTTGCGAGTCTTGCTTTCGCCGAGCTTGAACCTTCTCTTTCTTTTCAACTATCTCAGGCCGGCGCTCGTCTATTCTTTGATTCTGCGATTGTCTGTCTCTCAGGTCTCATAGCCGGATGATGTCAGCACCTGCTGCTTCTGGAAGTCAAGTCCACTTTTGATCGCAAACAACCACGAAACATCAACACCATGGAGAAGAAGAGGATCGCAGTTGTGGGCAGCGGAATCACCGGTATTGGTGCTCTCTATGCCCTTCGAAATACCCCCCACGAAGTGCACCTCTTTGAGGCTGCCGACCGTCTAGGCGGTCACACCAATACGGTGCAGTTCAGTCATGAAGACCGCAAGACTCCGGTCGACACCGGATTCATTGTGCTTAATACCGCTACTTACCGTAAGTCGATCTCCTTTGAATGGACCAACTTTTGTTAACCTCTTCCAGCAAACTTCATCGCATTCCTCAAGGAGCTCAACGTTGAGACGGTGGAAACTGCCATGACCTTTGGCATCTCTCGTGACGAGGGAGCATTCGAATGGTCCGGAACTTCGCTCTCTTCCATCTTCGCGCAGCGTGAAAACCTCTTCCGCCCTTCCCATTGGCGCATGATATTCGACATCATCCGCTTCAACCAATTTGCTCTCAATCTTCTCCAGGATGAATCCGGTGTCGACCTTGAACTCAGCATCGGAGAGTATCTGGATCGAGAGGGATATTCTGCCAGCTTCAGGGATGACTACTTGATCCCTATGACTGCCTGCGTGTGGAGCACCGGTGCCGATAAATGTGCTCTGGAGTTCCCTGCCCTAACCTTAATTCGCTTCCTTTGGAACCATCACCTCCTAAGCACCATCAGTGTACGCCCGCCATGGTTGACAGTAAAGAATGGCTCCCGGTCCTACATCAATGCAGTTATGCGGAACTTCCCATCTGACAGGGTTCATCTCTCCACTCCTGTCAAGAGCGTAACAAATGAGGATGGCAAGGTGGTTGTCGAACTACCAAACGGCCAACGAGATGTCTTTGACGACGTCATTCTAGCATGCCACGGGAACCAGGCCCGAGACATCATCTCCTCGTCTGCTACGGCTGAGGAGAAAGAGATTATGAGCGCTTTTCACACATCTCCCAATACTGTCTTCTTGCATTCGGACACCGCACTCATGCCCCGCCGCCAGGCTGCTTGGTCTTCCTGGAATTACCTCACGACGAGCTCTCCTACGGCACTAAGACCCAGGGTTTCAAAGAAGGGCTCTTCGTCTGGTGCGCTGAGCACTGTGTCTTTGACATACAACATGAACATCCTACAGCACATCCCGGTATCCGAGTACGGCCACGTTCTCGTCACCATGAACCCGCCACACATGCCAAGACCTGAACTTACGCAAGCAGCCATACAATATGCACACCCGCTCTACACTGCTGCAGCGGTCAAATCGCAGGAACTACTTCCTACGATCCAAGGCAAGAGGGGCATCTGGTATGCCGGTGCGTGGACTGGCTATGGTTTCCACGAGGACGGGTTTTCGTCCGGGATAAGGGTGGCCTGTGAGGGCCTGGGTGGTGACGTGCCATGGGAGAGGGTCGAAACGAAGTTTATCAGGGGAAATAAGCCTCACTTCACAATGAAGGATTACGTCGTTCGCGTCTTTATTACTATCCTATTGATATGGATTAGATTGGTGGAGACTGCGATGGCACGGTTTGGGATTTGGCAGCCTAAGACAGGAAAGGGGAAGGTCGCATAAGTGTTCAGACGGAAAGACAAACCAGTACAAAGAACCTAGAATCTCTTTCTTGAATTCGGAAGCGTAGTATCATATTCATATCTCTTCCTCACGCCCGTGCACTTCATACCATCGATCCCTCAAGTCTTCTAAGTACGGCTGATACCCTGTACGGACAAGCCTTCATCTGTCAATGGATAATTTGCTGGTGATGGTGTGCTGTATCCACCAGTTAAATCCGGGCGCTCACGGCGTGATAAGGGCACGACCCTTACACGGGGCTCCCATGATGTAGCTGCTTCGGCAACGTGCGGCTGTTCTCGGCGGTGAAACTGACCCAAAGTATCTACCTTGGGTGTGTCAACGCTTGCTGAGCCCCCAGATGCTCTTGTAGGGAAAGTGGAAGCATGATTATCAGATGACAATTTCCTGAGCATCTCAGCCGTTCCCAATATCCTGGCAAGTCGCCTGTAGTTGTCGGAGAGTGGTCACTGTCTCTTGCCCCAATTCTTCACCACCACCAGCTGGCTTGTTGAAACGGCCGTATCTCAGATCACTAAGATCGCCAACAATACCCTTGAGGTCTTCCAATACGGCCTCAGTCTCTTCCTCGATTTCCGCGATTTCCTCTTCAATATCCCGCTCAGCTTGTTCCATGTCCTCGATGACCATCTCCGCTGTCCGCTTCTTCCGACGGCCGGTAGTAGCGCCAGTGCGTCCGTGGAGGTCCTCTTCCATCATTACATCCATCTCTTCTCCGCGCGTGAGACCGGCCGCAGCGCTGTCGGCAGCCTCATCGCGCCTCCTCGCTCGTGCGACCTCGCGCGCTTGCCGTTCGCCGCGTTTGCACTCGGCGGCAATGTTGCGCTTCACGTCATCGGTATCAATGGCACGTTGGTGCTGCAGCTCGCGGTACAGCCTAGGGATGGCGGGATTGGACTGGAGGGCGCGCGGGAAGAGGTCGGTGAATTGGCGCAGGGTGATTATGGTCTGAAGCGGTGCGGGAGGAAGTAGGAAGCTGGAGAGGATCGACGACTCGCTAGGCGCCATGGACGCGACGGAGAGGAGAGGTGCGAGGGCAGTTAACACCGTAGGTCCGGGTGTGCGGTGTGTTAATGACGCGTTGTTGGTGGACGCGCCGTGGAACAAGCGAGGAGTCGACGCGTCGGGGCGACAAAGCCGGCAACGGGTCTTTCTTCGCTCCTTCCTGCGCACCCATACCCATAACCACGTGAACGCCGCATCAAGACCCTGCTTCCAAACCCCCCTTCCGACTCGCTACTGCCTTGCTGATCTTGCCTCCCGTCAACTTCAACCTCGCGCCACCCCTTCGCACGCCCGATATGGCGCCTGCATCGCAGCCTATGTTCGCCAAGGACGAGAAGGCGCTGTGCTTTCATCACGAGCTTCTTTACGAAGCCAAAGTCCTCGACGTGAAGCTGGTAGACCCCAACGACAAGAAGAGCGCGTACCAGTACAAGGTCCACTACAAAGGCTGGAAGGCCACGTAAGTACGCTCTCTTTCACCGGTCCCGTCACCGCTCCATGGTCGGCTGCCGCGGCGGCTCCTAGTCCTCACTTCACGGCTGCTCGCCGACTATTGCCCCGTTCGCTTGGAACAACATCCGTTCCCGTCCGCTGCACCGCTCTTGATGTGCGAGTTCCCAGCTCTCAAACCCCATTCACCGCGGCTTCACTTCCGAAAGCCTTAGCATGACGCTCCACTGTGACTTCGACGTTGCTGACAAACGTGCTAGTTGGGACGATTGGGTTCCGCAGGATCGGCTGCGCAAGCTGAATGACGAGAACCGCGAGCTAGCCAACAACCTCAAGAAGGAGTTGGAAGCCATGCGTCGCGGCTCTCAGGCCCAGAAGTCGGCCTCTACTTCGCACAAAAAGAAGACCGAAGCCGGCTCCGCACGCGGCAGCGAGGGCCGCGAGACGCCTGTGGCGTCGACCAGCCTGGCAGGCCGCAAGAGGGGCAGGGACTTTGAGGTCGAGAGGGTAGGTCATCTCACTTTCGCTTCACGTCACTTTGCTTTGTACTGTCCGCGGGTTCCGTCCTGTTGTCGCCATTGTTTAATTGTACCTATTTTACACGTGCTTCTTTGTACGCTTGCGCCGTTCTTGCTTCCTGCTCTTTTGCTCTTCAACCTTTCAACCCCTTTTTGAATCTCGGTCTCCACCCAACACCACCATTGGTTCCCGCCCATCCTTCTGCAACCGATGAGGGAGTTGGGGTCTCAGCCATGAGGAGTTCTCGGCCAGGGAGACGGCCTGCGAAGAGAGGAGAGCGCAACCAGGGGATACAAGCCCCCAAGGAGAAGGCTGCTCCAAAGAAGGCGCTCTCACGGGGGAAAAGGCCGCCTCTAGAGAATAGGGGCAAAAAGAGAAGGAGACAAGAGCAGGAGAACGAGGCCAAACCAATCGAATGGCCAGCTGAAGCGGGAAAAGTCATCAACCGCCAGCCTGCTACGGCCCACTCGACCGTCCTTAAGAACTGCGACAGGTCCGAGATTGGTGACCTTCATGTACTTTATCTGCTTTATTGTTCTACACTGCGTTCAGCATATTGCACACGGACTCCTGCTAATACTTGTACAACAGGAAGAGACTTTCCGCACCAGGCCAGCCATTCGCCTGCACATGCCCGACAGGCTCAAGTCGCTTCTGGTCGACGACTGGGAGAACATCACCAAGAACCTTCAGCTCGTCAAGCTTCCAGTGGCGGTTTCGGTCAGCACTATTCTCGACATGTATGAAGAGCAGGAAGCACCCAAGCGTGTGGCAGGTAGTGCCGAAGCCGACATCCTCGAGGAGATCATTGCCGGTGTCAAGGAGTACTTCAACAAGGCGCTTGGCCGCATCCTCCTGTACCGCTTCGAACGCGACCAGTACCTGGAGATCTACAAGAAGACGGAGAGCCCCACCGATGACCTGGCGGGCAAGACGATGAGCGAGATCTACGGTGGCGAGCACCTGCTCCGACTCTTCGGTACGTGAAACACCATGATTGCCTCCATGAAATCATCAGGTGTGGCAATGTCGCTTGATGCTTGGCAGGAAGTGCCGCTGGGTGATTAGTTATTTCCAAGTGCCAAGGCTGACCAATTGAGCAGTGTCATTACCGGAGCTCATCGCACAGACGAACATGGACCCCCAGTCTGTGAACCGGCTCCGCGAAGAGCTAGTGAAAATCACCATGTGGCTCAACAAAGACGAGACGGTGTGCAGGGTATTTGTGTCAGAGTACGAAACGGCTGATAGCGAGTACGTCGATAAGGCTAAGGGCGATGAGAGGCGTTGAGGTACCAAGCGGCAACGGTTGGAGCGTGCTTTCCAGCACTGGTCATTTCTGGTTTTCGTGGAGGCGCATTGGGCGTTCGCGTGGTAACTGGGGCCATCTGGTGGACAGTGAGGGGGGTCCACTGGTGATGGACACGATTTGATTTCTGAGTTTCCTCTTCCCCGAGATTTTCTGCAGAGGCCCCTGCCCGGTGGCGTGGAATTGGGTCCCGTTCGGCAGCGTGCACGGGCTTGGCATCACGACAGCTCTCTCCAACAGGCTTCGTATTGTTTGGGCTGGATAACGGGAGGCTCCGGGCAGGAGTGAAGGAGAAAAAGTTACACCAGACTCTTCTAGGCGGCATTGCGGGCTTCCAGGCGGGTTAGGAACCATAGTTGAGCAGAAACGTAGCTCGAATCCCCATACAAGATGCAACGGCGGTACTGGGCGCAGGGCGCAGGCCCTTGAAAGCCACAGGGGAGCACGCACGATGCGGCTTGCAGCGGTGCAGCCGGTGGTTCGTGTCGCGGCGAGGTATCCGCAGGCCGCGCTTCCCCGGGGCTGTGAGGCCGGCTTGGGCATGGCGAGCAGCCTCACGTTTTGGACGCAAATTACCGAGGGGGCGGGTAGGGCACTCGCTACTGAGGCAAGGGCCACAGGGATGCGGCGGGATGCACAGCAGGCTGGACTCGGAACCCGGCGATCGTTCGAGTCTCGAACAGACAAAGACAAGACACAGGTGCCGCATCAAGGTAAGCACTCAGCATTGGTTAGAGGCTGTGTTGGAGGCGGGCACTACTCTTGGGGCGGCGGAGAAACGCAAGCAGGCGTTGCGAAGATTCGCCGTGCGCTCTGGACTGCCCGCCGGGTGTGTGGGCCGGATGCTCTGCGACGATCCCGCATCCAAGTGACGTGGGTGACATGCCACTGTGACCAGCGCGCCAGGCTGGATTCGGCCGACTCAGTCTCCGCTTGCGCTCGCAGACGCCTAATCATCCCGCCATTGAGCTTCACAAAACCCCCCGCGCCGCGAAATCTACCCAGCCCATGATCCGCGGCGCGCTTGCCTCGACCCCCCAGCTCCCGGCGGCCCTTTTTCAGCTGCCACACCCCGGTCACGTTTCCTGCACGCCTGCCGCCACGCATACCGACCCGACGATCTACTATTATTATTCAGCCCTCTGCCCGTGTCTTCCCTGCACCTCACCAGTCCTTTATCTTTTTTCCTTGCACCCAGCGAGCACCAGCCCGCTGCTCCATTCCCTCTCCGGCCCATGCTACCATGAACTTCTCGTCGAGTCCTGAGAGCCAATTTCACGCCTGCTACTCATAGCCAACCTCGACCCGAGTCCTCGTCACTCGCTCTTACCCGTCTCAACCCGCCTCCCTCACTCCGCCCACGATGGGCCTCCCGCTCAAGGAGGAGGCATGGATATGGTACTCACTCGTCATTTTCGTAGCCGCCGCCCGCTACGCCTCGCGCATCCTACTGTTCCGCGGCGACCTGCGAAAGCTACAGATTGACGACTTTATCATAGCCGTGGCCCTCTGTTCTTACACAACTTTGATTGTGACCATCAACATTGTCGCCTTTACTGAGAGCAACCTCCTGCCACCTGGATTCGACGAAAAGGATCTAACGCCCGGTGACATTGCGGAGCGCAGATTCGGCAGCAAACTCGTGCTCGTTGTCGAACAATGCCAATGCGTGACCATTTGGGCGGTCAAGGTTGGTACACCGCTGCGGAACTGGACGCGCACTCGTCCGGATGCGATAGGCAACCACCGGCGCCAATTCTCATTCTGGCGAGCGCTGCAACCCCACACGCACCTTCGTTTAAAAAAATTTATGCTGACCCCGGTCACAGGCTTGCCTTCTGATCATGTATTATCGCCTAACGTAAGTTTCCACTCTTTATCTTGGCGCCAATGCTGACGTTTGCTGCCTTAGAATCGCTCTCAAGGAAAACATTGCCGTGAAAATCCTCTCCGTTTACGTTGCCTTTGGTTTCGTCTTCATGGAGGTCTTCTACTTTGGAGTGTGGTGCCGCCCTTTTTCCAATTACTGGGCTGTTCCGACGCCAAACACGCAATGTAACGCTGCGACCAATCACCTCATCACGAACGCCGTTTTCAACATTTCCTCGGACCTGTTCCTCCTCATCCTGGCCCTGCAGATGATCGTCCGGAGCCGCCTCCCGCTGCACCGGAAATTAGTCGTCAGCCTGATTTTTGGCATTGGGGTCTTTGTGATCCTCGCGTCAATATTAAACAAGTACTATTCGTTCACAAATCCGTTCGGTGGCTTGTGGACGTACTGGTACACTCGGGAAAGTAGCACATCACTCCTGGTGGCCAATCTCCCGTACACATGGACGCTTCTCAGGCGCCTATTCAACCTGAGGTCATTCGATGGGCGGACTTCCGGCACTGGGACCAACACAGAAAACGGGTCCCGCTTTACCTACCACACCAGCCGCACCGCTCGCGCCCGTCACGCATCTGTTCAACCTGACGTCCTCAACAAGTCTCCAGTCTGCGCCCCAGCTTCTGCATTAACGACCCCTAATGGGAAGGTCATGCGCCGTTCCGACAGCCACACTGTCACGCGCGGCTTGGTAGACTATGCAAACCGCCGCCTCAGCGGCGCCCCTACGATGGGCGCTACGAGCACCCTCGACAGCAGCCGCAGCTCTGCCGCCCGCTCCGAAAACCTTCTCCTCAAAACCTACCCTAACAATCACGAAATCTACGGACGCGCCGATCAAGAGGCGTTGAGCCTCGACCCTTGGGACCTTGGAATCGACCTGGCCAGCAGCATGGCGGAGGCCAAGGAAGAGGACGAGTATCCGTACAAAGGCGACCAGAAGGATCGCGAACAGCTGTTCAATGACGCCTACAGGGATATCGATCCCACGCGGCTGGGACTCGACAGCGCCCACAGGGATGCTGCCGACCTCCGCGCGCTGGAACGCGCTCTGCTGCGAGGCGAATCGTGGGATGAAGAGGCTGAACTCGGTGGCGATGATGGCGTTGCCTCCACAGTTGCACCACCGCCCCCGAGATCCCGGTCCACAAGTCGGCCAGGCAGCTCCCAACAAACGACCACTACCACCAATCCATCAAGTTCACCGACTAGCAGTCCAGTGAAAGAGTAGGGATTACAGTTGCTCTAAATTGTGCAGCGAGGTGTCTGGTGTTGGTGCTCAGACCTTCTTATTATTTTTCCTATTTTCTTATCGCTTTATGCCTTGCTTTTCAGAGCTACGGCGCAGGAGGTTCTGAGTTACTGTTTTTCCTTTATTGTTGATGATACCCTGGGTCCCGGGCTCCTACTCTGTTCTCTTTTATTTCCTATTACATGACCTCGAAGGAGGGAAACCCGAGTTGGGCATTTGCCCCATCTCTCTTCTACCTATATTCTAATCCATGATGAACTGAAATGACAGCCTAGAGAGACAGAGTTCGGAACCCTTGTACATACAGAGAGACGCTTGTATAGATGTATTCTAGATGACAGAGAGACGACGGAAGAGCACAAGAGGGTGGGGTAATGACGATTTCCAAGAAATCCAAAAAAGCGAGGGCAAGACACCAGGCGGACTATTATCCGGTAGATCACACAAGAAAACTTTTTCGATACGAACAGATGTTGTAAGATCATGACCATCGTGATGAGGATGTGAGTTGGTGGCTGCTGCTTGGGGTAACCCGGGGTTAGCAGATCGTTTCGGATGTGATGTCATCGCGGCCCGAAATGAGGGGGGATTTCGTTTTTCTTTGCAGAAGATCTGCTCCCACCCTCGGTCAATCCGGGTGTCCGGCTGATGAGAGAAAAGATGGCATTTTGTTTGATGTGCATGTGGGTGGGTGGGCCGCCTGATGTCGATGAAACAATATGATGAAGGGGGTGGGTGTTTGGGCGTTTGGTCGTGTGGCGCAGGTTTCGAGGCGCTCTGCCACACAGGAACACACACCGTCCCAAGCTCCTCCTCCCTTTAGGCCTCCCTGACGTCGAAGGATACGTACTGTTGTGCATCATTGCTCGCTCTTCTTGTCCATCCAATAGTTTGATTGCTCACCTTCTGCCTTATTCGTGCTTTTGCCTCCTCCGAGTTCTGAGACCAGATGACCGGTCATACTGTACTGATCAGAACGGGGAGCATCCACCAATCGCCTATTCTTGCCTCCAGCCCAGACTCGGCAATTGCAGGAAAAAACGGTACCAAGTAGTGTTGTGCTATCTTGGCGCATATACACACTCGAGTACAAGGACTGCTCTGGAAGCTGACATGCCGCAAGCCATTCCCGCCTCTTAGTAGTTTGTCGTACGACGTCTCTTGGGGTGTGAGAACATACGTGTAAGTGACGTGGAATCCTTTTCTCAGATGGTGGAATGCCTGAATTCGACACGGAACGTCGGCATCGGGGTGAACGATGGGTAGTGGTGTGATTAAACCCTAATAGGCCAGCGCAAAGTGCGATGATTGTTGTTGAGACTTCCGCCAACGCACCAATCTTCAGTCTTTTTTGGCATCTTGGCGTCTGCGGGCGTTTCGGGGCGCGCGAGGCGCCCGCGCTGTATATCCGAAAAAGACTTTTCTGACTTTCGGATGTCAGCTCTTCCTCTCGGGCGGACTTTTTTCGCTGAGCCCTAGTCCGGGGGGGAGAGGTCTTGGGTCGTCCGTAGCTTTCCGCACCCACCACCCTTGCTTTGGGGCTTATACAACGGGCGCACGGGCAGGATTCTTGCCCCCAGGACAAAGCCACCGTTACACCGTTCGTTTGCATCCTTGGCTGACAGCCCCGGATCTAGTGCGATGGTGCGGTGAGTGTGTGTGGGACTAGCGGGCTGGTCTGGTCTCTTTGTCATACTTGAGGTTGGAGCAGCGTGACTTACACTTCATCGAGCCTCAACATCGTCCCCGTCTCAGACATCCGACAATCTTTTGCACTTGATATATCCAAAATTTCCCTTCGTCTGCATCAAGCACCAGCTACCATCAGCAGCTCAGCTGACTCATCCTCATCTTCGATGGTCTAGTGGTCATGATTTCCGCTTGTCAAGATGTATCTTAACAAGCGCGGGAGACCGGGGTTCGATTCCCCGTCGGAGAGATATACCTTTTTGCCATCCCGATGTGCTGTTGGGGGGCTATGCAAGGACATGGGTGGTGTTGAGCAAACCTTTGCACGGGGCGGAGTCGGCACGGCTCGGGGCGGGTTACCGGACTCGGCATTCCGCCGGCCCGAACCTTAGCCGAACCCCGATACTCGCCGATGCTCCCGACGTTGCAGTCCCCTCTCGCAGCCGATGGCTACGTAGTGTGGATTTGTTTTCTTTGCTCATGTCATGGGCAAAAATTCTACATACACGTCCGGACGATAGCTTCAGCTCCCCCCATATGTAATTTTTCTTTTTCTTTTTAAAAACAAACTAAGGTCTATGTTCTGAGGCCCTACTATTCTTCGCGCTAGCCATCGACTGCAGCACCGCTTTGTATGTTTGGTGAATATCCAGGCACAGATCGATATTAAACGGGTTACCCTACTTTTGCTTGGCTTGCTTGAGTGGTACTCTTTTTTTTTTCTTTTTTTCAATCATCAAACGCAAGCGCTTTAGCCCGGCAAATTTATGAAGTAGACCACACTGAGCCGCTTCTAAGCTACTTACTTAACGCTTGGTAAGCTACTTATACATAACCGAAATGATCACTGAGACGAAGAATTGCAGAGACGTGCAACCCCCACATCTTCTCTTCCGAAGTGGACGACAATTCGATGAAGATTCATGGTCAGCCTTGTGCGAATTCAGGCGCCAGTACACAACAGATTGCGCTCTGCAGCAGCGTTACAACGAGCTCTTCCAGCACTACTCTTCGCAGATCCTGGAACATGGCAGACCATTCCGTGGCCGATATCGTTGGTCTACGTTATACATCGAGGGGCTGCTTAGGAGGATACACCGAATTGATGGTATCGAACTGGACATGATTCGTGATGCAATGGAGCACGCCATCAACGAAGTGAAGAGAGGACTTGGAGAGCAATTGCATCGACTGCACGAGTCTAAAAAACGAAGGCAGCTTGAACCCCATCAAAGAACCCTGCTCGACGACATTTATTGGGCATCAATTAAAGCGGATCTTCTCAACATGCCCATAACGCTGACGAGCAATGAGGCAGAACATGCGGTTACAGAGGGGTTTGCGATTGTCCAACATATTGAGGATAAGCATCAAAGGACTATGGTCCACATAGCAGAACCCCTAGCAATTGATGCAGCAGTAGACTACCTCCACAGCATACAGCCTACCTATGAGGCAAAATTATGGCAGGATCTTCTGTTCTCTACCCAATTTGACGACGAGACGGACAGCACGTTTGGCAAGTATTCCGAATATTATTTTGCTTGGGTAAGTTCAATGGCTCTATCGCCACCACTCAACTCCGGAGAGGCATGTATGCTGATAATATCCAGAGGTTAGCAAATTTCTTACGAGATAACCGAAAGGTGGAGTACACAAAGAGCCGGAGGACTTTTTTGAGGGCGCTCGGTTGCGCAAAACTTGTGCCGAAACGCCAAGTTGGACATCCCTTGGAAAAACGCAAAGATGAGTTATATAGCTCCGCGCCCTTGCTAAACTCATCGGACTTCGATTTGACCTCCTTCCAACTCGTACGGACGTCGTGGACTAGTTCTGGTGGCACCAAAGACCATACAGCGTGGCTGAAATCAGTGGAAGAGAAGAAACAAACATCGACATTCTGCTTTCCCAAGAACAAAGCAGGACCAGACTTGTTATTCATTCTGAATGGGGAAAAAAGGCGGCAAGCTAACAAGTGTACTGTGCGCGATGCAGGTAAGCTCATTTGCTATCCTTGGTTCAACCGTTATCCTTCGTCCGAGCTCACGTTTGGAGCCAGAGCTAGTCGACAATTTACTGATGCTCCGTTCTAGTTCAAAGTAAAAGATGTAGTGAAAAGTGAGGAATTTGTGGGAAGTTTGGTTCCTTCTGAGAAATGGCTCCCGGCAGACTGGAATCTCGGCCCGGTAGTGTTGATCCTCGTGTCTGCCGCGGAGGATATCAAGGACGTTGACAAGTTCTTCAATAAAGGGTTTGGGGACGTGAGACACGCCAAAGATCTGCAGGAGGGTGGTAGATTGAGGGACGTTGACTTCTATCTCTGCAAGATTGATCGAAAATTCTCACAAGATCTCTGGGGGGAAGTCTGGATGAGGTTGATGGTATCAATGAAAGAGCAAGAGGGTCTATCTTAAACAAATCACCAGGGAGTGGTGTCGTTTTCCACGTTTAAAGCATCAATATGGAGCACGCAATAACATGCTTAAACCAATGGATAATGCCACATGGACTACTCGTATAAAAAATGTGGACTCGCCTAAGTTCTGCAGAAGCGGATCCGGCAGTACACGCTCTAGTACATGCAGTTTAGGGGGCTATTGGATCGGTTATATTAATGGCCCGCTGACAATGGGCCCATGAACAGGGGTCAAGCGTTTCACATACGATGACTGCAGCGACGATCTCGTTTGCACTCACGGGATTCTCTCTTCTGCTTCAGGGTAGTGTGCTAACACTGCATCCGGCTACTTTCCCGACAAGATTACCATTGAGAACGGATAGAGGGTTTTCTTTGGTAACCATGAAAGATCCCTGAGATTTCCCCGCTCAGAATTTGATAAGATTCCCCGCACATTATCGCCCCCACCTCATGCAGTGGGACCACCAATGGCCTAGCGTGTGCATGTTAACGGTTATTCGAAACTCCTAAGACCATGTAAACAGACACAAATGGGCCGATCAATTGATTCGTCATCTTCCCAATAACCGATTTGCCGACAGCACTGGAAGTTGTTAAATGCACATCAACCTACCTGTAAGCCACATATTCTTTATTCTCGACGACATCAAAACCAAATTTTGTTCTTGATCTCACACCTCAGACTGACCCAACCATGACAGCCACGACAGGCCAGCACTTCGACGCAGTCATTATAGGAGCAGGGCTCGGAGGTATCTACCAACTCAATGAGCTCCTCAAGCTCGGTCTCTCTGTCAAGGTGATAGAAGTGGCGCCCGACATTGGAGGAACATGGTACTGGAACCGCTACCCCGGGGCGATGAGCGATACAGAGAGCTTCGTGTACCGGTATTCCTGGGACAAAGAAGATCTCCAGACGTACCCCTGGCCGAACCACTACGTCCACCAGCCCGAGGTTCTGGAGTACATGCAGCACGTGGTGCGGAAGTACGACCTCCGCAAATACATGCAGTTCAACACAGAGATGCTCTCAGCCGACTGGGACGACGACGCCAAACTCTGGCGCATCGCCACCAGCACCGCCGAAACGGTCCTGGCGCGCTACTTCGTGCCCGCGCTGGGCGTCCTCTCCAAGCGGAATCTCCCCGACATCCCCGGCATCGACTCCTTCAAGGGGACCCTGACCCACTCCTTCGCCTGGCCCGCAGACCTCGACGTCACGGACAAGCGCGTCGGCATCATCGGCTGCGGCTCGACGGGCGTGCAGATCGTGACGGCTATCGCGCCGAAAGTGAAGTCGCTGACGTCCTTTATCCGCCACCCGCAGTACTCGGTGCCGGCCAACAACAGGCCCGTCTCGCCCGAGTATCGCAAATGGGTTAATGAGAACTACGACGCCATCTGGGAGCAGCTGCGCAACTCGTTCGTCGGCTTCGGCTTCGTCGAGTCGACGCGGCCCGTCTTCTCGGTGCCGGAAGACGAACGCGAACGCATCTTCGAGGAGCTGTGGGAACGCGGCAACGGGTTTCGCTTCATGTTCGAGGGCTTCGGCGACATCGCTGCGGACAAGAAGGCCAACGAGGAGGCGTGCAGGTTCATCATCAAGAAGATCCACCAGATCGTCAAGGACCCGGAGAAGGCAAGGAAGCTGACGCCGCGGGAACCGCTTGCCCGCCGGCCCATCTGTGACAGCGGGTACGTTTCTGATTCCTCCACCCCCTCTCCTTTCCCGGAAGTGCTGATGCAGCATCCAGATACTTCGAGCAATTCAACCGTCCCAACATCGACATCGTCGACATCATGGCCAACCCAATCGACTCCATCACCCCCACCGGCATCCAGACCGCGGACGGCACTCTGCACGAGCTCGACATCATCGTCTTTGCCACCGGCTTCGACGCCGTCGACGGCAGCTACACGCGTATCTGCATCCGGGGGCGCAACGGCGAGACGCTGAAAGACCGCTGGGCCGACGGCGGGCCTACGAGTTACATGGGCACCTTCGCCGCCGGCTTCCCTAATATGTTCATGGTGTTCGGCCCGCAGAGCGCGTTTTGCAGTCTCCCGCCTATGCTCGAGGCCGCCGTCGAGTATATCACGGCGGCGATCAGGAAGGCTGAGGAACTGCGGAAGGAGCGCGGTGGGGAGGCGGCGCTCGTCGAGGCGACGGAGGAGGCGGAGAGGGGCTGGGCGAGGATGTGTGAAGAGGTGTCGGCGGGGAGTTTGTTCAGGCAGGAGAACTCGTGGATTTTTGGGGCGAATATTCCGGGGAAGCCGTTGGCGTGTCGGTTTTATTTTGGGGGGTTGAAGAGTTATCGGGATCAGATGAGGGAGGTTATTGAGGACGGGTGGCGGGGGTTCAAGCCTTTTGTCAGCGAGGTGTCTGATGGGGTGTCGAAGATGACGCCTTTGGCTGCGGAGACTGCTGCTGTCACTTCTTGATGGGTTTGAGAATCTAGCGGCTTCGTAGAGTTTTCAAGCGTCTCGTACTTCATCGCCGATGTGGCGCCACTTAGCACTTTTCACTGCTGGATCCATATCACATGTCTAAGAACTTGGGAATTCATATCCAAATTTCGAGATAGTGTATCTGAAACTTCATGCTGGCAAATAAGTAGTCCGTGCCCAGATGTCCATATTGGAGAAGTAGGTGGCAGAGACGTCATCCGTACAAACCAATTCGTCCGTCTCAAAACCTCCGCAGCGGCAATGCTCTTTCATAAGACCCTTTTCAACCAGACCAACAGACACTGTTCCTGCCTCTTTCAGCCCCAAAAGAAGCCTCTCCATATTGAATCGGTCAGAAATCCAAGAATCACCGACATTGACACGTCGGTAAGTGAGCAGTTCTGTCTGTACAGATGCCCAAAGGGTTGCCAAAGTTGGATCTCCTCTGAAATGACCTCCTCCAGAACACGTGAACTCTTCATATACGTTGTAGTCATCATCGGACTCCGAGTCCAGCGCATCGACATCATGGCTCCGTGTCGGAAGCCACGTCTCCTGACTACGCCAGAGCACCCAGCAAAGAATCTCCCAGCCCGTTGCGACTTTTTTTGACCAAGAAGATGGCTTGTAGGATCCGAGCCGCTGAGCTAGTTCAGCTGGTGTCAAATCTTCATGGGTGCAGGTATCCATGCTTTCTGACTGGCCGATATCGAGGAGTTCTAGCGAGACAGGACGCTTGATCTTAGGGTCGACCCCACTATCAAACATTCGAAGAGCACAGGCAAGAATCCCAAAAAGATCCTCATCATCGGAGCCAGACATGGCAAGATGAAATGCAACCATGACGAGCGCGTGGAGGTGCGACATGGTGAGCTTTAATCCGCAAGATGTACAAAGTCTGGTGAAAAGTCCGCTGTGGTCGCTGTTGCCTCGACGGGGGAAGTAATTCGATTCTGTAATAGCGTGACAGATAGCATTCGCCGAAGTGTGACAAAATTTGTGCTTCCATTCTGCGGGAGCGGCGGGAACTCCTCGAGACAGCAGTGATCGGTAACAGGCTGAATCTGCATCCCAGCGGCCACAAATGTCCATTTCGTCTCCAGAAAAGCGGCTTTCGCGATTCGTTGGATCGATAACTGATGGTAGCACTGTTGTATGGGATTTCAAGATGACAAGCAGAAGCTTGTCCATGACAGTGTGTCCCAGATCGTCCACAAGCATTTTCATAAGACTGTAGCTCCCGAGCAACTCAACGAGGCTTTGAAATACGGTGCAACAGGTCTTAGACCCATCGAGATAGCTGGCGGCTAAGTGAAAAGGATAGCATGACCGGATGTCAAGTTCCAATTTAAAGGCCTTTTGCACCAACTCCACTACCAGATCAACATTGCGGCCCATGATTGCAAAGCTCAATGCCTCAAGAAGCATTTTGTTTGGAGTCCGTTCTGCTTCTTTGGCGACCTGAGGTATGGCGACTGGAAGCTGGTCAGACTTGAGAGTACTGAAGTCGCTGTGCTCCAAAGCATCTCGGACCCGTTCATCGAAGGATGGCTCTTTCCATGAATTGTCCCATGATTTCCACGTGCTTTCATCGTGTGGATGTGGCTCGGAAGCGGCTGCATGTGTCGGAGGAACATAATCGTGCGCAGCTCCTGACACATGGATGACCCAATTACACAGCTGAGATGGTTCTGGATGTGGCAAGCGATCGTTTGTAGGAGATGAGATAGCGTAAGGAGAGGCGCCGAATAGCGATGAAAAAGATCTTGGAGTGTCCTGGCTTGATGTGGGGATATTGGCCTCGAATGCGTCAAAGCGCAGTCCAGCTGCTGTCCAATGTCGAGGACCATGACCCCAATGCTTGGCAGACTTGAATGAGAATAGCCAAAATTGGTACAACCATTCATTCATAGTTCTTTACGCAGAGTCAGTGAAATGATACGGACATCGAATGAAGCGAGACTCACTGGAAATCTTGTCTGTTCATTGTCTTGACAAGTTCCGCGTGCTTGCCCTGAACAAACAACTGGGCTCTTTCCATTGCCACTCTCTTCAAAACATCTGAGTTCATCCTTGCTTGAACAACTTGAGCACTGGGAGATGCTGCATCCGAAGGAGGAGTTTCCATGGTTACGTCTCCGTAAGGAGATGGAGCGGTCACACATGGAGAGGAGGGAAGTCTGTCAGATCCAGAGGACCTGAAGGCCCCATATGGCATGCTCCAGCTTGTGAATCTGTCGATAGCTTGCTGTTAACGTGGAACGTTGAAAAAAGAGCGAAACACGTACATGTTTTTGCCGAATGCGAGCTTCGAATTTGCGACTACCCCTATGCCCGATGGAGGACCTTTCAGGATGAGGTCTTGTCTCCGTCGATCCTTAAGGTACCTCCGCATCTTTGCAGGCGCCACGGTATGTCCCTGGTACTGAATGGCTGTAGAGGTCCGTCCTGCCTCTGCGCAGGTCTGGAGACATCGTCCGATGTGGTTCTTCGCTTCTGAGGGCACGTTCTTCCTCAGCTTCCACTTCTTGAACTGGTATTTGTACTGATGTACCCTAGAAAAGTGGAAATATGTATGTTAGCAGTTGATAGCACAGGAAGGAGAGACTCAGGCAACATACCCAGCGTCAAAATCGTGGTTGTCCTTCATGTACTTGGCGAGATCGGGCAGCTTGCGCTTCTCGTTGATGTATTGATGCTCGATGATGTCCTTCAGTAACTCCCATCGCTCATGTACAGGAGGACGGGATGTCCCAGAAGGAAGGGCTGGTGGCCTGGGAGGATCCATGGTCCGTAGCCCGAGCAGCCTGGAGAGGGCACGGGCCGAAGCGTAATGGCGTATGGGAGAAACAAGACTGGGCGTCAAGACTGGGCGTCTAACGGGAGATGTTGAGGAGGTAGAGGAAAGATGAAGAAGCTGGCTTGGCCTGAGAAATTCGAGGAGATTCGCATGCGTTTTTATGCTCCGGCAGCACCGTGGAGGGACGGAGGGATGTGAGGTGGCCGCGCAAGGCTGATACTGGTCGTGACACAAAAACTCCCTGCAATGCCAAGCCATACAAAAGAGAAACAGCCAATCGCGGCCAGAGAATCATAGCTTGTACTCGCTCGGTTGCCTTGCTCCTGCCTGGCGCAGATCTTCGCGTCCTAGTGACGCCAGCAGGGACCCCAGCCCAGTCTTGCAAAGGAGGACTAGCCAACCACGTCGGGCGGGTGGTGAGCGCTGCATACCACATGCAGCTAATTGTCTCACCACGTTCCAGGCACCCCACACTGCCAACGTTGACAAAGGAGTAAACGCCAGTCGGAGGGTCTTGGAAAGGGTTATCAGCTTTGGTTTCACTCAATCGCCTCCGAATATCATCAAAAATGGAAATGCGGATCCAGCCGTGCATCTATCACCTCCCGATGACCAACTTTTGGCGCAAGGCAACTCTGCTCCCAAGCAGTGCAAAAGAGCTTCGGCCAATCCTAGTCCTCCACGGCTAACTCCAAATTTCCCAAAGCCGGCCCAGAGCTTTTGGGGCACCCAGTGACGCGTCTGGACATTATGCTTGGGTCTGATGGAGTTTCACCGGCTTGCTGCAAGGCAGTCCAGAAGGTCAGATTACAGCTTGAACTTCGCAGTTCTGTACCAACAAATTAGGTATAAAAACTGATCTCTTGTTCTCACTGCCAGCCAGCGAGCTCCAGCAGTTCTCTCCGACCTCACTTCACCCGTTCTTGATCTGAACCCTCAATATCAAGGCCACAGTCCCTTATCCAAGTTCTCTACAGAATCTACGAGCAGTCTGAACCTGCAAAATGGCATCAAGCAACACTAAGCCAAGTCAAACCACACGCTCTACCTCTACCACATCGTATATATTCACCTCCGCTCATTTCAAAGCTATCTCCTACTAATCATGTCCCACACAAGGTCCTCGCAGCCTCAACAGACATCGACTTCAAGCTCCGTTTCACATGGCATCTCCTTGTCCACACCAGCACAGCTCCTCCCTGGCAACGAGACCTTCCAGACCACCACCTGTCCCTATCACGGACCCATTGTGCAGATGAGGTCAAACGGTGGTGACCAGAGTCATCAAGACATGAGCCCGATGGACCGATTCCTTGCTGAGGGTCCCGTACAACAGTATGCGCTGTTCGTTCGGCCGGACAATGGACAGCTTTCTACGTCAAAGGGTTGCACGTGTGGGAAGAACATGTAGAGGCACACGATCGGCGCTGGGTCGCACCCATGTACTGAAATGCAAAAACAAGGCTTTGATTCCGGTGGTGAATCATTCTGTGATGTAACGCGAAAGTGATGTGCTACACTAGTTCTTGAATAGTAGCTTATGTGTCAAGTACAGTAACGTGAACAATGTTGTGGCCTCTATATAGCCATCTGGGGCATGCTCAGAGGTCTTGAAATCCCAACTGGAAGTGACCGTCTCAATAATCGTGACCAAGCCCGATTTATCGCATTTTTCATACTGCTGGATCCATGCCTCATCTTTGGGGGTTCACGTGGAAGTTTAGATAGAAAAAAAAAAGAACTCTCCGGAGTGCAAGCACTTGTCAAGCATCTTTCAATGCGAACTCAAGTAGAGCTGCAAATGTAGGACTGAGCGGGCAACAAGGTTGAAAGTATAAGAGAAAGCCCCAGATATTGTGGGAACGCAGCAATCCCATCATCAGCACCAGCAACAGGCGCCTGCTTTTACTTTCACGAAACTACTGGTGACGACCAGATAGAAGCGTTGCATTGTATTTGCTTATCAAAACAGCTCTCAAATTCTCCGTAAATGTACCAAATTGCTTCGCCCAATCAATTGTGCACTTTACACTCGTCACAGAAACTGTGCATTTCTATCCAGCGATAGTGATGTCAAGTCGGCGCCGTTTGTTAATTCAAATGAGTAGCGTCGTATTCATATTTGATGACTGTAAATCATAATGCAGCGCGGTCCTCACTTGAAGCATCTTGATGATCATGCAGTGTTGAAAAGGTTGATAATTAAGTTTCAGAAGCTTGCGATTAACCATGCAGTATTACCTAAACTCCCGAGATGCAAATATACGGAGCAACCACTTCAACTTATTTCCTCCTATCCAACCAATAACGTCCGACCACTTCAAGCACCAAGCTTCTCAAGGGTGACAGCGAGGTAGACCTGGTCAGGGACCGTGCACACCAAATCGTTGATCGAAGAGCCACCGGCATGGCAGATAGGATCATCAAAGTCGGCCTTTCCGCCAATAGTGTTGCTGCAATTCGACTCGTCAGCAAACAAAAACTTTTACAACAACCCCTTTTTACCAAAAAAGTATAGGAGGAACAAAAAACTCACTTCTCAGAAACCTCCTGCCACAGGAACAACTCGTTCTTCTTGTCGGCGCCGTTGCCGGCGGTGTAGCTGAAGCTGAAGAAGGTGTTCTCGCCGCAGAAATACACCTTGCCGTCCTCGAAGGCCTGCGTCGCGCCCTTGATCACGGGGTCGTACGGAATGCACTCGAAGTCGAGCGTGCCGCCGTTCGTCGCCAGGATGCGGAACGACAGCGTGCTGATCGTCTTGCCGTCGTACTTGCGCGTGCTGAATTCTTTGATCTGGTACTTCGTCGTCTCCTTGTCCGGACCGGGGCAGGAGTACGTCGGCGGGGGGGAGTACGACGGGTCGGTGGGCGCGGCCAGGGCGGTGGTGGCGCTGAGGAGAGCGGTGGCGGCGGCGGCGGTGAGGAACTTCATGGTGGTGGTGGGGGAGTGGGTTGGGTTGGGTTGGGAGTTGGAGGGATGGGTGGGTGGGTTGAGTGGTGGTTTATTAGCGGCTTGTGGATGTTGAGGGCTTGGTGCTGGATGGAGATCACTACGAGGGTGCAGTCGGTCTCTATATATGCAGGCCAGCTCGTACTCGTCTTGCGGAGAGAGGACTGAGTTTTGCGAGTGGCGGGAGAATGCCCCCATGATCCGACGTCATAATCTTCAGAGCGGTGTCGTATTTTGCTTGTACTACGAAGGGTGTCGTGACCAGCGTTACTTCGACAAGGGCTGCTGTGTGGTCATTGGACTCTGCGCAGCCTCGAGCAGAGCAGCTAGTGCTCGTATGGGCGGGGTTATACGGATGCTCCGTGGTTGTTCCGGCGGGAGGTGCATTCGACCACTACGTCATTGGCCGTCGGTAATTTCGGCTTTAGATCAAAAGGGTGATGTTTCTCCCTTAACATGAGCTTCTCTACGAGTATAGACGTGGCAGGTGCTATGCTGCGCCTCTAAAATGACCACTTTTAGATTCTTAATGGTGTATGGCGTGTCGCTCAGATGTCTTCACTGTCTCGTAAACTAGCGTAAACTAAAAACAGCTAAGCTACAGTCACTATCCGATGGGGTCCGGTTTTGGAAGATCAAAGATAAAAATAGATTTGACCTCGGAAACCAGGGACAGCAAGCGGCAGAGAACGAGTTAAGTCCGAATGCGGAGTCAGTCACAGGTTCGCAACTTTATTTTGGTGGACGAGGAACTCTGCCGATTGGCATACCAAGTTCTGGGGAGAGTATCGAGTAAGGTTAATGTGCTCTGTGCTGTTCAAGCTTAAATCGGCCCTTCATATATTGGAACAAGAGTGTAACATGCATTAATTGGCAACCTTTCTTTTGACCGGCAGCACATGCCCTATAGGGGGCTGGTCTATTGAAACAATGTAGTTTATAGAAACTTTCCCTGTTCGGGTACTTTAATTGCCGTTGTCCCGATAGTCTTGCTTTCTAAACTCCCACCGCGTTACCAGCACACTCACTACCATCAGTCCGGCAACAACTTTCGTGCCGTGACACCTGGAGCAAGCGCACTCGCCGATCCAAAATCTTATGCATTGTTCCCCTGTGTGAAGTCTCTTTTGCTTGATCTCCGTATTCATGTTCCTTCATGATCACATGAATGCGCTGCCGAATAGGGGCTTGAAGGGCGGTTTCACATGGCGGTGTTGAAGAGGCCATGGAGGGAACACAGACCGGACAGCTTGCTCACAAGCACGAAAAGTCTCAGAAGTGGGTCATGAAGAGCAGAAAAAGATTTATTTGCACATCACTAAACTAGAAAACTCAAAGTGCCAAGTACCATGGTGACCGAAGAACATAGCCGCTGTTTTTCTTCCTCATTGCTTCCGCGCCTTCTCCCTTAGGGATCCACGCAACGCCACCCATCCCAGCCAATGATATCCCCAACCAAAGTATCCAGCGTGCGAGTGCCACGCTTTGGTCCATGGCTGGCGAGAAGGGTCCGAGCATCGCAGAGGTAAACAGTGGAACAGGGACTCGGGGAGCCGTGGGACGGGACGTCGCTGGACCGGACTGCGCGTCATCGAGCGGTCGAGGGACACCTATAAGAAGAGAGAGAGACACACATTTATCAGCCGCTTGTGCGAGCTGAGTGGGTGGGTCAGAAACACGAAGAGGTTATCATCATCGGGCTAGCCTCAGACACCAGATCCAGGTGTTTCTTCATCCCTCACCCACCTTTCTGTTCTGTTGTGGTCCTTTGCAGCTGGGTTGGTGAGGGTTGAGGAAACTGAAGTTGAAATGACCGATGATGACGAGACACCAAGGCAAGGTACTGCGACCTGGGAGCGGCGTTTCCGTGAGGAAGCACCCTGCTGGGGAGAGACCTGCAGGTGCATGCTGAGGTCCAAATGACACGAGAGAGAAAAGGAAGGGGTTGAAGAGTTGTGATCATGGATGAAAGGGGTCAAATGTATGAAGCTGGCGGATGATGGCGATGGGTGGATGGTGATGAAGGAAGAAGAGGAGAAGAAGAAGAGAGGCTGCCCTTAAGTAGACGATCAATGCAGCTGCACGGCAGCTTCACTCTTTACACAGAAGGATGGCAGTGTCAAATGTTATGGTAGGGGCGATGTCCCGGGAGGCGAAGGCACTGCATGAGCTCTAAGCAGGTGCTCGTGGAGAGGGAAGGCAGATATCACTGCTACGAGAGGCAAGGCCTCTGGTGCCGGGCAGGTAGACCTGAGCGCGAAGGCAAGCAGACATAGTGGATATTCAAAAGGGCAGCAACTCAAGATCGGTGCGTTTTGCAATCGTGAGCATTCCGCGCACACCCATATTCATTCTCGCGCGAGGAATAGTTTTGCGTGCATGAGGCCGCATGCGAGTGTCATGATTGTCGTTTTGTTCTACGTCCTGATCCAAGATGCCGATAAAGTGATGGCAGGCGCGGCGCCGACTTCCAGTTTCGGGGTGCGGCGCTGCAGCAGCGCCCTCGCCCGAACAACGCCCAGAATCAGCTTGCCAGCCCTTTCCACACTTGCAAACTCTGCCGGTCGGATGTTTGACTTGCTGGAAGTGGTGGTCTTCGCGCCAAGAATCTTGCCGCTTTCGAAGACCCAGGGAAATAGGGAGCATCCAGAATTCCGATTTGCAGCGAAGACGACCGTGTCAGCTTCAAACAATGGACTCAGACTACTGACGGGCACTATGCCTGGTTGATGCACAATGGTATTCAGCTGACAATTCCATGATCATCCTACAGAATTCTCATCTACGTCAGAATCCAGCGGCTTCCCCAGTGTCGAAGTCACGCCGGAATCCCCCGCCCAGTGCAGCAGCATCGACATCCGCGGCGTCCTTACCGAATGGAATTTTGATCGCATCGCCTGGGCTGTCTCTAGCCGCTGTCACGGCTTGTCTTTGTATCCGGCGGGTTGCCGTCGGGATCTAGGGCGTTTGGGTCCGCGCTCTTCTTATGTAAGGAGCAGTCTCAAGGTCTGCACGTTGCCGCGCCGGTCTGCAAGCGGAAGTGCGCTGCTGGGGTTGGTGCAGAAAGCGGCTGGTGGAGCGGCAGCTAATTTTCTCATTCAAGCAGCGTGAGTTGTAGCTTCTAAATCCACGTTCTGTTCTTCGCAGACGCTTTGCTTATCTGCCCTGAGATTGTGCGCAGCAAGGCTGGATGGTGAACAATGGGGGATATACTGGGGGAGGTGCATGGGGTTGCAAAAATCAAAAAAAAAACGAAGATACGGCAATGAATCGCGGTAGTTAAGCATGAAAGTTGACAAATTCGCATGATTCAGGAATCGGATAGCGACAGCCAAGATGAAAGAAAGTTGATGCATGCAGGTCGAGCGGTGTGTACTCATGTTTGCTCTGGTGTGTAATGATGATATAGACGTGTACATTTATGTTGCTCATAGGCACAATGCTCTAAAAAAGCAAAGAGACTTGGTAATGGCATCTGCATTGTTCCTATGCAGGTGCAATTCAAAAGGCTAAAATAGGCGAAGATAAGAGCTGTCGGACGTCATGGCAGCCGTTTGTGGTTTGGTGTTACACAAAACCGTTGAAAGCTGCAGGTGAAACATCCGCGCCGCAATGAAGAAATGACGCTGCGGCCGCCGGCCAGGATGGCAGGCGAAGCGCCAATGCAAGGGATTTCATGTAGTCAGTCGTAGAATTCATCAAGTCATGGTGGGAGTCTTGTCGTACGAGCGCTGGAACTGGGTTTGATTTGATGGCGTTGGGAAGGGCCTCAAACGGTTACTTGATAAGGCTACATAAAGAAGCAAAAAGTACCCCGGCCTGTCCCGCCCCACCGCGATAGGAACGACTTATTTAACCCACAGCTCATCTTGACACCTTCCCCACACTCTTCTTCACTCGATAGTTATCAGAGCCACTGTGCTGGAGAACATTGCGGTACGCTGCCAGTCTTTGCCGCGCGTCCCTTGCCTCCATCCCAACACACCAGGTACTGGAAGCTTCTCCACAGCAAGTCTGTTGGTGCAATCAACCTTCTCGACTCGAATCCAGCAAATATGTACGACTGCGATACCTGTGATAGGACGTTTAGGAGCCAGCATGCCTGCAATCAGCACATGGCTGCCCTTGGCCATCAGCGCTATGAGTGCGACCACTGTACTCGCAGCTTCGCCACCTGGCGCGCTTGTAAGCAGCACATGAATGACACCGACCACTGGATCTGGGAGTATGAGTGCGATACTTGCACAGCCCGCTTCGACTCCCAATGGTCAGTCGACGAGCACATGGAGGAAGAGGACCACTGGAGCTACCCCTACGATTGCGAGACCTGCACCTACGCCTTCCGCACCGCCTTCGACCGCGATGAACACCAAGAAGACGAGGGCCACTACAAGCATCTCCACTGCAGGGATTGCGACAGGTACTTCCCGAGCCAGAACAACCTGCAGCAGCACCTCAACTCGCGCGTCCACCGCGGCGCCAACGTCATCTGCCCCTTCTGCAATGCCGCCTTCACCACCGCCTCCGGTGTCTCCAGCCACCTGGAATCCTCGTCCTGTCCCAAAGCCCGCAATCTGGACCGCGCCACCATCCACCGCGCTCTCCGCCAGCGCGACCCCGACGGCTTCATCACCGAGCGCCTACTCGAGTGGACCGAGACGGACCACAACGCCCAGTGGGATCCCAGCTCCGCCTGGAATGGAGATGGCTACGAGTGCTACATCTGCCACAGGGAGTTTGGCAGTGCCCAAGGTCTGCGCCAGCACGTCTTCAGCCCCGCTCACCAAGCGCCGCTCTACCACTGCCCCAACAAGCGCGGCACCTGCGGCGGCAGGAAGTTCCCCACCTTGGCTGCCTTGTTCAACCACCTTGAGAGCCAGACTTGCAACTACATCCGCTTCGACGGCGTGCAGAAGAGCGTCAACAACTTCCTTACGGCTGGAAGCCGCAGGGCAATTACCTTCTCCTCATCATGAGTCGCATGGAATGGCGTACTGCATCACAGTATTTGGGGAGATCGTTTGATATGCGGGCTGGCCTGCCTGAACCTGTCTCACCGGATAAGCTGCGTCTTGGCTCTGTGAGCAGTTGGACCCAATGTCTAGAATGTATTTGTACGATTAGCAGCCAAATCCAAGCCCTCATCATCCTCACAACTCCCCCCAGCCATGCAGTCACTCGTCCCCTCCCTTCGCACTCCCCGTAATAATATCCCCCGCCCTCTCCGCAACCGCGTAAATCGTGCTCGTCAAATGCCCACACACCTGCCACGGCAACACGCTCGCATCAACAACCCGTACATTCCTCGTCCCATACACCCGCAGCTCCGCATCCACCACCCCGCCCAACTCCCGACTCATCATCGCCGCCGTCCCCACCGGGTGCGCGTTTGACCCATACACCCCCTTCGCCCACGCCAACCACGCCGCATCGTCGCCATCCATCGGCACCTCCCCCACCGTCGGCGCCGCCATGCCCACCACGTACCCCGCCAACGGCGCCGTCACCAGCGCCCGCCGCGCGTACCGCATCGCGGCGACCTGCACGGCGTTGTCGAACGGGTTCATGAAGAAATTCGGGTTGATCGCAGGCGAACTGCTCGCGTTTGCGCCGCCTACGCTGAGCGGCGACGCAGCGGAGATGTGGATGCTGCCGCGGCCGAACGGTAGCAGCGCCCACGTCGGCAGCGCGACGGCGCCGGCCGCGCTCATCGGCGCGCTGAGGATCTCGGCGAGGGGGAGGGTTGCGGCGTTGGCGAAGAGGAGGTCGGCTTGGAGGGTGAGGAGGTGTTCTTGGATGGCTGTCGAGTTGTTGTTGGAGGAGGAGGAGGAGGAGGAGGAAGAGTCGGGGTCGCCGCTGTTGGCGACGTTGAGGGCCGCGTAGGAGGGGATGGCGGCGCGGACGGAGGCTTCGAGGGCGGAGAGGTCTGAGGTGGAGAAAAGGTCGGTGAGGGTGGCGTAGGTGACTTGCGGGGGGTAGTCGAGGAAGGTGGTCGTGTCGTTGGGGGAGAGGGTGCCGGCGAGGGCGACGTTGACTTGGTCTTGGAGGTTCTCGCCGACGGTCGGGAGGGCGATGCGGACGGGGATGGAGTATTTTTGGAGGATGCTGCTGTGCTGTTAGATTCTCTTTTGGGTGTAGTTGAGAGCGGTGTGGAGTCCACTAAGAGGAAATCAAGGCGATGGGACAAAAGTAGAGAAAAAGTCATTGCCAGTTGACCGCCCAATTCCCAAGAATGGTGGTATGGTGAGGGTAGAATATTGCCAGGGCCTGTTGCTTGAGCTGATGTTTTTGGGCAAAGTCATGATACCGCTCGAAAGGCAATGACAAAAATCAAAGCATTCGGCACTTACGCAGGATTTCCAATACCAGAGTACTCCAGGAAACATGGAGTCCGCGTTGCCCCCAGAGACACTACCACCTCTTTTGCAGCTTTCAAGGTTGTGATGGTTCCTGTGCTAGAAGAGACCTCTACTCCTGATGCTGCCAAATCGCTGCCATACTTTTCCTCATCGTCCCAGGTCAGTCGAAGTGCCGTAGTGTTCAAATAGACGTGCAGATTGGGTCTGTCCTGGACAGGATAGTAGTACGCTCTTGCAGCGTCTTCTCTGATGCTCGTGGTTGCGTTGACGGTGAATGGCCAAACACTGTATCCACGCATATAGCCCCCGTTGACGTCTTCATTGTATGGGCTGCCAACATTTTCCCAGGTGGCCTTGATAATGGCGGCAGAGTTGTTCCGCTGCGGTGCAGCATATTGCCAGCCTACAGCCAAAGGCCCATCGAAACCGTGGTATTCGGGGTTGTAAGCTGCCCCGTTAGCTGCTTGAGATGGTGTGGGTGGGATAAAGTGTTCGCTCTTCTTGTAGTAAGGATACAGCGAATTCCAGTTCCAGCCGCTGTTCCCGAGCTTCTCCCAGGCATCGATTTGAACTGTTTCGGACCGGATATATGTCATGCCTGTCGGGGAGTTATTTTAGTGCTCATATCGAGATAGAGTCCTTACGTATTTCTCTGATATAATCTTTCACATGAAATAGGACTTTCTCATACCATTGATGGTGCTAGTCCCACCGAGGGCTTTCCCAGCATGGTAAACCTGGCTGTCATTTGCAGCATATTTTTGCGGAAGAGTGGTATATTGCCAATCAAGTTCAGAGCCAAGTGATAGGCCGAAGCTGGTCGTGTTTTGCACTCTCGGGTCATTGAAGACAGAGCCGCCTGCCTCTATGATAGCAACTGTGACTGACGGGTCCTGTGAAAGCCTATTGGCGATGACAAGCCCCGCGGTCCCACCACCCACGACAATGTAGTCGTAGGTCCCATTGGTAGCGACTGTCGTGTGGGCACTTTTGCATAAAAGCCCGAGACTAAAAATGAGGGGAAGGAAGCGTGACAACATGTTGCCATTAACGAAGCCGCAACAGGATAAGGGCGAGCCAAGCCATGAGGAGACCTCGGGGCTTTATGAATCGTCTCGAAGGATTACTGCAGGTTCAAGTCACACGAGGGACCCGAGTAGGTTGCAATTGGTGATGTTGCATGCATGGAGAAGGATTGCGGGGGAACGCCTCTTCCCCGATCAGGCATGTCAGCCGGGAAGAGGCGTCCTCCAGATAGCGGCCTCACTACTTCCGTTCCGATTCCTTGGCGAGGTGGTGCAAACTGTGCACAGCTCCGAAATGAACGGCTGCTACAGCTTACATGCAAGACATTTCGCATGCCACTTGCGCAGGGTAGTCGAATTTAGTCCAATTGCGCAACCGTAGAACTACCGGTTGCGAAGGATGAAGTAGGCCGCATATTCCTGTGGATATCGTCGTGTGATTGGGATTCCATTTCCCCGAACTTGCGTCTAAAACTACGACAGCTTCACAGCGAACCATTCCGGTGTATCTAAAGATGACTGCCGAGGTTGCGAAATTAGTTAGGAAATTGGTCGTCTTTACTTTTTGGCTTGGCTTCGCCCCGGCTCCGGCTAACAGCTAGCTTCAGATGTGCTGGTGTCTTGACCGGAGACTGACAACTCAATTGTGTGCGTTGGTTGAGAGTGAGCAGCGAGATCGGCCGTCAAGCTGGCTGATGTTCGGTGACAGCTGAAAAACACATCATGAATGACGACGTGTCGCTAGTAAGTCCATGACGAAAGAGTCGCTTGGCTGGAGGCAAATCCCAGCCGCAGTGGGGGGTGAAATTGCGCAGCGAGCTACGACTAGCCTTATTCAACCGAGGTTCCAGGATCCGACGGAGCTGGAACTCACATCAGCAGCCGCATCGCGTGGCGGAAAGCGAGCTGCATGTGAGATGCATGAACCGCGACGGCGGTGGTACGGTACATCACAAGGCTGCAGGGGAGTGCGTGCAACACCAGCGGGGGAGGCGACGATGATGACGATGATGATGATCGCCACGACGAAAATGCGGAGGCTTCGGGGGTGTTCTTTCTTTGTTCGTGGCCCGTGCGACCCCTGAAAGAAGGGCCAACACCACACACTGACGCCGGTCTGCGCTCCGGGATTCCTTCGAGAAAACGGCGCGCCGCTTCCAAGACACCACCGGCGCCGCCGCGTCCTCTATCTCACAAGCTCTGTCGCTCCTTATACCCAGCTTTTCCTTCTCCATTTTTTCCTTCTCGTGCCTGCCGTGCCCCGACCGTCGCCCGCCGCTCTTACGTTTCCTTTTCGTCGTCCCACCCTTTCCTGCCAAGTCACAGCCGCATTCCGCCAGCGCAGTCGCCGCGCCAACGACGGCAATTGGGAGGAAGGCACGATTGTTGTCGAACAAGTGGGGTTCTGAGATGCTGCCACACCGCATTCAGATACCCACATCCACCTGGTATGAGCTGTACCGCGGAACGGACCATGTCCCGGGATGGCGCACTCACCGCTCCATCAGACAGTTATGAACCCTGCCTTCCGGCTCGTTCCCGCCGCTTCGCCCTTTAGCAAATCCAGATCCAGCTTCAGCAAGCCGAGCCGGTCCGACGACATGCTGTCGCTCCGCCAGGTTGTCGGCTCGACCATCGGCTCAGCCCTCGCCTTCGACAGCCTACCCCACGAGCGCCGTGTCGCCTTCACCGCAGGTGCTGCCGCCGTGGTAGCCACCATCGACGAGGACCACAAGGTTACCCAGCGATTTTTCCGCGCCCACCCCTCAACCCAGGCCGTCCATACGGCCTCCGCCGCCTACGGCACCCCCGCATCTGATGCGCGCAATCGCGGAGCCGTGTCTTCGCGCGATGCCGGTGTAGGCGCCTCTTTGCATGGTTCAGCGGCGGGCGATTGGGCTGATTCGCCAGGTGGAAAGTCGTCGTCAGCGAAAGACCGGATAAAGGCTGCAACGTGTGTGGCATTCAGCTCTGATGGAAAGTATATCGCCGTAGGAGAGGTGAGGCCTATCGTGAACCAAGGGGTGCTACCCGAATGCTGACCCCTGGACCAGACGGGATACAAGCCCAGGATCTTGGTCTTCTCCACCGCCCCAGATGCCCCACCCGAGACACCCATCGCCACCATATCCGAACATAAGTTTGGCGTCCGGTGCGTTTCTTTCAGTCCTGACTGCAGGTACTTGGCCAGCTTGGGTGCTGCAAATGATGGCTTCCTCTACATTTGGAGCCTGAACCCCCGCACTGGTGCAGCAACTTTACATGCAAGTAACAGATGCACAAACCACATCAACAAGATGGCATGGCTTGGAAATAGCCTTGTCCTCGTGGGCACCCGACACGCCAAAGTCTGGCGCATTGACGAGGCAGAGCAGCATGTCCAGAGCAAGACGAAGCATCGCGAAGAGAACATCACTCTTCCCGGAAGGAACTGCATTCTGGGCTCCTTGGTCGAACAGAACTTCTCCTCCATTGTGGCCGTGTCCGACACGAAGGCCCTCGTATCGACGGAGAAAGGGGACATCTGTCTCCTGGATGACTCGGACCGCGCTCAGCGGTTGTTCAAAGTGGCATCCGCGGACTTTGGAATTTCGGCGCTGGCAGCTGATTCTAACGGCATCTTGCACATTGCTGGTACAAATGGCGAGATGACGACCATGGAGATCAGCAAGTTGGTTGATGCCGCACCGCCCCCTACGCCAACTTCGCGAGACGAGTCGCCTCCTGGATCGCCCCCGCGATCGCCAACAAGTCCTAAATTTCATCATGATACACCATTCATCATCGCCATGGCGCCCATCGGCGACCTCTTGGTCACGGTGGACACTAGAAGAGCCATTCGTCTCCTGGAAGTGGGGACGGATGGTGACTCATCCACTAACAAAATTGTCCAACAGCTGCCCGCTCAGGGCGACGCTGTCTTGGGCGTCCACTCTCTTCCCCTCTCTAATTCTTTTGACGCGTCTTTTGTTACTTGGTCTGCAGATGGCCTCATCAAATTCTGGGCTCCAGATGGAACTGAAAAAGGTGACATCAAAGTGCACTTGGAGCAACTTGAGAATTGCGATGAGGTCAACGAGCTCAGGACCATTGAACCATCTCCTCATGTCGGCTTCGTTGCTACCGGAGACAGATACGGTGTGCTCAGGTATGTTTCTATTCTCGTTCAGTCAATCTCCCGTTACTAACCTAGGAATCAGTATTATCGACGGCCAGACCGGCAAGTGCACCTTCAGTCTCAAGGCTCACGGAAGCGAGATCACCGACATTGAGATCCACGAGGGTGAAACCCCGTTGGTCGTCACCTCTGCACGGGATCGGACTGTTCAAGTCTTCCAGAAGATCGGAGAGGCCTGGGATGTTCTGCAGACCTTGGATGAACATGCGAGCGCCGTCACTGGCGTCCTTTTCTCCAAGGACGGAGCACACCTTCTTTCCTGTTCTACGGATCGTACGGTGGTCGTGCGAGACTTTATGACCAGGGAGGAGAATGGAGCTGTATTGAAAGCTTTCCTCATTGCTCGCACCATCACCCTGAAGTCTACGCCCGTCTCCATGGCATTTGATGCCGATAACGAGAACATTCTCGTGGTTTCAACCATTGATCGGCAAGTTCAGAAGTATGACATCATCTCTGGACAGCCAGTTGGCTCCTTCAAGTCGGCGGATGCAGACGGTGGCGAGGCTGTTGTCCTCTCTGACCTCGTACATTTCACCAACCCGAGAGGTCAAGGTGTTATCGCCGGCGTTTCTAGCACCGACAAGTCGGTCAGAATCTACGACGAGAATGGGAACCTCCTTGGCCGTGACTGGGGCCACACGGAAGGTGTTACTGACATTGCTTTAATCTCCATCAATGGTGGAGAAGGCGATGCCGACCAGATGGGTTTGGTAACCGTCGCAGTCGATGGTACAATCTTCATCTGGAACCTCGACTTCAAGCTACCGCTTTCACGCTCGTCCTCCTACGACGTTGGCAAGAGCGGGGACTTGGCGGGCATTGCTACTCCGGGCAAGGACTTACTTTCGAGCAGACCACCCATTAGGCGTGTCCTGTCTCAATCCGAGCTTGCCAAGTACCAGCGGTCTGGCGATGACGAGGCAACCACGCCCACGGGCAGCAGGTCTCCCACGGGCTCGTTGCGCAAGAAGTCGTCCAAGCTGTCGCTCCACGGCGGTTCCGCGCCGAAGTTGGAGCCTTCTCCGGTGGGGAAAGAGAGCCACGGGCCGCACGGCTCGAGCAGCCGGAGACATGGGCGCAGCAACCGGTCGCCTTCACCGCCTAGCCCGACATTGAAGCACGCTCACGCTGCGTCGTCCGGAAGCCCCAAGGTGCCGCACCACAGCCCGAAGGGCTCGCACCACACGCTGCGCAGACCCTCGTTCGGCTCCTCCCGCTCCAAGACTCGCAGCAACCAGAACTTGCGCGAATCTTCAGGCCTGGCCGCAGCTGCAAGCGACCTGAGCAAGAGCCTGAGGCTGTTCAGGAAGAAGCTCGGAACCAGCCAGGACAAACTACCTGCGGATGCACAGAAGGAGCTGGAGCGCGAACTGCGCATCACGTCCAGCGCGCTCGGAGGGGAGGGCAAGACGAAGGAAGTCAGGCACGCTTCGTCGGAAAGCAGGCATGAGGGTGGCAAGGCCGAGGTGAAGAGCGAAGCGATGGACGAGGCGTCGATGGCGAAGCTGCTTGAGCAGTACTCGGAGCGCCTGGTGGAGCTGCTGGATCGCAGGATCGATAAGAGCGTGCAGAAACACGTGAGGCAGCTCAGCCAGGGCTCCGTTTCTGGCCGAAGGGACAGCGATGACGTCGATGCGGCGACGACCGAAGATACTGAAGAATAGGTAGTAGTAGGGGAGGGCCAAGCGCTGGGTGCCGAGGATGGAAACCAAAAATGGAAATCGGATGAACGGGGCACCTCGGACACGGGGTCCTGGGGGATGGAGCTCGGGGAACTCTGGGGGGTGCGTGGAATTTTTGGGGTGGAACTTTTTTCTCAAATTACCGGACATCCATTCGTGGAGCGGACATTTTTCTAGCGTTGGCGTTGGACTGGGCGCAGGGACCTGGGGCCAGCACATGACTCTGCCCCGGGGGGTGGAAGCTTTCTGGCATCACGGACACGGGCTGTCGTGGGAAAGCAGAGAGGATATTTGGCATTGTTATTTGCGTCTTGGGACGATCAAAAGACGCGGGTTTCAGGGCTGGGTCTACTTTATGGGCATTCCTTTCTGCATATACCCGTCGCTTGGAGAATACTTTTACTTGGCGTCTTCCTCTTTTAAGCTCTTTTCCGGTGCCGAGCACGTGTCCGGGGTCTGCCGATTGTGACCATTTTCGTCCACGGTTGACGGGATGGCGTGGCGGAAGATGCACGTGAACACGTGAAGAGCAGCCGCTTTAAGGTTGCTCCCGTCGTCCGAAGCCGGGCGAGAGTCTTCTGCTTATCTGGGCCGACGCGGTTGGTTGCGTCTCATCCGTGGGCAGTTGAAGCAGATGTCCGCATATGGACGACGATTGATAAATTGTATATCCGGGGGTAGCGGGCAGGGATTCTTTGGATGCATATGTAGATTTACAAATTGAACAACTCTGTGCAAAGGTATAATGCGACTCTGCCCCTGGGAGTCAGGTAGTACCTATATGTCTTTGCAATTATTGAGGAGAAGTTGAGTAAACCGCAACGCATGTGCTCTTACACGACGTCGTGGTGGTGGGAGCGCGGGAAAGAAGTTGCGGTGTTTTCTGCTTTCGCGCAGCAATGGAAGGCTCTTGCGGCGGTCGTGCAGCTGACCCCGGTCGGACGAAAGTAAGCTTTGCATGCTATCCCAACAATTCCACATTGCAACTCTCGCAGCACGCCGATGCAACGGAAACAACGCCTCACGCGAGAAAATTTGGCTCGGCCTGCCTGTGCGTCGCCATTCTTGGAAACTTTGCTCTGTGTAACCGCTGCAGTTGCCCCTCGAGCGTGCCTGACCAGGTAAAGGGATCCTGTGTCACGATTCGTACTGTGTCAGCGAGTCAAGCCACACTAGCACCGAGCAAGTGGGGATTTGGTTTGGGTTGATGCCGATGTGGTACGTGAGTTTCACAGCGCTTGCGGAAAAGGGAACTACATCACACTCTCCTGCTGTGCCGCGGGGCAGATCGTCATGCAACAGAAGCTGGGCCCGAAGAGGAGAAAAGAGCGAGCCGCATGGGGGGCGGAGATGCAAAAACGCCCGAGCGTCGCTGCCGTGTGCTTGTCCGTCCAGTGAGCGGCCGTCTGACGCGATCGGCTGAATTGCGCGTCGGTTGGGGGCCGATAAATCAAATTGTTGTGCTGGAAGGAGGAGGTCCGACGAGGAGTTCCGAGGGCGTGTGGATCAGCGGCACGGTTGAGAGCGAGCTAAAACGCAGGGTGCCTGCAGCAGCGTGGGGACCATCTGCGGTTGACAGCAGCGGGCAGCGGCATTGCAGAAACGGCCGACCTGGTTGACTGCTGTCCCAACCTGCGGCTCCGGCCACGGGCGCTCGGCTGCGAACTTGGGCCGAGGAGAGGGCCTGCTGGCCACGACAACACCCACTGGCGGGCTTGGAAAATAAGCATCCGGCAATTTAAGCGTGCGCAGGTGGGTGGTGGGGCTGCAGGTGGTGGGTAGCTGCGGCCGTGCCCTTGGGCCGGAGAGGCGAAAGCGGCGGAGGGTGGCCGCAGGCCGGAGCAGAGGAATCGCATGGCTGGACGCAAGCAGCCAGAGGCCCGCGACCCGAGGAATTGGGCTTGGGAGCCCTGCGAGCCGAGACCGCCGCTGCGCTGTGCCGCGCCGGGCCTGGTGACGTCTGGGGCAGGCGATTGGCGTGCCTTCACGTCGCGGGCTAAGGGAACGCCCATCCTCCCAAGCTTTCCCCCGCACTTCACGACATGCAATCCGGACCCTAGACTTCGTGAGCGGTGCGTGCCCAGCACACGCCGCGGCTGCCTGATGTATAAGGGCTTGGATTCCCCAGATTCTGCACTACCAGAGAGATCTCCGTCCGTCTTGAGCCCGCGCCGCAGCACCATTATTGCGCCAGCCCACCTGCACCTCTCCAACCCACCCTCCCCTTGCCCGAGTCACCGCGCGTGTCCACCGTCGTGTCACAGCGCCTCATTTAAACGCGCCGCCCGCCCCATTGATCTTGTCCCAAGCCCTCCTCTTCAGCCCGCCTAAATCCTTCTGCACCAGCCTACATAAGCCGGCGCAACCCCACCACCCTCGTCTTTCAAGAGCTCTCGCACCTGCCCAAGCTGCCCTTCCGCCGGCCAGCACACCTCGCCTGCTAGACCGCGCCAGCGCCGGCGCCTTCCTAATCCTCACACCACTTCCACCCCCCAGCTCACGCGGCCATGTCCGAAGCTAAGACCGGCCCCGTTGTGGCCGAGGCGCACGAGGTTGACACCTTCCACATCCCAGAGGCTTTCCACAAGTGAGTAGCCCACCTCCTGCGCGCCAATGGCGCCCTGCCGAAGCCGCCATGGCGACGCCCAAGGCCGAGTTTCGGCCAACGGCGGGGCAGTGACTTGACCCCGCGCTCGGCCCCTCTCTCAACATCTTTGACATTTTTTTCCGCATGCCGCGGAGAGCGAGCTCACGCGGTGCGGCTCCGGCGATGACGCGCTGCTAACGACCGCACCAGGAAGCACCCGAGCAAAACCCACCTCGACAGCCTTGACCACTACAAGCAGCTGTACAAGGAGTCGATCGAGAAGCCGCACAAGTTCTGGGGCGAGCGCGCACGCGAGCTCCTGACCTGGGAGCGCGACTTCCAGACCGTCCACTCCGGCAGCTTCGCCAACGGCGACAACGCCTGGTTCCTCGAGGGCCGCCTCAATGCCTCGTACAACTGCGTTGACCGCCACGCCATCGCGAACCCCGACAAGCCTGCCATCATCTACGAGGCCGACGAGTACAATGAGGGCCGTACCATCACCTACGGCGAGCTGTTGCGCGAGGTCTCGAAGCTGGCCTACGTGCTGAAGCAGATGGGTGTCAAGAAGGGCGACACCGTTGCGCTGTACCTGCCCATGATTCCCGAGGCCGTCATCTCCTTCCTCGCCTGCTCGCGTATTGGTGCCGTTCACTCGGTCATCTTCGCCGGCTTCTCCTCCGACTCGCTACGCGACCGCATCGTCGACGCCAAGTCCAAGGTTGTCATCACCACAGACGAGGGCAGGCGTGGCGGCAAGGTCATTGGCACCAAGAAGATCGTGGACGAGGCGCTCAAGCAGTGCCCCGACGTCTCGCACTGCTTGGTGTACAAGCGCACCGGCTCCGAGGTGCCGTGGACCCAGGGCCGTGACTGGTGGTGGCACGAGGAGGTCGAGAAGTACCCGGCCTACATTGCTCCCGAGTCCATGTCGTCGGAGGACCCGCTCTTCCTTCTCTACACCAGCGGTTCGACTGGCAAGCCCAAGGGTGTCATGCACACCACCGCTGGCTACCTGCTCGGCGCCGCGATGACGGGCAAGTACGTCTTCGACATTCACCCCAGCGACATCTTCTTCTGCGGTGGTGATGTTGGTTGGATTACTGGTCACACTTATGTCGTGTACGCGCCTCTGCTGCTTGGAGTCGCGACGGTTGTGTTCGAGGGTACACCTGCTTACCCCGACTTCTCTCGCTACTGGGATGTTGTTGAGAAGCACGGCGTTACTCAGTTCTACGTTGCGCCGACGGCGCTGAGACTGCTGAAGCGCGCCGGAGACCACCACGTGAAGCACAAGATGAAGAACCTGAGAGTGCTGGGTTCCGTCGGTGAGCCCATCGCGGCCGAGGTGTGGAAGTGGTACTTCGAGGTCGTCGGTAAGGAGGAGTCGCACATCGTCGATACGTACTGGCAGACGGAGACCGGCTCCCACGTCATTACCCCTCTGGGTGGTATCACTCCCACCAAGCCCGGCAGTGCTTCCCTCCCCTTCTTCGGTATCGAGCCCGCCATCATCGACCCTGTGTCCGGCGAGGAGATCCACGGCAACGATGTCGAGGGTGTTTTGGCATTCAAGCAGCCGTGGCCCAGCATGGCGAGGACCGTGTGGGGCGCGCACAAGCGCTACATGGACACTTACCTCAATGTGTACAAGGGTTACTACTTCACGGGTGACGGTGCGGGCCGTGACCACGAGGGCTATTATTGGATCCGTGGCCGTGTCGACGATGTCGTCAACGTGTCGGGCCACCGTCTCTCAACTGCCGAGATTGAGGCAGCTCTCATCGAGCACCGTGAGTACCATTGGAACCCCTGAAAGATATTGTACTGACCTGGTTACAGACGCTGTTGCCGAGGCCGCTGTCGTTGGTATCCACGACGAGCTCACCGGCCAGGCGGTTAACGCCTTCGTTGCGCTCAAGGAGGGCAACGGTTCGACGGAACAGACCAAGAAGGACCTCATTCTGCAGGTCCGGAAATCGATTGGTCCGTTCGCCGCGCCCAAGGCAGTCTTCGTTGTCTCAGATCTCCCCAAGACGCGGTCCGGCAAGATCATGCGTCGCATCTTGCGGAAGATCCTGGCTGGCGAGGAGGACCAGCTTGGCGACACCTCAACGGTACGTTTACTAAGCAATTGCAACCCATTCCGCTGGCCAAGCTCACTGAACGCGCGGCTCCGGATGATTCGGCTGTTTACTAATGCTTGGCGTACAGCTGTCCGACCCGTCGGTGGTTGATAAGATCATTACCACGGTGCACGAAGCCAAGAAGAAATGAACGATTCCCCACTTCACGACCTGACAGATACGGTAATGTCGACGGACTTTAGACGGCGCAGTCGGTGTTTTGACTGTGGCTGTGCGGGTGACGGGCGCGCCCGTGTTCTGTTTACGAGCTGGCGTTGAGGAGGCAAGGTCGACACAGAGGGTGTCGCATGCCCTGGATTGGATAGCCGTCATGTGCAGGTTTCCCATGCCTGAGCGATAATTGTTCCATCATTGTAGTCACATGAACAAAGGGAGGGGGTTTTAAGAGCAGCTAGCTACGGATTGCAAAGCGAAGAATCAAAGAGTGCATTCTGAATCAAAAGGGGTGTCGCGTTTGTGTGATTTGTGAAGCGAAATGGGTCTGTCTGGAACGCAGGCGTCGCAGCGCCGGCCTGAGCGCAGCGACGACAAGAGCTAAGCGCTGGCGCTGCGTTGCACGGCGACCGCGGGCTCCTGGGCGCTGACGATGCCCTTTCCACGCGACATCAGATCTGGATGGCGCAAACGCGCGGGGCCCGCGACTGCGAGCGTGGATTCGACGAGAGGGCGAGGCACAGCCCCCGCCGCGTGCAGCGCGAATCCGGCGTTAAGATAGCTGTCGCCGGCGCAACGAGCGCGCCAAATGACGGGGGCTGGCGGGAATCGGCGCGGAGAGTCCACAGACGTGCGACCCCAAGGCATGCCAAGCCGACTTGGCCTTGCACTGCCTTCTCTTGCCCGTCATCCAGCCGCTCGCCTCGCACCTCGTGTTGTCTTATACGCCCTCTCCTGCATGTCGCTCGCTCTCTTCGACACTCCGCAAACACTGCACACCATCTCTTCGCTACTCAGCCGCTCGCTGCGATTGCCGCTACTCGGCCGTTCTTAACCCCACGGCCATGCGCCTTTTCCGCTCCGCCGCCGCGGCGGTTGCGTCGTGCGCTTGGACGGCAGTCGTCGTCATCCCCGCCCTTTTCGACTCCGTCCACGCAAGCTCAGTGGCTCGCAACCCACTCACGGCCCTCGAGGTCCTCCGCAACCCCACGATTCATACATTCAAGAACCGCGTTACCGCTCTGTCGGAATTCGACCTGTCCTTCGAACTTTTCCGCGACCAACGCGTGCGCCTCGCACTGGAGCCTAACCATGACATTATCGCAGAAGGCGCGACAATTGAGTACCTGGGCGCCGACGGCCAGGTCACCCGCCGCGAGACCATCGACCGGCTAGAACACAAGGTCTACAAGGGCCGCGCCTGGGTCAAGAGAGGCGAAGACCGATGGGTGGACAAGGGCTGGGCTCGTATTACCATCCGCCGCGACGGCATTCACCCGCTCTTCGAAGGCGTCTTCAGCATCGACCACAACCATCATCACGTGCAAATGACTTCTAGCTACACCGCGACCAAGCATGTACTGGATCCCGCCGTGGAGCCGTCCGACGACGAGTACATGGTCGTATGGAGAGATTCGGATATCTCGGAGACGTCGTACGACCAGGAACGCCAGGAGCTGCGCCGCGACCTGGGTTCGGAACTTGCGTGCCACTCGGACAGGCTTGAGTTTAACATGAACTTGGACCACCCGGTCTATGGCCGCATGCTGAAGCGAGAGGAGGGCTTCTGGAGCACCCCCATCAGCTCGCTTTTCTCCAAGCGCCAGCTTGACTCTACGCCTGGATCTGGAAACTCCGCCGGTGTGAATTTGGCCTCTACCATCGGATCGACGGCTGGTTGTCCCACCTCACGCAAAGTTGCTTTGGTCGGCGTTGCCACCGATTGCACATATACCGCAACTTTTAATTCCACGGAATCCGCTAGGGCCAACGTGATCAGCGTGATGAATTCCGCTTCTGATCTTTACGAATCCACATTCAATATCACATTAGGCCTTCAGAACTTAACTGTTAGCGAGGCAACTTGCCCCGGAACTCCCCCGCAGAGCAATCCCTGGAACCAAGGTTGCTCGGATAGTGTCACTATCCAGGACCGCTTGAACCTGTTCTCGGAATGGAGAGGCGCAAGAGAGGACACCAACTCTCACTGGACTCTTTTGACCAATTGCCCCACGGGCCAGGCCGTTGGCCTTGCTTGGCTTGGACAGGCGTGCGTGCAGGGATCCATGAGCGAGAACTCGACCAGCGGCAGCGGCAGTGAAACTGTTGCAAGTGCCAACGTCGTTGCGCGGACGAACACGGAGTGGCAAGTCATTGCTCACGAGACTGGCCATACTTTTGGTGCCGTCCACGATTGCACGTCCTCGACTTGTGCCGACAGCAACACCGTCAGCTCCCAGCAATGTTGCCCGCTCAGCTCCAGCACTTGCGATGCTGGAGAGCAGTTCATCATGAACCCGTCGACTGCCAGCGGTATCACCAAATTCTCTGCATGCTCCATCGGAAACATTTGCAGCGCCATGGGCCGCAACAGCGTCAAGTCGAACTGTCTGACAAACAACAGAGGTGTAACCACCATCTCTGGTCAGCAATGCGGTAATGGCATCGTTGAAGAAGGTGAAGACTGCGATTGCGGTGGCGCGGAAAGCTGCGGAGACAACCCGTGTTGCAACCCCACGACCTGCAAGTTCCAGAATGGCGCCGTTTGTGATGATTCCAATGAGGATTGTTGCAACAACTGTCAGTTTGCACCTGCGACTACTGTGTGCCGCGCGTCGACCGGTGACTGCGACAAACAAGAGACCTGCACAGGCAATTCCCCGTACTGCCCTGACGATGAACATTTGACAGACGGCAGCAGTTGTGGCGATGGATTGAAGTGCGCCAGCGGCCAATGCACCAGCAGAAACCAACAATGCCAGTCCGCGCTGGGAGCGTACACATCCGGATCCAACGACACGTACGCTTGTGATTCCAATACTTGCGTCATCAGCTGTGCCAGCCCAGAGTTTCCCAACGGAGTGTGCTACAGCCTGCAGCAAAACTTTCTGGATGGCACGGAGTGCGGTGGCGGTGGACATTGCAGCAACGTGAGTTATTTTTTCCACCTCCATCGACCCATTTGTTTTTTTTTTCTAACTTTTCTATGCAGGGCCGTTGCACTGGTTCCGATGTCGGAAAGGAGATTGGCAACTGGATCAGCCGTAACAAGGGCATCGTCATTGGCGTTGCCGTCGCCGTCGGCGTTCTCCTCCTCATCTCCATCTTCGGTTGCATTTCGCGCAGCTGCCGCCGCCGTCGCATGCGCGCTCGCGCCAAAGCGGCCGCCGCAGCCGGTCCCCCTGCTTGGCCTGGTGCCAATAATGGCAGGGGCATGGGCATGGGCGGCCCACCTCCTCCTCGCGTACCCCCGCCGTGGGCTCCTAACCGTGGCATGAGCGAGAGTCAGCAGCCATTCATGTCGCCGCATCCGCATCAGGGCGGTGGCGGGTGGTACGGGCCCCCGCCTCCGGCGTACAGCGGTCCGGCTGTTAGGTACGCGTAAAGTAATAATGGTCGAAAAAGAGAGCGCTGTACAGTTAGCTCTTCTTTCTTTTTCACTTGCGTAGAAAAAGCTCTCTTATCCCCGGGGTTGTTTTTGGCTCATGTCCGGTTACGAATTTACTTTTCACATTTGTTACTTGCATAGCTTTTGCCATATCATCATCATCATCATCCATCTAGTGTAGGAGTTTGCTGGGGTTTCTTTTTCTTTTCCTTTTAATTGGTGGGGTGATGTCAAAAGCACCCGTGCTTTGCTACAAAGACCAAGAAGACGTTGTTCTTTGTCTTTCTTCTTTTTGCATACAAAAGAGCATGTACTACTGATCGTGGAGGCATTATCGTCTTTCAGGGATCATTAATATTTTCTCGACAATGCGACAATGCAACAAAGCAGCGCGTTCAGCGAATGGGAAGGGAGCGCGGCGAGGCGTACGTATAGCGACAGCTTATGGTTGCCGTGTGGACGTCACCTGCCGAGACGCGCGTCCGTCATCGACTAAGATAAGAGAGCAGGGGTTGCATGTGTCTGTCTGTCTCTCTCTTTCCCTCTCGTCTCAGCTTACGGATTATTGGATTTGGGGGGGCCGGAAGTTTTTAGTGCGGTTGGCATGGAAAGCTGAGGCTCTTGTTTATTTGGGAAGAGGGGGCATCTGGGAGATCCCTTGTTTTGCTGTTTTGGGCATAGCATCGTGTTATTCTTGGATACACATGGGGGGTCTGTTGCGGGGGGGAAAAGTAGGGCTTACTGGTGCATGTGTGTGTGTAGGTGCATGGGAATCGGAGCGGGGTATATTTGTTTATACAGCGGGATAGGATCATAATACCCCCCCTCGTCAGAAGATGGGCATTGGATGTGTGCATTCCTTATGACGTTTCGGTCCTTGAAAGTGAAATAACTAGTTTACCAGCGGATCTTGCTTTTCGAGACGCGCGTGTTTTCGACGGAAAACAAAAACCACGGATTCCGAGAGGCTGAGCGACGTTTCGCAAGACTTGCAGTCCGCTACTTGCTCCTATTGGTTGACATTGCTAAGTACTAGGGAGGGCAGCTGAAATGCTGCTTGGCGCGGATGTAAACACGGGACGAACGTCATCACAATAAGGTCTAGACAACAGCTTTCACTCGCCCTTGACTACCAGAGTAACTTTACGCGCTAGGGTCAAGGTGTATGCTTGTTAGTGCGATGACAAATTTGACGACAACTAGAAAAGATGAAGTGATCTTCCAACATACTCTTTCAAAAATCACAATGCCACAATGTAAACAATGACTTCATCTCTCCACGCGGCACTAGACGTAAATCGCACTAGCCAACCATTCACATGCAACCATACAAGATGGTATGTACAGTCATCGAATTTTCGGTACTTATCCCACATAAGCACATACATTTCATGTCATGTTCTATTTACAATTGAAATCGTTGGCGTGCGATTTGCAGCAGCAACCCTACGCGCTCTTCCACGCTCCGACGGTGCACTTCTGGGTCAGCGCCCTGTCGGTGTAGCTGCCGTCCGAGTTCTTGATGGGCGTCTGGACGAGCTCGTACGTCTCGTCGAAGCCGCCGGCCGACCAGGCAGTGTAGCCGAGGAAGACGTCGGCGTTTTTGCTGTATCAAATGTTAGTTGATAAACTTCCTTGCCTTCTCTCCTTTCCGCGAGGAAAAAAAAATGTTCAGGGAGAGAGAGATCATCACTTACTTCAAGAACTCAATCTGCTCGCAGTACAGCTTCTCGCACGACTCAGTGTTACCGCCACCGCTCTCAGTGTTAATGGCAGTGCGGTTATTCTCGCGCAGCCAGTCAGCGAGCGGGCTGAAGGCGTCGTCGATGTTGTTAGTAGTGCACTCAGTGTGGGTGCCCGAGTTGTCGCTGTCGCTGTACTTGTGCACATCAAAGATGAGCCCATCCGTCGACCCATCCGGATTCGTCACCTTGGCCAGCGCCGCCGCCGACCCGTCCGACACGAAGCTGGCGGCGCTCGTCCAGTCGTTGCCGGGCAGCAGCACGTACTGGCTCGTCGCACCAGCGTTACGGATCGCCGTCACGACCGCCTGCACCGTGTCCGCCCACTTGCCGACGTCCGGCACGTCGTGCGGCTCGTTCATGACGCCGAAGGCCACCTTGGCGTTGTCCTTGTACTTCGTCGCCAGCTGCTTCCAGAGGGACACGAACTGCTCGTTCGTCGGACCCCCCTGGCCGATGATCTGCCCGTTCCAGCGCGCGTAGTTGTGCACGTCGACGATGCAGAGCTCGGCGCCGGACGTCAGGCAGCCTTGGACGAGGGCGTCGTACTTTGCCGCGTTGGCCGCGTCGAGGTCGCCGCCGAGCTGGTGCGCGACCAGGTACTGCCAGCCGACGGGCAGCCGGAACGCGTTGAGGCCGTCGTCGGCGACGAAGTGGTTCATCTGGCCCTGCGCGCCGTTGGTGATGGTCATCGGGTCCGTTGCGTTGGCGGATGTCTGCGTGCAGGTGCCGTCGGTGCCGCAGCCGAAGTCGAAGCCGGCGATGTTGAGGCCGGCGTATTTGACTTTGGATGTGGCTTGGGCGGCGGCGACGGCGTTGGAGACGCGGAGGGGGCTCCTGGGGAGGGCTGTGACGGCCGAGGCCGAGAGGAGGGTGGCGGCGGCGGCGAGGGTGGTGGTCTTCATCTTGGAGAGGGGTATGGCTGAGTAAGGTAAAAAGATTGTCTTTTTCAACTAGGAGCAGACGAAAGAAGGTAGAGAATTGGAAACGAATGGAGAGCAACCGGGCTCAGTAGTTTGAAAAAGCTCCTCAAGTGCCGAAGCCTACTGGAAACAATCGTCCTCTGGGGGGAAGAAACATCACTTCTTATACCTACGACGTTTCGAAAACAAGGCCCGGGCCACAGGCGTGGGGATCGTGCTCATGCCATCTCATGTCGCGCTTCAGGTGGATGCAAGAGGCATAAACGAAATAACCGGCAGACTCTGGGGAAAGGAGGATTCTCCACAATTATGAGATCGACAGGACGCCCGCCACGGCGCTTTCATGCAAAAAAGCTTGTCGACGCCCAAGGCGACTGGTCAAGCCTCTGACACAGTTTGAGTGAAGCGTGTTTGAACCTCAAGCCCCTGTAATCGATAGCTGCGTTGCTTGATCCCTGTTGGCGGCTCGCTGCTGCTGACGGAAGTGGCGCCCAAGCGCTCTTGCTTCGGAGAGAGGAAAACACACAAGTGGGCCGGTGGCTTTGTTTCTCAGTGCTTGAGTGAGGGTGTGGAGAAGCTTGTCTAGATTAAGGCGGAGCCTACCTGCGGAGGATCAAAGCGGGTAAATGAGAACAACAGTTCGCCGGCCCTTACTGCTAAATTCTGTGCCTCAAAGCTACTCGCTCGTTCAGACTCACCATTAACAATTTTTTCCGAGTAAAAGAAGCCATGGATAAAGGGCTATCCTGTCAACTCGATGATGGGTAAAGTCGGTGTCCAGTGGGCCAGTGTCGTCTGAGGTTGATGGTGGGGTGAGAGGGAGTTGAGGAGTGACGGCCCGTCATTCCATTCTGAAACGTCTGTCGTCACGACTTACTCGGACTCCTCAATGCGAGTGACGATCACAAACGGGACCATAAATCAATGTCCAACTACGGCTAAAAGCGCCTAATAGAGCCCACAGCCTTTATCAATACTGAACATCCCTTCAGATCGCGAAAAGTTGTGTTTAGAACACAGGCAAGAGCATCGCGGAACTGTTCGTTTGGACCCTGTGTACGATATTTCGTCAGCAACAACTTCTGAACAAAGAGTTCAACTCTTCAGATATCCCATGAAGCGTGAGCGAATTGACCCGTCAGTAGCAACAACACCTGCGGTAGAAGGTGTGCTAGCTTCGAACCAGCAAAGAACTCCCCAGACCCAACTTCCCCTCTCTGGGGTATTCTTGTGACGGCGCGAATTCGTAGTTGACAAAGAAACAAGCAGCCTCCGTACACGGGATTCAGTACAAAACCATCGCCGTACTTGATTTCCATCACCTTGCTTCGTTCATCAAATGTACTTTCTTCTCCCAAACACGTATCTTCTCAGCTTTCACTGTCCAGGTCTAAAATACACGACTACCACCTATATATTTCCATTCCCCATTCCCCATCTTCCCCTGCCCTGTCCTGTCCTATCCTGCCCACCACTTCTAAACCCGAAAAAACCACGCCATCCACCCGACCCAACCCCCATCCCAGACCCTACCTCCTCACCTCCTCACCTCCTCCCCGACATACCCGCCGCAGCCGCAGCCGCGGCGGGCCTCACCCTCGCCGCCTCCTCGCCCGGCCCGACGTCCTCCGCGACGTTGAAGCCCCAGCTAGACTTCTTCTTGCGCTTGCCGCGCTTGTCGCCGTACTGCTCGTCGAACTTGCGGATGGCCGTCAGCGTCGCCATGTCCTCGCTGATGCTGGCGCTGATCTCCTGCATCGCCTTGTCGAAGTGATGGGGCAGCAGCGTCCGCTTGGCTGGGTAAGGGGAGGAGGTAGTGGTGGTGGAAGGGGTGGAGGAGGGAGAAGAAGAGGAACGGGGAGGAAGAGCCAGTCTGTCGACTTCGTCCAGTTCGCCCTTTGTGCGGAGGATTTCGCGAATTCTATGCTTCGTTTGTGCTGGCGTCTCAAGGTTGTTGTTGTTGTTGTCGGTGGCGATAGTGGTGGGGTTGGTGGTGGTGGACTCGGCCTGTTGTTGTCCCTGGACGGTGGTGGCATCCTTGCCATCGTCTCCCTCGGTCGCTGCGGCCGGTTCAGGAGACGTCGTGTCGGCGGCGGCGGCGGCGGCGGCATCCTTGCCCACGCCCATCGCGGCGACCGTGGCGTAGATCTCGTTTTCCTCGCGCACGCAGTTCAGCGCGGCGGCGACGCACAGGTTCTTCAGATCCGAGCCGGAGTAAAAGGGCGTTTTCGCCGCCAACTCGTCCAGCTTGATGCCGGAATCCAGTTGCTCGTCTTTCAGGTGGATCCGCAGGATGCTCTCCCTGTCCTTCTGCGTCGGCAAGTCGACCAGCAATCTCCTCGGCAGACGCCTCAGGACCGCGTCATCCATATCGAAGGGCCGGTTCGTGGCGACCATGATGAAGACGCTCAGGTCGTTCATGCCGTCCCACTCCTTCAGGAACTGGTTGAGGACCTCGCGGTGCGATGTGCGGTGGCGAGAGCCCGATCGGCTGCCGAATATGGCGTCGGCTTCGTCGATGAAGACCACACAGGGCGAAAGCTTGCGTGCGAGCGAGAAGATGGCACGGACGTTCTTTTCGCCCTCGCCGACGTACATGTCGTACACCTCGCTACCACTGACCTCGAGTACCGTGGCGCCGCTTTCTTTGGCAACGGCTTTTGCAAGGAGCGTTTTGCCGGTACCAGGAGGTCCGTAAAGGAGCAGACCGGGTATCTTGTCGGTTGCAAGGACACCGTACTTGAAGGCGTCTGGGCGAAGGAGAGAGAGGGATGTCATGGTTTTCAAGGCGTCAATGGTCTCTGATGGGGCGTGAACGTCGGAGAAGGTGGTCTTGATGCCAGAAGGATTAACAACTCCAGCAAGGAGTTTCTTCTCATGCTTATTTGCAGTCTTCTGGATCTTCTCCAACTTGATCTCGGAGGGAGTCTCGACTGGTGGAGCTTTGCTAGCAGTAGCTTGGACCGTATCCTTCGGCTCACGGTGCTTCTGCCGTTCTTGCGCAACCCAGGAGAACTTGACGTCGTCGCTCATGCGTAGCAGCAATCCAGCCAGAATCACCAAGTCCTTGTTGAGTTCCGAGTTTTCGCTAGAGGCTCGTTGCAGACCAATGGCAGTCTGTACTAGGCGGTGAACTTCGTGGAATGCAAGCACCCTTGACGTCCAGTCTGCAGCTGGAAAAAGCACGGAATACTGGAGCCGGGCGACTCTATAGCTTATACTCTGGGCATCCGGGTCCAGTTTCCGGATCATGTCTTGGATATGCCTGATATTGATTGCCTCGTTTCGCCTGCGTTCGGCCGTGTCGAAATCCAGGGGTTTTGGTGGAAGAAGTCCGTCATCCGACAGCTTGTTATTCTCGCTTAAGCTTTTTTGCACCTCTATGGACGGCTTCAGTGACGTCGTGCCGAGAGGGACGACAATGGTCCGGAAGAAACTGTCCTCATTCTCGGCTTGCAAGCTTCGGATAGCGGAGCGGGATACCTCAGGAACAAGCTCAGCGGACGACGTGGTGCCAACGATCATAATCTCGGATCCATTTTTCCGTCTGTTGTGGACTAGCTCAGTGATCTTGTCCAAGACTCGTGCTCCTTGCCGGGTGGCAGTAAGTTCCTTGTAGTCGTTGATAAGAACAATTGTTCGTTGTGAAGGAGGGCTCTGAGGGTTTTGTGAACTTTTATTGAGCGTTAATTTAAATGGGCCTCCTTGCCCAATGACGAGAGGCTCAGCCTCCAGACTGTTTTCCTCTTTCCGTGTTGGCACAGAATCCTTAAAATCCCTGCGCCTGGCAGACGTCGAGTCAAGCAAAGCGTCAATATAGGCGCCAAGCTTCATATCATTCCACCGCGTTGTCTCGGGTGAAGGATCTCGTCCGAATGGAGCGGGAGTGAAGTCAGCGGTTCCCATAGCAGCATGACGGCCAGATGATGTGCGTGAAGACCCGCCCAGAGCCTTCAAAAAGTCGTTCATGTCCATGGTTTGCACTCCCTGCACGATAAAGCCACCCTTCTTGTTTGCCTTTGGAGCAGGCGATGTACGACCGCCAATGGCAGGTGCTGCATCGTCCTGTCCATCTTCCGCCTCTTCTTCCGCCTCGTGATCATCGTACTCGTCTTCTTCCAGTTCGAATCCGTCTGATTTTATCCGATACGCCTCGTAACCCAAGGATCTAAGGGAGAATGCGTTGGGGTCAGAGCCTTCATCGAGATAATCGCCAACTAGCTCGGCAATGTCCTGGGAGTCGAGCTTGACAATGTCGGCCTGCAGGTCAGCAGCCACATGCTCAACAAGTTGGTCAAGGCGTGGGATGCCGCCTTCCAGGGGGGAGTGAAGAATAAGATTGGACTTTGCGGAAGGGAAAGATGAGCCCACGTCGGGTCTGGCAGTGGCAAGGCTTCCGGAAATGGCTGCGAGGACCTCAAGGTATACGAAGAAATGGAGAGTCTTGTCGGGCAAAGTATCTTCGTGGACATTAAACTCCGTTGCTTTGCGAGAGTAGATCTTCTCCACGAACTCCAGAATATCCTCATACCGGGGGTACTTCTGCGCATCATTATCCTCCGCCGCTCTGGCTTCCAACAATTTGTACAATTGTTCAGGAAGAGGCAACGCCAGTTTTGCTATCTCCTTATCTGCCTTGCCCTCAAACACCCAAGAGAGGGAGAGGTTCCCCTTCGTTTCAGGCTTTGGCGGGCCACTCCCAATAGGATTTCCGGCATAGTCATAGGCCTGGCCAACCCGGCCGGGATACCTTTGCTCGCGGACTGTGACATTGTTTTTCAAGAAGTGTTCCGGTATGTTGATGGGAGGAAAACCCTCGACCTGCTTTACTCGAGACGCGCGTTTCAAGTTCGATATGTGCTGACGCAACGTTTCCCTCGGCTTGCGCGTCTTGCCATCCAGCAGGGCGGCTGAGTCCCCAGCTGCCTCGGCTGCTATCTCGGCGCCGACGTCATGCTGGGCGTTGTCGCCAGTTGGCAGGGGGGCATTCGCAGGCGGTTGGGACTTTTCGTTGTCATTTGCGGAGATGGAGGGCGTGGAAGGATCGCGGGGCTCGCTGGGAGAACCGTTGGAAGACTGGAGGCGGGCGGAACGGTAGAAAGTCCTCAGACGCGGCGGGAATCGTCGGCCGGCGATGACCTGGGCGGGAATTCTACGGGCAGCTCGCGCGGACCGCCATGTCACGGCGTGCATCCGGGGTGGGAGGCGCTCGGACGAGCTCGCGGGCGGCGAGGCTCGTGTCTGTTGCTTGGAAAGGGAGAGGAGGAAGGAAAACGCGTGTAGGATGCTGTGGCGGAAGAGAGTAGTTGCGGAAATGTTGGAGCAGAACGCGGCGCCGATGATGACAAACATGTCAAATGCGCCAAGTCCGGCGGCGAACGCAAACTCCGACCGGCCCAACTTTTTTGTCCGCCGCAGCTATTCTGCGCCTGCACTGCTCCGCCATGGCTCCCGCGACGATGGAACTCGACACGATGGACCTCGAGCACCCGGTGCTGCAGTCGCATTCCTCCAAGGGCAAAGAACTCGCCAAGAAAGCGCCCACCTCGACCCACGACCGCGAGGAAGCCGAAGCGAAAGCCCGCCTGCAGGTCGCCGAGAGCACATACGGCCGCGGCGGGGGGAAGCTCAAGGTCAAGAATATCAAGGACAAGAAGCTGCGGCACGAGGTTCGCCTGCAGGAGCAGAAACGCAGGGATGCCGTGCTCAAGGCCCACGATGCAGAAATTCTGCTGGAAAACCAGAGCGGCTTCCTCGAGCCTGAGACGGAACTGGAACGGACGTACAAAGTGCGCCAGGACGACATCCGGGGCGACATTGCCATCGAAACTGCCAAGAAGGGGTTTGAGCTGAAGCTGACCGACCTGGGCCCGTACGTGGCCGACTACACGCGCAATGGCAGAGAATTGCTGCTTGCTGGGCGCAAAGGCCATATCGCAACCATGGACTGGCGCGACGGCAAGCTGGGCTGCGAGCTGCAGCTGGGTGAGACGGTGCGCGATGCAAAGTGGCTTCACAACAACCAGAGCTTCGCCGTCGCCCAGAAGAAGTATGTCTACATTTACGACCACCAGGGAGTCGAGATCCACAAGCTTCAGAAGCACATCGATGTCACCCACCTCGAGTTCCTGCCCTACCACTTCCTACTCGCAAGCATTGGCCACGCCGGTTACCTCAAATACACCGATACCTCGACCGGCCAGATGGTCACTGAACTCCCCACCAAGCAAGGCTCCCCGACAGCATTCGCCCAAAACCCTTACAACGCGATACTACACGTCGGACACCAGAACGGACAGGTTTCATTGTGGTCTCCCAACTCCTCGGACCCGCACGTGAAGCTGCTCGCTCACAGAGGTCCGGTGCGAAGCATTGCGATGGACAGGGAAGGGCGGTACATGGTCTCAACTGGCCAAGACATGAAAATGGCCGTGTGGGACATTCGCATGTTCAAAGAGGTCAACAACTATTTCGTCAGGCAGCCTGGCGCGTCTGTGTCCATTTCGGACAGGAATCTGACGGCGGTGGGCTGGGGCACGCAAGTGTCCATCTGGCGGGGACTGTTTGACAAGGCGCTCGAGGACCAGCAGAAGGTGCAATCGCCGTACATGGCCTGGGGTGGCGAAGGCAACAAAATCGAGCGCGTAAGGTGGTGCCCATTCGAAGATATCCTGGGTGTTTCGCACGACAAGGGCTTCAGCAGCATCATCGTACCCGGCGCTGGTGAGCCCAACTTCGATGCTCTCGAGGTCAACCCCTACGAGACCATCAAGCAGCGCCAGGAGGCCGAGGTCAGGCAGCTGCTCAACAAGCTGCAGCCTGAGATGATTTCGCTCAATCCCAATTTCATCGGTGATGTGGATCTGGCTTCTGCTGAGACTCGTCGCAAGGAGCAGGATACGAAGCCGGAGGATATTGTGGAGAAATTGAAGAACAGGGGCAGAGGAAAGAACAGTGCGCTGAGGAAATACCTGCGGAAGAGAGGACAGAAGAACGTTATCGATGAGAAGCGGATGAAGTTGCAGCAGGCGCTGAAGGAGCAAAACAAGAGGGAACAAGCTGGCTTGCAGAGGGACAGGGAGAAGTATGGCCCAGCGCTTTCAAGATTTGCGAGGAAGGGTGCTTGAAGTTTTGCAAAGGGCTAAGGAAAAGCGAATGCTCCGCGGCGTCTGGAAGGTCCAAAAGCATGAATTGGCGTTCACGGTTAGAAAAATTTGACGGGTACGAAGGGGAACGCGATACCTCAGTGGTTGACCAGACCACTAGAATGCTTGTTGGTAGTTAATCTCAAGTGGGGACATATTTGTACATCCTACGCGCTACGTCGGAAGAGTGCGGAGTCTCCAATGAGGGGCAGAGGGATACTAATCGACACCAGAGTCTGTTCCATGCCAACACCATCTGAAAAGAGCGGATGCCACCAACGGAAACTCGATGCGATATCAGGCAGCAGCCATGAACTTAAGGTCTGGACAGCAGGCGGCCGTTGGAAGGATCAAGGCAACTCGGTTTATGACGTTGCCGAGCTCGGCTGTGCGAAAGTGAAAGGCGAAATTCGTATTATTCTTAGAAATGGCAGTGCCCAGGGTGCCTTACACCGCACGACGACCCAGCGAATACTGACTGCAGGAATCAGCACCGGCGAGTCGGATTCATCAGCAGTGATTCAGACGATGTAAGCCCGTTTTGTGTCTCAATTCGGTAGTGGTGGTGTTCTTCACGGCATCTTTCAGCTTCCGAAGCCCTGACGAGCCCATGGTGTGGGGAGATTGGGGGCCAGACACACCGCACCAATCCTGCAGGAGCAACAACCCATATTTTTGGAACCCAATCACTACACGAGTCAAGCAGATCTGCATCGCTTATCCAGATACTATTTGCAGACCAACGTTCAACCTGTCGCTTTCGTGACTGGTCCAGACAGGGGCGATCTCCACGTGGGCCCTGCGGCTCTGCGGCGTCTGGGGCCAAAATAGGCCAAGTCTCCTGCCAAAACCGTTGCATCGTACCATGGTCGGGGCCTTGTCTGTGCTTCGATCGATGAACAACTCCGTATCTCGACCTACAACGGACCCTTAAGCTGCTCGTAACTGTAGCCAACGTTCCAACACATTCCAGATCGGAATATCCCATATGACAGAGCGTCAGCTAAGGTGAACAAGCATCGACCCCTTATCGATATTTGCTGACGCGAAGATCCACCCTCGACCCTACCTCTACGCCTCATCTGGAATATTTTCCGACAAGGAATACCGAATATCTGCTTACTGGCAGATAACGTCCCTGCAGTGCTGATCCATCAGCCCTACGGGAGGCTGGAAATTCGCAATCATAACGCCTAACACTGACTCGTCGGAGGCCGCCTGGAGGCCTCAACGCCCAGCCTTGCGTTCTGACAGGTGCATTAGCTGCAAAGCACTCCATTCTTCCCCGGATCCTCTGCCCTGACCGTGTTGCCTCATCGCCCCAATGCACATGACCCTCTCCAAGCCTCAATCCTTGGGGCCAACGATGCCATCTAGAATGTCTTCATGTGCGTCATATTACTCTGTGAGCGGGATAATTCAAGCCACGAAGAGGCTGAAAGAGGCCTTTATAAGTATGACTTGAACGTCGACCCCAAAGCCACACATTGCGTTTCACCAAGCAATTTACTTCTCACGTACTCACTACTCACTTGTTAATCAATATGGCTCCCTTGGATTCCAGGCAACAGCTCCTCCTCTCCATGCAAGGCCAGGAGATGTACCTGCCAGATCTCTGGCCGTACTTTGCCCATTGGCCCACTGCGGTGAACCCCGGAGTTGACCGCCTGCGGAAGGACGAGAGTGACTGGCTCGATGCGTATGTGTATCCCACTTCTTTGATTCCGCGGAGTATCTCCAAGGCTTCGGCGGACCCCATTCGGCAGCAAGCGTGTTAACATATTGTGCAATTTGTAGCAACATCCCTTCGCCAAGGCTCAGGGCAGCATTCAAGAAGGCGGACTTCAGTCTACTAGGCGCTGCAAGCTCTCCTTGGGCATCTTATGAGCGGCTCAGGATCGCCTCGCTCTTGATTGTTTGGGTACGTCCGAAATACTCTGAGGCACCTTGCAACAAATTGGCTAACTTGCCCTTCTGGGCTGAAAGATCTTCGTCGTGGACGATGGTAAGCACGCCTAGACTATTCCGCGACTAGTATCAATTAGTCCGCTAACAGCGTTTGGCAGAGCTCGACATGGAAGATGCGACTTTGGTCGATGATCTCGAGGCCTCGAACAGATACCGCTATGACCTCATTGAGCTCGTGCGCGATCGCCTTGGACTCTCGAAGGGTGATACCGCGTACGAGAGTCGCCTAGCCAGCGATATAGGGTACAGTCACATCATTCAGAGCTTCACTGAGATCGGCGATGCAATCCGGAAGGCGTACAACATCGGTAGGTCCCACCCGTTGAGGCGGTATAATAAAAGGCGGATCTATTGACAATGAAGCAGAGCAAAGACAAAGGTTGTTTGACAACATCAAGTTCTACCTTGACATGACCAAAGCGGAACAGTGCTCCAGATTGGGTGGTGGAATCCCCAGCCCCCAGGAATACTGGACATTCCGTGATGGCGCCAGTGCTGTGGAGGCAACCCTTGCCATGATTGAGTAAGTGTGTTCCGTATGTTTCTCAGCTTGTGTATGCTAATAATTCTTTCGTAGATTCCTTGGGGAGTGTAAGGGACTTCCAGCGCAAGTGTTTGAGGATCCCGACATGAAGAAGATATGGACTCTTACCAACGTCAACGTGTCCTGGTATGTTTACTTTCCAACCATCAAAGCAATTGAGCTAACGAGCATCAGCGTCAATGATATATTCTCTTGCAAGAAAGAGATGGTATGTGAAAATTGCTGCAACCCTCTTGATGCTTTACCATTCCCGATCGCGCTCCTAACGTTTTGACTCAGGCCGGCTTGTCGATCGCAAATACGATTCCAATCTTTTACGCAGCCGCTACGGACAGCGAAGACCGACTCCAAGCTGCAACCGAGCGAGCCGTGGACCTGATCGCCCGCACCATCTCCGAAGTTGATGTCTTGACCGACAGGCTCATGCTCCGCTACGGTAGCGAGGATCCCGATGACGAAACAACGAAGGAACTGCAGATCCTCATCGACGGCTGCAAGACCTGGTGCACGGGGAACCTTTACTGGAGGTATGTTCTTTTCAAGCCGCTTTTCATATAGTATTAAGCAACCGACGCTGATTGTAAAACCTTACAGTTATGAAACTAAGCGGTACGGCAAACTCGGCGATAAGCGCAGCAAAGATGGAAGCCTCACTATTCAGTTGTGAGCATGATGAGATGAGCATCCAGGCGTTGGTGGATTTATTGGGAATTCTGCATGGAAATAGAGATATGACGGCAACGGCAACGGCAATGGCAACGATTTAGTTAATGTATGAAATATGTCCTCAATACTCTTTCTGAGTTTCTGTGTGATTTGATCTGCGCTCGAGCTTCAGAAACACACAATCGAGAGAAAAAAGCAAACATTCACGTGCTACTCCGTTTTCGGCACCCCAACCCATCTGCTCCGAAGTCAGCATACCTCATACGCTAGTAGTGAAGCTATATCATGTGACATTTTCTGAACACTAGGCCATCAGATTTCCTCATACATAAGCTTCGGATCCTTAGTGACGATCAAGGGATACGCAAACCGGAACTAGTCGAAAAGATGTTTCATATGACAGCATCTATAGACGCTTGGCTTGCAGGATCGATCTTTGTCTCGGGCCGTGCACCAGTAATCAAGCCGTAAGGTGAAGATAGATCTACATCAGCGCTTCCGATGGTTCTCAGCTCTCCAAGCGGTGAGACGTTCGGAACCAATCATGCGTGGTGACGCAAAGTGCAGTACCAGAGATGGTGTGGACACAGCAGGATGAAGTTATTGGCGCTTCCCCGCATCCGCTACCGAGATTGGTATTTCAAGGCCTGCCCGATAACCCTTCTAAACTCAAGCGCGTAAGCTCGTTCCCACGTCCCCACTGGTCCACCAATTTCTACATCTTTGAAATGAATTCTCCCACTTCGGATGTCGAAAAGCGTCCTGAAGATGCTTCAAATGGATCAGAAGCTCGCGCTGACTTGGATGAAGAATGGACGGAGCAAGAGGAAAAGCAGGCGCTAAGACAGCTGGATCTCTCGTTGATGTCACTGTAAGGGTTCTGCCATGCCATCATGGAATTTCAAGCTAAGACTATCACAGCCTGTTTGTGCTTTACATGCTGAGCTACATTGACCGGTCAAACCTTGGAAGTGCTTATGTTGCAGGCATGGGAAAGAGTTGGGGAATCACCTCGAGGCAGTATTCCTGGATAATCATTGTCTACTACATAACATATCCGCTCGGCCATGTATTCATCCCGCTGTGGAAACTCCTCAATCTACCGGTAAGTTCGTTTCGGATCCCAATCGCAGCATGTCACTGATGCGAGCGATAGCTCTGGGTCACTTTTATGGCAATTGGCTGGGGTGCCATGAGCATGCTGCAAGCTGCCACAACCAATTTCGGCGGCATGATTGTTTGCAGGTCTCTGCTCGGCCTCTTCGAAGCTGGCTTCTCGCCCGCAGTCCCACTTTACCTGTCATTTTTCTACAACAAGCGTGAGATAGGGCTCAGATACGGTCTGTACCTGTCCGCCGCCCCGCTGGCAAACTCGTTCGCAACAGCACTTGCCTACGGCATCGTCCAGGCCCGCACAGCCCTCGAAGGCTGGCAACTCCTTTTCATCATAGGTCAGTCCATCAACCCACCCACCCACGCGCCCCCTCAACACGGACTTCTCATCAACTGACGACCCCAAGAGGGCCTCCCAACCATCATCGTCGCCCTATTCACCTACTTCTACCTCCCCAACTCCCCCTCTGAATGCCGCTTCCTCACCCCACGCCAAAACTACATCATCAACGCGCGTTCCGTCAAGGCCCGCGGCGACACGGCCAAAGGCAAGCTCAACACGCACGCCGCCCTCGCCGCCCTGCGCGACCCGAAATGCTACTGCTGGGCCGTCCTCTTCTTCTGCTGCGACATCGCCTTCGGTTCGCTGCCGGCGTACCTCCCCACCATGGTCAAAGACATGGGCTACACGGCCGTCAACGCGCAGGGCCTCTCCGCGCCGCCGTACCTCGTCGCCTTCTTCGTCTGCGTCGGCGCGTGCTTTTTGTCCGACCGCGCGGGGCGGCGTGGCGTTTTCCTCGCCGCGAGCTTCTGCGTCAGCGGGACGGGGTTCGTCGTGCTGGCGACGGTGGAAGCCGTGGCGGTGCGCTACTTCGCCATCTTCCTCGTCTGCGCGGGCGTTTTTCCTGGCATCGCGCTGAATTGTGTGTGGTTGACGGATAATCAGGGGGGCTTCACGAAGAGGGGGTTTGGGCTCGCGTTTGGTGGGATGGTCGGCCATACTGGGTCGATCGTGGGGGGCTTCATCTTTCCGGCGGAGCAGGGGCCGCGGTACGTCAAGGGGATGTGGATTTGTGCGGGGACGATGTTCGCGGGGGTGTGCATGGCGTTGGGGTTGAGTTTGGGTTTGTGGTTGGTGAATCGGCGCCGGGATCGGGTGTATGGGGAGAGGAGGACGGGGGATGAGAGTCTTCCTGCGGAGGTGGAGACGGTGGGGGATGCGCATCCCATGTATCGCTACGTTTTGTGAACGGGGAAACTGGTCTCTAGAAGATTGTTGCTCGAGAAGAGAGCTAGCTGGTCAGGATTTCTGAGTAGAGTAGTAGTGGTGTTGATGCTATGACATTCGGATAAGCTTTGGGAATGGCGAGAATCCTTCCAACACGCCACACCGCACGATCCTCCTCCTTCCCCTCAGTGACAAGCCTTTCCATATCTCCTCAATCTCACGTAATTGTAGGGCAATGGCGCAATGAACCCGGCGCCAATCGAGATCGCCGCCGCGCTCCAAAACCACGGATCGCCCAGGTTCACCGCGCCCCCTGTCAGATGGTAGTCCACCACGTTCTGCGCCATCTCCATGGTCAGCATCGAAATCAAACTCATCCCCGCTGCCGTCTTCGCTGCTGCCGGCCAGGAAAGGCCGTCGCGGCCGACGCGCAGAAGGACGGTTTCGAGGAGCATCGATGATGAGACGCCGGCAGCCACTTCGATGGAGGGAGGCAAGTCAGTCGGAATTTTCTCAATTAGCCCTGGCTAGGGGTGTGATGCTTACTTGATGTAGCCATAATGGGGCCAACACCCATGTCAGGATAGAAGGACTGAAGGAACCAGAGCGCAGAGAAATCACCGAGGGTACAACCGACGAGGCAACGAAGCGTGTTTACGGAGGCCCGCTTCCATGTTGAGCTAGATGCCCAGAAGGGAATGGTTGTTGGCCCTGGCGGTGTTTGCTTTTTCTCGCAGGATTTCGCGTGTTGGCATGTCAATGCTTTGCTTGACGTAAAGAACGTCTGGCGCTGTGATCGAGTCATGAGGTGAGATTGGAGGTTTAAGCATCCATACAGCCGCGCATGGAAGTTACGATTCCTCATGAATGAGCCGCATGTTCGAATTCTTTGTGTGTGGAAGCAAATGGGGACCATTTTAATGCTGCTCCTGTGTTAAATTCTAGCGTAGACAATTTGTCGATTCTGCTCGGAGAATGACGCAGGGAGAGAAAAAAAAAAAACAAAAAGGCAAGAAAGGGGATGGAGGAGCAAAAAATTATTATTTCTAATGTCGTGTTGATGAGAGAGCATGCAGAAAGGATGCTGGCGGACGGAATAAATAGGCGAAAGAAAGGATGCGGCTTTTGTGCGATTCGTCGGGGCCGAAAACCAGGTGAGCGGACTGCTTATGTAAAACCACAACAACGAGGTCGGCGACCAAGGAAGACAATTGACTATGGATAGATAAGTCAGATAAAAGTTTCAATCACGTTTGACATCGTACTTACTATTTTTTTTACAATTTTTTTTAATTACCGTAACACCTACACTTGCGCGTACCTGGCCGTCACTTCAAAGATATAAAAGAAATATGCCAATAGAACCCGGAAAAATATCAAGATACAACGCAATGCACTCATTCCAGTTTGATCCATTTTGCACTCCGATGACATCTCTCCCATGCTTGGGCATTGACTTGCCCAATAGCAACCCTCTCCGCATTTTCTCCAAACCACTGAATCAACATAACATCTACCAGGATGTCTTCCAGAAGGCAATCGTTGTGGCCCAGGTAGCAGACGGAAAGCGCTATGATATCGAAGTGCTTTTCGATTAGAGTGAAGTCCCCCAGGTCTTCGAGGTCAAAGCTGTCCAGCGTTCCCATTGCCTTTTGCTGATGGTCTGAGACTGTGATCTTCTCGCAGGTAGAGCCATCCATTGACAGCCATATAAGACTATCATTCTGTGTCTGGTTGGTGCCTTTCTCTAAGAAGCCGACTGGTGTTGCCAAGGCATAGAATTGAAGATTGACCTTGGTCCCTGGACTTAAGCTGTGTGATGTTCTCACTCCGTCGTTGATTTCTTTTAGAAATGTGGCGCTGTAGGCTTTTAGGAGACTATCGCCACCTGGGTTGGAAGGGTAATCGAATGCTACCGAGCGTTCCTGGGAAACGACCACCATCGTCTTCATCAGAAAGGAACGGCTTTGATGGTTCTGTGAAGCTTCATCCGAGAACACCTGGAAAGAGACTCTGCCCGTCCAACCCATCCAGGACCAACTCGCAAGCTTTGGGTCAGAAGAGCGCCGCTTCAGTGGAAGGGTTCCAGGATGCGCACTCCATAGGAGCGCAAATCTGAAAAAGCGCATTGGCAAGCCCTGGTGGAAACTGCAGTCCCAAAGAGATGCTAAAGCGGATTCAATACCAGAAAATGCAGGCCAAACATCGGAGGCGAAGCTAAGATCCTTGCAGGTGTAACTTTCAACGATCCACTGGTAAGATAAGAGCCATGACCATCCAGAAGCCATTGCTAATCGAGGCAATGGAAACATCGGCATTCTTGCGTCTTTAGGGTTGAGTTCCCACTCATCCGATAATCCACTATACCAGCTTCCGGTGCCGCACTGGAGGACCGTCCGATTCGTGTAGCTAAAGAGGCGCCTACGGGAAAGTAGTATTTCCTGGTAGGTCCATGCACGGCTTCCGAACTTGGAGGAGCGCAGAACTTGCTCCAGATCGTTGTCGTCCACTGGAGCCTCCATTCCTGGATACGTTTCCGAGAGGGTCAAATCGGTGTAGTGGGCACAGGGAAGACCGCTGTTAGCGTTCAGTGCCTCGGCCGCCACGATGGTTAAGAATGACCGGGAATAGATCTGTGCCATGTGTGCGATCTGATGGTGCTTCTGCTCTGCGTCATCTTGGACAATACAAAGAGAATCGATCCATAGGTAGTATCCCTTGAGACCTCGGACCAATTGAATGGCGTCTCGAGCAACTTGTGGAATATTTTGCATGATGGCGTTGAATGACCCTTCCTGGCGGAGGAAGTCGAGATTGGATTTCGAAAGGCAGTGCTGTTCGACGCCTCCCCAAACATAGCTGAGTGTGAAATAACCACATGTTGCTGAGTTCCGTTGAACCAAACACATCCTTCGGACATCGATGAGGTTGATCTCAACATCGTCTTCTCCAAGGCCGAGGACGTCCCCATTGCAGCTCTTGCCGTGATCCTGACAGCATATCTTCAGCTCCGACAATATCGGTTTGCAGCGGCGAGCGATGAGAGCTGTGGTATCGCGATTTTTTGAGTCCATAGGTTTAGAGACAGACGGATAAGGCTGGTGTTGATCAAGAGCTGAAAGGAGGGCAAGGCTGTATGAAGTGCTGCCACCAAGGCAGCTGCATGGCTGCTTACGCAAGTACGTACCTTTGTGATACTCAACTATTCAGGCCGCGCGTTTCTAGCCTTCGATGGGGTACAAGTACGTCGTTGTTAAGATCGCCCCAAGGCCTTGGATAATCGAACCGAGGATGCTCTCCCATACCGTACGGCATCGTGGCGATAATACTGCTACTTCAATTGAGCACTCTAAGTCTAGCAGTTGAAACGGGAAGAATTGAGCGGTGGAGTAATTCCCCTCCGCTGGCTGCAGGGCCAGACTAACCGATAACGGAAACCTTACCATACAGCTAGCTGTAAATTTCGGGCGCTTGACGTAGCGCCCAGACCCTCCAACTTTCAAACCACCTTGCGCAATAAACATCAACACCCGCTACCCTCGCATTCCAAACCCTTTCCCGTCTTCCATTCCGCCCCGGAAGCCATGGAAGCACCCCAAGAAAGCGATGCCCAACGCCGCGCGCGCGAACGTCGCGAGCGCCGTCAAGCCAAGATCGCCTCGCAAGGCGCATCACGCCTGGAAGCCATCACCTCGCTGAGCGGCCGCCCAGCTCCCGCAGTCGAGGATGGTAAGCCCTTCTCCACCTACAACTTACTCTCATACCTTCCGTACAGCCTCTGACACACTTCTCCAGCCACCCCCGCGCCCAGCAAACCTGCCGCAGAACCCACCACCACCACCACCAACGCACCCGCAGCGACGACGACGACGACCACCCACCACGACACCACCGACCCGCCCGAAGTCGACATCAGCGAGCACTACTACCAACCCACGCCGCGCCGCCTGCCCCCCTCCGCCAGCGCCTCCGGCGCCTCCACGCCCTTCGGCCCCGCCAGCGGTCGGGACAGCCCAGCGGTCGGCGGCGGCGGCGGTGGTGGTAACATGGACGACCCGATGATGCTGATGATGCAGCAGATGCTGCGGGGAGGAGACGCGGGCGGGCAGCCGGGAGGCGGCGGCGGCGCACCGGGAGCCGAAGATCCCATGATGAAGATGATGCAAGCGATGATGGGCGGCGGTGCACCAGGCCAAGCAGCAGCGCAGCAGCAGCAGCAGAAGCAGACCAGCTCGGCGTACGTGTGGCGCATCGTGCACGCCGTCTTCTCGTTCGGGCTGGCGGCGTACGTGGCGCTGACGTCGACGTTCGACGGGTCGAAGCTGAGTCGGAGCGCGTCGGCGTTCGGCCAAGATCATGACGAGGAGGCGGCGGCGGTGGGCAGGCGGTTGTTCTACATCTTCGCGACGGTCGAGGTGCTGCTGCAGACGACGCGGTTCTTTGTCGAGAGGGGACAGCTGCAGCAGGGTGGCATTATGGGCACGTTGGCGACGGTGTTGCCTGAGCCGTTTGCTGGGTACGTGAGGCTGGCCGGTCGGTATAGCGTGATATACACAACCGTCGTGGCGGACGCTATGGTGGTGGTCTTTGTACTGGGAGCGATGGCTTGGTGGAAGGGAATGGTGGTGAACTAGGGAGTGTTTGGAGCTTGTGAAGAAGTAGCAGACTGTTTGTACAAGGAACAAAAAAATCTCAAAGAATATCCATAGGCATCTGACGGCTGGCAATCATGTTATCGTGAAAACTTAGGACGGCGGCGAGGTAGCCAATGGTCCGCAACTATGAAGGCTAGCCATATTGATGTGTAGCCTTTCCCAAATCCTGACACCCCCGTATTATCTCAGTCTATTGGCCCGCACTCCCATTTGAACATATCTGAGTATCCTCTCGTCCGAGAAAAACGCGCTTTTTGATATATGTCCGTAATCCTGCAATATGGTACAATCCGACGCAAGCGCTCGGTATCTTTCTCTCCTCCTTTCACACCCCAGTTCTAATACCACATTCTTTTTCTTCCTTCCATCTAACCCCCCCACACCAAGGTTTCCCCTACGCGCCACACACACCCATCCCGTCTCTACGACGGATTCAACGCCACGCCTCCCCTCGCCGCAGCCAGCATCTCAGCCTCCCTCTTGCGCTGCCTGTTGACCTCGGTCTGGCGCTCGCTGTCCCTGCGGCTGCGCTCGTCGTACTCCTTCAGCTCCTGCAGCTCTTCTTTCTCCACCTCCGTCGGCTCGACCTCTTGCGCGCCCGTGGCCTCGTACAGCTGCTGCAGGATCTCGCTCTCCGTCTTGTGCTTCATCTGGATGGTGACGGTGCGGTTGGCCGATGTTGTTGCCGATTGCGCTTCGGTGGAGGTGGAGGAAGAGGGTGCGGAAGAGGAGGAAGAGAAGATGATGTTCATGACGGCCGGGTCGGACTGCGCGGCGGTGCGGTCGACGGTGATGCGCAGCGCGGGGTTGCGGTACTGCAGGCGCGGAAGCATCGTCCGGAAGAACTTCCTGTATGTCCCCAATCGCGACGAGGGGCGTTGTTGTTAGAGACGTTTGTGCTCTGGTTCAGGCCGGTGGTATGGTGAGGTGTCGGACGTACTTGGGTCCTCGGTGGCCGTCGTCAATCTTGGGCGCGAAGCGCATGGTTATTTTCTTGACATCCTTGGGTAACACGGCGGCGCCGGGTCCGAGTCTGATTGCGAGGAGCTATTTAGGGCAGAAAGGTGGTCTTAGTTTAGTGGTTTTCGGAGGTGGTTGCGGCACGCCAGTGCGAGGAGTTACCTGCTGTGAATTCGCAGACGCGTTAGCAATTGCGGGTGGAATCCGGGGGTGAAAATGATTCTTACTTTCTTCAGCTTGTGCATGCGCTGTCCTATCGTCGGCATCTTGGCGGTTGTGTGGAGAATTGGAGTATTGGGCGGGTGGATGCTGTTATTCGGCGGAGGAGCCGATCAGAAGGTTTCCCATGGGCCGTCGGAATTTTGGAACGCCGGTATCTTATCTTTCGCTGATTCATCGGTAAGGCGCGCCAACTGGTTCCGAACGCGCTCGCGTCGAACCACGAGCCACAAAGTCAATGGATGACGCGTATTTTGCAGGATTCTATCACAAAATCACACGTGTGTGCTCGGCAGTGGGACATCATCACCACGACAGTGCAGCTATGAAAAATCCATTGGCCATGAGACCGAACGCCCCGCAGTCCCAACTACCTAAGTCCTATAGTAGTACCCATGACGTTTCGCCGTACGCTTCTGTACTCATAACAGTACTCGTGACAGGTATTTACACCCCATCTCATCCAATAATCTAAACCCTGAGAACCTGCGGACACTTTTGCATAACTTTTACCGCAGTTGGAGCGTCAAGTTCGTGTAACTCGTTCTTGTTATGAACTAATCATCTACTGCGCGGCGGCAGGCGCAGGGCGCTGACCACCGGGAGTGGGGGCGGCCCTCCGGCTAATAGAAAGTTAGATATACTCAAATTAAAGAAACAGAGAACTTACACAAAAGTCCTGCTAAGCATGGAGATGGCAATCATGGGCAGCCAGCTGGGCATCTTGGAGAAGCCCCAGATAACGTAGGCGACGGGAACGGCCACGTTGTACTTGACAAGGGCGCCATCAAAGGGGTGGAAGATGCCCTCGTAGGGCTGGGTCTCCTTGTACTTCTCCTCGAGAGAGATCTTGGCAATGTCCGTGGCAGTGGTCGTGGTCCTGTTCAGGTTGATGAAGCGGACAGTGGTGGCTGGGGTGGACTGATCCTCGAGAGGAGCGGGCAGAAGAATGTGCAAAATCGAAGGAGGACCGGCGGCCCAGGTGTTGCAAAGGACAGGCTCTGCCTCGCAGTCGACCAGGCCGAGATTGGGCGATTTGGGGCTGGCAGCGAGGAGGGGGACGGATTTCTGCAAGGCGGGTCAGTCAGCATTGCGCGTCCAATGGGGCGGCACAGGGCCTCCAACGTACAGTCCAGGCCTCAGTAACGTTTCCGCACAGGCCGAAGCACGTCTTGTTGCCGCCGGTAAGGTAAATCAACCACTCCTCGGGGGCGGCGCCGGCAGCAGAGGCGCTGGGGGTCACGACGTCGCGCCAGTTCTCCAGGGTGAGGTTGGCGACGGCCTTCTCGACAACCTTGGAGGCACCGGCATCGATGGGCGACTGCACGGCGGGAATGGCAGTCGAGACGTAGTCTTGAGCCTTGTTAAACCAGCCCTTGACCTTCTCGGCCAGAGGCACTTGCTCCTCGGCGAGCGCAAGCGCGGGGAGGGCGACCAGGAGAGTCTTGGAGAAGCGCATTGTGGCGGTTCGCGGGGTGGTGGTGGGAAGCGGGTGCGAAGGGAGAGGGTGGAGGCGAGGGACGGCGCGCGGTGGTGTGCGACGATGCGGTAATCGTGCAGATAATAAGCGGCGAGGAATGTGGCGGAGAGCTGGCAGGCAACAGGACGGGACTTAAGCCGGAAGCGCGACCAACGGTATGCAACGCTAAGGATAGGCCGAATTGCAAAACACTGAGCGATGGAGGGAAATGGAGATGCCAGGTGACAATTCGCGCGGCGGGCAGGGGATCCCGAAGCGACGCGTCGAATTAAGCTGGAGGCAGTCTACGGCGAATTGGGCTTAGTGTGCTCCACGTCTTGCAACTGCTGGCCAGAGCTCCAACGGCCCTCCTGCAGTCGCGTCCCAGTCGCACGCAAAGGGCGCCGTGAATCTCACCCTTGGTTGGGGCAGTACAACCATGGCTATCTGCCGCCAACAATGTCCCCTGCTGAGCTTCGCCGTGCGCTGAGTTTTCAGCGGCCCGCTCCCACCGTTTTAACTCTTCGTATCTCTACGCCGCCGCTGAGACCCGCCCGCCGCGCACTGTATCATCCTTCATTTCTGGACCTGGACAGTGCGCACCATGCATCCTACGCCCGCCAAGCTTGTCGCGCTGCTGGCCGTCACCGCTCAATGGTCCGGCGTCGCTGCTGGTCCGATTGAGAAAAGAGATGGTGAGCAGTCGTGATCTCCATCCATCAAGTCAAAGCTTCCTTATCCTGACAATCTGCAGACTCCACCTTCTCCGGTACATCAACCGCCCCCACAGCCGCTCCTGTGGAGACCATCAGCACTGAGATAGTGAGCCGACCGACTATCACTGGCGTAGCTCCCACTCTATCACCAAACGCATCAAGCTCCCTGGCCCCCAGCGGCGATTTCCCGATCTGTGATTTCAGCATTGCAAAGCCGTTCTGCCTGCCGACCAACAACTCGGAAGTCTACGTCGGTGAGCGCTACTACGTGACGTGGAATCCGCACTATTTCAAGCCCAATTCGACCGTCAATATCCTGCTCAATTGGTTCAATGATACGAACAGAAATGTGTGGGCAAGCGGGCCCATGCAGAGCAAGTTTGGCGTCACAGCTATCGACATGAAACAAGAATGGCTGCAAGGTTATACAGCCTACAACCTCACTTTCTTCGCACAACACTTGGACGCTGCCGCTGGAACTACCGCAATCGTGTACGATGGTCCAACAGTGGAGCTCCAGGCAAAACCTTCGAGACATCTGGAGCCACAGGAGGCCCCGAAATCGGCCCGTGAAATGGGACTGAAGGTTGGAGTGCCGGTTTGCTTGGGATTCGCGGTCCTCGTCGTTGTCGGGTTGGCATTTGGAATGCGTAAGCACAGGCGCATTGGCCTCGGTAACGTCATGGGTCGCAAAAGAGGCTACGGCAGCCGTAAAGCGCGGTGGCAGCGTTTGGGTCGTGGTAAAGCTAGCAAAAAGGATGATCTCTTGCAGGAACATGAGTTGCTCAGATCCGGGGAATACCAGGATGACCCGCTGGCGCAACGGAAGCTCTCGAGCGATTCGAGTTTGGACACAGCTGTGGAAAGGCCATCGGATGATCGAAATGCGTTCAGGGAGGAGATGGAGAGACAGAAGACGGGTAGCCGGCAGTGAATGAGGAATGCACTTGTAAGCAGGGAGGCATCGGATCCGTAGCTGTATTATCTACTAGTGGAGTTCTACAAGCTGGGTGGCTGCATCTAGGAAATGTTAAATTCCTGAGAGCTGCCAATCACGGCGGTTACCGAATCCTGACTAGTGTACCGTTTGCCGGACCCCCGCAAGCCCCCACATGACTTGTGTGTCGCTGCCCCGACTCGGATCACACCACGAGTGCAGCTTTGCTGCTCTTCCACTGAACTATCGGCAAAGTCTCCAAACAGGTCTCACCCTCGATCAGGAATGTTTATCTGCGCCACCTGACATGTCCGTTATTTGTGAAGCCACCAGCAGGAGTTATGTTATCGAAGACAGCACACCTTCTCTCCCCGCATCCGCGTTGCCCCGCCAAGACAGCGGGCTCTGCGCACGCTGCGAGGTCCTGGCCCTAGACGACGGTAAGCAGGGCGGCCAGGTCAGAACCGAAAATGGCGAGGACTTCGTATCGTTCGGAGATAAGAGATGGCTGGACCTGGACTACAAGCTCGAAGACCGCCTGCCGGATCTACCCGCTCTCAGCGCATCTGCGACCGCCGGTTGCGGCTTTTGTCGACTTCTCAAAATCGCCATCTTGAGGCTCGTGGGCGGCGAAAAGACTCCCGTCCCACCTGACAGGTCACATGTCCTGGCCAAGCACCTCAAGTTCCTGCTCAAACCAGGCCACAACCACGACCATTTCCGCTCAAATCACGACAGAGATCAAACCGTCTTTGACGAGCTTGCGATAGAGCTGTTTTTCTCTCGCGATGAACACATCGACGAATGCCGAAAGCCGAGACCCAGGTTTGCTATCGAGGAAACCCTGTTTTTTGAAGTGCATGCAACGCCAGGTATTTCCTAATCAGGCACATGCCTCCTACTCACGGCTGATGAGCTTTAGGTCAGTGTGCTAGGTGGCTAGGTATCTCTCGACGGCCCATCGCTCCATCCGCACTGTCTGCAGCTGGTCAAACAAGACTCAACGAACTTGTTGCCGGTTGTCCTCCACAGGGCTCAGAAACGGCTCGTTCGTTTCTCCCTTCGAGGCTTGTGGATGTTGGCGGCAGAGATGGTGCCCGAGAACCTCGCCTGATTGTCACCTCCGAACATGCCAATCTGGCTAATGGAACCTCGGACGTACGTTCTGTTCCTTATGTGGCCTTGAGTTACTGCTGGGGAGAAACCCGGCCGTCATTCACCACAAAGAAAGACTCCCTTCGGGATTATCTCCAAGAGATTCCGGTGAAGAATCTCCCGGATGCTCTTCGCGACGCAGTGCTGGTCACGCGAGCGTTGGGACTTCGGTACTTGTGGGTCGATTCCTTGTGTATCGTCCAAGATGACACTGAAGACTGGGAGAGAGAATGCGCACAGATGAAGTCCATTTACTCTGAGGCGCATCTTACTATCTCAGCTCTTGCAGGGGAGAGCTGCCAGCGCGGCTTCGCAGATCGCGCACTAGCTGAGCCGGAAATTGCAGTGCAATTCAAGTCATCTCTACGACCGTCAGTATGTGGGCAATTTTACTTGAAATTACCACATCCTCTAGGGATTGACGAGCGAAGCGTATTCTCTAGTTGCCTAGATCCTTGGGATTTCCCTACTTCCCGAGTGGCACTGACAGTACGTGGATGGCCGCTCCAGGAGTGGCTGTTGTCCCCGAGGAAGCTTGTTTTCAGAGATGACATGGTGTACTTCCAGGCGGGCACGCGTCGAGAAGCGGAGAACGGCTATATCACTCACGATGAATCGTTAGATGAATGGTCGAACTCCCTCAAGAACACGGAAACGGCAATGCAGAGATGGTACGAGCTCATGGAGGAGTACTCGCTGAGAGACCTGACCTACCAACAAGACCGTCTCCCTGCCATTTGCGGGTTGGCACGAGATGTGTCCGATCGTCTTGGTTTGGAGTATGTTGCCGGCCTGTGGGCGTCCGATCTACAGAAAGGGCTGTTGTGGACAACCTTGGCAGAAGACGATGAAGACAAGATTCCGCTGACCCAGCGACTTGCTGAACTAACGAGCACTGATGCGTACTTGGCTCCATCATGGAGCTGGGTTTCCTACCCTCACGGAATCCTTTGGTCTTTACCTGGACTTGACCTCTCGAGCTCTCACATATCTCTCCTCCCAAGCTGTGAGCTCGTTTCAGCTGTAACCACTGCTGACGGTCTAAATCCATTTGGGCGCATCAAAGCCGGACACCTCAAAATCCGCGGCAAGTTCTGCCAGTTGCCGTCACCGAAGGTCTACCTAGCATCGAAGTCTCAGTCCAGGCTGTTGACTATCCGAACGACAAAACCAGACCGTGATATCGCGACAGTAGAACTTGACTTCCGTTTCGATCACCACATTACCTATGAAGGATTCATCACGCCCCTTACCTTGCGCGACACACCGCTGGAAGGTCTTTCGCTGCTGATGACGTCCAAGTTGGACGACAAGACGGTTGGTGGACTCATACTTCTGCCAACAGGAGTTGAATCAGAGTTTCGGAGGGTGGGAATAGTCGTCTCCAATCCCCGAGGCATGAGGGCTTTTGATGAGTTTGAGACTCACAAAATTCGGATCGTCTGATTGCACGAGGTTTTACGTATTTCGAATCCGTAGTGTCTTCCACGCCCACGAAGGGCTTCAATTCGGAGCTTGAGAATATCTGCAGCGAAGACGTGCAGTCCAGCTATGCTTGTATCCGTGATTGCATCTTAAAGACAATGTCCCTCCCCCTAACGCCATGCAAATGCACAACATCCTCATCTTTCTCGCCTACTAGAACTCCTACTTCTAACCCATATAGCCCATGGATTTTGAAGGACAGTGAGGAGCGATTTGGCAATCACACGGATGTGATCCACATTCTCTCCCAAACTTAAAGTAACTTCAAGTGCCCAGTGACCTGGTTGATAACGCTGACGGGGCCAGGTCCAATGCCCAGCACCGTGGCGCTGCCGGCAGCAATCTGCGTGCGGCCAGCATCATGGATGACCTGCGCGCAGAGACCCATGCTCAGCGCCTGCGCCTGGAGCAGCTGCATGTCCTCCTCGCTGGTGCACTTCAGCGCCACCTTCATCTGTCCGTACCTCTCCCAGCGGCGAAGGAGCGGCGAGTCGGGGGCCTGGCGGAGGAAAGCCTTGTAACAAGCGAGGGTGGCATGGCCGCACTGCGCAGCGATCTTGCCTGCTCGAAGCGTCAGCGCAAACGGCCTCTAATGTAGATCCAGCAAGAAACATACCCGAGCCCATCTTCAAGTCCGTCCGCACGACCAGCACAAGCTTGCATTCCTCGTTGCGGTCCGTGAACGGGTTGAGATCCTGCGGCGCAGCCTCATCCTCGTCTTCCTCCGAGTCGCTGCTTTCCTCCTCCGAGCTGCTGCTCTCTTCTCCGTCCTTCTTCTTCTCCTTCTCCTTCTTGTCCTTCTTTTCCGACTTCGCGGCCGCGCGCCCGGCTTCGACGCCGTGCAGGTACCATTCTTCGGACACGCGCTTGCCGAGCCAGAGGCCGCCGACGATGACGCCGCCGAGAGTGCCGACGAAGGCGGAGACGAGCCAGGGGAGCGGAATCGCGACGCTCTGGCGCATGAGCGACATGGTGGAGGCGGGGCGAATGGGGAAAAAGAGGGACTGGTTGCGCACGCGGGTTGTGTTCTTTTTTGTTTGATCGGCGAGAGTCAGACTCGAGAGCTCGGGCGTCGACGTCAGTTCGGCGGAGCTAGAGGCTGGAACGCTGTGGTTACCCGGCGATGCAAGCTTACAGCAGCTCGGTGACTGGAAACTGCTCACAACAAATGTTTCAATTGAAACCCGATTTGCAAATATGATGATCTGTCTCCCTTCGATGTTCTTGGACCCCACTAGATGTATGAGGTACAGGGTTTGGAGGTCATCCAACATTGGCTTCCTGTTCAGCATGGCACATTTTTTAAAGCATGACCGAAATGTATGATAGATTGCTTTTTACTTGTAGCTTCAGTACTCCTAATAGAAACATAAGAACTTCAGACGTCCGTGGTGGTCTCAATTGCATTTACAAACCTAGGCACGGTCGAGCGCGCGGCGGCGAAACGACCTCCGGCCGGCGAACCTTCAATCTTGCACCACCGCGGAAGCCGTCCTCAGCAATTCGACCGCCGCGGATACCAACCATCCCCCACACCACGTCTCGGGCACGCCGCCCGCTCACAACCGCCACAATGGCTCTCCGCGCACCCTCATCGTCATCACTCGCCCTCCTCGGCCGCCTCACGGGCCCGATAACGACGCAAACACAAGCCCGCACCTTCGCCAGCAGCGCCGCCCTCAGCGCGAAGTCGACCAAAGCCAAGCTGCGCGACGACCACGCCGACGTGCCACGCTACCCCTACGGGCCCAGCCTGTGGTACAAGCAATCCAACCACGGCCTGTACGGCGGGGCGCGGATCCAGTTCGGCAACAACGTGGCGAAGAAGTCGGAGCTGAAGACGCGCCGGCAGTGGCGGCCCAACATCCAGCGCAAGACGCTCTTCTCGCGCGCACTCAACCGCGGCGTGCGCGTGCGCGTGGCCAGCCGCGTGCTGCGCACCATCGACAAGGTCGGCGGCCTGGACGAGTACCTGCTGGGCGAGAAGAGCGCGCGCATCAAGGAGCTCGGCATGGGCGGCTGGCTGCTCCGCTGGCGCCTCATGCAGACCGACCGCGTCAAGAAGCGCTACGCCTTGCAGCGCGAGCAGCTGGGCTTGCCGCGGGATTCTTTGTTTGACGAGCAGACGAGGGGCATGAGCGGGGAGAAGGTCTCGGAGGAGGAGATGGCGGAGCAGGTCAAGTACTACGATTCCATGCTCGAGAAGGAGGACAGCGTGCTGCTGAGCGAGGGGACTCAAGAAGCTGTTGTGGAGGAGGCAATCAAGGCAGAGGGTTCGGCGAAGGCGGCTCCCAAGGTGGTGGCATAAATTGGGCTACGTGCTAGGGAAGACAGGTGGTTGTGTACGGGTTGTTTATATCACGGATTTCATGGAAGGATACTGTAAAATTATGATTGCATTCAGCGGGCATGGCGCAAGCAAAAGCTGCTGGGCTCTGGGCAAGGAAAAATCGACATTCTCCAGGCCTTGTCTACCTAGACGGATGTGCATGATAGATCTCAAGCCAATCAAGTGCCAGTAAATCAACTCCATGACCCTACAGGAACCATCGTAACTCTGCACGTGCAAATGCGGCATGACTGATTGCAGTCAAACACACAAGGCAACTTCATCTAGATGCAGCGTGACGCAAGCAATTAGATGCTATGCAGGTGCACAGGTCGGAAATTTGAAGGCGCCACTTGAATCTGTCCTCAGACCAAGACTTAGGCAGCATGTACTCAACACAAGCATCAAGATCTATCTAAAAAGTATGTACGCTGTTACGGTTGTGTCTCCTGTCTTCAGCCTCCAATGGAGGAATTCCGCGGAAACTAGGAATGTAACGCGCCGCAAAGCCGCCCTCCCGGCTCAACCTGAAGCAGAGCCCCAAGGAACCGTTCAGACGACCCGCTGTAGTTCTGAAATACCTGTCGGCCACACAGAGGCACGTACACTAGGTGTATTGTCTCCCCTGTGCGTAGCCGGCCGAACTGTCGCAGCACTCGACCCTGGACACCTGCGAGATTGTTAGTTGCGGTTCTGCGCGGAAAATACTGCGATTTGACATACCGTTAGGCGCAAGGGAGCGCTGGACACAGGTTTGTGTTTTGGTGAGGAAGAAAGTTGCGCGCGCCAGAGATTTTTATGGGCGCGTCGCGTCCGTGCGTTTCACCGCTAACCGCATCCAGATGGGCGGTGAGTGCGGCTCCCAAGGTCAACTTCTATCGCCGCCGTCACCGATACCCGCGACACTTCAGCGGAATCGTCAGTCCTCTCCACCCTTGCCTCAACGCCGTCGCATAAAGGCTGCCATCACCTATCTCGAGACCTAGCGCGGCACAAATCACCCAAGATGGACGCCATCTCGATTGAGGAGGCCAACAAGATCCGGGTGGCCATGGGCATGAAGCCCCTTCCGGTCCCCGGCAAGGAAGACACGTCCGGCCCCGTCTTCAAGGAGCCCAAGGCCGGCGACGACTCCGATGAAGAGCCCGCAAGCACCCTCGAAACCCGCTCCGCCGCCGCATTCGACAACTGGAAGCAGATAGAGGAGGAGAAGGCGGCGAAGGCAAAGCTGCAGGCAAAGAAGGACGCGATCAAGAAGGCCCGTGACCAAGCGCAGCGATTCGCCAAGCTTGAGGGCCAGGGCTTGGGTGAGGGCGATGATGTGGATGCGAAGACGTGGCTCATGGGGCAGAAGAAGAGACAGAAGAAAATCGAGAAGGCCAGGAAGCTTGAGCAGGAACTCGCTGAGCAGGAAGCCCAGTTGCAAGCGGAGTACACTGCGAAGGACCTGGCCGGTGTGAAAGTTGCCCACGAGTTTGATCAGCTCGGCGAGGGCGAGGAGCACATTTTGACGCTCAAGGATGCCGCTGTCGACGACGAGGAGGCCGGAGACGAGTTGGAGAACCTCGGTCTTGCGGAGTCTGAGAGAACGAAGGAGCGCCTCGACTCGAAGAAGAGGAAGCGCGCGTACGATCCGAACGACATGGACGAGTCCGGCCAGCAATCTATCCTTGCTCAATACGACGAAGAAATCGACGGCAAGAAGCGCAAGGTGTTTACTCTTGATGGGCAGGGTAGAACGGTGGAAGAGACTCAGAAGATCAAGGATGATGGCACTCTCGGCCAGTCGAAGGTCAAGATTAGCCTTGACCTGCTGCAAGAGGATACGCCCATCTCCGACTACGTGGACCCCTCCGAAGTTAAGATCAAGAAGCCCAAAAAGAAGAAGAAGGAGAAGAAGTCCAGGAAGAAGGCTGCCGACGATGACGACATCTTCCCGATGCCAGAGCCTGCTGCACCCCAAGAAACCGGGGGGATGGACGTCGACCAGGCGGAAGCTGCCCCGCCAAAGAAGAAGATCGTGGAGGACTTCATCGATGACGAAGACCTGCAAGCGAACCTTGCCATGCAGCGACGAGCTGCCTTGAAGAAGAGGAAGAAGATGAAGCCTGAGGACCTTGCTCGGCAGCTCCGTGAGGAAGCCTCCGAAACTCCCGATGTCATGGATACTGTTGAGAATACGGAAGATGAGCCTGGTCTCGTCATCGATGAAACTTCGGAGTTCGTCGCCAATCTTCAAGGGCCAGCAGAGCGACCGGAACGCCAACGCAACAAGTCCTCTCAGCCACGGAGTCGTGCAGTCTCCGAGGCAGCCAATGGTGTGGATGAAGAGGGTGATGTTGATATGGACAAGTCATACGCCGAGGTCGAGGAGGCACAAGAACGAGCAGCCCGCGAAGCAAGGAGCGTGTCGGTTCCAGACATCACTACCACTGGTCTGGACGAAGAAGAGACTGTCGACCGCGGTATTGCTGCAACCCTCCATCTCCTCAAGCAGCGTGGACAAATCGCGGAGGCGAATGGCGGCGAGCTCAACCAGAGGCACATCGAGCACCAGCGCTTCCTGGCCGAGAAGCAGAGGATGGAAACGGACGCCGAGATGCGCGCCAAGCTCCAGCGTGAGCGTGATCGCCGCTCTGGCCGCCTCGAGCACATGTCCGCCCGCGAGCGTGAAGCCCTGGCTCAGAAGGCCAACCAGGACCGCGACCGCCTCGAGTCGCGCAAGATGGCAGACATCTTCAACAAGGAGTACAAGCCGAACGTCGAGCTCAAGTACATTGACGAGTTCGGCCGCCGCATGAACCAGAAGGAGGCCTTCAAGCACCTCAGCCACCAGTTCCACGGCAAGGGCTCCGGCAAGCAGAAGACGGAGAAGCGCCTCAAGAAGATCGACGAGGAGAAGAAGAGGGAGGCCATGAGCAGCTTGGACTCCAGCCAGCATACCGCCATGAACACGGCGATGGATACGACGGCGAAGAAGAACAGGCAGGCGGGTGTGCGCCTGCAATAGACGGTGCACGCTGGTCCGCCGAGAGTGAGAGAGAGCTTACTGGACTGCAGGGTTTCTTGCAGAGGAAGACAAGGCGTAAGGAGGCACTGGTGTTTCGAAGGTTAGTATGTACTACTCTTGTCAGTATAAATGGGATTAAATGTTAAACAAAACTATTCTTTAGTCCACGTGAGATCCTGGAACGGCTTTCAAGGTATGTTGCCTGCAAGCTCCATGTTCTCACCATAGACGATCAACATCTGCGCCCCTAGTGAGCTAACCGTAAGCTATGTGCTTGGTAATTCTTGTCCCAATAGCAATGATGTGATGGCGGCGCCGATGCATGCGAAGTAGCTACACTCCCGAACGTCGTCAGCATTTCAGTGCCCATTGATACGCCAGTCGGCTCAAAGCTCTGTCTCGGAATAGTCGAAATGCAATGAGATCCCATGATCCCTGTAGTGCAGCAGGCTGATCTCGGACTCAATATCTCGTGTACCAAAGTGATTCGCTGACAGTATTTTGGATTGGCGTCGTATTACTTTAGAATCCTCGGGCGGGTCGTGTATGACGCTATGTGATATGTAGCAAAGGATTTTTTGCCTGTAAATGATAGATGATCCGTAGTTGATGACGCAGTACACGTAAATGTGAGATGTGACGTCCGAGTATGAAAGTCTGCCGGCGACATTATAAAAGAACGTCGTAAGGTAACCGGTCGACAGTGAAGAGATTCTGTAACCGCCCCACCTTCCCCCCTTCCCCACCCGCCCCGCCCACCTCCACCCCCTCTCTTCTTCTAAGGCTAGCAGCTTGATGCTGTTAAATGTGCTGCAACTGCTGGTCTTGAATTACAAAGGGCCAAATGAACCAATCATCGTTCTTGAATCAGTTTCCCAACGCAGGCGAAAAAAATCATTCGAAGGACGCGAAGCACGCTACTGGCATATCGATGAAAAAAGGCAAGAACATTGCATTGCTTCTAGAACTTCATCATTCTTGTGATGTTTCACTACTAACGCAGGCAGGTAACTCAAATGAACGCCCAGTCGAAGTCATCGACCACACCAGCAAACAGAGCTTGATCGAACGTCCTGTTTCCAATGTCAGATACATACCGAACTGAACATCACCACCGCGCCAAGCCCACTGTGGCCTTGATTGCATAACGGCCTTCCTCAGGATTGGTATCGGGGGCCATTCTCATACCTTTCATCCAGGGTTCCGAGGACATCATCCAGAATGCCCCGAAGCTCCTGGTTATTATTAAAGCGCTTGTGCTCCAGCGCTTCCATTGCCCCGGTGGCCCTACAGTTGGACCAATTCCACGACAGAGTACCTGGGTTCAAGTATGGGACAGTTTGACTGACGAGCAAGTTCCACGTTGCGGAAATGGAGGGATAGCTGAGAAGGCTGTGCATCGTGGTGTCCTTTGTCCAAGCATCCTTTGACATGCCGCTCTGCTGATGGTTAAGCAAGTGTTCTTGACGGAGGGCGAAGTCATCAAACACAGCCTCGCAGATGCCGCAGGCGTATAGGCTCTTCTTGTCACTATGGTGTGTCGTCTCAAAATGTTGACGGGAACACTTGGTCCTGTTGACATGACGGGTACGTCCCAGCTTGGTGTTCCATGACCTCCCGCAGTCCAGGCATCGGTGATGTTTCTGAGGTTCGTGGTTCTCCTCGATGTGGTTGGTCAGGTTTCCCTGGCTCCTATATGGCGGTACATCGCAAAAGGGGCACCAATGAATCCGATCTGTCATCAGGAAGACAATGTAACACGTCTGTATGTTGAGAAATGGGAAGGGGACGGAGAATATTGTAGTTAGGTCGAGGTGTGTGCAGAGACAAGGGCTGTCAAGTTTCTTGAGCATGTGGTTGAACACAGTGATGAAGCCGCACAGCGCCGAGGACAATTGAAAGAGCATAAGAAGTGAGCATTTAAATATTCTACCGCCACAGCGAGGCTCCTACCTTTCGCATGGCGCCGCACGCACATGGACGCAGCCCTGTTTAGCTGACTGAGAGGAGCTGCAATGTGAATGTTAAAGGTGACGCACTGTGCGGTACCAAACAACAAGTCAGAGACATGGTGAATAAGCATTATGTCTGTTCCTCCAATCGGCGCGCGCCAAGGCCTCCCTACTTACTGCCCGCATCGTGCATTCGGACTAACGGTCTTCGCGCCATGCCATAGAACTCGAGAAAGCTGCCAGACAAATCAGACGTAAGACCGGTCTCGTGGCTTGCAGCTTACGGTGACAGCAAGCTCAGCCATCTAGCGGGATTTAGGCGTCAGCGAAAGCGGATTGCATACCGCCACAGACAGGGTTGGCAACGGACCCAGGCACACGGTTCGTTTCGGGCGGACGTCGAATGGCGAGCAGGGCGCCAGCCCGAACGGGCGAGCGTGCGGCGTTGGCCCCCTGTGCGTACGCTTGGCTGGCCCTCGGCGCTAGATGGCTTGCATTCGCCGGCTCGTGGGTGCTGTTATACTGAGCACGATCGGGGGGAGCAGCGAATGAGACAGGCTGCGAGGGACTGCCGCAACGGGCAAGGTGGGGATCGAGCAGAGGTGCCACAAGGTCACTTTGATGCTTATACAGCTCTCACAATTGTCTGATCGAAAACGAGTTGAAAAATCTATGCTGCATATTCGAAGGGTTACAACAGGCTGCGAAGATGGAATATCGGTGACGAGATGTCCGACATGCGATCATCCAGATTAGTATTCCATAATTTTGTTCAAACGTTGGCCAGAGAATCACACCCACGGCAGATGGCAGCCTGACTGGTCTTGATATTCTTCTGTACACGACGAATGGCTCGCGAAGCCTAGCACGTTGAATCATCTTTTCGGGCTGCACATTTTGAAAACTTATATTTTTGTGAGGCGTATGCGTACTGAGGTGGAACAGGGAGTTTACTGCTAATGGGAACAACTGCTGATGGAAACAAGAAGACTGGACTGCTATCGAGATGAATCTTTAGGGGATTCGGGAGGCCTCTAGCGAAGCGTAAGAAAAGACTCGTGTGCCAATGGCACGTGACTTTCATGCTCGTAGGGCCGGGCGCCGGGGTATGTCTCAGGCAGAGGTCCGGCACTCGTGGCACCCGTGGTCTTGACAATTTTCTAATTACTTTAAACGCTAAGTACACCTGACCCAACTCACATAAACCTCAAAAGCAGCACATTTCCAACTAAAAAGGCAACCACAGGCCAAAATGACATCTCTTCCTGCCGCAATATCCACTCAGCTGACCATAAAATCATATGAAACGCCTCCGTCATTCCGAAGAAATTGCTAAAGGATTTGAGATAATAGGAAACCCTCAACGGAGCCGTGGCCTCAGACAAGAGCGAGAGGAGAACCACCGTGAGCACCAAGAAAATGAAGCAAGGCATATCGAAAGGCGCTACAACTTCATCCTCCAGTAGCTCCTCTTCAAGAAGCAGAAAGTCAGGCTCCGGTGTCGCTTCTGCGGCCGCGGGGTCTCGCAGTTCTGTCTCTTCAGTCTCCACTGGATCATTGAATAAGAAGGTTTGCACAGCGGGGGTGCTTGGCTCGTCTTGCTGCGCATGGCAACGCTTGCAGATGGAAGGTTGTGTCGGTCTTTCAGCCAAGCCTCGGCTGTGCCTTGTCGTAGGTGCATTCTGCTCGGATGTTGCAAGGTCGGCGGAGGAAGTGGAGCCGACGGCGTTTGTGACGGGAGAGTTGGGAGAAGACATTTTGTTGGTTCATGGATGGATTTCTCAGACGTGCTGCCTTCAATGTTTGATTTGGAGCTCCTCGTAGTGCTGTGCAAGCTTGTTATAAACATGTAGTCTGCAGTTGAGAGCGGCAGTGAAAAATGAAATACACGGTGCCTGGAAACGGGGTCACTCTTTCCACGGGACGGGGTCAATATTCCGTGGGCGAAACTGGAAGAGTGACGCCGGTACTGCTCAGTGAAAATTTGATGGGAAAAATAAGCCATAAACACTCTAAAGTGAAAGTTCTATGGTCTATGCATACAAGCTCACACTTCAGCAGTTGTTAAATACTGAAGCATACATGTCGAATTTCTAAGTGGCGCATCATTCCAAGCGACGCATCCTACGCCTGGCGGAGTCCCAGGCCCTGAACAAAGGCTGCATCCCACCAAAAAGTCCGCACGACCAAGCGACTGATACCACATCAAACAACATCAAGAATATCGCCAGCGGTACATCAATTGGACTGTGTTCACCCGCCATGAAGCCCATGGACGCTATCATGAAGACATGATAGTGGAGCGCAATCATGTTGCACGCGTGCGTCAACTTCGGGAAAGACTCATTCATGTGGTAACGAATCCTCTCGGCCACCATCATTTGCCCAAGCGCGGTCATCGCAAGGAAGGGGTGGGAGCTCGCAAGGTGTTCTTCATCTGTGCCCATAAGGGTGCGGATGATGGCCGTAGTTCCCGCTATAAGCGCAAGTGAAAACCAGAACAGAAGAGCGGCCTTGAAAACGTTCCTGTTGTAGTTCTTGGGTTCGGAAGAGCTGTAACTGTGATGTGTCGTCCTCTCTTCATCGAAGCGGGCGGAATCGACCCTAATCGTCCTCGGTCGTTGGTATGGATATGGAAACATTTTGGAGAAAGTCGAAATTGATCGTAGGTGGTTCCACTTGACTGGTGCACTGGAACTGTCGAATATTTGGCGATGGAGTGAATTCGTGGGGCTTGCAGTATTGTTGGAAAAACTCAGAAAGATGAAGCCAGATTATATATTCAATGCTTTTATGGGAGTAGGACGTGATCAACCAGGGTACATCCTCAGAAACTTATCCAGTTGGGGAGCCTAGCTCAGGGTACGCCGGATCAGACCCCCATAATCCAGAGAGCCCATGTCTATTCTATTCTACTAACTCTTCGCAATCGTGACATCATAAACCCGTGGCGCAGCGAGCTCTGGCTCTACTCCACGTAAGCAGTGAAAATTTGAAGAGCTTCCCTGGCGCTGTATTCGACCTCGACGCCTTGCCCAACAAAGAAAATATAGCCCTCCTTAATCTCGTAGACCTTTCCGTCGATTTTGAGGTCACCAGAGCCTTGCGTGCATACCAACGAACTGGGCCCAGTGACGGCGGAAAGAGTTTCGCTGGCTCCACATGGCACTTCGGTTGCGAGCATGTTAAACTCACCCATGGGAGGAGCATATACCTTAGTATGACCGTTCTTGCTACCTTGGTAGGGCTTGCTAGGCAGGATGGCCTCGTTGGCATCATGGGGAGTGAATGTCAGACAGGAAACGAACGTTTCGATGTTGTCACGGTCGGCGCGCGGGCAGAAGCCGGTGTTGAGAACGTTGTTTGACCGCGCCATGCACTCGATAATGTCTCCAGCCAGGTAGGCGTGGATTCCATCAGCGGGGATGTAGATGCTCTGTCCAGGCTGTAGTACCAGGTAGTTCATGGTGATGAGGGCGACCAGACTGCCAGGGTCCTGTGGAATTTTTGGTATCAGCAACATGACTGAGCTCAGAAACAGGCTCAACATACCGTCTTCCCGTACTGGCCTTGCAAGCGCGGCAGCAGATCCGGAATGTTGGTGTACTTTCCAAATGCCGACTTACCCGCCTTGCCCAGCGCCTCTTCCACCTGCTTCACTTCGGACTCTGACGCCTCAAGCATACGCTGCACCACATACTTGAGCGTCTGATCGTCAAATGAAGGCTTCTTGACTTCGGGCAGGAATCTCTGCAAAGCCTCGAGTGACATGAGCTGCTCAATATCCTTGAGCGGCTTGAAGCCGCAGAAAGCTTCAAACTTGGTCAAAGCAATTGCGATCTCGGGCTTGTGGTTCGGGTCAGTGAAGCTCGAAGGGTTCTTTCTGTGCAGCTCGGATGCAAGCTCCTTGTTCTACGAAGTATCAGCATTGGCAGCTCGGATCACAGGCGGAGCGAGACTGACTGGATGCAGTTGAAGCGGAAGAGCTTTCGCAATGGACAAGACCTTAGGGAGGTAGGGCAAGTCCTGGCCGAATTTCTGGACTACTGTCTTGCCTAATAGCTGGTCTGGGTTCTTGTTGATGAAGTCCTGGAGATTTTCTCCCGTTTCCAAGACATATGCTGGTAGGTCCGGGTAGGTGCCGTACCACCTGAATCCGTCAGCATGGGCAGCGGGAGCAGAGTCAAGAGGAGATACATTTCGGCGTAAGGCTTGCTCTCGTCGAGCTTGAAATCAGTCCTGGGCGTCATGGCTGCCAATCGAGCAGCGACAGACTGAGAGCCCTGCTTTCCCCACGGGTACTCGTTGCAGTAGCATTTCAGCTGGACGACTTTTTGAGACATAATGCAAGGAATTGGCAGACACAAAGTGACAAAAACGATTCAATTGCCGAGAGGAAGAGACAAAGCACCAAAGCCGAAGGCGAGAGTAGTGTAGTTGTAGTTTGGTCGCGGCAGCACAGGAGACGTGGGTTGTTTATGAAGGCAACTCAGCAGAGACTCGACGTCATAGTCGCGTCGGCGTATCGGGGGTGGAAGATGCGGCGCAAAGAACCAACGGGAGGCCCGGAACCCGTCGTTTTGTGGAGAAAGTCAGTCAGTGCAGACATTGATTGTTAATCACCATTGTGTCGTCGCTGTACACGCTTCGGCCCCGCACTCCAAGTTTCGTTATGGTAGCGTGGTGTTCTTGGTCGATCCATGGCCGCGAAGTTGCGACAGAGTAGCACGGTCCGCGCGAATCCCGGATCAGATTGTCGTGGAATTGGAAACTAGAGGCGTCTCCACAGACCGTGCGGGGGCTAAACTCGGAGATGCAGCGCTCAACGTCGTTCTCGAAAAACAGAGAGAGGGACGGGTGACGCGAGCGGCGACAGGGATTGGTGACAGGGCGGAACCAGGGTGTGTCAAATCACCGTCGCGCGGCTGCTCACCGCCCGGCGCTCCAGGGTCCGCAGCAGGAGATTACAAGCACTCTTGGCTCCTCCATCTCGTATGCCACCGTGGTAGCTGAGCTGCTGACTCCTTCGACACCACACTCCTCGTCCTCGTATCCGTCGCGCACGCTCTCGGGATCATGTCGCCTTGATCGCCCTCTCCTCCGCCTACAACACCTCTCCTTGCGTGCTTGTCGATCCGCCAACTCTATCTCCCCAATTCGCGAGCGCCGCACTCCTCTCCCGACTCAACCTCCGCCATGCATTTCGCATTCCCTCCGCGCAAGACCTCGCGCCCGCCGCCCTACGTCGCAGCCGCCAATGCGCGCAGCCAAGGCTCCTTTCTTACCTGTCGCATGGCCAGACAGCTTGCCATCTACGGCTTGATCGCCCTGGGCTTCCTTTACATCGTCAAGACTTGGTTCTTCGCCGGACCAGCCCCGGAATACATTCCCGCCGGCACCCCGCCCGTCGTGGTCGTCACTACCTTCGACTCACGCCTGTCCGACTCGTTCAAGGAAAAGATCCGGCTGAACCGGGAGACCTACGCCGCCAAGCATGGTCAGTTTGGCCAGTGTGCTGGATATGCCTTAGGAAAGCTGACTGGTGTCTAGGCTACGCAACCTTCTTCGCCAACGCCTCCGACTACGACGTCGGCAACAACCCGATCACCTGGGCCAAGATCCCTTCGATGCGCCACGCCATGACCGCTTTCCCTCACAGCACCTACTTCTTCTACCTCGACATCAATAGCCTCGTCATGAACCAAGACCTCTCAATCGAACAGCACATTATGCAGAAGTCCCGCCTCGAACAGCTCATGATTGTCGGCCTACCGGTCGTTCCTCCGGATAGCGTTATCAAGACATTCGCGCATATTTCTGGAGACAACGTCGATTTCGTCTTGACCCAGGACACGGATAACCTGTGCCAGAATAGCTTCATTATTCGGCGGGGAGACTGGGCCAAGTACTTCTTGGATGCGTGGTTCGATCCGCTGTACCGGTCGTACAACTTCCAGAGGGCTGAGGGCCACGCGCTGGAGCACATTGTTCAGTAAGTTTGGAGATCCTTCATGATGCGGATTGAAAGTGAATTAACCGACTTTCTAGGTGGCACGGTACGGTCCTTGCCAAGCTTGCTCTTGTTCCCCAACGCATCATGAATGCCTACACCAGAGCCGAGGAGGGCGGCACGGATGCCATGTATCAAGAAGGCGATTTCATTGCCGCCTTTCCCGATTGTAATGACGAGAAGAAGAACACGTGCGAGGACGATATGGCGCCCTGGTGGGGCGTATCCCAGAAGAGTTCGGACTCGTCGTCTTGATGAATTGAACATTTGAGTTGTTGGCGTTCAATGGGTATATCCGAGTTCATGGTGACATAAAGTTTGCGAGGCGTTTGGATTCCTGTTAGCATCTTCGGTCTGATCGTACAGTGCTATGTATTAGTATCCTGATACCAAAGGCTACTTAAGCCTAAACCCTTTATAAACAAATATTCTGCCTGCAATCTACGAGGAGTAAATAAATGAAAAAAAAAAGAGTGATATTGCTTTGTCATAGCTACACCGTTCTCAAAATTGAGACCCTCACTGCACCAAGACGGCCCCGCAATTGTGCCGACCATGGTGACAGAAAGCGGCAACAAGCTTTCCACCCTTGAGTTAGCCGGCGATCCTCGTCGGGCCCAACCCATCAAGCCCCAGCCCTATCCCGAACCACTCCCAGCACCTCCAACTCCGCCCACTCGCAGGTCAAGTTTACACCTGGCCTCGTCGAGATCGCTTCAGCACAAAAATGCTACCGCCGATAGCTCCTACTGTTCTTGAGCGCAACCCGAAATTCAAGGTGCTGTACGACGACATCTCGCAAAACAAGCTCAACCCCGACGCGTCGACAAAAGATGAAAAGAAGCAGCGCCTGATAGATCAAGCAAGGGAAGTACGTATATTTCCTTTGCGCATATGCAACCCTGTCAAAATTTCCACGGTGTGCATTCATGAGCTAGTTGGCCATGCCTTTTTCTGAATGACCTTGAAGCTCGGTTCTGTGCCTTTGCTAATTGGTACAGGAGTTAAATACAAAACGAACCGACCTAGCAAAGACAGAAATTTTGAAAAGCTCTCTCGAGAGCCTCAGTGCACGAGCAGCCGATCTTCCTGATGAAGTATGGCCCCGGATCCTCATAGGAAATTCAGCCCGTCCTGCTGACACCCGCCAGCTCCACGAAGTCGTGACTATTGTCGCCGCGCAGCTGAACGGCCGCATCCCCTCTTCTGACCGTGAAATACTACAAGAAGACATCGAATACTTCACCGTACGCCCCCCGCTCCCCCTTCCAAATCCCACCACCAAACCGAACCGACTAACCTAAACCAGGAACACATCGTCCCCATCTCCCGCGCTCTATCAACGCACCTCAAATCCACCGCCCTCCAACTCTGCCGCATCGCCACCCCCGAATGTCCGTCCTCCTCAGTCTCCATCCCCATCCCCATCCTCCCCATCCTTCATCCCCGCCGCTGACCAGCACCACAGCCGACCCCACCCCCTCCACCATATCCGACCTCCCCACAATCGCCGAGGACCAACGCGCCGACCTAACCACCTCGACCGCATCCCTCGCCGCCCACCGCACCGCCCTCGCCGACCTCGCCGCCGCCACGCTCGACGCGCAGACCCGCCTCGTCGAGGTCGTCGTCCGCGTCCTCGAGCAGACCGTGCACGGCAGCGCCGCGCGGGCGGCGCGCGCCAAGGCAGAGCACCTCGCGGCCGTCGCGAAGGGGTTGGAGTTGAAGTTGAGTGTGGCGATGTTGGGTGCTGTTGCGAAGGAGGGGGGGAAGGGGGAACTGGAGGCCGCGGTCGAGGGGTATGGCGCGTGGTTGAAAAGGGAGAGGGAGGAGTTGGAGCATAGGAAGGGGATTGCGGAGGAGAGGTTGAGGGAGTTTGAGGAGGTGGGGGGTGGAGGGGGGGCGGGGGCGGGGGCGAGGGCGAAGAGGGGGAGTGTTATGAGGGAGATTGCGAGGAGGTATGCGGAGGTGGAGGAGGAGATTGCTAGGGTGGAGGGGGAGTTGGGGAGGTTGGAGGTTAGGTGATTAGGTGTGTGGTACGTTTGTTTTCGCTTTTTTTTTTTTAATCTTAGCTTGGACTGTGGAGAGCTCTTATTTTGAAGATTTCATATATCCGAATGATGATAGATTAACCTACTTTGAGGCAGGCTCTCCCCGGAAGAAGCAGTAGAATCGCTCACCAAGGAAGCTCCTCGCCGTCTCTGTGCCAGAATTTCCCGGTATCTTCAATCCCCTTGCTCACCAATATCTTGTACAGCTTCCCCGCCGCCTCATCCGGATCCACCATCCCCGGAATCCCGTGCGCCCCCTCCAAGGTCAACGTGAGCGGCGTCCTGACCATTCCCGGGTGCATGATGACGACCACGACGCCCTTGTCCCTCAGCTCCACGGACAGGTTCTTGCAGATCATATTCAGCGCCGTCTTGGACGAGCGGTACGCGTAGCTGCCGCCCGAGCTGTTGTCCGCGATGCTCCCCACGCGGCTGGACACGTAGCCCAGGCGCGGGCTTGACGACTTCAGGATGTTGGGCAGGAATGCTTGCGTTAGTAGTAGGGGGCCGAAGGTGTTGACGGCGAAGGTCTTGGAGAGGGAGCTGGCGTTGAGCGTGGTGAGCGAGTCGTGCGCCGCGTCCATGACGCCTGTCGTGGAGTGGTGTCTCTTAGCATGAAACTTTATCTCGAGTGTTGAGATACAGTTTTGGCGTACCAGCTACGTTTAACAGCAGATCTAGGGGTCCATCTCCGTATTGCTGCTTGAATTTCTTGATGGCGTCTTCTGATGTGACGTCTAGCTGGGACGTCTTGCAACCCAAGCTCTTGAGTCCCTCCCCGTCTTGGACATCGATGGCGTGCACGTCGTATCCCTATTATTTCCATAAGTTTTGAGTTTCATTGTTTGCGAGAGGAGAGCCTACTTCTTTGATCAAGACTTTGGCAAATTCGTGGCCGATGCCAGAATTGGCTCCTGTGATGATAGCAGTCGGCATTTTCTTTCAGTGCAAACAAATATTTGCTAGTAATCTCAAGAAGGATATTTCGGAGGTTCCATCATATAAATGCTTTTTTACAGCTCACGAGAAGTGACAGGAATGAGGGGAAGGGCTGACAAATTCATATATGCGGGGATGACGTTCCGCTGATGTTGCTGCCTGCTCACTGTCGCATTTCAGAGCTAAATTGATTCAGCAGCAATCAGAATGGTACGATGATCGCGGAACCTTTCCACGTTATTTTCAAGCAAGGTCCAGCAATCATGACCATCAGCATGTTGTTTGTTTTCGATAAATTTGTAAAAGTCGTTGCCGTAGGGAGTCCACCTGCAAGCTTGTTGATCTCTACAACCGGTTGAAAAATGACTGGGTTTCCTCTTAGGGAAACGGGATTGAGTATGGGTGCCAAGCTGCCTAATGGGTAGTTCAACTAAAAATAATATTAAGGAATTGGGCTTGGCTATGATCTCTGGAAGAGCTATTAACGAAGTCGGGAATGGATCGAACGATACCATGGTACGGACGTAAGCCTCTCGATGATCATGGCGCTCCTCAGATTGACCAATAGATGCAGGCAAGAAGCGAGAAACTATAATATCTGGAAGGTGTTGGAAATGCCGCGGTGTTGCAGGTATTTAATGGCGCAAACGATGCTATGACGCCGAGGCACAGGGTTCCTAGCGGGGAATGTGGAAGCTATCTATCTCTCTGCCTTCCGCCGCCCTCTCCACTCAACCGCAACAAACAACTCCTCACAACGCAAAAATGGCCGACACGCGCAAGACTGTCTTGATCACCGGGTATGTCTCCTATCTGTATTCCGCGCCAGAATCCCCGCTGACCTTTCGTGCGCACAGCTGCTCGTCCGGCATCGGTCACAGCCTTGCCAGAGAATTCCACTCCAAAGGTTCTTCCTCCCCATGAGCCCACCGCTGCAGCCCTCGCGCTCCTCGGCTGATTCAATCGCCCTCCTTCTCTCCGCACAGGCCTGCGTGTCTTCGCTTCCGCCCGTCGCACCGAAGCCATCGCCGACCTTGCCGAGCTGGGCATTGAAACCGTCGCCCTCGAAGTCGACAAGCCCGAGAGCATACAGCAGGTGCGCCGCGAGATTGAGGAGCTCACCAATGGAAAACTCGACTTCCTGGTCAACAATGCCGGCCGTAACTACACGGTGCCGGCGCTCGACATTGAGATGGACGAGGTGCAGCAGACGTTCGAGGTCAACGTGTTTTCGGTCATGCGCATGTGCAAGGAGTTTGCGCCGCTGTTGATCGAGGCCAAGGGCACCATTGTGCAGATTGGCAGTTTGGCTGGCGTTATGTGAGTGTCCGACGAGGATGTGCGAGGTTTACATGTGCTGACTGTACGCAGGCCCTATGTCTTCGGAAGTACGTCTAGAGCCCGCTCTACAAGTAGAGCCAGTAGCTAACAGCTGACCAGGCGTCTACAACGCGTCCAAGGCCGCCCTCCATCAGTACAGCAACACTCTCCGCGTTGAGCTCTCTCCCTTCGGCGTGCGCGTCGTGACGATCGTTACCGGCGGTATCAAATCCAACATTGCCCGGACCGACCGCCAGCTTCCCGAGGACTCGTACTACATCCCTCTTAACGAGGAATATCAGAGGCGCTTGAAGCACAGCCAGGAAGGTGCTATGCCCAGCGATGACTACGCGAAGAGCGTCGTTTCCAAGGTCCTGAAGTCCTCTCCACCGAAGTGGGTGTGGGAGGGCAACAAGTCCTGGGTGGTGTGGTTCCTCAGCAACTTCCTCCCCAAGGGCGTCATGGTGAGCCTAGTCCAATACTTTATCCCAAAGTTGTTGCTAATAGGTGCTCGAAGGATGCTGTCTTCTTCCGCATGTTCAACCTGTGGAAGCTCATTGGAACAGCAAGGTCGAAGAAGACTGCGTAGGGCAGTTTCGCGACCTTTTTATTTTCCTTTGTCATCCAAAGTTTTGCGTGCTGTACAATATCCCTCTGTATCGCATGTCGCATTGCTCAACCGGTAAGGAGTTGGGGTTTGAAGCGGTACACACCGTTGCATCGAGTACTCCCTGAACAGATATAGGTGAAGTATAGGTTGGTCATACAGTATTTACTTTTTGCTGCTGCCTAGTAATCGGTCGTACCAAGTGGCAATTTCAGCATCATGTTGAAAGTCCTTGTATGGCTCACCTACGACTTTGCCACCGCTGTCGAACGTAACACCTTCAGCTGCCAGGAGCCGCTTCTTCTCAGCCGCATGTTTGCCTTGTTCTCCCCAGTCACCGTTGAATCCACCAATCCGTCCGTCATGTGCCAGGACCCGATGGCAGGGCACAGTGGGCGCAAAGGGATTGTTGCGCATGGCGTTGCCTATGGCTCGTGCGCTGCATTTGTGGTGGTGGGCGGTAATGTACGAACTCATGGCCCCGTAGGTGCTGTATCGGCCTCTGGGAATGTAGGTCAAGAGAACGAGAGCAAAGCGCCGGAATGCGGTGAGGTCTTTTAATGCCGCAATTGTATTCCTGGCCTGGAGAATCTCTGGCGGTGGGGAAGTGGTCCTGGGTGTTTCCATCTTTGGACTGTCGCTGAAGAAATGACTCCGGATATCCCCAGTGCTCGGTCCCTTCTTCTGCTTCTTCGCAACGTTCAGAGTCGTATCTCGGTCCGGTTCGGCATGCTTCCTCTTCGGACCACTCTTGCCTCTCAGCTCGAGACTTCGCTGGTTCAGCTTGTTGAGATCGGCTTCGCCGTTGGCTATTTTCCGCCCCAGGTCTAAAGCTGCCTGGAGCTGTTGCCTTGACATATGCTTAGTAGCTGGGGCGCGGACGCGCTCCATCCAGGGTCTGTCCTCGCCTACTGCATTGTCAAGAATGATACGAGCGAAGCAGTGATCCAACACGACGGGCCACTTGGGCTGGGAGTCGCCGCGAGTTTTCGCCAGACGTGGCAGCTCGTCCTTGTAAAAAGCAGACCATTTCTCCTGGAGCTGAGTCAGGTCGTGGGTGGCCATTAGTCGAGTCGCAGGATGCGGTGTGGAGGTGCAGTGTGACGCGCGTGTTTCGGGCTGCAGCTGGCGGCGCGATGGATGACGCGCTGCACCCTTGGTGCTGACTCGCGGGAGCTCTTCCCCACTTCGCGCGGCTCTCCGAGATCTCCCACCGCTATTGCTTCCGTGATCCGCGCGGAGCCTTCTCCTGGCTATGCTCTTCTTGGCCAAGCCAAGAACCTCACATGCTATGGCCATGACACTTGTAGCGCCTATAGCTAACTGCATGTAAGCGACGATCTGCCTGCTATCAGTTTGCAGCCTGCCCGAACAGGCTACTGGACAAATGAGCACGAGGATAATCGGTGTGATGGTTCTTGCCTTTGCAGGTAGGTGCAGCTACGGCTCCTTCTCGCGTGCGGCAGCCTCGCGCCTTCCCGCAGCTCGAGGACAGCCATCAGAGTGACACAGCATGACCGTTGGTCGCCAGGGATGGCCATCATGGTGAAACTTCGCAAAGCAGGCCCTCGTCAAACGTCTGCCCAGGACTGGCTATAAACAGCATCCCCGACGTTTGTCGACCGTGGAGGGCCCGACGCATCGAATCGGCAGCTTGCATTCACCGCGCCTTTCACCGGTTGCAGAAGCATTGTTCCCTGCAGCTTCCGCCACACATATAAACTTAAGCGTCTTGGCTTCTCCCTACAATTTTTTGATCCACAATCCTCCTCCTCTTCCTTCGGCCAAAATGGGTGACCTCAGCCTCCCAGCTCCGACGGTTTCGACCGCCCATGCTCGCTCTACCTACGACTCATGGGCGAGGATAAAGGAGCACCTCAACCAGTCCAACGTGGTTGTCGACGGAGAGTCACTTGAGATTCCCGGCCTCGTTGCTGTCGCCAGACATGGCTCGAAACCCGTCATCGACAAGTCACCACAACTGGTGTCGAGGATCGACGAAAGCGTCAAGATGCTCCAGCGCCACCTTGACAGGGGTGACCTAGTATACGGTGAGTCTACCTTCGCGCCAGTACATGCTTATACTGACATCATCTCCAGGTGTGAATACTGGATACGGCGGCAGCGCTGATACTCGCACTAACGATGTCGTCTCTCTTCAAAGCGCTCTCATTCAGCACCAGCAAAGCGGCATCCTCTCCAGCAACGACACTGGACGGCCATTCCTCGGCCAGCAACAGAGCGCTCTTCACCATGTCGATGACTACGGCGCTTTGTCCATGCCCACTTCCTGGGTGAAGGGCTTGATGCTTCAGCGCGTGAATAGCATTGTGCGTGGTCACTCGGCTGTCTCCCTTGCTGTCATCGACGCTATCATGGCCCTCCTGGAACACGACATCACTCCCGTCATCCCTTTGCGCGGAAGTATCTCCGCCTCCGGAGACCTACAACCGCTTTCGTATGTTGCCGGTGCTATCCAGGGCAACCCGGACATCTTCGTGCGCGTCGGAACCCCCTCTCAGATCATGCCTGCCAGTGTTGCGTTGCAGTCTCGCAACCTGCAACCGGTAGTCCTTGGTGCTAAGGAAGGACTTGGATTGCTGAACGGTACATCCGCCTCAAGTTCTGCAGCATCCATTGCAATCTACGAGGCCAATCACCTGGCTCTTCTTACGCAAACTCTCACTGCCATGGCTGTGGAGGCTCTCAACGGAACTGCCGAATCCTTCAGTCCTTTTATTGCAAGGGTCCGGCCACACAGAGGTCAGATAGAGGTGGCCTCGAACATCTACGGATTCCTCCAAGGTTCTCGTCTGTCTTCCGGTCTTGATGGAGAGAAGGATATGCACATGGCCGGTTTGTGCCAGGATCGGTATCCACTTCGCACTTCCTCCCAGTGGATTGGCCCGCAACTCGAAGACCTTCTTCTCGCCACCGAACAGATATCAGTCGAACTAAACTCAACTACCGATAATCCATTGATTGACGTCAATACTGACCTTGTTCATCACGGCGGAAATTTCCAAGCAGCATCCATAACCTCTGCCATGGAGAAAACCCGCACCGCCATTCAGATGTTTGGCAAGCTGCTCTTTGCCCAAGGAACAGAGCTTCTCAACTCCGGCCTAAGCAAAGGCCTACCTCCTAACCTCTCAGCGGATGACCCAAGTCTGAGTTTCACTTGCAAAGGAATCGACATCAACCTCGCCGCCTACATGTCCGAGCTGGCGTACCTTGCCAACCCGGTCAGCAGCCACGTACAGAGCGCCGAAATCCACAACCAGGCCGTGAACTCGCTCGCCCTCATCTCCTCCCGCTACACGCTCCAAAGCATCGAGGTCCTCAGCCAAATGTGCGCAGCATACCTCTACGCCCTCTGCCAAGCCCTCGACCTGCGCGTCCTGCAGTCAAAGTTCCTCGCGGAGGCTTACGCATCATTCAACGCCACCCTCATCAAGACGCTCAACGACGCCGAACCCAGCCAGGAGAGCTTCGCCGACCCCAAGGCCGTCCAGGAAGAGGTCTGGGCCGCGCTGAAGGCTAAGTGGAACTCGTCGACGAACGAGGACCTCGCGCCTCGTGCCGCCAGCGCCGCCCGCGCTGCTGCCATGGCGTTCTTGTACCGCGTCCCTAACTCTTCCGCTAAGGCTCACGCTTTCGAGAACTCCTTGAAGGAAATTTTGGAGTCGACGTATGCGGGCTTGCGTGCCCGCATGTTTGAAGAACATGTCGACCTCACGCCGCCGTATCTCGGCCAGGCGTCGAGGAAGGTTTATCGGTTCGTCCGTGTGGAACTCGGTGTGCCGTTCCATAGGGGCTTGATGGATTGTCCGGAGTATGGGGTGCGGAATGGGGAGGTGGGAGGGGATGGGAGGCAGAGGAAGACGGTGGGCAACTGGATTAGTATCATCTATGAGGCGCTGAGAGCGGGGTTGCTACATAAGCCGATTATGGAGGCGCTGGTGGAGAATGGTGTTTGAGGGGGGGTTGAGTGATGGACTTTATGGGGAGTCAGTGGGGTGGAGGTGTTGAGGCTGGAAAGAGGGCGGGAGGTAGGGATGTTGCTTAATGGCTGATATGAGTATGAGTAGATGTTTTGGGAAAGGTGGGTGTATGGATGGCTGAGGTAGCGGAGGAAAGTAGACTTGATTGTAGATAGAGGGTTCATGATTACGAGGTTTGCCTGAGGATGCTTGAGAAAGAGAGTTCTATTGTCTTGTGCTTTTACTTGTCGTGAGAGCCGCAAGGCTGGCCTGGGGGGTTAGCATGACGTCATACGGTTTCAACGTTCTCAGCCTTGCTAGGATCTCTCGTAGCTTGCGGAAATAAAAGATTGTGTATAGATTGTGGACAGAGGTTAACTACTGAAAATGCGTGTCTTTGGCTGCATGCATTTCTGATGCTATGTATGGCGGGAAGAGCCTGCGCGGCTGTTTCACCGGGTAACACCGTTGCCGCGATCCTGATAGCAACCGAGGCCTGTCGACCATGAGGCTCTTTGTTGGGCAGCAATGAAATATTATGCAGACGCCATCGCGCTAAAAGCGGACGGGTGCATGAGGTAGTTTCGCACCACAATGAGTGGAAGCGAGATCCTGGCAGCTTGGGAAAAAAGGTCATGATCTCGGGAGGAAGCTTACAGCGCGTAACCTACACTTACCGACAGTCATTGTGCTCCACAGAAGAAAGAATCAACCAATAGAATCCAGCATGTGAGTGGCTGGTTGACCTACGAGTTTGACGCAAGGCGAAAAACGGCGCTACGCGACGAGCAGCGATAGGCCGGCGAAAGCTGCGCCTAGACCAAGCCATTCGGCAGCTGGCGGATTCTGGTTCCGTACTTAAGACGTTCTCCTCTGCTCTATGCTGCCACGCAATAATTTTCCGAGTCTTGTCATTTTGCATGATTGGTGTATACGCCTCACGTCCCTACTTTACAGGGAATGATTGCGTCGCAGCATGGATCAAAGGAGAACATCTCGCATAATCCTGTGCTGTTGTTGGATCTAACACCCCGTTCTCTTCTGTTCTGTGCTGCCACGCAATCATCTTCCGTATCTCATCATTTCTTTCCAAAATATATCATTTAGTTATCGATAAGAACCCGATCAGAATAGGAAATACTTGCACCGAATCATATTCTTCCGCGGGCTTGGACGAAGTAGTCCAACAAGAAAGAAAAAAAAATGCCTGCTTATGCTAAATTGAAGAAAGGTGCGATCACCAGAAGTATGAGTGGCATATTTTAACAATCTCCTCTTCCCTTATTTTTCCATGCTACCAGATTTGGCACCCTCTGGGTTTCCTTTAGCGCAAGTGAAACGATCAAATATTTTGTCTTGACCTCCACCCACGATACTTCCTACCTCTTTCCCACCGTCGAAACTTCCGATGTCTCCTTCCATACACTGGTGTCCGTTCTGCGGGGTGAAGTTGTATAAGAGCAAGGGAAACCTCAACAACCACATCGAGCAACATCATGAACCCCAGAAGCACTACCACTGCAACGAATGTAACGGATCATGGACCACGGCACTGGGTTACTCTCGCCATACCAAAAAAGTCGGCTGCTCAGGCTGCCACCTCGAGACAAGACACCACGAATCCAAGAAGAGCCTTTACGCCTGTGGCGTGTGCGCTAGAGCCTTTGACGACTTCGGTCTTCGCCAGGACCACCTCTTCACTCACCAACAGAGTGGGGTGGGAAAGGCATCGTGGGACATGAACAATGTCATGCTCGGCTTGCTCTCCCACTCCTCAATCGTCGGACCATGGAATGCTGCGGTTCAGAGGAAGTCCAACAACTACCCCAGTCCTCAATGGCAACCCCGCTGGGACTGGAGCAATCCGCAAGCGGGCGAAGCTCTCGCAGCACTTGAGCACATGCGTTTCGACAATCGGGGGGACCTCGACCGAATCCTAGACAATGTCATGTCGGCGTTGACCTCCGCGAGTGAGCAACAGCTCCATGGAACCGGCTACGACGCGTTGCTGAATATCGACACGGAAATGGACTTCGGGGCCCTTTCGGAAGAAGATTTCGTAAATTACTTGCGTCAGCTTGAGAGCAACCTATAGTATGCCCTCAAATTGTTGACCTTGGTCATGTAGAACTGCTTACCTTTATTGTAAGTTGGTTTGATTTGGCAGACACGTTGATGAGTACGAAACGTGGTTAACGAGCGCTGGAAAGAAGGGTTGGATGGTGTTCAGACTAGCTCTATATCGAATCTAGCGGATCTGTTCGGTGTATGTTTTCTCACAAAAGATGTAATGAGCAATGAATTGATCCCTTATCCCCCGCCATTGGCAATGAGTAATTTTCTTGAAATTGACTTAATCTCTTTCCCCCCGCAATCGCAGACTTCCATGCACCGAAACACGCCAGGAATTCATCGCACTGATTAAACAAGCCATCCGAAATACTACACGTCATTTTCTTAGGATTTAGCAAATGGAACAAAAATTTTAATGCCCTGTGAGTTCTGGAACCAATTATCAAGCCTGGACCTGCACACTACTCACAGTCGTCCTGCCCAAGCCTTCTTTTCCGTAGAAGTCCATGGGGTACACGTCCTCGCCGACGTCTTCCTGCCCTGCCTTCTCCATCCATTTCCCTTCTCGGACACCCAGCGCTACCAACGCCTCGTACGGGCTCAGCAGTGGCCGGGGGAATGCATAACCCCAATCGATGCTCAATCTCGGGCAGGCAATCTGGACCCATGCCTCCACGCCACCGTCTTCCACGTTCGCGCTGTCTTCGTCAACCCCTGCTTTCTTCTTTTCCTCTTTAGTGGCGCTCATGAGCTGGAGTTTGCCCGGGAAAATCTCGCTCAGCAGGATCTTCATGCACGGGATGCCCTTCTGCTTGAGGTGGTTCTCAATCAGCGTGAGGGTGTGCGGGTTTCCCTGGCGGCCCAAGGCACCGAGGATGAGACCCCACTTCCGTGCCTTTCTTGCAGTCTCGATCGCTGACGCGCGGATTGAGTACATCTCAGTGTGTGCGTAGGTCTCGTGAGTCAAGCGACGGCTATATGGGTCGTATCGGTATGAAGGTAGGTGTGGGTTATGGATCTGAGCGGATTCAAGGTGGAAGCGACCGTCTCCGAGGTACAGCAGGCAGTCGGCTTCGATTGGTGCGTCCTTGGAAGCCTTTCCAGTAGCTGAGACTGCCAGAGATTCGGACTTCTGCTTAGGAGTAGAAAAGCGCGGAGATGTACAGCCCAGGATTTCGCCTTTGGATAGCGGCATTATTTGGGGTACAATGATATTGTAACCTTCTCTCCGCAGCTGTGGCGCAAGGCCGTGGATCGTTGCGTTGAACTGAATTGTGCCTACCATGGCAATGGTTTGTCCCGGCTTGAAATTCCGGACAATCGTGTCGGCGAGATGCTGCGTATCGATCCCAATGCTGACGAACACATACAGTGTTGCGATCTTGGTGACCGCAACGGGTATCAAACAACTATGTGCGTAGTGAACCAGCAGATCACAGCCCAAAGCTCGAGCAGTAAAATCGTCAATACAGCAAGCGCCGTATGTGACGTCACCCATTATTGTTGTGGTTATACCGGGGCAGAATTGCGTGAGAATGTCGGATATTGTTGTCGCGAAGAGCAAAAGGCCCTCGGGGAGCTGGAGTGCCACAGACTTGTGGCCATTCTGGCGGATACGGTGGATGGTCTTGTGGATTTCGAAGTTGTAGTTTGAGGGAAGAAGCGAGATAGCGGCATTGATGTCCGGATCTTCAAGGATAGAGGCAGGAATGTTATTCAGCGCGCGTGCTGTTCTCCGGGGTTGCGCAACTGCAAACGACTGTTAGCACATGTCCACAACGAAGCCTCCGACCGCCAAAGCTGTGCCCCAAGCCTCTGCGCGCCGCTGACTGTATTCCCTTGGGTCGCGCAGGCCTGTAGGCACCCAAATAATCATATCACCATCGTACCTTGTATTGCGCCGCTATCCTCGATATTTGCGTTTGGGTCGGCCTTCGCTTTCGCAGCAGCAGCACTCTCTGCCGCCCTACGGCCGACGAATCTCTTCTTCGGCTGCTTGGGAGCAATGTTGGGCTCGCCGCTCAACTCCTCCTCAGGAGTTGGCCCCAAGTTTGTGGCAGCCCGATCCTCTTCCATGTCGATAGCGGGGTCGTGAATTTTTCGGCGGCGGCGCGATGGAAGATGTGGGGTGAAATTCACCCAAAAAGTTGGTCGACTGGAAGATGCTTCGGTGCAATCAGTCGATGCGTGCGGTGGGCGAGTCGTATCAACAGGCGTAGAGGGAGTGGATTGGGGTTGTTGCAGGCCGAATATTTTGTTCAGACGAGGCGCTGGGCAGTCGGGCGATCAGGCGGCGGAAAGCGAGTCAAAGCAACGGCAATTAGTTTCAGCCTTATCGGCTTAGGCCCGGCTTAACGTTACCCCACACGATGTCATTCCACACTCCCTGACTAGAGCTTCTAACAGCTTCCGTCCGATTTTCATACCTCAGTACTCCCACAATGTCATTCATCGCGCGAAGAACCTGCCGGAGGCTTGCCCGTCCCACGTTCCCAACCTTTACGCGCCGTTGTCTCTCGGCCCCGACATCAGATCATGTCCGTCTCGTCGAGGTCGGCCCGCGCGATGGTCTCCAGAACGAGAAGACGAGCATCCCCGTCAACACCAAGATAGATTTCGTCAATCGTCTGGCCACAACTGGCTTGAAGGTGATAGAAGCTGGCAGCTTTGTCAGTCCGAAATGGACACCTCAAGTGAGCCAACCGTCCACTCCTAACTTCCCCGCTCGTCGGCTAACCATCCTCCACGCAGATGGCCAATTCCTCCGAGATACTCGAGCACATCCTCAAAACTCCCCCCAAATCGACCGAGCCTATAATCTACCAGTTTCTCATGCCCAATGAGAAAGGCCTCGACAACTTCCTCAATGTCTACAACGCCCACGTCGCTGCCGCCACCGACAAAGGCCCCGCACTAAACACCTCGTCACAAGACCCCAACGCCATGCCCTCCGCGGCCTCTGGCGCCGCCGCCATGTCCCCGACCCCGGAGATCGAAGTCTCCATCTTCACCGCCGCGACCGAGACGTTCACGCGCAAAAACACCAACTGCAGCATCGCCGAATCCCTGCAGCGCTTCGAGCCGCTCATGGCGCGCGCCCGCGACAACAAGCTGCGCGTGCGCGCCTACATCTCGGTCGCGCTGGGCTGCCCGTACGAAGGGCCGAACGTGAACCCGCACGCGGTGGCGGACCTGGCCGTGTCGCTGCTCGAGCTGGGCGCCGACATCATCTCCGTCGCCGACACGACGGGCATGGGCACCGCGCCCCGCACCCGCGAGCTGCTGCGCACCCTGCAGGCCGCCGGCGTCGAGCGCCAGGACCTCGCCCTGCACTTCCACGACACGTACGGCCAGGCCCTCGTCAATACGGTTGTCGGCCTCGAGCACGGCGTGCGCGAGTTCGATGCTGCCGTTGCGGGGCTCGGTGGCTGCCCGTACAGCCCTGGCGCCACCGGCAACGTCGCGACTGAGGATCTCGTGCACCTGTTTGAGAGTTTGGGCCTGCGGACCGGCGTGGATATTCAGAAGTTGGCGGAGGTGGGCAAGTGGATTTCAGGGGAGATTGGGAGGACCAATGAGAGCAGGGCAGGTAAGGCGACCCTGGCGAGGATCGCTAGGGAGAAAGGGGAGGGGTGTTGAGAGATGTTGAGAGCCTCTCCTGAAAGGGTGAGAGTGGAGTTATCTGGGTGGGGGGTCTTTGAAGATCTATATTGATTTAGCATAGCATACATTGCGCGGCACAGAGCCTGAAAAATTCGAAATCATCGTTTTTTATCTCTCTTAAAAGTGATGTGTTAAGAGCAATGTGCAACGGGTATTTGGATATATATCATCCACGTTATTTGCCATCTACCCGGCCGACTGACCCGAGACGAAATACCACTAAAGCAATGGTATCTTTCCCGTACTCCGTGCTTGAGAAAACAATGTAAAGAAAACGAGCGCGGGCAAGAAGCCCGTCTGTCATGAGCTCGCCTGGAGAATGCCCAGCGAACGTCAAGGGGCGTCTACGCCAGAAACCAATGATGAAACAATACCGTACAAGACGTGTCGTCCTCGAGTCGATCGTACAATGACAGAAAGGAAAAGTAGACTTTTCTTCCTCAACAAAACTCCTACATCCAGACCTAGTTTGCATATCTTCAAGCCGCCACCTTCGGCGGCTCGTCGTGACGTTCCGGCTCGTACGTTGTCTCACCCAATATCGAGGGACCGGAGGGCGGTGCGGGGACGGTGGGTTGCTGCGGCTTGTTCGCGGCGGCTTGTAACCTCTGGTCCAACACCTTCAGCGCCAGCGCTCTCCTCCTCTCGGCCTCTTCCCTGCGGCCTCCTCTCGCTCCTCTGCCCGGGTTCATGAGACTCGGCAGACCGCCCTCGGCGCGCGCCATCGCCTGCTCGTTGCCCGCATCAATGGCCTCGTGCGAGAAGGGCGTGCAGATCCTAATCGCCACTAGCGCGTTGTAAACCTGATCCGCGAACAAGCCAACCGGGGTCTGCAGCGGCTCGGGGAAGAAGTGGGCGAAGGAGAAGGTGTCGGACGCGTCGCCGCGGACAAAGGCGTCCTCGCCGGTGGAGGTGGAGGCGAGCGAGGGGGACATGCGGAAGAAGCGCAGGTAGATCCACGCCGTGAAGAAGCCAAACCACGACAGGAAGGTGGCGGTCTCGGTGCCGAAGAGGACGCCGGAGAGGGTATTGGCGATGAGGAAGATGATCGGGAAGTGTTTGACGCGCATGCGGATCGCGCCCCTAGCGATGGAGACGGTGTGCTCCGGGACCAGTTGCTTGAAAGAAACGAGGAAGCCGGCTTGGATCGCGATGCCACCGGAGATCGTTGCCGTCCTGTGGAAACGTTAGTAAACTGCTTGTGTTGGGCGGACTGAAAGCCGAGACGTACATAGCTTCCTCGTTCTTGGAAACGGCATAGCCAATGACGTAAAGGAGATAAGTCAATATGTTGGGTATCATGGAAACGAAGAGAACGAATTTGGCAAACTCGGCGGAGCTCCAGGCACGCTCCAGATAGCGGCCGCCGTAGAAGATGGTGAGGCCGGTGATCAACAGGCCGAAAATGTTCTCCTCCACAACGGTTGCAATCAGAAAGACCCATGGGTATACAATAGCTGTTGAGGGAATGATGGCCAGGTATGGGGCGCCATCTCCAGCGCTAACAAGCGGCTTGCCCACGCCCTGCACCCAGTCGCTGTAGCCCGGCCGCAGGATCCAATTGAGCAGGGTAAAGATGAACAGACAGACCAGCAGGCCGCGGGTGAGGGGTGGGACGTTGATGCGCATGGCGGAGGCGCTGGAGAGGGACACGGGGAGCTTGGAAAGCTTTTGGGAGGTCCCTGGATTGCGGGGCGCCTGGGAGAGATGCGGCGCGGGGATGCAGCGGCGGGTTGGCTGAGCAGGTTCGGCGGGGGCGCCTCGACGGGCGCGCGCAGAGGGAGCGGAGCGTGGTGGTGGTGTGGTGTCGGCCGGGAGTTTGGCGATCTGGAGGCTGGGCTGGTCCCTTGTGAGACGACGTGGTGCGCAGGGCCTGGGGCTGTGGCCCTCTTGCACAGACGGCTCGCGCCGATCATCCATCCCCAGGGCAGCCGGAGCCTGCGCGCCAAGCAAAGCAGCAACGGGTCCATCCAGCGCCGCACCCAGCCCGACGAGCCTCTCTCCACTCCACACCGCAGACCCATTCCCAGACAGGTCGCTTCACCCACCCAAGATCCAGGAACCCACCCCCGGGAGCCCGCTGCGCGCGCGCGACATCATGCGCCATGACCGAGCACCTCTCCTCCAACGTCGTCAACTACCTGGTCTGGAGGTATCTGCAAGAGGCTGGTACGTCACTGTTCCCGGATGCACGCGTTTTCTCCCCAAACACAAGCCCCCGCCAAACCATGTCGTGTCTGGATGCACCTCTGCCTGCGCACCCTGCTCGCGCGTCGAAGCCGAGCTCGGCTGCTCCGCCGCCACCGCGCGCCGACCTCCGCATCCGTGAAAGCCTTGCCCACCCGTCCATTCTAATTTTCAAAAGGATACGCCAAAGCAGCGCTGGCGCTGGCGCATGATTGGAACGATGAGCCCGAGACGCTGCCCTTCGCCGACAAGGTCCAGACGCACACGCTGCTGCGCATGCTCCAAGATGGCCTGTGGCTCGATGATATGCGCGCCGCTGCCTCCAATGTACGTGCCCGCCGCTCCCCTATCGAGAATGCATCGTGCTAAGACTGCCAGGGTACCGAGGAACGCCGCTACCAGTTTGGCCGCGATCACGGCCGTCCCTTTGCCCGTTACAACGGCGACGCGCGCCGCCGGAAAACCCTGTCGAGCCGACGCGTGCGGAAGGAAGAAGTCAATGGAACCGCCGCTGATGGAGACGCCCCCGCCCGGAAGAAGAAGAAAGGCAGCAATGAGGCGCAGGCGCGTGTGAATGGCGATATGGAGATCGAAACTAATGGCGCTCCCGCCGAGTCGGAAGCCATTGTTTCGGATGCTGATTCGGTTATCGAGGAAGAAGTGGCGCCCTTGGTCACCACCCTGAGTCTCGGCGAAAGCGGCGGGCTGCAGACTGAGAAGATCACAGATCTAGGGCCTCAGACCACCTTTTTACGAATTGACGAGCCAGGAGCCACTGTAGTCCACACCGAGTGGAGTCCCACGGAGCCTCAGCTCCTCCTAACGGCTGGCGAATCCCTGTTACGCATCTACCACATCCCCAATTCATCACAAACCCAGCCAGACGCCCCGACAGAACCCGTATCACGAGACCTGGACATCGGTCTGAATCACCCAACCGTTACCGCTGTCGCCTGGACCTTGCCTGGCGAGGCACTCATTGGCACGCTGGAAGATATGACCGCAGACAGCGGCGAGAAGATGACCAAAGGAAAGCTTTACCATCTAAGCGAAGGCGGACTGCAGACACGCTTGGTCACGGCTGTGCTTGGCAGTGTGTTTGCTCTGCGCTACAACGCGCCAGCGAACCTCCTCCTGAGCGTGTGCAGCACAGATGTCAACTCGCGCATCTGTGTGTGGAAGGAGATAAAGCAGGAGCCTCTCTACAGCGCACAGACCGACCATCCCGTTTTCGCAGCCGAATGGATGAACGACTCGACATTTGTCGTGGCCGGTTACGGAATCCTTGAGGTCTACGAAATTACCGCTGAAAACAAGCTGGTAGTCCAAAAATCCTTCACAACAAGCACGCGCTGGGAGAACCTCCGCTACGATCCCGTCTGCAACATTATAGCCTGCAGCAGCGCTTCCGACGAAACTCATCCAAAACTCGGTCTCATTCTCCCCGGAGACACGGAAATACGCACGCACGAGTTCGCACCGGGAGAAGATATCACCGGCCTTGAATTCCAACCGATTACCAATCCCGCCTCGCATAACGCCGACTCGCATCGCCTGCTCGCAACATCCTCAGACTCTGGCTTCTGGACGGTTCAATTTTGGAATGCGAAGAAGCCATTTGAGAACGTGCAAAGATTTTCGAGCGGTTCAGTCATCGAAATTGCCTTCTCACCAGATGGCTATCTTCTGGCCGCTGCTGGAACCGACACGGTGACCTTCTGGGATCCAGAAGTCGGGATAGCAAAGGCCAAGTGGAAACCGGCAGACAACGACGAACAAAAATGGGACACCACTTTGCCAGATGCACGGGATACGGAGCTGGAGCATCTCCTGAGATGGGATGCAGACGGAAAAAAGTTGGCGTACAAATTGGGGAACCAGGTATGTCTCTTCCCGGCTGTCGAAGTTCGACACTAACAGCGAGTTGCAGGTTGCGATTATCAATTTCTGGTCGATGAATTCCACGGCGCAGAAAGTGTAATAATACGAGGAGACCGCAATTATGCATTCAAGATTCACCATGAGAGAGACATTTTGGGCGCACTGTTTTGGCGGCGTTTCTTTGCGTACGACTGGATTGGCAAAGGGTCAAATGTTCATGAATTTCTTGGCTGGACAGAGAAGGGTGGACAAGAGACGGAGCGTGGAGTTGACAGGGTAGGAAAACATGTACACCTGTTGCGCTGGATCAGTCAACGGCGGCTTGAACCCAATGCATTAGTTCCGAGCCCCGCGAGCCCGGTTCCGTCGTTCGGTCCCGGCAGCCAGTTACATGCGACGTTGACGCCAGTGTTGGACCTGGTGAGATGGATTCCTGACCCAATCACCGAGGGCTGGTACCTCTCCACTCCTGCAGCCAGTTACCTCGGATTTGTGTACAGCATACGGCCATTCAGCCAATTGGGAACTTGACGAGATGCGCCTGACGTCTGTGGCGAGTCATTGGTGGGTTCGGAATTGGAGCCGCTCCAGAACCGGCCGGTACTTCCGACAAGGGCCTGTCGGCAATCCGTCGAGTTCTTATGGCCGGTTTCGCTTTGTCTGTTCCGGGTCCGTCTGGTCACCACTTTAAAAAGTCAGCCAATAACGGGAGCGATCCTTCAGTCCGACCATCCAGACTACGACCGTTTCGGCAATTTTGTAAGGAGCAGTGCCGAGCACAGAGCAACCCCGCAACGCCTCTTTGTGGGGAAGAAGCTTGAGGGGCACAACGCTTGTCTATACCGCTCATTCTGAAGGTGTGGAGCAAACATGTTACATATCCTCCGCAAATCATGCCATTATTATCCACTCCAACTGCTTACTGGCTGCTCGATCGCCGGCAGCGCCTCTACCCCTCATTTGGCCAATGGACTGGGATGAGCCTTGGACAGCAGGCCATTGCCGGTGGTCCCTACCGGTGTCCCCAACACAAGGAGTCTAGTACCGTTGGACCCATGTGTGGCTTATTCACGCGGGTGAATGGTGTGCGGGATTGAACCGCGCGTGTTGCTTTTATGTTGTTGATGTACCCCCCCTCTTTCCACTCCACTGCTCTCTGAAAGCCATTTGTGTGATATATTAGTCTGTCTTCTTGCCGAGCGCCTTTGATTTGCTCGCTCTAGCTTTGCTTTCGCTGTCACTCTCCATACCCGTCCTTGCTCGAGCGCCATGTCCGCCGTACCCTCGCTCCCCGAGTCACTGTCAGCGAGGAGCAACACCACCCCACCTGACGATGCCCTCCTCCACCGCATCGACTCCGCCAACAATGCCACCAACGGCGTGACCAGCCATCCTCCTCACAAACCCACCACCACGACCACCGCCGCCAAGACATCTTCTTCCCCTCCCACCACCTCCACCTTCACCCTCCACCAAGCGCCCGTCGAGAACCAGCGCCCGCTCCGTGTCATCGTCGTCGGCGCCGGCTACTCAGGCGTATACCTAGGCATCCGCATCCCCGAGCGACTGCGCAACGTATCGCTACGCATCTACGAGAAAAACGCCGGCATCGGCGGCACGTGGTGGGAGAACCGCTACCCGGGCTGCGCGTGCGACATCCCGTCGCACTCGTACCAGTACTCTTTCGCGCCGAACACGCAGTGGAGCAGCCTGTACGCGCCTGCCGCCGAGATACAGCGGTACATTGAGCGCACGGCGCGCGAGTACGGGGCGGATCGGTTTATTAAGCTGGGGCATGAGGTGAAGGAGTGTAGGTTTGATCGGGGGAGGGGCGTGTGGAGGGTGGAGGTGAGGGAGGGGGCGACGGGGAGGGTGTTTGTGGATGAGGCGGAGGTGCTTGTGAGTGCGAGGGGGAATCTGAATACGATGGCGTGGCCGGAGATTGAGGGGTTGGGGAGCTTTGGGGGGGAGGTGATGCATTCGGCGAAGTGGAATGAGAAGTGAGTAGTGGGCGGGTGGATTGATGCTGCTGAAGTGGTGATCTGGGTTGCTGACAGTGGACTAGGTACGACTTCACGAACAAGCGCGTGGGCGTCATTGGTGCTGGCAGCAGTGCTATCCAAATAATACCGAGCCTGCAGAGGCTCCCTGGGACGCAGCTCTCGTGCTTCATCCGGAGCAGGACTTGGATATCCCCACCATTTGGTCAAGAGATGTGGGACAAGCTTGGCCTTACCAGCTTCATAAGTAGAGTGGCCCCCTTCCTTCATCCACCACCATGCGTGTCAGACTAACACCGTCCAGTCCCCGACGAGCTCAAAGCCAAATTCCAATCCGACCCCTCGCACTACCACCAATTCCGCCTCGCCGTCGAAGAAGACGCCAACTCCATCCACGCCGTCACCATGCGCGGCACATCCATGAACCTCGGCGCCAAGAAGGCTTTCGAGGACAACATGCGCCAGCGCCTCGCCGCCCGCCCGGACATCTTCGCCTCCTTGCTGCCGTCCTTCTCCCCGGGTTGCCGCCGCTTGACGCCTGGCCCGGGCTTCCTCGAAGCCCTGACCCAGCCCAATGTTGAATTTGTGAATGAGAGTATCGCGGCGATCGAGCCTCGTGGCGTCCGCACGAAGGATGGCGAGCTGCACGAGATCGACGCCCTCGTCTGCGCCACGGGCTTCCACGTGTCGGCGCCGCCGCCGTTTCCTGTCATCATCGAAGAAGGAACTAGTGGTGGTGGTGGCGCTGTCAGAAGCAACAACGGCGCCGCCGATGGCGTAGACCCAGCCGCCAAGCCCACCACCACCACCACCACCACCACCAGCGGGACCCGGACTCTCCACTCCCACTGGCAGCACCGCGCAACATCCTACCTCAGCCTCGCGACCGACGGCTTCCCCAACCTCTTCATGATGCTGGGGCCCAACAGCGCCATCGGCTCGGGCAGCCTGACGATGATGATCGAGAGCACGGGCGACTACATCGTCAAGTGCGTGCGCAAGATCCAGCGCGACAACATCCGCAGCATGGCCGTCTCCGCGCGCCGCGTGCGCGACTTCACGCAGTACGTCGACGCGTACTTCGAGGGGACGGTCTTCGTCGAGGAGTGCAGGAGCTGGTATCGGAGTGAGGAGGGGAAGATCACGGGGCTGTGGCCGGGGAGTACGAATCATTGTATTGAGGCGTTGAGGAGTCCGCGGTGGGAGGATTGGGAGTACGAGTATGTGGGGGAGGGGGAGGAGGGGGAAGAGGTTAATCGGATGGCGTGGTTGGGGGATGGGTGGAGCCAGAAGCAGAGGGATGGGGTGGATTTGGCGTTTTATTTGTATCCAGAGTTCTTGGATAAGCCGGTGCCGGGGAGGCCGGAGGAGAAGGAGGTGTATAAGGTGAGGCCGTTCTCGTACTGAGAGGCTGTGTGTGCTTGGAGCTTAGATGGGGCATGGGAACGCTGTGAAGATAACGAGTCGAGGATACCACATGACATTTTTTTTTCTTCTTATTCTCACTGCATACTGTGGAGGAATCCGGGGGAGAAGATTGTGCTGCTGCTGGACTTCGCAGACATGTGTCCCCCTCATCAGATGACATCGGATCGGAACTCAATTTTTTTTTTTAGCAAATTCCCACAACCATCTACGCTTCCCCTTCCCACTTTACTTCTGAATCGCGCACTTGTTCCACACCCCCGTCAACGTCATGCCCACCAACTTCTTTATCCTCGAAGGCTTCGCAAACTCCCGCATCTTCGCCTTCGCCTCCGGCTTCTCCACATGCGAAACCTCGATCTTGCGCTCCTCCCCCTCCTTCTCTTCGAAGAAGATGCTGGACTGCGCCCTCTTGCCAGCCTTGTAAAACTTCCCGACCTGCGCCTGCCCGAGCGTCGGCACCGAGTCGAACGGACTACTTGCCGCCGGGAAGTGGTCACGCTCCTCCTCGTCGTCGTCGCTGTCGGTCATGTCCGGGAAGCTGCTGTGGAAGCGGCCGAACGGGTCCGAGTTGGTCATTAGGCGGGAGATGTCGTTCAAGACGTCGTTCTTCAAGTACTCCGGTTCCGATTCCTTTGCAATTTCTCTGCGCTCCTGCGTTCTTGGGGGTACTGAGTGGTTGCGGAAAGTGCGTTCTGTAGTGTTGGAGGGGTTCTTGGTACGATCCGTCTGGCGGGTCGAGGCCTTTCTTGTTGGAAGCGGTTCGCGCTTTTCGGTTGAGATGTCTTCCACGTTCTTCGCTGGCGGGCTTGGAGAGATGGTGGCTGGAGGGTGGATGGCGAGAGGAGACCTCTGGGTGGCCTTTTTGCTGCTTCGGCGCTTGGGGATTGGTATGCCATAAGAAACCGGGGCTTGGTGTGCCTGCGGGGGCTTCTGGGGCGCCTTGGTAGACGAATTCTGTGACTTCTTCTCCTGGGGACGTCCTTTTTGATCCTGCGAGATCTTGCGCAATGGTTGCTCTTGTTGGTTCCGAGACGATGCTGGCGAAGATTTTTGCGGCGGCTTTTGAGATTTCTTCAATGAAAGCTTCCGCTGCAAAGAGCTTGCAGGAGGCTTTGCGGGGACTTTGATCTCAGCATTTTCCTTTCCATTGGGAGCCATCTTTTGCTGGTTTTCAGCATCTTGGCTCTTGTTGGGGTCGAGGTAAATCCACACTCTCGAGGCGCGACTGGACGGAGGGAGGTAGATGTCGCTTTCCTTCGGTGCCGACGGAGCTTCACGCGACAGCCTCCTCTCACGAGCACCCCCATTAAGACAGACCTTGATGACAGAGCAATTCCTGCTGTCGTCCAGGACACCTTTGCGAATCTCCTTGGACACGTTGGGGTGGCCGACCGGTCTTTCGTCGATCCAGAAGCGGATGATCTCGGGGCGGTACTCCAGCACGAACATGAGCTCGTCAGGATCTTTGCCGGCGTCGGCAGGTCGGGTGGCGGCATTGGACGGAGACGGAGCGATGTTGGTCATGTAAATGAGCTCGGCGGAGCCGTCGAGCGGGCCCGGTGGCCGCATCTCGCTGCGGAAGGACGGGTGGACCTGCACGACGGCGTTGACTTTATTGTTGCGGTTGGATGGTGGTCGTTGGTCAGGGTTGCGCGGCGCGTCCATAAGTGGCAGGTTCTTGACGAGGGTCCATGTTTGGTGGTGGTTTCTGCGCAGACTCGGGTTCAAGGGTCGCGCCTTCTGTTTTTGTTGCTGCTGCTGTTGCTGCGGCACGGGTGCTCGTGCGGGCATGTCTGAGACATAGCTGAACTGCAAATTGGGATTCCGATCAGCCGGTGTGTTTCGTGATAATACGAATGCGGGTGTGTGTGCGGATTTTGTTAAGTGATGTCGGGCGGCGGAGCGGGCGCGGGTATTTTTGTGGGGCGGGTACACCGGGGGCACAAAGGGAAAAGGCAAGGACAGCAGATTACGGGCTTGTCATGGTTCAGCAGCTGAATTTTTGTGACAATGTGTTGAGACATGTTGGACGGGAGCACAAGGTCGGCTGGGTTGGTTGTGCGGAAGAAGCGCAAATAGAGGGCGTGGGCGACAGATAAGCATCTCCTCCAGACGGTTACACACTCGTCGCACACGTCCTGCAGGGGCGCTAGGCGCAATAAAAACGCCCCATATAATTATGATGCAATTTAAGATGGCACGCAGGCCCATTCTACGGTGTTCAGAATGTCTTGCTTCAGCCACGTGAGGCGCCACCCCTGTCCACCTGACGTGCATCGCCTACCCGATCTAGTAGGTGCCACCACAGCTGTCACCCTCCATGCGTCCAACTCTACATAATTCTAATAGGACGGATGCGCAGAAGTACTGTTTCGGTAATAATCAAACATTCAGCCAATGCTTCCATTTCGGTCGAAGAATACATGAAAAAAAAAAGTGGTAAACGCGCGCGCCAGTGCTTTCGTCAGTATTGACTGCAAGTCCACTTATTCCGCTGAGCACTCAAAAATTAAAATTCGGCGTGATCATGTGCAAGGGGATATTGAGCAAACTGATTGCCATTTTAGTTTGTTTTGAAAGGTTTGCTGTGTGGAATGTCTATTGTCCTCTAAGCGAACGAGGCCATAAGCAATATAGAAACGAAGGAAAAGGGACCACCAATAACTACAAGAAAGTAGGACGTAAATGAGAGAAGGGGATACAGGTCTTCATCCACCCACTGACTCTAGATATTCGTGTAGTACTGGCACTTGAAGCTGCTGGTCTTATCATTGAACCCCATCGACCCCAAATTTTGCACCGGCCCCCGGATCTGCCGCGACTCCCCAGAGCAGAACCCGTTCTTGTACAGCCAGCAGTATGCCCCAGATACCCAAACAGACGACGCCTTGTCGTTCATCCAAGAGGACAGGTTATAGCACGACTGGTCGGCTCGGACGCGCTGGTTCATGCACACCCCGCGCAGATTCGAGTCGGTGCAGAGTTTGAATTCACGCCAGACGTTAGAGCTGACTCCGACTCCGCGGGCCGAGATGGGAGAGGAACTGTTTGTAACATCGAGTGGTGGCGAGACGGAAGGGACTTCAACGGCCAAAGTAAGGGCGGAGGAGTCGGTGGTGGTAGGCAGAGCGGCAGAGTAGCCGGCTGTGAGGACAAGGAGTGCGATGGTGGTAAGCTGCATTTTTGATGGATGATAGCGGTGATATGTTGTTCTGTACTTTTTCTAGCCCAAAGGAGTGTAAAAGAGGCGTTGTGTCTGGTGTGGGCATGCTGTTCGATAAATATTTGTAGAAGTGGCTGTGGCGTGGCCTGGACAGTTTATAGAGTGTCAATAGGCTGTCAACAGGCGTATGCCGCGCCGCGTAAAGTTTCTTGATGTTGGCGGTTTATTGAAAGTCGAGTGAAAGATTGATCGCGGGACCCTTCCGCCATCGTGCGAACAAGCTTTCGTTGTTACGTGGTTTTGAGGAATAGACAAAGCGCATCAATGAGAGACGGGTGGCAAATTTGGAGGCGCTTTCCCGGTTGTCAATAGAGGGTCAAAGCGCTTTGTACCCGGTCAGGTTCTTCCTCGGGCTCCCATTGGCATTTTCGCCACTGGGAGACTCAACGAAAAACCACAGGTGAGGCACTTCAGCGAAGGTGAACGCGATGACACCCGTCGCGTCGGCTAGCGGCAGTGCAATACTAGCGACACTGTGGTCAGTGACATAAGCGGAGCTCAGCGGCCACTGACCGGGTTCCAAAAACTAGTTTAATCAATAGAAAAGCCCTCGTAGGGACGTTCTAGAGATTAAACTAAAAAGAACAGCTACTACACTTGATCTAAGCCAAAAGGCAAAGAGAGCTGAGGAGAAAGGGAAGTGAGCTTGGGCGCGGGAATGAGGGGTTTAAGTAGGTGCGGGTAGACGGTGATCGGAATCATTGCAGCCGGTCAAGGTGGGCGTGCTGGCTGGGAAACGGGTGGAAATCGCAGATTGTTGGGACCCAACAGTTTGGCAGAAGGCGCCAGCAAAAAAAAGAATGTTCTGGTGTCTCTGAATTCCAGTCTGTTCCGGAGCCTTACCGCAACGTTGACTAAGCCCAAACAACCACAAACCAACACTACACTCATATCCTCCGGCCCATCTGGCCAGATCAGAAAATCCCACAAGCTTTTCCAGTTGTCAATGCAAGTTACGTCCGGAAGGCAGCCGATGAAACCCTCTTTCCAAAGCCATTTGCTCCATGCACCGTTCATCTCACAGTTCACGTTCAAGTGTGCTACCAGTTCCCACAGGGAACTCTCGCATTTAAAAGTCTGTAGTAATATTCCATTAAATATGTGCATATGAGATATACAGATATGTGTATGTAAAATATACAAAGGAAATCTACCAAAAAAAAGGAAAAGTCCTAAAGAATGAAAACCCCCCGACGACCATGCCCAGCACAGCCGCCATGACCCCCTCTCTAATGCATTATCAGGGCTCCGACCTCCTCCACAACTCCTTCCCCATCTTCCCCACCACCACCCTCACCGCCCCCTTCCTCCTCAGCGTCTGCCCATCCTCCTCCTCCTCCTTCCCCTCCCCCTCCTTACGACACCCCACATTCAACTCATCAAACGACAGCGGCCGAAACTGCTCCAACCACTGCTGCGGACTCCTCACCGTCGTCCCCGCCGACGCAGGCGCATCAACCCACGCCAACCTCACCTCATCCCCACCAACCCCAGTGTCTCCGCTGCCGACGTCGTCGGGACCCCACGCCCCGCTGACGCGGCTGGCCACCGGCCGGAAGTCCCTGTGGCCCAGCGGCCGCCGCGGGATGGTGATGACGCTGCCGTCGCTGCTGCGGTTGCCAATACCATTACCACTACGACTACTAGCGCCGCTGGCGGTGCTGTACCTGCCGCTGCTGATGCGGCTGCTGGCGCTGGCGACGGTGGTGGGGGTAGCGGGGGTGGAGTCTTGATCGGTGGGACGGTGGTGGTCCTCCTCGCCGAGGAGGCCGAGGGAGACGGCCATGTCGTAGGGTGTGGGGGGCAGGGGCCCGTTTAGGCGCCTCAGGCGGGTGGAATTGGAGGTCCAGGTTTGTGGGCGGTTCTTGGACTGTTCGCGGAGACGGGGGTTGCTGCGTTTGTGGCGGAGGAGAAGAGCGGGGTGGTCGGTGCGAGGGCGGGTGGTGTCCTTGACGGAAGGGTGGGTGATGGTGATGGTGGGGAGGGAGGGGGCTGAAGAGCGGGAGGGCGGTTGCTCGCTGTCGTCATCTGCTGCAGTTGTGATGGGAGGGATTTCGCCCTCCAGCATGGCCTGCGCGATGCGGACCGCTTCTGGGATCGTCGGCTCTTCTGGCTCCTTGACCTCCTCCTCCTCCTCCTCCTCCTCCTCGGGCTTCTCGTCGATGGAGGAGGGAGAAAGCGGCTGTGTGCCGGGGCGGAGTGCGTTTGGAATACGGCGCCGGCGTTGGGCGGCGTAGCCCATGAGCAGGACGCTGTCCAGCTCGCTGTTCTGCATCTGTGCAGGTCCAACGGTGCGGGCCGAGCGGGTGCTGCTCACGGGACTGCTGTCTCCGCCGATGACTTGGACGTCGCGCTGTTGGAAGCGGGCGTACGGCACGTAAGTGGCGGTCTCTATGTGGGCGCTATCAGTGCTGTCACGGGTCAGCAGCGATGTTGTGGTGTCAAGGCCTGTCACTGACATCCTCGGGTCCCAGGGAATGTAATTATTCATCGAGTCCGGCTCGCTGATGGGGGAAATATCGGCTGCGTTATCGACTGTTCTCGAATTAATCTTGCGAATGGCCAGGGGAGCGGGCCGCTCAGCCTCTGGAACCTCCTCCGCCAACGGCTTGGAGGCCAAGCTTGCACTCTCCCGAGAACGGCGGCCTGACACGAATGAGCGAACCTGCGCCCACCCGGACGGCTCTTTCGAGAAACTGTCCATGACCTTGTGGTCAAGGTTTCTATTCTCTTCTATGCTCGACTGGACGTATTCAGCGAGTGCCCGAGCCTTGCCTGTCGGTGCCATTCTTTTTTCCGGGGCTAAGCTTGTCGATCGCGTGGAGTAGAAAAGAACACTTAAGGTAAAAAGAAACCGCCTGGGTTAGAAGAGAAGGAGAGACACTTGAACGCGCTTGTTAGTTCGAGTACTACGCGCGCACCAACATGATCATATAGGTTGGGCTCTCGGGGATTGTTCAAATTCACAACCGCATTGTTCTCTCCACCGCGTGAACAATGCGCCGACCGTCAAATGTTAGTTTTGCATTGTATCTATACAACGACCATGAACGTCATTGTCTTTACATTGTTCACGAACGTAGGAAGCGCACGAGTCCAGTTTCCATCGTAGGTGGGACGAAAATTCATCATTATGTGTAGAAGTCGATAAAATACTGATGACACAGACTGACCATGGACGGCGGTTGTTCGCACCCTTGAATGCACGACCTGGTTGAATACACCTATACGTTTCAAAATCTTATCAGACATGGAGGGCTAAAACGTTACTTTTAGTACTGTACTGTGCAAGCCTACAAAGCAGCAAATCAGAAGTGTCACGCATTCATTCGCGCACGGTCACCAGAACAACGCGCATACTCTTCTGCCCTTCTTGAGAAGTATCATGGCTCTTTTGCTTCGGTTCAAACAAACTGTAATAAGGCATTGAATTTGATGTTCTTCAATATTTTCTGTATCTTGTAAACTTCACGCGTTGGTATCGTCATCAGTCCACCAAGATACGTCACTTAAAATTGGTTTTTCAAGCAAGTTAACACGCTGGAATAAGCATTAAAGCTAGCGTAAAATTCGCACATTACAGTCCCCTCTCGCAGCCGATGGCTAGCGTGGATTTATTTTTTTGGTCATGTCATGGGTAGTTGAATCTATCGTCCGGACGTGTATGTAGAATTTTTAATTCGTTATTCTCGTCCGGACGATAGCTTTAACTACCTACATACGTTATTTTTCTGAAGCAAAGCTGGGGGCATAGTTACGCTATATTCTAGAGCCCTGCTATCCTTCGCGCTAGCCATCGGCTGCAGCACCCCTTTATATGTATTATGGTGGACATTTCATTCAATATCACCGTTAAGAAGGGAAACAATAAGAAATTTTATAGGAATCTCGCATATTCGATACTACTATAAAGTAACTAACAAAGAGAAACAACAGCTCTCTTTCTACCGACTTCAATCATCACCATTCAGGTCAATGATCTCCTCTTCTCCCTCTTCATACTCGTCGCCTTCATCATCGCTATAGTCAGATGAAGAACTGTCATCCTCATCGGAGCTCCAACCATTTCGCAGCTCTTGATGGATCAGACTGTTCAGCCCTTGGCCTCCGCTAGGCTTATCAACGGGACTCGTTTTGAAAGTAGCCACAGAAGCCATGCTCGACAGTCGTACGGATTTACCCATTTCACCCGCAGAGCGAAACTGAGGTTTATGCTCACGCTTACCATCATCAAGGTGCAGTTCAGAGAAGATACTAAGCCTCTCCTCAGGGAGTTCGTAGTCCGAATAGCTTACGGGTCGAGATGGTGCAGCCTCACTTACGGGTGCCATGAAGTCTGACATGCGGGTCATGCGGGTGGACTCGCGCTCCGGTCGGGGAAGCCGAGGGAGTGGTTTGTCTGAATAGCTTGCAGGTTTAGATGGCGCAGCATCATTTCGAGGTGCCATAAAGTCTGATATGCGGGTCATGCGGTCAGACGGTGGCTCCGGCCTCTCCGTCTCCGTGATAGGGCTGTTGTCAGTCGGACTTCGAATGGACTCAACCGGGGGTTGAGTCACTGATGAAGACTCGGGATGCTCAGTATACTCATGATGCTGGTGAGCACCGTGCTCATGCTCGTCACCACCGCGGTGCTTGTAGTGCTTCCGATGATGCACGAGGCTGTCTCGATATTCGCGGTGCTCATGCCTCCGTTCACGACGCTCCCGACGATCCTCACAGTACTGGCAGTAAGGCTCTTGGTGGTCATGGCGGTGTTTGCGGCGATGTCTTCTGCCAGAACTGGTCGAGGCACTGCTGTTGTTGTGACGGGAAGACTTCTCCTTCGCGGCGCCTGTGTTACGCTTAGACCGTCTTTTTCTCCTCCTGGGAGTCATTACGACTTGGCCGTCAGCACGACGTTTGACAAGGTAGGTCAATCCTGTGTCACGCAGGACATACATCATCTCGACCAGCTTGTTGTTGCGAAAGAGTTTCCGCGTGCGTTCTCTAATCTCCTTGAGAGAGGACACATATTCAAGTACGCGCTCCTTTGCACCGCTCTTGATCTTCCTGTGGCGGGTGTCTTCCATTTCTTAGTCGTCAATTCAACGGTTTGGGGGAACGGAGGGTGTACTGGACAAGGGTTTGGTGAATTGGTTTCGGGCTTGTGTAGGAAAGGGAATGATGCTCGTCGTTAAGGAGTTACTCAGCAAACATTTTATGAGTTGACAGGCACTAGACATTGTCGATGTGTTTCTAAACAATGGCCCATGTTTGTTGTGTAACTGACCAGGACTCGGAAAACGAAACAAAGAAGTGTGAGACACACTTCGAAGAACCACCAACTCCTGCAGTCATAGTCTCTGAACATCTTCGCCGGTCTTCCAATGGCTGTACCTTCGGTTATTGTTGTGCGCATTTGACATCGTGCAACGACTACTCGATCTTGTGTCTTTGCATCTTGTTTCTGAACGCAAAGGTGACCAAGACACCCAGCCCTGCGAAACCCGTACCAAGCCACCATGCGCTCCTGTAACCTTGCAAGATATCTTTCCCTCCGTCGTTAGTTCTGACTTCTAGATTGCCTGCAAAGGCTAAACCAAGACCAATGCTGTAGTTGACCACGGTATTCACAAAACTGCCGGCAGCGCCTTGCTGATCCTTGGGCACTTGATCGCTCACGATCAGGCTCGCACTGGCGAAGCTGAGATCGGGGCCAAATGCGATGAGCACAACGAGAGGAAACGTCATCGGCCAATATTCCTGATCAACAGGCATGAGCGCCAATAATATCTGACCGGTGAAGAAGGCGATCATCGAGGAAATAAAGACAACCCAAGCTGGTACACGAGGCAGTAGATAAACTGCTAGAGCAGCAGCGAGGGCACCATCTACAACCAGCGGTATGAACTGTTGAATGTGAGTAGAGGTTCGGGAAAGGGCCAAGGAGTTTGAATACCTGAAGACAGAGTTCCATCATCGTAATACCACGAAGACGGAGGAGAAATTGAGGTGCGTAGTATTGGAACATGCCGAAACTCATCCATCCGCAAGATAGACTTAGCATGACGGCTGCAAATGCTGGCTTTGTAAACATCGACATGGGCATCACAGGCTGCGGGACGCGATTCTCGATAATGACGAAGAGAACAATTAGAACCAGTCCAATTGCCAGCAGTATGGGTATGTAAGCTGCACTCCAGCCGAAAAGAGGCGCCGCACTTCAATATTTAGCACAATATCCTCGTTGACGGTTCGGATAAGGAGCACTCACTTGAAAGCAAAGAAAATGAGGACCAGACCGGACACGCCCACCGCACTTCCAAGGTAGTCGAAAGACCCCCCATGGGCTATGTTCAGCGCATTGGGGATTACCAGGTGAGCGATTACGCCAGAGCCAAGACACAAAATGCTCATGCTCCAGTAAGTCCATCTCCAGTCGCCGACCAGTTGGGTGAAGATACCGCCCCATGCCAGGCCGGCTACGTACCCGCCAGGTGCAACCGCCCCAAAGATGGCGAAAGCGAGGTTCTTCTTGAAGCCTGGCTTGAAGGCACTGGCCAGAAGGGCGGACGCGTTAGGCATTAGCATCGCAGGGCCAATGCCCCCGAGGGCTCGGAAGATGTCGAAGACAACATCGGAGTCGAAGAAATCACAGAACCCGCAAAGGAGGGAGAAAAGCGATAACCAAATCCAGCCGATAAGCCACAGCACCTTGATGCCGTAAATATCACCAAGCCGGCCTGTCACGAGAACGAAGGCGCCCACGGTAATGCTGCAGCCTTTGTCAGCCGACGCATGAAAAAGACAAACATAAAGAGAGAGCGGAACGCGCCTGTAACTGGCCACAAACCACGACTCCTGAGCAGCGTCATCGCCCACGCCGAGGCCACGCGCAACGCTGCGCACCTGAACGATGGTGTTGCCCAGGTTCATTTGCTGGAAACAGAAGGATCAATCCCGAGAAATTTCCTGTTGCAGTTACGACGGAACGCCCTACCGTGACCAATTGCGCCATCATAACCACCGCGATGAAAGCAACCTCATGCCAGGCCCCGCTGAAAACCCTCTTCTTCCCAACAGATGTCGCGGCATCGTCCACCTCCAACGCATTCAGGATCCTTTCAGACGACGCTTCGTCGCCGGGCTCCGTCGTTCTCGCATTATTGTTGCTGCTGTCCCGCTCGCTTTCGCTGTGCCGCGGATCGACGGGCACATCCTTGCTGTTCTCGCTTCGCAAGCCGGCTGGCTCCGCCGTCGTTACGACCAATGACGATGACATTTTAGGGAGAGGAGGCTGAAATGCACGACATAGCGAGATCCTCGACGGAAGAGACCGCTATTATTGTATGTCACCCGGGGAAAGACCGGAAGAGGAGGCTCCGTTCCACAAGTCCGATAAACCCGAGTCAAAACAAGCCACTATGTCATGCCGGATTTTCCGAACGGCAGAATCACAACATCGTCCGATGCTGCAGCCCGCGATGTTTACCGAAGTGTTGTTGGCAAAGTGGCGAGCTGAGGAGGATGAAATCATCGGAGTCTACACCGAGTGAGTGAGAGCTCGCTTTCCGGCATCGGACCGATATCTTGCATTCCTTTGACTGGTCCCCTGTCGCTCGAGACTCCACAACACGTGATTGTCCAGTGGACCTCAGCAACCCAAATGGGCGGTCTGCAGAATGGCATTGGTCATGACCGCGAGTCGTCATTACCCTCCCTCTTGGCACATGAAGAGATGTGTCCAGAAACAACGCTTCTTGGTGTTCAGGTATGGTTGAAAAAGCGGTCTGAAAAATGATGCCTGAAGAATTTTTATTTTTATCCACCCCCGACAACGCGTTACCGAGAACTTTATCTAAGACCAACGCTATGCAGCCCATTAGCCAAGCGGTGCTGACCCAAAGCCAGCGAGCAAACTCCGATCCTACCCGATGAACGCCTGGACATCACGCCCACTCATATCCTCGTGGTGTATGATATCAAATAAATGTATCCAGAAAGACGCCGCTTTTGATGAGAGGGCGGTACGCTCGTCGTAACAGGGGAAACTCGAGCAAAACGTTGATGTACATTTTGTGCAGAGGTACGGAGCGGTTCCAAAAGAGAAAAAGCATGTTCAACGGCGTCTCCTGCCACTGCCGAAGCCCATGCGCTGTGCAGCTGCAGAACGCTTGGTAGGTCTCGGCGTCTCCATGTCGTCTCCGGAAAGATCCTCGCCATCATCGTCGTCGACCTCTTCCAGATCGTCCTCAGACTCGTCGTCGCCAGTATCATTCTCCGTTTCCTCCGCCTCGTCATCCAAAACATCTTCGTCTTCGCTGCCCTCGTCATCCTCTTCCTCTTCCGCGTTGAGATTCATGGCGCCGTCGTCGTCGCTGCTCTCCACACCTTCCAGATCGTCATCATCACCCAACTTGCTGGCACGCTTCTGCGGTCTGCTGTCGGTGATAGCCTTGGTGTTCTTGTCGGTAGCCGCCTCCTCGTCAGAGTCGCTTTCATCCTGACCCTCAACGTAGATTACACCTTCCTCCTCGTCATCCTCGTCCATATGGGCTGCCTTCTGCATGCTTCTCCGCAGTTCCAGCTGTGCCGAGAGCATATCAAGCTTGCCCTTGAGAGTGAGCAGCGGCTGAAGACCGCTTGCACGCTCCTTGATGACGCGGTTGAGGCTGCCGAGCTCCTTCATTATGTCTTGCCTCCCAGCAAGGTATCCGCCGTGTGAAACGATAGACCATTGGACCCAGACCATGAGGTTTCCTGCACGGCCCGGCCTCTTGTGTAGGCGCTCAGCGAGTCTGCGGAGGAGGTTGGCAACAAGCGTTGAGGGCAAGCGCTCGATGGTGGACCGAACGCTGTTCAGGTCGTTCATTTCGAAACAGGACTCGAGCAGCTCTTTGTCGTTCGTCTTGAGGGCTTGCGTCAGAACCGTACCGAGAGAGGTCGCCGAAGGGGCCGACAGCGCCCTGTTGCCACTTGTTGGTGCCAATGCGCGGGAATCTTGGTTGGGATCCTGGAAAGTAGCCTCAACGTCGACGACTTCCGGTGCGTTAGCCTGGAGCAGCTCGCCAAATGATGGTGGCTCGGCCTCGTCGCCGTCTGCCATTTCAGCGTCGGCGGCCCCCGCCTTTGCATCGGCAGCCTCGTCCTTGTGCTCGTCCGCCGAGTCTTCGAGGTCGCTTTCTTCTTCGCCGCTGGAGATCTCCACAACTGCGTCGGCGCTCGCATCTTGCATGTCGACGTCACCGTGACCGACAATGGCACGCGCCTCGTCGGCGGTGTCCTGCTTCGCACCCTTCACACCATTGGTAGTGGTTGCCTGGACGCGCTTGCCGTCAGCGGACACAAGGGCGGCGAGGCCGGTTTTGCGCGCGGAAGTGCCGTTGGGCTGGGCGGACGTTCGTGCTTTCTTCGCGCTGGGGGTGGGCAGGCCGGCGGCCTTGCGGCGCTGAGCCACTGCAGCAGGCATGGTGAGGAAATCGGACGGCTGGGAGGGCGGTTGGTTTGGAGCGCGCCGTGTGCTGGGTGCCGGCACATCGAAAAATTATCTCAGCTTTTTTCGAGCGGCATGGATTAGATAACGCGCACGGGGGCGCGCTAGGCCGGGTCGGGCAAAGCGCAACCGCGTCAGGGGGCCACAGCTTCGGGCGCGGCAGGAGCCCTCAGCTTTTTTAACAGGCGCCTGCCTCCCTCGCCAGCTGAGCTCTTGGTGTTCTGGCTCGCACCTTCCTGCACGTCGCCCGCGCACACACCCTCTCGTCGCCCATTACTCGCGTCCGCTGATTGGAGCACGCTGCGCGACCACATCGCGGTCTGCAACAACAAAACCAACCACACCCTCGCTGCACCGCTGCGTTGCCCGCGCGCCGCCTGCATCATCCAGCCACTGTCCGCGGCGCCGGCCCTGCTCGTCCGCGGTTCGCCGTCGCCCCGTCAGTCCCGCTGCGTTTTGTTGCGGGAGGCTGCAAAGGTCACGTGGCCTCTGCGCTCGTCCCTCTAGCGGTTTCACTCGGCCCGGGAGCTATTTAATACGTCTACCGCCTTGAGCCTTTCTGAACCTCGATTTTTCCGACCTCGCAAAGTCTCAAGCGCGTCGCAGCCACCCCCACGTCACCGCGCACCCGCCCCGACCTGCTCCGTCAACCACGCGTCACCGCCCTAGCGCGTCCTAACTTTTGCACCCACAACACCACCCCCCGGCTCGCTTGTGCGCGCATAAATCCTGCAACGCGCTAGCTTCCACACAACAGCCCTGTGGTGTCGGCGCGTCGTCGCGTAATCCACAGTGCTGCTGTCCGCCCCCACCTGCGTCGCATGGCCGTGATGACTTCGCCCGCAATGGACAAACCGTCCGTGGAGCCAAAACCCGTTCCATCTGCAGACGCGATGGCCTTGGATGCAAACATCAACGGGTGAGTCGCTCTTCCCTGCCTTTGTCTGCCTTTTAGTTTCCGCGTCCGCCGTCTTTCAGGATATCCTGGCGCATGTAGTTTATTGAACAAATCATTCTGCAGAATCGCAAATGAGCATGATCCGCTGTTTGATGAAGATCCCGCGCCTCACCACGTTGACATTCCTGCGCCCGACGCCGATGCTCCGTCAGACGCCCTGCCAACGCCTGCTACAAACGGTGACGACGCCGTGAACGGTGCCGACTTGCACCCCGACGACGAAGATCCGTTCGCCGACTCCATCGCCGACCCCATCACCGACGTCGAGAGTGGCATCGCGCCCACTGCGCCCTTCCTCGCCGACCAGTCGCTCGAGCAAACGTCGCTTCCCGCACCGCCCGAAAACCTCGCGCCTACCTCGCTCCCGTCTGCGGTCGAGCCTGCGACCTCGGACGTGCGCGAAGATTCCGCATCGGTACCACAAACATCCTTGTCTGCTATAAAGCCTGAAGGCGCGAAGGACGCGCCCGAAGATCTCATGTCTTCAGTCCCGGCGCAACCCAGCGCACCGCCCGCAGAGGACAAGGAGGACAAGGACAAGATGGATGGAGAGGCCCAGACGCAATCTGCAACGACCGACGCGCCTGCTGCCGCGGATGTGCAAAAATCGGACGAGCCGACCGATCTGGTCCCTCCTCCGCCACCTGCAGAGGATGCGCTGCAAACGCCCGCTGCCGCTAAGCCAGATCCTACTACGGCACCAGCAGCACCTGCTATCGCAGACCAGGAGATGACAGATGCGCCGTCGGCAACCAAGACTCGTCCCCGCGAGGATGATGATGACGACGACGATGATGGTCCTTTGGCGAAGCGCGTGCGCACTGCAGATGGGTCTTTGGAACCCAATGCGAGCGGCGAGGCAAAGCAAAAGCAACAGCCACCTCCGCCGATTACCAATGGCGATGTGCCGCCGTCGGCGGGTTCAGACATGGCAGTGACTCCACCTGCCATTAGCAATGCGCCCGAAAAGAAGAAGTACGATTCTCAGGCTCTTACTGCGGCGCAACACAAGTTCCTGATGGATCGTCTGCGCGGCGCAAAGAAGACGAAGCCGGCGGTACCCTTCCTGCAACCCGTGGACCCCGTTGCGCTGAACATCCCTCACTATCCTCAAATCATCACCAGACCCATGGACCTGAGTTCGTTGGAGACAAAGCACAAGGAGAGGCGATACCAGTCGGTAGATGCCTTCATGGACGACTTCTACCTCATGATTGACAATTGCGTTCTGTTCAATGGTCCCCAGCATCCCATCGCGCAATCGGCCTGGAACTTGCAGATGTGGTTTGAGCGTGGCATGCACTTGCTACCCGGGAGGGACGCGCACGTAGAACAACTCCCCAAGAAGCCCAAGAAGTCGAGCTCCGCGAAACCGCCCCGCCGCGAGTCTCGTCCCAACATCCCGGTGCACTCTCCGACCAATTCGACTTCGAACAATGCCACTTTCGCTCTTCAGGCTGATGGCACTCCTATCATCCGGCGAGATTCGTCAACTGGCGACGGACGTCCCAAGCGGGAGATCCATCGCCCGCCGCCCAAGGACCTGCCCTACTCGAACAACCCTCGGCCGAAGAATAAGAAGTCTCAGCTCGAACTAAGGTTCGCGGAGATGGTCATCAACGAGATGATGAAACCGAAGTACCGGGATTTCTCGTACCCTTTCCTCCAGCCTGTAGATCCTGTCGCTCTGAACATCCCGCAATACCTGAAGATAATCAAGAGGCCCATGGACTTGGGCACGGTCCACCAACGGTTCAAGCGTGGTGAGTACACCAACGCGAAGGACGTCAAGATCGATCTTGATCTCATCTTCGCGAATTGCTACAAGTTCAACCCCGAGGGTGATGATGTGAACAAGATGGGCAAAATGCTCGAGGAGGTGTACAGGAAAACGTGGGACAAGAAGACCGAGTGGATGGAGGAGCACGCGCCTGCGTCAGAACCGGCCTCGGAGTCAGAGGATGACGAGGAGGAGGACAGCGACGATGACGAAAACGAAGAGGAAATCAGGCGGAGACAGGCTGAGATTGCCGAGCAGATCATGAAGTTGACACAGGAACAGCTGGCTCTGCAGGCAAAGAAGGGCAAGTCCCCCAAGGTAGCAGCCAAGAAGGGCTCGAAGAAGGATAAGAGCCAGACCAAGTCGAAGAAGCTTTCGAAGCACGCGGTGCCCGCGAAACCCAAGAAGAAGATGAGGCAGATCACCTTTGAGGAGAAGCGCCTGATCTCCGAGACGATCAGCAACTTGGATGAGGTCCAGATGGCAAAGGCAGTCCAGATCATCCGGAATGGAGTGCCTGCTCTTCAGGTAAGAAACCCCCACGTTCCACTTTCCCGCGAATGCTGCTAACCTAGTTGGAGGGCGTCAATGATGACGAGCTCGAACTGGACATCGACACCATCCCCAACGATGTGTTGCATGATCTGCTTAAGTATATCAAGACGGTCAACCCCGCCGCCGCCACAGCCACAGCTGCCGTAGCGACGTACGATGATGACTATGAGCCTCCTTCTCGTAAGAACACTGCCGCGCAGCCCAGAAAGAACAAGCCCATGGGCAAGCACGAGCAGGAGCAGGCGATTGCAGAGATTAAGCAGCGCCTCCAGAACTTTAACAATCGTGGCTCTAGTTCCGACCAGTCGCCAGAGCCTGTGCAGACGACCCAGAGGGACGACTCGAGTGACGACGAGTCGAGTGCATCGGAGAGCGAAGAGGAGTAAGACAGCCATGCGCTGGCCTGAAATGCCGCTGAATGCCTTGCGTGATCCGTTTGTACCGGCTCTGCGATCCTATTCGGTCGACTGGGTCCTTCGGCCGAGCTTTGCGATGCGAGGTGCCTTGGTGAAGCGCCGTCGGGGATTCCGTGTTCCCGTCGGTCTGCCGTGTACAACACCTTTTCTCGCTCTTCCCCCCGATTTATTGCTTCTCTTTCTCTTTTTTTTATTCTGTTCTTGTGCATAGGTCGAGCAGCCCCCTTGCTATTTCCCTGGCTGGGGTTGATGATGGATGACGTTTACGAGGTTTGGTCAAGAAAAATCAAAAGTCGGAGTGACGAGGGTGCGGCGAGAAGCTTTTTTGGGTTTGGAATGAGCAGGTTTGGGCGTCCTTCGACGAGGCTCAGGTTGCGGTAATTCTGGCACAACATTAGCACTCTGTACAGTAGAAAGGATATTGGTGGCGATATGGGCATTCCATGGGAATAGGCATACTGGATTTGCGGATTTGCGCGCAGACGACGAAGGCCGGAAAGCAGACATGGCTCGAGGGCAAACGGAGAGTAGAAAATAGTAGTATCATGATGATGAAAAGAAAAAAGCGAAAATCGAGTCATAAAACGAAAGCAAAGCGGTCTCGCGAGAGCGTGTGTCGAGTCGAGTGCGTGTCGTGTGCCTGCGGGATGTTTGTCAGTATGAAAATTGATTTGTTGAAGCCGAGTGAAGAGCCGCGGCGCCACAAGGGAAAAAAAGCGGCAGCCGCAGCTGAGGCGCAAGCTTCGGTGGTAAGGCGAGGCGTCGAGTGTGTGATTCGTCAGCGGAGGGGAGGCAGCAAAAACCGAGGCGGTCTTGGCGTGGGCGAGCAAGCGGAAAGCGGTTTCGCGATCCGCGTCTTGGGCCCCAGCTTCAGCGCGCCGATTTTCTGAAGCTTCCCCAAACACCACAGCTCCGTCGACCGACCACACCTCTCTCTCTCTACCACCCTCTTCAATTCGCGCGTCGCGCTCCCTCTCTCCGAACTCATATTTCCGCACCGGCTGTCTCATCCAAGCTCTTCGCTTCGAACTCCCCCGCTCGTTCGCAATCCACCCAAGCACGTTACTCCGTCGTCGTTCGCAATGGCGCCCGTCCAGATCAGCGAGGTTAAGGGCAGCGGGCGCGAGAACCGCACCGCCGCGCATTCGCACATCAAGGGCCTCGGCCTGCGGTCCGATGGCACGGCTGAGAAGACCAGCGGCGGTTTCATCGGCCAGGCTGCTGCTCGAGAGGTAACGAGGCCCCCACCACCAACATGAACATTGGTCCCGGAGGAGCTGTGGCAGACATGATTGCAAGAGAGGTGATGTTATCGGGGGCAGATTGTGCTGATGTTTGTGTTGTTTACAGGCATGCGGCGTTGTCGTCGACCTGATCAAGGCGAAGAAGATGTCCGGAAGGGCGGTGCTGCTAGCCGGTGGACCTGGAACCGGTAAGACGGCGCTCGCGCTGGCCGTCGCGCATGAGCTGGGAACCAAGGTGCCGTTTTGCCCGATCGTCGGCAGCGAGATATACTCGGCGGAGGTCAAGAAGACGGAGGCGCTGATGGAGTGCTTCCGGAGAGCTATCGGTACGTTGTGTGGTTTTTGTGGCGGGGAGTGCACCTGACGAGGAATTCCTGGGGAAGTATGGTCTGCTGACGTGTGATTGGGCTAGGTCTGCGCGTTCGCGAAACGAAGGAGGTGTACGAGGGCGAGGTTACGGAGCTCACGCCCGAGGAGGCAGAGAACCCGCTCGGCGGCTACGGCCGCACCATCTCGCACCTGATCATCGTGTTGAAGTCGGCAAAGGGCACGAAGAAGCTCCGCCTGGACCCTTCCATTTACGAGGCTATCCAGAAGGAGCGCGTGCGCCTGGGTGATGTCATTTACATCGAGGCCAACACTGGCGCCGTCAAGCGCGTCGGCCGCTCGGATGCTTATGCCACCGAGTTCGACCTCGAGGCTGAGGAGTACGTGCCTGTGCCCAAGGGCGATGTTCACAAGAAGAAGGAGGTTGTCCAGGATGTTACTCTGCATGACCTGGACATTGCGAACGCAAGACCCCAGGGTGGCCAGGATATCATGAGTATGATGGGCCAGCTGATGAAGCCGCGCAAGACCGAGATCACGGACAAGCTGCGGGCGGAGATCAACAAGGTCGTAAACAAGTACATCGACCAGGGTGTGGCGGAGCTGGTCCCTGGTGTCTTGTTCATCGATGAGGTAAGTTCATCCTTGGTTTCACGACGCCATCCATGTACCAGAGTTGACTTTTTTTTTTCGTTCAGGTCCACATGCTCGACCTCGAGACCTTCACCTTCCTCAACCGCGCCCTGGAATCCACCATCTCGCCCATCGTCATCCTCGCCTCCAACCGCGGCCTCTGCCCCGTCCGCGGCGCCGAGAACATCTTGCCTCCTTCGGCGCACGGCCTGCCCCCGGACCTGCTCGCCCGCCTGCTCATCATCCCCACGCACCCCTACGAGCCCGACGAGGTGCGCCAGATCATCCGCACGCGCGCCCGCACCGAGTCGCTCAAGATCGACGAGGCGGCGCTCTCCAAGGTCGGCGACCTCGGCGTCAAGGTCAGCTTGCGGTATGCGCTTCAGCTGCTGTCGCCCGCGCAGGTCCTGGCAAAGGTTGGTGGTAGGGATGAGATTGGCGTGGCGGATGTGGAGGAGTGTGAGGGCTTGTTTTTGGATGCGGGGAGGAGTGCGCAGGGGGTGGCGCAGGTGAGTGGGTTCATTGCTTGAGGGCGTTCGTTGTAGACTGGTGGTGATGGGGATGGTGATGGGGAGGAGGAGATGATCTGCCATTTTGTTAGGAGACGGAGTTGAGTGGCATGGGTTATAATGCATGTAAGAGTACCCCCCCTTTTTTTGCTGAAGATGGAGGTATGAAAAGCTGGGATTGGCGTTTAAATTTCTTTTTTTCTTTTCCTTGATGTGTAATGCGAGAGAAATGGGAGATATCACTTGCAATTTGCTATTCTTGGTGCCAAGTGCCTGGATTTGAACAAGACAAGGCGGGGATGAAAGAGCCTCCAGCAGTGAACAGCGTACGCTATATACAGACGTCGCTATACTTTACTGACATACCACATTTTCGACGACGAGTTTATTTGAAACGTGAGTTCTGAGAGGATACTTTTGACTATTGTCTAAGAATATATTAAGCGGATGGACGTATGTAGAATTTTAATTCGACATTCTTGTCCGGACGATAGCTTCAACTACCCATACGTTGTTGTAATTCAAGAAAAGAAAAAAAAAAAGGAAAACGCGCACCCCATTCTCCTGGGACTGGTATGTCGCAGATCTAAAGCCTGTAGATCAGCCCTTCGTCGTCAATACTTACCAAGGAAGTTAGTAATAACAAGTTCCGGATGTATGTCAGGACAGCAGCTCTAGAATATAACCGGCAGACGAATTCCGTGCAAGGTTCGTGAGCATGCAAGGCTGCCGCTGATCGCGAATCATTTTCGGTTCTGCTTGCTATTCCGAAACGGGGTGGCCTTGCATAGATTTCTCAAGTCATTGGGCTTTGAGCAACTTATAGTAGCACCTTTCATGCAGCCTCATCTTTTCCCCGCCTTCAGCCTCGCTGTAAGCTTACCCCTAAATGTTCGAAGGCAGTTGCACCAGAAGCCATTTGTCCCTTCTTCTCATCTTACACCTCTGCTCAAATATCATAATTCTGTTCTTTTCCATACAGACGAACAATTATGGCGGATCCCTTGGGGCTCGCTCGCATTTCTCCTTCAATGAGATTGGTAGACAGCGTAAGCTACGCTGTATCTTTCGTACGCCAGTCTTTCATATACTATTACCGCTCATACTCCAAGCTCGAGAAAAACCATGGTCCCTTCCATGCTTTCGTACTGCTATTCATATTCCCAGATGCCTCGAGCGCTATGGACAGCGTGCGAAATAACCTTTTCCGTGCGTCAGATCATGACGTGATGTTGATCAAGAAGTCACTCGCCGACGATTGCAGCATGATGGCAGTGGCGGTAAGGAATTCAAGCTCAGCTATATTCAGGGAATTTCTGATTTCATCATAGGCTGCAATCATTGCTCAAATAGCCATCTCAGCTTTGTCGCTGACAGATCTAAGCTCGACGCATTGGACTGCCAAAGGAGCGTTCATCATCAGCCTAGTTACCGGCACGCTGTCGGTCTTTTATGCCAGCCTTCTACAGCAGAAAATCAGTTCGCTCATCAATCCGGACAGCTTCAAGGATTGGCTCGGCCGACCTGGACACGCAAAGGATCGACGCAAGGTGCAACACAGGATTTCTGAATTCTTACGGATCGAACAAGAGGAGGCTGGGACACACAGAAATCGAGTGTTGGGCAGTGTGGAAGCGGACATAGAGGAATTCGTCATTGCCACAAGATGGAAAAGAGCGTCCGTAAACACGATCCAGATGACGCGAGTTCCAAGTTTGCTCTTGGAGTCCTCGGTGAAGTCTTTCCTCGTTGGTTTGGGGGTATACCTTGGCTGCGTCGCATTTCGGCACTTGGACCAGCCGCAGACAGAAGGTGGTTCAAGGGCGGTCTTCATTGTGTTTGTGGTCATCAGCGCTCTTGGCCTACTGTGCTTCTATATCCCAAAGCTGCTGAAAGAGCTTGAAATGGCACCGATTCGAAGTTGGGATGCAATACTTGGAACAAAGTTGGAAGACCGATTCCGAGGAAAAAACGACGACGAAACCGAACGGCCATCTCCGGGCTTATTATCAGCCGAGCAATCGCGCCGAATAGGAGGAGACGGCACGAACGACATCCGCGGCGATGCCGATCCAGGAGGTCGGCATCCCGAAGACGAGGGACTGCCGAAAGCGAAAGCGCGGGTGGAAGAGTGCATTAGGGCGTCGGCCCAAGCGCAGGAACAGTGCGCAATAGCCCTACGGCAGCTCCTGGAGGAGTTCCAGAAGGTCCACAGCAACAGGGGTGATGGGATCTGAGACGGTCGGACCCAAAGGATCTCAGGGAACGCCGCGCAACTGGACCCACTTGGTCGGAGAGCTTGCGATTGGCGGCGATGCTAGTCTGGACGTTCAGGGAGTGTGCTTGCCTGACTGTTGGTGTCTGAACGAGGGTAGTTTTTGTATTCTGAGGCTTGATGGGAATGGCAGAAGGACAGTGATGGACGCCGTGTGCATTGCTATAGGAATCGATCAATGTTGTATAACGTTGGATGATTAGTGATTAGCGCGTGAGCGGATTAGTAGGCACGCACGCACGGCTGGAGAAGCAACAAGTGGGGTTGCGAAACCGAGCACCAGGACGACGGTTTGGGCGAACACGTTGCAGGCCGCCACTTCCTTCATCATGGCTTGCGTTACACAGGGTTGATTGGAGAGGTGGTGCCAGTTCCACTTGTGCGATCCTCCCGAGCCACATGACCGTGCCTTGGCTGCCGCGCAGCTCGCTATCGCGTTCGCTTTCAACGCTCTTTTTTTCGGCGTGGGACCGGTACAACATCAGCAACAGAACAGGCCGCAAACGTGCGATGCGGACCTCACCGCCTGCGAAATCATGCGCCGGTCAGGCTGCGGTGAGATGGGGAGCGTCAAGGGCGGAACGCAGGTCAGCATTTCGCGCGGAGCGGGAACGCAGGCGGAAGCTACCGCGAGGTGTATAAGAGCGGATGGTACCTGGATCTGGCTTGGGGCCAACAAATTACCTTGGGGCCAAAGGCTGGAGCCTGGCGGCGGCTGAAGCTTACCCCACCCCCTCTGGAGGACGGACCTGCAGCGGTTGCGAGATCTCGGAGCCACCAGTCGCTTTTCAGCCTCAAGCCGGCTATAAGACTGCTCCAATCCGGCCTCGCCCATTTTCGCCCACACCCACCCCATCCCACTTTTGTTTCATGATTTTTTAGCGTTTCCGTTTTGCGACATGATGATACCCATTTACCAGCTGCCTGTTCCCGTTTCCTCGACTTTCCACCACCGGCCCCTGGTCGACCGCAGACACATCCGCCTCCTGCGCCTGCATCCCGGCCACTACGCCCTCCGAAAGGACGCCCCATGGCTCATAGAGTACGAGATCGTGCACGTCAGCCTGGACGCCGCGCCGTTGTTCGAGGCCGTATCCTACGTGTGGGGCAGCTCGAAAAAGACGCAGCTGATCCGCCTGCTCCCCGCCAGTCGCACCCTCGCCGTCACCGACGCCCTGACCCAGGTGCTCGCCCACCTCAACAAAACCTCGACGACCGGCTACCTCTGGATCGACCAACTGTGCGTCAATCAGGATGACGAGCTGGAGCGCAATCACCAAGTGTCGATGATGGGCGAAATCTACAGCAAAGCCAGGAGGACCCTCGTGTGGCTGGGCGAGCCCGACGCCGATTCCAACCTCGTACTGGGGACCCTGGATATCGTCGGTGACCGATCAAAGGACTTTGCTTTTCGCCGGAATCGGAAGGAGGCCGAAGCGCAGGGGAAGAGGGATGTCACGAGACTGCGGACCCACCTGCAGCACGCCATCCCTGGCACTTGCTCCGTACACGGCACCACCAAAGCCGATATGATGGACATGGACGGCCCGGTGGATGAACAAGACGACTACTGCCACCAGTGCTTCGAAGAAGCAGCCACGGACCGCGTGAAGGCTGCATGTCGGGTCATGAATCGGCCCTGGGTGAGTGTGTCACGCGACATTTGCTTTTAAAACACACTAGCTGACTTGCTGATCTGGGAGACCTCTCAAGTTCAACAGATGCTGGATTGTGCAGGAAGTTCTGTTGGCCAAAGAGGTCTACATGACGATCGGAGATTCCAGGCTATCACCTCGTGATTTCCACCGCTCCATCTACGCCAACCTCCACGCTCCGAAATCCCCCTCCTCCTCCTTCAACACCATCGAGCACTACGGCGCCGACGACGAGCCCCCCGGCCTGCGCCCGCTCAGCTTCCTCACCTACTTCTGGGACTCGCTGGACAACAGCGCCCACATCCCCGCCTTCTCATGCATCCTCGACGATCTCCGCGACGGCCTCGCCAGCGGATACTTCAAGGCATCTGATCCGAGAGATGTCATCTACGCTTTCCTCGGCCTCCATCCCCGCGCAACTGAGCTCATCAGCCCGCACTACTCGTGGTCCGTCGAAGACGTCTACGTCGACGCAGCCATGGCCGTCGTCGAAGAAACAGGCGACCTCGGCCTCCTCGGCATCTGCGATTCCCTCTACCACCACCACCAACCCACCTCCACTACCAACCTACCCTCCTGGGCCCCCGACTGGTCCCAAGCCAACCGGCTGAGCTCGCTGTTCGGCCCCGGCCGCGACATGGGTTTCAGCGCATGCGGGCCCTTCAAGCACGCCATCATCCAGCCAGGGCGGCCTCGGTCCCGTTCCCTCGCGGTCATGGGCACACCGATCGACCGCATCACTTACATCCACCCGCAACAGTACCCGCGCGAGCGACCGGGCTGTTTGGTCCGAAACGCAGCGGATACCGGGAGACGGGATTCCCAAACGCCGGACTACTTGGAGTTGGCCAAGACGGCTGAGCAGCTGACACAAGCGCGGTCGCCGCAGTTCGCACCAGTCACCCTGGGGAGGATCCTGAACCTGCTGCTCGCCAAGGAACAGCGCTTCCCGGACGATCATTACCAGTACACGTGGCGCGAGAGGGAGGAGATTTTGTATTACGCGGCCGGCAGGCAGATTGCGCGGGGTAGCGTGGGAGAGGCGTTGGCGCTAGTGCCGGCACCGTCCGTGGTGGGCGATGGGATTTGGCTGCTGAGGGGGTGTCCGGCGCCGGTCGTGCTGAGGCCGGTGGCGGATGGGGGGTACGTTTTGGTGGGGGCTTGTTATTATGAGGGTGTTATGCAGGGGCAGCAGGCGCGGTTGCTGGAGGGGGCTTGTGGGGTTGAGTTGGTTTGAGGGAGAGTGGAGGGGTTGTCTTTGTGTGTGTGTCGTGGGGGCAGTGCCTTGTGATGATATCATGGCTGGCTGCGAAAAGTGCTCGGTCTTCGATGCTGGAAGAGAGGGAGAGAGGAGGAGGAAGGGGAAAGTAAAAGATCTGGTTGCTGAAGGTTGTATTGTTGGCGTCGAAGGAGTTTCGGTTCGCTGGTTAGGTTTGAATGGCGGATAGCTCATCACGTTTTCCTGCCTCTCTCCCTCGTGGATTGGTAGAGGATTGGTTTAGTTATTAATTTTGATACCCATAGCAGGCATAATTTCAATGGTCGACGTCTTCAATACTGCTTACTTGTGCAAGCATTGTTACAGCTGCTTGGCTTACGCATAGCGGCAGCCGCTGATGCGCCTAGTAATTTGGCTGGTGAAGGTTTTTGACCTTTGACGGTCTTTGAATAATGTTATCTATTGCGCTTTTCAGTTAAAGAATACGTGCTTGGTCGTAAAAAGTTGCGCAGGATGTTTTGCAGAATACCTACAGGTAGCGTAAAATCTATTTTCTCTTATGAAGAACATTGGATTTTTAGTGTAACGGATGTCTACAGGTATGGCTATTACTGTAGTGACGAGGAAAAACTTAGACTTTAATTTCGCTGAAGTTCTACTGTAATGAAAAGATGGTAGATCTTAGTGGAAAGTTGGGTTTGGCCGGCGATGGTTGGGTTTAGCCGGCGCTGGTCAGGTTTAGGTTCTTTTGCGGAGAAAAAGAATTGGTTTAGTAATTATCCCTGTTATAAGATTGGCGGCTTTTATCTATCAGTAATCCTTTATACCCCGTGGAAAGGAAGATCGAAGAAACGGCATTCGGAATACTTTCCTCGCTAAAGAGCGGTTCGTTTCGCCTTAATATCCAGCGATCCAACCATACGGTTCGTATAACTCAGGGGACGAGATAGAGTCAGCCATATCTTCCCACCCTCCGAGCAGCAAAACAAAGCATTTACCAACGTAGCTGCAGTAAGCAGCGACGTTCCAGCACTCGGTGCATGCGGAAAAAGTAAATCTTGTATATATACAACACACGCGGATGCACTTCCATCAACCAGCTGTAAGATCTTCATCTTACAACAGCCGCCCGGCTAGCTCAATCGGTAGAGCGTGAGACTCTTAATCTCAAGGCTGCGGGTTCGACCCCCGCGTTGGGCTCAATTCCCACATCTTTTTGTTTTGTTGACGTCTGGGGGTGGTGGTGGCTGCGGAGGGCCGGGGAGAAATTTTTTGGTGGCGGGGTGGCCCGGGCGCACTCTCCCATGCAAGATCTGCTCGCGAACAACGCTGGAAGCTTTGCCTCGGGCCGTTCCGGTTCCTATCCAACAGTCGCGGACCAATTCAAGGTGGAACGGGGGTAATTTTTTGAGAGAGCACTGCAATATCATGGTAGTACTTACACGTTGGATACTTCAGGCACACCTTTCAGTGATCTTCGAGCTCTGTTCGGTGTAAATGAGCCGCTGCGGCTGTTGTTTTACAGGGGATGTGGAGACGAGACAAAACCAGAACAGACTTAATTGCGATTGACAACACTTAAAAATGGCACTTTGCTACAAGTCCTAATCTCTTTACAAGCTTTCAAGAACTAATCTTACAGATGTACTGATGTTTTTCACTGCTCATGGTCCGTTGGAATCATAACATCGTGGAATAACTACCCGGCCACTACTTTCATTATTCACGTTTAAAAAATAAATGTTTTGTCCAACAACTTCACCCCGAAAATCAGGCGTAAAGGACATTTTCTTCTCCAATCTAATCATTAAGAAGACATACGTATATATATGTAAAAAAACCCGCGTTATAAGATCTTAGTATATATAGACCTTTCAGCACCGTAAAATCTCTTAAATAACCGAAGAAATTTAGTATAGCGCGTTTACCTATACGCCCGATTGTGTAAGATAGATCTTATAGAGAAATCTCTATTCCGAGCCTCTAACGGGTACTTAAGAATATTCTATAACGTTCTACCCCGTATTAATAGCCTACTATTTTAACTCTAACAGTGTCTTAAACCTCTATACGAAGAGTATTCGTTAAACGTACTAGCCGTAGAGATTAACTTTAGTACGCCTCTTAGCTAATAATAACTATCGGCTAGACTTCTATAAGACTCTGTACGTGCTAGAACGTCTATAGATAACTCTCGTAGTACTCGGCTTCGCTCTCGTAGTGCTCGGCTTTAACTGTCTTCTCCGTATAGAGATCTACCGTACTATCTACTAAGCTATTTTAGCCTCGTATCTGCTATACTATCAGAGTGTATAAAAAGTTTATAACGTCCGTAACTTACTCTATAACTCATTCTTTTAAACGACATAATAATAGCTCATAATTTTATTATAGTATTAAGGCTTAATTAGTATATATATAATTCTTTTAAGAAGAGGAAGGAAAACTGGACGTGCCCGAGGGACGGTCTAGTTCGAAAGGTACTTGAAACACGAACTTTAACCTATGGCTACGATAATAAGCTGATCAACAGCACTCCCATTTAAACTATCTGCGACATTGGAGAGACTTTCCAAAATTCTGTGAGGTCAGTTCTCAGAAAGACCAAGAAATGGCTTAGGTGAATAGGCCATAGGCGTAGGTTTGTTGTCACTGTGAAAGGGTCAGGTACCCTCCACCGCTGGAGGACTAGCCAGGAGCGCTCCCCCACTGCGATACTCAACCCCTTCCGCTCCTCCCACGGCCCGCTCCCCTTCACCTCAACCATGTTGGTCGCGCTCGCGTACATCTTGCTCATCCTCGACATGCACAGGCGTCAACAGATCTCTATTAATAGTGGACGTAAGTTAATATGGTCCGGGACGCTAAAGGTTGTGAATTCGGATACCTACATCTGGAAAGACAAAGGTAACAGGTAATCGAACCAAGTTCATCCAATTTGGACCTGTCAGCTTTCTCCGCATCAATCAACTCTCCGCACATGCTGCATATGAAACACTCCTCATGCCAAATGTATTCGTCTGCAGCCGGTCAGTCTCCAACCAGGTTTAAAATGCAGGGTAGCTCACCGTCATGAGTCGTGAAGGAGTTGGGTAACTCCTCGTCACGAATTGGCAAATCGCAATATGTACACCACAGCGTCCGTGGTGGCTGGAACTCTTCCCGACAGAACCATGAATTGTCCAGAGCTTCGGCCGCCGATGGTCGGTCTTTTGCAAATGGCTTAAGCATTTGGGCAAGCAGATCAATCCCGTCCGGATGCACTTTGCGTTCCAGACGCTTCCTTGGGAACTTCATCCGGCCGTTGTAGTAATCTTTAAGGTCAGTATACTTGACTGGTCGAGCACCATCCTCATCCAGGAGCTCGAATGCTATTACTCCAACAGCCCAGATATCAACGGCCTTGGTGTACTGGTACCCCTTGGAGCTCGCAACCTTTCCGACTATCTCTGTCATTTCGGGGGCCGCATACTCCGGTGTGCATCGGTCCATGGTGCAGAGGACGGAACCGTCTGAGATGCGCTTGGATATTCCTGAAAGTTCCCATAACGTTAGCTTTGGATGTTCCAAAACAGTCAAGTAGACGTATGTACCAAAGTCACCAATCTTGATCCTCCACTTGGGGCCGGGAGAAGCAACAAAGATGTTCTGTGCGCCAGATTAGTACTGCCGCTCTTCAGTTAATAGTCGAACTTGCATTTACCTCAAGCTTCAGATCGCGGTGGGCGTAGTCGTGGTTGTGCATAATGATCAGCCCCTCAAGCAGCTGTTGTATGATCATCTTCGCTTCCGATTCCCGCAACCTGATTTCCTTTTTGTGGATCGCATCATACAGAGTTCCATGCTGCAAATATTCCATGGCCAGATAACCAAAGTGTTCATCTTCGTACCAACCGAGAAACCGGGCGAAGTATCGGTCATACTGACTATGTCGTTAGCGAAGATGACGGTGATTTGTTTCAAGAAGGAATATTCACCTTTGAGAACTTACTAATTGCCAGCAGCTCTCGGAGCACGGTTGGTCCAACCATACTTTTGGAGACTTGTTTCACGGCCCGGACCTCGAGGGGACATCGCGTTCGTCTTTGGAGCCACACAAACCCATAACCTCCGACCCCGATGGACTTCTCACGAGCCCATGTTTTTTGGCGTCCTCCTTGCAACTTGTCGATAATAATATTACCATTTTCTTTGATGACCGTCTCGAGTTTGAGGGGCTTTGTTTCATCTGTGGTGAGTGTAGAAGTGTCGGAGCGAAAAGAACCGGTGAGGGTCGCGGTGCTGCGGAGGCTAGGAACTAGTGTGCTCCCGGAGAGAATCGTCCCATCCATAGAGAGACTCGTCCCATCAGAGAGACTCATCCCACCCATAGAGAGACTCATCCCGTCCATAGTAGCAAAAAAGAATAATGCGACGTATAGCGAACCCAGCGGGTATCTTTGGATTGGTTAACGCAACTGTTAGGCAAGAAGCCGACGAAGCTTAACAGTCAATAGAATGATGAATACTTAAGCCTATGTGTTGGCAATTGGACCCATATTGGGCCTAGGCTCTCGCTGGTTTTCATTTCCTTCGGCTTATTCAACAAGTTCGGCGTAGACAAGATTAGGCATTGGTCCCGCATCTTCGCTCGGTTAAGTACACAGTATAGTTCGAGACCCACCCCCGTGGTCCCTCTTTTAGCATGCCGGCAAACCAATTTTGAAAGACAACGAATTTCTAGTGGGGAATAATGGCGGGGAGAGAGGTTCGAGCTTCTTTTTTCGTCACCGCCACGGAGCTTTCCGGAGAGTGCACTGACATCCATACCTTACAACACACCGAAGCTCCACAGAGGAGTTGACCGATTAAGATATCGGAGCCGAATGTCAACTCAGCGGGTGTTATCCACGGACTGAAATGCTCGACTATCGTCAGAGGAGCAATTCAAGACTATAGCAATCTTCTCGTCATCGCCGCTTGCAATTTGCATACTTTCGACATGGAAGTAGCAGGTTTAGCTCTGGCTGCCCCTGCAGTCGTGGAATCGGCCTTGAAGTAAGACCCTTTGCTCTTTCATAGTTCTCACCACTTACTATTTTAGATGGTCCGCTGAGTTGAGCACGCGTTGGGATGACTACAAAGACGCAGATGGGAAAGTCGGAGAGGCCGTCCACGAATTGCAAATCATCTCGAGCACCATCCAGATCTGGTCGGACATCCTACGCAAAATCTGGGAAGAGGTGCCCCACGATCTGCAACCTACGCTGACTACCCATCTTCACATTATGGATTCTAAAACACGCCTGGTCGCAGCCAATTTGGATGCCCTGATTGGCTCCCGCGAACGTTTCTGCAGTCCAGAAAGCATTCGGCGAAAACGAGGATCCGTCAAGAAATGGAAATACGCCCTGCACTCTAAAGAAGAGCTCATGAAGAACCTCGAAGAGCTTAGACGTAGCATGCGTTTGTTTGATAGCTGCTTCCAGCTATTGGTCCTCATTCCTTCCCGTAAATTGGACGATTCGATCCGAGGGACAGGAAGCCACAGGGAGGGACCCATGATGCAGTTTAGGAAATTGCGCGCAATACAGTCGGGCCGCTCTACCTCGCCTCTTCCGGGGTCATCCATCTTCCTCGATCCAAACTCCTTCGAATATGTCGATGAAACTCGCATCGAATTCTCCACGGCATCTGTGGCAATACTATCACGCGGCAATATTGACCACAAGGTTCTCGTCGACCGTGCACCGAGCTCGCCAGCAATGTCAAAGGAAGGTGTCCGCAACCTTGCTCGTAAATTTGCTGATGTGGATCCTGCATTTGCCCACGTTCTTCCTTGTAAAGGAGTTCTCCAGACATCCTCTAGCTTCTCTTTCGTTTTCGAAATACCCGAAGGTCTAGGCTCCCCGCAAACGCTCCGCTCCGCCTTGCTGAAACACCGAACAACCTATACTCTTACGCAGCGGATAGATCTCGCGATGTACCTCGCATACAGTACGCTCTTCCTCCACCAGGCTAAGTTTGTCCACAAGAATATCAGACCGGAGACGATCATCCTTCTGTCCAACACCTACAGCGATCACCAGGACGGCTCCTTGGGAAAACCCTATCTCATAGGCTTCGACGAGATTCGGCAAGAAGACGGCGTCACCCAGATGATTGCCGATGATGTTCTCGAAAAAAACATTTACAGGCATCCCGACAGACAAGGGCTCAAGCCTCAGCACCGCTATGCAATGCAACACGACATATACAGCCTGGGTGTGTGTCTGCTCGAGATCGGGATGTGGAAGCCTTTCATCACATACAGCACTGTCACCAAGGGGTAAGTGCCTTCTTATCCAATTTTATCTCCAGCAAACTGAACTGTCATCTTACTGTTGCCACTCATTCCAGAGGTTCTCCAGTGCCAATACCCGTACCGTCTTTCCGCAAAAGGGAGAGAAAACCATTGGAGCTGAAGGAAAAGCTGGTGTCCTACGCCAAGGAGACATTGCCGAGCATCATGGGTGCGATATACACTGATGTAGTCATGTCATGCTTGACATGCCTTGACGAGAATAGCGAGGGTTTCGGTGACCTCGGCGACCTTTTCGATCAGGATGGGGTTATCGTTGGAGTGCGTTACATTGAGAAGGTTCGTTTTTGACTGTCGCTTCCACACTAAATCTCGATTTCTGGACTGACGATGTCATACGAAGGTTCTCAAGAAATTGCACGGAATCAGAGTGTGAAGCGATGAATAGACGGCGGATTTACAAGTACGGCCCTTACGTGCTGGCATGAACTGTCGTCTCTTGCCCAGAAGCGGGACATGGAGTTGCCGGCAAGCTGCGATGCAATGTACAAAAGGAGGAAGGATTTGGAGGAAATGTGTCAACCCCCTCTCATATCAGAATTTTTATTTTCATTGCCTATGACAAAAGCTTCCAGAGGTCGTCCACAAATCTACCATTGCGAAAGTTCACGTGATTGCACCAATCAGCCATTGTGAAGAAACGCAATACCTATGCTTCCGGGATCATCATCTCTCCCAGCATCTAGACCGTCAGTACGACAGTCAAGATGGCCGTGCCCGCTCTATCACCGTCGAACGGCCTCGGTAGGCGTGTTGGGACTCATTATGCCGGCGCTAGAATGGCCCTTGCTGATACCGCCGGTATCATGCCTCAATACCGTAATTGAGAAGTGTGCGTCTGTCTGCGTGTGAAAGTTTAACATAAGCCGCCCTGGTTTCTTTACTCGAGAAATCCCACTTGGCAAGCTCCTTCTCTGTAGCAACGCAGAAATGCTTTCGTGTATATGAGAGAAAAACAAAATCAGTGTCTGCAGTGGGCCTGTTTTCCTTTACCCAGTCTGCGACCTTCCGTGTTGCACACTGAGTGCTGCCGTCGGGTCCATTCTCGAGGAAACACAGATACCTTGGACGGAAGTGGCGAGCGGAAAGACTGTCATAGTCCTCATCAACGTCGTCGACCTCAGAAACTCGATCCAAGACGGGGATATGATGCGAATGTGCCGACATCTCAATGTCGTCAGGGTCGAGCGGTGGAATCTTTACCAACTCATTTCTATCTTCATCATCGTTTCTGTTCTCCAACCGGTTCAAGAAAACCTTTGGGTAGCCCCAGTCGTGGGACCTGACTTTGTCATACCAAACGTCGTTTCTTAAGTCGACTTCAAGGCTCTGGGCGACCAGTATCTAAAAGCAGTGAAGACCCCATCAATGCAACCACGGGGAAGCTTGGATACCTGCCAGCACGTTAAGAAGAAGGCAAGCGTGTATCCACCTGAGAAGCATTATGATCAGGGGTATTGCACCGCAACGCAAGTCCTCGCTACCTTCTTAGAGAATTAGAGGAGAAGGTCCAGCAGAGATTCGGATTTTCGCGGGTACGCGTAACTCAGGCTCACTAGTTGTAACCCATGTCTTTCGCTTCGGTGGGAGATTTTTGGTCGCCATGCCTTCGTAGGACTCTTGTACGAGAAGTGAGACGAGCCTGACATCTTCCGGTCAGAGGAAGTATTCGTAGGCCGCATCTCTCCCTATGGTGTATTCTATACGACTAAAGGCGTCATGTCGTGGATTAGAATTTGCCATGCTATCGAGGTGCAATGAGGTTGTAGGGAGGCGGCGGTTAAGCCGAAGAGAAATCGAGACAGAGCAGTTCATCCCATTACCATAGATTTCTGCCTATTGTTACCCGCCAGCCACGTCGCCACGTTTTTCTGCATGTCAGCAAGAATCTTTTGCTTTCTGAAGCGCATAGCCCCGCTCCCTCGGCACCCCTCCTTCACAGCTTTGGAACTAGGACAATTTGAGTCCTCTTGATTGTGCAACAGACGTAGATTTCTAGGCTGGGGTGCGAGCCTCTTATGCTCTCCTACGACAAGAGGTCGTCTTCTTCTTCTGCCCGATTCGCCGGCAAGGCAGAGTTGAGATACTCCAGAGGACTGGTACTACGGACTTTTACACCGGCACCTCTACCTAAAAAGGGCCTTTGAGCCTCTGTGGGCCAGGCTATCTACTCATAAACTCACAACTTATTTTAATCTGGTGTGGAAAATGCATTTGGATAACGACAATTGCCCCTCCCCTTCTGGCAGGAAGCTGCAAGAAACGACAACGACAGCAAATCCAATTAGCTATAGAAGAGCCACTGAATTACGTTGACATGCAGTACGAAATGACAGGATGAGGTGGTTTCCCCCGTCTCTGTGATTTATTACCCCCATAGATATAGCCACCACGCAGTGGCCCGGGAGGAAATCACATCACCATGCCGAGTAGAACAATACATCTAGATGCATATGTGCAGTGATGAAACTTACTTCTACTGCTAGATAAACGCTTCGACTTCCCATGTAAGGAAGACGTAACATCTCTGCGGCATCGACTCTTTTGCAACTTACTTCGGCGGCGGGTACACTCGTTGATGATCTAACCCCCATCATATACATTTCACGACCATGATTGATGATAATCTCTTTGGTGTGGGAGATGCGCCTCGCTGCATCCGGTAAGCGAAGCGGGCATTGCCGAACATCGCCTCCGGGAGCTCTGTGGAGGCAATTCCAAGCTCGGACGTTGAGTTCATTGAAGGCTTTAACGTATCTTATGTTATGTATTCGAGCCTCAGAAGTCTTTAGTACATATAATCTTTGGATTAAGCATTCCAGGTGCGCGGGAGACTAAGTACCTATGCCGGCAGCGGTGGCCGGAACTCGGCAGTGGGGCGATTATCGTGGCTGCTGCCTGCGAGGGCGGTACAGAGCGGAAGACATTCATTGGTCAACGCAATCCACACTGCGCCACACTACCTACGTGTCAGTACGAGTCTCCACAAGAGCTGAGAATGCCTAGTCTTCTATTTGACCGACAAGCCCCATCTAACATCTGCAAATGATCGACCTGTCTTCATTTTCTTTAGTTGCTGACCTTGCCGACCTTTGTCTATCCATCATGTCAATCAGTCATACAGAATCATGCCAGGGGTCAAAACGGACCGTTATCACTGAATTGAACAGTCACGAACCGAAACGCGCCAAACGAAACGACGAGGGCCCAACAATGATTTCACCAAGCCACTCACGCCCGACGTCTTCTATGGTGGGCGGGGCTGACCGGATGATGATCTGTCAGCTGTGCAAAGCGAAGAAGGTCGACAAGGCTTTCCTTGATGTCATTGAACACCGCGAAAAATCGACCAATATCCCCTCCAGGATGAACCTACCATTCGAAAAGTCATGCTCAACCTGTAGACTGCTTCTTCACGCTCGGGAACGCAAATCAAAGAAATATACGGGGAGCGATGCAACATATTTTTACCGTTACGTCAATGCTGGCACTCCTTCTGCCCCTGCAGAAAGGATTGAAGCGTTCAGACTGGCGGAGCGCGAGTCCGGTCCTCTGAGATTCACCGCTCGACAACCCAGAAAAGACCATATACCTGATACCACCGAATTCAGACAGAGAATGAATCGCCTGGAAGGAGTCAATTTCCTACTTTTCACAGAGCAGATCCGGATTTGTCAGGAGAGACACACAAGATGCCAATTAAAGAATCCAAAAGTTGTACAAGGCTTGAAAGTCATTGATTGCCGGACTCGCAATATTATCCAAGCGCAACCTAATTGTGCTTATGTTGCACTCAGCTATGTTTGGGGCTCCGGAAAGTGCGGTGATCTCCAAAATCCACCGAAGACTATCGCAGATGCACTGTCCGCGACCCTAAACTTAGGTTTCAATTACCTATGGATTGACAGATATTGCATCGATCAACAAGATGCCCGGGAAAAACACACCCAAATCCAACAAATGGGCACGATTTACCGCCAAGCACAAGTCACTATCATAGCCGCTGCCGGAGTTGATCCAAACCATGGGCTTCCTGGAGTCTCTAGCAATCGCCCTCTGAGAAACCCAATCTTGCTCAACCAGCATGTGCTTTACCCCATGCATCAAACATCACAAGAAATGATATCAGTCTCCACTTGGATGTCTCGCGCATGGACATATCAAGAATTCGTCCTGTCAAGACGCCGATTGTTTTTCACGGATCAGCACGCATTCCTACAATGCGAAGAAAATATGATTGAGGAATTGCCCGCATCTTGGAGGGCTACTTTCGCCCCGCGACGGGCAAGCAATATGGGTTGCAACTTGCTGGATACTCTTTCCGTGGATCCAAAAGCTACTGGTATAGTCCGATTCCATGAGACCGTAAGACGATATTCAATGCGAAATTTGACATTCGCGTCGGACGCCTTAAACGGCATTCTGGGGATTCTGTCTACCTTTGAGGAAGGTCCAAATCCAGTCTACAATCTGCACGGCCTTCCATACTTTTTCGATGGAAACAATGCGGAGTTGCCGCTATATTGGCGTATCTTACACGATAAGTTCGCGTCTCCACGGAAACTGAACAATTCTGGTGCCATCGGGAATCGACAGGAAGCTCTTCCTTCGTGGTCATGGACTGCATGGGAGGGTCAAATTATCCTCGATGCGCTCGTTCGCCCGTGGGAAATGTCCATAAAATCGACCAAAATTTCTGTTGAACTGATGAACAGCGACGAGAAGCTGTCCTTAGAAGACTACACACGTCGCAGAATATCCGGGGAAAGCATAATGGTCTCCCCTTTCATCTGGGTGGAAGGCTGGACTCTGTCTGTGGAGTTCAATGGACATGATGACCAATGGCAAATGTTTGGAACAGACAGCGTATCTAAAAGGATTCACATGTCGTTCTACAACGTTCCTTTCACAAGAGAGGATTTGTTGAGCGGTAAAAGACCAGTACGAAATTTGATTGCACTTATACTATACACAAACGGCATATGTGCATTTGGTCTACTCCTTGAAGAAAGTACCCGCGAGTACCACCGTATTGGAGTCATGAGTTGCACCGTAGGTTATGGCTTTCCTAGCCCCATGCCAGAGTCTCATTTGAAGAATATTCGTGGAGTGACTCGAAGGTCCATTAGGATCGGGTGAAAGTTGAGAGATTTGTATACTGGCTCTATCCTTAGGTTAAAATGATAGACTATGTGAATTAAATGGTAAACATATGTATTTAGTCATCATTTTTTTTAAGCAGCACAGTAAGGTGAAGAATGCTTACGCTTCGTTACACACTTTCTGTGTAGAGTTGAAGCAAGTCTCCGAATATTAATGCGAGTTTTAAATCATCAAGCTATTTCCGAAATCAGATTCTGTCAGTCAGAAGCGTTGGAAAGTCAATTTTTTCGGCACCCGATATGGCGTCTTCTGGTCTCGGCAGTATCCAAATAGACCAGAAGTATAGGAGCATGTAGAGTAAGTTAAGTTAATGTCGTATAACATGAGTATGTATCATTCATGATTATCCACAAACTCCCGCTACCCATGCCAAATCACAACAGACACATCAGCAATCATGCCGAAATCAAATGTTTGCAGGCAAAGCACACACTCAGCTCGGCCTCAACTCCACTCCTCACTCATACCAAATTCCCCCTCAACTCCTGCTCCCTCTCAATCGCCTCAAACAGACTCTTAAAATTGCCCGCCCCAAACCCCTCAAAATTCCTCCTCTGAATAATCTCCACAAACACCGTCGGGCGATCCATCAAATGCTTCGTAAAAAGCTGCAGCAGATACCCACCCTCATCAAAGTCAATCAAAATATCCAACTCCTGAATCTTCTCAAAATCCTCCTGCAGCTGCCACCTGTTGACCTTCGCGGTGCGGGCCAGCCGTTCGCGCATGGCGGCGTAGTAGGTGTCGGGGACCTTGATGAACTCGACGCCGCGGGCTTTCAGGTTGGTGATGGTGGCGAGGATGTCGGTGGTGCGCAGGGCGATGTGCTGGACGCCGGCGCCCGAGTTGAAGGCGATGTATTCTTCGATTTGCGACTGCTTCTTGCCGTGCGCCGGCTCGTTGATGGGCATTTTGACGACGTCGTTGGGGGAGGACATGACGATGGATTTGAGGGCGGAGTATTCGCTGTTTTTGATAATCAGCATTTGTTGGATTTTACCCAAATAGGGAGAAAGGGACGTTGGGGGGAGAAGAGTCAACACTCACGTGCAAATATCCTTATCATCAACACTCCAAAACCGATGGAACCCCAGCACGCGCTCGTAGTACTCGCACGCGCCCTCCATCTCGTCCCAATCCTGGTTCCCGACGCAGTGGTCGATGGCCTCAAGGTCGATCTGCGGCAAGAAGCGGGCGGCCGGGTCGACGGCCGTCTCAGAGCGGTAGCCCGGCAGGAAGGTGCCGGTGTAGTCGAGCTTCTGGATAAGCGTGTGCGTCGTGTCGCCGTACGTCTGGATGGTGGCGAGGCGCACGGCGCCATCGGATCCTGCGGATTGCGTGTGCGGCGCGCGCACGACGACGGCGCCGGCCGCGATGGCGGACTCGTACACGCCGTCGACCGAGTCGACTTCGAAGGCGACGTCTGTAGTGCTTTTGTCAGCATCATGCGTACAAACACGATTGGTTGGTCGTCATCAAGGACAAAGTCACGGGACCATGGGGCGGAGATAAGAGGCGTACGTACCCTTGACGGCATCACCGTGCTTCTCCATGTGCGCGTGCATCTCCCGCACTAGCGCCTTTTCCTCGTCGCTGAACTCCGAGCCTTTCTCGATAGCCTCGAGGCTGCGCAGCGGGCTGCTGAGCACGAACGTCACGCCGCCGTTGCGCACGACGTGCGAGGCCACGGCGCGCGACTTGGTCTCGAGGCCCTTGTATGCAACGCGCTCGAAGCCCATGCGCATCATGTAGTAGGAGGCGGCTTGCTTCGCGTTGCCAACCCACCAATGCACATGGTGGTAGCCGCGGTAGGACTGTAGTGAGGCCTCATCGGCGACGGGCTGTGTGGAGGGTGATTGTGGTGGCGAAACGGCGATGGGCGCCATGACTACTGTTTTGTGCGGAAGGTGGTTAAAAAGAGAACAGGACCTGGGTTCTGAAGTTCCTGAAAGAAACCAAGCTGGAAATGCTGTGAAAAATGTGCTCTGAGATTGCTAAATACTCCAGCACGCAGCGCTGTGGTTGAGAGACAGTGAAGGAGAAAAAAGACGGCTCCCCGTACTCCGCTTGCAGTTCATATAGCGAATTTCAACGCATGTGCCGTGTTGCTAATCCCCTCATTGCCGTTCGCTGACGTACCGGTCAGCATCGCAAGAACCGTCGTGGACCGCTTTGTGCCGCTGCACGACCCTTCCCAGTTGGGGAGGTATGGAAGCTTGGATAGCGCGGATGGACGCGGATAGGCGGGGCATGACGATGTCCAAGTGCGGATATCTCAGGAAATCCGTGCCAAGACCGCCGTGGCGCTCGGCTTGCGGCGGGCCAACACGATGCACCTGAACAAAGACGACCTGCGAATAGGCTTGCCACGGATCGCTAATCAGGGGGCCTATTCAGGATCCTGAGGATAAGCCGCCTGCGCGGGGAACCGCGGTGTAGGGAGACCGTCCATGTGCCGCAGGTTGGTGGGGTCATATTATTTTAAATCCGCCTCTTGAGTTGACCTGCCTCCAAATAAGCCGCGCCTACCTTTCGCTTTCCATATACCCATTATTTGCAGCACACCAAGTCAGCATGGTTGCTCCCACGCCTGCTCTCTCGTCAAACGACGCGAAGGTCCTCTCTGCCCTCTTTGACCCCGAGTCTTCGCCCTCGGCCTCGATCAAGGTGGTACCACAACCGCCGCAGAGCCTACCTCACATATCCGACTCGCTTCTCCCAACTCTGCAAGCTGCCGAGCGTTCAGCCATTCTCCCGCTCAACACTCAAAAGCCCTCGCTCGACGACGCCAATGCTGCGATAAAAGCTCTCGGTGAGCTGATTGAGCAACATCCAACCTACGCATCCGCCTATGCAAACCGGGCGCAGGCGCTGCGATTAAGAGTCGAGGATGAGGACAGGATGTTTGAGGATGAGAACGCCGATACAACCGAGGCGCTACTGGCGGACCTCGCAAGGGCAATTGAGCTTGCATCGCCCGCATCACCACAAGACCCACTATCACCACCCCAGGCACGGCTGCTAGCCACAGCACACACGCATCGGGGTTACTTGCTTCTCAAGGCAGCCAAGGCAACTGGTGAAGCAAACCTACAGAGTGGGCCCAAGGAGCTTAGAGGGAGGGATAAGGACAGCTTAGAGGAGATGGCGAGCCGGGAGTTCTTCCTAGGAGGTCGGTACGGCGACAAAACGGCAAAGGAGTTGGCCGTCAGGACGAATCCGTACGCGAAAATGTGCGGCGCCATCGTAAAGCAGGCCATGAGGGAGGAGATGGGCGACGCGCCCAGAATTGACGTCGGAGGTATAGGCGTGTAACTTCTGTAAAGAAAATATCATAATTTAAGAGCCAATCATCAGTCAAAATGAGAGCTGACATGGTGCGAAACGGCCAGCTCATCGCCTTCAAAATCGTTGCACACGGGGCACACCTGCGTTGCCGAGCTGAGGCCTGTCGGTTCACGGGTGTCGTCATGCCGTTCTTGAAGAGGGTGGTCCGGTGGCAAGAAAGCATCTAGACTGTAGCCAGTCGGTGGGCCCTCCAGATCCTCCTCTTCTCTTACGTCGCGGTACCGTATGTCGAATCTCGAGTTTGATGGCCGTGTGGTGGTTCTTACTCCCTGGTAGATGCCGCCATCGGGCTCCCCGTTCCTTCCTAAATTGCTCAGCCCTTCAGACCCAGCTCTTGCTTCTTGCTCGGTGGCCATGCGCCGCACGCGACCCACGCGGCCATCAACGAGGCGAACCTTGATGCCACGCGGGTGGTTGCCGCTGGTCAACACATCCGCAACGGTTCCCTGCACCTGACGGCCGGTGGGCTGATCGATTTTGAGGACGATGGAAACGTGGGCGCCAGCGACGACCTGTTGGATGCTGGGGACGCTTGATGGCGCATTGAAGTTGTTTCGGCCGCCGCGCCCGGAACCGCCTCGTCCTCTACCACCACGGCCTCTCCCTCTGTCGGCGGATTGCTGTTGCTGGGGGCGGCCCTGACGGTTGCGAGGCCGCTGCATCATGGTGGCAGGAATGTGCAAGGTCGGAGAATGAATGACGACAGGGCGAGGGGTTGGGGTATGTGTGGACGGGAAAAAGTTGGTCGGCCGGTCGGGACTGGGGCATGTCGAGCCGAGCTTCCCCGCAAAAGCCAGCGTGCGCAAGTCGCGTTGCTCGGATTTCAAACGCCGACGTCAGTCGCCGCGGAGCAGCGCGAGCTGTTGCGGAAGTGCTGCGGGCGCGCGAAGCTCAAGCCAGCCGGAAGCTATATCCCACTCCTGCACCAGAACAGCCGATCCGCTCCCAATTCTCCAATCGACGCAATGGCTTTGTCGTCTTCCCCGAACCACCACCGCCTTCCTCCGCATTTTAACTCCCCACCCTGACTCTCTCCACGTTCTTTTCCTGTTTAAACTTCCTCCCCTCCTCCAATTCGCACCTGCCAATTGCACATAAGCACCAGAGACAACTGTAACCATGGCGAAGGTGTTTAGCTACGACGAGGGTATGTATCACCTCACCACCACCCCCAGCAGCACTCAACGCTGACGCTCCCTCCCGCAGTGTCCAAGCACAACACTCCCGAGAGCTGTTGGGTAGTCCTGTACGGCCATGTCTACGACGTCACATCCTTCCTGAACGAGCACCCGGGCGGCGCGAAGATCATCCTGCAACTCGCCGGCACCGACGCAACCGAGGAGTACGACCCCATCCACCCACCCGGCATCCTCGAAGAAAGCCTCCCCGCCGAAGCGAAGCTAGGCAAACTCGACGAGACCACCATCCCCAAAATCGAATCCGCCCCGGCGGCGCAACAGCAGGAGGCCAAGTCAGCAGCAGTCGGCGGCGATGCGTCGACGGACGAGCCCGAGGGCCCGCCGGACCTGGACTCGCTGCTCAACCTGGACGACATCGAGGCGGCGGCGACGAAGCAGATCAGCGCCAAGGGCTGGGCCTACTACTACTCGGCCAGCGACGACCTCGCGTCGAAGACTTACAACAACACCGTCTACCGGCAGATCCTGATGCGGCCGCGCGTCTTCGTCGACTGCACGGCGTGCGACACCTCCACCACGCTGCTCGGCCACAAGGTCGACATCCCGCTGTACGTCTCGCCGGCCGCCATGGCGCGCCTGGCGCACCCGGACGGCGAGTGGGGCATCGCGCAGGCGTGCGCGCGCTTCGGCGCGCTGCAGGTCGTCTCGAACAATGCGTCGATGACGCCGGAGCAGGTGGTCGCGGACGCCGCGCCCGGCCAGATGTTCGGGTGGCAGCTGTACGTGCAGACGGAGCGCAAGAAGAGCGAGGCGATGCTGGCGCGCATCGCCAAGCTGCCGGCGTACAAGTTTATCTGCTTGACGCTCGACGCGCCCGTGCCGGGCAAGCGCGAGCACGACGAGCGGAGCAAAAATGTCGGGTCGAACTTGCCCGTGCGGTCGTCGGTGCAGGAGGGGTCTGCGAGCAAGCCGCAGAAGAAGGAGGAGAGCGGTGGTATTGGGAAGAGCTTGTTCCAGGGCACGGCGCCGGATTTGACGTGGAAGACGACGCTGCCTTGGCTCGCGCAGCACACGCAGCTGCCTATCGTGCTGAAGGGCATCCAGACGCATGAGGATGCGTACCTGGCGTCGTTGCATGCGCCGCAGGTTAAGGCTATTATTTTGTCTAACCACGGTGGCCGTGCTATGGACACCGCGCCGCCTGCCGTCCACACGCTGCTCGAGATCAGGAAGTACTGCCCTGAGGTGTTTGATAAGATCGAGGTGTGGGTCGACGGCGGCATCAAGAGAGGCACGGATGTCGTCAAGGCGCTGTGTCTGGGCGCGAAGGCGGTGGGTGTCGGCCGTGCGGCATTGTACGGTCTGGGTGCGGGCGGCAAGGAGGGGGTTGCGAGAGTGTTTGAGAGTGAGTGGCCTGAGATTGCTGATTCGACCTGAAGAACTCATTGCTAACCATGATAACAGTCATCAAGGCAGAGACCGAGACCGCGATGAGGCTACTTGGTGTGGAGAAGGTGGAGGATTTGGGAATGCAGCACGTAAGTTGCTTCACTGTCCATCAAGCTCGTGGGTTGTCTACTAACTGTTACTCAGATCAACGTACGCGCTGTGGAGCGCGATCTCTACGACGGCCCTTCGAACCTGGCCAAGCCTGCATTGTGGGAGAAGGTTAAGGCGAGATTGTAAAAGCATGCGGGTTAGAGGAGTTGAGAGACAGGAGAGACATTTACGAATTCTTCGAGATGAGTTGTCATTCATACCCATAGAGGAACGATATATTTTCTTTCTTCCTTCCATTTGAGCCGACATCATCACATGTGATCTATTCAATACGCTCTCTATACATTTTAGGTGGGACGTATCCAGTGCCAGTCAGAAGCCATTAACCTTCAGGCAAACTATGCACAAAAGCACCTTTATCCCATTGTTCACGGCTTCATCTCCAGTTAGCCGACCTTATCTATTACTTTGCAAACGGAAAGTTAGAAACTCACCGCTAACACCGGTCGAACCTAGGGTTGAGCCTTAGAGCCAGTCGCACCCAGCACAAGGTCTTGCTCTCGTCCAAGTACTTGCTCTATTGGCTCCCCCTGTTTACACCCCTGGCTCAAGTCGGACTCCTGCATCAACGAGATGGTTTGATACAAGCTTTATTGGCGATTATCCATGGCTGGGAGGAAAATCTTAATGGCTGTAAGGTGAGTTCAAGACTGTTGGCCCTTGAGCATGGGTACAGGGGATGTATGAACTGTCAGGCATCTTTCAGGCATCCTTGCATATCATGGACCGAGTTTGGCTTTCAAACCCTGAATGCTGACAAGGGATTGCAGGGTATGTGAGTCTTCTACGTAGGACTTGGTATAGAGCGGTCAGCTATACGCTCGTTAGTGGAAATATTTGCAGGCAGCGAACGGTCGCGCAGATAGGGGTGACGCAAAGATCAAGAAACAGGCTCGACTGCAGCCAACATGGCGGAGAATGGAATGTAAGTATCGCGCCATTCGATGATGAGGCAGATTGAACTTGATGCGAAGCCGGATGAGTGCTGTTATCAGCTAGTTTTGAAGGCTGCCCGGAACGCCATATGCCGCTGACATAGCTGAGGCGGGTCAGCCGATCGAAGGACCCTGCATTTCGATCGTCAAACATCGTGAGCAAAATCAGGAAAATGCAAGTAAGAAACGACTTCTGTGGGCTGCCGGCAGATTTTCAGCCAGTGCTTCACACAAGCCGGTTGGATGCCCGCACTTTGGCCGGCACTGACTCGAGAGTAGATAAGTTCAATTGGCCAGATTGCTGGAGACTCGGTTGCCTGGGGAAACGAAAACGAGAGATCAAAACCCTAAACATCAACACTGTAAACAAGAGGCTCGTGAGCCCAGAATCCACACCCGGCATGATCTCCGCATTCATGACATCAGCGGCTCTGCATCCACCCGCAACGTCCATGGATTGCGGGTGTAGGGCTGAAACGTTCACTCGGAGATTTTGAACCTAGATGACATGTTGTTCTCCCGGAGTCGCCAGCTGGCACGAGCCGCGAAACTCAGGGTGCACGAGAGTCCGAGCACAGGCTAGACGTGGCAGTGAGTTCGAGAAAATTGAGAAGAAAAAAACTTAACCGCTTGAGGAAGAGCCAGCGTGATCTCTTTCGGCAGCTAACAGGCATAGCCCGGCCGACGGACACGACCGAAAGAACAGGCCCTTTAAACACTATCGGGCGCTATTCCCGCAGGCACGATGGAGGAGCTCTTCTTTAGCCGGGCAGCGATCGGCAGTGGCGGTAGCGTGCAGGTCGGGGAGACGGATGTTCTGTGGAGGACACGCATCGACTGACAGAAGGGTTCGGCAATGCCGTTGCTGCAGGTGTTTTGTCGGCGGGCAGGGCCCCGGTGCATCGGCAGCGTCAGGCCTCTGCTGCGAGCATCGGGCAGGAGGAAAGTGGAGGGCTCGTGGTGCGCCGCAGGGTGGTCCGCAGGTCCCTGTATCGGGCCTTCACCGCCGGCCAGCAGAGATCGGCTGGCTCTCAAGCGGATGCAGGCGGGCGCTGGGCGAACCAGATCTGGACTGAGTCGAGGCTCGAGCGAGGCTCTGCAGGCTCCCTCGCGGGAATTGCTCTCAAAATGAGACGGGCGGCTGCATGTCCGCAAGGCTGGGAGCCGGGGCCACAGTGCCAACAATACATGGCTCGTGCAGGATGGAGACGGGACCTTCCCGGCGGATCCAGGACAGCTGCGCGGTGGAGGCGAGCGAGGTGTCGGTGAAGATGCAGGGAGCCGATCGGCGGCGCGCTTAGACGGGGGCGTTGCTCGCGGCAAGGAGCAGCGACGCACCCAGGTTTTGGGCGGTGTTGAAGGCGGGAGGTGTGGTTAAGGGCCCGGTTGGATCGCTGCGATCGGCGCCTGGCCCTGCAGCAAGCGAAGCGTGCGCCTGACGCTGTGCACGGGGGCCTGACGGAAATTCGAGGCCGCAACGACGACACCACCACGCCGCGCCCGGGCCACCGACTCTTCCTCTCCAGCCGGCCGTGCTCGCCGCCCCTCGCGCAGCTCCAGATGCAGCACCTGCAGCGCCAATCGCCAGCACGCCGAGCGCGGCTCCGGCACACGACGCGTCGCCACAGCTGGCCCCCCATATCAGCAGGACCACGGCGCCCTGCCTCCCTCCAGCCAGGCCGGCACCGTTGGGCTAGCTTTCCCGTACCTGCAGCGACGCCGTTCCCGCTCGCACCCCAGCGCTGACGGCATCTGGGCATGAGTCGTCGGGCCCCGAACACGTTGTACGGGTGGAGAGCGCCCGCGCTCGTGCCGTCAATCATGCCTTTGCGCCATCTTCCCTGCGCACGCATCGCTACTTACGTGCATATAGTGTCTTCTGCTCCTGCACCGGTCTCTGTCCCACTTGTTCTGCTTGCCACCTCCACCCGCCGTCGGTCTGCCCGTCGACCGCCCGCCTGTCTGTTGATTTCCGCTGTGTCTTGATTCCCCCTTGTCCCTGATCCGGCGCCTGAGGCTCGATGCGATCGACTCTGACATCACTGTACCGCCTACCGCTTGATCGCCTCTCCGAATGTCTCCCAGCCGCAAGAAGCTCGCAAAGGCGCGGACCCACCCTTCGAAGCGCTCGAGCGAGAGTAATGACTCGCCAAGGCGGCACCAGCGCTCCCAGTCTGACGTCCCCCAGACCCCACATAGTCAGGAGAACCGCTGGAAGAGGAAATCCAGGGACTCGCGTGGCCGTAGCAACTCCGTTCTCTCGCCAAAGAGGCGCCCGTTAAGAGAGCTGTCGCCTTCCGAGCGCAATGGGCGTTCGCCGTCTCCTGAGCGCTGCGAGCAGCCTATTTCCCCCTTGACTGTGACGGAAATGGAGGAAGCTGCACAGAGCGCGAAGCAGCGGGAGCAGGAATCGTCGTTTATGGAAAGACCGGATAGAGGCACGCCGTCGGGAACCTATTTTAAGTCACCCTTCCCTACCCATCCCTCGCAAGTATTGCTGCCAAGCCCCATTACCCCGAGCTTTTTCATTACCTACGACGACGGTCCCGCCGACGACGACACTGAGGAGGACGATAGCCCCGCTGAGGACAGCCCCGCCGAGGACGACCCCGCTGAAGACGACCCCGCTGAGGACGACAGCCCCGCCGAGGAAGAAGAGGAGGACGAAGAGGAAATTTACCAGCCGCACGAGCTGTCTGCTGGCACGTCGGACGCCCCGGAATTCTTCAAAGAACTCGCGGTCGAGCCCATATCTGCGGGAAGCAAGCGCAATTCCATCGACTCCACTACGTCATCCATCGAGGATGAGGATGAATTGCCGTATCCGATTTCCAATCCAAGGCCGTCCAGTGATCTCTATGGCTCCGTCAATTCGCGCAGTTCAATGATGCAGTCCACCATCCGGTCCATTCCTCCCTCAGAGGCCGACCCTTCGGCGACTTCGGTGCGCTCATCAGCATCTTCAGAGACATTTTCGACGCGCCATCATGACGACCGGAAATCTACGGGCAGCAACTGGACAGTCCACGCTCCTATGACTGCGTCAACGCGCCCCACTTCCACCAACCCACGGACCCCTTCCCCTTTCGGACTTTGTGCAACGCCCACGCCTCTATACGGCCCCCGCAGTCCCGGTGTTTCTAAAGACAAACGGCCTGTTTCAACATTCGGTAACCCTCTGTCGCCTTACCTGGAAGATGATGCTGTCATGCGCCCGGTGTCCGCGAGCGATGCATATTCAGGGAAGGTGTCTAATTTTGGCTCCAGAGATGAGCTCCTGGCCGACCTTACCCCTCCTACAATCTTCACTCCATCTCGGAACTCAACAGCCACCAAAGCTTATCAGGCAACATCGGATCCCGACGAACACTACCAAGAAGTTCGTAGCCTATCTCGCAGTGTTTCTGGAATGTCGTCTGCTACCGCCGATGAGAGCGAACCCAGGGCTCTCAGGATGCCAAAGAGGGTTGCGCGGCCTAATGAGCGCCAAAATTGGACTGCACAGCTTTCATCTACTTCAGCTCAGGCCGAACCGATCCACCACCTGCCTCCAATTCCTTCGGCGCCACATAGCCCTCCCCCGACAGAATTCAGCTCCCGTGATACCGCCAGCGCATCTCTCGTGTCTCTCCCGACCATGCAAATCGAAGGTAGCTCGCCGTCATCGAGACCGGACAGCCAAGACAGAGGCGAGGAATCTTCGGCTGCAGCAGCTGCACGACCCCGGCTCAGGAACCCATGGCAATCGATGGACTCGTCGGCTTTCTTCAACATCATGTGCGGTCGAGATTCTGAGACTGGTGAAGACTCGGCAGCGAATTCGCGGCCTGCGACGAAAGCAAGCAGATCAAGCAGTGTCGGAACCGTCCTCTACGTTGCGAAGGGACTTCCTAGATGGGCTAGGTAAGTTGAAACTTCCCCTACGTGGATTAGTCGCTTTTACTCATGACTCCAGGTCGTTTTACTCGAATGGCGACACGAGTGTGATCGGCTCTTCACGTCCCTCCACGCGGTCTAAGCCATCACAGAGTTCTCTCCGCCGCGCCAACACCCACAGCAGCGGTAGCGGCGATAGGCGGAACAACCGTCACGAGAGCCGAACGGCCAGCAGCTCGCGGCCCACTAACACGGCGCCGACAGAGAGCCCAGCATCGTCGCAGTTCAGCATCGCCAGCATCCAACGCCCGCGCAACCGGCCTCGCAGCACCATCATCAGCGAAAACTGGACGCCCTCGCCGAACCTGCCCGCGCAGGCGACCGACGACGAATACGAAGACTCGTACAACCCCCCCTATTCGTCCAGTTCGTCTTCGGACGATGCCGCCAACGACTCGGACTCCAACTTCGACATGTACTCGGCCGGCATCGAGCCGCACGCCCCCAGCACCGCCAACACGAACACGACCGGGACCGGCGGACCGGCGTCGCGCCACCAGCACCACCATCACAACCCGTACCAGCCGCAGCTCCGCAACATCTCGGATGTCCCCACGGCGGCCGACGACTCCCCGCACGGCACCCAGCGCCGCTTCCCGTCGCGCGTGTGGCAGCACTTCTCTGGCCAACTGCGCTACTTCGGCCCCGCCGGTACCCAGAGCCACGAGACGCCTCGCCTGCACCGCGAGAAGAGCTACGCCGCCAGCAACAAGTCGTTCCGGTATCTCCGTCCCAGCAGCTGGATCTGCGGCGATAGCAGCAACATCGACAATCCGAACCGGCCTGCCGCCGACCGTCAGATGTGGCTGTTTTGCCTCGGCTTCTTGCTGCCGTTCGCGTGGATGCTGGCGGCGCTGCTGCCCGTGCCGGAGAAGAAGAAGCGTGGGTTTGGAGAGCGGTTTTACAGTCGACATGGTGAGGAAGAAGACGATGGAGGCAGTCGCGAGGGTGGCGAGCAGCAGATTAGGGTCGAGAAGCGCAGGCAGCGGCGGGAGCAGCAGCGGAATCAGAGCCGCGCTGTGGAGGCGGAAGATGGTACCGGCGGTGTTGTGGATATCGAGGCGCAGATGGAGGCGGCGCAGTTGGGCGCGCTGGCGGAGAGGGAGCGCGTGCGGGCGATTTGGTGGCGTAGGTTGAATAGGCGGATGAGCGTCGTCGGCGTGGCGATTATCGTCGTTGTGGTTGTTGTGGTGGCGGTGACGATGACAGTTTGAGGTTTGAGGGTCTGAGAAGAGGTGGGATTTTTCATTTGTCTGGTCTCCTTTGTCTTCACTTCTTCATCTTTTTGCGGCAAAGGTGTTCAAAGTTTTTGCGCATTTTTTCCATTGCATAGCTTGGTTGGGTTTTTTGTTTCGGACGGGTTTCCTAGATACCTCCCCGTTTCTTTTTGGGTGCATTCCTCCTTTTTAATCGTCGTCGTTTTTTTTTTGCTTTTTTGCTTTCGTTCCCCCTGGAAGTGGGGAACTTTGGAAAAAGGGGGAAACAGATTGGGCATCGTGGTGTTGGTTTTTTTTTCTTTTTCTTGTTTCTTTTGTGTCTATTTCCTCTTCTCTCTTCTCACGACAGCGGTTTATGATCTGAACGAAGGAAAATATGAAAAAGCGAAATGTGGCGAATGGTGGGATTTTATTTTCTTTTTACTATATAAGATTGTATAGTCTTTGACACCTCTTTGTACATATGTAATTTTTTCTTAATCTTCTCTTCTTTCCTTTCCGTCGTGGGATGTATACTAGAAAAAGGGAGGGGCGGTTGGGCGGCGGTCAGTTTCGGGATACTGACAGGAGGCATTCCATTGGGAAAAGGATGAAAGGAAAGGGAAAGATTGTACAGTGTGCGATATGCAAAGCAATTGCTGGCCTAACAGCATATATAAAGGTGGAGGCGGGGTATGTGGAACTAATCAAACATCTAATAATTCGATCATATTTGGCCGTTACCTCCACACATTTGCTCTCCCGCATCATCATGGCAATTGCCGTCTTTCTGATTTCTTCCCCAATCTGCGTTTTTATCACCTTCGTCTCTCTAGCCCCACCTGGATAATCATACAGGTGGCCTTGGACATCTCGCACTGAGGTGGTAAATTCCGTCATTGAACGTTTGGTCCGGGAGGCGCCGGATGATTTTATGAAATGGCGTTGCGGTGGCGCAGGGAGGCGCTTTCAATTTTCACGGGAAGGAGTGCGGGATGCTCCCTTTAGTGTACCACTGGTGAGCGAGTGGAGAATACCTATGCAAAAACGTGGGGCGTGGACACGAGCATACTACGTAGTTGTGCTGATCCAGCTGGGCGGTCGTTATTTCCCACTCTGGGTATCGCTCGTAAATACACGTTTAAGGCAAGTAGAAGCAGATCGCTTACGCAAGAACGAGGCTCACGTATAGGAAGAGGCAGTGAAGTACAGCGACACGAAGAATAGTAGGGCCGTGGAACAGGGGGGACTACGGCCCCCTGCGATAAATGTTTAATATTATCTGTGAGACATTATTCGACTTATGCAGGCGGTTGGAGCTATCGTCCGGACGTGAATGTATAACTTTTAATTCTACATTTAAGTCCGGACAACAGCTTCAACCACCCACGACATGAGCGAAAAACAAATTAACGCTAGCAATACCCCTCTGTAGTGGGAGTGAATCTTTAATATATTGTAGCTAAATATAATCGTAAATCAATTGGACTAGATTCATTCAAACGTGCGCAGCCGAGAACCCCTGAAAAAGAAGGAATCGTCCAAACCAAAATCTCTCATCTCAGTCGTCTATACTTTACTACTAACGTAGCAACTACAGCCGCAAACACAGAGACTCTCGCAGTCAGTGCTAATGCGACTGTCTTCCGCACGATGTCGTAGTAACCCTCGAGCAGGATGCCCACCGCCGACGACCTGGTCGCGGGGTTCTTCTGCCCGAGCCTGCTGTAGTACCGCTCTACGCCCAAACCGCTGATACCCGATTCCGGCGGATCTATCTTGCCGTTCGCGGGCGGGCGGGCCTCGACGCTGTCCAAGCCCTCCTCGACGGTGATGGGGGCCTGGATGCCGTTGTGGTGCTCGGCCAAGACCTTCTCCTTGCGCTTGCGGAAGGAGTACGACGTGGCCCAGAGCAGGAAGCGCACGTCGAGGGGCGTAAAGGTCGGATAAGTCCACAGGCGGACGGCGTTGTAGGGCGGAATCAGGTCGAGGAAGTCGGCCATGATGCCGAGCGTGAGCCCCCAGAGAAGCAAGGGGGTGTCCGTGCTGGCCGACGGCTGCACACTGCTGCCGTTCCACCAATTCGATAGTTGGGCGGACACAGACCGGCCGCTGTGCTGCTCGTCGCCGCCGTCTTCCGGCACGAAGCCAGGGATGGTACTGCAGTACTCGCTCTGCGAGGGGATCAGCCGGATGGCGGCGAAGATCATCTTGCCCAGCATCGCGCGCAGGAACCAGCGCTTTATGCCGACTTCTTGCTTGGCGAGGCGGTTGGACACGTCTTCGTGCCAGTATGTGCGTTGTGTCGGGGAGAGCAGAGCGCGCATCGAGACCCAATGGCAGGACCCGACCTCGGCGGGCTGCAGGCGGAGGGCCGGAGGCTCGGGGTCGGTGAGGAGGTAAATGTACGGGCAGAGAACCATGAGTCTGCTTCATGTTAGCTACCATCCATGTCGACGGCCCGAAGTGGAAGGTGCTTACGGTACTTTCCCCCACGACGTCGTGACGACGCGCTCGGGCAGGTTGCCCACGGGAATCGAGTTGTCGTCGGTCAGCTCGATGCCCACCTCCTCCTCAGTCTCCCTCACGGCGGCGGCGCGGTCGTCGGCGTCCTCAGGGTCTCTGCGGCCGCCGGGCAGGGCGACGTGACTGGTCCACCTGTCGCCCGGACGGTGCGCGCGCTTAATGAACAGCACCTCCGGGTCGCCATGCTGCACCCAGCCCTGCGCGAAGAACCTGTCAAGCCTGCTGTCGACCGACTCGTCCTCACCCCTGCCGCTCCATTGGGCTCTGTTCTGCTTGTCCGGCCAGTGCGAATAGCGCGGTTGGACGCGAATGATAAGCGCTACGGATGCGCGCTTCTTGCAATTCGGCGGGTTCTCGACGTAGGGGTATGGATTTTGCGAGAGGTCTTGGAGTACGGTCTGGAGGTGAGAGAGGAGTTCCGGAGAGGGAGGGGTCTCGGCAGCGGCAGGCTCGCGTGGTGGTGGCATGATTGCGACGTGACGGAGGTGCTGGGGAAAGCGTTCCTGAGGCTGACAATTGACGCGATGTCGGGGGTCCGCTGCGCGAGTCATTCGGGCCGCCATTGCGTCAGTCCGGTTGTCAAATGCGTCTTCCGCTGATAGCCGTTCTGCCTTACTTCCCAACAGTCTTCCTCACTTCATTCTTCACTTTATCAATCGATCTGCATTTGCAAGAAACAACATTCAGTCTATTAGCTACTGCACTGCCTGCTAACTAGCATCACTTCCAGAGTGAATTCAGAGACCATTTTGACGAGTCTCATCGTACTTGTATCTTTCCTCGAGGTCCTGTGCGCAAGTCAGTCTGCCGGTCATGGTCAACCTGCACTCGAGGCGAACAACTTACCCAGTACTTGTTGAAACCAACTCCCTCACAAACTTCCGAGTATGAAAGAATCATCGGAGGCGCGCCTTCCGTCATTGACTTCTTCAGCGCCTCGAGCGTTTCGCGGATGCTCTTGAGCTTCGCTGCAACAAGCGTCCATGGATAGGCCACCGCGCAGAATCCCAACTCGGCCAGATCCTTTGCCGAGAGGTTCTCCGTCTTACCACCCTCGATGACTGCTACCAGTCAGCAACCGTATCCGGTAAGAACTGGCTTCTGAAAAACTCACTGTTGGCAAAGGTAGGAATGCCAACTTCCTCTACGCACTTCTTCATCGATTCACGGTCGGGCAACGCTTCGACGAAGACAGCGTCAACGCCAATTCGCTTGAACTCCTTCGCACGCGCCATAGCTTCCTCCCATCCATGGATCAAAGCGTCCGTCCTGGCAAGAATGAAGATGTCCCTGCCCTCATCCCTCGCATCGCAAGCAGCCTGGATCCGAGCGTATGCTTCGCCCCTGGACACAACTGACTTCCCTTTCGTGTGGCCACACCCTACTAGCAGTTAGCAAGCGTTACAAAATTGCTCCGGATACGTGCTCACGTTTCGGCCAAGTCTGGTCTTCGATCATGACTCCAGCCGCCCCTGCTAGGGCGAACGACTCGACGGTCCTCTTGACGTTGCACGGACTTCCATAGCCGGTATCACCATCAGCCATGATTGGAACCGAGACCTGGCGCACCGTCTCCTGGATCTTGTTGCATACTTCCTGCAGCGCAATGTAGCCGGTATCCGGAAGCCCGTACGAGCTGGCCACGGCGTATCCGGCGAGGAAGGTCATTGGGAATCCTGCTTCTTCGCACAGCCTCGAAGAGAGCCCGTCGTACGAGCAGCAGTGGGCCAGGATCTTTGACGGGTCGTTGTGGGCGTCGAGCATCATGGTGCGGAGACGTGAGGCCTGGATAGATGGGATCTTGCCGCGGACATTCTTCAATGTGATGGTGACGTCCTGCGCCTGTCCCTGCTTTCCTGGCTTTGTAACGTCATGCTCGTCGAACTTGAATGGGTAAGGGACGGTGTTGACGATGGATTTGGACATCTTGTAGGGTTCGTGGGAAATCAGGTATGAAGAAAAGATGAGTTTGAAGTGGCTGTTCCAATCTCAATCCGGTCGCCGCTCACTTCTCTCTTTATATCCCTTCAAGCCCTCAACTCTACACTCAATCTGCCCCCGATGTCGCAATGAATGGTGGGGCAAGAGTGTAATTCCACGGAAACGTAAGGTAAGCACGGATCTCGGCGGATATCTCTGGGCAGGGATCGTGCGAGCCCTTGACCCAAATCGTTACAAGGCGCACGCGGGGCCCCGCGTTCCCCGCACAATCCATGATAGATCATTCGCGCTTAGGCAATGCTTGGCCTTGGATCTACATCGCCCAGACAGATATGTGGCTGGATTTGTCTCCTTGCCGTCTTGGACGTTTTGAATAGCCAGAAGTACCGGATATCTGCTCTACAACGCGGATAGCTCAGCGTCTTGATTTCCTGGCCGAGGGTAAAAGATATACACAACGAAAGAGCCTATATAGATGCAAGTTCTCACAAGGAAGATGCAGCAGATCATTTGTCCGTCTTGCAAGTCCCTCTGCTGTACAACTTTAATCCATCTTCCGTCTGACTCACATCTGTTGAGTCTACCCGGCCCGAATGTCAGCCGTAGACGATATCGAAAGCAAGGCGAAGGGGACTGACATAATGCATATTGAGGATGCTGAGAAAGTAGATCAACGCATTGAAGTGTCGGCATCGGAGCAGACGTATGTTCGGAGAAAGGCGAGTACACAGCTTGCAGTTTAGAATTGCCATACTGACGTTCCACAGTTCGACAGGCGCGTTCTCCCTATTGTCTGTACGCTCTATGTACTGTCATACTTGGATCGCGGCAACATTGGAAATGCGAAGGCCGCAGGTGCAGACAAGGATCTTGGGCTTGACAGCAAACAATGGTAGGTCCGGTTCAGGATTACTCAGATCTCTTCCAAGCATGAAGCGACCAGCATTGCTGGACTGGACTCGGTAGCTGATTCGTTTCAGGAGCTGGGTTCTCAACGCCTTCTACATCAGCTATGTGCTGATGGAATGGACAACGATGCTGTGGAAGATCCTACCCGCCCATATCTTTGTGGCGTGTATGTGTACTTGGTAAGTTCATTGAGACTGGCTTTCTGATGGTTGGAATCTGACCAACCTATCAGCTGGGGAATCGCGGCTATGTGTACTGGCGCAACTCACAACATGGCGGGTATCGTTGCATGCCGCTGCCTGCTCGGTATTTTCGAGGCCGTCTTTGGTGCTGGCGCACCGTACTTCTTGACACTCTTCTACCAGCGTCGTGAACTCGGTTTCCGCATGTCTCTCCTGCTTGGAATGTCTCCACTAGCAAATACGTTTGCCTCGTCCCTGGCCTATGGAATCACCCACATCCGGAACTCCATTGAGCCATGGAGACTGTTGCTACTGATAGGTGAGCATCTACCATCAAGCATCCAAACACTCACTAACCCAAAACCCCCCAGAGGGCGCCCCAACCGTTCTCTTCGCCCCCATCGTCTTCTTCTTCCTCCCAGACAGCCCCGGCACCGCGCGCTTCCTCACCCCCACCCAGCGCACCCAAGCCGTCGAGCGCCTGCAAACCGTCGACCGCACCGCCAAAACCGCAGTCAAGTGGTCGCAAATCACGGCGGGGCTGACCGACTACCAGCCATACGTCCACACGCTCATCCACTTCTGCTGCAACTACTCGTTCGCGGCGCTGTCCAACTTCCTCCCCACCATCGTCCGCGACATGGGCTACAGCTCCGTCGACGCCCAGGGGCTCACCGCGCCCGCCTACTTCGTCGCCTTCCTGTGCTGCGTCGCCGCCGCCTACGCCTCCGACCGCTTCGGGCACCGCGGGTACATCGTCGCCGGCGCGGCGGCCGTTGGTGCGGCTGGGTATCTGATTCTCGCGCTGGTGCGCGATGAAGCGAAGACGGACGTGCGGTACGCGGGGATATGGCTGGCTGCGTGTGGCGTGTTTCCGGCGCTGTGCATCAATGTGACGTGGCTGCTGAACAACCAGGGCGGGGACTCGAAGCGCGGGGCCGGGTTAGCGCTGCTGACGACGTTGGGACAGTGCTCGAGTTTTTTGAGTAGTGTGGTGTTTCCGGAGAGTGACGGCCCGTTTTACGTCAAGGGCTGCGCGATCGGGGCGGGGTTTACGGGGTTGATTGTGGTGTTGGCGCTTGGTCTGCATTTCAAGCTTGAGCATGAGAATCGGAGGAGGGATCGGCTGTATGGGCGGGTTGAGGCGGATGCGAGGGTGGATGTGACGGTGGGTGGGGATAAGAGTCGGGGTTTTAGATACCTGACCTGAGATGGCTGGTGAGCGTGGGCGACCGGACTTCTTCTGGGGATTTGGAAACACTGGATGCGCATATGTGAGCGCGGGCAATTGCTGGGCGGCGGAAGATCTCGAGGGGGTACCCGAGGTATATAAATCAAGAAGTCGATCTTTCCTTTCGCCCACAAGGGCACTGGCACGGTTTACGTGGCAGAGTGGTGACTACTCCATTTACCATTTAAAACGAAAGAACAGGCTAACTGCACTTGACTCTAGGCCAAAAAAGGAAAGCAACAAAGAGCAGCTAAAAAAAAAAGCCTATCCACAATAAAAATCCCAATGAAGCCTTGGGCAAGCTTGGGGGTTTTTCCTGCAAATAGTAGCGATGTCCATAATGAGGACACGTGCGCAGTTTTTCGCCTTTTTTTTTTTTCGCCATTCGTCGGTCTGCTCCTGTTAACAGATGAATAGCGAGACGAGTGCCTTAAGAGCGGTTTAAACGGTAAAGGTGATAACGTCGTAGTAGATAGGCGGGAAGGCGCGCTAGAAAGGAAGGTGCGAGTAGACATAAACAACCCCATTACGGCAACAACGGAGCAGCGCTACTCTATATACTAAAAACACATTTATCACCCTCTGATGCTTTTAGTTTTAGCGACAGGCCTTTTTTTTTTTTAAAAAAAAAAGGTCTATTACTAAAGTTGGGTCATTAACACGCGACCGAGGGTCTCAGTAAGAGCTGGTATATTCTTAGGTAATTGTGATGAATTTCCTTACCATTTGATCTTCTTCGTCAGGTAAAAGCGTAAATTATCCGCACTGGGCTATCGAGGGGTGTCGCAGCCGAGGGTCAGCATATACTCGTTATTTTCTCGTGTTATAGGAGTTGAAGCTATCATCCGGACGTGAATGTACAATTGACATTCACATTCGGTCAATCGCTTCAACTACCAAGATGTCGGTTTTCGCAGAGAGAATTGATGAAGCACAGTTACCCCATCTTCTAGGTGTCTCATGTTCTTCGCACCGGCTTTCGGCTGCAATGCTCCTCTGTCATTGTCCATAAGACCAAGAAAAAGCACTATGTACCGTCGGGATATCCCGCCACAAAAGGGAGAGCGGAATTGGCGCGCGTGGATATCCGCCAATAGCCGTGGGCGAAAGCTTAAACCCCTCCGCTCCAACCAAGCTCGCCCTTGAATTTCCTTCAACACCCTCCACTGTCCGACCGGGACGCCAGAGCCTCTCATCTCGACTTTTTTCATTCGTCCCACCCAAAAGGGTACCTAAGGCAGGAAAAGAGCAGGGAAATGCCCGACGAAAGACCGCTGCCGTACCACCCGGGCGCAGAGGACGACGACGACACCGCAACAACCAATGTCGTCGCACGCAATGTCACCCACCCGTCGTCATCCTCATCATCCCATCCAACTGAGCCGAACCAACCCACCACCAATTTAAACGGCAAACGCCCCAATGTAACTTCCTCCAATTCCACCTCAGCAGCCGGTCCTGCAGGTACTACGACCGCCAACCGCGAATTCCAACGCGCCTACAAAGCCTGCGTCCCCTGCCGCAAGCGCAAGGCCCGCTGCGAGGTGGCGGTGCCGCCCGACGGCGGCGTGCCGGGCCCGCCGTGCATGCGGTGCAAGCGCGCGCTGCGCGAGTGCGTCTTCACCGAGGAGCGCGCGTGGAAGAAGCAGCGGTTGATGGAGGAGGAGCAGCGGCAGAGGAGGCGTGCTGGTGGTGCTGGTAGGGATGGTGAGGGGGATGATGAGGATGTGGGTGTTGGCGGTGGTGAGGACGATGGGGAGGCGATGCCGAGGAGGAGTCCGCCGCCGAGGTTGGTGCAGCGGGAGCAGCGGCGGCAACAGCAGCAGCAGGTGGGTGGTGGTAGTGCCTCGGCGGCAGTGGCGGCAGCGGCGGCGGCGCAGCAGGGCGATGAGGGGTTGGCGGATTCGATGATGCGGACGGTGGTGGCGAGTGGGAATGATGCGTTGAATTTGCTGTTTGAGGCGGCGACGAGGGAGGATGCGGTGGCAGCGGCGGCGGCGTCGTCGGCGAGAGAGAGGGGGTATGCGTTGGATGCTGGGGTGGTGCCGCCGGGGCCGGCGGTGGGAGAGGGCGAGCCGGCCATGTATGCGACGCCGGGTTCGAACATGTCTGTTAGCTCGGGGCTGTTGGCGCCAAACTCGGTCCAGTTGTCGGCAGCGTCGGAGGAGGTGTTGGATTTGTGGAAGAACTGCAGGTTTGTGAGGATGGGGTGGTTCACGGCGAGGGAGGCGGTGACATACGTTGACTTGTAAGTTGGTCTGGTGAAGAGATCGGTGATGGGTGAGCTAATAACTTCCGCAGGTTCTTCAAGAACATGTCACCCTTGTCACCCGTGCTTACAGACTATTACGCGGATCACTCAAAGCATTATGAGCTCGTCACGAAAGAGCCGTTCCTGTGCTTCACCATATTGGCTCTATCATCACGCTATCACGTACTACCGGGCGTCGGCGGGGCATCTCGCGGGTACTTCATCCACCACCGTCTATGGGAACACTGCCAGCATCTCATCCTGCGCATTATGCTTGGTCAGGAAAAAGGCTCCACAGCCAAGACACGGACCGTGGGGTCAATTGAGGGACTTCTCCTTCTTGCAGAATGGCACCCACGTGCTCTGCATTTTCCACCGGCTTCAGACGGTTGGGACTCGGGACTCGTCGCCATCGAAGCGCACGACGAGGAGGAACCATCAAGTCCAGAGGCCAATCCATCCGTATCCAACCGCTGGCTTGAGGATGTTATTGAGCCAGCACGTCGATCAGACCGTATGAGCTGGATGCTTCTTGGATGTGGTTTATCCCTTGCCCATGAACTCGGCATATTTGAACAAGAGGAAAGCACAAAGAGACCATCACTTCACGAGGAAGTGCTGGAAGCAAAGAGGAAAGCTGCACGAAACTCCCGAGCCCGGAAGCTGCTATATGTCTTCGTTGAACAGCTTGCCTCCCGTATTGGCTGTACTTCTATGATCCCGCAAAGCTTGAGCCACACTGTTCTTGGGAGGTCCTTTGCCGGAGAAGTGTTCCCTGGAGCGAATCACTCTGAAGCTTTTGTATCCTCGTGGATTGAGCTTACCAAGTTGGTGAAGTCTGCTTCGGACATGCTCTTTCCGTCTACATCTTTTACGAAGCAACTTTTACGGAGCGGGCGGTACATTGGATTACTGGAACACTTCCAGCCCCTTCTGTCCCAATGGCGGGGGAGGTACCTCGATTCACAACGTACGTTTGCTTCACACTGAACTGACAGCCCACACTAACCGCAACAGGACTCGGAGACGTCCTCCAAGACATGCTCGCCATCGAGTACCAATTCGTCCGCATCTTCATCAACTCGCTGGGCATGCAAGCCGTCGTCGAGCGCACCCTCGACGAAGCCGACGACTTCAACTCCCCCGCCGACCCACCCAACCACCATCCCATCCGCCCCCTCTCCGTCGACTCGACCGACTACCACTTCATCCAAGAAGTCGTCGACGGCAGCTGCGAGATCCTGCGCAAGGTCATCAAGCTAGCCGACGCCCAGCGCCTGCGCTTCGCCCCCGTCCGCATCTACCTGCACATCACGGCTTCCGCCATCTACCTCATCAAGGGCCTCAGCCTCGGCGTCTGGAACACCAAGCTGCCCGCCTCGCTCGACGTGCTCGACCGCGGCATACAGGCGCTGCGGTCTGGCACGCTGGATGATATACATCTGGCCTCGCGGTTTGCGACGTTGTTGGAGGTGCATGTCGCGCGGCTAAGGCGGAGTTTTGTTGTTTCGAATCGCCCGCCTAGGCTTGCGTCGCGCCAGCCGTCGGCGGAGAGGATGGGGCCGGGTGCACATGGTGCTGCGGTTTCTGTGGCGGCAACGACGACGGCGGCGGCCGCGGCGGTGACGCCGGCTTTGGAGCAGCAGCATGCTCAGCATAGCCAGCAGTTTGGTGAGAGCGATCTTGATATGAATGGGTTGGGTGAATCGGGCGGGGCGGGGATGCCGGAGGATGACTGGCTTGCGTTGCCGTTTGATCCGTCGATGGCTCCGCTTGGGGCTGGATCGGGTATACAGAAGTTTCCGGGGCTGGATTCAGGCATGCTGAATTTCTTGTGGAATCTGCCCTCGTGAAGAAGACCATTCGTCTGGAAGAACGACCTTACGAAAAAAGTAAAAAGAGGAAGGGAACAAACACTTAAGCTTGAAAAGAAGAAACAGAAATTTGAGACCATTCCTCCACCTCAGCCTTGCGGTATACCAATCCGGACCCTGGATAAGTGAAGCAGTTCTCACCAACATCCCAGTCCCTCGGAACCGAGAAGCGGTCCGACGGAACCTCCCGCTCGGGCGCTTTTCCCGAATAGGCAAGAAGTCTAAAAAATTTCAAATGAACCTCCGTCTCCACCCCGTGTTCACAACAACGAAGCAAAAGGCAAAAGAGATGGTTGGTTGTCTCCGCTCCCAGAATCGAACTAGGGACCTTTTGATGGCAACGAGATATTACAGTCAAACGTGATAAACCAACTACACCAAGCGGAGGAACAGAGAAGGATAGACGGTAGACCGTCTATGCTTGGGTTGTCTGATGAGTAAGCAAAAGACATGATGGTATATAAACACAAAGAAAAAGAGAGAAGTGTTGGGGACTAAAAGAATGCTCCGAAGAGCCCTTTCAAAGGATCGTTTCTGACATGTAGAAACTAACAGAGATATGCGTCAAGCAGATTGCAGATCTAAACACTACCACTAATACTCTAGCGCCCCATTTCTGGATGTCGACTGAGATATAGATATATTCTATTATTTATGATCAATTAATAAATGGATCATCTACTATATATTGTTTTGAATGGCTTGAAGCGCACGAAAGAAATATACAGTGTTTCTTGCCTTCTTTTGATCCTCTGATCTCTTCTTGGTACAGTTTCAGCAGAGAATGATTGTTTTCCGGGTGGAACGAGGGAGACTGGAGGCATCTTCATCCGTTATCTCAACCACGCCTCTCCACGACCAGCTCCTCTTGTTCTCATCATTTGTCCCAGCAACTATAAAGAGAGGATTCCCCGAGGCTTCCCGTACAACAACAGGCATGTCTCTATCTCTATCACTAGCTGGTATCAGCAGTGCGCCCCAACGGTCATGCAGCAAGTGAGAATGACGGAGTTGCCTCGCAAGCGAATGGCGTGGAGACACCAGGCCAAGAAAGAAGTCGAGCAGATTTCCTAGCATAGACCCTGATCGATCTGGTAACTCGGTGACAAACCAGAGAGCACGGAGGCCCTCATCGACCACAAGCCCGTAGTGGGTCCCCACACCGTCTTGAGGAAAACAGATTTTGTCGCTTCCCTTTTTATACTCCTGTTCAGGCATATCGGGTCTGACTGGTGCCCACGACCACCTTGTCTGGCTCAATCGTGGGATAGTTGATACTAGGAACCCGGTCATTACCAACTTTTGATGTTCCCAGAACTCGAGGGCACTGTTTGAGACAGTGTCACCAATTAGAAGGCTCCAGATGACTATCTCATCTTCAGGACGACTAGCATGGCGATGGCTGAGCATCATGGCGGCCTCTTCGACGGTCAAGAACCCTTCAACCATTGATGTCATGCCCCCCACGTTTGTGCTGTCGCGAGGTCTGTAAGCTGGAAGAAGATGCTGTGACGTCATGAACAAGTTGGACAGAGCCATACTGCCGTTGCGATGGACGTTCTTAAGCGTTTCACAGAAGGAGATAACTTTGTCGTCCTTACACAACAGCCAAATATTATGGCGGCCGCGAATCGCTTCCAAGAGAGTCCAAGCCCGGAGGTTCCAGTCGCACACGAGAAGGGCGGCTAGGATACGCTCTTGAACTTCCAGTGTAGGGTGTGTCGCATCGATTAGCATAAGATCTCTATCGCAGACTAAGGTCAATTTGCTTTCTTTAAAAACACCGTTGATGTTCTGGATAGCTTCGATTCGTAGCTGATGGTTGTCGGGTATGCAAGGTGTGTCCATCCAGTAGGAATTACAATGGAATTGCTGCGCAATTCGCATGTATCGTTCATGGAGGCATCTGTTAAAGCCGGTCCCACGATCTCTCTCTGGTCGTCCGCCCTGACCATGGCTCCATACGTGGGAAATGGCCATTGTTTGCTTGGATGCCCGACAGTAGACCAACGTGTCATTCGTTGTTTCTCTTAGACAGACGGCTCGGGCACCTGAAACCTTTCTAAAAGACTCCTCGGACCAGAACATCCTTTCGCAATGTCTCGTACAGAATGCGGTGTGTGCTGATTGATTCTCGATTTTGGCGCCTTTGAATCTTAAGCATTTGTAAGGGTTGTCTCCTGTACATTGCTCCATGACCGTCCCGTCATCCTTAATGATGCACCGGGGAGGCTGACCTTCCAACGCTTCGGCATACCGTCTATAAAAGTGGCGAAAGTCGAGTGCAATTGATGCGCAGTCTGAGCGCAGGAGCTCGAAGGCACATCTGCACATAGCCCTGCTCGGTTCTGGGATGTTTACCCCAGGACGATGACCTTGTTGAAAAACATGCTTTCCCCAAAGCTTCATGTCGCTGTTCAGGTAGTAGTTGTATCCACATGCAAACTGGCTCTCAAGAGTGTAATAGAAGTGGATCGTTATGCTTCTGTGTAGCGAGGTCCATAGGAATATAGTGAGTAAAGTCCGTCGCTCTGAATTGTTTTGGAGTGAACACTGGAGGCCGAATTGAACCATTTCGCTCATAGTATCCAGCAAGTCAACGACGCGAGGGCCCCACCATGTTGACTGGTCTTCAATGAAAATATTCAAAGCCAGGCGGATGGCGTTGATATCGACAAAGCGGACAAGACGAAGGTTCTCCCAAGTCCTGAGCGATCCGGGAAGGAAGAAGCCTGCATCAAGACTGGACAGGTCAACTTGCAATCCTAGGCTCGGTGGAACAGCAGGAAGTCTTGATAGAAGTGCGCAAGTCTCATCGACTATCCGATCGAAGTCCTGTCCCGCAACCCGGAAATTGCATCTTAAAAGGCCTGAGTAAACCGAGTCCAAACGCTCCAAGCATCCATCGGATGCGTCCAGGTTGGCAAGATACTCGTCGTACCATTTTCGGATGTGCGTTTGACGGATACTCTCCGTGTAGGGGTTTGAGACACCATCAGAGTCAAAATAGGAGGTTGTTGATACGGGGTTGAATGTTATGGGATATCCTCGAGTACCCGCCGGAAGTTCGGGACAAAGATTTCTCTGTAAGACCTGTCTTACACGATCGGGCGTGAAGGTAAATGTGCCCTGCTGGATTTCTTCGGCCATTCGAGAGGTTTTATGGTGCTGAAAGTTCTGTGCATACTAAGATACTGGGCGGGGTTTTACTTATATACATAAATGGGTGTGCTCGCCAATGGATGCCGATCAGCATCCTTTGTCCTTTTTCTTCCACTATGATTTGTCATACTTCGCGTTTGCCTTGCTCAGCTCTCTTTCCATCATCTTAGCTGCATCAACCGAAAGCCTCGCGTTACGTTCAATCATTGCCAGGTCATGCCTGGTCCAACCATCATCCGCAATATCCCCCCCCTGCATCCGCCTCAACCAGGCGTCCCGCCGCGGATGCGGTGCCACGATATCATCCATCCACGTCGTAACACCTGTACCACCAAAGATCTCCACCGCCCCCACCATAGCCAAGCGGCCAGAGAACCTGAACCTCGTCAGCTTCACCTCCACACCGGCGTCAGCCAGCCACCGGCCGGCGAGGCTACCCTCACGCAGGCGCCATCGGCTGATCACGCTCAGCACCAGGAGCGCGACAAGGCAGACGCCGTCCCAGTCCTTCTGCGCCGCCGTGAAAGTCATGGCCAGCAGCTGCAGGACGTTCGCGAGGCGCAGCCACACCGCGACGGGGCCGGCGGCCTGCTGGTGGGGAATGGTGAACATTGTTTTGTTGAGCAGCGTGTCGACGATGGCGCGCTCGCCCGTGAAGAGATGCCACTCCGTAGCGTTTTGGTGCGTTGCGACAAGCATGCAGGCGCCGTCGCCCCCGTGTTCGTTATTTTCGAGATAGCCGGGCGGACGCTGGACTGCGATGCTTTGCGTTGCGAAGCGGGATGTTGCGCTGCACGTGACGATGGCGGCGGTACCTGTTTGCATTCAGCAGAGCTGCTACCTTTTTCGCTGCGGTGTTTTTCTTTTTTAATTGGGGGCGGGGGTGGAGGTTGTAGGGGCTGAAAGGCGTTGGTTGCTTACCGTATGCGCCGCACAGAACTAAGACAGCAGCTATGCCAATGAGAACCGCAAAAGCGATAATGCGACATGGGACCAGGAGCAAGAACTGCTCGAGTTTTCGGCTGAGGAGCTTCTTGGGCTTCCGGTGCCGGAATTGGTATACATGCAGGGTTTGATATCGGCGGAAATGCGTTGGAGCAGGCTTCTCCGCTGTCACAACTTTTACCGTAGTCGTAGTTGAAGCCTCACCTCCGCCCCTAGTCTCGCTCGTAACTCGATCGGGGATGGTAACCTCGGTTGGAGGGGGGAGCTTCTCTTCCGGTACGTCAACCTTTTCCGGCATTCCTATCGGAGCGTGCTTAGTCCTAGCCTGTACGTGTCGTATAATAATCTCATTTGCCGCACCGTTGGCGCAGGGAAAGACGCTTCCCCATCGAACATCCCACACAGTGCTGCTAGAGCCTCCACGTGTGCTGGCTTGATCGAGGAATTCCTGCGTCCGTTTCAACAGGCGCGAGACACTGGCAAGCGTTCCTAGCTTTGGAAACATGTTGACGGATAGCCTGCCAAGCAAGGCAACATTGCCGGCTATTTGGTAATCGTCTCTGTGGTTGGCGAGGTGAACGACGAGCGGGATTATGGCGGCCCACTCGGACACGATGTCCGGTAGGCGAGGAAAAACGAAGAATGGAACTATATTAAGGGACCCGAAGTGAAGGTTGTCATTTGTGTTGGAGAAGAATGACATTATGGTTGGCTGGCACGTTCAGAATTGTGCACAGCCTGGCCATGGCGCCTTCTATAAAGCTTTCAGTCCGGTCGCCAAGGCTTGCGCCACTCGGAACACACTACCGTATAGATTGTTGCTTAAGCCACACCCTCGTATAGGCCGCACCCGTACATACGCCGCATCCGTACATACGCCGCACCCGTACATACGCCGCACCCGTACATACGCCGCACCCCCCAACTGGCGGTGGAGCGATGATTGGGGTGTAGTACGAAGGGTGTCGCTAGTACCAAGCTAATAAGAGATATACTTAGAAATAAAGCTAGCCTATTTGGTGAGAAATCTAAGTAAAGCACGGAAGATGGAGGTACACAGTTGGTGATTCAGTACACCACAGTCAGCTATACGGCAACCAATGTTGGGCTACTGGCACCCCTATTCAGATAAAATGGCACGAGCAAGATTTGGTTGGCCCAGTCACGACCGCTTCGAAGTCAGCTTCACCCGCCCCATCGATCCCGGCAGCAACTCCAAGATCGACACCCATGACGACTGAACGCAACAAAAACGCAGACCGCGAGCATTGATAGCCTTTATCCGTAACCATTGCTATTGCTGATACTGTTACAGTCGTCTGTCTGTCTCATCGCTATTTCTGCAGTAGTATTCTACCTTCGACGCCAGCGCCGCCGGGAGCGACACGCAGCGGACCTTATAACACAGCCAAATTGGAGTATAGTGGAAGTAGATCCTGATATACATATTGTGGAAGTGCTTGGCTCGGGACATGGGGTAGAGTTGGGGTCTAAAGGATGCTGTTGTCTAACATTCCCAGAACGATTGCAGTCGCCGCCAGTGTGGCACATCGTCGTTTTTGAGCGCGCGCGACTGGACGCATGAATTACGCCAATCGTGCGTATGCGCAATAAGAACGAGAAGACTGATAGTGGCATATTGGGAGGTCTTCTCCCCCAGTGTCAGATAGTCCGGATGAGTCTGCATTGCGTCGTCTGTCCCGTTGTGTACGCAAGACCTATTCGAAAATCATATTTGTTTCCGACACAGCGTAACATTGACGGCGAATCTTCAGAATTTGCTTTTGTGTAACCAAGTGACATTATAACATGTGACTCCCAGTTTGCTTACTATTGCTGCATAAAGGCGGGGTACCGCCAAGCATCCATCGCCCATCGTAAGTTCAGCCTTTCTACGAAAATTTGACTTCTCTAACTGATTGCATCAATCCGCTGCTCGCATATGGATATCTCCGCATCATGACGCCTCCACCTGCCTGCGGACACGGTCTCAAGCGACCCCGAGATCTCTATGATGAGAGCGATACATCGGCTCGTCTGCCTAAGCGTCAGAGGCAGCAGAGTCCGCCTCCTGAGCGTCGCATTGGTCAGTGTGAATCTTTCAAAATTACAATTAATAGACACTTATAGCAAATAAAGAAACTGCAGGTCCTCTGCAGCCGACTTTCTTGTCCGACCGGTTCTCCTCATCACGAGCCTCGGCGCATGTTGATGAGACTGGAAAAGTGTTCCGACTAAGACACATACCACATTGGATTGACACAACAACGGGTGTGCAAGTACTTCTCAAAGACTTGCTTTCTCTTGACGACAGTACTTTCATCAGCGTACATTCGATCGTCTGCAGCCCCTATGATCCAGCAGACCGCATTGCTACCCTTTCCTTCTCACAATATCCAGTAGCATTGCAAAGAGAGAAAAGCTACCGCAGCGGCGGGAAAGAATGGAGATTCGAAGTATGTGGGCACAATGGAGAAATTTGTCGTCCAACGTTGGACACTCATTTTCTGGGTTTCACACCGCTGCATCGCGAGAAGGATTCTGATTGTGATACGGAGTAAGGCGGCTCCTGTAAGCTTGTTGGACGCAAGAACTGATTTCAAGCAGCATCATTGCTCTTTCTGGCCTTAATGGCCACGCATTCGGGTCATTCAAAGAAAAGGGCGGAACCTTCATGTGGCTGCGCGATGCCCTTTCCAAAGATATGCCACGGGCACGAATTCTCATCTACGGCTACGATACGTCGATCATTGGCAGCAAATCATTTCAGGGTCTTCGAGATCTGGGGATCCAACTTCGTGAAGGACTGCGCAGCATTAGACAAGATGGATCGGTACGCTGAGTACAGAACTTTACAGAATTTCAACTAACTGTCAAAAGTGTTCCAGTACACAAAGGCCAATGATGCTTATAGGGCACAGTCTTGGCGGAACTGTGATCAAAGATGTATGAAATCCACTCCTAATGCTCACGAAAGGAGTAGCTGATCTTGTTTTGAGGCAATCATCCAAATGGCGGAGAGTGACGAAATTGACAAGGCCAATCTAAAGTCAATCTACGGAATTCTATTCTTTGGAGTTCCAAACCAGGGGATGGCAGTCGAAACCCTGCTTCCTATGGCGGGGCAAAATCCAAGCCAGCACCTCCTCCATACCTTGCGGAAAGGTTCGGAGGTATTGAGGTACCAGCAGGAGCGGTTTCCGTTGGCGTTTAGTCTCCAAGACTCAGTGATAATTTCATTTTATGAGACTCTAGAATCTCCAACTGCGGTTAAGGTAATCATTGGGCTCCAGCACTAAACACTCGGTCATTTACAGTAGTGTTTTAGGTAAATGGGAGGTGGGCGATGGACGGAACTTCTACCGTCTTGGTCGACGCAAATTCAGCAACGCACGGTCGCCACTGGGAGTCCAGTCACCCCTTCATCTATCCCGTCAATCGGAGCCATTCGGATATGGTCAAATTCACGGGAACTGATGATCCGGTGTATCGCGTTGTTCTCGAACGTCTCAAATTGTTCCATGCAGGTGCGAAAAATATCGTACCTCAGCGGCACATGGAAAGAAGCACGGGTAAAAGTCTTATGAAATTGCTGGATGGGAACTTAGCTAACTTCCGAAGATATCCTGACGGAACTGTCGCCGCAAGAACAAGGTAGGTACCACCGGAAATAACCCGTGGGCTTCGAGCACTAACACAATCAACAGCTTGTCTGGAGTCACTAGCATTCCCGGAACAACTCTGGCGTCAAGACGAAATAACAGAAGCGAGATTGAATGGGACGTGCAAGTGGGTAACAAAACACCCTCAGTATTCCAATTGGCTCCAACAGTCATCTGGAGTGCTGTGGATACAAGGAAAGCCTGGTGCTGGAAAGTCAACACTGATGAAATATATCGTGCAAGATATGGAAGAGGGGGTCCAATGGCGCAATGGGCTGGTTGCTACATTTTTTGTCCATGGACGCGGGAGCCCGTATCAGCGAAAACCTCTTGGAATTTTTCGGGCTCTTCTAAACCAACTGCTGGCATGTCTCCCCGAGGAACTGTCAATATTGACCAGAGTCTACCAAGAGAGAAACCTAAAGATGGGTGAGATTTCAGAGAAGTGGAACTGGGGAGAGGGATATCTCCGCTCCTTTATGACGTCCAATCTGCCCAAAGCCTCCTGCAAACAGCCCATAACCATCTGCATTGATGCGCTGGACGAATGTGGGAAGAAGCCCGCCATAGAGCTCGCGAATTATTTCAGCCAACTGGCACAAAACTCTGGCCAACTTCACGGGAGTCTACGAGTTTGCTTTTCTTGTCGACATTATCCAACCCTCAGCCTTTACCAAGAGTTCAGAATCAACGTTGAGGACGAAAATCACAAAGACATCAACACCTTTCTTCAAAGTTATCTCAAAGGTCTTCCTTCAGGTGGAAGAAGTGAGATAATTAAAGAGATCTCAAGCCGAGCGCAGGGCGTCTTTCAGTGGGCCGTTTTGGTTGCTGCGCAGGCACTTGACCAAAAGATGGTGGAGGGTACCCGGATTCGGAAAATCATGGAAACAATCAAAGAGGTCCCAAGAGAGCTGAAAAATCTCTATGCAACTCTCGTGGCAGACATTGACCACGATTCACGACCTCAAGCCGTGAAACTTTTGCAGTGGGTCTGTTTCTCAGAGTCACGAGAGCCCCTTACCACCAAAGAGTTACAACACGCCCTGGCGATAGATGCATACATGGGCCATAGGACTTCTGCTCAGTACAAATCCGGAGAATACTACACTGACACACTCAAAGACCTCGAGAAAGTCGTGGCAAGTCTTTCAAGAGGCCTTGTGTACATTACCAACAACAGGGTACAGTTCATTCACCAGTCAGCCCAGGACTATTTCCTGAACAGTGGTCTCCAGGACTTGGAAAGGAACGACTATTACTCAGTAGCCGCTCGCGGACATTTCCAGATTTCCCGCTCATGTATTCGGTATATGGCAATGGACGATGTCGCCAAGTATCCTTTTCCAACAGCGATATCAGCTCGGTCATTTGTCGCAGACCAATTTGCGCCGGCACGTAGGTTGGGCGATAAATTTCCCCTTGCGAATTATGCCATTCGATCCCTACAGTTCCATCTCGAAGCCGTCGAATCTGAGGGAATGCCTCAGGACGACCTTTGGGATCTGTTTCGCTGGCCGAACGAGAGGAATTTTGTAAGGACCTGGAGGAAATGCGCTGACCTTCTTGGGTTTAAAATGGATGGATGGTTCTGTAAAGGCTCAAGACTCGTACATTTGCTGGCGGCAGCTGGGACAGACAGTGCTTTGGATCGTCTATTTGCAACCCATGGTCAAAATCCGCAAGAGGTCGACCCGCGGGATTCGAAGCGCCGGACACCGTTATATCGGGCTCTCCGCTGCAATCAAACATCAACTGCACACAAACTGTTGTCTACAGGCATGGTGGATCTGAGTCCCCTCGGCCCACGTGGCGAAACAGCCCTTTACTTGGCCATCAAGACCAAGGACGTATCATTAGTGCACGAGATCATCCGCATGGGAGCACCGATGAAGTGCAAAAATCCGAATTACAATTACGATGACGTGCTGCGTCTGGCAACATCTACTGATCAAGAGGAAGTAGTTGAGGCTCTTGTTAAGGCTGGAGTGGGTCTTGATGTTGGCACGGGCTCTAGAAACGGTATTGTCCACTATGCCGTTAGAAAACGCAACGCAGAGCTGTTGGATCTGGCGATTGCACGGGGTGCTTCAGTAGAGATGATGGACATGAACGGCCAGACTCCTCTCTTCAGATCAGTCGTAGGTTTTCCAGCAACAAGGAAAGTCTTTTACCAGTTACTGAAAGCGGGTGCGAGGATTAATGTTTTTGACTCCTATGGAGACACCCCGCTTTCCCGAGCTTTGAGAACTGGCAACAGAGAATTGGTTCAGTCCCTCATCAATTACGGCGCCACCATTGGCTTAGAGGAGAAAGTGCTTTGAAGAGAGCTCTAAAGAGCGAACAAGAGGCTTTGATACCATTGCTGCTTTAGCGGACTACGAAGGATGGAGGATGCTGGAAATAAATTGAGTTGAGTTTCGTTAACTTTTCTGAACCATCTCCCCAAGCAATATACATTTTGCAAACTATTCAAAATATCCAATATCCATCTGGGCATGAATGAATGAAATTAATGTAAAAAGGAATCAATCCGGACAACATATTCAGCTCCCGATTTGTTGCGATAATAAATGAATCGGCTTCGTACTGTGTAGTGGGCAGTGAAACCGATTCTTCCCTAAAGGCTCTCTCGAGCTTCTGTGCAAAGAAGTCCATCTTGGATGCAGCTTTCCCCGGATCTCTAGGCAGTATAAGTGCTTTGGGCATCAAAGCAAAGTGCACGCCCGCACAGATCGCCATAGCCAAGAGAACGGTATCAATTATACGTGTAGCCAATGGACTCTGGATGTGACGTTGCCGATGGACAGTGATCGTTCCACTCAAGGGGTCGAGCATGTTTGGTGCTGCGAAGAAATTGGTGTTGGTAATGAGGGTGCGGAAGAGGTGGTGCAGGTCTTAAATCATACTTTGTCCATGCATTTCCTGCATCCGTGGAAGTAAAGGCTCCGGGTTGACTGGGTCGGCGAGTTGCTCTGCTAGCACACCATGGTCTCCGGGAACCGCCGTGGAGAAGAATGGATCTAGGTAATCTTATGGAGTGAATGCTGTGCGAAACACTGTACAGGTGCGCTACGGGGCCTATAGAGGGGAATGGAGTTATTCATGATTGGTAGAATCTTTGCTGTGTACAACGATTTAGTGGGTAGAATGTAGCGACCACGGTCCTAGACACGTCTGTTCATCGCTCCATCGCGCATTGACTACTCCGTAGCACCGTCAGTCATCATCGGATGTCATTCCTATTTCTGGTGTCAGCGTTATCGTCGGAATAAACCAACCCCAGCAGGCCGCAACAACTCACGAATAAAATTTTCAGCCGTTCTGCGCAGTAAAAGTCTGAGCAGGTTAGTGAAAAGGCGTCCGCACACGTATATGATGCAGATTGTGGTGATGATGCATTAAAGTAGCGGCGAAGGCAGCTCTTGCGGAATCAACATATTAGTCATGCAGAGATATGACTCGCCAACACACTGAAGCCGATATAGGCAATCATACGGCGAGCATGACTAGTTTAATGCATGACTCCTAGGCCTTTATTGGTCAACAGACTTTTTTTCATCGCCCTTTCATCGGAACCCAGTCGCACGCGTGACCGGCGCACACAGAATTAACGATCGCCAACCCCACACGTGTAAGCGAATGGTAGCAACACAGACTAGTAGATAAGATACTTTAAAATCAGTGTCTGCCCTTGGAGAAAAAGTACGGCTTGTGGTGTTGATCATGTTTTGCGAAGCTTGTGCCTCAATCTTCTCTGGCCGGGCAAAGTTCCCCCGTCTTCTTCTATACGGGGGCGGTCCTCCACTTTACGACAAGGAATACGCATTCCATCCCACTGGCGCGCAATTCAAACAAGCCGTAGATGACCGTTGTCATTCATGCTACCTTTTGTGGGGTCAACTCACGGCCGACGAGCGAATCATCCTAAGCGGATATCCCGAACAGATCTTTTTTGAGTTCAAGCTCGTGGAGAATGATTCGAGATGGGGTCTTCACGGCTTGAATAATTACACAGAATTGTCCCTTTCAGGCCCACCAATCACAACTAGACCACGCCTCATCTTCTACCACCCTATTACGAGTTAGTAACGTCTACTCTGGTGAACGCGAAGTGCTAACGAAGTAGGTCCTGAGATTCCGGTGATAGAAGGCAACACAGCTTCCGAGCGCAGCTTTCAATTTGCGAGTACGGAATGTGCGACTCGACCGGCAGGCTCCCGGACACCTTCTTGGTCCTGGGCAACTGTTGATGGTGCAGTGAATTTTCTGCACTGGCAAGACATAGGAGTAAGGATTGCTAAAGTTGTACAGGCCGATACGGAGACTCACAACCAAAGAAACTGTGTCGAAGAAAGTGGCAAGGTCAAAATCCACGGGTGTCTGAGGAAATTCAAGTTTGACAATTTGAAAAGCGGCCGGTTGCAGGATAATACCCTCGATTGGGAAGAAACGGAGGCAGCGTTGGTCCGTTTCGATGACAAGGAAGCCTCCATGGCCGATTTCTACTGCCTTCCACTAGCGTCCCGAATTGAATACTTTGGACGCAAGACAAAATTCTTTGGCCTTCTCTTAAACCTCAGCAAACCCGGATACACTGAATTTTCGCGTGTGGGATACTTCGAATATCTCGTAACATCTGACCGTAGTCGGGAAGGAGATGAGAATGAGAAAGGGACAAAACACTGGAAACAACAATGGGAAGATAGACTCTTTGGTGAAGTACCACACATCAAAGACATGCAAAAGGTGCAGGATACAGAGCCAGCAACGTTTGAAATCACCATTGTATAGTGTATCCGGTTAAAAAAATCGCATTTTACCAGAATGCTATGTATCTGACATTCTGCTTGACAACAATTGTTTCTACATAGCCAACTAACACACCCGGAACCATGACCAAGCTCAGCTCCGTCGGCCCAGTTCGCAACATGCATTAGGAAACACGACATTGCTGCATCGTCGTTCGTGCTGCATGCGCAGTTGATGTGGCTAAATCGCATATAGACATTGTTTCGCAAATAAAAATTTTGGTGCATCATATATTTCGAGACGTCAAAGCTGTCGGCACACATCCGACGTCAGGCGCGGAGGCAAGCCGAAACGGAAAGGCCAGCCGGGGGGAGGCCGAAGACAGTCCCACTTGTCCCGTCTCGTGCGTCCCGCAACGTCACTCCAGCCAGCGTCATCATAACGCCTCGAATATGTATGGTCCCGCCCCAGCGCGCGTCAAAAAGACCAACATCGTGCGCACGCGCTCGGGATGCGCGCTATGCCGCCAGAAGCGACGCAAGGTACGGTAGATGCTTAACCCTTTCCATGCGCACGCCACTGGATTCGCTGACGGTGCACCAGTGCGATGAAGCGCGCCCCAGCTGCGGTCGATGTGCTGATCGCGGCCAGGCGTGCGAATACGGCATCGCCTGGGAATTCCGCGATGCCACTGGCTGGGCCGCCCAGCGGGTGCGTAAGCAGGCGGCGGCTCCACCCGCGACGCCTCCCCCGCCAACAGATCAGCAAGCTACCGATGACTCGGGCGGCCTCGTGTTCATGGACCTTGGTATTGGCTCGCCGTTTAATTTTGACCCCGGCGATGATCAGCTCTTCTTGGATTGGCCCAGTCCGTCGAGTCTGCCTGTCCCACTGGTACCGTCTCCACCGCTCGCCGCGCTCTCAGTACCGGAGCGCATGTACCTCGCGCACTTCTCCGTCATCGTCCTTGACACCATTCCTGGCGGCTTGCATGCGCTTGAACAAGAGATGCTGAGCCTGTCCCCTGTGCGCCACGCAGCAATATCCCTCGCCGCCGCCAGCCTGGCCAACCTCCACGGCCGCTACGACGGCTCGCGGTGGATCCCGCACCAGTCTCATGCTGCGCATGCCCTTGACCATGCGTCCAAAGCCTCCGAGGCCAGCTCTAATATTCCACCTGAACAAGCCGTTGCCACCACTCTCCTGCTCCTCTACATGAAAGTCGACCTCGACACGGTCGAGAACTGGTGCAGCCACTTCCACAATTTGGAGGCTACTGTTCTCGAAAACCATCTTACCTTAGCTCAGACAGAGCTTGGTCTTCAGTTGCTGCGCTCCTACCTGCACGCCAGGGCTTTTTTCAGGTCCATGTCCTCCTCGTACCGTCCGATGCGACAGGAGTCCGCCGGCGATTGCACCGTCGCGCCTCTAGTCAAGAGTTATGCTTCATCCAGGGAAACACTTGCACTCGTCTCATGCGATGCTTTACGCATAGTCGGACGCATTCTCCTGTGTCAATGCATGCATGTAGGTGACTGCTCCCCGAAGGCGTTGTTGCAAAAGATGCTGCGTTGGCACTCGATTGTGCGAGATGCCCCCTATCCAAACTCCGCTAGCGTTTTCCAGGACGAGTTTCAAACAACACTCAGTGAAGATCAATGCTACCAAGAACTGAAGGTGCTCCGAGAAGAACTACAGGCATGCGAGCCATCACCACCACTGCCCCCCTCGGCCAACTCAGAACACCCAGCGACTCTGGAACCCATACTCTTCTCCAGCAGCGATGAAGCCATGCACCACGCCTCCTACGCTTTCGCCCAGCTCCTCTGCTCCGAGCCCCTCCTCCGCCACCTCCTCCGGCCACTCTCCAGCTTCCCTTCCTCTTCCTCCACCGTCTCCTCCCCTGCCGACCCATGGCTCCACCTCCTCCTCCGCATCGCCGCCGGCCTCGACGCCCGCGAATGCGCCCGCCGCAACACCTACCACCACGGCATGCTATACATGCTGACGGCCGCCAGCATGCTCTGCAGCAGCGCCGCCGACGCCGACACCACGGTCGACCCCCTCGCCTTCGCCGCGGACTACGCTGCGCGGCTGGCCGCCGCTGGTATCGAGCGCGACGGCGCATACTACCCCGTTTCGCTGTCCCGCACGTGCATCCGCGTGCTCCAGCGCGAGCGCGGGCGCGGACGGAGCGTGTTCTGGATGTCGACGACGCACCGCGAAAACAACAGCGAGCTGATGGCGGCGCAGGTGAAGGAGTACGTCGTCTTGCACGGCCGGATGGCGGACGGGCGGTTTTTTAGTGATTGCGTGCCGCCTGTGGAGGCTGAGATGCAATGATTGATATACAGCAAAGGCAACAGACATCCTCCTCCCTTCATAAACCCAACTCCACATACCCAACGCCCTCCCTAACCTCAATCGTCGTCCCGAACGGCTCCGACACGGTCTTCAGATGCTCCAGTATCCGCACCGCCTGCGCCGGCGGCGCTATCTTAGGCAATGCGCTCTCCGGATCACTTGTATCATTCGTCAATTGCCCATGCACAAGCGGATGCAGCTCAACCCCCGCCAGCACCCCGTCCTCGAACCGCGTCACCGCCACCACGCCGTCGTCCCATTCGATCGGCAGCGAGTAACCAGCGTAGTTCAACCCCAGACTGTACGTCAGGCTGCCCAGGCCGTAGAAGATCGGTTTACCTGCATACACCTCGACGCCGCGCAGGTGGTGCGGGCCGTGCACGAGGACGACATCCGCGCCCGCATCCACAGCCGCACGACTGACGTTCTGCGTGTACGCCGCCGGCACGGTTGCCTCGAGCGGCAGCGGGTTCGCCGAATCATCAACCCCAGCAAACGACTCGTGCGCATGCAGCGAGAACACCACGGCGTCGGCCTCGTCCCGAGCCGCCCGGACGCTGTCCAGTATCCCAACGTAGTCGTCCTCGTTCACCGCCCACGCCAGCCCGACCGGCTGCTCGTCGCTCGCCAGCCGCCACGTCGACCACGCGTATGGGTACTGCCCGGTATACAACACGATGTCCGCCGTGCTGTCGTCGTCCCCCAGCACCTGCCCCTGCGCCCGCGCGACCGCTTTGATCGCAGCGAAGCCGGCTGCGTCGACGACCGTCACCACGCTCGCCCGCAGCGCGCTGATGCCGGGACGCGGCCGGAACTCGTCGTCGCCGGCACCGGCGACGGATTGGAGGGTGTGTGTCCCCGCCGCCGCGACGAGTGCGAGGCGCGTGCCGTTGCCGTTCTTCACGCTCTGGCGGATTGCAGGCTTGCGCGCCTCCTGCAGCGACGCGCCCGACCCGGCAAAAGTGACGTTGGCGGCTGAGAGGGCGTGCTGCGTCGCGAACATGCCTGCTTCAGCGTAGTCGAAGGCGTGGTTGTTGGCGTGGGAGGCGAGGGTGAAGCCTGCTGCGGCGAGGAGAGTGGCTTGGGAGGGGTCGTAGTACGGCCCGCCGCCTACGTCGCCGTAGGTGTTGGATTTGCCGTTTTCGGAGGCGGGGTAGATAATGGTGCCGTCCGGCGAATTGGAGGAAGAGGTGGACATGTTGGAGGTGAACAGGCTGCCTTCCATGTTGAAGAAGCCGAAGTCGGCGGCGCGGATGAGGTTCCATACTGCGGTGACGCGGGTGTTGTTTGTGGCGACGAGTTCGCCGATGAAGTCGCCGCTGGTGGCGAGGGTGAAGGTTTGGGATGAGACCTGCTGGGCTGCTAGCACCGCCATGGCGGCGGTGAGGTGCAAGGGGTTGGGGGACATGGTTGCGGGCGTGTCTTCGAACATTTACTGTCGAGTTCCCCCCCTTCTTAAAATCTACGTAGAGCTGTGGGGGATCTGGAGCTTCCCGCAATTTTTTTTTTTGGTATCTCGGCCGTGGGTTTTGGTCGTCGTGACGATCGTTGCCCGAAGAGGTCAGCGGGAGCGCGCGCTTTGACCTGTTATTTCCCTTTTCGGTGCTCGCAACCGCACTGCACGAAAGTCTTTCGGCTCTCGAGCAGCGGCAGATGCAGGAACAATATAGCTTATCTCTATGAACAGGTGCAGAGGGGTATTTCATCCGACGGCTATCGTTAATTTGTTTATCGCTTAGGTTATGGGTAGTTGAAGCTATCGGCCGGACGCCAGTTGGCCAATCATTTAGGAGATATCGGCAACCAGTTTTGCTCGTCTTCCCCGTGGATGCACCGACCAGTCCGCTAGATGATGCCATCACGTGGGGAAATTTGCTGGTATGTCATTGGACGGTCGTGTTGGGTACGCATAATGTCTTATCTGGTGAAGCTGATTTCGTGTATCAAGTGCCTTCCAATGCGTCTACTGTAGCCCACCCCTCCTTGCGATCGAATGAAGCAAGACAGATACTTCTTCTATGAATGGAAGTTGTATGGTTATCTACGGAAATAAGAGTTATCTACAAAATGCGATTCAATGAACTGTCCCAATTCCAAATCCGTCGGCATTACACTGCAAACCAATGGCAACAGTTTCTCGCCTTGACCATCTCATTGCAACCCAGATCAGATGACGCAAGTAGTGCTGTTGGTGGCATTAGCACCAGTTTTCCACTGCCACTGCCAGACGACCGGGTTAGAAGCAGTCTGAACGACATCAAAGCAAGGCCCAAGACTACCGTCCCGTAGTTTGAGCAACGGGCTGCCCGTGGCAATCTGCTCATACTCCGCAACAGCATACTCGCCCAGATACTGCCGCAGCAACCCAAAGAAGTCCTCCAGCGTATACGAAAGCCCGTCGTTATACCGCTCCAACAGCGCCAACTCCAGCACATCCAAACTCACCGTCCCGTTCCACCTCTCCCGCAGCTCCGCGTCCAAATTCGCCAGCCAAATCAACCCGCGTCCATACGGAATCTTCTGCAGCCGCAAATCGCCCCACGGATCATCCTGCACCGCGGCGTCCGACGCGTTGACGTACGGATCGTTGTAGTAGTACGCGACGCGGCTATTCATCTCGGCCAGGTACGCCGAATCGTCCATGAAGCCGCCGCGCCACATCAGGCGCAGCGAGTAGAACTCGGCCGACCCCTCGACGAAGTTCGTGATGTTCGCATTACTACCTTCCATCGTCGGCCAGTTGTGCGTCATCTCGTGCGCCAGCAGCAGCTCGAGATCATGCTCCCCCGTCGTGCTGGCGTTGTTCCAGCCGAAGGTGAAGGACCGGTAGAGCGCGGTGCCGCCGCCCATCAGGTTCGCGTTCCACCGCACGAAGACGCGGTACGGGTCGTTGCTGGTGTCGTGCCAGAAGGACGTCGAGAAGGCGAAGAAGTTCTGCACGAAGGTCGCGACGGCGGTGGTGTTGAAGGGGGGCGGGACGAGCCAGTACATGCCGAAGTCGGAGCTGGAGGCGGAGTCGGCGGCTGGGTAGCTGGTGATGTTGCCGACGGCCCAGAAGGTGTATTGGAGGTGGTCGAGGGTGTTGACCGAAACGATGGGGGAGGAGGAGGAGGAGGAGGAGGAGGAGGAGCTCTCGCCCCATGTCCAGACGCCGCGGGTCCAGGAGGGGGAGTGGGAGAGGTCCCAGGCCCAGCTGATGGTGTAGTTGGTGCTTTGGTCCGAGGAGGGGGTGGGGACGAGTGCCCATGCTGAGCCGACGAGGCCGTTGTCGTTTTGGCGGATGTCGAACAAAGGGCCGAAAGGGTCGTCTGTTTCCACTTGTCGAGGATATGCCGTGAAGCGGACCGTGACATTGCCGCTGGTTGCACGGGTGGTGTTCCAGTACCTCATTTGGATGTTTGAGGGCTCGTCGTCAATTATGACCAATGGCAAGGGGCCATCGTCGTCGTCGGCTTGAAGGGCGTCGCCATCGTATCTTGCGGTCGGGATGTTGGAGGTGATGGTCAAGGGCAGCGTCACGAGCGTCTCGTTGCTTCCAACGTCGGGGGACTCGATGACTAGCACGCCGTCGAGCGAAGCGGTTCCATTTTGTGGGAAATGTGGTGTCAAGGTTAGGTTCAAAGCTGGAGCGCCGTCTGCTGCAGCTGCGACAGCGGCGTGCAAAAGAAGTGGAAAGAGACACGCTATACGCATAGCAACAAAATTCGCAACCAATCAGGGCTATTATTGTGACAAAAAATATGTTCTCTGTTTGAACATTTAAGAAGCTCGCATCATCTCGCGCACACGTAACGTGCGTATCCGCGCACCCGAAAGGGAAACGCGCCCCGCACCGCCTGCCCACATCATCTAAATTGTCCTTCTCTATCTGGTTAGCCGCCCGCTGCACTGCCGATTGTCTCCGGCTTAGAATTTCTTATCAAAAGGGCGGTCCACTTAGTACTACAACAAGGTGGGGTGCTGAATCGCTTGTCTAGATGCCGTTGTTCACGTTTACATCGTGCATTCATGATGCTTCAAATGGACCTCTGCTGCAATCCTAGTGGAACCGACCTCGTATAAAGGAGTTCATAGGCTAATTTCAACAATATTCGCGCTTAGCTTGCGGCGCTCAGCCGGTTAGAAGCGGATAGAGGAAACAAAAACCCAATCTTAACTAATGGGTTGAACAATGGAAACGTCTCGCATACATGCGGCATGTAAGTATGGCGACGCAGCTAATATCGTTTTCACTGTTCGGGTAGAATATATTTCAAACCAGGCCGACGGAGGAGAGAGCTCGAAGATTGGTTTGAGCATGTTAGTTGGCTATGTAGATATAACCGTTGCCAAGCAAAATATTAGCAGCAGCAAGCGGGGGTTGTGAAAAACAAAATGCCGTGACGTTCATTGAGCTGGATTTGTCGGTCAGTGGCCGGGCTCTTCCCTCTTTTGCGTATCCTTTTACAAAGACGCAAACATGACAGACCGTTGGCGGCAGATCTGATATAGCTGGTGCATGCGAGTGGCTGAGGCGGTGGTGAGATTAAGGCTCCCAGCAAGCGCGCTTGCTTGAACCGCTTACCAAGCGGCCGTATCTGACTGCTTGATAATAAGACATCAAGCAAGCAGATTGGCTTGCAAGTAGGACATTCAGTTACTTCTTCCAAGCAAGAGTATCAAGCATATCTTTTAGAAGGGCATATATATAGCGAGTTATGTTTCATATAATCCATCTAGCCCTATACATTCAGATCAAATATGATCAATTACATGCTATATAATACGCAATAGTCTCCCTACCGTGTTACAATATATCATTTCCCTCTCCTAAACCCTTACTTATATTTCTCGAAATATGCCCTGAGTGGGATAGAAAAATTCGAAGGTCAGCCCGTGTCAACATCCATCTTCGATTATAATCATGGATGAACTTCCCTCAGAGATACTCGACAACATGGCTGGCTACGTCCATGAGACTGGTACTCCCTTCGACCTGATTAATATTAGCCATAACACATGGGTGAGCATCGTCAGTCACATGAAAGCGGTGGGATCGATAACACCTGGTGAGCAGATGTGCACGTGCACCCTTGCCTTGGAAGAACTGTCGCGGCTGGCTATAAAACCTATCCACCGCTCTACGCTTGACTTCTCCTCCTTAACTCGAACATCACCCTCTGCGACCATGAACAAGCTTCCGGCCGAGCTGCTCGACAATGTTGTCGCCTACATTCCAGACTCTAAGCTTGCTCGGTACTCGACCGTCTCACGCGAATGGAAGGTCCAGATCGAGGCTCGCACGTTCAGAAAGCTCACCGTGAGGAGCGAACATATTGAGAAGTTCATGGCCACAGTTACGGGATCCCGCCGCCGCGTCCTTAGGGACCTGTGCTTCAACATTGAGCTGATTACTCTGGACGTCGAAATCAACACCATGATGGTCTCACGGGGTGTCCACGACCTTTTCCATGCTCTTTCCACCTGGAGCGCCGGGTCAGATCTGAGAGTAATCGTCGATGCCGCTTTGGAGCGCGAGCTCAAAAAGGGCTGGACGCTCGACCCCATAGTCGACCTCACTTCCATCAACGACGTCCCAATCGTGCCGGTGATCCGCAATTTCGGTTTCCGTCACCCCGTCATCTCCGACAGCAACTGGTTGGCCTTGGCATTACGCCTCCCCAACCTCGAAGAAGTGAGTGTCGTTATCGACGACAAACGAAGGCAGGACCTGGCGCAGCACCGGGAGAACCGCCACAAGCTGGCAGTCGGTCTCAACGAGTTGAACACCGACAACCTCGTCCACTTCTACCTCCACTCGCGCAGTTTCGGATGGACGCGCACCTTCCGCCCGACCGCCAACGTCCTCCAGCCCGACCGCGTCGACCGCCTGAGCCTCGCGCTGAACCGCATCATGCGCAGCCCATGCCTCAACTCCTTCAAGATCAGCGGCGACGTCCCCATCAGCCCTGCCCTCTTCGACCTGCCCGACGGAATCAACACGCACTTCCCCTTCCTCGAAGTCATCGAGCTCGACATCGCCCCCTGCGCGCCCGACGGCACACGCTACTTCCACGGCTACCCGCCCGTCGGCGTCGGCGAAGAAGAAGTCTCGACGACCAACTACGCCGACAACGACTACATGATGCAGCGCCTTTCCATGCAGGAGGAAAGCGCCCACCAGTTCCGCTGGGTCGCCGCCGCCGAGGCCCTGCGCCCACTCGTCTTCGCCGCCGCGCGCGCCGTGGCGCACCACCACATGCCCTGCTTGGACGGCTTCCAGCTTCGGGCGTACCCCCTGTTCAATCCTGCTGACGGCGAGCCGACCCAGGGCTTGATCCAGTACGTGGCTCCCGGCGTGTCGTCGCCGTTGATTTATGGCTACCCCCCTTGCTGGTCTGGGGCGGACAAGGATCCGTCGTGCGTTGCGCCGAGGACGAACATCGACATGCCGGGGTTCGCGGGGGATCTGGAGATTGCCGAGGCGTGGATGGGGGTGAGGAAGGGAGGGGTGCTGGAATGGAAGTGGCCGGAATATCCAAACGTTGAGCTGGAGTAGATGGCTGTCGATGGACTGGAGGAGGGCGGCTACAGATGGACGTCGTTCTGTTGCGAGCTCTTGAATCAACTCAAACAGTGTACTCTCTTATAGAGTAGTGTTGCAGATAGCAGCTGTCTCAAACACATATCGGTCGGTGAGCATTGTCAGTCACATGACAGAGGTGCGATGGATATCACCTGGTGAACAGACGTGCCTTCTGCTGTGGGTGAAAGCGGCAGGCGGCTGCCCATATAAGCAGTCACGGTTCTGCGCTTGAATTTTCCTCAACCTCAACATCCAAATTTTGGAAACATGAATTCGCTTCCGTACGAGCTGTTGGAGACCATCGTCTTGCACCTTGGCAGCGATGAGCTTGCTCCGTTCGCCACCATCTCGGCCACATTCCAAGAGCTCATCGAACGTCGCACTTTCAGAGAGCTTGAAATCCGCAGCACCGACATTGATCAGTTCGTCGCGATAGTCACAGGGTCTCGCCGCCGAATCCTCAGACTCCTGGACTATTTCATCGCCCTACCAACTGTCGCCGAACGCCAGCGCAACAGCCTTGGCTTCACCAAAGCGATCCACGACCTGTTCTTTGCTCTGTCCCGCTGGGACACTGGATCGAGCGCCAACCCCATAAAACTAAGCATCAGTGTCGTCGAAGACAACATTTACCCCCGCATCGACTACCGCCGCAGCATCCTCGAGCTAACGGCACTCGACTCTCTCCAAAGCGTACCGCAAATCCACACACTATGTCCGGACAGCGGCGTCTGCATCTCAGACAGCAGCTGGATCAACATTGCCTCTCGTCTTCCGAACCTCCAGCGCCTCGACGTCCATCTCAACCACCAAAGACCAGGCCTGGACCTGGACCAGCGCCGCCGCAACCGCCACAGCCTAGCCGCAGCTCTGAACAACCTGCACAACACCTCCCACCTCGTCCACATCACCCTCTTTTCCCCCGCCATCGGCTGGTCGCGCCGCTTCTTCCGCCACACGCCCAACATCCTCCTCCCGGATGACCCTACCAACGACCACCTCAGCTTCGCGCTGAACCGCCTGCTGCGCCGCAGCCCAAACCTGCGCACATTCGATATCTGCGGCGCCATCTCCCTCAGCACCGCTCTCTTCGCCGACGACAACACCTCCTCCTCCTCCTCCTTCCACCGCCTGGAGCGCATCTCCATTTCCCTCGCCGCATGCGCACCCGACGGCACACCCTACTTCCACGGCAACATCACATCCGACCCAGCCGACATCGCCGACTACGCCGACGACGGCTTCGGCGACTCCGACGACGACGGCAGGCCTAGGCCCTTATATCGCTGGACCGGCGCCGCTGAAACGTTCCGTACTTTCGTTCTCTCCGCCGCGCGCTTCGTATCCGCCGCGCGCATGCCGCGTCTGCGCGCCTTCTCGCTCCAGATGCAGTTTCACCATTGCAAGATCGTGTACGCGGCGCCGGGAGTATTCTATCCGGCTTGCCAGTGGCTCGGCGAGGAGGACCCGTTGGGGGAGGGGAACTTGTGGTTGCCGCGGAGTTATGTTGATGTGACGGGGTTGGAGGGGGATGGGGAGGGGGATAAGGAGGTTGAGGAGGCGTGGGGAGGGATTAGGGAGGGGGGGTTGGTGCATTGGGGATCTCATGTCGATTGAGACTGGGGGAAGGATATCGGACTGGCACGGGATCTTCTTTAAAAAGGACAATGTACACACCAAGTGGAGGAATAGAGGATAGGCGGTAGGCCGTCCATGCTTGGGTTGTCTTACGAGTAAGCCAGTGAGTTGTTTATAAACAGGAAATCGTATCAAGAGAATGTTGAAGCTAGATATTACTCCGGAGGAGGGAAGGGGTCGAGGTATGAGACTTTCGTGAGTGTATGTGAAGCGGGATAGACATTTACTTAGCTATACGAGAACTATCTCATCCGCGTCCAGCTCTCCCCAGTCAACCGCCTCGCCATCCATAATGCCATCTACATAGCAGTCTCCGACCACCTTGTATGTACAGCCAGGCTCATCGGTCTTCCTCAATACCATTGGGACGCTGCAGCCATGAATGATTGCCACAACGTCCCCTTCCTCACAACAGCTACGCACCCATGCAATACGTCCGCCGGTAGTCGCCATGAGACTACGACAACATACGGTCTTCAGTAGGCTTTCTACCATGGCATCTTTGTCCCACATAGGTGTTCCCGGGTGTGCACGGTACCCATCTTGAATGTGCCAACGGTTGTCGAGATGATCCAAAACCTCTTTTGGAGACAGGGCTTGTATTTTTCTTCCAAAGGGATCCCTTCTGCGTGCTTCATTTGGACAGTCTGGTGTTATTATCAAGCCCCATATTGAATTCAGAATACCGAGTCTTGTCAATCCATGCAAAAGGGAGCAAGGCTGCTGGTTTGTTGTCGTGATGTGTTGGAAATTTCTGTCTGTGATGTATTCGCTGATTCTCTTGCCGGACACAGCCGCTCCTTGGTCGAATATCTTGCCGCGCACAGTCATTTGGTTTCCGATGGTGACTTCGCAATGAAAGTGCTTTCTTGATCGACACGCGTTCCATCTCCGGGTCCTAGACTCCCCGTAGTCGGCCGAAAAGTATAGCCAAACTGTTGATGGCTCCTGAACTCGCGCCATCCAATCGGGAACCCACGATGGAAGGCTTGAGAGCTGAGTGAATCTACGCTCACAGTCCATCGCGACTGATCCGAGGAACTCGAGTGACTTTGTCTCCTGAGCGATGTGCATGATGAAATCTTGGAAGATCCGCTCAATAGGTTGTCCATAGTCCGGCTCGAAGTCGTTGGGCTTTCAGATACCGAGGTATGTGAAAATCCGATCTCTGAGCTCCGCGGTACCGTAACTCTCGCCAAAGGTATTCAAGGTCCATAGCAAGACCACCCATCTGGGCGGCTGTTCTTCCTTTAGCATTGCCCGAAGTTCCCTTAAACTTTTCACCGTCGCTCCCACCTCCCCGCTCAAGTCTGTCATCCCGATTGCATAAGCTAGAGATACGAGACCTTCCAGTTGAGCATTGCGCATGGTTTGGTTGTGCAGGATGAATATCGGATTTCTCGAGAAGACAAATTCCTGGACGATCCAGCCACGCGAAAACCAAGGCCGTTGGAGAACTTCGGTCAAGGTTTTCTTGAATTCCGGAGATAGAAGTCTTCGTAGATCTACCATATGGGCGAGAACGCGGTCTTCAAGGTCGACTCTGAAACCACCCAAAATTTTTCGGAAAGGCACGGCATGAAAGTAGGTCGAACCGAGTTTGCCGATAGATGCTTCAAGAGTTCTAAGAGCAAGCCTCCCGTGCTCTCTCGCAGTTTCGAAATGAGTATGATGTGGGTTGAGCCAGATAAGTGTTGTGCATGCGCCCTTGTAGATGTCGCGCATCAGCTTGACCTGATGGCCCCGTTCTTCCTCATTCTTCTGGTCTATGCAAATCTGATCGATCCATAATAATTGCGTGCATGATTGCTTGATAAGATGCGGTAGAGCCTCCGACAGATTCTTCGTGATATGGATGTTGCCGAGTCTGGACACAGCAATCTTTGCAGCCAATTCGTAGCTGCCCCATGTATAGGACACGGCCTCAAATGGAGGTGCATTGTCCAGGCTAACGTGAAGGATATCAAAACCGGTGAATAGGTCGGATCCTTTATCTGAAGCACCATGGCCAACCTTGTGAGTTGCTGCATTCATACACAAATGGAAGGGTGGGCCAGGCTCTCTTACCTGGCGTACGCGTTCGTGTAGCCCAGACCTTTGCCGCTTCTGCAAGTTTCTTTTGTACCTCGTGCAGTCTCTGGTGTGCTGGAAACACGAATCGATTAGTATAAAGCAATACCCTTATCGATTGCTGAATGGAAGCAATCTTCTTGTGCTTCTGCAACTGCTTTTCAATGTCTTTTCCCATGAGCCTAACGACAGCCTTGCCGGTTTCTTTCCAGAGCGAGCCTCGGGGGATCTTCAACAATGGTATATGTCGATCGCTCTCAAGCGGTTTGTATTGATATTCATCAGCACTGTCCATGGTTAAGTCTGTAAGCGAAACTCTGAGAAGTTGGGATTATGCGCGGGAACAGACTCTCGCGAAAGGTGTTCTTTAAGAGCTGAGCCGGCTACTTTTGGCCCCCGTACAACCATCAAGTGCTAGACATGTAACGTTGATAGTTCTTCGTAGCACAGAGCTGAGAATGTTTAAAAATAAACCAGTGGATTCACCACTACGGTACCTCAGCCTCAAGCCCCAGTACCCATGGTACATGGAGTAGTCATGGTTTGCAAAGAACGATTCTTCCTTTTAATCGGGAAGTTGTTGCGTAGACCACTTTTTGGTCTACGTGTCGGCCAAAACATTGAAAAACGTACAATAGCCAGGATTCCCCGATAGTTGTCTACTTGAGTACTAATCAGCCAGTTCGCAGTTTAATATCTCTCTAAAGACCTCTCAAACGGCAAACCATTAAGTCCAAAACTTTTTTAATCAATCCGAGGGGTTCAAAGCGACCACCACGCAATACATTTCGTTTTCTTAATATTTAAACTACATATGATTATCATCCTTTGTGCCATCCAATCAAAATCACGCAGCTCGGCGCATTGTGGGACTGTGTAACATCAATATCCTGTTGAGGTGTCAGCGTACTGATCAGGCTGAACTCCGCATCGGCTGATCCTTGTGGCTGCTGCCTGTAGCGGGGTAGATAAGCAGGTGCCTGCTTATTGCTTTCCCCTCATCGCAAACATCTCACGAAACACTTGCTATCCTTCGCATCATCACCATCCCCAGCCTGTCGACCATGCTCTGCGCAGTGTGCTTATCGATATTTCACCAGGCAGAGGCATATTCATCAGGCCGGCATCACACAAGCATCGAACATGTTGAAATGGCAGCAAGCTCTGGCTGCAGAATTTGTCTGGCGGTTCAACACCATGTTCTCCCAGAAACCCGGAAACTTGATCAGAACAAAGGTTCCCGAGACTGGAAATTTATATACACACTGTGGCCCATCGCACTCCTCGTCGAAGCAGTAAATGATGCGGACTGGATCAGCGATTTTAATATTGAAAAGTCCTTTTCCCTTGTACCTTGTCCTGATGTTAAACACCCAAAGAATCGCAAAGACTACCAGGCCCTATCTGATATGGACCTCCTTCATCAGCCATGGCGTGTCAGGCATGACGATTATTGGCGAGATATTCCTGACAATACAGGACACAGCGATGTTGCCAGGCAGGCGCTTGATTGGCTCCAGATTTGCTTGAAGACACATAGCGCTTGTGAGTGTGATGCTCAAGCACCTGCGTACTATCCGAAACGGCTGCTTGATCTTAGTCCAGATGAGAGTCACCTTATCTTGACTGCCTCAGAGAGACCATGCAGCCAGTATGCGACACTCAGTCATTGCTGGGGATCCACCCCATTCTTCCGTCTGTCTTCGAACAATGAGGGAGAACTTGGACGGCGGCTGCCCGTTGAAAAATTACCGCAATCGTTCCGCGACGCAATTCTCTTCACCCAGCGGCTCGGCATTCGATACTTATGGATAGACAGCCTGTGCATCTTACAAGAAGGACCTGGACACGCCGAAGATTGGAACGAGCAGGCGCCTCTCATGAACTCTGTCTACTCCAATGGGGTAGTTAACATCTCAATTCTGCACGCACAAAACCCTCACATTGGAGCTTTCAAACCCCGTAATCCGGATATAGTACAACCATGCTACGTATCCTGCTGTAAAGACGGGGCCGGTGAAAAGATGTGGGCTATTCTGGACGACGAAACTGATTATCACAACGCTATTACACACTCGACGCTCTCAAAACGTGGATGGGTAGTCCAAGAGCGGATGCTCTCGCCTCGGACCATACATTTCGCCTCGGACCGCATTTTCTGGGAATGCAGATCTGGCGATCTCCTCACGGAATCATACATTTCAGGCCTGGGGAACAGAGAGGAAATTCGAAGTTACAATGATCTTTCCATATGCAAAGTGCCAACATCCTCCAGACCCGTGGCCTCCGAGATTTCAGACGCATGGCGCCGAGTCATCCAATACTACGCGGCTGCAAAGCTCAGCAAGCCAGAAAAAGACAAACTGGTTGCCATCGCAGGTATCGCCATATATTTCGGTACCTTTTTCAATGATCAATATGTCGCGGGCTTTTTTCGCTGTCATCTTCCATCTGATCTCCTTTGGGAGAATAATGACTCCTTGTCGCCTGAACCTGCAGTTGGGACTGCTGGCACAACAACATATCAAGGGCCTACATGGAGCTGGGTCAGCACAAATAGCCGAGTCCGTTTCATCCCATATTGTGCGGATAAGATGCAAGTCACTGTGGAAAGAGTGGATGTGCAGCCTCTGGACCAGCAGAACAATTACGGGCAAATTGGGCATGCAGAAATAACGCTGCGGGGAGTGTTATTACCATGTAAACTGATGCATGACCGAAACCGTGGTAGGTCATCTTGGAGAGGTATCTTGAAGCCTTTTAAAAACGCTGAAGACAACATGTCACCGCCTGGATGTAGGGATGAGAAAAGAATAGAGGATAGCTTGGAGATAAAGCCAGACCGCAATCTTCATCTTTCAACGCAGCAAAACTTCATGGCTCTACCGTTTATTATTGGGGGGGGCAAGCATCATGATTTTTATTCTAGAGGGCTTATTTTACAGAGTACACGTGTACACGGAGTTTATACGCGAGTAGGGGTATTCTTTAGCCATGTTGTACACATTCGTCAGAGTTATTTTCGTCAGACTTTACGGATAATTTGAGACCAAACTTCCGCTTAGTATTAGAATAAATTCCTATAGTAGAATATCTTTTCAAACACAGTGGCTCAGGGTTATAGGAGGGTAGGTCCCCGCTTCCCACGGCGTGTCTCAGGCATATCCCCTGTAAGCGTCATGCACGAAAAATCTGCAATACAGCCCTACTCATCCCCCTCGACAACCTCAATACCCCACCTCTGCTCGCCATTGCTATCCTCAAACCAGCCCAGCTTCGTCTTAACATCCCTCTCCTTCTCCAGACCATCCGGCCCCCGCTCCCGCACGAGCTGCAGCAGCCTGTCGCTGTGCGCGACCAGGACGAGCACGTCGCCCAGACACTCGATGTTGCGGTCGAGGTTGCGCAGGTACTTGCGCTGCAGCACCGCGATGGCGACGGTCGTGGAAATCAGCCACGCGAGGATGTCGACGCTGAGCCAGACGGCGACGGCGTTCGTGCGCAGGAGCTCGACTTGGGTCGACACCTCGACGAGGGCGGTCCGATTCGTGTGGGACGGCGGCGGGGATGGAGCCGGGAAGGGCAGGTAGCCCTCGCTTGGGATGTACTTGTCGATCGTGTTGACGCCGTACGGGAGGCTTGCGTTGATTTCCTGGTACGCCCAACTTTGGGTCGTGGCCGACATTGATGTCGCTGACAGGTTGCTGCTCACGAAGTGTTGGAAGAAGGTGGAGAAGGTCTTCTCAGCCTGACGGTGCATGAATGAGGCGTCTAGAAGAGTGGTCGGGTCCCTGTTTGCCATTGCGTACATCGAATACGTCATGAAGTCGAGGTTGAGGCCGTAGTTCGGGTCGCGGAAGCTGAAGGTGTTGTCGTCCAAACGCTCCGCACTGCCCTTATCGCCAAACATCATAGACATAATTACGCTTCCGAGCAAAGCATCCATAAACACAATACCATAGCTATTGAGAAATTGATCAGTCTCCCATAAATCCATGGTTTCGAGGAGGAAACGCATCATTGCACTCTGGGAAAGTCGACTTACAGCCCTATATAGTCTGTCGATGAGACGGATTGCTTGCCAGGGCCATTTTAAGTCACGAACGCATCATTCCATGCCTCCGTAGCGTTTTTAATTTCGTCTATGATGCTGAAAGAGTGCACCTTCCCACCATGTGGGTCAAGCGTGACATACGCAAGCGTAGACTCAATTATTGGCTGGCAGTGAAGGGCTCGAGCAGAAGGAATACTGTCGTATATACCGGACTTTACAAATGATTCGTGGACCTCAAAAACGAACCTCAAATCGCCGTGAATCCATTTGGTCGTGAAGTTGAGAGGCCAGGTGGAATCTTCAAAGGGCCAGACATAGCTGAAGGCTGGTACATCTGCTGACCAATACCCTAGTGCCAAAGAGCGAGATCTCTGTTGTATAGAGTCATTTGTACAACATTGAAAGTACAAATGATTCGTCAGAACTGTCGTGTTGAAAAACATACCTCTCCACGGGCCCAGTTCATACGCCGTTTCGAGTCCGTCTGGGATCGAGCTTGCATTCCAGTGTGATGAATCAGTGAGATTGACCCGCGTGAGCCAAGCAGAGGTGTTAGTCAGTTCTTCATGATGGCTGCATTCGACTGCCGGAGTGGTCAAAGATACTGTGATCTCCGAGGTGAAAGGAGAAGCCCCTAAATCTTGAACTGGGCGTACTTCGATAGCATTTGCTAATTCGAGGGGTACGAAGCTCCAGCCGTCCATGCTCCAAGGTGGTTGGGATCCATTTAAAGCCAGCTGAATCGTGGCACTGTACAGCCAGTTCGTGGAAAGGCCACGGTATAATGTGCTGATAAGAGACTCTATGGCATCTGGAAGTGTGCTCCTCTCTCCAGCATAATAAAGATATTGGTGTACTATAGGCGTTTGGCATAGCTCGAGCTGTCTTTAGGCGTGATGCATGCTGATGAAATCGCATTGGCCGCTCTCAAGGTGGGTATTTAGTGCTTTCTTTCGAGTAGCTCAATACATCACAGGTTCATCTCGTCAGCCTCTCACCCTTGCCCACCGCATCACCGCTACCTCAGCCTCACCGAGAATGAAAATTACTAATCGCAGAGACAACAAGATGAAGAAGCAGAGTGAAAACGCCTTTGATTCGCTTTCTCCCATTTCACAGAGTAAAAGGCTATACAATTCGAATATTCCCCTGCTTTACAGCTGGAAATTCTATCCTTACTTTTCCACCGATAGACCCGTGCTTTGGCTTGCGAGTAAACGCTTGACCAATGTTAATGTTTTTATGCCCTGTTCTTTGTGTCACACCATTGCCTTCATTTGCTAAGAGGCTAAACGTGTAGTTTCAATGACACTTCAAAGTACTTGGAACGACCGCGATGAAAGTTAGGTGGCCACATCATCTCTTAACGACTCGATGCTCAAAGATTGTGTTGATGAAATAAACTGGCGTGTAGCAAGTTTCTATCCCACGTTTACTCATACAAGCTTAATGGAATTGACTCGGATACTTTCCATCTCTATTACCTCACCACTCATAATTCCATAGACGTAACATTCCCCGACCAGCCGGTAAGTTTCATCTTCTTGTGTTTTACGAAGTAAAAATGGCACATGACATCCAGAAAATACGCAGATGATATCGTCTGCTTGTGCATGGTTCGGAAAAAGGCCAAAGTACTTCTTGCCGGTGATTCCGAACCGCCGATTCCGCATCGCGTGCCGCGCGGCCTTCCGCACGTGTTTGAATGCTTCTGCGAGGCCCCGCTGACTGACGTCTTTCTTTACCTTCTTTTTCTTCTTTTTGCCTTCCTTCATGTTACTTCCGGGAGTATGTCCCTGCTCCTCCAGAGACTTGTTCAACTGGTTGCCAAGCTGTACACCGTGTGTATCCCAGTTCCCGAGATGTGCGACTGTGACTTTACCTTCGCAGCCTTCATGTAGTTCCTGCCTCTTATCATACTGCTGATCTGGGAGGGCATATTTCGTTCCAGTCACATAGTCCAAAAGAAGACTGAAGACCACGGACCAACTCTGCGGACATCTCTGCCTCCCAGATCCATCCTTTCCAACAACTAGCGTCTGTCAGAAAGCCTCGAAGATCCCGCAGCCACTAGCATACTTGCACCGATCCTGACAAGCACACTTACCGCTACAGGGATAGCACCTGCGCACAACCTCGAGACAAGCAAGGAGGTCGCTCTCGCGACCCACCTCCGCCGGAAGCCCCAAATGCGGTTCAGCAAACACATCGCTCACCTCACCAACGACATCGAACACCTTCCCCTCCACCCTCAACTCGCGGCCCCCAACACCAACCACCAGCCTTGGATCCGCCCCTCCCCCCGCCTTATAAAAGCTCGCCGTACTCGTCGCCAACCCCAGCGCCTCCGTCACCCGATCCCTCCTCCAATCCGGACACCACGACGGCATATCGCCCTTCTCCCCCTCCCCCTTCTCCCCCTCCCCGACCGGCCCACGATCCACGCAAATCAACACGTCAAATACCCCGCGCCTATGCAACGACAAATCCGCATCGTACTCCGCTTCCTTCGCCTTTTCCAGCTCCGCAACCGCGTCGTCCAGAAACATCACAGCGACCTCCCGATACACCTCCCCCGCACCGCGGTCGTAATCGATGCCGATATCCCGCGCTGCCCGCCCGCAGATGCCGAGCAGCCCGTACACCTTGTCCTGCGAGACGGAGCACGCCGCATAGCGCGTCGCGACCAGCATGGCAAACAGGCCAGGCGGCTCCTGGAACGACGAGTATGCCAGGCGCTTGCCGTCGAGCTTGTACAGCGTCTCGCAGCCGGCGAGGGCGGCACCGTCGTCGTCGCTGTGGAGGGAGAGGAAGCGGTGCAGACCGGACTCGACGATGGCGTAGCACGCGTTGCTGAAGTCGTTGTAGGGCATGGCGAGGATGTCGGGGGCATTGGCATTGCTGTGGGTCCCGAGGACCATCCATGGCGACCGCGAGAGGATGAGTTCCTGGATGACCCAGAGGCGGGCGAACCAGGGCAGCGCGAAGAGGGCGCGCAGGTGGAGCCAGACAGAGGAGGTGATGGGCGGGAGACGGAGACGGAGGAGGTCGGCGGGCGTGCTGACCGTGTCGGTGTGGAAGCGGAAGCGTGCGTGGATTTGGCGGAGGAGGGCGAAGGCGGTGGTTGTGGCGTCGAGGTCGGAGCTGTCGTCGTCGTCGCTGTTGTTTGTGGTTGGTTCGTCGAGGCCTGCGCCGAGCCAGATGGCGGTGTTGAGTGCGTGGGAGTAGATTCGGGACATCAGCGGGATCTGCTGCTCTTTCTCTTTGCCATTTTTTTGATCGATGCAGATCTGGTCGATCCACATGACGATTGCGTGGTCTTTCCTCCTGAAGTGGCGGAGTGCTGTCTCGAGGGATATCGTGATACCCAAAGGCTGGCCGTCGCACACGATCGTTGCGTCGGGACGTCCGGTCCCCCAAGTGTAGCTCAGAGCGGTGTAGAACACGAGTCGTTCCAAGCCCATTGACAGGGCGTAACGTGTTTCTCCAGTGCGGTGTGGCCCATCGCTTCCAGTCTTCGTTTCCAACGGTATTGGTTGGTACTCGAATTCCAGCGTGCAATGCGCCAGCGAAGCCCTGAGCGGATCGTTGAACTCACCAGGCTGGATTTCCAAAACCCGTACTTCGTACGGGTCCTTGATAGGCTTGTAGACATTCTCGGGGCTGATAGAGCTTTCGCTTACTCTGGCTGTTTCGGGCGTAATCCCCACTTGCTCTTTCTTTCTCTTGATCCACGCGTAAAGCTGGTCGATAAAAGCTGCATCGAGCGGAACGAACTCGCGAGAGTAGCCTGCGCGGCATGGATCAAGAGGTACGGTATCCTCATTCGATTTATCAGCTCGCGTGAGCTCGAAACAATCTGCATGACGCTCAAAAACGTCTGAATTTGGACCAGATGGCGACCAAGGCTTGCTAATGGTGCTTGCCATTCTGGCACTGTTTGACTATCTGGAACGGGCTTAGCGAGTCTCAGAGGTATAGTAAATTGAGATCAAGAGATGTAGCAAACGGAATGGAGGCAACAGTGTAAGTATAAAGGTTGGTAAAAGTAATACGATCGACGAGGTGTTTTAGCTTACCTAACAAGGCTGAGATTCTTCTACGTTAGACAGGGTCGTGTTATGTTGCAGTGTACGCTCGTCGTTGTAGCTGCTGAGGATCGATCTGAAGCGAGGCGAAGAGAGGAAATAGGTGGCTTAATTATACGAACTTACAGGACAGAGCACGAATATATAGACAGTAGTGGCGCTTGCCAAGCGGGGGCTGTGTGCATGAAATTGCGAGGATACGTGAAGACACCGCGAGGCTGAAACTTTCCAAGAAGAATCATGGGCGGTTAGCGATAAGGGGCTACTGTCACACGCCTGCGAGGGATTATTCGACGTACGTGGGGTCAAAGCCATAAAAGTCTACCATGCATTATTCTCATCGAAGCTAAAGAGCGTAACTAACTACACAGCACCTTCCGTGCGGTCAAACAAAGGCCCTCCCGGTCTACCCCGCTCTGCCTCCTCAACATCAACCCACAACTTCAGCGTCACCTCCGTACTCATGCCACCGGTGCTGCTGCCATACACCATCCCCGCAAAGACGGCCATCTGCTTCGGCATCGTCGTATCGCGATAAAACCTCACGACATCCTGGCGCCCCACCATCCTCCTCAGATCCTGCCAGGGGGCGGCGACGGTTGCGCACTCGCCTTCGCCTTCGCGAATAGGCATTGCCGTCGTCGGCATCCCGTACTCCCTGCACTGCACGTGCGCGTTGAGGTTCCACCAAGTCGGCATCAGGTCCGGCGCGGTGTTGTAGATGCGGTACAGGAAGCGGGTGAAGCCGCCGATGCTGCTACTCGTGCCGACGTTCCAGACGCAGTCGGCGTCGACGCCGGTGCCGTCTATGCTGGTTTCTAATTGGTCCGCCATGCGCACGCGGTACACGTCGATGAGCAGGCGGAAGACGTCGTGCTCGGGCCGGTCGTAGAGCCAGTCGCGGGCGGAGAGGCGGTGGAAGGGTTCGTGCATTTGGACTGAGAGGGCGGTGGGGGCGGCGGCGGATGTGGATGAGGACGGATCAGGCGGCGGCGGGTCGCTGGCGAGGGAGAGGACGGAGAGGGAGAGGTGCCAGGGCGGCGGCGGTGCGTGGGCGGGTGAGAGTGAGTTGTGCTCGACGGAGAGGAGGGCGCAGACTCGCTGGTGCACCACCCGGGCGTCCTGTTGGCCGTAGTTGGCGCAGAAGTCGGGGCTGGGGCTGCCGCAGGGAGTGATAGCTCTGAAGCAGCTGCTGCAGAGTTGGCTGTTGCCGGTGGTGGACATGGTGAGGAGATGTGGTGTGAGTGTATTGTTGCTACTGATGGTGGAAGAATGAAGTACGGTGGTATTGTTGCTACTGATGGTGGAAGAATGAAGTGCGGCGGTATTGTTGGTTGGAGAATGAGCTGCGGCGATTGATGGTTGAAGAAGTGAGAGTGATGGAGCGAGAGAAACTCAGGTCTTTTGCAGAGAGACAGAACAGGAGCCAACCGTCATCTTTGGGAAGCTGCACAAACCCCGCGATCCAGGTGGATGAGAACCGGGAAGGTGCGTTCGAAAAAGGAAAGCGTGACTAGCAAACAGGACCTCAGAAAATATCAACATTCTCGCATAGAAAAAAGAAATGTTGGTTATCATAACGCAAGATTGATACGGTCCAAAGCGAAGTCAAATCAAGAAGTCGGATTACTATCAAGAGGTTGGACAGGTTGCGAAGCAAACCGTACGAGTGACTGACTATAAACAACTGGCGCGTGACGTCATGGTGAGTCGAGGTCACCGAGGACCGGAAGCCCGAGCCGTGACAAGATACCATTCTATAGATATAAATATATTCTAATTTCGTTGCAGTTCCGCCACGTTGTAAATACGGTACTGCTTGTGGTGGAGAGGTCCTGTTCAAGTAATTGCCCCAAAACCAGAAAGTGCGACTACCAACACCACTTCCCCATCATCAGACACAGAACAACATCGCCATCCTCAATCCTCATCCCGCCCGTCAACGACCTCAACCCCCCATCTCGCCTCCCCACCACCGTCACCACCCCCAAACCACCCCAACCTCGTCACCACCTCCCCTCCCCCCTCCCTCACCACCCCCAACAACCCCCCACTCCCCGCCACCAGCATCAACACATCCGCAACACACGCCACATCCCCCCTCAACCGCCCCCAATACCCGCGCCGCCCCACCACCCCCACCACCCCCGTCGTCGCCACCAGCCAGCCCAAGATCGCGACGGCCAACCAAACAGCAACATCGTTCATCCGCAACAAGCTTATCCGCGTCGCCGCCACTACCTCCGCTGCGCGCTCCGTCGGCGGCTGCTGCGTCGGCCACGCGATCGGGTCAGCGCACGTCGCGCCCGTGTAGTTCCACAGACAGCCCGGCAGCGTCGCGGCGAGCGGCTGCCAGGCCCAGCTGCCGGCGGTCAGGGTCGTGGCGGAGAGGTTGCTCGAGACGAAGTGTTGGAAGAAGGTTGTGAAGGTTGTTTGGGCGGTGGAGAGCATGGTGTGCGGGTTGAGGAGGGCGTGGGGGTCGACCGAGGCGGAGGAAGGGGACGAGGAGGGGGACGAGGACGAGGGGGACGAGGGGGAGGAGGAGGAGGAGGAGGAGGACGAAGAGGCCAGCGTGTACATGGCGTACGTCATCAAGTCAAAGTTCAGCCCGCGCTCGCGGTCGCGGAAGTTGAACGTCATGTCATCCGTGTTCTCTGCCACAGTGTCGAAGTCCCAGCCCGTGTAGCCGTTGATGGACGCGGCGCGCAGCATGGACAGTAGGAAGAGGATGCCGTAGCTGACGGTGACGTTCGACGGCGCCGTCGGATCTTTCACTTCGTCGCGGCCGCCGTAGTTGACGAAGTTGTAGCTCCACGCCTCATCCGCGCTCGATGGCGGCTCGAGAATTTCGAACTTGGCGACGTTGCCCGTTTGGCGGTCGACGGTCACGTTGGCGGAGCTCTTCTCGATGATGGGCATGCACTTCAGCGCTTGCACCTGCGGTACCTCGGTGAACAGGAAGCGCGTGCGGCTGGTGTAGATGTTGTCGGTGATGAGGTCCGCGGAGAAGTGGTTGCCCCAGATGTATTTGGTCGTGAAGTTGAACGGCGGCTCGAACGTGGTGCCGCGGTCGGGCGACCAGTTGCCGATGGCGGCGCCTTTGGGTGGCCAGCTGTTGGTGCTGCCGTTCTCGCAGCATGTGGGCGTCGAGTCGTCGGCTAAGATGGATGTGTTGAAGAAGTTCGGGTACGCCAGGTCTGATCCGACGTAGGTTAGCTCGCCTAGTTCGTATGCGGTCGTGATTTTGTGCGGATTCGAGCTGGCGTTCCATAGTGATGTGTTTGTCAGATCCCGCTCTGTGACCCAGGCTGATAAGTTGTTCAGGTTTTCATATGGGCTGCATTCGATGCGGCCCCGGATGGCAGGTGTGACGACTGAGATGTTGGTCGCTGGAACAACAGAAGAATTCTGAGGTGGGTTCGGTATCTCGATCTGAGACAGATCGAGCGGGGCGAAACTCCAGCCGTCGCGGCTCCATGGTGGTTGGGACCCGTTCATTGTCAGTTGTAGCGTCGCACTGTATAACCAATTCGTGGAGAAATTGGTATAGAGGTTAGAGACGATGCGAGCATTGTTGGTGCCTGATACCTGGCCCGTGAATTCCCATTCCGCTCGGAACAGAAAGGGAATTTGACGCAGTTCCAGGTTTCTTGCTGCACTTAGAGAGTGAATGAGGCTCCCTTGGGTGCGCTCAAACAGGGCAGACATGGCAATAGTTACTAAACAGATCAGTACACCCTATCATCCATCAGTGCAGGGGACCTTACGGAGTGGCGAAAGGGATGTTCCAATAGTGATTAAGAATAAGAACCAATGTTTCTTTGTTGCAGCCCTGAAGGCGGCCCAGGCCCAATACGATGACTGGTACGACAAGTCTATTCCGCGAGAGCGGGGTTGTGGTTTTTCGGCCATGGATAGATATGGTTGCAGCCGGCGGAATGTTGCGTCTAATGCACCCCACCATAATCCAACTGATACGGCCAGTAAGGTCGGAATAATAGAGATTGGTGCTATCGTATGTGACCCAAAGATTGACACATCTGTTTCGTATACAAATGCTTCGCTGTAGAGAAGTGACCGCTTAGCAAAGCTGTACAGAACAATCACGGCTACTGCAAGGGCTAGAAGAAAAAGGACAAAAGCCGTCAGTGTTCGTAAGCGAAGTACAGCCGGCCGCCAATCCGGCTTTGAGAGTTTAGCTTCCGTAGTTGTTGTATCTGTAAATCGTTAGACTATAAACAAATGAAGGTCTGACGGTTTACGCACACGAGTTCACTCTCGTGATCTCACTTGATTCATGCAGGACCGAAGGTGTGGTGAAATATCGTTTCTCTTGCAGGGCGTCCTTCGTAGAAGCGTGTTTGAATGAGTTCTGCGTAGCAGGCGCATTGACTATCAAAGAGGCGACACCCGTAGTCGTGGCGGGGTCCTGTCGTAGGTTGAGAGGCCTGAATCGATGACCGGATAGTGTCCATACTACTGCCAGCAGGCACAAAGACAGGAAGAAGAATGTCACCAAAGCAACGGCAACCCCAGCTGTCACTACAATGCGTGTCGCAACAACTGTGACAGTCCCGTTAATGCTCCTTTCGGGGGCATTCTGCTGCTGAAGAGAGTACTGTAGCACTTCGCCAAAAATTCTCTGCTTCACACGAGAGGCTTGAGTGAGTAAATCGCGGTCGTCTACCATAGCCTTGAAGTTGAAGTTGTACAGAGCTCCGAAAAGGACCATTAAGCCAGTGTTAGGGGGACGGCTCATTGACGATGAGGACTCTACCAAGTAGTCTGACCAAGGAAACCCGAGAGACAAATTTTGAGCCAGCGTGACGTCCATGAAGCTCTCAGGAATAGGCGAGCGCTTTCTGCGGTATTCCTCTTCGTCGAATACCATCTCGGAAAAAGTGCTGGATATGCGGGCAGTGACGTTCATCTCAGCCATGTAGTAGTTCGCGGAGCATATTCGCGCCACGGGAATAGCCGTCTGATTTGTCGGCGCGATGAGAATAAACTCCCTCTCTCCACAACCACTAGTCCAATTGGCCGGGGTTAATTCAGTTGTAACCAAGGTCCTATTGTCGTACCAAGATCCAAATGGCGGATCAAGGCGGAATTCATGCGTGCATCCATCGCCAGAGTCCAAAACTGCGACAGTGATGTCTATGGGTATGTCGCTGACGTTCATCTCTTTCATCCTGACCAACGACATCGACTTGCAGTCAAGTTCAGTATTCAAGACCGTTGTTTCAGCTTGCCACTCCTGCGGAGTCGTTGACAAGAAAGGTCCCAGAGGAGCACTCGGTCGATCAGAGGGCCAGAACGGAATGATTGTGTAGTCGTCACTTATCCACGCAGAAGTCGAAACATCCTGTAGGAGATGACCGATGGTCCGCAACATGGTCTCCCTTCCACTCGTCGGCGAAATAGGACTCTCGGGCGCCATGCGAGAAAATTGGCCATCGGTGCTGATAGAAATGTCCATCGGCTCCAAAAGTGATGATGACAGTGGCGACACCACCAGAAACCCGAATATGTTGATAAGGGCAGCGGAAACGAGGACCCAGCTTCTTCCTCCTTTCCTTGAGAAGCCGTCGGCTAGAGCATTCCACCATGCTCCAGGAGCTCGAAGTATGCTTGCGTATGCTGGAGCGCCTCCAAACTTGGCCATCTGGGCGAAAGCCTCGGTTCTCTTGACGTCATCGAGAAGCATCGCAGTCAGTTGGACGTAAAAGACGGCGAGAAGAGAAGGGGTGAAGCGCCATCCGAAGAGCTGCATGGTTGAGTCATCGTCGGTGCCTAGTCCATCATTTTTGACCGAGTAGTGAAGAAGCAGGGACACGAGGAGAAGTAGGGTCAACATCGAGACAGCGAGAAGTGCGAGAAACCACCATCGGAGGGTGTATGGTTGCCATGAAGCCGCGTCGGAGCCGACTCTTCCAGAGTCTTCCTCGAGAGCCTCATACTCTGTGTGCAAAAGATGTTAGAAGCAGAATGGATAATTCATGTATAGCTGACGCACTGATCGAGTTTCGATTTTGATAACCTCCCGGGCCAGGATGCGAAACGAAATTGCGGGGCGGAAAGTTGCACGTGACTGGCTCAGAATATGGTTCAGCCTGGTCGTAATTTCGGATGCTCGACGCCTTCGTGCTACTAGTGGACTCGGCTTCCAAGAGTCGTCCTTCCGGTTCATGAAGATGCGAGGGCAGATCGTCCTGTCTCGGTATCCCTTCCTGCGATTCCACTGGGTGTTCCAAGTCCTGTCGAGAATCGGTGGAAAGCGGGTATTGAAGCAGAGGTATTTCGACCTCAGCGCTATGGCTCTGTCTCACGGATGGACGACGAGACTCCATCTTGGGTGGTTGAAACGGCGGGCGCCAGATTCTCAGAGAGCTGCGAGATGGCAGTCATTCCGACCGTCGAGATGGGTTCCTAAGACTTGCAGTACGACGAGGCTGTGAACCGCGGCATTGCAAGACGCGAGGCTATGCTAAAATGTACTAAAATCTGACAGGTCACGCCCCAACATGTCTGCGTGAGTTGGGTTGATCCTACTGGTTATGTTAAACCACATTGCTTTTGCGGCCCCCACGTTGAAGCCTCATTTCAAGATTTTGGATAATCCTTGCCGAGGTTCCTTGGCTACAGACTAGTAGTATGGCTCTTAGGCCTGAGCTAATTTTATGCTTACCCCGCGTTTCCGGCTCGGTCTTTATCTTTATAAATGCCCGGGCGCTTGAGTACGATTTTCTTGTTCTTCGTAACAGTTCCTACCTCACACACTCTTGTACTTTATGGCGACAGCGCAGGTCTATTTAATTATCTCGACTGTGGGATGAGGCTATTCAATACTTGCGGATTCATCTCTTGAGGTAGGTATCGCTGTCTTTTTACTTGAAGTTGCTGATTACAAAGCAAAAGAACCACTTCCATTGTTTCACTCCATTTTCGCAGATGGGAACCCAAAACATCTGTGATCCGCTTTGAGAGTCTCCTGTCACCCTACTGTTTGAAGGAATTAGTATTTCTCTCTCCATATAATATTTGATATAGTGTGGATAGAGTCCTCCAAGACGTTTTTGTAGCTAACAAGGCGGTATTCCTGCTTCGCATGCTAATGTGGCAAATCATAATCTTTTGTTCCCCTAGAGCTTGAATTATTCGCAGCAAGTTGGCCATAGTCGAGAGCAGGGATAAGAGAGATGTGAATGAGATCAAGAAAGGTAAGTAAGCAGTAGCTTGGCCAGGACGAGAAGGAAGCATGCAGGAACTTCAAGATTGTATTGAGAGTGCCTCTGCCTCCTTTTTGTTACGGCGGGTGTCCGAAGGTCCAGATGGAAAGGCGGATCATGCATTTCTTCAGTGGGTAGAATATGAGAGCAAAAACGGCGTGATGATGGACAGTGTGACTAATCACTGCGGACGAAAGGCTTTATTGCCAGCAATTGGTTTGAATTGCTAACTTTGAATTGACCGCGAAGGTCAAGGCTGTCTAGGGAGTGTGGCTTGTACATGTAGGAGAGGTTGTACAATCCAGCGTGCTCAGTGAGCAAGTGTGTCCAACAGATCTTAGAAGTCACCAATCTCGCTGTCTCGAGCCCTCGGGATCGGTGGCGCTTCGGGTCACTGCCCAACTTCCTCACCCAGTGGAGGTTTCGCCGGAACACGATGACAACGTCCATGCTTACTGTAATTACGTTAGGTACAACTCGGATAGCAGTGGGAAGCTGTATTACTTACACACTGTAGTATCGACCATCCCAAAATAGGTAGTGGTTAGCAAAAGAACGGAAGGGATTGATAGTAATAGGGCTAAGCTTACGCACTGCACTAAGTTAGAACAGATACAGCAGCATTAATGGTTGGAGGGGTACTTACTTGCTAATTTAAACATTACCCAAGTTGGGCATTCGATTAGTCCGGCTACAAAAAACAGCAAGATTGAGAAGCTCACGTTGTTACCGCAGCACCTGGCGCGGTTGGCACAGCCACCAGGGCAGCGGGGGTCGTACTGCCTGGGCAGGAGGTTCTCAATGGGCTCCGCCTCGGCAACGGCGTTGGCCTCGTGGCTCAGAGGGGTAGCGGCAGCAAGGCCGACGAGGAAGGTCATGGCGATGTAAAGGAACTTCATGTTGTCGGTTGGGTAAGGTGGTAGCTGAAAGCTTGGGGTTGTCGAGTGGTTTGTTGGTGAAGTGGTGGTGTGGTGGTTGGTGCCTCTTTCATGGACTGTTGTCTCTCTTTATATACCTTCGTAGGTAGCTCAAGAAAGCGCCGAGAATTAGTCGTACTCGGCGAGATACCCCAGCTCTATGGGTATCGCTTAGGCATGTCTACCATGTGAAACAATTATTGATGCACAGTTCGTCAGTGACAGCTGTGTGTTCCATTGGCATTACTGTGCTCTGAAGCGTGTCGTTTGTCAGGGCGCTCCATTCAGACATGAGTCAAAACTAGGTTTATTAAGAAACGCAGCTAATAGGAATTTTTAGACGCTCTAGAACCGCTGGTCTATTCATAAATAATGCGCGAATAGCAGCGACGCTTCAGATCACAGCAAACTTAAATTCAAACCTTAACGTAGCCTAGCTTCAGGAACGGGCAACTTCCGTTGAACGCCTTATGGCTGAATAGAACCTTATTCGATGAGAGAAAACTCAACGCACGTGTCATGATGAAATGGCGTCCTAAATCTCACGCCATGGATCTAGTCTACAAAAGAGGAAATATGAGGTGCACAACGATCTTCCTGCTTGTGCCGCACCTTACATTCTCAGCTAGTACTTTTGACTCATTGAAAGTATGCTTAAGACTACCTGAATCAAGAATACGAGGGAGTGAGGGGGACATTGGCACGACCCATCTTGGGTGGCCCATGCGGCTCGGCCAATGCGGGGCGATAGGCGGGATCCGACGAGCTTGAGAGAACAGAGCTTTCTTTCTTTCTACGTAGGTTTTTGCCGGAGATGCCTGAGGGAAACTTTTAGGACCGTCCCGAGGCGGGCGTCGGCATTCCTACCGAGAGAGCCACAACTTTATTCCCCCTGATTCCACGGCAGAGCGGGATGTGTCCGCCCGTCGGAAAACATTGTGGGAGATGGTCCAGAACTTGTAGTCTATAGTAGTGATTCCAGTATAGGCTAAGCATCACTATCCGTGCTTTCAACCTGCTCATACCCCCTTCTCCTCTTCTGCCCCTCCGCACCCAGTCTCGCGTACAGCTTCGGCACCGCCCAAAGCGACCCAACGAACCCAACCACTAGCACTAGCGCCACCAGCTGCGGTATGACCTGCCACGCCAGGTCCGGCAGCTCCTTTCGGGGCTGCACGGGGTAGCGCGTCCGGCCTCCGAGCCCACCATCGTACCCAACAGCATCCCAATCCACGTCTGCCGTTCCCATCTTCCCACTACCCGAGGCGGCAACATCCGCCAGCATAGCGGGACAACCCCATTCATCGCACACGTCTCGCAGCCGCCCCGCAGCAGGGACAAACGTCCTGCATATCCGCGACCTCCGGATGGCCTTCCCATCCCTCCCCACCGCCTCGGCGAAAACCCACCGGGCGTACTTGGGCATACGAACGCGAGTCTCGAACCCGGTCTTGTTCGCCGTCCCAAGCAGCGTCCATGCCTTACTCCCCGTAACCCTTCTAGCAAATTGATCGTCTTCTTCCGCAACGGAATAGAAGTTCCACGCCGCGACCTCCGTCGCGCCGTTCCACGACACGTAAAAGACTGTCCCCGCTTCGGCGTCAGCGGTTTCGTTGTGCGCGTAAGCATAGACGGCGGGGGCGTCATGTGGGGTTGCGGTCCAATTGAACTTGCGGACCCTGTAACTCATGATGTCGGTGTCGTTGGGCGCGAACTGGCCCCACAGCACGCTGTCGCCGGAAGGCGCGTGCTCGGAGAAGAACGGCCACTTGCCCCAGCCGACGAAGGCGTGGTCGTTGGGGAGGAGCTGCATGCTGCCTTGGGACCCGGAGAGCATCTGGTGCGTGGCATTCTGGGGGGAGTAGGTGGAGAGGAGGGAGGCTGTGTGGGTGGTGTGGTCGAGGGCGATGACGAGGCCGCGGGAGTGGGGGGCTGTGGAGGTGCGGACGTCGTCGCTGGCGTTGTCGAAGAGGGAGAGGGTGGTGTGGGTGGCGTTGGAGGAGACGGCGCGGACGTCGTGTTGGCTGGAGAAGTTGAAGTCGGCGGCGTGGTGGTAGGTGGTGGGATGGTGGAGGAGCGTGTGGTTGGAGGTCTGGTGGGGGTCTTGGCCGCGGAGTTGCCATACGATGTGGCCGTCCGCCTGGGAGATTTTGTAGATGGTGGACATGTGCCGGGATGAGACCAGGTAGTCGCCATCTTGGGTTTTGTCTACGGAGTTGATGTGAAAGTAATCCCACGGCGTCCCGGGATCAAGGCCGTTGCCGCCGATGGTGGTTGCTCCGGGTAGTACAACGGCGTTGCGTGGGCTGGTCTCCTCGTGCTCGAGGCTGGACCATTCGAACAGTACTTCACCGGTAGAGATTCGGATTTCCTGGAATATGGACTCGGATATCCACCCGATGCGGTCTGTCACACCGAATGGGCTCAGGTCGTACGGTATGACCTTGTAGATGGATATGAGAGCGCTGCGGTCGTCCACCAGACGGAACTCATGCATGTCTCCGGCGCTCATGGTTGAGCCCCCAACTTGGACAGTTGCGGCAATGCGGTACGTTGAGTCAAGGATCATCCCCACCCCGCGCCCGAAACCACGGTGGGATGCGCCGAGAAAGAAACATAGATGGTCTCTTGACTTCCACTGGCAGACGTGCGGATTGTTTGCGAATACACCGCCGAAGTCGGCAGCGCCCGCCCAGACTAATTCCTGGTTTGTTGTTAGTGAAACAAGCGCGGATGGATGAGATTCAAAATACCCCAGTGTTATCAAAGATGTACGGCCCCGCATCTATACTGGACATTTCGGTGTGACTCCATGGTGCTAGGAAGATGTATCCAGGAGTGACTGCACTCTCATCAAGCACCTTAATATTGATCGGTGGTGGATTGATGTCTGGTCGCTTCGAAGCTATTAGTAAGTAGGCTTGGTGACTTCTCAGGTTAGACTTACTGAGTAATAGAATGGAGCCGAAGCTATGAAATCACTGCTTCCATTGGTTGGGCCCATCAGTGTGGTAACTGTGAGTGAATAAATTACTTTCAACGTATGGATAACAGCTCTATTCCGCATATATCAGAAAGCCGGCAAGGTGGGCTGAACAATCTCAATTTGGCACTATGAGAAAAGGTGCTACGAGGGAGAGGAGAAGGCACCGAATCGAGAGACCTCTTAATCACTCGATCTTGGCGTGGGTGCTTAAGCACCGGTGCAGACCGATAGTAGAGCATCGCTTAGCACCAGCTCCCCTACTGGTGACTACAAACTATAAAAAGCATCCAAGCTTTTATCACTAGGTTTCACGCTATTCTCGGCTAGTTCCTACCCCATGAACGGGCCGGCCGCCCACCGGGGGACGGTCGTGCTTTACAAGGTACCTTTATACGAGCGAGCCAATCAGAAGCTCGCAGAAACGACACGGTGGGCGGCTGGCCCGTTCATAGGAGGAACTTGTACAACCTTATTAAAATTTATACTTCTAGACGTTCAACTACCTCCCTGTGAAGATACGAACTATCGAGTTCAGCTCTGCTCCACCGCCCAAGCATGAATCAAAAGTCACCCCACTTTTCCTCTACTGAATTTGCCAGCTCGCTGCGTACCTGCTACCACAGTGGGCATAAAAGAAGAATGTGCCGCACTTTTCTGACTCCTCTTTCCGAATACCTATGCTTTATTGGAAACAGCCTTATCTCGAGCTCTCTTTGAGCGATCAACCTGGAAAACACTTGCTGCAAACATGCATGTGCGGGAGTGAAACGGGCAGTGTATCCCGCAAGCGATCTTGACACATCAGTGACTGAATAGTATTGGAATACCGAGATATATTGTCATGTGAACGCCTTGGTTGCTACGCGTGGAAACGCTGGGGCAGATCTGCAGCGTTGCGAAACAGCAAAAGTAAAGGCCCGGGTCGCCCGCTTCAGACGAACGCGAATAGATAAAATAGAGCGCAAACAAATACCACAATTTTATTTAATACAGCGCTAAAAAGGCAGCTTCTACTTCGATCCTGAGATTGAAATAATCTTCTTGTTCCTGCCTTTCCACCTCTAAAGGCGGGCTGATGGCACACAACATCAGTGGGAATTCCCGAGGGCGCCTCCATGGGGCGGCGGGTACTTCCGGGCAGGATCGCCAATATTTTCCCATGGAGGTTTCCCGATTGGACTCGATCGACTATTGAGTTGACATCTTGGGCGCTGATCCCGGCCCCAAATTCCCGCTGACTACCCCTCTTCTGTTCAACCATCCTATCATGCCGTACCTATAACTTGATTGATCACCTTGCAGAACAATGCTGACGCGAGCAAACAGATCATCCAACAATATGAACAATCCTTCATCCCATCATTTCAGCTCAAGCTGCTTCGTCATGCACAAATATGTTTCAGCACACGCGCCACACAACTGCATCGCAAGGCTGAGGCTCTTGCTGACATGTATATCTCTGGGAGGGCAGTCAGATCTTTGTGACACGTATGCGCAACCAGCTACCTACCATGTTCATCCTCCTCGCGCTTTTCGTTTTCTACAGCGTGGTCACCTCGCAACGCTTGACAGGCGTGCAGGGTACGTCCCTCTAACACCTTGTAGAAATAATTTCAATATGTGAACGCGTTCTCACGAATACCAGGCGCAATTGCAAACAACACTCTCTGGCTATTTGGTGGTAATGTCATGTCGACTGATGGCTCCATCATCTCGTCATGTGAGACGCCTTGAGACAGGTCCGGGGAACCTCAAGTGACCAGACACAGCAAACAACCTGACTGTATTCAACTTAAGTCAAAATTTTACTGCCACAGACCCAGAAATCCCTCGGTCTTTGGGTCCTCAAAATGGCCTACCAAGCGTTTCGTTTGGCACAATGTGGAGTAACCAAATCGACAGGTTTTGGTTATTCAATGGAAAACAACTGTGGCGATTTCAGACAGACACATGCACGTGGAATGAAATAGAGGACTACGGTCCCAGCGAGAGCAACATCAAAAGAGTTGGTGGTGTTGGAATTAACGTTCCATCGCGAGCAACGGGCTATTACCTCGGCGGGTATTCGGCAGATAACAACCTTACAGACCGCCGGTACTTCCACGACATGATTGTTTTCAATATGGCCAAAGAACGAATGAGCTCTACCATCCTCCCTGACTATGTTCCAATCATTGCTCCAGGATTGGCATACCTTGACATAGGAGCTGAAGGCATGCTCGTAGTTATCGGAGGTCAGACTGAAACGAATGGCACACTCGCATACGTAAGTAAAATTCAACCGGGCTTGCTACCATATCTGATCAGCCCGTACAGTCAAGTCTCCAGGTCGTTTACTTCTACGACATTGCTACGGGGAGATGGGTATCGCAGTCCACCACTGATGCCCTTGGCCGAACAGACAGCTTTTACGGCGCTTACGACATTTACTCTCCCGGTATCCCGTCTGAGCGCTACAGCATGTGCACTGTTGTTGGCACAGCTCCTCCTCACACCGTTTTCAATATATACGTGTTTGGCGGTCAGAATGATACTGCTACCCCGGGAGACATCTGGGCTCTCACGATGCCAGGGTGAGTTCACTCATTATTCATCTCAAAACAATGCTAACTATTCAAATAGAGCTATGTGGATTAGAATGACTACTAATGATATTACCAACAATCCAAAGTCCGGCATGTCATGCAATCTCATACATGACAGGTATGTCCTCATGCACGGTGGGTGTTGGATGGAAGGTGGGAACAAATGCCTCAACTACGGTTGGAATCCGCTTCTCTACTACATCATCGCCGGTGACTATTGGATGGCAGACTGGAATTGGCACTACAACCCTAATGCTGCTGGATACAATGTGCCGAAGCAAATTTTCGACGTCGTTGGTGGAGAGTAAGTTTGCCCCCTGCCTACTCCATAGCATGGCAACTGACCATGCGTAGTCCAGGGCCGTGGGGAAACACCACCGTCCGATCTCCCAAATTCACCAGTTATAACGACAGCTTGCTGGAACAAGCCTTTATGCCTCCATCACCTACACTCGTCAACCATTGCTTCATCGCTTGGAAAATAACCCTTCCAATTCTATTCGGCATCCCCGCATGGTTGTTTGGACAGTCTCTTTGGGCCAGGTACGTGCGTGGCAGACGCGATGTTTTCTGGAACGACAAGTTGAAGCCACCACCCATTGCGCTGCTATTCGCATGCACCGCGGGGTTGATCATAATCGTCATCTCGCTGTGGCTGATCAGCTACCTGGACGATCCCGACACGAGCAGTAAGCGCCGTTCTCAGTAATCCAAACCAAACCGATTGCTGACTCTCCGTCCGGCAGCCTGGACCAGTGGCTCAGAAGCCAGCGGCATATGGACCGGTGATGAATGGAACACGACATTCACGCCGGCTGCAGGGAGCGGGCGGTCCATCAAAGGCCTCTCCCGGTTGTACCTCGACAAGGGCGCATCCGGCCAATGGGACCGCCACAACGCGACACAACGCTTGGGGGCGAGGGCATATTTCATCTGGACGTATCTCCCCAGCATCATCTTCGTCTCGTACGGCCTCTTCTGGCAGGTCATCGACGGCGAGACGAAGCGGCTCGAGAAGTGGCGGCAGATGGCGCGGCCGGACGGGTGCTCGGCGGACAAATCGTTGTGCTTCGACTACCACGAGTTTTGGAGTCCGCTGGCGCTTCTCCAGGCCCTCCGGTATAGGCAGTGGGCTGTGGTGTTCTCGAGCGTTGGATACTTGCTCGCTGCGATTGCCATACCCAACGTCCAGAACTACGTCTTCACGTGGGATATTTTCGCGGGAAACGGGCTGACCTGGGGCGGGATCTACACGCGACAGGTTGCGTATGCGGACGCCTACTGGTCGAAGGTTCTCTTGGCCGCGCTGGGCCTCAACCTTGCCTGCGTTCTAGGCCTTTACTGGTCTCTGCGGAAGTATCCAACGTATCATGAAGAACCAAACGGTATCGCTTATATCGCGTCCCTCACAATCGACGACGACAACTCTGTTGACCTGCAGCGTGTCTTCTCTGCCAATGGAATCAGGAGAGACCATCGGTATGATCGGTTTAAACTGGAAGTCCCTGATGGCGGAACACACACACGACTCATACGAACAGGGAAGAAAGACACCGAGTTAGCACATTCATGGAAAGAGGGGCTCCTCAAAGCTCCAGCACATGCTTTCAGAGCCATCCCCAACCCACATTCGCTTGTTGAGCAGGTTGAGCGGAGGTGTCAGTGGCCATGGAAGAAAATGTTTGACCTCACTTTGTTGATATGCTGGAATCTGGGGCTCAGTTTGACTTTGGGCGCAACATGCTACATACTCCGCGAGATCACTTCGCCCGAGCAGAAGGAGGCTCAGAACTACCGGCTTCCGTGGTCACCAAATCTGTACTTGGTTGTTGGAGTATCCATACAGGTAAGGTCTCTGCCAAACTCGGAGCAGTCTCAGACCGGTGGCTAATAATTCTTGCGCAGTCTCTGTACCAATTCCTCGAGCGCCGGATTCGCGCAGCCACAGTCCTTTTCGCTCTATCGGCTCGCGAGCAACCCGCACGCATCCTCTACGAAGACTGGACAAACACCATACCTTTCGTCGACATCATCCAAGCATTCCGCTACGGCCACGTATTCCTTGCATTCACACTCATCGGCACTGTCGTGTCGATAGCGTACACCATCATGCTCGGCTCGTTGCAGGTTTCTGCCAGTTTCTACGGCGCAACGACTTACACTGCCGACGTCGACGGCGTTATTGCCATTGTGGCGTTTAATGCGTATTTGCTGGCCATCAGTATGGCGGCGTTGGGGACCTATGTCTCCAAGATGTGGAAGATGGAGTGGAATGTAAGGGGCCAGACCACGCTCGCCATGCAACTAACTTTCACCCTATGGTCGAATGGATTGAGGGAGGATATGAAAAGCGTTGTGGGAGTGGAAGACAAGGAAGGAAAATTGAGAATACTTCGGGGCTCCAAGTACAAGTTCCAAAAGGTCTCGAATGCGCCGGACGACCTTCAGGGTAGTATCGAGAAATGTCGGAGATGAACGTTGCGGTGGAGTCGATTCAAGCATTTGTAAAGGATTTTCCATATCTATCTCTGTTTTGCTTGTGAGACTGTATGTAATAACGAGGATGAACTCTTTCAGCGTGATTTCTTCGGAGGATATGATGAATTGAATTTGATCTGGCACCCATGCCAGCAACACGGAATATTTAGTTCAGCTCAAACTACTATTTGCGCGTTACCGCAGCTATAATCAGGCAGCAGCCAAGCTGAATTACCAGTCCCGACGATGTACGACTGATTGTATCCAATGGGATGGGGATAGACGTGGCGGGGTGGGGCTGCCGCTCAGCCTGCCTCGCCCCGCCAGCTGAGCCCCACCACGATGGATTCCGCTCTCTCAGCCCTCTCATCTACTAAAATTTTGTTTCTATCTCGTCAAAGACAGCCGAAATCCCCTGGACTGCCTACTCGCTGATGGTCATTCATTGTTTCCATTAATCGCCTCATTTTTTTACCGGGACCACCAAAGTCCATTCAAATTGAAAGATGTCCGGGACCGCCGGGCAGAAGCGCCGGCCCCCACGCAGCCAATACGCAGTCGGATGGATATGCGCCGTGGAAACCGAGGTTGTAGCAGCTCTCGAACTCCTGGATGAGGAGTACCTTGCACCTCCTTCGGATGGAGCAAACGACAATACCGTCTACGCCTTTGGCCGCATCGGACAGCACGACATCGTTGTTGCATCTCTGCCAAAGGGGAAATATGGCACCACCTCGGCTGCTACAGTTGCGAGGGACATGCTGCGGAGCTTCCCGACTATTAAGTTCGGGTTGATGGTCGGGATAGCTGGCGGGGCACCGTCGGCAAAGCACGATGTTCGACTGGGCGATGTTGTCGTGAGCGCGCCTGACAAGCAGTCTGGCGGTGTGGTTCGATACGACTTCGGGAAATCGATACAGACGAAGAAGTTCCAGCGCACTGGATCTCTGAACGCTCCTCCTCTCTTCCTTCTCAGTGCTGTTCAGATGCTGTCGACCGAGCACAGACGGAAAGGCCATCGCATCGCCCAGACAGCCGAGCAGCTCATCCAGAACAACGAGAATCTGGAAGAGGAATTTGAGAGACCTGCACCGGAGACAGACCGCTTGTATCTCTCGACATACATCCACCAAGACGACGGAAGGAGCTGTAAAGAAGCGTGCGACCAAGGAGAGTCGAAGCTGGTCCCTCGTCCCGAAAGAACAAGGAACAAAAGGAACAAGACGGCGATTCACTACGGCTTGATCGCATCCGCGGACAAACTGATGAAGGATGCTACAGTCCGCGATGAACTATCTCAGCAGGAGGACATCCTTTGCTTTGAGATGGAGGCAGCGGGGCTGATGGACCACTTTCCCTGCCTTGTCATCCGCGGTATCTGCGACTATTCGGACACGCATAAAAACGACATCTGGCAGGGATATGCCGCTGTGGCTGCCGCAGCGTATGCAAAAGAGCTGTTGTTGGCCATTCCAGTGACTGAGGTTCAGAAAGCTCAGCCCGCAAGTCTTGAATGGGGTCCGCCCCCTGTCTATTCGAAGCAGGTCAACATCTTTAATGGAATGTCTAATCAGTCTGGAGGGCATTCTCTCTCTGGAAATTCTTTCGAGTCAGGTGGTGGAACCATGAATATCGGATAGGAGTGAGTCAGGATAATTCAATGATGAACAGTGGGCCGACTGGGTGTATTGCAGCATTTTCCGATTCTCTTTCAACGAAAAAAAAAGATATCGTGATTATTCATTTGCATATTTCTTAGAGTCTAGAAAGAAAACCAATTCTCAACAACGCGCTATTCCTATAGTCAGTAGTATATCTTGCCTCAAATTGATGTTACGCTTCACGCTTCGCGTGATGATCAAAATTTAATTGTGGAGACTTCTTCCGCAAATGTTCGACCTGCATAGATTTTGCAGTCCAACCTTACAATCCTAAAAACAATTCTACTCCTTGCTTATCACAGAGCTAAATTCTCCCTCGAGATTGCTTTACCCGTTCTAACGAGTGCTTCAGGTAGGAATCACGATGACAGTGTACCTACAATAACCCCCACCCCTGCCACGGCACGCGTACGAGTGGGGCCCGCTGAAAAAAAGAAAGAAAACACGTGTACAGCGCAGACTCGACGGAAAATATGCGTTGACACGTTATCTAGCCGATCTTGATCTTGACTGCGAACGTGTGAGGGACGTCTCATTCCCGAGGATTTCTCAAGCCTGGAGCACGCCGATACGCCACTCGAAACGACTGAGGACACGCACTCTTGTAGCGCAAACGTGCGCAACGATGTTACACGAATCGAAATATGGCAGGCCAATCGAACAATTTTAGCGAGACGAGCGTGTCAGGAGGGTTCAACCTGCAGGGGAACCAATTCAACGGAGACGTCAACATTGGAGGTAAGGCTGGAGAGTAAGCAAAGGTTCATCGCTCGTATACTAAGCTATGTAGGGCCATTCCACAATGATACCGACGACTCGTGCCTTCGTCTTTTGAAGATTGTCAGCCCCGAAGACGAAAAGACACGAATCCTCGCAGTCAAGGACGAACTGTTGAAGGCATCGTATTCCTGGATACTTGAGGATGAAACATTCCGGTCCTGGCGAAATGGAGATACGAATCACTTGCTCTGGATCAAGGGTGGCCCTGGAAAAGGAAAAACAATGATAATGGCTGGCCTTGTTAACATCCTTTCCGAAGAAGCAAGGAACTCGGAGGGCGCTGTCGCACTATCTTACTTCTTCTGTCAGAACTCAGAAAGTGAACTTCGCAATGTCACCTCAATCGTGAAAGGCCTCATTTACATGCTGGCCCTCCGAGAAAGGAGCCTTCGTCGCCATCTGAGAAAGAAGTACGAAGCAGGCGGAGAAGAAGTTTTTACAGGACCAAGAGCTCTTTATACCCTATGGAACGTGCTGGAAGACATGTTGAGAGATCTTCATGGTGCAACAGTCTATCTTCTAGTAGACGGATTGGACGAATGCGATGATCCAGAGTTCGACAACTTCCTGCGCCTGCTGAGCCAATGCAACCTTACCACGCCGGGAAAAGTCAAGTGGCTCGTCACGAGCCGACCGCTTCAACGAATCGAAGACATCATCAGGCCAGACCAGAATAGGTCTAGGATAACCCTCGAGATCGAAGCCCAGCACGTGTCCCAAGGCGTCGAAGCCTTCATCGGTGAGAAGGTCAATCTTCTGAAGCTGAAAAAGAAGTGGACTGAGGAAACGACCCAAATCGTCCACTCTTATCTCCAAAGGAATGCTGAAGGGACTTTCCTTTGGGTTGTTCTCGTTTGTCAGAGACTTCAGAGATTCCCTTCATGGAAGGTCCAGGACGAGCTTACAAAGCTCACAAGTCTTCAGCGAGGTCTGGACTCGTTCTACGAGAGGATGATGCAGGTTGTTCGAGACGAGATTCCGGAGTACGCAGACTTGTGCATGAAGATCCTCCGAACAACGACTCTTGCCTACCGTCCACTTCGCCTACGAGAACTGGGAACCGTAGTCACTTTGCCTCATGAGCTTCAAAGCGACGACTCACCAAACTTTGATGCTTTGAGGGACTTGATTGAGCGATGCGGGTCGTTCATACTCGTGCACGAGGACACCATCTATTTTGTTCACCAGTCCGCAAAGGACTATTTGCTTGGGGAAAGTGGCTCCACAAATTTCCCCCTCGATCGGTTACGAGAACACACTTCAATTGCAGAAAGGTGCCTTGATACACTGAACTCGTGCCTCAAAGACAATCAATTTCCAGATCCGACATCTCTTAACAAAAAAGAGCTAAGCGAAGACGAATTGCAGTTACTGTCGAGAATTGCCTACGCGTGTTCCTACTGGATCCAGCATGCTTTTGAGTCCGTCGCTCAGGCCTCCCTCAAAGACTGTGTTCCAAACCAAGACAAAATCTGTGAACTGCTCGAGTTTCGCTTGATTGCCTGGGTTCATTCCCTTGGCTCTCTAAAGGAAGTTACTTCATGCGTCGGAATGATCAAAGCATTTCTGGATGTGAGTGACCTTGAAAAGTCTAGATGGCACTCACTGACGCCACACAGATACAGGGTTTCGAGAGCACAAACCTCTTCCACATGATGCAAGAAACGTACCGCTTCCTGCGGCAAAGTAGACAAATCATTGAAGAATCGCCTAATCAAGCGTACACCTCCGCTCTTCTCTTCCTACCTCGATCATCATGGATTCGAGAAAACTACCAGAACCACATTCCAAAGTGGATCAAATTGACGACACAGCTGAACGAAACTTGGGACGCGTGCCTGGAAACACTGCTGGGCCACACAACAGAAGTAAGATCTCTTACTTTTTCCTCCGATGGCAGCCTCCTGGCCTCCAAATCAGAGGATTGTACTTGGCTTTGGGAGACCGAAACTGGAAGATGTTGCGGTACGATCAGTTACGATCCATCCGCCTATGATGATTCGTTTCTTGCTTTTTCGCCAGATGATCGAGTACTCATTTCACAATCCGGAAACGGCTTCGAGATACTGGATATCGCTACAGGCTCTCAGCTACACCTTCCTGTTGACACATGTTCTCGGATTAGGTTTAATAGCCAAATCGTCGCAATTTTCGAAGGCGGTTGCCTCGGATTATGGAACATGTTCACTGGAGAAAAGTGCGGAGTCTTTGAGCCTCATGGGAAGTGCATTGCAGATTGGGCTTTCTCAAATGATGGCAAACGCATTGCAGTCGAAGATGAAGGCAATATCAAAATTCGGGATTTGGAAACCTCAAAAATCGTCACTACATTTCGAGAGCACCACAACTCCATCAAGTCCGTCCAATTTTCACCGGACAGCCGCCTGGTACTTTCTGTGTGCTCCGAGTCTATTTGGCTTTGGCCCCAAGCAATGGCAAAGCCGGGCAAGAAGCTCGAAAGCCACTTAGACGAAGTGGAGTCTGCTAAATTTTCCCCCGATGGAAGCCTCGTCCTATCCGCCCATAAATCCGGAGCCATCGTGATTCTCTGGGAAACTTCAACCGGAAACAAGCTTCACGTCATTACTCCCAAGCCAACAATAATCATGGACGAAGCGATGATTTCGCCAGACAGTAAGACTTTGGTCAATGCCTACTTGAGAGGCGCCGTAATTTGGGATACTACAACGGGAAAGGAGATTGCAAGACTTGAAGTTTCCGAGCCAGCCGAGTATGACCCATACTTTACTAAATGTTCAAAAGAGGGAACCATCGTAGCTCAAGTCGAGACCTCGGGATTGAGAATCTGGGAAGTGGCAACGGGAGATCTTTTACATGATTTTGGGGACAATTCGGGTGGTATTTCGGCCATCGAGTTCTCTCCCGCAGGCGGCCTCGTTGCCTCCGCATCACAGGACGGGGCAGTACAACTTTGGACTTTGAAAAATACCACCTCAAACCAACCCACGTTCAGAGGCGATATGGCAGTGGAAGGTTTGACTCTTTCATCAGATGGTACTCTTGCTGCGTTCATATCAGATTCCAAGGGCCTATGTCTTTGGGATCTAGAATCAGAATCACCCAGGATCTTACTTCGCCCTGGAGAGTATGACCTTGGTTCAGGCATACATACCCACTATCTCGTCATTTCACCGGACAAGAATCTTCTTGCTTGCAGAACGTTTGATGAAGTATGGGTCAGAGACACTGAAAAAGGATCATTACGTTACAAAAATAAAGTGCGTAACTGCGATGTTCATCGAATGTCATTTTCGCCAGACGGTACTCTTCTCAGGATTAAGTACAGGCAAGACATTAGCATCCGGCTTCTGGAGAACCATACCTGGGGGTTTGAGGATGTTTTGAAACCACCTCATGCAGAGTCAACTCAATCACAACTCTCTCCTGATGGAAGGTTCATTGTTAAGCAGGAGGGGAGTCTTCGCACTGCTTGTCTCTGGAAGCGGGACGGAGAGTCCGACCAAGAGACTTTTAAGTTTGAATTGGGAGGAGCAGGTGGCGTTGCTACATTCTCGCCAGACAGTAAGTTCATTGCTTTTGTCTCGAGCGAAAATTTCATCAGTGTCTGGGAAGTAGAGACGGGGGCTTGTCACGACGTTTCCTCGAACCTTATATGTTCTACTGGTGTGGGTTCGTTCTCTCAGGACAATCGCTCCTTTGCATATATCCGGAGCCAAGGCCTCAGTTGGCCGCGGGCCAATTACGGTCCAACTAAAGTTGGACTCTTCGCTGAGGCATTAGCTCCGGATGCCCTTAGTCTTCTCAAGCTGTGCCTTGGAATCCCACGGGCTCAACCTTTCGTTTTTGAGGATCCGGTCAAGTTGGTTACATTTTCGCCAGATGCTAGGATGGTCGCAGCTGTTTCGGGTAGCGCGATAGTGCTGTGGAAGACACCGCCTAGACCACCGGCTGAAAAGCTTGAGTACGATCAGAAGCGAGTCAGCGACATCACTTTCTTACCGGACCGAAACATTCTGATAGCTGGATACGAAGATGGCACAATTGGATCTTGGGATACGAACAACTATGCCCTACTCCACACACTTCGTACAGAAGATCGCCCCCCACGGTTTTCTTTGGATAGTAAGAGGAAATTCCTGTGGACCGGGAATCGAGGATTCTTTTTCGATGAATTCTTGCAACCTGATAAGGAGCCTGCCATTTCTCTCGAACGTGACTGGGTCATGTTCAACGGAGAGCGTGTCTTTTGCTTACCTCCCGAATTCATGCCATTTCCGGACTGGGTTGCGTCTGACAAGCATTTGGTCATGGGGCATCAACCCGGCGATTTAACCATTGTACGTTTCGATTTTTAATATCCTGTTTTATCTAATGGCGTATTGGTGTTATGGCGTAGCATCGTTAGATTCAGTGATAGGAAGAGATGATGATGACTCATATACCTCATCAACCGAGTTAATTAAGGTGTTTAAAGGGTTATTGACCGTCTTTCGTAGCCCGAGGGCCAAGCAATTTGCCTTTCCATTGCGAACAACCCCTCAATGTGTAGGTACTCGCTTGAATTTGATCAGCAGCTAGTTATTGCACTTATTCTGGCCTAGCAGTAGAAGGATCTTCCGATTATTCTCTGATGTAGCATTTTCCACGTCATGAAGAGCAGGCGATGGCCGCCGCACCTGTTGTCTACTTGTGATATACCTTAGCCACCTGTTCCGTTCCTTTTTCGCGTTTCGTGCGCATTGTGTTGAGGCGTCCACGCAAATCCATGTTGTAATCTTATTTGCGCACAGGGCGTTGAGAGGGTAGTTTCATATCGAGTAGAGGGACTTTATGTGGGGGTTTCGTTAGTCGAAGAAGATATGGTCTCTTATGCGGTCTGTCTGTGACAAAAGAGACAAAAAGTCATATGAAATGAGCCACATGTGTTGGGCGATGCACAGGGTGCACTGCTACAAGCTGCTGGGACGAAGCAGAAATGGCCGCAAGGGTTGTAGTGGTAGAGGTGAACATCAAAGCAAAATGACAAAATCTTGCGATGCAAGATCACGAGACACGCCCTCATAAAACAATTGACAATTCAAAGGCGTGAGTATCTGGTTGAAGGTACCCTGACGTGTTCGACTAGGAAATGCGTTGTCCGATAACGAAGTCATACCGACATACCTTTTGCTAACCCGAAGAAAATCCACGATTGACGCCGCCGCACTTCCGGTCAAACACATCAAAACCCTCGGCGATCTCACATACGCATCACCGAAGACCGCTACGGCTCCACCCCCCATAATCATTGCCGAACGAACCCAGAAGATCTCCATTTCTGAAATTTGGCGCACTAAAGGCATATATTGAATTTTATAAAAGAAAAGACAAAGGAGAAAAAAAAAACTCTAGGCAAAGAGAACCCCGGGAATCCGCAAAATTTTCTGTCCCCCATCAATCCGGAAAACGCCCAGCAACAACAAAGTCAAGGAGCTTGTTCTCTCATCACACCGTCGTGTCCCGCCTGTAACAGGTCGTCCGACGTACATCTTGGTGCCTGCCGCTCCTCCAGCCCCAGCAATCCGTCCCCCTTCGCCCCACATTCACGAATCCACGGTCATCGTCGGCATCGGGAGAAATAGCGATCAGACGAGGAGCACGCTTAGTACACCGGTTAGCATGCCGAATGAGATGAGCAACGGGGGAAAGGGTGTTTCGACTTACGCGTTCAGGCAGCCGTCGTTCTCAGGGTTGTCTACTGGGTGTCAGCTTTGATCTGCCAAGGGTAGAATAGAAGAAAAAAATGGTCTGGCTGGCTTACTCGTGACCTGGGCCCAGCGGCCCCAGACGACCTTGCCGGTCGTGGTGGTCAATCCCAAGTCGCTGACGTTCACCTCGATGATGGTACCCTTGGTCAATACGCCGAGCTGGGTGTAGAGCGTTGCTTGAGGGTTCTTCTTGACCTGTAGTCCGGTCAGATATCAGGCTCCAATTGAAATGATTTTTGAAAAACTTACTGAGATGATAGGCAGTTGGACCGTGACGCCGAGCTCAGGGTGAGTGACGTTGGCCTTCTTGTATCTGCTTGAATGAGACATGTACTGATTGACACGGCAAAGAAAGCCTAACGTACCGCAGGCCCATAGGACGGATAAAGCGCTCGTATTTGACTGGCTGCAAGCACGTCAGTCTGTTTTCTCTCAAAAGCTTTACGGGGTTTAAAAAGCGTTAAAGGAGCCCTTTTTAAGCCTGAAAAGGGCCCCCCAAAAGCTGAAAAAGGCCCAGCAGGCCCAAAAATGAGTGAAAACTTACGCGTCTCGTGAAATCATTGCCTACAAACGTGGGCTTGGTCTGCAGCGCCTTGTCAGTACTGTTTCTCCAAGAGATTTTGGTGGGTGGAGGCTGCGGTGGATGCTCGGGTGGCGGGGAAATGGTTTGGCAGCACAACAAGATAACAGGTTCACATACGATCATGCGCTTCCAGCTCTTATTCTGCCGTTTGCCTGACGAAACGGCCTTAAACCTACGGTACTGTCAGCAACTCAATTCCTCATGCACAGCACTGACGGATTTCTCACATCTCCTCTTCTGATATTCCCTTCACCTTGGGCAACGGCACAGCAAAGCGCGCAGCCTTCTCATTCCGCTTATTCTTGATCTGCGACGACAGCGCCTTGGCATTGTTCTGATCGGAGCGGTCGAGAAGGTACTGCGGGACGGGGTCCTTGGACGGTTCCTGGGCGTCTGCGCTCTTAACATTGCGCTGTTCCTTCTCACGGATCTGCTTCTTCATCTGAATCTTCTCCTTGCGCCTCTTCTCCTGGTACAGCTTCGCGCGCAGGCCGCGCAGGTTCTGCGCGTCCTTGGAAGCCTCGTGGCGCTCGCGGGCGGCGCGCTTGCGGACGCGTTCTTCATGGTCGAATCTCCGGCCGTGTTCCTTGCGGAACTTCTCCATGTACTCGTTCTGCGGCATACTGGCGGTTGTGAGGGGGGCGTCGGCGAGGTGTGGGGGGGGGGGGTTGGTGGTGATGCGGCGTCGGAGGCTCAAGTGAGGATCTGGTACTTGGAGTCGAGAATTTGGGCGGAGAAATCGTTTCGCCGAGCGCTTATCTTATCGCGTCCGCCGAGCCTCAGGGCCTCCTCCGCCGCCGCTCCGCACCCATCATCCCTGCACACCACGTGCTTGACGGATCCGTTTTCTCGAATCTTGAGTCTTTCGCCTTTGGGATATCGTCGTAAGAGCTACATGGAACAAAAGTCCCGTATAGTCATTTTGGAATTTGATTTGAGATAACAAATTCCATAGGCCTCGAAGCCGTCAAAGAGAAGTTAACGTTTTTTTTTTTTTCGGAGCGTCTATCTCTCGTCTGTGCTTTTACCTTGCTTTATTGCGCTCGTGTGGACAGTTTTCCCCTGCGGCATCTTTGACCCTACGGCTCTTCTGTCCGCGCGGCTATTTGGCCCCTGCAGCGCTTCTTTCCGTGCGGGCTGTCAGCCTTTGGTGGGGTTCGTAACACGAAATCCATTCCGATGCACACGTTGAGCTCAACGGCGCCATGAAGTACGAGGCCAGTGGCCATGTCCATGCCATACTACATACTCACAGCTACAAGAGAGCCTCGCTTAGCTTCATCTTCACCCCGCAAATACTGCACCCTTCACAACACCCAACCGAGCGAACTACTCTCTTGCTATGCCGCGAGAAATATACAGCACACCACTCGGTCCTCTGGCCACTTCCGTAGCCGATATCTTCACAGTCGCCAAACTGGGCCATTACCGCCTAATTAATTGCTCCCACTCAATGCAACACTGATCTCTCCGCATCCACGAATTCAACAGCCCCATGGCGGCCATCTCCTACTCTTCCGCTTCCTACGTCTGGCGCGGAAACGCTTTTGACGCAGCCACAAGTCTGCCTGACCTCGGTGTCCAACTTAGGGCCTTTCGCGCTGCGAGCAATCATTGTCGAGCAGCACGCGCCAGGTACATTCCATAGATCCGGGGCTGTCACTCTGGGCGAATGCTTTGGTCCGGTCATTGAAAGGAATTTGCGCGAACTGCGCTTTTCCATCGGAGGTCCCGATCCCCTTCTTCCTGGGACTTTTCGTGGAGATGCACTCTTGCGTACGTAGGATTGCAGAAAATCACCCACATCACCGGGGTCAATTGTTTCTTATTTGAGCAGTCATACGTTGAAGAAGACTTTGTGGAGAATGCGAAAGGATGTTGATTGGTAAATGCGACGAGTGATGGTGATACACCACTGCCAAGCGACCTGGCTAAACCCAATCGGGAAAGAACCAATGCCATGGTGCCAACAGAGGAGCAAACCGCGCAAACAAGCGAGCAATCGGCCAAGCCTTTGGTCTCAGGGAAAAACATGCCCGGCCGACTGCTTGTCATTTTGTTGTTTTATTTAAGGGGCAATTACAAACCCGACCCGTATTCCTGTACTTGTCTCGAAAACCACACCCCCGACCCTTTCCACCGAAACCCGACCCCCCTGCTGTAAAGGTCAACATTCTTATATTAAATATGCCTGGCTTTTTCTGTAATAGATATCTATACACTTAGGTACTTTTATTAATCTGAAGAGAACACTGAGAATTTAATTGTGTTGAAGTTCTACAACACGTTAAAGATAATGGACTTTGGCGAAAGGGTCGGTGTTGGGGTTTTGGAAGAAAAATGGACCGGGTTCGGTAGTTGTTCCTTGAAAATCTTGATGCGGATAATCGAGCAATCTGCGGGGCGTGTCCCCACTACTTCTTAATGCTTCATGCACTGGTAACGAATGAAATGCACCTGGGCTTATCTTGCTGTTACATCATGATGGGAAACCCCGCAGCATGCTCAGATTGGGAAAGACGTGGATAAACGGCCTGCACACTGCGCTGTTCCCCTCATTGCTATTTAAGCGAGTGCCGGCCAGCACATCCTTTTGGAAAGGAATGGCAAATCAAACACCTTGAATCCGGCAGCGAGGGCAATCATGTGGATTCCGCCAGGCGAGCTGGCCAGATTGTCTTCGGTAATTCGCTGGGTGCCCTCGGCAGGAAGCTCTTCACCCACCTCATCATGGCTTCGACGCTGCACGTCTATTTTTGTAAGCATCATTCATCATCAGCGATCTGCATGTGAGATTCCACTTAGCCAACCTCCCGACGAGGGATGTGCGTAAGCGATGCGGGGTATAATCGATAACGTAAAGACCAATGGAGATGGTCCGTTGATATACTGCTTATATTGAATCACATGCGGCGGATACTACGCTTACGGCAATTGAAAGCATCACCTCTAAGGAAAGAGTCAATGAGCGATGGTTTTATTTGTTAATACTCATAATGCAAATGCATAGGGTAAATTATATAGTCTTCATTAAGTTCAATTTATTGATGCATTTAATATGGAACAATACAATTTCTTAAGAATCATGAGCCACGCGGCGAAAAGAAGCCCACCAGTAAATTTGCATCCTTGATGTTCCCATTCCATTGGTTGCTTTTGTCTGCTGCATGGACATGGAACCAAGAAGAATGCCCACGTGGACCATCTGAAGGACCAAACCCAACGCTACCATTAATCTGACTGGCCTGGCCACACGCCGTTATATCCGAGTAAGTGCAGCCTTGATCATACCAACCGTGTTCTCCCGAAATCTCATCGTAGATCTCCTCTCCGCCGTAGCTGCTCGTGTCCGATTGGTTATCATTTGGAAGCGCCATTGTATCGTCCTCTGCTACCAAAGTCTGCTCTGAAGTGCACGAGCTGTTTTCAGACACCTCTGAGTCCCTTCTTTCACGAGCGGGTAAGATATCTACTTGTACGGCACAAGCACCTATCTGTACCAACTGTATTGCGTTAGCAAATACTCTCTACAGAATAGGTAAGTTGTAAATGGGATGCAGAGAGTAGATATGGGAGTTTTCATACGTCTTGGGATACTGGATCGTGCATATTTCTTTGCTCACTTCCACAAGATGAGCATATTCCGTGGTCAGACGATATCCCAGTGTTGCCTTTGATCCTTCTGCTCTCCTCCGCAATCTTAGTGCAGTCTTGAAGACTCTTCTGAATGTTCTCGAGCTTTCCCTGCAAATGTGGGATTTTCTCAACATTGGACTGGATGCCTATGATGAGACTACCAAAATTTCCCAACAGACAGAGAGTGAGGCAGCTCTTGTCGCGCTCAAGATCGTCGAATCCTCGAAATATGGCCGAGTCCGCTTTCGTGACGTCCAGGACCCTCAAACACTTCTGGAATTTATTGGCCGGGCCTGCGAAGAAAAGGGTTCTCTCGATCGCTTCCTCTATTGATTGTGTTGTTTCGCTGAGAGAAAGCAGATGAGACTTTATCGATTCCGAATGGAGCCCGTCGGTCTTCTCGATCAGCTCAGCTATCTCAATGACCTGTTTAACTTGCCGCTCATGACGGCGGTATCGCTTGGCGGAATGCGCGGCGTTCTGGCAAATGTCTTGTAGTATGGTGATCAACTTGACGGAATACCCCACGAGCTGCGAAATGCTGGCGACAATTCCGACCACTTCGACACCGGACATGACGCGCTGGAGAATGGACAAAAGGACAAACAGGCGCTGAACATCCGAGAGAGCCGGGCCTGGCACTGAGCTGAGTTTTAGGAGTTCCCACAGGGCCTCCTCCGCACGAGGCTGTCTCCCGATCGCGCTCCCAGACGTACCTCATTCCCTCCTTTTCCGCCTTAGCCGCCGCCATACAAGGCGAGACGATGCAACGCTGTACACGCTTCCGAAAATTCTCAGGCCCTAAGCGCCTCGGCCAGTGCCACAGCGTCTGACAAGCCATCATGCCTCGCATGACCAGAATGTGTGTTGGCTGCCGGCTGGGCGGTCGACATGCGCCCGGTCTGTGGTTGCGCTGATAAGATATGATTGGCGTTAGGGATGTGTCGGACAGATAGGAGACGCTGTTTCGTTGTTGCGCAGCATGAGGCTGCGAGACAGACAGCCAGGATTGTGCAACTTCGGATGATCTGAGCATCGGACAATGCTGCAAGCCGTCAGGCGACGACCACTGCAGACTTAAATATACCAATAGCGCGGTCCGTGCGCCGCCACATGTATCAGGGACAAGTGGGGGGGGTCCTGTTTCGATCGGGTGGGAATATTTCAAATCCTTCCAGAACTCGTAAGGCTGAGTTTCAGCCTAACGATCCAACAACGATCCACCTCGTCCTGGTCAACAACATCGTCAGTGAAGCCACGTCTCCGGACATCCCACTTACCGACGCTTTGAAGAACACCTCGGAAGGATCGCCATTGCTTCCTTGCATTTAATGGATCGTGCGATGCGGCAGGCTCGTGCCGCGCCGTGGTCCCACTCAGAAAGAGCCCGTGATAAGGTGCCTGCCACAAAGCTGATGGGCCGGGGTCAAAGAAGATGAGGGGCATGCACCGATTGGCACGGCGGCTCTTGGATATACGCCCAATCCCCTCTATGACGCTCTGCTTTGCATGTTCAAGCCTATGTGGATGTCAGCTAATGGAGCGGAGCAAAAGAGCCACGTCTTCGGTGCGTTTTGCCTCTGGCCACGCTTTCAATGCGGCTCTTTGATTTTTGGGGGATAAAGAGGAGACGCTGAGAGCGGGTGGCAGCAGGTCATGCTCTTCCACCGTCGGCGAGAAACCACCTCTACTGGGACTCCATAGTGAACTGAGCCGCAGAGTAAGTTATGGTGAGATATAAAGAGCATCTCCATTTACTGACTGGGTAGTTGTGATTCCTGTGGACGAGACGGCGCTCTGAAACATCATGATCGGCGGTCAACCCAAGGGCTCAAACACAGTTTCCAACACCAGAAAGCCAAGAGCAATGCCAATCAACGAATCCGGAAAGGTCGCAAAGAGCGAAGCTGGTGCAAACCAGAAACCTGGAAACACTGTCAGCAGGAACTTATACCAAAATATATCTGCCTCAGGTCAAGCGAATCA